TGACTCGTTTACACTCAAGTCTATATTTAACCTGTCGTCGCAAGTACTGCGGAATATGTTCTCCCATATCGAACACATGCAGAGAAGCCAAGCCACACCAAGCCAGGCATGTGTCGGAGTTTACAATCGAGACCGGGCCGTACGGAGTGGGTTCATTCTCGTCAGGTACGATGCCCAGGTGAATGTATCAAGTATTTATGCAATTGCAACCGAGTTTGCTTGCAATCAATTATGCAGAGCATCATCCAATGAATCGCGATTCGTGAGTTATCTTCATGCAATGCAACAATTCTTACTTTGCGGTGAGATGTCCACACGAGTCTGGCCGGTTCGATCAAATTGGCATGACCAGTAAACTATTGAATTGACGTTGCGTCACCGTGATTGCACAAAAGCCGTATAAGCCGAGCGAGGCTGTATCTGATTCCCACCGTTAGGTGTGCCCCCCCCTCCCCCCCCCCCAAACCAGACTACAGAGACAGAAGCAAATTACCGTCTTGTACACAGTTGAGCAGTGGTTACGTGTTGACTTTGGAACAGACTGTTCGCCACTTCTAATTGAGGTGCTACACCTCATTGAACAATGGAAGCGGGCATTATAGTCATAGCCTACATAGTGATCACATAGACGGCAAGAATCTCCAGCAATCTGACATAATACGTCCCACGGCAACCCTATCGTAACACTTTAATTCCATCATGTCTAGGACCGCCTCGGGAATGAGTCAGATGGGACATTTCATAGTGTAAATGAGTGAGGGCACTGCCGGATTCAGCTAAGGTAGGCTGCGTTGAAAAGTACGGAGAGTTATATAGAGCAGAGGGATATGAAAGTCCGCTTACTCCGTTGAGAACTTCAGATTTACCAAACATTTCATCTGTGTCTTCCGCTTTCACTACCTCCGTATTAAGACAGCACTTTCTTAAGTTTTAGCATCTGATAACTGTCCAGATAGCGACGATAGAACCACAGTTATATCTCCCGCATACTGTGACCAGATTGTGCTAGGGAACTTTCTTTTCCTTAATATCAGTCCGTCGATTCTTTACATGGTTATTCATTATGAATTTTAGTCAGTTAGATAATCTCTGATATTAACCACCACCAGCTTGTTCTGATAGGGTAGCTGAATAGGTTAACCTGAAATCAAGACTATAGATGGATTTACTATGTATACAAAAGCTTCAGCATCAAATTCAAAATTCAGTTCTCATAGGTATAATGATAGTTAAGTACTTCGAGGTGTGATCTACGCAACATGGCCGAGCGCTCACTTGATGGGGTTCAAGCCGACTAGCCAAGTATGGAAAGCTAATGGACTAAAGTCTCAAAGAATCGGCGATTCTATTATTGCAATCTTTAAAGTATTAATAAGAGATAATATAGGATCTATGATAGTCCTAGTGAGTCCAAGAGAAACTATAAACCCGACATTGTTAAAGGCTGATGATTGTAACCCCGGGAAACGTAGTACTCAGCCTTATATTAATGTCACTTCTAGCAGGGCTACCGAATAGGTCGATGCTATTGAATATCGAATTGCGTCTTACGTCTTTACTCTCCCTAAAGAAGAGCTATAATGTAGAAGAAAGGAACAGGTAATAAACTTATGGCTTGCCTCTACTGCCCGACCGGCATTTCAAGACCTCCAGAGCAAACCCTTCATGGGAGCCTTCGACGCTCAAACTAGTTTACTACCACATCCCATATGACAGAACAACTCCAGGCGCCGAATATTTACTGAGACACTGCAAGTTCGAAATATGTAAAGGCTTGGAGGATATCGAATTGCCTGTTCAGTCTTAGAAGACTGAAGGAGACTCAGAAGCAAGCCTGAAATGGTGTAAAAGGTTCGGTATTTACATTGGAAAAAAACGGCCAAGCATTTGGAAGGGCCTCACCGACACCAACAGATTCACTAATACACTGCCACATTGAACACACCGACAACACCCTGCAGATTTCCGTACATCAATAACTTGGCAAAGGTTAAGTAAACGACGACCTAACTACCAGATCCTACGTATATTGGCATGAAGTCTCTTAGCAAATTCTTTCATGCTTGTAGACAACTTCAATAACAAGGTGGAAAAACACTTATAACACTCATAAAATCCTGCAAGCTTCGACGTTCAAAACTCTGGTAATAATCGGCTCATAGAGATCTCTTCAATCACATAGAGACTTTCGAGCTTAGACATGCCATTCACCTCGAGAGGATAAACGATATGATGAGATTGCGTTATGAGATGGAGCCGACTCATTTGCAACCCTGGCGGCGAAATCCGTCAGAGTGGAATGATGTAATACTCTGGCAGTAAATTTGATAACTGGATAAACCTTTAAGGTATATGCGTTTTTACAAAAAAGCGTTGCGTGCCCCAGGCATACCGGTTGATTACTGAGTGCAGCATTTGAGCCAACTGCCCATAGATCGTCCTTCCGTAGTTGCAGATTCCTGGGAGTTGGTCTGATCATCATCATCATCACCAATGCAACTCTCTTGCCTGCATTGCCCACAAAGAGTGACACACAAAGTTTGTACTAGGCCAAGCTGCATATATGCAATGTACTGCTTACTGGATTGATTTCTTGGGTGAGTCTAATCCAAGATGAGAATTGCGATGGCGGAAGAGTGGTACTTGATGAAGGTGTCATTAGCTAGTTTGAACCGCTAAGTCAAAGTTGATACCTTCAACGCATCCAGTGAGGCGTGTTCGCTGTCTGTTGAGGGGGAAAATATCCTCACCGAATCAAAGCAATGCGACGTCCAGTTACATGCAATCGATTTTTCATGTAGGTTGTAGTAGAGACCTAACGACGGGAAAGCGATATAGCCAGCTCGTCCTAGGTGGCGTGTCAACGAACCATAGCCAGTCTAAACTGTTATAGGGGTATATAGAGCTATTCTTATGAGGTATCTACTTGACCATATATTATTTGAGTCCACTTTAGTGGAATATACGACTTGTAATGGTCATCACCGATAAATCTTCACTAGCTCTATACTAGATGCACAATATTTCGAAATAGATTTGTACAAGTGACGCAGGTAATGATAGACTACTTCATCCTATATTCGAGCCATCAAGTATGTCACTAACTTAACTGTATAATGTGCAATGTAACCTCGATCCACATTAATAATAATATCATTTCTACTATAGAGTAGATCATGTCTTTCTATAGTCAACGTACTTTGCTTGATGTTAGACCTTCACAGCCAAATAGCCGGATTTTCGATTATTTGGGGCCAAGTGCTGCCTCATCCGACTCAATGTACGGTGGTACGTGGCTTGAAGACAAGCCACCAAGACCTTGGCCCCGCGTGTTCCTACTTCATGGGCTGATTGCATCACTATCTGTATTTCAGGCCCTTATAGCCCAGTTCACTTCAACAAAATTCTTATTACTACACCAATAAGTTCAATACTTGAATCGGAAATAAGGAATCTTGCTTCAAGTGCTGTGATTTCCCATGCTCAACTGTCGTGAAACTTCGTCGGGAAACACATAGCAGCAATAGTTGAGAGGAGGATCGTGCACTCACGATAACACTACATTCTTCCAAGCTTGTCAGTTCTGCCAGGCGATTCCCGTCACTCACACAATCTGCTGATGTCGTCGAGGGTAGTTCAACGACAAGCCAGGATTGGCTCGCTTCGAGACAAGAGCTATGACGAGCCTCGAACAACTGTATAGACGAGTAAGGCAAACCTTGTTCATCGTCGTCCATGTCGCATAACCCAATGATTAGCAGCAATGAATGCCCAGACCTTGGTGCCGACCAAAACCGTCCCGTCAGAACTCTAAACCTAGCTTTATGGCCAGGAGATCCTTACTCATCATATTGTCCTTGCGTGTGCGTGGAGACTGGCTTTACCGCAGCACGAAGTCTACTGAGTCCGTTTTTCCGGGGACCGAACCTTCATGCTTGAGCTTCCACGTGCCCGGAAAGTTTGTTTTTTTCTTTTTGCTAGATTTGTCATCATGTCGTGTGCATCAGATCTCTGCGACATTGAGAAGCAAATCTCGGGCACCCAGGTCCGTCAGCTTAAAGCATCATAGTCGCAATGGCCATGGTAAATGTCTTATCACATTCCATCTGCAGAGTCGCATCTAGTTTGACTAACAACTCGACTTACTCATTACTCCAGTAATGCTGTTCTGCATCACTGCCTTAGGGTACAATATGGAAACCGTCCGGGACCCATCCTGATGGGGCTAAGTTTCAACCACAGAACTACTGGTGGTAGATCATGACTGACTACCTGTTTGCCCGCCCCCTCCATACTGTACACACGCCTCCCCAATGTTCCTCACCCTGGGCTATATCAGATTGTCTTGCCAAGGCTGTCACTGTAATAGGATCTCCTGGCAATTTGGTCTCTGCTCAAATGGTGATGAAATGTGGAATAACGCCGTTACAAGAGCCAAGACCGAATGAGAGCAGATCTGCCCTGTGTTATCGAGTTTGCGCATTGAGGTTCAGCAATCAAGAGCTGACGGTATCGCCTCTATCATGATTACAACGCACATGAATCGGCCAGCGCAATTCCTCATCAAAGCTTCTCCACATCTTGGCCTAGTGGCCATGGCGAAGAGCTTCGGTATTGCTGGGGTACGCGTTGTTGGCGTACCTGCGTGGACGTTTACGTACCATGTAGCTGTGTGATGTACCCACATGGAATTTAAGGAGCCAGGGTGCTTTACAGGGAGTACCCCTCAAAATACCCTAGATATCATATTGTCAGGGCACAGGGAGGTAGTCGGGCTGGGAAGATGCTGCTGCAAGGAGGACTCAGCGGCTGTCAGGGATGCACTACGTCGACTCTTTCCTGGTGAAACCACTTAGTGGTGACTTGTAGTTGAGGGACATAATGCAGTATTGTATAAGCGGGCTCTTATCATACTGTTATGTGAGAGTTGATCGGGTGATTGCATGCGAGTTTCTTCAAAGAGTACTGCACGAGCTAGACTGTTGATGGTCGCCAGTGAGGCCGGAATAGAGCTGGCAGTGGAAAAGATCAGAGTTCAAGCGATAAGTTAATCTTGACATAAGTGACATCAAATTCAAATACAACAGCCTCTAGGAAATCCCCAAGCGCCGTCTTCGAGATGGTTTGGAAGGTTCGATGCGGCACGAGAGTTCTTGACGGCAAACTGAACAATGAGACGGTGGTCGTCGCCCTTGCCTGTATGTGTTGATCGTGTTCATGCAATGCTAGTAGTCTCCATGTCAAATGCAAACTTATTCCTCGAAAAGTTAACTGTTTCTCATAATGATATGACGGCAGGTGAAGGATATGGTAGTTGGTGCACTTGCAATGGAATCACCAAGTCTCGTAGTGTTTGCATTACCGGTCGATCACACCGGATTACCAGACTACCTCGTATCATCCCAATCGTGACATGCGGTTTATTGTGTCGCCCGCATGGAGGGGCTGCTCACAACCGGTCCCCATCTACTGGGATCAAGCATCGCGGGGAATTCGGAAGATGATTCCAGCCCCCTCATGGCGAGCTACTTAATGAAGTAGATATGATCTGTGATGCGGAAGAACGAGGTCAAGGCGGCAGCCGGCAAGGCAGCTAGGACATTGCCGTCACAATCAAGGTAGCTTCGCCGAGGCTCAAAGAAACAAGGTTAATATGATGTCGATAAATCCAGACTGCCGTACTGGATCACAGCAATGAAGTGATGCAGAGCCACAGAGTTTTTTCTCCAGATGTCTCTTGGGCAGGTTTATGAATATTGAGGTACCATTACGATTGTAGTTAGCCGTAGGGGGCGCCCTGGTTGCCTGGAAACCTTGATCCAGTGTCACCTGCAGGGCTCGCTATTTTTGTCACGTCAGAAGCTTCCCTGATTGATAACCACCGAGGATTGACGAATGAGGATGGCTGCCAAGGATACGGGTGTTGATGTTTCGCCGCAACTGTTCGGCCCCCTTCGTGCCTTACCACGTTTTGGATTGTTTGCTTATTCTTTCATTTCCACGAGGGCATAGCAGCTTGGTCACCTTAATATGAGACCCGGATCTCCAGTTTGCCGGCTGATCTCCAAGAGCACGAGTTGTGTGAGAGCTCGGCGCGGCGAGAGCGCGTGGGGGAACGTTGAACAGTTGAAACAGGAACGGTCTGACAACCAGTGGTGGTAGACCTTGAGCCTTGTTGAAGGATCTCTGAAATGGTGCTATGCGTAAGTAACTAGATACGTAGTGAAAAAGATTGCGGGATGACAGTCGACATCAGTGGCAATGACGACTCGAAAATCCTCGAGATAGAGTGATGATGAATGACCCTGCCGGCCCTGCCCTGTCGTAGGATAACCGGTGCTCGAGAGGCTTCTTTCTTCCTACAGAACCTCAGCCACGACCAGACTATCAGAATGCGAGACCGGTAGAGTGTTTGTTGGATCATGTTTGACGCCCATTTCTGGAAAGCTGGGCTAACTTTTGCGCCGGTGACCGATCGCCAACAGCGAATATCGTGATTGTGAAAACCACCTGCTGTTGCCCGGAACTGACACCTGCTGTTTCCTGGAACTGAAGGGTTTGGTGGGGTAATGGTACGGTCATCATTTAGCTCCGGTGCTCTGGGTGGAGAGACAAATGCCATGGTCGCCCAGAGCTGAGAGGGCTGCTGCAACTTGGAATGATGGCTTGAGCATAAAACTGAGTCGCGTGGCCACTCCACGATAGACGATCGAGATGCAATTTCGGGTCCAAGACGACGATGCAGATCCTTAATCGCAACGGCACCACGACCGAGGGCCCAAAATAACCACTTGCATGCGCTAGCTATGTGTCAAATGCGTCCCAAGGAGATGGGTCGCATGAGTTTGACGTTGAAGTATCGCATGGCGCCAGGTTGAGTTCAACAGCGCGACCGGCAGTCTTTCATACCGGCTCTGCAACTGCTCTGCAACTGCTCTGCAAATTGACGTGGCCCGTCTGTAAGTCATCATGAACCATCGTGAGGGCCCAGCGCGCGTGAATCAACGGTTTAAAAAGGGGGTCTGCCTAGACCCTGGAAATCTGCTCAGAAACGCGGTTCTGCAGCGATGCAACCACCATCCACTGCCTATATGGACGGTGCATTGCGCAATATTTTGCGGATTGTTCTAGCTATTGATGGAGTGTCTCTACTTCGCGAAGACTGCTTCACAGCGGCGGTGGATTTCGTAGGTAGCATTACCTGTAGTAGGAGTGCAGGCGGTGAAAAAGGTCTTCGCCGGCTTTGCAACATGTCAGAAGAAGCTTTCGTAAATTCTTTGCTCATCTTAGCCATCGAAGAAATGCGACCTTACGACCCAAAGTTCATCCAAATATCCGTGTGTGACTTTGAGTTAAGCAAGCAATCTTACGGCGATACGCCCCTGCAACCGATATCCGGGAGTGTCCGAAGGGAGTGTCCGAACTCAAAGAAAACCCATCCATCCACTTTTCCTAAACTTTTCCTACTTGCATAGCCAATAAGGACAGTCGGTTTGGCCCTGAACTGACCCCGTCGGCCTCGTAATGGAATTTCTCCGGACGAAGGCTCCGGCTAGGTGACATCGGCCGGGGATGGAGATCGATGGATGCCCGGCAATTGTTCCAGTTGCGGCAGGACAGCAGGTAAATTCAATTCCACGCCATTGGATCGCCAAATTAAATGAATAGACAATCTTGTTAAGAACAAGGACCACAGCAAGTAATTAACAACGCATGATCCGTTGATAGGCATAATCACAATGAGAAAGTGTTCGACGTAGTGGATGCTGGGCTGTACATAAAGCACACGGGGGACCGGAAGACTTAGATTTTTGAACGAGTGGAGGTTGCGAATTCGGTTGCGCAGTTCTTCTCCATATCGCAAGATGAAGTTCTCGATGCGAAAGTTTGCCATGATCCCCGCTGGACTGCTGGTGGGGAAGGCCTCGGCGGCGACAAGTGGAGACTTCAACGTCCTATCAATGAATGTCGCAGGATTGCCCGCCATATTGCAATCCAACGAAGTTCCAGGCGACAAGGCGACCAACGCAGGAACAATTGGGAGCAAGTTCGTCGAATATGGATATGACATTATCCACGTTCAAGAGGTGAGACGAATGTCGAATGCTGGGCCGAAAATGACGCGCCAACTGCTAACACATGCTTTGTTGCCAGGACTTCAACTACCATGCGTACATATATGCGACGGACGACCACGCATATCGCACGGCAACCTCTGGCGGAGTTCCATTCGGCTCAGGTTTGAATTCCTTGGCCAACTTTGACTGGGTCGACTTCACCCGGGTGAAGTGGGACGTCTGCAGTGATGCCTCGTCGTCCGACTGCTTGACCCCAAAGGGCTTCACGTTCATGCGCACCCGTATTGATGATGGCGTCTATGTGGATTGCTACAACCTGCACGCCGATGCCGGGACCGAAGCCGAGGACGAGACGGCTCGCAACTCCAACCTAGAGCAGGTGGCTTCGTACATAGACACTTGGAGTATCGGCAATGCTGTTCTCGTCTTCGGCGATACCAACAGCCGGTATACTCGTGTCCTTGACAACATCACCGTTTTCGCCAACCAGAACGGCTTGACAGATCCATGGGTCGAGCTCATTCGAGACGGTGTCGTCCCCACCGTCGAAACGCTATGCGATAACCCCAGCAACAACACGTACTGCGAAACTGTTGACAAGGTCTTCTACAGGGGTAGCCCTGTCGTCAACCTCGAGGCCACCTACTTCAATTACGAGAGCACCAAGTTCTTGCAAGCCGACGGGAACATCCTCTCGGATCATAACCCCATCACTGTCAACTTCACATGGTCGTCCAGCAGTTCGCTTCGTCAGTCGAACTTTTTGGGCGGTCCCCACGGCACTTGGTTCAGCGATGTGCCCGCTCTCGCCAGCATTTCCAAGCCCAAAGCCTCCGTGCTCACGTTCAGCGGCGCAAACCGTCTCGACAGTGTTGGCGTGAAGCTTACCGACGGCACCACTTTCACGCACGGCGGCACTGGTGGCAATGTAGCCACGCTCACGCTGGGTAGCAGCGAATACTGGACGAGCGCGAAGCTTTGCCAGGGTTCGTACAACGACCAGACCCGTAACTTTTACATTTTAGCCACTACCAGCAGTGGCAAGACGTTGAGCTCTGGCACGGCGACCTCCGACTGCGCTACCTTCACGGCGCCGAGCGGGTGGCAGATCGTCGGCTTTGTGGGCCAAGATGGTGACGAGATGGATCAATTGGCGTTTGTGTATGCGCCACAATGATATGGATAGTTCAATACGCAACTAAAGTACTTCAACATAATGAGAATGGGATCGTAATATCCGAGAGAGATGTGGCGTCCAGTGGGAATATTTGGCAGGTCCCAAGATAGGGACACCTCAGGGGATCACCCCGCGCTACTGCATCTTGGCGGACTGCAGGGTGCACAACACGCAGCCAATTTAGTTGCATTAGTAGCTGCGTTCGACGGTTTCGGACGACCATTGGTCAGGACGTAAGCTTTAGAGGATGTCTACACTCCTTGGGCTGGTTGTCATGTACGCTACATGCTGATGAAGATTGCATGTCTCAAATCTGTAATTGTCTTTTTGTTTCCGTTCTCAGCAGAAACCAATACAGGAGCGGCCGGCCCCTTATGCTAGTAACCTCGGGTTCACGGGAAATGTTTTTAAGGTTTTCGCAATTGAGCACTGGCCGGAAGCCTGTTGGCGGTAATCGGCGACGCATCGAGGACCCAGCAGTCTGTCACCACGGCTGTCATTAGTGCCGATGTCTACCCTAACATGTAGGTGAGTTGACAAGATGCACATAACAGATTTCCCAGCTCGTCGTGAGCCATGAGTGAGCCATGATGTCACGGTTATTTAGCGGCGCACTCCTCAACCTTATGTCCCTGGAACAGCGAACCCCGCCGTCGATCTTCAATCGCCGCATGGATTATGGGACCTTCCCCAGGATCCCGTCTCTCGAGATGCGATTAACTCAATCGCCTAAAGGCCCTTGGTCTCGGCAGTCGATTAGAGTTCAGTAGCTGAATACCAAGCATAGTGAAGGCAAGATCAAGACGGCAGCAAGAGTCGTCCAAGCGCAGTTGCTGGAGATTTTGCGTATGGGATATCGCTTTGTTGCACACTGACAGTCTGGGTGAAACATTATTGACAAGTTGACACGTCACGAACTGTTCAAAACAACGGGTCATTGCTTTCCTCCTCTGACTCAGAAGGATTCCCTAATATATACTAATGTCGGCATCAATTTTATTACCAATCACCGTCTCGCTGCACATACCTTACCTACCGCAGTTGAGCCACTCTGGTAGCAGCTATTTGCCCTCCACGATACGCCCAACCATACCGTTGCGGCGGGCCAGTGTGAATGTATTTCTTCTTCGTCAACTGGTCCGGTGGATGTTTGATTGTATAAGTTTAAGGGACCGAGGATACCTTGCTTTCAATCTTTCGGAGTAGCTAGTGTCTTTCGAGCACTAGATTCAAGACAAGCATCTGCTTTTAAGATCGCCGTTTTGTTTTCTAATACACTAAATGGCAGTGTAGCCCCTCTGTGACATAAGTAACGTACATAACCGGTGATAGTCTTTCTCAGCTAAACCATATTTAACATCGCATCGAGATAATCACAATGTCAATGTTATTTGATAGTATGTAAATTAGCCTTTCACTTTATGTATTACCGCTAGTTAATAAGAAATAAATTCTATTATCTTCTATATAAGGCTTCTATGTTAATTTCGACTACGCTGTTAGGCATTAGCAGGCCTTGCCAAGTCCACAAAGGTCACCACGTGACTTAGCCCTGCGATCAATAGCTTCAGATAGTGTGACGGGCTCACTGCGAAACTATACAGCTCAACATGGCCAAATACTGTTAATTATCTAACTGAGGAAGAAAGTAAAATATGCGAGTTGTCCCGGGAACACGGACTATGTTTTGTATGCCCTCGATGGTTCCTTTGGTGGATCCGGACGCACGGTCCTTGCAGCTCCGGATCCCATATCAGGCACAGCCTGTCACAGATAGGAATGCATGCTTTTGTCAGGGTACGGCCTGGACCGAAGGCGATAGTACAGAGTGAAGGGGAGAAATAGGCGTGTTCCCCTGGTGGTCACTTGATGATGGCAGGTAGGGGTGTCCACAGTAGTTCATTGATCTCTGCCCTCTCTATCTTCCTCCGTCTCGACTCCTTACTTATAGCCAGCCGAGGTTCTCTGTTGGATTCTGGATGTTTGCTTCCGCATGTCTGTGTTCCTCCGACTTCGGCCAATATCTTGGATAGCGGCTCCTTATCTGCAACCAAGCGATTCCCTATCCGCTGCAAACGGCTTCAACAGCTCTCATTCGCCACAAGCGGCTCTCTAACCGCCACAAACGGCCTCCCGGCTCCTCATTCGCCACAAACGACTTCCTTCCTGGTGGAAGCCGGCCCGCCTCGGATGACACTTGTGGCTCTGACAGCTTTTTACAACACAATAATCACTCGCCACAGCGTGCAACATACGCTAACTTGATCAGCTCACGAATATACGCCTCGTTAATAGTATATTTCTTCAACTTAGAGAAAGATCCTAACTTTACAGATTTTATTCTCAAGATCCTTCTCTATAATCTTCTTAAAAGATTAACTTCCAGTAAATAACTAGTCTATATAGACCGAACTATCTAGTAATTCGAGTATTTAAAGAGTAGCTACCCGTAACTAAGTATCCTGTATAGACTGAAATATCTAGTAATTGTAGTACTTTATACTCGAACCGGGGCCTATCCTGTCACGCCGTGCTAGGGGTTGCAATCCTTGCCACTACGCCACCGTACCAGATGTCTTCACCAAAAGAGACCAATACCAAAGTCCCTGACTTTGATATCTGCAACCACTTATCAATTTGTTCAGACCAGTATAGGTCAATCACGTGACTGGCTGCTGCATACACGTAGAGACCTGGCAACGGCGACGGGGAAACCAGTAGTCAGCGGGACTATCACAAGGTGGCTACTCAGGACTGGCCGGATAGCGCTTAGGCCCGGATAATATCGATCTTCTCAGGGGGACTTTGTTAGTAGGGTGAGAACTAACATAGTATTGTGGTGGACGTAACGCAGTCGCTAATAGAGCGAACCTACGTAGCAGCGTATGTATTTAGTCCAGCCATTAGGGCACGGTTTGACATACGGGAGCACTTGTAGAGGTACCGGGGGCTTCGAGCCTACGGCGTATTTAATAATAATAATAATAATAGATAGAAAGTGATATGATTCTAGCGTGTTAGGCGCTTTAATCGTAACCCGAATGAAGTATCCGACGCGCTACCTAACTCTATAATATCCCTTGTATAACTCTGGCTAACCGGAATAGTACCTCGACGCGATACTCGATAATCTAGTTATAAGCTTACAGAATTAGAAGAGTTAGCTGTCGTACGATATATATTAAACCTAGATTCGCGATTATTTCCTCCCTGGCTCCGTGGTATTGAAACTATAGCTAACTAACTACTCCGCGACTATAGCGCTAGAAAAGTCGGCGTTAACTAGGCCTCGAACTTCTTACGCCGAACCCTAGACCTTCGGACGCGTTTTAATCGAAGAATCGACTACAAGAGAGCCTACTACGAAGACCTTAACGCGTATCGCGCGTAGTTTATGCTCGTACGAAATAGAATTACGAAGTATAGAGATAAAGACCCTAAATAACCTAACCGAGGCGTAATCCTTGTCTATATACGTTGAAACAAGAATCTATAGTATTATAATAGCTCCCTAACGATACTTTTTACGGCTGTTATGTACCGATTAGTTTATTTAAGGGTGTTTGAAAGGCTAATTAAGAGCTAAACCGTCGTCAAGGACCACAAACGATAGCTATAAGATAGAGGATCTCTTAGTTTATAAGAGGCTTAGGATCTTTAGTCTTAATAGAATATCTTTAATACGCCGGATATACCATTCTTAACTAGATTGATTCCCAACTATAACAGAGATTCCGGCCTTTATATAAGTACGGTAATCGGTAAACTTTTTTTTTAAAAGCGTTTAGTAGCCCTCCTAATAATGTACTAGCCTGGATTTGAGGGATAATTTTAGCATTGATAAGGGTGGGACGCTGGTGCAATGTGAAAGAAAGCTGCCTGCGTGCAAAGCAGCGAAAGCTTAAGAAACAACAAGCCAACAGACTGGATCCAAGCGCGTGCCTTACCTACGGCCAACTATCGGGCCAACGCCCAGGAGATTGGCGGCGGCTGCTAGTCGTCGCTAGACAAGCTTTGGCTCCCGCTGGCGACTGCGGCAGGCCAAGCGCTCGCATTCCCGAGCGTAGATATTTTTGAGTTGGTGGGCTGGGTCCTCCAAGTTAGGCTAGCCACTCTGAGATGAGGAAACGTGCACCGTAGGAAAATAGGGAGACGCCGAAATTGAAATCTTAGCTGGAGACAGTCCAAGCAGTCGTATACCGTGCATTACTTCCCCCAGGTTGCTTCCTGTGAGATGTGAACTATTTCAAAGACTACCGCCTGTGCCGGATATCTAGGCACGTCTCAAGCAAGCAAATATCACGAAAACCGGAAGTCGGAAAGATTTGGAGAGACAGGAATTTGTGCCGTGGCTTACTCGCATGCACGATTCGGAGTAAAATGCAGCCCCCTTCATGCGTGTTGAAGTCAGAAAGTCGGGTGGCACAGCTGTGTAACACCTCCGATTTCTGCCAGATATGAAGTGTTGCTAGAATAATTGAATATTCCTCACATACTTCGCGATGTAATTGCGTTTTTGGAATTCGCTAGGGGTTTTCAAGGATGTAATTTGTCGTTGCTCCTACTACCTTTGAACGTCCAGAATACTCAGATTGTGTACACAACTCCTAGCTTCAAGTTGAGAAACTGATGAAACTTGAATACAGGCATCAACAGGATTCACATCGATGAACCTTGCCAAACCCCGGAGAGTCTGGAACTATCGACTTGGAAATGCAAGACGAAAATAGAGCAGAGCACCAAGGCCGAGTTACAAAGTACTGCCTGTAACTCGGGGTAATGACGTCGAGTTGACCCTCTGGGTGGCAGATATTTGTTGCACAGATGTTTGCACCCGGAAATTCGTCTGATATCATGGTCTCTCTCACAAGTCCGCCCCTCAATTGCAGCCCTGTGATACGGTTGGTGTTTGTCAATCGGGGGCCTCATCGGCCCTACCTCCGCATCCCGTCCCGATACGGTGCCCTTCTAGCGCGGCGATGATGCCCAATTCGAATGGCCGCTCTGATGTTTATGCATCGTAACCTCAGCTCCATCGCGGGGCAAAGAGTCCGTGCAGTGTGATAGTGACAGGCTGTTATTTTCGTCTTCAAAGTCGGCATTGCAGCTCTCAATTGCATCTGTCTGTCGTGTTGTACGCGTCTAATGTGTGGGCTGCGTGGGGGTGAACAGTCCAGGGTTCAAGCATATCTTTTTGCATCACCGTAACATTGGATTACTCGGTTATCGCGCATGTTCTTCGGCTCCATTATTCAAGATTGCATGCCTGATCAGGCAATCCAGCAGCTACTCTCAATTACAGCTCTACCTGGGACACAGTAGCAACAAGTATTAACGTCATTGATCTGGGCGATTATAAAAGACGCGTTAAGCGGGGTAACACTGACAGGTGATGGATTTCATTATACCCAATGAAAAGCCCCTGTACGAAAATAGGCTCCATGATATTGATAATAGTGAGATGCAGGCTTCTCCACAACCTGAGGGCCACTTACCTACACGAGCACAAGCGCATCAACTACGACCTGTAGCGGTATGTTGCCAGCCACCGGGGTGTTTCTTTTCAACAGTATGGTGGAATAGGTGAACTTCGTCTCAGCGATATGCCTGTTTCGGTTGAGATTCGCCACTGCAATGCCACTCAAGGCAAAATTCAGCTGGAACCAGCCAGCCAGCAACATGCAATCCGTATCTATTTCAAGTTCCAGGACAAGGACATTCTTCAGCATGATCTGTGATAATATGCGCCTGTCCTTGAACACCACTCCAGCCAGTCGCTATCTGCATGTGAAGCCGACACTTTGCGCTGTGCGCAACACCTTTCGTAGGGCCTTACTGGCATGCGGAAGTCTCGCCAAGGAGCCCTGTCAGCTCAAGGGCGGCCTAACGTAGGGTAAACCCTGCAGCCTGTTAACCTGTCATGGTCCATCCTGCCCACTTGAGCTTTGCCAACCAGTGGAAAGAATCGTCCCACGTGAGCAAAACCCAATAAGAACAGTGATCGACGAGAGATCTGGAAAGAGAAATTGATCATAGATACATGGGTACGACGAGACTCAGATCGTGCGGCGATGCGAGTCTTCTCGCGCTCGACCAAAATGAGTTGATGTCGGTGGAGGATCGTGATGAGATGGATGCGATCGTGCAAGCTAACAGACGGCACGACTGCAACGTCCTGCACGGAGAAAATGGGGTGGTGTTGATAAGTGTGTTGGTGTTGTGCGACCAAAAATTTCCGCAACCACATCCCGAAATCGCTTGGAGCTTGCAGATGCTGAAAAAAGCCTTGTACGCAGAATGATTTGGTGTCAAAATGGGACCGAAGGAGGCTTGCCACCCTACTTGACGATGTCTGAATGCAAAGCGGTAAACGTAATCCTCAGTGAGTGGTTCGCTAACCTGGGTTTTAGGGTGGGATTCAGAGCAACGCGATGTCGTTCCTCACTGGTTGGTCATCAAATGTGGTCGTATTTAGCTCGGAAGAGGACGAAGACCTGCCACTTAAGGAGACCATTGAGAAATTCCAATGACGTGACATCGCGGATACGACGTACCACGGTAGCAATCAATGAATCCCCACCACACAACTGAAAACCCTCTGCCATCAAGTACGAAGAAAAGAGGAAAAGGAGTGTCGGCAAGTGGAAGCGTCTCCTAAGAATTGAACCTAAATAAACTTGAAAATGGCCAAATAAAGCTCAAGTGCAAAGAGCCTGGGTGACACCAGTTGGGCGGGGCGCATGGCGAGATATCGTTACCCGTATGATTTGACAATTCATTGGAGCAAATGGCCGACGATCCGCCGCCTGCGAGATTGATGACTGCTCCGAAGATCAGGAACTGAAAGGCAAGTCGTTATTGAAAATAATGCTGCAACGACCCGTGACGAGCAATTGTCCAATTGGCCGGCAGTGTGATAAGCGTTCAAAATTTAGCCTTCTCAGCCTCATGAATTCGACGATGTTGTACATCGAATGGCCGTTGCTCGTATTTGGTTCCCTGGTTTGCGTTATTCGGCCTCAAACCTCTGATCAACTATGTAACTAAGTATTGACCGTTCAAGTGCGGGGGAAGTCGAGTAGACGGAACTCAAGCTTTAGCTCCCTCGCTGCGATTCATGGTGAGCGATCCGGATTCCCCTGCGTCTAACGTCGTGTAAAAGCCTCGAAAGTTGTGTGATCAACGAACTTCCAATCAAACGCTCGAGAGTCAAGTTCGCGGCGTGTTGATGATCATTGAACGACGAACGGCAGAACTCCTGCAATTACCCTTCGATCGGAACACAGACCAGGGCGTTACTCGTGCTCAACAACCGAAATTCCGTCGAGCAGCCTAAGAGAACGTCACTTCGTCTGGTGCTATTGATGGTCGAGACAAAAGATGTCATCCATCCTATCTTCTACCGTGCACAGCACTCGAGCACGCGAGAGACAGGAGCCTCAATCGCTAGGTCCAGTCTGCCATTTGGATTTGCATAGGGCATATCATCGCAATGATGGGAGTCGATTGTTACACCTCTGTCCCGACTTGAACTCCAAGCTTTCGGTCGTGACCAAGCACATGCAGCACCTTGTTTGTTGCTTGGTTGCCCTGTGGCTTGTCTACGATCAGTTGAAATCATTGATTGATGAAAAGCCTGCCGGATCAACAAGATCATGCTCCGTACGTCTTCCCAGAATCGGCGAACTGCTCCACGCCTTGCACGCTAGGCGGGTACCCAAGAGGAAGATCACAAAGAAGCTCAATTCAAGCGGCAAAAAGCAATCCGAGTAGATTGGGTTTCCTGGACCAAATCAACAGGAACACCCCTCCCCCCATGTCCAAGTCGGGTCGCGCTTTCCCCTGCCGCAAACCCCTGCAGTTATTGACTGGGGATAGCCCCTGTCAGATGTGGGGCGTGTAGGTTGCCCCTGCTTTATTTTCTGCACCCTGCGCGAACGGTCAGGGTCAGCCAGGTTTGTCAGTGACATTGTCGAGGCGGCGTGCATCAACCCCCGTGCCCCTCGAGGGCGTCGCAGCAGTAGGGAAGCGAGCCGAAACCCCCCTTGCAACTGTGCTAATGGCGAGCAGTGGCGGCCCTCATTGTAGCCACGGTGTGATGCTAGTGCGCTAGTGCAGCGTGGCACCGTCCCCAAACTCCACCACACCACAGTGCTGGGTATTGGCAAGTGCTGCCCCCGGCACCACCTGAGCAGATTCATCAACCACCCAGCATCATCGGCTGTGGAAGGCTATCCGGGACATGGGGTAGCAATACAGGCGATAGTGGTAGTAATAAGAATTGATTACAGGTGGGAAGTACTTCGTGTCTTCGTCGAGCCCTGGCCCTTTATTTTTTTATGTTTTCCTTTTGGTCCCTCTCCATGTCAGCGCTGTCCTCCTCTACAATACATTTTGTGGTCACAGCACAGTCCAGCATCCAGCACAGAGCAGGTCCGAGAGTCGAGCAAAAGTGTCTGAGTGTTACTCCATCTGAGGGGACTACTGTATCGTTTCTCACTTCACTTGAACCGACTCTCCTTTTGCTCCCCCACTGCCATTGCTTTTGCGTATCAATGCGTTGTCGTTGACGACGAAACACTCAACAGCAGCGACCTGTATCACACCGACTGCGATTTCACCTTGAGGGTCGACTTCTTCTACTTCAAAACCTCGACGAGCGGCGTGCGAGACTGCGTCTCGACTAGACTGGCTGGCTTCTTTTCCTGGCGTTACCTCTGGCGTCCTTCATTGAACTATTGTGCGAGTGCTGCCGATTTGGATCTCCAGTATCCCAAATCCCCGTCCATCCCATTCCATTTCGCGGTCCTCTCGAAAATCTGGAAGACAGCAGCGTTTGATCTGGATTTGACCGGGTGGATCGCTGTAGAAAGGCACGAGGTACGCACAACTTCCGATTTCCTTCTCGCGCATCGTGGTGGTACAAGATCAGAATCATCCCTCTTTTGGTATCTGGCGGGTTTGGGGTCTTGTCATAAGACTCGAGCCCGAAACTCTGCGTCAAGGACATACCCTGACACCCGCCAAGCACACCAAACCTAGAGAACCATGACATTTCTAATTTAGCCCTTCGCTCTTCACCTTGTCAACATTTACCTGCTTGCTCATTCCCTTGATTCCATGATCCCTTCGTCCTATCCACCGTTGACTGACACATCAACAGACCACCGCCTTGAATCAGTTTCACTCTGCGCTTCAGTCTAGCCATTCACCTGCGACCACTTACTTGCCCACCTAACCTCAGAGCCCACTTCAGTTTCCGCACGGCGAAACCGATTCAGACTTGGTTGCAGAATAGGTTGCTAGTTAGCTCGGAGCGACCTGGATCAGGCACGGGAATTATCTAGGACTTGACGTGACTGCATCATTACCCATGGTTCGCAACGCTCGAGCTCCGTCGCATTCATAATGCTCGAAAGTCAATCGATGAGGTCGAGTTTGCAGGTGGCCCCCCTCACAATCCAGAAAGGGCGGCCTAGCTCTCCCTCCAACGGCTCCGAAGCCCACGATGATAGTTGGCAAAACGGGAGCATATCGACGAATCCATACTCAATCTCACATATGACGCCTCCAACGACCCCAAATGGGTCACAAGAAGACCTCATTGCTCTCTCGAATGTGCAACGTCCCGTCTTCCACAACTTCCTGCGAGCCTTCTATCCCTTTCATCCCAATTATGCCATGGGTGATTCGACTGTCACTCTACCACTCAGCGAAGGTGACGTCGTCTTAGTGCATTCAATACACACCAATGGGTGGGCAGATGGCACTCTGCTGGTCTCCGGGGCCCGAGGATGGCTGCCGACAAACTATTGCGAGGCCTACGACCCGGACGAGATGAGGAATTTACTCAAGGCACTTCTGAACTTTTGGGACTTATTGAGAAGTACTTCCACGAACGATCGAGATATCTTTGGTAACCAGGAGTTCATGAAGGGTATCATTGCTGGCGTTCGCTTTCTCTTGGTGGGTCCAAGACTTGAGCACTCGATCATACAGAACAGAATGGACTGACTTTCACTCAGGAACGCACACATTGCTTGACCAGGGAATCCCCTACGATTCAGCGCAATGAAAGTCTTAGGCGTGGCCGTAAATCCCTACTCTCTGAACTATCGGCGCTTGTCAAGACGGCCAAGCGATTACAGGAGACTCTGAGGGGCTTTCCTCGACGTGAAGAAGATGTCAACGATACAATCGACGAGATGATACTGAAGGCCTTCAAGATCATTGTCAAGGGGGTGCGATTTTTGGATCTGTTGGAGGAGGATAGACGACAAAGAGCACCGCCAGCCGTGACGGTCATGGCAACGGTCGTGGAAGAGTCGTACATCCCGCCAACGCCGCCAGCCGAGTCAAATGGCGTTGAGCAGGGCCAGGGTGATCGCGAAGATGCAGGCATCCGAGGCGCGGAAGAAGTGAGGCGTGCCGAATCCGTCGCATCTCACCATATATCAGCCGACGGAGTACAAACGAGCACGGCAGCCAACAAGCGTTTGTCATCCATTTACTCGCGTACGAACACGACCGGTCACCCCACATCTCAGCTCAGCCCCTCGCACGGCAATCGACTATCGGCCAGTATATCACACAGAGTGTCTCTCGCCGGCCCGTCGCCACTATCCCACCCCCAAAACCTTGTTTCAGAGCGTCTCAACTCTAGTCATGATACCTTTTTGTCGTACCTGGGATCATTCATCGGGCGGCTACACCTCCAGTCTCAATCGCGCGCCGACTTGGCTTTGGCAATCAAACAGTCGGCCACCTCAGGCGGAGAACTTTTTGCCGTGGTTGACACGGTTTGCAGGCATAACTCATTGGGCTCGGAATCCTTGGATCAGGCACGTGCTGCCATGTACGACCGCATTCGAGACCTGGTTTACTCGGCACGCGATATCTTGAGCAATGTAGGACCTGACGCGGATGATGTCATCATGCCACAGGACAACAGCTGTCTCCTCATGGCTGCAACTGGGTGTGTGAAGGCTGCTGGTGAATGCGTCGCGAAAACGAAGTGGGTCATCGAGCGGATTGGTGATTTCGAATTTGAGAGCGAGAATGGAAATCTTGGCATTGACCTGGCCCTCTTCGAGAAGGTGTCAGAAAGTCGACCGACAACCCCTGAACAGAAGATCGTGACAGATCCCAAACCTGCGGGACCAAGCCCAACACCGGTCAGCAAATCAATGCACCTCTCCATGGACAAGCCTCTACCTGAAGTCCCTGGGGACGACGAATTCCCAGAGCAACAGGACTCGGAACAACACTCACCACCCGCGTCACGACCTCAATCACTTGTCATTGATGATGCTACCTCCAGCATGGCATCCTCCGTATCATCCATTCGACCAATACTACCCCCGCTCCCCAAACTCACAACATCTCTACTTCTGGACGACTCTTATAGCCCTACTACGGAGGATTCCCACGACAGCGAGTACCAGAACTCGTACCGTGCAGATACGATGACGGCATCTAGTACCGGAACTAACAGCACATACCTCAGCAGAGACTCGGAATCGAGTCTCGTGTCTCAAACTTCCACTCGAGCCACTACACCAGACCATGCATTGGGACCCAAATACCAGCCATCTTTGTCGGAGCTTAGTGCGACGGGGAGCTCTGCTGGAACTGAGGAGGTGGATGATGTCGAGTCAAAGCTGCTTGAAAAGACTTTCGCGCACGAGTTGATGTTCAACAAGGAAGGCCAGGTTACTGGAGGATCGTTGCCGGCATTGGTTGAACGCCTGACCACGCACGAATCTACCCCTGACGCCGTGTTTGTGTCTGCTTTCTACCTCACGTTCAGATTGTTCTGCACGCCAACCAAATTGGCCGAGACACTCATCGATCGCTTCGATTACGTTGGTGAAGCGCCTCACGTGGCCAATCCCGTACGGTTGCGTGTATACAACGTCATGAAAGGGTGGCTAGAGTCCCACTGGCGCGAGTCTACTGACCATGAGGCCATTCCCATCATCCAGCATTTTGCCGAAGTTAAACTGAGCTCGCTACTTCCCTCTGCAGGTAAAAGGCTATTGGAGCTCGCGCATCGAGTCTCGTCGTCAGATGGGTCTCTGGTACCTCGGCTCGTCTCGTCCATGGGCAAGACGAACACTTCTATTTCTCAATACGTCCCTGCTGACACTCCGCTCCCAAATCCGATTATGTCCAAGAGCCAGCACCATTTGCTTAGCAATTGGAAAGCCGGAGGCAGCATGCCTTCTGTCCTCGACTTTGAGCCCCTCGAGGTTGCGCGGCAATTGACACTGAAGCAAATGATCATATTCTGCTCCATTCTCCCTGAGGAGTTGCTCGGATCTCAGTGGATGAAGAAGGGAGGGGCGGACTCACCTAACGTGAAGGCCATGTCTGGACTATCGACTGATTTGTCGAATCTCGTTGCCGACACGATTCTACAGTACCCCGAGGTTAAGAAGCGTGCCGCCGTGATCAAGCAGTGGATCAAGGTTGCATACCAATGCTTGGAACTGAACAACTACGACGGTCTCATGGCCATCATCTGTAGCCTGAACAGCTCCATCATCAGCCGCCTCAGGAAGACATGGGACATCGTTAGCCCGAGGCGGAAGGAGATGCTGAAGTCACTACAAGCCATTGTCGAACCGTCCCAGAACAACAAGGTGCTCCGTGCGCGTCTGCAAGGCCACGTGCCACCATGTCTGCCTTTCTTGGGCATGTTCTTGACGGATCTGACTTTCGTCGACATTGGAAACCCCGCAACAAAACAGCTACCGGGGGCTAGCTCCGAGGATCACGGCTTGACGGTGGTCAACTTTGATAAGCACAGTCGTACAGCCAAAATCATTGGGGAGCTTCAGCGGTTCCAGATTCGATATCGGCTTACCGAGGTTCCGGAACTTCAGGAGTGGATGCAGGCTCAGATAGTACGCCTCAAGGAGTCGGACCAAGGAAACGTACAAGTCAGCTACTACCGCAAGAGCTTGCTTCTCGAGCCTCGGGAACAAGCCCTGCGTACTGCGGTCGAACCTACCACGGTAAATAACCACAACAACCAGAAGGCGGACTTGTTTGGTTGGATGTCAAGGGATCGAGGCCACGGCAATACCGTCGTGCCCTTATAGAACCCCACAGATACCGTCGTCACACACGCAAACCCTCAACACCCGAAATGAAGACACCACGGCAATAATTCTACATTCGAACCTACCATTTTTTTTATTCTTTCTTCACGATTAGTGCATACCGCGTCATTTACCACCATCTATTGATACCCCATCGTTTTTGCTTTAGTTATGTTAGTAATGAGCATCGTGGAACAAGGACCTACGGCCGGACAACTGTCACCACGTTTTAAAATTACCCTTGATATCCTGGATGACCGGCGTTTACTGGGAGGAAAGGGTTACTCTACTGTATCATGGCATACTTTGCTTCGATATGGATTCATCACAACTCGGGACCAAGCGTCGATGAGAGGCACGCGTGTTTTTGGTTTTCACGATAACGTTTATTTGGCTTTCGAGAAATTGCAGCGGAGCCTTTTATGATGTTCGCGTCAGGGGTGATCTGATGTGGTGTACATGGGAAGCGCCGGGGCCTACTGGTCCTTCTGGGTACATGTTCGATCCTCGAGCAGACATTGGGTCTGCTCTATTGTATATTTGGTGCTTTTGGTGGGCCGCCAACTGGATGATGAGGCGAGTCCTGGGGGCTGGAATAGGATCAAGAGGAGAATAGTCGAGTGAAATAAATTCCCAAGAAGCCAAGAGGATCCAGCAGATTCGCTGTCGGGCTCAAGCCAGATCCAGGGACGGCACTGGATTGGGATATTCATATACAAGCTTAGACAATCACATTGACCCTTGCTTAACGTTCATGTTCTCTCCTTTGGCCAATTGGCCTTGGCCGTTGTGTATATGTGATGCATTTAGCGCGTCAGATTGCTGCGCGGCTGGACTTGAAAGTCGATACACAGCATCCTGCCATGTAATCTTCACTACCACGATTCTGAGCTGATGGCCACGACGGCATCCGCTTGGCTACCCAGTGTGACGTTAACAGCCCGCAGAGCGAATCCGCCGACTGATGACTGCACGTTAATTTACCAATTAGGCTGCTTCGCTTCTATTGGGAGCCGTATGATCGGGACCTGAGCCCAGGACGCAGCTGGACGGCGCAGCATGCTGTACGACTTTGTGCAGTTGATCCTATCTATATTCGATTTACAGTACACCATAAGCCAGATGAGTGCGACACCATTAATATGAGGCTATAATGGGCTGTGAAGGAAGTCGGGCATGGGAGAAGTCTGGCTCTCATCCACCCAAGATGAAGATGGCAATCCATCGGTCAGACAAAGAAGAAAGGCGGGTTCGATCTGACACACGGCGACACGAATGTTACTGAATTCGAGCGTCTTCGTATTGCATCGATAGGGCTGTATTTGGCGGCCGGTGTGGTTCATGCATTCGATGTTCAATGGCTTGTTTCTTTCCGTCCTATCATATCATGGATGTAACCTCACCACAATGCAATGGTTTTCTACATGCCTCATATGGAATCGTTACAAAAGGATAGGCGGCGGTTGTGGTGCGGTGGTGCGGGGAAGCTACTGAAGTACTTTTACAGTGCAATCAACTAGCTTCAGGGTTCACAGCCCAAAGAACACTTGCAGACAACGCTGGTCTTTTTGTGAAGCATATCAAACAACCCACAGGACGGGAACATAGACAGTCAAACTCGTGATATATTTCCTATTCTGTGTAGCACGACATGATCCCTGCGTCGCTTATCAGGGTGCCACCGTGTAAACGTTAAAGCAACTTCGCGGCTCTACTAGCCGAAGCAGCAAGATCTTTGATGACCCATCTTACCCCTATCTGCCTATCTTTTCAACATTCCAATTCGAAGTTTGGACTCTGGAAATTTGTGGTTTATCCAACACCTTTACGTCTTGTGTCCACGGTAGTCCTTCTATACTCCAGGTTGTCGCCTCTTCTGACAAATTCCTCGAAGCGGGGTGCAAACAAACGGCTTGCAGTCAGTAACTGTGAACTTCGTATTCCTGTCCAAGCAGTAGGCGTAACCACTCAGTCTCAATTGCGTACAATAATTTTACGCAGCATCGACTGCGACAAAACCGTGGGAACCAGTCCATTCACCACGCTACGTTACATACTACAAAGTAGACTAAAAGGCTTGGAGTCTGGTCCTTCGCGTCCCACCTTCCTCCAACCGTTCAACGCCATTTTTATCTCGTCTAGATGTCAGCCCTTACAACGCCGGCCGCCGTGCCAAACGGACGTTCCAGCTCCTTTCAGCCAATGATATGCCACGATCACGATCAAACGGGCGACGGAACCAACCTAAAACCCAATTAGAAGCCTTCCATGGTCGCAATTCGGCCGCGGCAGAATACACCTCGTTTCTTATCGGCATTCAGCCGGATCCCTGTCTGCCCAGACGAATCGGGCTGCAGCTAAGAATCAAGACGGAGGCCCTGATTGAACGAAGTAATCAGACATCAGTTAGTAGAGCGTTGTCTCTCGGTGCCCTCCTCTCCAGGCCAGCCAGTCTGGAGCCGTCGCGGGGCTAGTGTGGGATGAACTGAGGTGTTACGTAGCCATCGAGTCTAGCTCCATGCGAGGGTCCCGAGCCAGTCTTGGTTTGATAAAGGGTCATCCTCCCTCACGTTCGCCTTGTATTCTCCAGTCGTTCGGCGCAGTTAAGAGTTAACGACGCTGATAAGGTCCGTCGCTCGACACTCGGAGCTCATATTACTCGCGTTTGTCCAACTCAAGCCTGTTTCTGCCGCGTTTCACTGGACACTCGATTCCATTCCCCAATTGTACTCGGCGACGGTCTCAGCTTCGCAAGTGTCAGTGACTGCTTACTGATACTGTCGAGGTCAAAGACACCATTTGCTTCGCTCAACATGGCCGACGAGAACAAGACCGACCCTATCGAGACAGCGGCTCCGGCGTCGGCTCCGGCTTCGGCTCCTGCTCCGCCCTACACGGCCCGCCACGCTGACGGTGCCATCGCTCGCCCGGCCGGATGGATGCACAAGGGCATCAAAGTTGGAAAGAAGGAGTTCTGGTATGCGTCGCCTAAAGTGCAGCTCTTTTTGGTCTCCATCGTGTGCTTTCTATGTCCGGGCATGTTCAACGCCCTCGGTGGCCTCGGCGGTGCTGGACAATTAGATCATACCGCAGCTGACCACGCTAACACGGCGCTCGTAAGTAACTCTCGAAGACCTTATTTACCTTCTATATTGTGTCTCGGGAGTGAATTAATCTGTAAAAAGGAGTCTTACCCCCTAAGATACCTCTTCGCTCTCCTGAGATAAGGTACAAGTACCAATTACTAACGCCGAGAGTTGAGCAGTATTCGACATTTGCCGTTGTGGGCTTCTTTTCGGGTACTTTCGCCAATCGACTCGGTGTTCGCGCCACGCTGTCCCTCGGCGGTCTAGGATATTGCATCTACGCTGCCAGCTTCCTGAGCTTCAACCACACCAAAAATTATGGCTTCACAATCTTCGCCGGGGCCTTTCTTGGTGTTTGCGCTGGTCTTTTGGTCCGTACTTGACTTCAATACAGTTTCAACTCGGTTCTGGTCTGTCTTGGGAGCAACAACGGCCCATCCGAACTGCGTGAGGAGTTGTTGCCCCTGAGATGTAACTTCATATCCCCGAGCCAATGCTTCGTTCTGGAGGTAGTAAATACTGACTCCAGTCTTTTACAGTGGACAGGTCAAGGCGCCATCATGATGTCATATCCTCCTGAGCAGAGTAAGGGGCGCTACATTAGTTGGTTCTGGCTGATATTCAACTTGGGGGCAGTTATTGGCAGTTTGATTCCTCTGGCCCAGAACATCAACACCACCAGCGCCGCTACCGTGACGGATGGCACCTATGTCGGATTCATCGTGCTAATGTTACTTGGCGCCATCTTGGCCCTGTTTCTCTGCAACGCGGACAAGGTCCAGCGTGAAGACGGGTCCCGCGTCATCCTGATGAAGAGCCCGACCTGGCAGTCCGAGCTTCGGGGTCTCTACGAAACGCTCATCCTCGAACCGTGGATTGTGCTCCTTTTCCCCATGTTCTTCGCCTCGAACATCTTCTACACGTACCAACAGAACGTCGTCAACGGCAGCCTGTTCAACACGCGGACCAAGGCGCTCAACAACCTGCTCTACTGGCTCGCCCAGATTTTCGGCGCCCTTATTTTTGGGTACGCTCTGGATTTCCATAATGCACGCCGGACAATTCGAGCCAGAGGTGCCCTTGTCGTGCTCTTCGTACTCACCATGGTCATCTGGGGAGGTGGATATGCGTTCCAGAAGAAGCAGCCCTCGCGAAATGCGGAAAATGTACAAGTGTACGACTGGACAGACGGCGGGGAGCTGTTCATTGGGCCCATGTTCCTTTACATATTTTACGGATTTTATGATGCCGCGTGGCAGACAACCATCTATTGGTACGTTTAATTCTCCTCTGCGACTTTCAGGCGCGACAAAATTGTTAACTACTGATAGGTTCATGGGGGCTCTCTCCAATTCGGGCCGCAAGACCGCCAACATGGCCGGCTTTTACAAGGGCATCCAATCCGCTGGTGCTGCCATTTTCTGGCGCCTCGACGGGCTGAAGGTCGAATATAATGCTATATTTGGCGCAACTGTAAGTCTTGCCTCTCTGATTCTCCTCTATATGGTTCTAGCTCGAGTCTCTAAAGCATGACTCCAGTGGGGAATCCTGGCCGGCTCCCTCGTTATTGCTGCCCCTGTCATCTTCATACGGATCAAGGACACCGTCCCGCTCGAGGAGGATCTCAAGTTCAGTGACGAGACCGTCGAGGATGTTGCGCCGGTAGGTGTGCTGGACGAGAAGCATGGTGATGTCTGAGGGATTCCACTCTCTTTGGGAATCATGGATGGAATGTTGTGTGGAATCGAATGGGGAGGTGCTTTATGACTCTTGTGTTGAGCTCATCACAAGAGGTGCGAGGCGTGGGTTTGATAAGACGGACGATTATTCGCCATGGTAATGTTTTATGTAATGGGATATGCACTTGATACCTGATTGATTTCGAAGAATTCAAGAGATATATTACTCGTATATTTCGACGCGGTGCCCGGGCCTCCTCACTTGACCCATCTCCAGGGGATCGTCAATTTATTCGGCTTTCTTATGAGGCATGCAAAATAATTTGATGTGGCCTTCATTGTCACCGCCGTGCCGCATTGGATTTCCATCCACCCGAGCTCATTCAAGGCCAGAGACCATCAGCTACCTACATACACACGGAAATCGTGACATCGATGGCGTCCATAGCAAGTTGCAGTGCTTCCTATTGACGACGGGCAGTGTATGCCCGTAGGTCTAAGGTGAAAATGATGGAGAAGCACAACAATATCCCTAACAAGATCAGCTGTCCGGGAGTGTAACAAAAAGATAAATTAAGAGCCCTGTCGCCCTGATCAGTAACAAAAGTACCTCAGTAGGTACGAACAATCGACTGAGACTTAACAGGCTTGAACAGAATAGGGCCTCAACAGATCTTAGAACAGGATCACCTCAGCAGGTGGATAACTCAATGAAACCTCAACAGGCTGGGATCGATCGACTCTACCACTATAATACGAAGAAGCTTAATAAAAATAAGAGGCTTTTCTAAAAGTACGCTTACTGTCGAAGTTATTATATTTTCAAATACCTCCGCGAGCGAAGGCTTTCCTAATATCATGGTAGTAAAAGTATAACATATAAAACTGTAATATAACTCATATATCGGTTAGTCTTAGTTTATAATAGACTTTCCTTTAGCATATATTTCCCCTGTACTGTAGCTTAAGGTGTCACGACCTGGGTTGCATCGCATTGGTAGAGACCTCGATTAGGTGCTATCGACGAAGATTCTACTCTAAGGAGCGAAGGAAAGAAGATCACAAACTTAGGTTTGAGGGAGCGCGACTAAGTCGTCCACGCTTGGCGGGGCTCCTGTAGGGGTTATGATTGGCTTCCCATCTGGCACTGCCATGGCAGGTGTTCCAGCTGTACGTCACCTGGTTGTAGTGAGTCTGCGATGGTTGACCTTCACAATTAGATACAAAAGAAACTTGCCCCTCCAAGTTTCCATAGTGCCTCGAGCACTATTTGAGGGGCCCAGAAGGTTTTCTTGAAACGCCATTGGATCGCCATGATTTCGCCCACCTATCCAGGGTGGCTCGATCTCAACCTTCTAGCCCATCCTACTTATAATTTGTGACAATATCATAGCTATAAGTCTACGCCTACGATAAGACGGCCTTACCGCGTTCGGAGAGAGTGCTACGGGAAAAGGTACTCTTAAGCCTCCGGGGGTACTGGAATAGCCTTAGCCGAGGCCTAGCGAGATAGCGACGCCACCAGAGTCGGCGTTATAGGGGTAATTAGACTCTCTATAGCGTGAGGTTAGCGGCTGAAGCGTTGAATGAATACTAAGATAACAGCTAAGTTTTAAAGCACCAGACATTTTACCGCGATTTGCATGCTAATAAGTCTTACAGGGGGTACAGACTAGCAGGGGCCCTCAACACCTTCAAACCACATAGAAATATGGCTGTCAGGGGCCCCTAGCACGGTTAGAATAGCTATTTGAGGCTTAGTAACTATAAGCCAACCAGGTTACCTAATCAGGGCCTCCGGTAAGGGTATTGGTGATAATCCACGCTGACCCTAGCTCACCAGGTTGCCATGGTGAGATTGTTCCGACCCTTGTACATAATCTTGTATGTAAAAATGATGATACTGTAATGCAGAATCAACTCTGTTTGAAGTTTCGAAGCTAGTCGTCACAATCCTCCGAAAGTTCCTTTGTAATGGCTAACCGTTGCCCGATAAGTCTTGCGCTCCTTATCCTAAATTCCTTCTTTGAAAGATTGTCTGCTCTCTCAAACTGCTCAGACACACAGGTCCATATCCAAACAACTTTGGATGCTGTTCATCGGAGCATTGCTCCCACGAAACGTATTTCACAGCGCCTGTGTGCGGTACTTTCCAACCCACACTACATAATAGATTTCGTGCATCATTATGCAGCAAAGTAACCATATTCGTGTTATAGTGTATTTCATATACGAAGTTACGCGCGAAGTATAATGATTGACAAAAATGTATGATGTTACGATCAGAATGTACTAGGATTGCTGCGGGCTTCCTTTGAGTAACTTCAAACTAGTCACATAACAGCAGTTACAAGGAGCCAAGTTCTAAGAATATGCTGTCCTCCATGACGGCTGTGGGACGGCTCTGGCTTCTACTTGTTAAGCAGAGGTATAACGAGTGTATACCGAGGCGATTATGACCAAGGTATAAACATAGTCGAACAGCAAGTAATATGGATTGCAGACCGGTGCAATCCATAACACGAAAGATAACCCTCGACTCTACCAAAAATAGAATATAACCGTGAAAGTAACCGTAGTTTATTAGACAAGGATACACACCGGTCACCTGGGTATCTCCTTGGGAAAAGGTCGGTTTGATTACGGACTTACAACCAACCTCAAGAGTTCACACTGCATTCATATTGCTGCTCATATCACGCTCTATAACCACCGTATACCTTGCCATATCCGGTTCATATTATTGGATAATTTTAACGGAACTAAAATCACCCCTGAGGATTAAGTGACAGGTTTCTAGAATTGCTCAACTGACATCGGGTTTTACGATGGCGGCCAGGGGTATTTTCCGGCCTAACGCTAGCATACTTTATTGGTTGAACCCGAATAGTAAGCACTGAACATTGCTACAATACTGCGGCAGATATCTTATATCCGTAGCTACTAGAGTTGTACAGATTGTTGTGCCTTACGTTCTCTAAGTGCTACAAACTGTCCAACAATGGGCAGAGTGCCCTGATATCCTAATTTATACATTCACATAATATATATGCAAGTATGTACCCATCTTATCAAAGCAGTGGCACAATAGATAATCTTACCAGCTCTTGACCTTCTGCATGCTACCCTCCTCGACGAGGGCCTTGTGCATATCGAAACTGTTAAACAATAAGTGCGGCTCATGACCCCAGCCCTTCTTCAGACACTCATACTCGGCCTTCTCGAAGTAGTGCTTGAGAATGGGTTTGTAGACTTCGTGCGCACACTTGTCGATGATGACGCGGGCTCTCTCGCGCGGAGCCAGACCTCGCACGTCGGCAAGTCCGTTCTCGGTCACGATGACGTCGAGGTCGTGCTCGGTCTGGTCGATGTGCGTACACATGGGGACGATGCAGCTGACACCGTGGGGGTCCGTCTTCGATGGTCGCGTGGATGGCGTGTGCATGATGCTGTACTTGGCTGAGCGAAGGAAATCGGCGGACCCGCCGAGGCCGTTGAGCATACGAGAGCCCATTACGCATGTGCTGTTGGCGTGGGCGTAAATGTCAACTTCCACCGGAGTGTTCATTCCGATGACGCCCAATCGTCGAATGATCTCAGGGGAGTTGGACACTTGCTGCGACCGGAGGAGCAACTTGTCGTAGTAGGACTCCCAGTTGTCGTAGAAGCGCTTGAATCCTTCAGGCGAGAATCGGATAGAGGTGGCGGTGGCGAATTCGAGTCTACCGGAATCAAACAGGTCGAGGAAGGTATCTTGGATGACCTCGGTCCAGACCTTGAGATTCCAGAAGTTGGACTCGCTCAGCCCGCCGATGACGGCGTTGGCGATGTTGCCGATACCGGACTGAATGGGGAGCAGAGATTTGGGCATACGGCCGTGCTTGACTTCGTGCTCAAAATACTCGATGAGATGGTGCGCAATCGCAGCAGATGACGCGTCCGGTGGAGTGTTTGGCGATGTTTGGTCCTGATAGTCTGACTCGATCACGCCCACCACCTTCTCGGGGTCTAGCGGGATGGATGTGGTTCCTATCCTGTCCTCCACACCCATGATGAGGTAAGGCTTTCGGCGCGGGGGCAACTCAGTCATGGTGATGTCGTGCAACCCTTCGAAACTCGGCAATGAAGTGTTGACTTCGATGATGATCTGCATCGTGACATTAGTATGCAATAAAGGATGGTCGCTTTTGTGTTTGTACCTTGTCTGCGGCTTGGATTAACTCAGGGGTTGCGCCAACTGAGGCACCGGGGACGATACTGCCGTCCTCCAGGATGTCAGTCGCCTCCACAACCACCACATCCAGCTTTTTGCCGTCTGTCCGGTCCTTGGTGTAGTATCCCTGCGAAGGTTAGTGGCTGCGGCTATTTATTTCCATGCATATGCACGCGCATATGCGTACGCCCCGTGTTGGTAGGGAAACTCACGTAAAGAAGGTCGACGGGAAACATCGACAAGTGCTTGTCGAAGAAATTGATGCGGCCCTCGTTGATTCCTTTCGCGATGGCCTTTCCCACCTGATGAGGACTGCGGCGCTCAATCATATCGAGCGAGGCCCATCGGTTCTCCGTCTCGGCTCCGGATGAAGCACCCACAAAGAGCGAGTACTTGAGTTTGCCCTGCAAACCGTTTTTCTCAACGTGGTCTGCCAAGAAGGTAGGAAGCTTCCTGGAATCATGGTTAGCCCTGTGCCAACCAAGCTAAGTGAGGAATTGGCTGTACTTAGGATATCCCACGCCGGTGAAACCAGACCAGCCAATGTACGAGCCATTGGGGAAATGGCGCAACATGTCCTCGGGTCGGCATAGCTGCTTCAGCATCGACGGCCGGCGGATGCGGGCCTTCAGGGCTGCCGAGGCCACAGGTGACGCCATAATGTAAGGAGGATAAGGAAGGATGAGGGGAGAGATGGTCGATACTGAGCTCGACTGGGTATCGCTACAGCTTCCAAGAGGTGTGTTCACATGCACCCTAAACAGATAGGTCCCTGGATTGGAATTCTGAAGGATGAGAAGCACAAGTCCAAAGACCGGAGCTCACTTTCAAAGAAATATGGTTCGATTCTCCACCCCTACTTCGTAAACCCATCATGATAAGCTACGCCCGATACAGTGGGCGTAAAATGTCCCACGGTGGGGTTAGATTGTGGGGGAGCTCGCCCTACTGCTCGAGTACGAAGTAGCGAACCGCGACTTGACGCGACCACTTTGAAACATTATCCCATGAAAAATACCGAATACTCAATGATGAAAAGTCTCAGACAGCAGCATCCGACGATTGAAATAACCTTAAGCTTCCTGGTAATCCATGAAGCACGCCCCTAGCATGCACAATCAACGCGGACAATGGATTGCTGCAGGAATACGTAGCTGCAAATGCAGCATCCCAACTGCCCGTAACTCGAACCCTCAAGTCCAGGGGGGCTCCACCGAATTGACTTTCTCGGCCCGAGTTATACACTACCACGGGACTCTCCATTCGACCGAGGACAACATACTCCTTGCTGCAGATATCATGCGTGAATAAGATCTAGTTTATCTACATTAGATTGTAGGTGAAGCTTAGTTCACCTTCAGCCGGAGACGCGGGCCTATGGACAGGGGCTAGACTGTGATGATTATGTTGCCGACGCGCGGTCCTTCTGCGGCCAAACAAGTTGGGTGATGTTTGTGAGAGTGGCTTCTAGCACGTCCCAAGCGAACGTCAGAGTAACCAAACAAACCAGTAGAATAGACCGGTTGAAGAATTGGGAATCAGGCTGGACCGTCGACGACTTGCAAGGGTTAGAGCTTGAATCTGTATTTGTTTACTTCCTAAAGTAGACATGTCTGAGCTGGGGCCTTAGCGTGGTCCTTAGGACTATTGACAGGAACATCAAATACCCTGGTTTGAGATTGGGTTTCTGACAAGTAAGTATAAGCCATATCAGCAAAGCTGCTGCCAGATGTTCGCGCGGGCACCCCTTAACTACGAAAACAAAATCACTTGAGTTACGATAGAAAGCACCGTTTGCTGTGAGTGCTGTCCATGCATTTAGATGTGTTGAACTGAGGTGTGATATCACAGGATGGTGGTTGCCAGGGATCATGTGGGAGAACAGAAGAGTCGTGTTGGCGCAGGAGAATGATACACTGGTATTCTTTTCAACAATTTCAACTGTTCGGGTGACGTTTGAACAGATCCCGCCACATCTCTCTCAATCCATAATGCGGTGCCTTTGACTCGTATATCGTGGCTCTATTGCCTTCCCGTCCGAAACGGTCCAGTATGCCGCCAGGTCGATGACCAATGGTCTCTACACCGGGTTTGGCCCGAACAGCTCGTTCCTTAATGATATCCGCGAGCTGCGGTGCTACATCAGCATAGCATGTGTTCAACTCCCTCTCCAGGGAGAAGTAGGCCTTCTTGGCGAGCTCGGGGGCCATCAGATTGTACGACCGTGTCAGGGTGTTCAGGTTGTTCACAGACAGTTCCATGTACGCTTTTTCCGTCTTCACCCAATCTGGGTCTCTAAAAGGCGGCGGCAGGGACTGGGCTAGGGGTGCTGTCTCTGAATTGTTCCCCTCAACCGCAGTGGCATCAGGCAGCGAGTCCATTGCGAGCTCAGCGTTGGCTTCCGCGATGACCTGCTGTCGAATCTTGACCATGACAGGGTCCTCGGTTGAGTTGGTCGGCACAGAGATCTGCTCGACATTGCGCCTCTTGGGATTGGCGAGTTCCTCCGCTCTGGCAAATCTCCGAGCCTCGTTCATCTGGTGTTCCAAAGAGCCGCCTTTGCTTGCGATCATCCGTGCAGCATGACGCTTCCAGTCATTGCGTAGGCGAGATCTGAAGACGTGTGCGGCTTTGATCAGCTCTTGCTGCTTCTCTATCCATGGCGGGACAATATCTTGACGTTTGATGATTTTGTTCATGATGTACTCGGTCGTGTCAATAAAAGCATTGTCTGAGCGGGTGTCTCTTTCAATTCCCTTTCCTCTGGGAATGTTCTTGAACTGGCCCCTGGCAATAGCGTCCTCGATTCTCTCGTTAGCGAGCGAGGCAAGGCCTGTGAGGGTATTCGGCATGGCTCTTGCCGCGGGTTTGAACCTGTCTCGGAACTCTTGCCTCATGGATTCTTTCTCCTTGTCACTGAGGTTCTTGTCAAGCTCCTTCAGCCCCAGCCCGGTGTATGCCGCCGCTTTCTCACGCGCACTCGCCGCGCGTACTCCAGCGCTCACATTGCTCTCGCCTTTTATGCGCACATCAATTGGTTTGAGATCTGGCATCTTCGGTCGACCTCGTAGTCCGGGGGGGAGTGGTTTTCGGGCGTCGTTGAGCATTCGCAAGACGGCGTCTTCGGTGGATTCCTCACCAGTCCATGCTTGGCTCGAGGCAGTCAAGCGTGTACCTTCGCCGGCTGCCGTGGGCATTCCGGCTTGAGCAAATGCGGAGCTGTATGCAGAGCGAAACTGGGCGTCTTGCACCTTGGCCAACAAGCGCTCCTTCAGCTCTTCCGAGAAGCCAGCATCTTCAACAGCACGACGTCCCGCGCGACCGCCAGAGAAGAGCACATCCTCTGTCGCCTCTTCAAGTCTTCGGGACATAGGTCCCGATTCGGGTTTCGTGGCGTCATCTGCAGAACTGCTTGCTTCGTCGGCAGGTTGCGACTTCGAACTCGTGGAACCGGGTGCACTGGCCGAATACTGTCGATGGGCGTTGCGAATGCGGGCAATGCGAGCCTCTGCGGTCAATCGCGGTCTGGGCCTCGGCTGGAGCAAGGCTCCAACACATCTTGCACAAATATATGAAGACGATGTTGCTCTTGCGGTCATTGTCTCCATGTCTAGGTCACTCCCATTATAGAAAGCTTCATCTTGTCGCGCTGAGGGGGGGGGGCGAGATACAGGTCGATGCTTCGGAAAGTGGTGACGGCAACTTTTGGTGGCCTAAAATCTCACCCGGAGATAATTGGCATGATTGTAATGATAATCGCTATCTCCGATTCTTCGTCTTCGGCTTTCAGGTTAGGGTTGGGGTTAGGGTTATTCTTGAGTACGAGGACTTGATGTTTATTAAACCTTTCCTTCACTGACAACTGCGGAGCTGAAGTTGCCAACGTGTTGAGCTTTCAATGGCAGAGATAAGACAGTTACAAGCGCAAGTCATTCCCGTTTAGCAGCCAGGGGCATCAGTCTCCCAGTAGGAAAAATTACTACGTTGCGGCATGACTGGACGATCAACTTCTTCAAATGGAGCTTCTATCCATGCCGTTACGTAGGGACGGCTAAGTCCAGTTCGAGAAATTATGCATTTGTATTTAGCGTTCTGTACCTTTTGTTCTACCTTTTTTTCTCACTGTTCAGCGGGGTCTCATGCTCATATCTGCACCATGAACTGAGAGGCAGCTGCTTTGTCTAGTAATGGTCACGTCCTGACGAGCCATTGGTCAGGGTGCAATAACGTTCCGACAGAGTAATGTCAAGCAGGTACATCTGTTCTCTTATACTAGTCATTTGCAATTTACTTTTGGGTGCCTGTGGTAGTCTACATAATTAGCATGATGAGGCAAACTTATGGACGTTTCCAGGTTGTCTTAATTCCTTCCCTAACTGGTAATAGAGTTGATAGCAACCAAGTTTCTATGAAACTTCTCCATACTCAACAAAGCCTTGAAAAATTTCGAACCGTCCTGGGTTGTATCTCCGATATGTGATTTGAGAGTACAATTACACAGGCCAGTGGCCGACTCTCTCGCTCTCCTCAAAATAAAACAAGAACACGGCGATTCTAACTCAACGAAATTCACCTCCATTCACAATCCTGCGATATACGACAAAAATAAATGTATCAGGGTCCCCATTCATCCTCCACAGGCTGGCGAGGTAACCTGCCATGCGTCTGTGGACCTCAAGATGGCTGTGATGTTCACAATCCGGAAAGAGTTCTCATTTACTACAACATCCGCCTCCCGGTCACAACTAAGAAGTTGAATTTTGTCCAGAAACTCCTCCCCAGCACAAAAGGCGTCACCAATGTCCCCAGGCCACCCAAATTCGGTGATTACCAGTATTCCCAGGATGGCGAAGCAATCATTTCACACCTCTCGCTCGATGCTACGTCCGTGGATCCCTTAAGAGCGCTGCACCTCAACATCCCGTCCATAATTGCTTTCTACCATCTGGACTGGGCACGGCAAATCCAGTCACCTCCAGATCAAGGAGTCCTCGTCACACCAAGTGCACTGAGGTGCAAAGGCATATGCAAGGGAATTGTTGATCGAAGTCGCATCAACTGGAGCGTCCATTCGCTGTGGATAAATGGTTCATTCTATTTGGACCAGCGGGCTGTACTGAGCATCGGGCCCAGAAAGGAAGATGCTAAGTACCGCCACTCGACGGAGCACATGGAGGAGAAGTTCAAAATTTGCCGGCACAAGAAGTTCTATATTCGGTCAACGTCTTTCGAGGGCCAGCACGGTATTCTGAAGGCGACGGTCAAGTATGCCGTCAAGTCTCCAAGAAAGACGTTGACTCGTGACCGCGAGTGGCACAGCATTTACGGACCCAAGGCATATGGCGCAGCCTGTAACGATTGCTGTACGGACATGGAATATCAGTTTGAGCTAGTCGATGACCGTATCGTGGTCAGTATCATGGCATGGAAGGACTTGGGTGAGGGGAAGAACCGCTTCGATCCCAAGTGGATTATCGCGTTGAGGGGGAAAGCCCAGGAACACAACAAACTCCCGCTCATGAATCGCAGTTATAGCAATTCATCCGACCTAACAGTGAGGGCTGCGGCCTTGGCGGCAGAAGAGCAACCCGTACCGCAACCCGCGCCACAAACTACCATGAAAGAAAACTAGAGCCAGGATGCGGAGCATATAGTACGAGGGGTGGAGCTCGCTACTTATCGGCTGACCTAATGAAATGTTTCACCAAGCGGTTTGGGCTGGAATATACTAGATGCAAGGAAGTAGCCAATAGTCTTCTTATAATTATCACGTCTCTGGTGCTGATATACTCCGACATAATTCAAGGCCATGATTTCAACATACCTAGCAGGTGTAATCTCTGGCCAGTCTAGAATACGTTAGATATCATTACAACACCGTTCCAACTACCTTTAACTACATACTTTACATAAATATACCGAAACTAGAAACAGCAGACCGGACCTATGAACTACGAGTAGGGCAGCATGACGCAAAGGCAGACGTCTGTGTACTCCAGCCTGCGGTTATTGCGAGCAGAAAGTATCGATCTTCACTGCGAGGCCGTTTTCATAATTACTTGTAAACATGGTTTCGTTTGCGTATCGAAACGCGGCTCCGTCTACTGAACACACTCATCTAAAATCCGGCCGAAGTGTGAAAAGTTGCTCTCAAAGGTTTCTTTTTTGACTCGCAGATACTGCTCCTTCCGTCGTACTTCTAGGGCTGGGGCTAAGAGGCAACAGGTCCACAAGTATATCGAAGGGATCATCGCAGAGTGCAAATTCTCGTATTTCGACACCAGCTCGCCTCTCTTTCCGGCTGCCTGTATTAGTTCCTGTCTTTTCTAGAGCTCTACTTGGAATCCACGTCCCTAGTATCTTATCCGGCAACTCGACACCATGGAGCTCAAGAAGTCCATGGTGTACAGTCACAAGTCCAGAGTGAGCATGGCCAGTCCGAGATCTTAACTGCTCAGTACTTAGATTGCTCCGACTCAGGTGGTCCGTCTATCTTGCCGAATTCCGAGGGATAGAATGATTCATTCTTGGTCAAGAATACCATGTTATAGATTTTCAAGTAGCTGCCACTCACTGCTGGGTAGCTTGGGTATATAAGACGTTTCAAAAGCCATGCCCTCAGCCATTGATTAGCCAGGGCTAAAATTAATATGGGCATTTGGCGTCTCTCTGGTCTCAGGCTGTATCAGTCCTCTCAAAGATGTCAGACTGTACTGCTCATTTAGCTTGGCTACCTCGATTATTATATAACGTTACTTGCAGCCTTGTGATATGAGGTGAGACTATGCTGATATGGCCAACTTATCCCTTCACCTGCCTCCTTAACTCTCTTCCTCATGGGTAAAGATGACTTAGCCATCGTGAGCATATGCATTGAGTAAAATATGAGTGCCCCGTCATTTCTGAGAAAGAGAGAGTAAAAGTAGCCTCTGGATGGCCAAAGCAGCCGGGCATATCTTCTGTCTCATGAAGCGGTTACCCCGATTCATTCCATTGGAGGTGAGGCCATCACATCCGCTCTATATCCAGTCTCGCCAGATGTACCTTATGTATTGCGCGATGCTTCGAGACGACATCAATACCTAGTTGGTTCCATATTGCTGGGATGGCTTTCAGGTATCTCTTTCACTTTACACATGGACGATATTAGTTTATTTGCCTTGCTGCAAAAGTTGAGCAGAGTTTTGTTGCAACATCCTGCATAGACTCAAAACAAGCAGCGATATCATATAGCCTCGATGAGATATGGCCACAGACAAGTTACACTATACGCCCAATGCTGTTGTTTCCTTGTGCAGTAAAGCTACGTAAAAAGGGGCAACCCAGGGTCCCAGGAAACCACTCGTGACCGTGACGAGGGCTAAGCAAAGGAAACTAAGAGGACGTACTGCATTTTGTAAAAAAGAATCAGAATCTCGTCTCACACCTGATGAGCACATTTGGCAACGATGATTCAAGACCTACACAGTTGGACTCTAACACATACCATGTAGCTAGATCGGCCGTGTTCCGATGTGATTACGACAATATCACATTGCCGACTCATGAACTTCGAGCTCCTTCACTTTCCAGGCTGCTTGAATCATACATCACATCGCCATTGACCCGTCTCAAAGGATTGGTACAACAAGTCCCGGGCAAGCAGGTCTACTGCCTAGTCACGAAAAATCATATATCTCACTCGATATTTCCTGCACATATGGAGGTCATGCCACCACTATCCTGTGACTGACATGTTGACAAGGTTAGTCTGGGTTGGGTGGGCCACGTTGTCATCGAATACAATTGGCCCACTGAGGCCTGAGGTGCAGCAGAACCGGTGAAGGCGAAATCTGTCATCAATACTTGTGAGCGTGCAAGCTGCTGGAGACTAGACCGCTCGTTCGGCGTTTATCTTACTCGAGGACCCACGATATGAGTACCAGTGCGCCGTAGGGCCCCAACAAGTCATTGGGTGCTGAGTCTATCATCAGGGTCGAGAACCAGCCAGACTGGTGCGGGCCGCCTCGGGTATGCGCCCCAGTTGTTGGCGCCGTCGAAGCCACCCACAGGAGCTTTATACAACGGTCGTCCGTAAGCCAAGCCCCACGCTTTCAACCCACCTGTTGCGCCATCCAGCGGTCCGCAAGCGGCCAGCCACCCAAAGCTAGGGGACATTATCCCACAGACCATGGTTTGGTGGATGGAATCTTTATTCCCTCATGACGCCCAAGACGGGGAAAAAAATAAAAAAAATAAAAATAGAGACTTCCTTTCGAAGCAGGGTCCCACTCGCGAACATAAATGACTCGTCCTTCTGGTTGCATATGCTCAACGACGCCAAAGCCTGTTGCGCACTTTGCAGCAACTGTCGTATGCCCTCGTCTGGGCTGCAAAATCTCTGCAGTTCCCGTTGCCCCACTGTCACCTCCAGCGCACGATGGCGGCATGCGCAGATGCTGATTGACTTGTCACCAATTGACATCATTTCCGAGATAAACTCTCTCCTGAATCGCAGACCAACCATGGAAACGACAAATAAAACAGCAAAACGGCTTGTTTTTTTCCAGGCACGAAGAAGGCATGGTGGGTTGTGGTCGGGTCGCGTCTGACCGCATATAGCCCAGGGCCCGTTGAGGGAAACCTCCAATCAGCACGCGATCGCAAAAGCGAATGAGGCATTGCCACACTTTGCATGTGCTGGGTTCCTGTGTACCTTGCATTAGTGCGCCGGTCCGGAAAAGCGAAGAAATGCGAAGAAGGCAGAATGTATGCTTGCTGACTGGTTGCAAACAGGGCAGCATAGGCACCTTGTCAGCAAGATGGTGTGATTCCATGAGATGGCATTTAGCAGGTAAAAGGTGCAGGGTGTGTGATGCGGCAGTGGGATGTCCGCCTGTTTCTCCTGTGGAAAACAGGGTGTGGCCATCAAACCGCCAACTTTGTTGAGTTGCAAAATACGTGCCGCTGAAGCTTGAATTGCCAAATCGGGAGCCGCAGCACCCCATCAAAACTTCAGAGTCGCAGCCGGATCTTGGGATGCGTCTTGTGCATATGCTTTGGTCACGAGTACAAGGCCAAGTCGGTGCCTTACAGGATTGCAAATGTACTGGACTGGGACTTTGACGAAGTCTTCCCGATCAGTCAAAAAAATCCTTCTGGGCGGCCCGCTGTAAAGCTCATGATGCCATGGCACGGCTCCATGTCACTTCGCTCGGGCGACCAAAAATCAGTTTCACGAGCACCACAACGTTCATTTGAGCGGTAACATCGGCATGATGAGAAGCCAAAGATAGCCAGCATATGGAGTATGCTAAGGAAGCTGGTTGGTCCGCGGCGCGAGACAATGACGCACAAGTGACTGAAACCCGTTCGTTATATGAACAGGAAAACTCCAGAAGATGACTGCATACAGAATTATGGCCGGGGCCACGGAGCCTTCTTGGTCCTCCACTTGGGTAGAGAGTTTTGCATGTTTCTAGTCTGAAAACTCTGCTCATATCAAGCAGGTTGTTGAAGTTACATTCATTCAACGATTTCGTTGGGGAATTCGGATTCTTGACGGACTTCGCGCCTGACGTACTCGGTGAATACTCCGTGGCACGAGATTTACGAGGCTACTGGAGCTTCGAAGCTGCCGCGGTTGGAAATGGGAGCGTACAAGTGGCATGAAGTACAGTGTTGCCAAATTTGAAAAATTGTATGACTGGCAGATCAGGCGAGGTCTGCATCGTGGTTCGGCAGATGGAATCACAATCGTGGAGACAAAATGCGCAGTTCGGAAGACGGACTTCTGCCCTGAGACGATCGTTCTCCATGTGAATGTGGAGGCGAACCTCGGAAGGGCCGTCAGAGAACTTTGTCCTTCTGTTGGTTGGTATTGAAGACAATAAAAGAGAAGTCTCAAGTGCCCCTGGAGTCTGGGACGGAACTTGTGAACGGCCAGTAATGTCTACCGGACTGCTGCTCTGAGCTGGCTGTTGAAACGGAAGACAATGTTCAACTTCCGGCGGCGCTCGTACATTTGCTAAGCACGTTAAGTTCGTCGGCACAGTTGACAGATGTCTGCCACAGATATCATATTGCTGACAAGGTGCTCTATGCTGCATTTATTAACGTGGCTGACGATGCAGCGAAATGATTCGACTTGCGAGCAGCGGATGGGGGCATCACTGCAGCCAACCGGCTGACAGGCGTTCGCAACTCACGAAGCCGGATGAGCCCGGATGCACGAACTGTAAAGTTTTCCCGAAGAGGACTGCTTCGATTGTGAATCGTGATGGACATTCGGTCCTGGTCTGTCGTCAGTTAACGCGGCTGAACCCATCGCCGGAGAAGCCTTCAATGTTCACAGTGCTCTGGACTGGTCTATGGTGGGCCGAATGAGCACACCAACTAGCCCTACATCAACACAGGCTAACGCAAGGTACCACAAGGAATTGCGGCCGAGTCCGAAAACTATATTCGAAAAATGACAAGATTTCGCGGTAGCTTGTGTAGATTATGTCCCATCATCATCCTTGACATCTGTTGTCTGACAGTAGTTCTATTTGGTAGCGTGCAGTCGCTGTTTATGAGCCCGTTATGATGCGGGGCGACATGAACTGCTCAGAGCCGTCCCTAGTTCCATTCTGTTTGTTGGTCCCAGGGTAATGCAGGCTGAAGGCCGATTCGGATCATGTAAACTGCTCCGTGGTGTCGGGTCATTTCCCGCTAGAACCAGATTTCTGCCGGAGTTTTGCTCGGAATTTTATGCCCGCTCCCCAAGCGAGCCAAGGACGGGATCTCTCCAGGATAGACCATCCATTTACATCTAGATCCCACGAAGTACCGGCTCAATGTCACCGTGCGTGTACAGTGACGGCCGCCCAGAGTGGGTGGTGGAGCGAATGTTCTAGGCATCCGTGGCTTCTCCACTAATACAGCCATTTTGGGTTTGGAGTTCAGTGACGTTTGCAGGACATCGCTGATGCATTGCTGGCGGACTTCTCTTTTCAGATGCCCGTTCTGAGGCCACTTTGGTGAAATATGATGGTGCAAATGCCGTGCTTGTGTTCATTGAATAGCGGGGCAGTTGGGGTTGTTCACTGTATAATGTTAAATAGGACGTCTTTGAGTATCCTGTCGGCCTGGCAGGGCTGACTGCAGGCCAAGACCGTTGAATGTGATTCAAAGGTATTACACCAAATCGAATCTGAGGTCGCCGAACAGAGATACATCGGCCCAAGTTTTAGGTGTCACTGTCGCCTGTACGTCAATGATGAGAGAGAGTGAGTACGAAGTAACCGCACAAGCTAGCTCGAGTCAGAACACAATCCCAGCAACCTGAGCTTCGCACCGCGTCTGGTGCGATTTGACAGACGGCAACATTTGGTCGGCGTTTACCCCATACCCCAGAAATCAGTAAAGGTTTGTCGAGCCGGGCAAGTGAGACAATCTGCTATTGTGCTACCAGTTCATCTGGTCCTTCCTGGCAAAAGTGTGAGAGAAATCTAGTTCAACAGAGTTACCCAATCACAATACAAATGAGCATTACGCGAAGCACTGCAATATTCAGGTCTTCTTTTGTCCAGGATATGCCTGCTTGGGTCCTTGGTGGTTAAGGTGGTGGGAACAATCTGATGCCGTCGGTAAAAGTTAGTCAAAGTCGATGTTGTGGGAATCCTCACTTTACAGCTTGTAGGGTGTGGCCCACAGCCTAGCAGGACCATTGCGGCATTGCACTCGAGGAATCGTACGAGTCCATGGCTCTGCAGACTGGTCAGTCGCCTTGTGTTCCAAGGCAGGATGATGGGCCACAAGTAACGACCCGTGAGCTGAGGCAGCCCTTGAATAGTATCAGCATCATAGTCTGATGGATGGCGAACGGCTGACTTGGTCATCACTCATGTATGACACAACAGCAGCTAGAGAGCTCAACTCACACGGCATGCGGGCCGGGCGGACAGGAGCACGAAACGAAACACTGGAGGAACCATCTGCCATTCTGACTGGTGGACACGGCGCCAAGCTGGCGAAAAAGAGGCCGTTGCGCAAAGCGACGGGAGGGTAATGGCAGCTGCCGGGACAGCTACCAAGAGGATAAAAAGATCAACAATTGGACGAGCATGAGGATTGATGCTGGTGGCAGTGACAGTGACCCAATCAACGGGGATTCAATCCGCCGCCATTGGAAATTTCTCAAAGTACGGGCTGGTCTGAGATGCTAGTCTGAAAAGACGCAAAATATTGACAAAATTATGGAAACCTGGAGTCGTAAGTGGGAAGGCACGCCCATGGTACATAGAAGTACCCCACACCAGTCCCGATTGAGCACTTCAAACCACTCACCTGTATCCTAAACCCAACACGACTATGTTTTGCCCTCAACCTATAATAGTAAAGAAGGTTCAGTTCAACCCACGGACAGCCATGGGTGCAGCGGAAACTCTGACTCTCCAGAGGCCTCGTGGCTGCACATGGATGGCTATGTCTTGCCGAGGGACTCCTGTAGATAGTACTGTGTATGCTTCGCTAAATTCGCCTTGGCAAGAACTACTAGTACGTGGCACTTCAAAGTCTGGTCATGGCAAAGTGAAGGAGAAAAAAAGAGTTCACGCTTTGGTGATAAGACGATAATTCTACGGGTACAGGAATCAAGGGAGGAGAGAGTCACTTCATATCATACTGGAAACAGTTGCAGGTTCCGCTTTGTTTTTGAAGCTTGGAAGAAAGCTATTGGGGTCACCTCCTTCCTAGTAAGCGGCACTTGTTTCAATAGAGCACCGCCGATCAGCAAAGCCAACTTGGGCTATCGCACCCGCGTCGGTGACTACCGGTTGCTATTTTGACACGCCTTTCAGTACTAAATGGACGATAACAATGTCTTCAGCACAACAAGCTGTGGGAACGTTCATGTAGCTGCAATTCCCATTAACTGAGTTAGGGCAGTCACACCCGTTTTCAGGGCGAGACGCCGCTTCAGGTCCAACTCACTCACCGATGTACACTCGGCGATCCATCATGCCCCCTTCTACTTGCGACTTGGCTCCTTCACAACAGGAACTTCTTTCACGATCAATTGCATACGAATTGGAATAATTAGATTCTTGTAGGAGCAATCTTCATAAATTCGGCCGTGATACAGGACTCGCAGGACTCGGCTTGGTGGCTTCGAATTTTGGGTCCGGTTCTACAGCTAAGGTTGAGCAACTTACAACCGTGACATCTGGCCGCCTATAGCAATAACAACAACGTTAATGTAGCGTTTCGTTCATATGCATCCTAAACGATGCTAGTCTTGTCACCAGATCCCACAGATCCCATCATCAGCACATTGGCGAGTGCACTTTGTTGACATGCTATCGAGATTGTCGCACTGTCTTCAATGCATACTGAATCACGCAACATAAACTTCTCGGCGTTCACGTGTGCAAAATGTGTTCGTCAGTAGGCCCAAGCAAGGAACCGAACCATGGAGAATGACGTGGTCGCAGTGGGGATCTAACGGGCGACAGGGATTTGTCTTCCCCGGTCTGTTGGATACGATGGCAGCCCCTGTAACTGCAAGTGGGGCAGGGAGCAGAGATTTATACAGTTAGGGAACCTATACACCAAGTGGAGTAGGGAATTTAGGGGATTTCCGCCAAATCTGGGAATATTCGAAAGGTAGGCACCCTAACACCCTCCTCAAATCCCAGTAGAGCACCCTGGAAATATATAATTTTGGAAGCTGTATACACCGATAGATATCCAGTTAGCCATACAAATCGAAGCTTCAGCTAAAAAGGTATACAGTTATGGGGCAATATACACTACAAGGTTTATACAGTTTCAGGGACCACCACTGCACCTGACAGAAGCAGCACTAGAACCGCCATCTCAGAAAGGAAAGGCCTGCTTCTAGTGTACTTGTCTGGATGCAAGCCCAGGATCCCGGGAACACTGGTGCCCACGCCTCCCATCCTTGTCCACCCGACTGCAGGACACACATTCGCACTTTTCCGGTTCAACCTTGTTTTTTCATTTTTTCATTTTTTATGGGTGAGGAATATGAAGCTTTTCTCGAAAGCCAAAGCATGATGCCGGCCGGCAGGATGGCTCGCGATATCAACTTCGCAATTGTCCTTGCGGCTGTCACAAATATTCCCTAGACCACACTGATGCGGTTATGGAGGAGTGTTCCCACGCACGCTAGAGTGCTCAAGGCTAACGACCGAGAGAAAAAAAAAAGAAGCTCCAGAAGGAACTCGGGCCAACAAAGCGTCAGTGATGAGCTTGCGAGGGTACGTGGGTACCCTACCTGCCATCCTACTTTGACCACCCGCGCTGCGAGGGCAATCCCAGACGAATGGGCAAGGTCGGCAGGCGGACGTTCAAACGAAACACGCCCACCGGTTCCCAGTTCCCTCTTTGGGCGCCGACCCGCCCAGCTTCCACCCCCATGCACATCAACCCAGAGCTTCTCAGCTCATCAGTTTCCCACCACTCACTTTTTTTTTCTCTTTGCCCACCCTCACTCGCTTGTACCACCGACCTAATGCTTGCGAGCTGCCAGCAGACCATTGCCAATCGTTCAACAACATCTTGCACCACTTGGCGACACCTCGATACATAATACAGCCCTGCAACCCCCGCGTTAGACCTTCTATCGGACCCTACACCCTATTGCTGTTGTCACCCTCCAGAAGACGTTATCATCGAAGCCCCCAAAGAGAGCTGTCGGAAATAGGACAGGTCCAGCCACTTTGATTGGTGAAGCGGTTTTCTGCGAGAAACACAACCAAGCCCTTTGACGCCCGACGCCAACCCCGCGCTTTCAAAGCGATATACTCGGGTGCCCATAACACGTGGACGAGTGCGACCAGCCGAATGACCACAGCCCAGGAATACTTCGTCCACGTATGAGCTCGCAGCAAGTGGGATATCTTAGATCAACTAAGAGGAAGGGCAAAAAGACGGAGCCAAGGAAACTCGTCCTGTTTGCGCGAGTGTATAAGATGTGCACGTAGTTTTTGCCGTTTCAGCCTGCCACAACAAGCGAATAACAAAAGAAAAAAACGCCGACCGACATATAGCTTGCTGAATCTACCCCACCAACACTCGACAAGAGCAACTCATATCAATCATTCGCGATAATACCACTTATACGCCAGCGCCGCAGTCGCTGAACTGCGCTACGCTGTGCTGCGCGACATGTCACCAAGATTAAGACCTCTGCAATTGCCGCTGCTGGTTGAAAAGAGGAGGAAGATGGAAGAGGCACAGGCCGAGATTGACAGCGATCATAACTCGGCGTTATACGTGATGGGCTCGGGCTCATCGGATGCGACTTCACCAGCCACGCCAACATTTTCGGCGCGTGGGCACCTACGATACTCGAGCTCAACGTCCTCTTTTGATCTGACAGCACTGTCTAGTCCTGAGGGACCTTCATCACCGACCCCCGTCAAACGGATTTTGCCCGACGTGCAGGAAGAGTCGATCGATCCCCTGGAATCAGATTCAGATTCAGATTCTGACGATGCTATATCCGATCACTTTGACTTATACGACTGCCTTTGTAAGTGAAACTGAGTATACGTACGTGGGAACCCAGTCACTAACATGGGCTTTCAGGTGCTGCACCTTGCATCCACGGCGATACTGACCTGGTGCAAAGTACGACCGACTTCTACACCCACAATGGCGACATTGATTACGATATGGGCTTTCTCAGCGACAACGACTTCAACACGAGTCCACGGTCGAAAAAGCGGCGGGCTGGGTCTGAGTCGCCTTTCACGGGATTCACTCAACGACTCAACTCCAGGTTTCCCTCTTTGACGCGGTGGAAGTCAACGAGGAACGGCAGCATAACCAGCTCGCCTGGTTCCGACTTCGGGTTTGAGCAGCGGCCGGCAGTCTCTCGAGCTACATCGAGTCGCTCCTCTTCCCGCTCAGCCTCCGGTCGGTATCCCCCGGATCGCACGAACGAGCCTCCTCTTCCTCCGACGCCAGCTTCTTCGTTCTACGAAAGCAGCGACAGCATCGCTCTACCGGCGCCTATCGATATCGAGAAGGCCAATGGCTTTGGTCCTCTCATTGAAATGGAGAGAGCTTTAGCCACGACCCCACTTCTACCACCTCTCATGACCGACGCACACGCCGTGTCGGCCAGCGTTCAGCCTTCACCTTTGGAATCTCCTACTGTTGTCGGTCCGATTGTTTCGGAGCCGCAATCACCCTGTATTTCCAGCCCACCGCTCAGCACCAAGCCATCAAACTCATCCTTTCACCGTGTGGCTACTTCCGCAGAGCTGCCAAACATCCCTGAACCCGATGAGTGGTCAGACCGTCTCGGCCATGCCAACTTCACCATCCTGCCCCAGCCATACAAACCCGAGAACCCAGATCGAGACTCCTTACAACAGCTGCGGGCTGACTGGGCCACTGCGCGCGTAAATTACACCAAGCATCTAGTTCGGACCGGGGAGCACTACGGAATCACCTCCAAGACCTATGTCATGACGGAGGCAAAATGGGCCGAGACAGATGGCGCCTGGCGAAACCATCATGCCAGTGTTGTCGAGGCTGTTACTGCTAGTGGTGATGGTACTGCTTCCGTGAAATTTAAAGAGGGCATTTTGACCACAGTGCCCCGCATGGACGCCGAGGGTAAATTTCCCGAGAGAGGCGACGAGGACATCGTCGGCCCCATGGTCCGCGAGGCGACCATGGTCTCACCTGGTGACAGTCCGGAAAAGAGGAATCCCAGCTTCTGGCGCAACCTCGCTGGGCGTGTTGGCTTACGGAAATAAAGCCTCTGCAACTTGGCCTAACAATAATTAATGATGATCACGACATTTACGTCACACGCTCCCTACATATTATGTTTATTTTTTACTCATCGAGAGATACCCCACCTCAGCCGACGTCTTTCCCTAATCACCGATCGTCGCAGCGCCTCAACGGCATCGATCACTGCATGACTGAGGATATTTACCTTCAGACAAATGCAGCGACACCTTATTATTGTTTATTTGTTGAATATTTACATCTTAATCTGGGCGGTACCAAGTAGCACCATCGACCGCCCTTCGTACCGCTGCGGATGCAAACATCATTTTCCTTTTCAATGTTTTGGGCCCGGTGTTTGGGAAACCGGGCTGCGGTATGTGCTTGCACACAACACAACCATGGAAGGCTAGGTCGGCGGACCCGGCGGGAAGCATTTAGACTTGGGGATCTACTATATCCAGCGCAATGATGGCGACTTCCAAAAACAATTGTCGCCATAAGCGCCTCGGGATCATGGGGTCCGGATCAACCACATCGGATAGAGTTGGTAATCACTAGTGTTTACCGCTATTGCCTATTGGTGGTGCTTGGTTTAGACTGGAAGGGAAAGGAAAAAGAGAAAAATGAGCTGGGGCTGGGCTGGACTGGCGCAGTCAATTATCACATACATAGAGCGTGCGGCGCGCGCTTCGGGGGTTGGGAACGTACATAGGGAGTGAAATGTGGGTGGCGGATGTCACAGGGGATTTTGCTGTGTCGCTGCGATTGACGACAACAGCCTCCGGCCTCAGAGACTAGAGTCTCAAGGTGTCGAGGAGAAGCTTACAGAGAGAAATGTACGTGAGGTAGCTGAGGAATGGAAGATGAATACTCAAGTAGCCATGTCTGTCTTGTTTCATACTAGTGGTCATCTCGTTTCATATATGTCGAGAGCATTAAACGCTTGTGCCCATAGCCCTATTCGCCATGATCGGTACAAGCTGTATCAACCCTCGCCTTAAAGTGGTAGCCAATGTCCCTTAACAGCGATGAGTATCACCAACGCGAGATATGCTTCGTACTTCTGATGCATATTTACACTTATAAGGTGAGAAGGTACTAAGCCCTTTCCCCTGTTCCCTAAGTCTCTTCTCTTTTATTCTGCACGATCACAGACTAAGTAGTGCTTACACCAACTCAATTCTTCAAACAACTCTCACAAATGAATTGTAGTATGCCTATATTATTCCTATTCCTTAGAAATTTTCTGTTCTTAGATTCATCGTTGACACCCGGCAGTAGACAGAAGAAGAATAAGCCAGGGTAGCCAAACTAGAATTCAAGTACAGCCAAGATCTGCTATAAGTCGCAAAACAATATCGAACCCGATTCTACGCAAACTCCGCGCGAAGAATGATACCGCTCTGCCGCTCTGCCGCTCTGCCGCTCTGCGTAAGAATTCGGTCCCGCGCATGAGTTCAAAGCATGCAATCGGCCAACACGAACAGGCTCGAGAAATAAGTCAAGTGGGAAGGGATGAAGAAAAGCATATATCGTCCTGGCCATGGGCAGATCGATATTAGCGCGAGACTGCGACATCTAGACATGCGTGGGCATGGCTGTAATGAGTTTGGTCAAGTGCCAGGGAAGCTTGCACCAGGCAAATGAGAGATCTTCACTGTCCTCTTCTTATTGCTGGGTTCGTACTTGGAAATTAATTACCGTGTGGACCAGTGAGCGTCCGCAGTGCTGCGATCTGCGCAGGGGCCGTTGGTGCAGGTTTATTACAAACACTGATCCCATCTGCCCAAGACATCAATTTTCCGATTTGAGTACTGCAACGACCATTTACAGCCTGACGGGTTGACAACATCGCCACGGTAGTACGCCGAGATTGCCTCGAGCGTTCCCAAAGAGCCCGAGTACGGCGATCACGGTATTGCCGGGACCATGCTTGTTGGATTCGAAGCAGATCCTTAAATGAGCACTCATGAGGTGCCCTGGGAGGCGCTGTATCCCACAGAGGGGACGTTGGGCCAGAGTAGTCACGTGGTGGAAGAAAATATGAGGCATCTCAAGTAGACTAAGGAGTCTGGTATGAGAGGATGCTGTTAGAGGCGGCCCCCAAAGGGTTGACGTGACAAACCGCGGGTCCAATTACACACAAGTCACAATATTCATTTATGAGCGAAAGGAAGCTTAAGAGCCATATGATATTGTCTGGTTCTATTACCAAAGGCCCAAAGGCAGGTCAATCTACACATCATTTGCTCACTTCGCATTCTGCGGTGGCCGCAACGGACTCATCAGACTCTGAGATGACAGAAAGCGTGACCACGCCTCTTGACGTACTATCACTAGCGGCGGCTACGGCCACTTTCACGGTGCTAGAAGCACCGAAGTTCGCCGTGGCCAACGCATTGGGAAGCTCAATGCGCCAGCCGCTCCCTTCAACCGTGGCATTGAGCCGGTACACATCCGACGTGAGCCAGGCAGACACGTCTTGCGGGTGTTGAGGACTTTCCGGACTGTCGGGTGAGTAGGTTCCGGTGTTTTTCAATGTGAATTCGCAACTCACACCAGCTCCGGCAGGGTTCCCGCCTGTGACTTTACCCTCCGTCAGGGTCACGCCATGTGTGCTGGACGTGGCATTTCCATCCAGGGACCGAACAGCAGTGGTGTATGAGAGAACGCCACTAGCATCGCGGTGAAGATTGAGTACGTAAAAGTGCAACCGGTTCGCCTCGTCAACAAACTCATATTCACTGCCCGACCGGGTGCCTGCGTGGAACAGAGCATCGGCCAGCTGCCGATAATCCCCTACGGTGATCATGGCGACAGAGCCGTTCGGTCGGTAGAAATCAATGAGCTCGATGTCTTGTGGGTTCGCATCAATAACCCACTGGAAGGGTTGAATACTGTCGTCGTCTCTAGTTTTGCTGATCATGACGCCCGAGTCAGGGGTAAACGAGTCGGCCCCCATACGGTCCACAACCTCAACATGATAGTTGTCATAGCTGCCTCCATCGCAGAGTGCATCAGTGGAGATATTGCAAAATGGCGACAGGTCGGAATCCATGACAACGCGGATGCCCATCAGCCCCTCGCCCGGGTCGACGGCACGGGCCGTCAGGTTAGCCACAACGAGGCCCGAATACGCCAGAGCCTCTCGAGAAAGTTGTAGCACACTTGAGTTGCTGATCAGTGCCAACTGCGACTTGTCCCGCACCGTGTGCAGCGAGCCCATAGAGCCACCTTGAACGGCAGGAATCTGCCAACGTGTGTGCGGACCACCGGGGCCGTTGAAACTTCCACGATCCATCATGCTGTATGGGCCAGTGTAGGCTCGTCGTGGTGGTTGGCTGTATGGGTTATTATAATTATCTCCTATCGATAAGAGATGTGAGAACTCGTGAGCGTAAGTAGACATGCCTGAGCTCTCCGCCTGAGTCGAAGAGCCGCCTCCAGCGTTGGGCCAGATGTTCGACGCAGCGGCCCACGACGTCCAATCGACGTAGCGCGTCTCGGCCCAGTTGGGAAGGGTTTCGTTGTCCGGCGGGCCAAACTCGTCGGGGATGTCCTCTTTGGCCGGGAACTTCATCTCGCCAAACTCTTGCCAGGTGGATGACTCGTCCTGGCCGGCGGAGAGGATGAAGACGAGCTCGAAAGAGCCGGCCGTGATGTTGCCTACGTCTGCACGCCATGCGGCGAAAGCATCAGTGCGGAGGTCGAGGATACAGGCGCCAAACTCCGGGCAAGCGCCAGGATTGAAGTCCTCGGTGTCGACGCCATACTGCCATGACCTGCCTGGCATCTGGTAGGGCCCATACGTTGACAGGTTCACGCCATAGCGACCGAGCGAGTCGCCCATCCAGTACTCGTGAAGAGTGTGACCGCGATTCAACGCGCCAGGCTTGTTGAGCAGGTCGTGGTAGTAGGTTGGCACGTCTGCACGGTCAACAACCACCGACTCCGGCTGCGGGTTCCCGTAGATTGTTGATCCGGGCTCCTGGGTGACAACAAAAGGCGTGTCTGAGTAGTCGACAGCGATGAGGGCGATTTCAAAGTCACGGATTGAGCCCGAGCGCGAAGGGTCTGCCCAACCCGTGCCGGGTGGTGCCTTGAAGTCTTCCCATGTCACTAAAAAGAGGGCGTCCGTCAACCTTGACCATCGTCGGAGGACTGAGTGATAACTTGACGGTCCTGGGTCATATTTCAAGAGTAACAGGTGCGAAAAGAAGCTTCGTCAGGCAAGATTACTTCTGAGATAGACCAGAATGGAGCACAAGCGACTCTCGAAATTACATACTGTTGTCTGGGTTGACCCAATTCTGAGGATCAAGTATCTCGAATGGATCCTCAGAACTGTTGGAGTGCCGTGCGGCTTGAATGGGGCGTGCCAGAAACCCACAGACAATGGCCGAGGCCATGGCTCGGCGGCGCCCAATTTCGGCCAACGACACCATGACTTACACCGTGGTTCGGACCTGTCGGCGTGTCACTGCTCACACGGAAATCCAGTCCAACGAAGCTGCCCGGAAGCAAAGTGGCCATCGACGAGGCGGTGAAGACCAAATCTCGTCGAACCTGAGGGAGCAACATGCTTTATAGATATCGTTTACTGAAGAGATTGCGGCTGCTTCTTGGGTCCCATGCATACCCCGCTGTGCCTGGAAAGCGGCTTCCCTATCGAGATGGACGAGAATAATGTGCGCTGCCAATCGGATCGATGCCGAGGCAGCCTAGAGCTGAGCAGCTGCTGCATTAGGAATGGAAGGCCCGGTACGATTCAGTCCAAGACGGGACCCAATGCACCTCATATCGTTTGCAACTTGGCAGCACGGAATGGATCGGTGGAGTTAACAGTGGTGGAATTGCGATGCTGCGACCTTGTTATCTCTCTGCAAGCCCTTGATAGCAACGAAGCCATGCACCCAAGTACTCCACGAACGACGATTGAGGCAACAAACAAGTTCCAACTTGCGACGATGCCAATGCCGCCTGGCACAATCATTGTCAAGATATCGAGGATCTCTCCCTGCGGTACGGTTCGCTTTGCCGGAGCCACGATTTGCCCTTCCTCCTCGCGCCGGCGTGATCCGAAGCCCATGGCAAAATTGCGGTTGGTGTAACAAGTGAGAAAGCAAGAGTGTAGTCGGGCTGTATGCAGTTCGCACCCCTCGTTGGCTTGCCCCTTTTCCCATGGTGCTACAAAGACTGGATCGTCGTGTGACCCAGGCTAGAGATACGAGCCTGTTCGAGAAGTAAAGGTGCACGCTCACGAAATTGGTGTCACGATGAGATCCAGTTTGGTTGAACCATACAGGTCTCTCTCTGTAGTATATCGTATCACACAACTAGTGGTAATAAGGGAATAAGATTCCAGTCCTCTGAGGCAGGCCTACTGGCGATAGATACGTAGTAAGTATTTCTTAGCTTTTGAACTTGCTTCATTAGTCATTCTGAGCCCATGACTCACTTTCTCTACTTCACTTACCCTCTCTAAAGTCACTTGCTCATTCTCGTACTCAATTCAGCTGTACTTTTCTATTCGTACAAACGCGATAATGGCAGGTCCTGACCCCCGTGCCATCAACCGCAATGCCGGCTTCCTACACAATGACACGACGGGCCGTCACCCGAATCTGCCTTTTACGTAGAGAAATGCTCAAGAACTCTGTTTGCTGTAGCAAGTATTATTAAATAATATACAGGTTTCCATTGTCGACAACTACACTATACACAAGAAAAACAAGTTAAACACTGGGCATCCCCCTGAACGCACCACCAAAACGCCTCGCTCCTGAAACCCGCCCAAACTCCCGTCATGCCATGTAATTTTGTTGCAAACGCCCCTACGTGGGAAAAGCCGTTTAACTACCTCACTTAACCGATTTCGACGTATATGCCGGCGGCGGCAGTGTAGAATTTGTACCTGTCCTCGGTGGCCCCTGAGAAGCCAAGTCCACATGCGTAACACTCAACGCCGGCGCAAGCACCGATCCCTCAGCCCACTCTTTATACGCCTTAATGATCTCCTCCTGACCCAGACGGGCCGACCTGAGGAACTCCTGGTCCTCGCTTGGACCCACCACAGTGACCGGCGCGCTTCCCGTGAAATCGCGGTTCTTGCCCCGGCACTCGACGACAATCTTCCATTTCAGCTCGTGGACATGGCTCAGATGGTGTGTCTCGAACGACGGAAAGAGCGGTTCGGAAAATGGTACCAGAGGCAGGCCTGCCATGGAGACACCTCGAGATAAAACGGATAGGTTTATCTGCTGGCCGATGTCGATAGCGTCACCCAATACGTTGCGGCCGATCCAGAGCCGCTTTTCCACCGGTAGGAGAGATGGTCTTGCCACCTCGATCGGGTTTCGTCGGTGGCATTGTAGCCCCATATGTCGAGGTCACGGCAGGACGTCGAGCTCCGAAGCCGGAGTTCCAGGTCGTCCAGTGTGACTGCTGGAGGCTTATCCGCAACGAACTCTGTTGTGTGTTCCAGTGCTTTCTCCGGGATAACTTTAAGTCGAAACGAAATTGGCTTCGGGTTTTCCAACTGGATGACGGAAGGGTGTTCGACAACGACGGAAAAGGAGTACTTTGGTATGCTGGACCGCTTGAAGATGGTCCGCATGTGCTGACGGAGTGACAGACTCGTCTCAGCATATTCCGGCTCAAAGTGGAGGGTCTTGACGGTCTGGTGCGAGATCTGCGACCGTGGCTCTTGGTTTGTGATCACTTCTGGGGTTGATCACAGCCGGATATAGAGCGGGAAGACAGCCGTTGCGAGTTCTTTTCCAGTCCGGCTGGTTATTATCTCAGCCTCGAGATAATACTCCGCATAGAGCCAGTCGCGATGCGCGAGTGGAATAGTCTGATAACCAGCGTAATAAGTGTGCGGTATTCGATTGGTCCACTGATCTGGCTGCACGCCATTGCGTGATACTAGTGTCTGAGGGATGACAATGGTGAAGGGCCAAGAGTTGATTACCGGTAGTACTTGTCCTCGGTAGACCTCTTGACTGATGTCGCACAGAGTAAGTTCTCCATCGCGATGCGAAGTTTTTCTGTTCCCGTCGCTGTTGGTGCTGGATTTCGTCACTCTTGTGACGATCTTCCCAACGAGTTTGACCACCACCGTCACATTTTCCAGACACCCCTCAATTTGAATCTTCTTCACCACCCCTTTTATGACGCTTCCGGGCACATAGGAGAGCTGGGGATCTGCCAGCTCAATGCTGGCGCTGGTTGATTGTTTCAGTCTGTTGGGATGCATATGTAGCAATTTCTGGCATTCAGAACTGGAAGACAAGGTCTTTTTCGATGGCTGCGGTGGAATCTGACTGACATATATGTTATGTGTCTGCCTGGTAGTCGTGGTACAGCCGAAACATCCTTCGCGTGAGACCGACGGTGGCAGTGCAGTCCACGGAAAGCGCAGAGGGCTGAGCCTGCCATGAATGCGTCCTGTTTCTTGGCCTGCATTCGACCCATGATACGCTGACTCTCATAAGGATGATACCCTACCGTTTGACTTCACGTTAAAAGTTGAGATCCCAACCTAGAAATATCGCGAAGAGTAGCACTATGTTATCTTAAAGAGCAACAACGATTCAGAAATATAAAGAGCGATGAAACCTTGATAACACTTCAAAATCGGGGTAGATAGAGTTGGTGGCTATGAAGAAGGCTTAACGAGGAAGTGTTATTAGTTCTCTATTCGGCAGCGATACACAGGGAATATAGAGTGTATGTTATAAGGCTTCTTTACGAAGTAGAATTGGAGAATAAAGCCGTTCAATTGCTACTAGCCTTAGTACAGTAGCTAGAAGATACAGATTCTAACGAGGGGCTACCTTTGAATACTTACAGTCAGCGAGTTCGCTACTGAAATACAGGTGTAAATAGGTTTATCTATACCTAAGTTGAAGGTTCTCCACCGAGGTTATACTCGGGGTGTTTCGAGACAGCTAATATGTAATTGTGGATACATTAACAGTTCAACCTGTAGCCCCCCTACGCCGACACTGTATTGGGAAAATGGGTCTGGTGCGCACACATATGGCCAGAAGCTCCATATTGCGGACTCGTTCCACTCGGCCATGATTTCATCGGTCATCTCGACCCAGTTGACACCCTATGCTCCTTTTTGGCCGTGACGTTGCCAATCGACTTGGACTTTGTAGATACTGGCGATCAACTTCTGGTTTTCGCCCCCTTGGTGTTATCAATGGCGAAGTTGGCGCATTGCTGGGCTAATTGATGGCAGGTTCGGATAGAGGCTAGAGACCAATCACGGCCATACCGGAGAATCTGCGATGAGAAACTCTGTAAAGTCCTCCCAGTTATTGCAAACAACGGCGATACGGATCCATCTTTCCATTATGATGTCTAAGACAGGCAAGTAATCATCGAAGTACAAATGCTGTTTCGTCTGTCAAGGTTCGGAGTGGTGTGGTGGTGATGATGACGAGGCTGAATATTTGCTTGGTTCAATAGCTTGACTGGCTGAGGTCGGACGAAGGATGGCCTTGAATCATCAGATGACCCGCTTGTTCCACTTGATTAACTGGGGATTGCGTTGGACTGATAAACCTCCAGTGCCAAGAAAGGTGCGGCCTGCGGCTCAAACCATGGAGGCCATGCCCACCACCTTGACGTCGGTGTCAAGAGGCAACGCTGCCTGTGTTCTTTACAATTGCATATGCAGCTAGCAAAGGTTCCTGGGCCAGCACCTTCCCCTATTGCGATGTACCGTTACTGCAAAGAGTGTGTTCGTTCACAAGAGTAGCGGTGACTGAGTCCCTATAACATCCATGAACGGAATATCAAAGGACACCAATCCCTACCCTGGCACAGGAGCTTGAGCGGGGAAATCCCGCTCTCCCAGGCAGCCCTGTTTCCCAGGATCCCTCGTTCAAACTTACTCAAGCAATCATCATGGTGATGGGAACACATCCCTCGCTAGTGCATAGTCTATGGAGACGCCACATCCAGACGTCCGTTGGCTTCAACAAACTCCTTACACGTATAACAAGTAAACAGACTTGGGCGCTTCGTAATACGAAAACATATCGTGTCACAACGTCGCATAACCTCCCTACTTGAGTTCATGTAAGGGGCATCCACCCAATTTACATCCCTTGATTGTTCTGTCCTCAAGCAAGGCAACTGAGCCTCATCAGCTCAACCAACCGGCTCAACATCAGGGCCTGACCATCGCAAGTGCCAAAACATTATCTTAATCTTCATCCGAGCGAGACAAATTGGCGGCTCGGGCGACATTTCGGATAAAGAATGAAAGGGATAGAGACTAGCTAGCTTGATTTCCTTCAACTGGCTCAAAATTATCGTGATTATCATTGAGCCAACCATCCAGCAACCACATCGCTCATAGATTAATGCGACAACCAAGTATCAGCAACATCAGTATTATATTGTCTATCACAGTCCCTTGCGACTGTCCGTCCTAAATGTACAGTTGAATATCATAAGCGTGGCAAGTCGTCAATTCTCATTCATCGTGAGTTCCAAGCCAAAAGCCCAGATGCAAAGTAGTCCTCGGTGCCTGTACAACCAAAATCGTTATGGCCAAGCCAGCCGACTTGCCATATGCCCTTATCATCATCAACCCTAGGTTGGACCAGTGGCGAGATGCTTGCAGGGCTCAGCCATTTCATTTCGTTTCGTCTCGTCTTGTCCCTTTTGTTCGTCCGCCATCATGTCATGTCATGTCGGAACCTTTCCGACAACCCTGTATAAAAACAATTGGAGAATCAAAACGTATTCCCCGCGTAAAATAGCTTCCCTCCAGCATTACAAAAGCTGTGTTATCATAACGCCAAAGCTTGGTGCATCCAGGTCGTGAGTAGGTTTCCGGTCGTAATAGCATGCAAAAATAAAAGCAGACAATCACTTCATGAACCCATGACGATGTCTCTGATGGCCCATCTCCAGGCATCGTCATCTCGGTCAACGGTGCCGATCCACTTCTCACACTTCTTACGCCAGCGCTCTTCCTCTTCGCGTTGGCGTCGCATAAACTCGGGCCCAACGTCGAACTCCTCGCCCACCAGCCAGTCGTCTCTGACATCACTCGCGCGACCATGTGTGCGCTCACCAGAATCCGTGTCCTTCTCCTCGAGATCGGGAATTCCTCGGAACGGGTCGTCTTCGTCATCTAGCGCATCGAACCCGTCCATTGGGTCATCCAATCTACCCGAGGAAGTGGCTGTGTCGACTTTGAGCCAGCACATCTGCTGTGGGTCGAACACCATATCACCGACACGCTTGACGCCCTTCGTTGCGCTCATATTGGTGATAAGCACAGGTCGAGGCGTTGTGTTTTCTTTCTCCCGCATCATGTACGGAATGGATGCCGTCGATGGGGTCGAAAGAGGAACATCAAAGACATTCAGAACGTTCTCGTTCCCTTCCCAACGAAACGTATCTGGGTTGTAAATCATGCCATTGACTACTAAATTTGGATTAGCCGATAGTGTGCGCCATGCGATCCAGTACACGTACCTTTTGATTCCTTCCCAGAATTGAGATTGGATATCAAATGCGGCTTTAATTGCTGAGGCTTTCGAGTCTTCCTTGACCGGATTGTCGTTGGCGGGGATTGACCGGCATTCAAATGTGGCCTAGCGGACAATTGGGCGACGCGATTTGTCGGCAATGGCCCGACGGGTGGTGTACGTTGTGCTAGACTTGCTTCCCTAGCCATGCGACTGGCAGCAGTGTCTCGAGCAAAGTGAGGCTGATGATCCACCTTGACAGGTGTATGTGGTATGACAGGAGATGGCGTATTGCGATCGGGTAATACGTTCTGGTATAATCTGTTCCTGATGTTTGTTCGGTTCCCACTGCCGATAGGCTGTTTGGTGAACTTCGACTCCGTGTGTGCTGATGTCGGCAAATCATCAAAAACGTCCAGCTCATGACCGTCGCCAAATTGGCGGAGGCGGCGAGGTTTATTTAGTTGTTGCCACGGTTCCGCAGCCACCTTCTCCACAACGCGAGGTCTTCGTGGGCTGGGCGACCTCATTGTGGATCGCGACATGGTTCGAGACAAGGGTCGAAACTCCGAGCCCTGGTCGGAATCACGACGCCGAACCACCCGAGAATTCTTCGAGGCCACATGCTGCGACTGTGTGTTTGAGGCTCCAGCGGGTAAGAAAGGGGTTTTACGGGCCTGAGGCGCAATTCCCTCATACGCATTGCGGGCTCGATCAACTGGCGTCTTCGGTCGCAAGGTGCTTTGGGGCCTGCTGGGGTCCGTTCGTGATGGTGGCCGATCGTATCGAGAAGTCACGGGCCGGGCAGGGGAGCCTGGGCCCTTCATCACCGGCAGAGATCTCTTCAGTCGCAAAAGCTGGGCACTGGTTGTGGCGGCCGCCTCGTTTCTCAGAGTTCCAGTTGATACCTTCTGACCGAGTTCTCTTCGTCGCGGGGTAGAAGGCTGGATTGAGACACCGTAGGAGGGCGTAGTAGGTGTGTGTACGCTAGACACCGATGACTGAGTAGAGTGGCCCAGTCTCGACTGAGATCTTCGAGATGGTCGCGGTAGAATTGGACCGCCGCTTTCCGACACGGGCTCCAATGACGACTGGGTGTGAGATCGTTCATGGCTCACCATAGGCCGTGGTAGACGGGATATTGACGGTGGGGTGGGTTTGTTGGTGAAGGTGATAGACACGGCCGTCTTTGGACGCGCAGGGCTGATGGGTCGAGATTCTTTTACCCTTATATTGCGGTGCAGAGTGCTTTTGCCCGAGCTGAAAACATCTCCGTCGCCGAAGTCAAGACCGTCGAAGAGATCCTCTTTCTCGGTTGTTGGTGTTTCGAATTGCCGGGATGATCGAGGCCGCTTGCCCATGTCAGAAGGTCTTTCTGGGGATCCACTCTGCTTGCGACGCTTGAGTCGCTCGCCGAGGTCCAAGGGTTCATTCGGCAGAACCAGACCGTCAAACGCATCGTCTTCACTCTCAGCTGTCGAACTAGAGATGCTAGGACTCATAGCGGATGAGCTGCGATGAGATGCACCTCGTCGAGTACCTCCAAATCTAGTTCCAAGGCTGCCTTCTCCCCAATCGAAGTCATCCCCATTACTGAGATGTGGTGTCTTAGGAATATCCTTCCGGCTGCTCAGCTTGAGTTTCCCACTTGATGGAAGCTCCAAGTCCGTTTCGAAGTCATCCTCTTCCTTTCCGAGGGTTTTCAGAGGCGTAGGAGGCGTAATTGTAGAGATAGATCGAATTTTAGACGCCTTGATGGTGGTAGAACCATCGTCGCCAAAAACATCGTCATCATCATTGTCCCGATATCTCTCCAAATTGACGGGTGAAGCGAGCCTCATGGTCTGATTCTGTCGTAGCGGTTCTTGAACGGGAGCCGGTTTGAACTCTTTGACGGGGCTCCCGTTTGCCGAGCTGCTGATTTGTCGCAAGATTGCTGGAAACATGCTGCCATCCCGAGGCTTTATGCGAAGGGTTTGGCCGTTGTCGGGCAGCTCCAGGTCCTCATCCCAATCTTCTTGGAAAATCGTCTTGATTTTCTTTCCGCCCAGGCGCTTGATGGTACCACCCATGAGGGCAGAAGGCGGAACGTTCTTTGGTATTGGAATGCCGGCATTGGTAGCTGCAGCGATAGCATCTAGTGTCGACTTCTCGTCGTCTCCAGGTAGATGAAGATGCCTCTCATCATCTCCGCCCAACGACTCGCGGTCGGATTTGAAAGAGGCGCGGCTGTCGCGCCGGTTGAAGTTATTACTCGTATTAACCGACGAGTTTCGGAATTCGAGGTCATCATTGTCAATCATAAAATCATCATCATCCCAGTCTTCAACCACCTCCTCCACAGGCTGCCGAGGCTTCAGTCGTAAGGTATCCATGGTATATGGGGTTTTTTATTTGGGTGAAATGCGGGTCGAAGCATGCAAACGCAGGCGAGGATATGTAGTATGTGTACAGGGCGGATCTCGGTGCTGAAACTGTGGTATTGCTTTCGCGGATTGACTTGTTGAGCCAGTACTACCCCCGTGTGGTGTAGCTCACATCGCCCTCACCAGAATGAGATCCAAAGGTAGGAAACCAGCACGATTCAACACAGCTTATCGCTCTCAGCTCTCGATATTAATATCCGAAAACCATACCAACATCAATCGCTATTCCCGCTTCCTTGTTGCATTTTCTCGAATTTCCTTCGCAAATGGGCTGGGGGGGACGTTGAATTGAGTGTTGATGCGGTCGTGTGGAATTCACAGAACGAATTCTGGGTGTACGCGGTATGGTGAAGGGGTCGTGATCCTACAAATTTATTGCTTCAATTGTGATCTTCGGTTTGGCTCGTGGAGTGTTTTCGACTCCGCACCAGATGCGCGAGCCGGGATCGAGGGATGGATCTCAGTAGGGAGTACAGCAAGGCGGAGGCGTTGATGGAACGGCACCTGACAACAAAATTTTGTAGGTCTTGATGCAATAGGAGTGAGGCTGTATAGGTGCGAAAAAGTCTGCAACGGAAATGTGGAAAGCAGGAACAGGAACTGGTGAATCTAAGGCAATGGGAGAGCGTGAGGTTGGTTGATTGGTGTGCTGCTATTCCTGTCTGGTGGAGGGAAAATGGCTGGGAGACCGGGTCTTTGGATGGTGGGTGGCCGGCCATCTGGGCGCAGCACAGGCCAACTTGGGACCCTGGCCCCGCTAAAAGAACACCACGCAACACCGGCCACATTAAAAGCACAGACCCCTCCAGCTGGGGAAACAGGGGCTCAGAAAAAGCATGCAAGTGGAGGCAAACAGGATTTCACATTGCCTTCACATGGGTGTGCCGTTGCAGCATTGTCTTTTTTTTCCTCATGGCGGCGCGAGTCTGACGCGACGCGTCAAAGGTTTAATACATATTGTCAAAAAAAGAAATTTTGAATATAAGAAAAACGACACAATGTGTTCCGCATTACTCCTCAAATCCTTGTGCCATTATGTTACTTAATCTCGAAATGTCTCAAAAGTCAAGCAAATGGGTAATTTTGAGCATTGTGTCATTAGCAATTACTTGGCCTGCTCAATGGAGCTCTGGAAGATTGGGAGTCATCTAACCCAGCTAGGTGCACGTAGTAGTCCCGTGCTAGCCAACTCATGTCTGTCTTTTGAGGCCGTCGCGGGAGCTGGTGCCTGAAGAGCTGCCTAGTACGGTCTGAGAGTAAGACAAGCAAGCATCTTAGTGAAGGTGAAGGTTTTATGCAGAGTACTTAAAGACCAAAGTAGTTTCCTTTTTATTACTCTTTGAGCTTCTGCATCGTAGATTATGCTGCAGACTCATCCGTTGCGGCTGCTGTTCAAGGATCCACGGTTGTTGCAGCGCGTCGATGGGTGTCACGTAAACCCTTTGTCGAATGACCTCCCATGTCCCCGAGCTCCCTCGAGACTTCCGCAATCATCCTATGGATGTAGTACTACCCCACACTCCGACTTCAGTTTAAAGCTGAAACACACGATTCAGCGTGGAAACCCAGAGCTTGATATTTCCCGTCGTTTATCTTGACAATCCCGGTGGTTCCTTCAATCTCACTTCCCCATTCCGGACTTCCCAGCGAACGCCCGGCCAAACCTTATTTGGGAACTGCTGTATCGCTTGCCGTTTTCGTTTCATCTCCGTCGACTGTCAACACAATATGGCAGAATCGCGCCTGCTCCGTTTTCCCGTGTCGGGAACCGAGGATGGAGATGAGTATGTCGTCGTCGAGGTCGTGTCGAACGGATCCAAACCACTCGACATCAAACTCAAATGTACTGAAGGGGAAGCTGTCTACTTAACCAAGAGTAAGGATTCCCCTTCCAAATTATGCGCCGTGATGATCGACGCGGGATCCCAGCACGCGAATTTCATGCTTTCGCGAGCCTAATAGGACGACGCTCTTGAGACCCTGGACTGATTATTTTGTTTTTGTTATAGTACGTCATAACCGGGTTGCCGAGCTCAAAGCTTCTGGCAGCCAGTGCACCAATGAGGAATGGCAACAGATCTTGATATCAAGCTTGATCGATCAAGAGGGCGGCACTAGCCCTCATGGCATCGAGATCAGTGCCAAGGTCCACTCACAGATCGACGTCACGCTCAACTTTCGCAAGGACATCGAAGGGATCAAGGTAAGTACCCGGGCTAAGACAGCCTGTGTCGGGTTTACCCTTCCCGCACCCCCCGGGATCTGACACTAACATGAATGATAGAAAGCACTTGGATCGATCAAATTAAAGGAGAACTCGGAGGAGGAGGAGGGCATATCCCCGTTCGAGTGGTGCGTTGCTGTCATCGGGTCCCGTGCGAAGACAGCGCAGGATCTAGCCGCGGCCAACACCAAAGCGGCCGCGCTAGAGCATTCTGTCAACGAGTTGAAGGACCAACTAGAGGGGCTCCTCAAAGCGAAGGAAGACGACGAGACGCATATGCTCGAGAAGTTCAGGGACCTGTTGAACGAGAAGAAGCTCAAGATCAGGCAGCAACAACGCCTCATCGCATCTGCTAACGTCGACCCCGTCAAGCTGGAGAACGTCGGCGCGAGTCAGGATACGCTGAGGAAAGCCAAGGCTTCGAGACAAGCGAAAAGGAAGGTGGAGGAATCAGATAGCGATCAGGGGTTTGAGAAAATGGATGTCGATGAAAGCGGCGAAGACGATGACCAAAAACCCGAGGTAGATCCATACATGGACGAGCGACAGACAACCGACGATGAGACGCAAAGTGAGATGGATGACAGTGAAGAAGCACCGCCTCTCGCAGCAAAACGAAGAGGGAAAGTCATACCAACTCGGGCGAAAGCTGGGACCGCGAAGGGCAAAGCGAAATTAAAGCAGTCGACACCTCCAGCTAAGTCCAAGCCGGCACTTAAACCAGCCCAGCCAGATAATGCGCGTGACGATTCAGCATCTCCACCGAGGAGGAATCTCCCCTTCATGAAGGGGAAGAAGGCCCCTCCGCAATCTCAGGTAACGGCAGGCGATGATGAGACGGAGTCTGATGATGAGCTATGAAAAGTCTATGGCAGACCACCTGCCCTGCATACCTTATCTTGTTCCGATCGTTTGCTCGTGTCATCCTCGACATACTTGCGTCATATACTTATATTAGGCGTTGACGTAGATGTGGTTCTGAGTTTTGGACACAACGGCGTGGCCACGACAGCTGAACACCCCTCGGAGGCAGAATCACGCGTACCTAAATTGATCTTCTCGCGGGAAACTCAAATGTATTGAGGCATCTGGTTTGGAATAGAATTTGCCAAATCCAACATAGCTGAATTCGGCGCGCTGACCTTATCTTCGGTCATCAGCAGCGAACTTGTTACTCCAGAAACCCCTGAAGTGCTTTTCAGTCCCCAATTCTGAGATCTGCTCGATTTCCTTCGGCGTGAGCTTGAAATCTGGAAGTTTCTTCATGTACCCCTGCAGCCTCTGCTCACTCCCGCTCGTGGTAATCGTCACAACCCCCTGGTCAATGCACCACCGCAACGCAATATCCGCTTCCGTCACCCCGTACTTGCTCGCGAGCGCCTTGTACATCCCGTCAAGCGGCCCCGGAGACGCTTTAGTAACCGCGGTCAGCGGGCCGTACGCCGACACGGCAATGTTATGCTTGCGGTGGTACTCGAGCAGATCCCCGTGCTGGAGATACGGGTGGAACTCGATCTGGTTAATTACCGGCTGGATCTTAGCTGTCTGGCGAATCGTATCGAGGTGCTCCTGCAGAAAGTTGGATACCCCAATAGACTTGGCTTTTCCAGACTCCTTGATGGCTTCCATCTTGGCCCACACCTCCTGCAGCTCCTCGGCCGTGTCCACCACGAAGGGCGAGTGAACCAGGTACAAGTCCACGTAGTCGAGGCCCAGCTTCGCGAGCGAGGTGTCGAACGCCGTCTGGACGTCCTGCTTCTTGGCGTCCCAAAGCTTCGTCGTCACGTAGAGCTTCTCCCGCGGCACGCCGGCGGTTTTGATGGCTGTGCCGAGCTCGGCCTCGTTGCCGTATGCTGATGTGGTATTAGCACGCAAATAGCATCGAACGAGTAACTAGAGCGGAGAGATCCAAGCATACACTCAGCGCCGTCCAGATGGAAGTAGCCATTATTGATGGCCATAGTGGCCAACTTAACAATTTCGTCATCCAAGTCAGCCTTTCCCTTGGCCTTGGATCGAGCGGTGCCCAGGCCGTACGCGAGCTACATCGAGATTGTTGTTAGCGGCGTTGAATCAGTGCTGAAGATGGGGCCGTACCATGGGTATCTCGGTCCCATCACTGAGCTTCAGATGGGGTATGTAAGGCATCTGCTTGGGCGCAGTACCCGAAGAGTCGGGCTTGAAAGCGGCGGTGATTGAGTGCATCTTGGTGAATGTTGTGAATAATGCTCTAGGGCTAGATCTAGGAATAAGCGGTGGTGTTTGTCGAAGAGGCACGGCTCCTGTAGTTGCTCTAAGTGACAAGGGAAAGCGGTGCAACGAAATAGTCTGCGATATTTTTCTGAGCATCTAGTCCGTTATATGTTTATTTTCGACTGTCTACGGTACTTAGGCTGCGAGGGCGGAGCGGAGTCGGGGTGGGCTGATATGCCGTAGTAGCGAAATATTGAGGTTCTATTTCAGACGAACATCAAAAACGTAAAGCAGTACCCATTTTTGATTTAATATTCGGCTAACGGCGCAGACAACTACGGCTGGGGATTCCATTGTGCAGTCCTTGATCATTCGTATGCCACGCACGAACGTCTCGAGATCGCATAAGCTTCAGTAACAAATTACGAGGTTTCTGTCCAGGACCGACTGCGTGAGCACTTGATCAAGGCATGTATTTAACATGGGAGTATGATTTAACTATCGTAGATGCCATACCAATTTGGTATCAATGAATGAAGGTATCGCAACCTAAACCAAAGCGTCTGCGTACCAAGGTAACTGACGCCAATCTTGAGAGCGATGGCGGGGCAAGTGGATGACGTTATCTCGCGTTTGCATGCTTCGGTGATAACGGCGCGATAGAGCAAGCTGCAAAAGAAAGCTGCCACGGCCCGCTGTCTCGACACCAACAACACCTGTGAGATACATGTCAAATGGCCATTAGTACAGGTGACATATATCCACTCAGAAAACCGAATCAACTCATTTTTTAAGGATTGATGGTTCGAAGAGACAGAGCTAGTGCAGTCACACCACAAGTACGCGAATCGGGGACCTTGGCGCCGGAGCTTTCATGTCGCCACCCGCATGACCGTTACACCTCCCTCGCAAGCCACTTAGCTTGACATAGATTAGTAGCATACTCCCAACTTACATAATGACTTGACTATTCGAAAATGTCCTCCACCACAACAACCCCTTCACGATAATCGCGACTCTCTCCTTCCGCACTGCATGCAACAGTGCGTAATCTCATAGAAGACCAACCTTATGCTCCTCTCCCTCCCCCTCCGCCGACCAGCCGCTCCACGCATGCGACTCGCCCAAATGGCCGCCACCATGTCCTCCAGTAGTAGCCCTTCGCCTAAAGGCGCCTCGTCCATAAACACTATACCCAAGTCCTGGACGTATACCTCCAAACTTCCCGCCGATTCTTTCTTTCCCACGCCGGCCGACTCGCACAAAACCCCCCGTGACCAGATCGGCCCCCGCCAAGTCCGCGATGCCGCCTTCACCTGGGTGCGCCCCCAACCGGTTGAGTCGCCCCAACTCCTCGCCATCAGTCCAGCCGCTATGCGCGACTTGGGTATCACAGGCGGCGATGAGAAGACGCAAGATTTCGTGGATACGGTGGCCGGGAACAAATTACACGGCTGGGATGAGGCGAAGCAAGAAGGCGGGTATCCCTGGGCGCAATGCTATGGTGGCTTCCAATTCGGACAGTGGGCCGGGCAGCTGGGCGATGGAAGAGCGATCAGTTTGTTCGAGACGACGAATCCGGAGACAGGGGTGCGGTACGAACTCCAGCTCAAGGGCGCGGGACTGACGCCATACAGCCGGTTTGCCGACGGCAAGGCGGTGTTGAGGAGTAGTATACGCGAGTTTGTGGTTAGTGAGGCGCTGCATGCGCTCGGAATACCGAGCACGCGGGCCTTAAGCTTGACGCTGCTGCCGGGTGTCAAGGTGAGGCGCGAGACGGTCGAGCCGGGGGCTATTGTGGCCAGGTTCGCGCACAGCTGGTTGAGGATTGGGAATTTTGATTTACTCCGCGCGAGGGGGGATAGGGACTTGATCAGGAAATCGGCTACTTACGTGGCCGAGGACGTCTTGGGTGGTTGGGAGGCGTTGCCCGGTAGACTGGATGACCCGGATCAAGCTGTTAACTCGCCTGCGCCTGGTCGGGGGGTAAAAGTCGACAAAGTGGAAGGCCCGGACGAGAGTGCCGAGAACAGGTTCACGAGGCTGTACCGCGAGATCGTGCGGCGCAATGCGCTGACGGTGGCAAAGTGGCAAGCGTACGGCTTCATGAACGGCGTGCTCAATACCGACAATACCTCCTTGTTCGGGCTATCTATCGACTTCGGCCCTTTTGCATTTATGGACAACTTCGATCCCGCCTACACACCAAACCATGACGACTATATGCTGCGGTACAGCTACCGCAACCAACCGAGCATAATCTGGTGGAACCTCGTCCGACTGGGCGAATCATTCGGCGAGCTCATCGGCGCCGGCGCTCGCGTGGACGACGAGAAGTTCATCGCAGAGGGCGTCAAAGAAGAAGAAGCGGATGACGTCATCAAGCGCGCCGAGAAGGTCATCACTCAGGTAGGAGAGGAGTACAAGGCCGTGTTCCTGGCCGAATACAAGCGTCTCATGCTCGCGCGTCTGGGGCTGGAGACATACGTAGATAGCGATTTTGATGACATGTTCAGCAGTTTGCTAGACACCATGGAGGCCCTCGAGCTGGACTTCAACCTGTTCTTCCGGCGCTTGAGCTCGGTCAAGATAGCCCACCTCGACACGCAGGAGGCGCGGGAGGTTAAGGCTGCCGTTTTCTTCTACCAAGACGGCGTGACGGGCAGCGGAGGTGAAGAGGAAGGCAGGAAGCGGGTCGGGGAGTGGCTCGGAAAGTGGCGGCAGCGTGTGCTGGATGATTGGGGCAACGGCACGATGGTGTCCGAGGAGCAGGATCGAGAGAGGCGGGAGGCGATGAAGAAAGTGAACCCAAATTTTATCCCACGGGGTTGGATATTAGACGAAATCATCAAGCGGGTGGAGAAAGATGACGAAAGGGAGGTCTTGGACAGAGTCATGCACATGGCACTGCATCCTTTCGAGGAAAGCTGGGCTGGCCGGACCTTTGATGGGGTTGAGTACAAAGGCGACAAGGAGGAAGAGACTAGGTGGACGAAAGACGTCCCGAGGATGGCAAGAGCTATGCAATGTAGCTGCAGCTCGTAAATATCGCTATGATAAGTGATAGGACGAATAAATTTGTGTAATATGTAAAACTGCGGTTGTCTCATCACTAATACTGGCAAAAACAAAGCCTGGTCACGTTATATACTTTCTCTACTCCTCGATTCCGTGTTATATGTACAGGACAATGTAGGTGCCAACAAAGGAAACCCCAACCCCAAAGCAAAGTTATATGGATATTTTTGACTTTGTTTACTTCGCTGCGCCTTACTCATACGCCATACGCTACTTGCCCCATTGGCTTGGTTTCATCCATGCCAGGTGCCATGAAGTCCGTCTTGGGGTTGCCTGTTGACTTTGCTGCTGAGCAACGTGCCATCGTTGGCGAGCTAGGAATTAGTTAGTCTGATGTCCAGTTCATCGAGTAAGACGAGAGTCAGTATCATACCTTCGAGAGATTGCGTCTGTGAAATAGAAATCCTCAATAACCTTCTTCAAGGGCGAGCCGCTTGGCTTGGTACCCTTATTCTGATCCACCAGTTGCACCTTGCTGAGCTGCTGCAGTGATGTTGGTTCAACGATGTCATATGATGCGAGCGCCGGACTGATTTCCGCCATCCTGTCTCGGAGTTGGGCGACATCATCATATGGGAGAGGGGCGCCGAAGAATTCGCTGATAGCGCGAATGATCTTCCAATCAGTTCGAGCAGCGCCTGGTAATGAAGTGGCAGCACGGGTCATTTGGACTCGGCCTTCGGTGTTGACATATGTACCGGCCTTCTCGGTGTACGCGGCACCTGGCAAGACGATATCTGCAATCTGGGCACCACGGTCACCGTGGTGGCCTTGGTAGATAACAAAAGCATCCTTGGGGATATCAGATTCGGTAAACTCGTCAGCCCCAAGCAGCCAGACCATCTTGGGCTTGGTCTGAGCAACCTCGGCGGAAGGAGGGACGAAGCCAACCTCGAAGGCACCGGCTCTCGAAGCCTCACGTTGAAGAACATTGTAACCGTTGTGCTCGGGTGTCAAGAAATTTGCGGCGTTCTTGTCGACGAAACCACCAATGAGCTCGAAGAAGGCCTTGGCATCAGGGTGGTCAGTGACACCGGAACCGACCACGATCATGGGCTTCTTGGCCGCCTGGAGCTTCTTGCCGAACGGTCCGGCCAGAGCCGACTTAAGGGCCGCAAAGTCAACACCGAGGTGCTCGAACTCGAAGGTCGATTGAAATTGCTCGCCAACGACACCGATTTCCAAATCTGATCTCAGCCATTGCTTGCGGATGCGGGCGTTCAAGCCTGCGGCCTCATGCCTGGGGTTGGAGCCAACGATGAGCATGCAGTCAACGTCCTCCACTCCCCATATCAACGAGTTGAATAGGTAATTGGTCCGTACATCAATACCGTGAGCCACTGGCGCGTTGCCAGCAGGAACGTCAACAGTCAAGTTCTCGGAACCTAGCTTGTTGGCAAGATCTTTCATCGCCACCATAGACTCCACCTCCGTAAGAGCGCCAGCAATAGCCTTGAACTCATTCTCCTTTGGTTGTAACTGCTGGTATGCGGCGCCAATATGGGTCAAAGCCTGTTCCCAGCTGGCAGGCTCAAATTTGCCTCCCCTCCGGACCAAGGGCATAGTCAGACGCTGGGTCTTAAGGCCATCACAAGCGAATCGAGTCTTGTCGTTGATCCACTCCTCGTTGACATCATCGTTCAAGCGGGGAAGAACGCGCATGACCTCGAGACCTCGAGAGTCGACACGGATGGCAGAGCCTAAGCCATCGAGAACATCGATGGACTCGGTTTTCTTCAGCTCCCAGGGTCGAGCTCGGAAGGCGTAGGGCTTTGAGGTGAGGGCTCCCACAGGGCAGAGATCGATAACGTTTCCCGACATCTCCGAGTCAAGGTTTTGCTCCAGGTAGGTACCAATCTGAATGTCGTTTCCTCGTCCTGTAGAGCCCATTTCTGGTGCACCGGCAATGTCGTTTGAAAACCGGATACATCGCGTGCAGTGGATACACCTGTTCATGGACGTCTTGATGAGAGGTCCAATGTTCTTGTCTTCTACCGCACGTTTGCCGCCGATTTCGTGGAATCGCCCCCTGTCGGCGCCATATCGCATTGACTGGTCCTGGAGATCGCATTCGCCACCCTGGTCGCAGACAGGGCAGTCCAATGGGTGATTCGCCAGTAAAAATTCCATGACACCCTCTCGGGCCTTGTGTGTGATGGGCGAGTTGGTCTTGACAACCATGCCAGGCTGTACGGGCCATGCACATGATGCGACGGGCTTTGGTGCTCTCTCGACTTCGACCAGGCACATACGGCAGTTACCAGCAATCATTAGTTTTCTGTTCCATTTGTCAGCGAGGGTTTCGTTCGATAAGGGAATCGGGTCGGCGGCGGTCGTACTCGTGGTAACAATATCTGCCGCAAGGTTAGCATCGCGGCGTCTGACAGTATCTGGGGGAAGAATCGAACAAACCTTGGGATTGTAACTCCGGCCTTCTCGCATGCTTGAATTAGCGCAGAGCCAGCTGTGTGCTTCAGTCAGTTCAACGTCGCCTCGACGCTTTTCATCTCGGTCCGTACCTTCAATAGACACTTTCTTTCCATCTACATGGCGGTCAGTAGGTTCCCCGAAAAATCCATCGCAAATGCGAGTAGCAATTACTACTAACCAACAGTGAGCTCTACTTCGGCCGGCCGGGGAGCTGTCACAGAAAAGGCTCTCGAGGCATTGGCGGCATGTCTGCCTGTCCGCCAAGCCGAACGAGCAAGCGACTGTCGAAGCATCGTGTCGTCTCGACGGAATTGGGCGTTCTGAGGAAGACGAGATGCCCGGATGGGTGCTGAGACGGCTTATTGAATGGGGCCTTTGAAGTGTTGACGTCTCTCGAGAATCTGTCGGGATAGTAGAGCCACTAGCGTCGTTTTTGTGAGTGCTTCAACTAAGCAAGTTCGCCATCCACTCAATTGGTCAATTTTAGGCGAGTGGGTCTCGACACCTCAGGCGCCAACGAATCCGGCCATATGGAGCTCACGAACTTTTTTCTCGTTTGGCTTTTTCCCTCTCTTCTACAACTCATTTTTTGGGCACATTTTATTGTAGGTGAGCTTGGGCGGAGCTCTGGTTTTCCAGAACTCTTGCTACATTCGAGTCTTCCTCTATCTTGTGCCCTAGAGCATAATTAGACGCCGTTATGGAAGCATGAGAGAAGCTTTCGAGTCTCGAGGATCAATGCCTCTTACCGCCGGTTGTTACATATCATCATGCGTAGTACCATTTCATAGTACAGTCTCTACACACAACATACAAGATATAGACCTAGCCGCAACGAGGACTTTCGATGGCCATGGATCAATTCTGGGAGACATGATGACGGCCTATTTTGCGATCGTCTTAAGTCTTCAAAATGACCGTATCTTGATTATGGACCTCTCTTATCGAGTTTCTGGTGACGGACACGCCCTGTATCCCTTGGTGCTGCCAAGCAGTCCTCTGGTTCACGCAGGATCAGCCAACATAGGCTCTGGCGCATTTTGAAACCAAAGTAGAACAGACAGATGTCAAATTCCAATTGGCAGGACTCCGGTTTGCTGCCCCAAAATTGTTCGAATTCACCACTCGATAGTTTCGCCAAACTGATCATTTGCTGTTGTCTCCTTTGGATGTGTTGTATACCACCTCTCCCACGTGGTTTTCTTAAACTCATTGCGTGGGTCTAGAGAGATGAACAACAGTCTCGTCCGCCTCTGTGCAGGCAAGCATGTTCACTAGTGATTCGTTGATATCATCAAACATGATCGTCAAGGCTTGTGTTGATAACTGTCTTTTATCACCAGCGTGAATCTCTGTGATCCTCTCCACAACTGCGATTGGATTCATTCAAAATACTCACTGCTCACTCACAAACCCCCTTGACCCCAGCGACCCAGTACCAAAATCAACACAAAAAACGACAACCTTCAAGGTCAAATTCTAAACCCAAAGATCATTCCAGAATTGTGATACACCCCGTGCAGCATATTGTACCACCCCCATTCTCAGGACAGTTGGTTGGGAAGTCCCAGGGCAAGTCTGTCCCGGGGACAAGGAATAGACGCAGCTGGGACAGCAGCGAGCTGCATTGCCGCTCCTCTCGCAGACCTGTAATGCGCTCGCAGGACACGACGCCTGGCGCTCGAGGAGTGCCGACTGTATAGATTAGTTCTCAGATGACGTTCGATCACTTCGTAGTACGCTGTCATTTGCAAATATGGCAAGCAGAAACGGGATATCAACGTGGACTCACGCCTAATGTGGCGCCCTGGCATGTTGTCAGATGGGAATTGTTGTCATGCTGTGTTTGGAAATTTGGCCAGACTTACAATGGCACAGCTTGCCAGTGTGACGGCTAGGAGTAATTTGATTTGCATACTGAGCGGCGAATGAGACTATGTTCTGATGAGTTGGACTTATTGGGAGTTCGATGGCCTGCTTTCAAGGGGCGGGCGGCAGTCGATTTATATAGACGACGACCAGACTTTACGAGCACGCTCTGATTGACTCGGCATGGATACTTCCGAGACCTTCGAGTTTCAGCAGCATAGTGGCACGTAAAGACTGTTACCCTTTCCGTGTTTCCTTGCCATGTTTGACAGTTGTGGCTTTCAGCTGGGCATCCACCCCAAACTCGTCCCCTATCAGCATAGCTTTGTTGGGCCGAGCCCGGAATCGCACACTTGGGCTGTAACGTGAATATCCAAAGACAAGAAAAGGCCGCTCTAGTATTTACTTTAATTGGTTACCCTGTCGGGTATGAAAAATCCTCGAGGCTTGGAACTCGATCCCGATTGCTGTGTTCTCTCGGTGGTTACTCCTAAGTCATAGACGAAACTTGCAGGTGAGGATTTTGGCTCGAAGTCCTAAGAGGCACCCACCATGGAAGTTGACTTTTGACAATCTTGGCGCATTCACCTCGGGTGATGCACCTGAGTAGCTGAAAGTACATCATGACATCTCTGTCAAGAGAATTGCTTGGGCTATGTGATTATTGTAGAAGGGTATCTATTGCAAACACATAGGTGGGTTTACTTGGCAAGGCAATTTTGACGCCTGACAGAGCTGAACTGAATAGCTACGGAATCCAGATTGGCGTGTGTTCCTTCCCTATGGCCTTGTTTGTACAGGTGGCAAGCATTGACTAGAGACTTATGAACCCCAGGTACCTTCTGTCTGACAATATGCTGGCATACTGAGAAGGATTGAAAAAAGATATGGAGGCCTGCGCCGCTGCCAAAGCCGTTAAGATAGATTTTGGCCCAATTGGAGACTCGCAATTACATCAGCCTTGGAACACCAATAGCGATGAGGATAGAATCCTTCGACTTCTCGTAAATGCGTTATGACGTTAACCCCAGTAAGTGGTACCCGAGTTGCAAACAATGATTACACAGTCATCGGGTGATTCGCTATTAACAGAGTCCTACAATATTCACTTGATCATCATACACTAGTTACACATTTCTGGCTTCATGAGCTGGCCCCTTGTGCGAAGAACTAGGAGACGGGGGAACTGAACAAAGTGGTTGCTAGATAGACACGGACAAGAAGCGCCCCCCGTATGGGCGGTACCACCACAGATTAGCAGTCTAAAAGCCAAATCAGTAACACCACCCTGACTAATCCATGCCTGCAACCCCAAACAGGTAGTCAATGGGCATTGAATACTCTGCCTACACAATTAACTGTAAGGTCTTGTTCGACGGTCTGAAGGTGAGTCGTCCCAGCTCCCACCGCTGAATTCAATTCTAGGCTTTTGCAGTTGCAAGTCAATATCAGTCAAAATCCATCCTCCCTTCAAAAGTTTAAGACAAAAGGGCTTGAGACCTTGCAGATACAAAGACATCACAACTTCGATATCCAGTAGTTATTTACTCTTGCCATTGCACAATAAGCATCGTCCATATGATTAATTTCCAAGCATAGATTCCAACTACATTGTTTCACCTTCACCGTACTGGTAATGATCTCTCGAAACAACAGGCGTTACTCACATGAGCTGTACAATAATCATGGGTATGAAGCCATGAAATGAACTTTATCAACATGGTTTGGTCTTTGTCATATGAACCGCATGCTGGCTGTAAACCGACCTGTGTGAGCACCGTCTCGAACCATGCCAAGATATCCCAATGGGGTACAGAGTCTTACCCCGTTCAAACGCAGTAGAAGAGCTGAACACAACCAAAACGGCCACATACGCTGCCGAGGATGAACTATCTTTATCGGGCTCTCTGAGAAAAGAGTCCACGAATCGAATCATCTAGATCTTGTTGCTATCCGAAGGCGATTGATAAAGATGTCCTCTCGCGTTTTCTACAGAATCATTGGAGTTCAAGGTACATGGCCTTCTCCACATTTATTGTTTCCGTAATTCGAGGAAAGGCGAAGAAATGAGAAAGAACTGCGGGCACATACGTTGCGAGACAGAGGCGAGCAAGATGGGGCCGAGAAAACTCAAGACTGCAACCACCACCAAGTCCAGCATCCTTCGATCCACCTCTGAGGCGCACACCCATCCCCGAGGATAGTGCGTCGAGAATTCTTGGGTCGTCGGGGGAATCTGCGAAATCGAGCAACTTGACACGGGCTGACGCCTCTTGCGACGATGCTTCAACATGAGGCCTTCAGAACCTGGGAATTGAACGATGAGTCGGTGAACCAGTCTTTCACCTCAGATCCAGAGTCGGTTTTCTTATTTCATTACATGTTTTAATTTCAAACAATAATAGAGCAGTTAATACCCGTTGAAGGAGTGGGTTAAATTGAATGTCGCTTTTCGTCTCAATCGGCATCGTCATGTTCATGTTTTTGGGCAAAAAGGTCCGACGCCACCATACGTGGCTTTCATTTGGTTACGAAGTAGATCTATCACCACATACATAAGGCTCTGATCTAATGACCATAGGGTTGTGGTGGTCTCCGGCATATTATTCTGTGAGACTGCTCTATGGTCTTGTTCTGCAGACGAATTAGCGATGGTCCACAGCCGCACAGTGTTTAACCTGACCTGACCTCTGTGAAATAGGGGATTGACTATTTTTGGTTGCTATGTTGATCAGGTATTTAATTGTCGAATTTTGGCGTAGCGATGCCATTTGGTGCGTCTATTCTCGGACACAAGTGTGATCGCCTGGAAAGGTACTGAGGATCTGGTGTACGTCATACCAGGTGCCAGTGATTGAAAATATCACCAGATATCTCAGGGATCGCACAGCAGAAGCAGCAGAAGCCTTCTGACAGTTTGAGACCTTCGCAATATTCGCCACAGTGATGAGTGTATTCCTAGTTTATGAAGCGGATAGCTCATTCTTTTTTTCCCTCTTTTTTGGAGAGGTATGTGGTTTCCTGGAAATAACTAATAGTGATATTTTCACGTCATCATATACGCCCAACTCAACTGAAATGCAACTTAAATATTTAGGGCAAAGAAAAGAAGTTGCAAATCTTGTTCGAAGCACGCACTGGCAACCAAGGTAGAAGATATGATATTCAATGACCTTGAATTGTTGTAATCACTTAAATCACTTAGTTGCTCTATCGTATCTCTCTCATTCAATGATCCGTCTCTACATGTGAGGTCTCGCCTCGGCGTATTTGGCAACCCGCAGTTCTTGGCTTCGAATGGTACTCTTTGAGCTGGTATCCCAATATAGAATATTTCAAATACACAAGCATTGTTTTGAGACTCCGGCCAAAATCCCGAACAGCTGGGTTTCGGTTACTATCGTTTAGCGACCAAGATCAATGCAACTCCATGTCAGTACCTGGGTCTTTCTACATAACAGCTGATAATTGTTAAGTCAGATGCAGAAGTCAAATACCTGGGAAGCTTAACTCCTTGTTGCAGCATTCCAAGCACCTCCCCTTTGTATGTAGACAGCCTCCTACTCCCGAGATCCTCTGGCCAAATTCCTCGTCGGGATCAAACCCAGTCGACATCTACCCAAGACAAGCATACAGTTATTAACAATCGTAAGTCACTCTGGAACCCAAAACACACAACAAAATGCGCCAAGAAACCCCTTTAGTAGCCAAATTGGCCGTCGTAGGTCCTCGCCTTCGAGACCGTTAGCCTCCCCCGCCCACGTCGACTACTCCATCACGCAGAACCTGCGCCGGGGATGCCACCAAGCCGCGACCCGGTGGATGGAATTATCAGCATCGGCCTAGCACCCACCGCACGCTTCGACCAGATCGACGTCGCCTCCACCGACATCATCCAGCCGCATCACCTCAATACCTGGGGTGTGAGTCTTTTGCCTGCTACCGGCTGATAGCCGCACCCCTTGTGGCGGCGCTCCGTCCTCCGGATCAAGACACCGCGTCGATGACGGCAGCTGAGGCTAATGAGATTCTGGAGGCTTGGGTCCTGACTGTATTTAGGCCGCCGTATTGGGATCCTGATACCACTGGATTCCATTCAGGCATTGCTGCTGGAGTATATCTTCCGGCTAGGTGCGAACCTCTAAAAGATGGGTTTTCTGGCCTCATAGTATTGCAGTTGCAAGATGAGTCTCGGCCGGGTTGGCAGCAAACATGGAGTCGGATTTCGAGTTCGGCTTTTTGGGGTATGATTCGAGAAATAGATAGCTGGTGGAGCACTACAGACTAGACATATTGAGAGTATAACGTTCACTTGATATCTCCATGTGTATTAGGAATTTGGGCGAATTTTGTAACAAGTGAAACTATAGAACACGTATAGCAGAAGCCTAGATACCCGTAGGACACGTATTATTGTAGAGCGCTTTTGTATTTCATGACAGTTCAGGCGTGACGAGAATTAGGTAAAGCTGAACACACCATGGAAAGCATTCTAATGTCCTTGATATGAACGTCCGGGTTTCGCGGCGCGTACCTTTATTACGTGATGGCATGATGGTCCTCGGAGAGCATGATGCATTATACGGTGTATGCAGTTACAAGGGCCACCGCAGACTGCAGTATCCTCTCACCCAAGGGTGTAAATACCTGCCGATGAACCGAAAGTGCGGATTCCACACTTCCAACGGCTTTTCCCTTGGCATGTCCGCAATTCTGGTTTCCTGATCGATAATGTCACTGCCATATGACTCGCCGCAAGCTGGTCGGAACCAATGGCAGTCTGGCAGGGCCCAATGACGTAGCCCACTTTGTAGTGCAGCTCTGATCTTGGCAGGGGCACGCTGGAGACTAGGCAAAACACGGCCATCAAACGCAGCATGTGTCGATGCGAATGACGCAACTAGCTTGCAGTCTAAAACTAGATCTTGGAGGGGTTGTTGTGTGATCGATGTAGAAGCAGCTATATAACCCGACTTCACGCCGGCCTTAGTGTGCAGCACGGCCATCCCCACTCACATTATTCACTACCCTCGAATCAAACAACGAAATCGCTTCTCCATCTGTCAACTCCATCAATCCATTAACACCATTCACCATGGATCAGTTAAAGAAGGCACTCAGCGGAAACAAGACCGCCGGTCACTCGCAGCAGCCCGTTGGCCAGAAGGAGGACTTCGGCGACAAGAGTGAGTGTTTCCGAAACTCAGCATGAGCTAATAGATGATGCTAACATCAGCCAAAGTCTTCAGCGCAGGCCTGAAGAAGACCGGCCACGGCAACATCGACCGCAATACGCAAGAGAAGATCACCGATGGCATTCGCGGGGCCTATGAGAAGGCCACAGGGTGAGAGCACCCGACCCACTTTTCATGTGTGTGGACAAGGTTAACAGTTCGTCGCCATAGGAAATCTGTCAACCCCAAGTTTTCCAACTAAGTATGCTTCAATTGAGTCTGCGGGATGGCGTTGTGTACAGGATTACTGGGACGAGGGCATCTAGCGGTACGTTCGCGGTAATGTTTGATAAGACAAATGATTGTGTGCCAATTATTGTGACAACTACTGTCTCATTCATCACCGTGGAGCCACTGTCGAATTAAATATTTCTTTACTTGAATCTCCACATTTTAGCATGAAAGTTACGTCAGCTGTCTACGAAGCCGTGCTGTTACATGAGCAACAGCTGCGACACCATCCTAAATTTACGATACCACTTATCGTACATGTTTCGATCCCACTAACCACTCGGGCACATAGGGAAAATGTCAAGAGATGTAAACCTCGGTCGTTGGAAACTCGTTCTGCAACAGCGTACATGTGCCCACCCACCTCTCAATCTAAGCTTCTCATGCCCATACTCCACGACGAGCAACATTCTCCCTTCTCCGACGATTCATGGCAGATTTGGTACGGACGCCAGGTTGACATCGCGTGCCAGCGCTCATTGGCATCAAAGCCGACCATTGCCCACTCGCGCATCGTTGGAAGGATGTCGCCGCTACACAGTTCCAGGAGCCTTCTTGTTCGCATCGTCCTTCCAACGCGCCTGCCGTGGACGACGTCGTGGATGTGAATATGGATGTGGTTGACTGAGTGGAGTCCAAACTCGATGCTGATGCAGGGGAGGATGCGACGGCTGGCGACTCGGTAATCTCAGGACTGGAAGTCAACGCAGTCTTTGATGCGGCGGCTGTGGACGACTCGGTGGACACCGCCGTGGAAGCTGACTTTGCTGACTTTGCTGCCGATGTTGTGGATGAGACTGGAGATGAGGACACTTCGGATGATATCGTGGATGATACTAAAGATATGGATGCCTCAGATGATGTCGTGCATGAAGCTGCAGATGAGACGGCGGATGAGGTCTGCGTTGATGTAGATGAGACTGCCGACGAGGTCGTTGAAGATGAATTCGAAAGCGGAGTGGAGGACGGTTTCCTTGCTCTACCCGTCGATTTGGCCAGAGTGGTCGGAGTAGACTTTATACTCGCTGTCATGGTCAACTCTAGGACACCAGTAGTACTGTTAATAAAGTCGCCACCGGTGCTGGAAGATGCGGTACTGCTTAATTTGGTGCTGGAAGCTGTAGTACTACTTAGCTCGGTGCTGGAAGACTTCGCACTGGACTCTTTGGTGATTGGAATGATGGTGAGTTCAGTCAACGTAGTAGCGGAGCTTCTGGTGCTGGGTATGGGTTTGGGGTCTGCAGTCATTGTTGGAGACGCGTCCGTCACGGCTGCCCGTTTGACCCCGTAGTAGATTGGAGAGTCTGCTGCTGTGACATGGCAGAGTGCTGTAAGTGTGAGTACGGCGCCACCTAAAGGGGAAGCCAACGACAGCTGCATTTTGAACGTTTTCAAGTATAGGTGTTCGAGTTCAGGGTTGGAATGTCTGCGCGAGAAATGAATGTATATGCTTGGAAGCAGAGGGTTGGGTGTTCCTCAGGAACTCGGGGCTGGTTCTTGGTGAAATTGCTATGTACAGTCTGGGGCTTTCGTCCCGAAAAGAAGTAAAGACAAGAAAGCGCAAATGGCTTCTTATAAGACCTCTAATTTCGACCTCTTGGAAGAGCTATCACGAATCATCATAGCCCAATGAAACAATGGGGTCCAAACTGGGCAACAAAGAAAAAAGTACAAGGAAGGCAAAATCGGTTAAGGAGCTGGACTCGTCACGAAGAATAGGTCGAGGATGGCACAAAAAGGAACTTTTCACAAAGGCACGCCCCTGCTAGATGGATCTAGATTGATTCGAACAGGGGAACTGAGCGCCCGACTCGGCACTCGTAGCAAAGAAAAGAGTGTTCAGAAAGAATAGGAAACCTTATACGCCTAGTCAGATCCAGGTGTTTCATGAAATTGGATCAGTTCTGTGAACATGTATAGCGCGTGAATAACCCTGGAGGTTCTGCTTACCTCGTTTAGTGCTGAGGGTTACAGAAACCACAACACCTCGGTGGTTGGTAGTTCTGGCTCTTTTGGACCAAGGAGGAACAGTGATAATATTGGAAAGACTTAGAAATCCATAGACGCAAATGCCGACCTGAATGTACGACTGCAGCAGTCTAGTAGTCTGTATAAAGCGTAGGGGTTGACGTATCGAAGCCACACGAAGTCGCCAAATAGAGAATGCAGAGCATCGGCCGAGGAGTCAAGCTTAATAATCTCGTTATTGGAAATGATTCCAAGGCTTAGACCAACAGTTCAACATCCTAGACATGCAATACGGAAGTGCACCGTCGAATTCAGTGTCAACGCTATGCCGTATACCCCGAGTCCACCAGCCCAACCAACCTCAACAGTTAATAACTCAGGGGTTCGTGCTGAGGTCGCCGCGGCCAGCTTTGGGGCCCCCCCCACTTCCCTCCACGAAGTATCAGCTGTCTGACCAACATAAACGCAGGCTAGAACCCGGGCTCCCGGGCTCGAAGCATCAACTATGAATCATGAGAGTGGACACTGGTCCAACCAGCTGGCTTGGTTGGTCGGTCAGTCAGCGACGCATCAAGTACACTTGGAAGCGCCCCAAAATTGTTCGTCGTTATCAACAACATTATAATGGACCTGGAGAATAGTGTCACCAACATAGCCAGCATACATATTATGTCGGGGGTGGTCGCCTAAAAGTAGAAAACCCGCCAGTCCAACACCAAAATACTTCAAAGTACTCAATAGGGGCCACCGACTAGACTCCCGTGCCTAGGTCTTTCCTGAGCTGGCAAGTTTAACAGAGATCACAGATTCCAATGGTCAGAAAATTCAGTGTTCCGATGCTTTTTTTGATATTGCCTGCCATCCTGATTAGGACCAAATATCGACCCCATTGTTACGAAGCCACGCAATCTGGAGTTGAGTTCGGAGTCCCTCTCTCAATCGTGAGCTTGACATGAAGGCAAGCAGCCAATCATTTCCCCAAAAGGCTCTTGTGCCTACCAAGCGCTCTCCGCAAATGAATGATCTGGGGCAACATGGATTCCATGTCCGACTTCAACAGAGCTCCATTCCCCTGGCTAAACAAAACCACATTTGAATTCGGGTCGTAAGTACATGTAATACACCTCAGCATCGTGATAACTCCTAGGTTGGGATAACAAAGGCCGACCTAATGCTTCCGGAGATCTCCCAGAGCTCTGGATTATTCGCATCTTTGCTCTGCTGGCCGTTGTCCCTTGAATCTAGTTTTTCGAGTCCGACGAAAGAAATGACATCCCCCTACTCATCTCGACCAACCAGAACTGCAGCTATGAAACTACATGGTCACGCTCCTAAACAGTGTGTAGGAACGTCGTTGACCACGGCATTCCTTTGTCCTCACTAAGTAGTATACTACGGGGCAGCTCGTATCTCTTCACTCGTCATTTGAAATGAACACGATACTCGTCGGTATAGGTCTCAATTGCTAAGCTATGGGAGCTATCGAGGATAACTCAAGCTTCGGAGATCACCGTTCATCCCCGGGGTTTTTGACCCACAGCATCCACTTGTCCACAGCTAACACTTTGAGTCCCAGTATTCTTGGCAGGTCGTTTTGCCAAGGCAAGGCAGTCAGTCAGTTTATTGTGGCAGCCTACCCTCAACTCTAAGACGTAACGCGGCGGACGAGACACTCTTCTCTGCTCAGACAAGCTCTTGATGCTCGGAGAAGCTTCATCAGATACGATCACCTCATCTCATGCGACTCCTGATATCGAGTCAGTATCACTTGGCCGTCCGCTCTGGAGGTTTCCGTCGCCGCAGGACGATGAGGAACACCCGGCTACCTCTGGCCTTTGATCTTTTCGTAAGCCAGCAATATAAGTGCAAAGAACAGTGAGCAGACAACGCCCGAACAGGCAGTTGATCTGTCCAAGACTTGCTACCGTAATTGACTCCCGCATGTTCTGAAATTGGGATGGTAATCTCACATCGCCACAAAAAGGTTGATATGTCGACGCTAGGTTCGCTGCCACACAGTCGGTGGTACTCAATTCCACGAGATGGCGTCGAACTACGGATGCTGAACTGGATCAAGAAATCGTGGAAGGGGGGAGGGGGGCGCTAGTTGTGTGACCATCTGCTCAACGATAAGTGTGCTCATTTAGTCTCATCTGGCCCATCTGGGGTGCGCCCTGGCCCAGTCGGGATGGGGTGGCCGCTCTGAGGCCCTTGGTGTTGATTGTGTCCTTGGTAGTTCTTGTAGTTGTTGCTGCTGTTGCGATGCTGCTGTTGCGGTCCGTATTGATGCATCTGCTGGGGACTCGTGCCGAACTGCTGCGGACCCGGGTTGTTGTATCCTCGCATATTGTTCACTTCGTCATGCGAGTTAGTGCTGCCGTGATTTTGCTGATTGCTTTCTAGAGTACTTACTCTGTCCAGGCTGCTGAGAGTAAACAGGTTGCTGGTATTGCATTCCCGGGCTCATTCCATACATCGGCTGGCCCTGTTGGGAGCCTTGATGAACCATCATGGGCGCTGCAGGCCGTCCGGGGCTTGGATAGCCGTTCGCACCAGGCATCGGCTGAGGCGCAGCCCCACCGGGGGCCATGAGCTGCTGACCACCAGGGGGGTACATCTGCATTTGCGGGGCAGGCATGCCTTGAGCCGGTATGAAGTGCGGCTGCATCATCATGGGTGTTCCCATAGGCATCTGTTGTTGAGCCATGTACTGGCCGTTGTTGGAAAAGCTTCGGTTGTATTGTCCTCCCATCTGAGGGGTGCCGGGCATGAATCCTGGCATCACGTTTTGATTATAGGGCATCTGAGCGGGGGAGTTCATGTTGGGGGGGTACATAGGCGCATGGCCCATCCGGGGAGACGAGAAGGATTGCGAGGAATTTGAGTGCATCATCCTGTTGTGATCATCTCCGCCATTGAATGAGTGTGAACCAGACCCGTGCGGCGTAGAGTGCATCTGAACAGGCGGAATATGAGGGGAATGTCGAGCGCCATTGTGTGCGCCGTGCTGGAGGTGGAAGGGAAGTTGGTGCTGGTGGGCAAGCTGCTGTGGCATGGCATGGCTAGGGTTGGGCGTTGGCTGGGTGGCGAAGGGTCGTTGCTCAAAATACTCTTTGTAGCTGAGTCGCATGGTGGAATCCGGCTTCTCGTCATCCTGTGCCTGACGCCAAGTGGGCGGTGTGTCGAAGGAGGGCTTGATTCCCTGGTTGTCATCCCAATTCTTTCCTTGTGGCACAGGGATTGACTTGACATGAGCCAGAATAATGCACTTCTTCATATCCACGGCTTTCTTCTTCTTGGTGACGACCACAAGAGAGCCAGGAGGGCCCGACTGTGCTTCGGCCGAGTTGTTGATGGCAGATCGAGGACTCGAGCCAGCACTCGGGTGCGGAAACGTGTTACTTGGACGAAACTCGTGGCTGTTGGGATTGTATCGGAATTCATGGCTGTTAGGATTCAGTTTGGCACCAGGCTGGTTCGGGATGCTACCCATTCGACGAGCATCTCCCGCGTTCGCTGGGCCCGTGGGGGGCTGGCGCATGTCCGGACCTATCTTCTGGGTTTCCACATTGCGGATGCGCGCAGCCAGGCCACCTTGGCGAACAGGTTGGGGCATGTTGTGAGGGCCCTGGCGGTCATTTCGGTACTGGTTGTACGGCTGCGGGACAAAGTTCGGGCGACCACCGGAGGGTCGAGCAGTGACCGCAGGCTGCGCTGTCGTCAATGTGCCAGATGGCCGAGACTTGTCGGCAGATGCAGCTTGCGGAATGGTAGTCTGGCCATCTTTGGGAGCTGCAGGCTTCTTCTCCTTCGCCGCAGCCTCCTCAACCTTGCGTTGCCGAAGCTCAGCAGCATCTCGTTGAGCCTTCTCTTGGATCTCTTTTTGTTTGGCAGGGTCTTTGGCAATGATGGGAACCAGATCAGCAGGGACGAGAGTGGGGAGTTTAAAGCTCTCGGCAAACTTCTTGAGCTCCGTCAACTTGACCTCCTTGTCGGCTTTGGCCTTGCTACTGCGCACTTTCTCCGCATTCATTCGTTGTTGGTTGGCGAAAGTCTTGAACTCCTTGAGAACGTCACGCTCAACGGTGGAGGTAGCGCTGAGCGCCGCACCTTCCTTTGCTTGCGGCGAAATAGTGCGGCTGGTCGCAGCGGACGGTTTCAATGGAGTCGAGTTCTGATTCGCATTTGCAGGCTTGGCCTCTGCAGCCTTTTGCTGAGAAGCTGGTTTTGTTTCCGACGCTGTTTCATGGTTCTTGGCTGCTGGGGACAGAGCGGCCGAGAGTTCGGTGGCAGCCGGCGTTGCACGGGGTTTGGACTCCTCAGCCTTAGGGGCAGCTTGTGCCTTTGCCGTCTTCAATTGCGAAGATATGATAGCGGGATCAACGGGCCCGCCTTTAACCGCCGAGATCGCCGCAGGCGCTCTTCGGGCTGGAGGTGTATATTTGTTCTGACGATTGTCGGGCAGAGGTGGGAAGTCTTGTTGTCGCTTGACACCGCTGTACCTGTGGGGAAATCATGTTAGCTATCCAGTTGTTGCCTCAAGCTTGGGACTGCCTACTTGTCCTCTTCGTCGTCACCACCGTCATCTCCGCCAGCATAGTCCATCTTCCGCTCCTCGCTGACGTGGTTTGTGGCGGCAGCACTATGCAGGATCTCGCGCTCCTTTCTCTCCGCAGCGGCGACTCTCTCCCGGTACTGCGGGTGATTCTTGTCAATGGCCGTAGTGTAGTAGTTCTCATTATAGTCGGACTTAATTCCGAATTTTGCTTCATTTGCTGCAAATTGATCCCAGGTGCCTGTGGTGTTGGATGACTCCAAGCTGCCATCGAAGTTGTCATTGCTGTCTGGCTTCCACGGCTGGAGCTTCCTTAGCCCAGCGCCGGGTCCGCCAGATGAGATGGCACTATCAGTGCGGAAGGCCGCTGGAGTGCCTAATGGAAGTCGTTTTATTAGTGTATGAACGTGTCACATTCAAATGGCCTCAGGCATACCGTTTTGAGCCTTCACCGTCATTGCTCGGGTTTCCGACATGTCCTTCTTCCGAAACGACATATTGGGTAGTAGTTCGCTCTTGTGTGATCCGTTGGTGGCGTCGGCAGTATGTTTATTCTGCTGTACCATCCTCAGGTGACAGCTGCTGCTAGTCGAGGTCGAAAGGATGCCCTCAAACTCTGCGCCGTTGATGAGGGTGATTCGAACCCTTTGACCCTGTATGGTCACATGTGAGTACAGGTCTAGGTTGGAACAAGAACCAGACAAAAGTAAAAAGGCTGAGCTAGGCAATTGATGGTGCAAAAGGGGATGACTTGACGATGGGAAGGGATGGGTTGGATCGCGGGTTTGGGGATGGATACAGTGCAGAGCCTTGACGGAGTAAAGGTGACCAAAAAAAAGAGGACGTCGAGGTGAGTTGCCCAAGAGGCACCGACAAGGTCTGGTCGAAATTATAGAAAATGAATGTCTTCGACTTACTTCAGCAAGATTTTCGAGCCCCTCGTGCTTGTTCTGGCCAGTCAAGCTGGATTGGGTCGGTTGTGCGAGACTCGTCACAGTCGATGTCGATTTGACGCTGGTGCTATCCAGGCTGTTCGGCGTAGGAGATCTGCGGAGATTTGCGAACCGTCGGTTAGCACATGGGCAAGCAAGGGAAACAATGAAAGGATATGCAAGCGCGCGCAATGAACGTCGTTGTAAAATCAGCAGCAAGCTGCCACAAGAAGGGGAGGTGGTTATAAACACAAAAGGGGGACTGAGAAGGCGGGTGATGGTGGGCAGGTGCGAGTTGCTTTGTATTGACACGGCGAGCAGAGCAGGTCGAGCGTAAGTAGCCAGAAAAAAAAGTGGACAGCATCTCTCTCGCTGAAAGTGGCAGTGGCAGCACAGCCAGAGGATCTGGCCCGGAAGCTGCTGGGTGCTTGTGCTGAAAGGAAAGGAAAGGGTCTCGCGTCTTGTCTCACCTTGGAGCGCTGGGGTCGCTGGTCACCAGCGATGTTCTCCCTTCGACGTCCCCCCACTTTCTGCTGCGCAATGGCCTGGAAGGCGCTGTCGTCGTCTCTGTCGAGAAGGCTATGGGTGAGGAGGGTGATGGTCGTGCTGGTGAAGTCGAGGTTGAGGGTTTGTCGTCCAGGGTTTCTGTTCGGACAGCAGCAATGTCGAGGTGCTGCTCCTCTCTGCCGCTAGATGATTGAAGGAGGGTGCGCCCCCGGTATGCGCTAGCCATTTTGGTACTAGCGTAGATAATCGTCGTCTGGGGTCAATCAGTTATTTTGCGACCTTCGCAAAGTTGTCCAGTTGCTTTGCAATACTACAATGTAAGTTGAGTGCTTTCCTTCAGGAACAGTTGGTGCTATCAATCGCAATGGCAGTAGGAAGAGATGACACATGAATCCAATCACTGGCCTTTTCCGTGTTGATGGGTGGGATGCTGGCGAATTTAGGTGTTGGAACGGTTTATGTTGGCGCCGCCAACATAATAAACACAGTGCACGGGAAGAACTGTCCAGGTGGTGGTGGTCGAGGGTCGTGCCATTTTTATCACGACTTTAGAAGATGAGGTGAGCGTGATTAGACAGGTACCTTCACCCAACTTCAGAACTTCCGGTGGAGTAAAATACGATGCTACTGTGTAGACAATGGATGGTGGCCTCATTACCCTTACCAAGGCTGACTTCAAGTGTGCCTTCTACTGATGCACTCCAACAACATAAGAAGCGATGCGCACATCTTCAATCGCAATCATTGTGCTGGTGTTTCGGGGAACAAATGCAAGTTTCTTGGGCCATTCCATGTAAGAATTCATCGGCCTTGGTATGCTTTTCCATAGGGTGTTATATCAACATGTGGGTAGGGCTTCACCTGAGCCTGCTGGCTATCTGTTGCTCAAGAAGTACTAGCAAAGTGAGGCCCGGCAGTTTACAGGGCGGTTGAAGTGCGGGCTTAGAGTTTCGATTGAATCTTGCGTCATTCTTTCGAATGTTCTTGAAGTGAGCAGCAAATGCTATATAATGGCTAGGCTGAGGCGGACACTAACGAGGCGGACCAAAGCGACCATCTCAAGTAGAGGCCAAACATATGGAATTGTCGTCGACAATTACCGTGAACAGCGTAGCTATTTCGGTGTGAGGCACGCGTTGTGACGACAAAGGGGAAGTTTGCAATACGATCAAGATAAGCGCACCTGGCATCAGTCAGAGACTTCAAGCTACAAAGTGTCTTTGTCTGCAAGCATAGTTCAACGCTTGGTTCCTGGACTGAGAAGCTTAGATGAGATCGACCCAAGTGTCCTGAAGCAAAGCTTCCGCGTTGGTCTCCTCTGATAAGGGTAGACGGCGCTGACTTTATTATATTGGAGCAACCGGGTGGCTAGCTCGGCCCGAGAATCTTGCGTCCATGGTAAAGGTCCAACATATGATGGATTCCACTTTATCGTGGATTTGACAGCTTGTTCGCTTGATTCAAGGTGACAATCCCTTGCACAGTTTCGCTGCCGCGTACATACTGTGCAATGCCACATTCAGCTGATTCATACTGAATTGTGGGCTTGTCTTCTCTTGCCCATTCCGTTGTACAACTTGATTACAACACACCGTGCAACATTGACCGGCCTTACTCGTCTTTGGGGTTCATATTCGCTGTGAAGGTCGTCAGTACTCTAGTTTTCTTGAAATCTTAGCTTTACATTCTAACGATGTAAAGCTCGGTTCCAGCCTATCATGACTAGACCCTGCATCTAACATAGATATACCCTTGGATTCCTAGTCGACGAACAATGCCTTTTTTGCCTTGTCATGGCGCAAGAAGCGCATACGGAAGAGGCGGGGCGGTTTTGATATGTTGGTTGGCTGCATGGCAATCACTGCGGCTAGCATCTTATGTTGGATCGCTGGCATGTTTCTTTGTGTTGGAAGTTTCTCAATATGTTGGGATTTCCTCATTTGGCCAATGCAGCGTGCCCTGCGATGTCGTTTGCTTGGACCCCACGGCATCTCAACTGAGACATCTGTGCTTCTATTTGAGACTTCTTTGTTCATCTCGAGTTCCCTTTGATGTTGAAAATAACAATTTCCTTCTAACGCTTTATACCCGCATGGCTGTGGAGACTAGGGTCCTGATTTAACACCATTTGTAGTCTTTGACAGACAAGTGGACAACAAAATCAACGTCGTGGTAAGTACTTCCCAAGTACTTGAGTACTAAATGATACTCTAGTGCAGAAAAGTAAGGTATGAATATCACACGAACTGGTATAAGTACTAGTATAACCTAGTTTCCTAGTAATTTTACCCACCTACTACACGAGAGTATTGGGCTATCCTATAGTATGCCACTCTCGCTATGCCGTTCATTTTGTCGTTCGCTTGACAGATCAATCGTCACCAAGACATCAAGACGGCTGCACGAATTACGCCCCACGAGAATGAAACCTCGGGGGACGCGCCAATCAGAAGCTTACAGGTATTCGTGGCGAAGCCGGGTTTGAGGCTGACGAGATATCGGCCGCTTCGGTCAGAGGCACCGTTGGGTTGGCTAACTCAATCGATGTCCCCAAGGTTCGAGTCCCTCCAACCTATCTCTGACCATGGATGCGAATAAAGAGCGGAGAAGCAGTTTTCAAGATAGCAAGCCTGCATTGGTACGTAATTAGGTGACTTGCTAGGATGCCTCGAGTTTTCGGGTATTTCTAAAGATAACGAGAATTCAGACCACCTTCATCTTTGCTACCGCTATCGACTAATGTCAATTATGTCACGGCCCACAGTAAACATTTTCTCATAGGTGCAGTCTCCCGTTTAACACATTGCAAAGTGACAGCTTCGCGCTCAAAATTATTTTTCGATGTAGTATCAGTATTATAGGGCATGTTCTTTGCGCATAAACTATATGCACGTAACATATGATCTGCAGCGGGTTTCTGCAAATCGCGGAGACATTGTGTCTTGGTCGATGGAAGTTCCCGTCCGAGCTACCTAAGCATCCAGCATCAATCAGGGGAGGTGCGTAAATATCTCAAGCGAAGCAACTTTGTAGATTCCACACAAAATGAAGAACAGAATTTGGACCACTAGAAGTCCTAGGATTGTACTTAATGGCATTAATCGCGTAGGCACCCATTCAGCGATGGGAGGTCAACTTTTAAATATCGTACCGGTATCAGGACAATTCTCTGAGCACTGGTTGATTCTACTTTCCTCCCTTCCTTGCCATGACCATGACCATAACGTGTTTCCAAAAAGGCGAGTGGTCGACGCGACGACCGTAACTGCTAGTCCTCAAGCCAGGGGCAACTGTCCTGTCCGTCGCCTGAAACCCGCGTAAGGAGAAAATGAACTCTAGTTTCTGTTGGTATAACTCAAAGCGCCAACGTAGAAATTCTAGGGGTTGCAATAGAAACCATCAACCCTTGAGAAGATCTAACTCCCACGCCAACCACATGATGAGGCTGTCCCACTTAAACAAAGAAGTTCCTCCGCACCCACCACCAAACATGCATGCCCAAGTACGCCAATGGATGCATAATCTTCGGTATCTGCAGCTTGACAACGCATAAGAGAGCATCAGGCACGACATTCCAGATATCCCCCGGCGTAAACATCCATGCCTTCATGATGTCGTTGGTGGCTCTTTGGTACCTCTCCATCCGTACAAACATTTCCTCTTCGAAGGCCGTGACCTGACTGTTGAGTTGATCCGCGTCACCACCTGCTTGCGTTGCCTTCACGATAGCCGCAGCCAGCCTCCGAGCATCGTCAAATGCGACATTGACACCCTCGCCGGCGAAAGGTGTCATCAGATGCGCAGCATCGCCGATGATGGTCATCTTACGATGGTGCTCCCAGCGCCAGCCAACGGGGAGCATATAGAGATCTTTCGAGTCGCATTTGCCCTGGGCCTTTTCGATGGCTCCGCGAAGCAGGGGACTCCAGTCTTGCATCTCGGTGAGAATAGCCTGGCGTGCTTGCTCGAGTTCGTTCGTATCGTAGCCGTAGGACTGCATCCAATTCTCATCCCGCACGGCGCTCCAGCTCATGTGTAGACTGCCGTCGCCCATTTGTTGTACTGCCAACTGTTCGCCATTGTTGTGGGCGAATACATTCCCGCGATTAACCATCTTGTACAGCTCTGACACTGTCTCCTCAGGATTTAGAATAGACAGCTGGGTGTAACCGATGCCGGAATAATAAGGCTGGGTAGGGGTGATGTGCTTGCGGACTTTAGACCATCCGCCTTCACAGCCAACGATCAAGTCGAAGCCGGATTTAGTGCTATGCTCGAAGACGAGGACACTTCCATCCTCTACTCGCTTCAGACGATGCCCCCACCTGATCGTGCCTTCCGGTAGTAGGGACTCGGCAAGGATCTTCCGCAAGTCGGCGCGGTCGATCTCGGGTCGCACACTGCCACCACCATGGCCCATTTGGATGAATGGCTTGGCCTTGTTGTCGGTCATGCAATAGTAGTCTCCATCGTAGCGTGCCGTCTTCTTAAAATCCTCGAAGAGATTTGCGTCCTTCAACGCAGCTATACCCGTAGTTGGGTGTAAGTCGAGAGTCCCACCTTGGGTGCGGTAGTTCGGACTTGAGTCGCTCTCGAAGACAGTGACAGAAATATTAGACAATGATAGGATTCGGGCGAGCATGCAACCTGCAGGCCCAGCACCCACAATGGCTATCTTCGGTGTTGGCATGACTGAAGATGAAATGTGTTCTTAGGTTGTAAACATTGCGTGGTGGAGTGGACGGGTTATTTCTCTAGGTATGTAGGTTGTATCTTAGGCAACTGCATAGGCTGTTTTTGTAGGATCGGATCCTCTAGACGGGAAGCTGTTACCTTCATAAGTGTAATTAATGAGATAGCAACATAGAGTGATCGTAACCCCGCTTGACACAGTTGTAATGGGTGACTAGTACGTCGATGTGATGCCAAGATATTCCCGTTCTGGCGCCATCCTTCGCAATCGCTTATGTGGATACCATCGTCAGGCCGGCCAGTCGGTCTCACAGACATGTTCTGCGATGATATCACTTGCATCTACTCCGTACTACGGACAACGCAGCTGGCAGACTGGAGTGCATTCACATTGAGCGCACGGGGTCTCGGTAACTCCGTCGCGGGTCTCCGTATGCCTCCTCGGGACTAAAACATTCAAGCTGCTTCTTCACGTATGGAGGCGTTTGTGCCCCATAGTTCACTTGAGCGACATTCCGCTAATGCAGTCAAATAACAGCAAATTGGGGAGAGCCTAGGAAGACCTGAGGAAAACGACCTTGTGACCGAACATTGATCGAAGGAATCAAACTTATACAGAGTCTGTACCCAACCAGGAAACCGAGGCAAGTAGTGTTAAATCCAGACTCAAAATGGCAACGTCTACTGCAAACTAGTTATCACAGCCCGAGTTTAGTTGGCGCGGTTGCGGTTGCGGGCGGGCAGTAGAGCCCACGGTGTATCGCAGAAGTGAAGAGAGTGATGTAGTGTCCGCAGGGCATAAGTTAGCACTTGAAATTTAGACACTTCTTTGAAATGGTGGCGATATCAACAAATATGCCGTCATTCGATATCTGTCCTAGGCTGGAGAACGACAGAGCGCTTGAGTTTGAAACATTGTTTAGAGCTGGTCAAGGCTCAGTTCCCAGCTCAGGGGTTCTGGAGCCACTCTTTCAATGGGTCCCGTAATTGTGTTGTTAACTGCTTGGGGCTAAAAGAGAGTCGATTGCTGCACATCTGAAGCCGCTCTAGCCATCTTGGGGAGGTTGAAAGTGCCATGTTGCAGGGCTTACATTGACTGAAACATCCATCTGCAAGCATAACCCTGAAGTCCCCAATCCCACTAGCGTCGAGATAATTGGCCCCTGCGTCGTTTGCATGCCCAGTTTTGACAACCATCAGCCAGCTTTGGGTTATCTGGGCACGCCTTGTCAGCTGCATCAAGGTATCCAAACTCTAATCCAGTTGTTTCATCACAGGTGTCGGACCTCCCGCCTCGGACTCACGCCTCATAGGACTTGCAGTCATTCTATTCATTCATGAGCATAGTCGCCGCACAAGTCGCCACTCGACTCGATCGCCTCCGCGCCGGTTGGCAAGTGTATATACGATAGGAACTCGCGCACAACGAGGATCGCCAGGAAAGCAGGAGTATAGCAGGCAGTGTAGAGACGAGAGAAGAGAAGAGAAGAGCACAGACAACAGACAAGAGACCGGAGACCGGACGCCGGACTACTTTCTATATTAAAAGAAGGGGATCTGCTGTGTGAACCAGTGGAGATTGGAAGATGCAGGCGCCGAACCCTTCACAGCGTTCAATGCAGCGCCGCTCGCCTGGCGCGGACCCAGGCCCTCCTCCGTCGTCGTCGGGTGCCCCCCTCCCTCAGCGAGCCATGTCGCCCGCGAACATGCAGCCGCGCACGTCAACGACTTCGAGTAAATCTGGAGGCAGCAGACGGGGAAATGTGAGTAGACCGTGAATCAATCTGCTTCGACCAATTCGAGTCTTTCAGTCCCCCTTTCATCGCATCCAACCAAAATATTGACCATGTCATCTCCACGACAGTCCAACGGGTCCAACATGCCGCTCTCGCAGATTGAGAAGAGTGTTACCCACCTTCTTGTCGCAACGAAGCAACTGCTCGAGACATTGACGCAATGGTCTCGCGGCCAGGCCACCGACACACAGGTGTCGGATGTTTACGTGAGATTGGGGTACGAATTCAATATGGCCTGCCGAGCGTTTACTGCTATTAACGTGGACACGTCGGACCTGGGCAACGTCCCTGAATCATTGAGGCACATCTTAGAAGCTACCTTGAGTCAGGAAGCTAGCACCGAAAGCTTGGAGAAGTACTTGCCTAGGATACGCGACATCATCATCAACCTCCTTCATGGACTGAAACGGAAACAACAGAAGCTTCGCCAGAAGCAAGCTCGTGATCGGGAAAGCAATGGAGGCTCGCCCGACGGCGCTGGTATTGCCGCTCGTACCATGAGTAGCAGCACCATGGGAAGCGCAAATACAGGGCTTACGAATTTGTTGAATGAGGGTATCGAGAATGGATATTCTCAACCCGACAGTGCCGGGCCGGCTTCCAGTGGACCGTCGGGAGTCAACACATCACCAAGTCGCCGTTTCCCTCCGCGAGATCAGTCCCATGTCTCCGTCAACTCGGAACAGTCGTCACTCTCAAGCACGACAATGCAAAACATGCCAGTTTTACCTCCATACCCTGGTGATGAATCCACGGTTCCGTCTGGCCCATCCGCAGTTAGCATCGATATCGACTCGTTCCCTCCACCGCCGCCACCTCCCAAGTCCCAGCAAAGCGCTCTAGCTGCGCTGCAAAGGGGTGGCGACCTCGAGAGAAGAGCGTCGCGCAGGTACTCAGCCTACCAGATATCCAAGCATCTGGGGGCGCCCAATAGCGTTCCTATGCTGCCGTCGCAGAACACGCCCATACCGAATCGAGGAAGAGGCGAAGTTCGAGAATCTATGCGCGCAGTACAAGTGAGGGAATCTTTACGGCACAATCGCAACCAGTCCAACCAGTCGACCCGGTCTAAGAATGCGTTTGATTCGTCTCCGGCTAGGATACCAAGTAAAGTCTCTGAGGAAGGCTCCTCAACAACCGAGTTGCCGCCGGCCACGCCAGAGTCACCTCGTGCGGAGTCTCCGGAAGACACATATAGGCCAAGGGCAACAATATCCGGCCCTCTGGAAGACACCTTCCCTATTATGGGAGTACTAGAGTCGCCGGAAAAAGAAAAGCCTACGGCGCCCAAATTCGGCACGGCCCCTGAAGCAAAACTGCCGCAGCCACCTCAGACTCCTCCAGAGAAACGACACAATGATTTTGTACCCGAACAGTCACCAACCCTGGGCAAAGAGTTGACGTTGTTCTTGCAATACAAGTCCAAAGTCAAAAAATTCGTCCTGGCTGGGGGTTACAGTGATTTGACAATTGGGCGTCTACAGCTTGCATTCATTGAGAAATTCTCCTGGAACACCGCTTTGAACGGCGCTGATTTGCCTGAGATTTATATTCAAGACCCTGTGTCTGGTATTCGGCATGAACTCGAGGATCTGTCCGACATCAAGGATCGCACCGTGCTCGCCCTGAACATTGAGCCCCTCGATGAAGTGAAACGCCATATTGATGATGGCCTTGGAGCACTCAAGAAAGCAGTTGACGAGGTGAAACAGAATGTTGGCGACCATGGGGAGGCTTTGCAGAGAGTCTCTGATCGACAACTTGAGACAGCCAAGGAGATGGCCCGCTTGGCATCGGCACCACCCATGATCATGGAGAGCTCGGGTTCCAAGACATCTGACCCGGCTGGTAAGGTCAACCCCAGTCAACTGAGGGAAATCCATAGTCTCCGTCGAGATTTAGCCGTTCTGCGTCAGACTTACTCCAACTTCCAAACGGAAATTCAAAGCTCCATGTCTACACTGCGTAACAAGGCAGCCAATGTCAAGGTGGCGGCAGTCAATGCATCCGTGCCTAGTGTGGATGGGGACTCGGGTTATGCCTACGTGAAGACGGGCCGGAAGCAACTGAACTCAGACTCGGACCGGCTCGTCACCAAGGTGGACGACCTGCAAGATCTCATTGAAGACCTGCGCAAGGATGTGGTGCACCGCGGTGTGCGCCCCTTGCCTCGCCAGCTTGAGACCGTTTCCAAGGACATTCAGCTTTTGATGAAGGAACTCAGGAAGATGGAGGATTATATGAAGCGTGAGAAACCAGTCTGGACCAAGATCTGGGAGAAAGAGCTCGAGGACGTATGCCAGGGCCGGGACGAGCTCAAGGTCATGGAGGACCTCATGGTTGATTTGCAGGACGATCTCGAGAAAGCAGGCGAGACGTTCGCGCTGGTTGAGCAAGCAACCAAGGAGCAGATGAAAGATAACATCACGCCCACAGCCCGCCAGTTCTCCAAGGGTCTACAAAACCTGGGGGTTGGCGCAGACCCGACTGTGGCCAAGGAGGGCGTGCTTGGCGAAGTCAGAGCGTTACAGCCTAATCACGAGGATAGGCTGGAGGCCATCGAGCGGGCGGAGAAGTTGCGACAGAAGGAACTTGAGAGTCGGACTGACAACCCCCTTAAGAAGGAATTGTCCAATTTCGTCGAGGAAGGCAAGCTGAAGAAGAGTGGTGGATTTGAGGAAGTCGAACGTGCGAGGAAAGCTAAGGACGACAAAATCAGACGGGAGGTTTGGGAACGTATGAATGGCATCGTGCCCGAAGAACCCATTGGCGAGGACGAGGTACTCGAGGCTAACGGCTCAGAAGAAGTGGGAGCCGAGGCGATGGCTCCAGCAGGGGCTTTATAAGCCGCCAGTATACCCCACGTGTGATGAGAGTGAAGCTTTCCACTTCCAACGATTTCTGGGTTCCCTCGTCACTGGTTTTAGCGTGCGTCATCCTTCTTTTTTTTAGTTTTCTTTTCTTCGCGATTGTGTGTTGCGAGTTTGGGAACCGGAGGTGGGGGAGAGCTTTGTGTTTTGTGTGGGGTATAATTTACATAAGTATCTCCTCGGGTTCCTTGGTGTCTCGGTGTCAGGGATACCTGGGGTGTTTTTGAATAGGGTATGAATGGACTAATTGTACATGGTTTGGGTGTTGCCGGTTTTACGTCGCAGCCCCGATGATGATTTGTTCTTGGGTCATCTGGGCGAAACCGACACCAGAAGACAGATCGGAATTAATGCACTGGAGGAGCAGCGGCTGAGAGAGAGGTTACTTCACCTTTGCTTTCCCTTTAAGATCTGTGCAGTATTCTAGGCACCGCTCAATCCCAATATCTTCATGGCGCAGGTTTAATACCGTGTTTGGCCTTGATGTTTTGGTTAAAACACCTGGGCAAGACATTGTTTATTTATGTCCAAGTTTACACCTCTTAGAATTACGCTTTCATGGATGTTTTTACGCTACTTATTGATTATTCGTATTTCGTCATGTCTTTCAGTTTCTGATGCAACTTACGCAAGTATGCATACCTTGAATAACCCCTCTTCTACAACAACGCCTTGCGATCCAGCCGCTTGTCCATCTTGCAGACCCCAGGTTTTATGACCACCGTATGCCTGTTATTCAAGACTCGTTCAAGTCCCGTCTAGACCACTTCTATCTAATCCCTTACTCAACAGCGATGAGGGATACATAAGTTTGCTCGCGTTCAATAACTTCTTCCCGGCGCAGATTCTTCTTGCCGATCGAGTTCAGCTTGAGTTTTCCCTCGGGGGACTTCTTTCACTCCTCGTGTGACGGGACTTCGATCGCTTCATCCACTGTCTCTTCCTCAGCCAACTTGTCTACCATCTGGTTTACAGACAAGATGCTTCATCTACTTCGAAGCAATCCCCCTCGTTGAGGCCAGACGCGGGGGTCAGTTCTGCTGCGGGGGAGCATAAGACGAAATAGTTCTTGGGCATGATGAATGTCTTCACAGCCTTGCGGGGACGCACCTTGGGTCTGTGTTGCTTCTTCGCTGGGCTTTGGTGTGTGGTCGTGTCTTCAGTCCCTCGCTTCTTCATTACACCATCCATAAGCATCTTCTCAGGGGACTTAGCAGATGATTTCGTCTTGCCGGCCTTGTGGTTTGCCCGGGGCGACCTCTGAGTGTGCCAAGTTCGAAGGTTACATTCTCTAGTATTGAAGTCTTGACGCGCGTTCCCTCCATCCACGATGTCCTCCTGGTAGATGTCGCCCTCTTGTGTGATTCTGCGGGGTTAGAAGATGAACTTGATCAGCATGCGATGGTCACCGGTCATCTTCTTCTCGATCAAGCCCTGTAGGTTGGAGCGCTGTGGAGTTGAACTAGGATCAGGACAATGGTAGGCAGGCATTCGTCCAAAAGTCTCCTAGATGTTCGGATTTGGTTATGCTGAAATTGTCGGGTCTCGTCATTAATCTTCTCCCAGATCTGGGTATCCCATCTCTGGTTTGTCTGAGCGGCACAGCCGAGCAGCATTTGAAAAAATGGAGTCGACCACCAGCTCAAGTCAGAGAGTTGATAGGCATAGGCAGTCATCCAAGTGTCGTATGAAAGGGCCGGGTTTTGGGGTGACAAGGGTCTGGATGTGTGCTTATTTATGTAGAACAACTCAATGTATTGGCGTCAGGCATTGATCTGCTAGGGTATTAGGTTGCTGTCATTGTCGAAGGGCTAGAAGAAGCGAATCGTGTGGCTCAGCAAGGTATCCATGTCGTAGTATCAGGGTTCGATCTCGAAGTCGTCAACATCTTCCCAATCCAGTGTATCTCGACCAGGCAACATGGCTGATACATTTGTAGTCAGAGCAGTGTTGTCCAGATCTCCAAGTCTCCTTATAGTAAGGATGATTGAATGAATGTTCGTCACTGCCGTAATACTGCGAAGCGAGCTGTTGGGCCTCTGGATCGACAGTCAGTGCAGCTGGCTTCGCTTCTGCCTGCTTATCCTGGCATGCTATAGTTACCTCAATGTTGAGGTCTTCGTTGTTATTGACCTTCTTCTTGGGTGCCGGGTATGTGAGTTTTGACAAGTTATTGTGTTTATCTGGTTATTCCAGTTCAGATTTGTCCTTGTCCTTGCACCGTATTTTGGAACCTCAAATTGGCCCATTTTGTATCAAAACCTACCACAATATTAACATTGAGAAAAAAAATGTCAACTCGCTAGGACAATGATAATAGAGCACAGCAGTGAAAACTTTTATTCCTCTTTTCGAAAAGTCACAGCTTGGTGTGATCTAAGGAACAGCACTCCTCATTCACCCACAATGACCTTCTCTACTCTTCAACCAGATATAATGATTTAGAGGGCAACTGCCACCAAGTGTTCATCTACAATCCTAATGATCAGCAATTTATAAGCAAGGGTGAAAGAAATTAAGCAGGGTGGCAACTCCAGGGCAGGTCGGAGCAATTTTATGTTTCAGAAGCTCCTTTAATTGAGCAGTTACATGCTTCAAAATTCGCGTTGCCTGAGTATAACCGCGTTATCTGGGTCGGATAGAGTATCAGGATTAAGAATTTGGACTGATGAGGGAAGTGGCTGTGTATTCGAACCTCTATATCCCTCTCCAGGTTTCGAACTTTGAACACTGCCAGTTTTTGTCTCAACCCCAGTGTCAATTACAGTGGTCTGAGATTTCAAATGATGCTGGTGACTACTGTTCAGTATGGAGGAACCAGACTAGGACGACCGCACCAGTTTCATGGCAATCCGCATCATTGTCCCTTGAGTCAAGATCAGGTAATCTTACAAAGGCATGAGAGGGTCCTTTTTCTTCTTTTAAATGGGTTATTTGAGCCTGTGCTGGCCATAACACAATTCAATATATCTGTGCGGCCAAGTAGGCTTGCCCTTTTGTCACTGGGATTCGGCACAGCATCCCAAGTCATGGATGATTACCACCACCGTCGCCTCCACTGCTTCGTGGATGTCTGAATCAAGTGTTCTAACTTCGGATCAACTGGATCTGCAAGCACTACACAAATTGCCATCGCCAGCCTGCGTGTGTTCAAGGTGAACAAGCCACCTCCCGAGCGATTCTGCCGGTAGTGCTGATAGTAACCACGTCGCTGGACCGCAATGCCACAGATCTTCCTGTTCGACAACTCGACTCTCGAGGCAACGGATCTTAGTGAATGCCATTATCTTCTGAAAGATCAAACTCGGGGTAGATACGGTGGGTTAGATGAAGAGTAGACGACGTCTGAAGGAGGAGACATATACCTGGCACTTATCAGGATTCCCTGAAATGTCATTATGGTGTATTGCGGGAGTAAATTCTCAAAACGGTCCGGTGACATCGGTCAGCTTTCCCCAGCTATGTAGGCCTCGCGGGCCATTGCACTTCGAGGAATCTACGTTCGTCCTGTGGGCATTTCCTGTCACATTTGGTTGAGAAGGACAATTGGTCCATGGCTGGTCAAAACGAGCCTGTTTTGTTCCCATTTGATCCATGCCAGGCCCTGCAAGAGGCAGTCGGCGAGATCGTCCAGCTTGTCTAACTTCTCATCCATCCCAAGCTCAATGGGGTTGTTGAGCCAGCGATTCATAAATCCACGGCTGGTAGAACGCGCACCTTCCATCACCTTGATGTCCTCTTGCTCCAGCCACTTTCCGACAAGATCAATCTTGGCCTGTTTGTTTCGAACTTTAGTGCTCTTCTTGGAAACGGGTTTCTCCCCCTGTCCTTCATCACTGAGCCAGAACGGTCCCACTCGTGCCGGTGGGATCGACAGAACCTCCCCGGTCCAGAGCTTTTCCTCGTAAAGCGTCCTCAGCACGGCATGCATCATGGCCTCGAGGGTATTCACACGTAGCGTCCACTCTTGGACCGCGGCCATGCTACCACTGCGAAACCTTTGCCGCTCAATCAAAATATGGGTGGGCTTCAGCGTCAGCAGCTGATCCTTCACAAGGCCGAACGTTAGCTGGGACAGCTTGGCTGGACTCCACGCATCATAGTTCTTCGTTTCCAGCGGTGTCGCTAGCTGGGCCGGTACTATGGAGAATCGAGACCAAGTCTCGAGCTGCGCACGCGGCGGCCGTCGGAAATCGTACCCATTCTTCTTGATTTCTGCACTGGAGGTCTGGTCAAGTGGGTGCAACAGGCTGAAGGCCAAGTTACGGAGTCCAAGGTCGATGGACAGGACGCGCTTGTTGAGTATTGAATGTTCCTTGTCGTGGGCTTGCCTTTCACAAGCTTGCAATAAGTAGTCGATGAGCACTCCCTTGGTTCCGGTTAAGGGTAGCCCACAAGCTAAGGCGAGCGTTTTGAGCTGGGCTTGTTTCAATGGAGGAAGGCGGAGGGCCATTGACGCGCAGGTGGGGATAAGCTACCAGCCTCATGCAAACCAACTCCTAGGCTCCAGGCTTCCGCTGCGCGCAAGGAGCTCACTTGATGTCGAACGGTGGCCAGACAGAGGGGCTTCCGAAATCGAAAGATTCCTAGATTTAGCCGAGGTATACGGTCAAATACTGCTGAGCAATCGCCCAAGGAAAGCGTGTTCATTTCACACGGCCCCAGTCGCTCTAAGCGCGTCAATTGACTTCCTCGAGCTGCAGGGTGTGGGGAACACCTGCCCTGACAACCCTGGGGCTTTTCGGGAGTCCGACTTTGATACTGAGAGAGCTTTGCGAACGAGAGCAAATTTTGTGAGATGTCTACTTGTGCGACTTACCTAGAAGCAGGAGATACAGGCTTACAGTCGAAGGGCTTCTGTACATGAGCTGAATCAACTCTAATTGTAGCAACTGACCTCATTTGATCACTTGCTGCTCTTTGTCGACTCCATGTTCTAGCAAATTACCTAGGTAAGTATCATTGGGGTTCGTACGGGGCGTCTCAGGTGTTCATTGTACTATTCCGCCATGTCGGAGCCGCCATTTGGAATTCAGCAAAGCCGGCCGCCCCGCTAGCCGCCGGCGAACCCGTGCCGCCAACTGCAAGGATTTTTCCGCTGGTGTCCGCTGCTGGCTGCTTACCTATCCAAATCCAGCCTTGATTCTGGAGTCTATCTCAACACTTGATTGGGTCGTGATTCATTCCAGATCCTCAAAGAGTTCTATGTTTGCTTTAGTAATCACAATTTTAGCTAATGCACCGCGCACGCCATCCCTACTGACTGCCTTTCTCTTGATTTCTCAGCGTATCAGCCTCCGATTCCATACAAGACGTCATCCCCTTGCCCCACTATCTTCAGTGCGCATTTCTCTGTATTTGCAAAGCGTCGTGTATACTTAAAGTCAGCAGTAGGCACCGATGCAAGCGTTTGGGAATTTCCGGAGAGTAGCACTTGTGAGCACATCTAGCCAAACGGTGTCAACAAGAATATCTGGTCTTTGCCGGCACTTCTCATCTACCCCGCACAGCATGGCGCCTATATCGAAGGAGACGGATTACCTCGTCATTGGCGGGGGTAGCGGCGGTCTCGCCTCAGCGCGCATGGCCAGCGGCAAGTTCGGCGCAAAGTCCATGGTTATAGAAGGCAGTCGGCTCGGTGGCACATGCGTCAACGTCGGGTATATATGACTTTGCTGCTCTTCAAGCTGATAACGAAAGCTGACGACCATTCCTGCATAGGTGTGTGCCCAAGAAGGTGACATTCAACGCAGCCCTCATTGCGGAAACGATACATGAGGCCAAGTCTTACGGCTTCTCGGTGCAAGAAAGCAAGCCCTTCGATTTTACCTCGTTCAAGCACAAGCGGGATGCATACATCAAACGACTCAACGGCATCTACGAGCGGAATCTCAAGAATGACAGTGTCGAATATGTCCACGGCTGGGCCAAGCTTCTGAACAAGAACGAGGTGGAAATCACTACCGACGATGGCTCCAAGTCGACGGTGCGGGCGAAGAAGATTCTGATTGCTACTGGCGGCAATCCTACAGCTCCGCCGTCGAATATCCCAGGATCTGAATTTGGGCTGAACAGTGACGGGTTCTTCGACATTGAGACGCTACCAAAGAAGGTGGTGCTCGTGGGAGCTGGGTATATCGCCGTCGAGTTCGCTGGCATGTTCAACGCTTTGGGCAGCGAGACGCATCTCTTCATCCGTCACAATACCTTCCTGCGCACTTTCGACTCCATGATTCAGAACGGCGTGACAGAGGAGTACGAGAGACTGGGTGTACACTTGCACAAGGAGTCCGTGCAAACCAAGATCGAGAAGAATCCCGAGACGGGCAAGCTCACCATCTACTACAAGGATAGAGACGGCGAGAGCAAGCTCGAGGACATCGACCACCTTATCTGGGCCATCGGTCGCACCCCAGCATCCAAGGACATCGGGCTGGAGGATGCCGGCATCAAGATGACGGAGAAGGGCCACATCATCGCCGACGATTTCCAAAACACATCTGTCGAGAACATCTACGCACTCGGTGATGTCTGCGGCAAGGTCGAGCTGACCCCCGTAGCCATCGCCGCCGGCCGCCGCCTGGCCGAGCGCCTCTTCGGCGGCGAGCAGTTCAAGGCCGCCAAACTGGACTACAGCAACATCCCGTCGGTCGTCTTCGCGCACCCGGAAGTGGGCTCCATCGGCCTCACAGAGCCCGAGGCTGTGGAGAAATACGGCAAGGAGAACATCAAGGTTTACAACACGAGTTTCACGGCTATGTACTACGCCATGATGGAGCCCGAGGACAAGGGCCCTACCAAGTACAAACTGATCTGTGCGGGGCCCGAGCAGAAGGTCGTGGGGCTGCACATCATGGGTCTGGGCAGCGGCGAGCTGCTGCAAGGATTCGGTGTCGCCATCAAGATGGGCGCCACCAAGAAGGATTTCGATTCGTGTGTGGCCATTCATCCTACGAGTGCCGAAGAGTTGGTTACATTAAAATAGGAGGGGCGGCTTCGGAGACCAATGATGTAGATCGATAAATTTAGAACTTGGTATTTAGAAAAAACCAATCATGTGGCCTTGTGTATATTGCTTACGGCTTCGATCTGCAAACTATTGTTTGGCAATTGCGTAAATCTTGAGATATTGTCTGACTGCATACTAATTTATGCATGAATCCTCCTTATCCCGTTTCTTTGTGAAACGTGCATCGCAGATGACAGAGCATTGGAGCGTCGGAGTACAGGTGGCATGCAGCAATGCCAGCCGAAAAGGGGGCTCGAAAGTGCGTACCAACATAGCACCATCCTTGTCATATGCCTCTCACGTCAGTTTTTCCCACCAACTTGGCAGGTTAGATGTAGCAAATAAGCTGATTTTATTGAACCGCCGAAGAGGCAAATCAATCCTCCCAATAAACCTCGTACAGCCCTTCATCCCTCTGCGTACTTACGAACTCCTCGCTCGCCAGCCCCCGTAAGAACCGTTTCTGCAGGTCGGCCGCATCCTTGTGCCAGTCACACGCATAGTCGCACACGGGCGTGTCCCTTTCGCCAAAGTACCGTGTGATCATACGGTGGCGGCACGCATTGGTGCTCTCACAGTACTCGACGAGGGCCTGCAGGCTCTTAGCCCGCGCCTCGAAGTTGGACCCGGGCAGGTTCCGGTCGCGCATCACCATGCTGGAGACCCGGTCACGGTCCTCGCGGCTGTAGTATAGGAAGCAGGAGGCCGCGTTGCCGTCGCGCCCCGCCCGCCCGGCCTCTTGGTAGTAGCCCTCGAACGACTTGGGCAGTCGCCAGTGGCACACGAACCGCACGTTGAGCTTGTCGATGCCCATACCGAAGGCCGTCGTGGCCACAATGATATCGTACCCCGGCTGGTTCGACACCCATTTGGCCAGCGTTTGTTCTTTGATTTCCTTCGGCAGCTTGGCGTGGAAGGGTTGTGCGCCGACGCCTTCGGACCGCAGCTGGGAGGCGAGGCTCTCGCATTCGTCGCGCGAGATGGTGTAGATGATACCAGGGACATTGTCAATACGCTCGCCGTTGAGTTCTGCTTTTCGTGGTTGAGCTGCACGTCTTTCGAAGACGCCCCTTATCCACTTTAGGAAGTGGTCAAGACGCCGGTCGTCCTCGTCTTGTGTGAAACGAATCTCGAAGTGGAGATTTGGACGGTGTGCGGTCATGGTGAAAATCTTCATGCGATCCGAGTCTCCATCCAGCCCCAGAGAAGCCAGCACATCCCGACGCACTTGAGCGTTGGCTGTGGCTGTGAGACACATGATGGGGACGTCGGGAAACGACTCGCGGAACCAGGATAACCGCTTGAAGTCTTTGCGGAAATCGTGGCCCCATTCCGAGATACAATGGGCCTCGTCAATAGCGATGCGTGCAAGTTCTCGCTGTTCGTAGACCACGGTCAGTCGATCTCGGAACCGGGGCTGTGCGCAAAGCTCTGGCGTAACGTAGAGCAGGCGTATGCGCGGGTGGCCGGTCTGCAGGTCCTTGTAGATCCTATCCTTCTCTCCCAATGGTGTGGTGCTGTTCAGCGAGCTGGCGTTGATACCGGCAGTTCGCAGAGCTTCCACTTGGTTCATCATTAGACTTAAGAGAGGTGATACCACGATGGTTACTAGCATTCACGTTAGACAAGTTTTTTTATTGTTGGAGAGGCAAGGTGAGCGAGCCCTACTGCCTTGATCGACTACGGCAGGAAGCTGGTAGCACAGCGATTTGCCGTATGAGGTGCTCGCCTGGACGAAGACATCTTTCCCACCCAGAGCGGCTTGTATTATTTCCTTTTGCTGTGGCCTGAATGCAGCCTTTCCGAACTGCTGGCGGAGTGTCCAGTCCAGGTCTGAGTAGATAAATGCATTTGACCGCGCAAGAGTCATGTTAGCCCAACAAAACGAGAGCACCCACAGGATGCCCTGGTTGTGTCTGGTTATGCCACAAATTCTGTCACATGTCTGTTTCTGACGCAGTGGCGTGGTTGATGATGTAGATGCAGGGTGTCCGATTGGATTTCGGCCACTTTGCCAACCTGGGATGGAAATGAGGTCAGCAGCTCATGTTGCTCCCAGACGGAAAATGTAGCTTGCCACGGCCCGGTCCATACGCGTTATCGAGATCCGCGTTTCTGATCGATCATAGAGTGGCTTTTAGCAGGACGTTTGTTCGCAGTGATGTGTAACAGGAGTTTGGGATGCAGGTTGCAGATGAGATTGAACTTAGAGTGTTTTTCTCAAAATAGGAACATGCAATGCAGCCTGGAATCCAAACCCTGAGGTTAGTTAGTTGCCTACCCAGATCTCGGGAGAGAATCTCACGCAAACACCAAACAATTGAGTTTCCGGTGGCAGAACCAATACGATGGTTCACCTGTCAACCTGAAACTTCTCTACAGAGGGTCTCGAAGTTGTTTTGCTAACCTGGAAACAGCCGATCGAGTCAGCGAGTTTGTATTAATGTAACTTGGCAACAGAGAATCAATTACTTGGCGGCTGCATGTATTATGCTTCACTGGATGCTTTCATCTCAATTCTAACACGTGAGAAACTAAAATAGACAACGTTGATGCCATGTACCTCACTGTGACTGGGACGACAGGATGCCAATATCATCCCAGTGACAAGGAGGTCAAGGGCAATAATGAAAGCCGAGGCAAGCTGTCTGGGTGTGATCGAATTGATAACAAGGTTCTCTGTCAATTCCCCATCCTGATCTCGCGGGAAGAGAGGAGAGGCTGTGCCTTGCATCTATCTGACTGGATCTGCAAATGCGGCGCTAGACACTAGTTTGCGCGGCTCTAGCTTCACACCATACCAGGCACAAATGCTCACGCCTGCCAAAAGTCACGTCACAATACTTTGGCAGCTTCCCATTGGGGACATATGCAACTTTGTTTCTAAAAGCTCCCAGCAGGTGAGGTGGGTGCATCTGCAGGAGGTCCATCCAGACGTGCATCGGGTGCATCATGATTGCCGCCTCTTTGACACCCCCTTGGGCCTTGGTCCAGTGCAATAATTTTTTGCACCAGCAATCGATGTTGAAGCGCAGTACGTCGTATATTAACCTGGTCCGTGCACGGACAAAGTCCTGGTAAGAGCCATCCCTTTTGCGGGCCTTTCCCAGGTCAGGCCCAGGTCATGTAGCCTGTCGTGGGGCCTTGTCGTGCAACAAAGTAGCCCACTCTCGCCAACCTCCGTCGACGCAACACAACGCAACGCAACGGCGACCAGGGGCTTTATCCCTTCCATTGGCACCCCATTGACAATCCAACGACCCTTGGAAAGCTTGGAAAGGTCTAGCAGCTTTTCGCCGCCAGCCTGTGACTGCAGTTGCCAGTGCACCTTCGACACACGACTGTTTCAAGACATCTTACACCATTGGTCGGTAAAAAGAACATTCGACGAAACTCCATCGTCTCTTTTTTCTCTTCGCGCTTACGAGCCCGATGCTGGGCAAGTAACGAGCATTGCGTCCGAAACACCACACCCAGCTGCCCTCTCTCCTCATCTACGAGTATCGTCGGCTGCTCATTGCCCAACGCCCTGTTTTGGCCATGACGACCTCGAATGCTTCGCTGAGTCCACAGTATCTGCCAACCCAATTGGCCTGATTCTTTAACGGGCTTAGTTGTTTGTCTGAGAATCGCTTGCTTTCGCAGATAAGCTACAACCCTGTGAAACCGAGATCGACCCTCGACAGCCTGTCCTGTGTCAGCCCGTAGACCCGTAAAGCCCCTCGAATATCGAATACGATCGAAGCATAACCTCCACTACGACGGAAACTTTGACAATCGAGGTTGGCTCCTCTCAGCATGTCAAAGAGCGTGCCCTCAGGAGGGAATGGTGCTGCCGTCCTTCCATCTTCCCAGCAGTCAAACTCGCGAGGTCTCCCAGCGAATCCAGCCCAAAGTGCCAGACGGCTGCCGTCATCCCTCAGCAACATGCCTCCTCCACCGCCGATACCTGAGAAGTTCCATGCCTCGGCCAACTCATCGGGTGCGTCGTCGCTGTCAGCCTCGGCGCCCACCTCGGCCGGTCAAGTCATCCATCTCGCCCGCGAGGCAATGAAAAGTGCTTTGCAGGACAATGAGTCTCAAGCGGCCGAGGCTAGCGGAGTCAGTACCGAACTGAAGCCGGGTGTTACCATTGATCTCAGTCGGAAAAATATCCAAGAATTGCCCGAGGAGGTCGTGGACATTATCAAAAATGAATTGGAACGGTGGGTTGCCCGTGATTGTCCGTGATAGACACCGTTGCTGACAGGACTCCCCTCCTCCTATAGGTTGGCACTATCACACAATAAGCTGTCGTCCTTTCCCGCCAGGTTTTCAGAGTGCACTTCTCTGCGGTATCTGAACGTGAGGAACAACTACATCAGAGAGTTCCCGTTGCCAGTAATTAGACTCCCCCCTGACCCAAGTGCTCAATTGACCGTTGCCTAACTTCCCGCAGCTATGCGACTTGAGATCGTTGGAGATTCTGGATCTTGGCAGAAACAAGATCCGTGTGCTTCCTCCGGAGATTGCGAAACTGGCATCGCTTAAGGTGCTTGCCGTGCAAAAGAATCGAATAGAGGAGCTTCCGCTTTGTTTAGCTGACATGGTGTCGCTGCAAGTCCTCAAGTTGGATGGGAACAACATCATGTTCCCCCCGAAGGAGTTTCTTCAAGTACAAGCCAGCAGCCCTCCCAACGAGGGCTTTCTGAAAGAAAGCGAGGTGAATGAGGTGACCATGACGGCACATATAAAGAAATTTCTGAGGCAGAAGACGCTGGAGATGGCCGAGAAGTCGGCCGAGATGGAAAATGGTGGTGATGATGGGAGTGATGGAATTGAGACACCACGTGTGCCCATCAAGCGTGTCGTCAGCGGCCGGTTTCCTATCAAGGTGAATGGCATCGACGCACCCGACCTACGATCGCCAAACATGCCTCGCCCGCCGCCGATACCCTCCCGATCTCATGCTCGTGGCCTTTCCCAACAGAACTCGGCCGTCCGCAGACCGGGCGTGATGCCTCTCACCATCGGAAATCCGAACGAACGACTGCGATCGAACAGCGAAACTCTACTTCAGGCTAGGGTGGAAAGGCCATCTGACCGACACAGGCGCATGGGCATGATGTCCAAGAAGGCCAATGAACTGGGCACGCTGGATGAGACACAAGCGAACAACCGCTTCAGTCACTACCGAGGTCTGAGTCACGGCTCGTCTATGACAGGCAACCTCAACTCCAACATGGCTGCTAGCCCACACAGCCCGGCAGAGCCTTTGCTACAACGACCGAATTATGTGCGGCGGCTTTCAGTACTACCCGAACAACGGAGGGAGTCAAAATTCTTTGATCCCATCATTGAGTCCGCCAAAGGCATTCTCTACGCCATCTTCCAGATTCACCCAATAATACAGCTTGTGACCCGATTAACCAACGACGGCACGGCAAAGCGATCAAGTCTTGAGATCGTGTTTTATAATACTAATGTACACGTCGAAGAGTTGGAGCAAGAAATCTTGAAGCATGAGGACTTGGTGGATCGCGACCGCTATGCTCCGAGAGAGAATGAAAACGTGCAGAGGGCGGTCATCACTCTAATCCAAGCTTACAGCCACATCTGCTCCATTTTGATCAACAACATGGACACAATCGTCGACAGCGGAGATCCGCGGTACGTCCGCACAATGCTGATGTGTCTGTACAACAGCATTATGGAGCTCAGAGTTACAGCCAATGAAGCCCTGATGGGAGCTCCTGGTAATGCTCGTGGCTCCGTGGCAAGGAGACCATTCTTGGGCGACACCATCAAACCGCACTCGCGCGAGAGCTCGGTGACACCTACAGCCGACCGCCCTGGTTTGGGAGGTCGAATTCGCACGGGAGCTTTCGCGCACAACCCGAGCAACCTTCGTGTATCGACAGACGTGGGGATGCCATTCATCAATGGCTCGGGAAGAACTGCTACCATTACCTCGGTGACGCCTCGCTCCGGAGAATCATTTGCATCTGCGAGCACGGATGGACGATATGCGGGCGACTTCACCGCGGAGGAGCGGTCGTTCGAGAAGATATTTTTATCGCTATCGAAATCTTCCGATTTGGTTATGCGTACGCTGCCCAACTTCAACATTCAATTCAACTCGGGTCTACGCAACGCAATGGCCCAGCGGGCACCGGACCATATCTTGCATTGTTGGAAGTCCCTGATCAACAGGTGCAACCAGGTCATTCAACAGACCGACCTTCTGAAGGGCCGACTCTCTGCTATCAAGTTCAAAGAGCCTGGCGTAAGGACGGATCCCGCGTTCTGGGGCCTTTGCAAGAGTTTCATCGACGCCTGGGCTGAATATGGAAGCATGCTCCGACATTCCATGGATCAGATCCAGCTCCCCATGGATATCAGAACCCGCCTTCGACCTGTGCAACTGTCCATCAAAGAGACGACACAGCTCATCTTCACCTCGCCCTGGGCCTGGCTTTTTCGCCAAGCCGGGCACTTTTCAGACGGCTCTAATTACTATGGATCTGGTCATTACTCTAACAACAGTTCTGTCTCCCACATGCAGCTCCCAATGACTCCTCAGAGTGCTGCTCTCGGGCCAGCGGTTCAGGCCACAGTACCGTCGACACCACAGAGCGCATCATTCGCGAATTCTTTCTCGGGGAATGTGTTTGAGCGAGCCGATGCCTTGATCTCGATGGGTGGCTTGTCAATGTCCCGAACGGGCACCATGACCAGTTCCTCGAATTCATTCAACAACTCGATTTCCTCGCTGACATCGGCCCAAGATGACCGCCAGGGCCCTTCGTCGATCTTCAGCCCGAACGGCGACTTCGTTCCCATGTCACATCGACGTAACGGCGGAAGCAAACCCGCGTTCTAGACGATACGCGGCTCGTGTTTCTTTGGTAACCATTTGCCCATTGCATGGGCTTTTACTTAGCGCTTATCCAGAGGCGCCCGTCTGCCAAGTTGTGGCGCCACTGGAGCAACCCCACGCCCTCTTGAATACCGGAGTATTCTAGAGTTTGGCAGTCGCAAAGTTGCGACTTCGGCCTAGCGTTCTACATTTACAAGAAGTGTCTATGTCATGGGGATTGGGCCATGTGGAGCTTTCTTGTGTATTAAGTCGCTTGCATATATGGTCCAAACGGGGAACAAAACCAGATTTTGGCATGGAGAGCTGGACGACGTTACCGTTAGCTGGCTCGCTATGGTCTTGGCTCCGACTGGCGTCAAATTTATTTCATTTCTTCTTGACCAAATAATGTCTGACTACAAGCAAAAAGGCATCGGATACCCATTGGAAGCTGAATGTATACTACGCACCTCACTTCAGATAGATCGACGGAATAGGACAGGAGCAGACGCATCGAACAGTCAATTTTGTCTACTAATAAATTGCATTTGGGCCTTTTCTCGCGGATCCGCAAGGCTCCGTCGTTCAAACTTGCAGGGATTGTGGCAGCTAAGCCAGCTCTTGGTTGATGAGCTGCATGAGCTCTGTTTCCATCCCTCCAATCATTGATGATGACGAGCTGAATGAAGTCACCTGGACCCATCTCCCCGCAGCGTCGCTTTCCTGCGTCCACTATGCGATAGACGCCAACATCTTCAATATCTGTCTAAAGATCACCATAGGCTCCAGCGATTTGGCGCCTCAGTCCTCGTATACATCCATCTCCTTCCCAATGAATGGCACGCCAATAGCGTGACGATGTCCACCATAACAGACGCACCGAACGGGGCGCCCCCCGTGGCGCCGTTGATCGCGTCCGAAACGCCAGCATCCAGATCCGGGACCGCATCATCATCCCGAAGCCCCAACATGACGCCCGGCCCGTCCAACACGGCCAGCCCACCCCTCTCATCGGCGTCCTTCCCGGCTTTCCCGTCCCTCCCTTCCACCACATCCGTGTCCCGGCCGCCACCCTCCCACTCGGCCTCGCACTCCATCTCCTCCCCCCGCACAGCAGCCATGTCTATGTCCACCTCCGCCTCTCCGCCCACCACAGCCACAACCCCCGTGTCCGCGCCCGCGCTCAACCCGAACCTACCGTCGCAGTCAACCCAGATGCACATCGCCGAGGCGCGCGCAGCCCTCGTGGCTTCCATGTCGAACCTTCTGGACTCGGAGCTGCAGGGGCGGGCGGCGCTGTTGCATTCCAATGCCGCGGCTTTGGCGAAACAGGAAAAGGATGTGGCGAAAGCTACCGAAGGACTACGGAAGGAGAATGATAAGTTGGCGAAGGTGGCAAGGGATGCGGGGCGGAAGATTAAGGAGACGGGGAATGTGCAGAATTGGGCAGAAGTGCTGGAGAGGGATTTTTTGGTTTTGGAGGAGACTTTGCGGTTGGTCCGGGAGGGGAGTGACGAGGGTAGCGAAGCTAGTTGGTCGGGAAGTTATAGTGGGAGTGGGAGTGGGAGTGGAAGTGGAAGTGAGTGTGAAGGAGGGAGTGGAAGGAGGAGTAGAACGAGGAGTAGACGGAGGAGCGTGGTTAGTGGGGTAGAGGACTTTTTGGCGAGGGGGAAGCAGGATATCGACGGTGGTGCGGGTAATGAGGAGCCGGGCATGGATAAGGGCAAGGGGATCGATGAAGTTGTCGAGGATGCAGCTATGGATGATGTTGTTGGTTCAGAGGAACTAGACCAGGGCCGTGGTGTGATTGGGTACATGGCTCCGCCGATCAAGGCTGGGGATCGTGATGTGTCGATGGACGCGGATGCTGCCGGTGAACGAGAGGGCGCCTTTGCGAGTGTGAACGATGCCATTGTGGCCAGTATCAGAGAAGCTATGGAGACGAGTGTCGACGACAGATCGGCGCCGGAGCCAGGAACTGAACTGCACTTAGAGGGTAAGGGCAAAGGCAAGGGCAAGGAATTTGCCACGAAAGCAGAGGCAATGGATGTTGATGTGCCTGAGGCGTCGGATCGTGCGTTAGGAATTGGTCAGCCGAAACTGCTGAAGGGAGAAGAAGCATTGGAAAACCACGGAGTGTTTGAGTTCACGGCCGCGTCCGCGTTGCCAGTCACATGAGCACGAAGGTGGCATACGAATCGGTGTTATCCCAATCACGGGGCATGAGCTTATGACTGATGAAGTGCTTGCTGGGCCGTGTTACGATTCATATTCAAGTATAGTGCGAGCTCTACGACGTTGGTGATACTGGTTTCTGATTTGAGACACTTTGACTGGTTATCATGGCTAAAGCGTTATTACGTGTAATATCTATTTCTTGGTGGAACCTGAGCAACAAATGCATCAAAACCAGGGAGCAGCCCGAAAGTAGCTCGAGTTACTCCATCCATGTTCCATTCCCCAGAGAAACATCCCCAGAGACATCAAAGGAGAAGTTCTTGTTCATGTCCGCTAGACTGGTCGAGCAGTTTACAGGAGTCCAGGGAGCATGACGTAACGCTTCTTCTTGTACTTGTCACCGAATTCCTTGCGGTACGCACGCTCCTTGCCCTTACCCCAGATGAACATGTAGTACATTCCGATGGAGATGAAGAGGGCGACGGACGGGCTACGGCTGATGAGAATGACACCAGCCCAGGCCAGCTGCTCGTACATGTAGTTGGGGCTCGTGACGAGACCGAATCCCAATCCCTTCGGAATTTGTCTCTCAGTGCCGCCAGGGCTTCGCAGGCTGGACAGATACTTGTGCACCATGAAATTGCCCGTCTCACCGAAGGCGAACAAGGCAAGACCCAATGCGTCAATGGCGTGGTTCTTCGCGTGGGCAGCGGGCGAGAACGGGGCGTACACCTCGAAGGCAGCCAGCAGACCGGCAACGGCCCAGTAGAAGAAGGAGTTGCGAAAAATATTCCAGAAAGGCATGGTGCTGGCTGAGAAGCGGTGCACGAAGGCCGTCTCGTATTCTCGCTTGAGGAAGTGGAGCAGGACACAGCCGAAGGTGAGCTTCTGGGAGAGGGACAGGGCATTGCCCGAGTTCGGCTCCGATACGTAGTTCTTGACATAGGGGTAGAGGGCCGGATAGATGTACGACCGCAAACCCAGGAACAGCGGGTGGAACAGCAGAGGGCCGAAGTACTCGATGAGGAAGACGGTGCGCCAGGCCAACTGGGGGCCAAGGTCCTTTACAAGCAGCTCCTCATACTTGAGGTCCCGCAGGAGCGCCTTCCTGTCCTTCAACGTCTTTTTTGTCGTCGGGTCGAAGAGGCCGATTTGGTTGTGGTCGGCAATGCCCACCTTGCGGGCCACGGCGATCTTTGCATCCTCGACGGTGGCATCATTGGGCAGGTCGACTGACGGTGGCAGTCTTTTGATCTGCTGCTTGGGAGCTATTGTTCGACCGTCAGTATTCTGCGATTGGGCCTGAACGTGGGGAACTGGTGCCTACACCTGTTGCTCAGCTTCAAGGACAATTCGGCGGTCGACATGTTGAAAAGGCTGTGTTTCTCAGTCGTAGATTGCGGCCGAGCTGGGAGGATCCGGTATATGATCGATCCCTCGAGCCCTGAAGATGGCGATTGGCTTGGGACAACAGAGGGCGCCGGGTGACGTGGCCGAGGTTTAACAATTGGGACTCCGAAAACCTTGGTCAATCGCGCCCACGTTCTTCTCGTCGTTGGGAAACAAAATGTTGAAATCCTGGGCAGTATCCCTGCATCTGCTTGGGTAGTGCATAAACGGTTATATGCAATATGGACTTACCAGAAGTAACCGCTGTAGCAAGCTCGAACCGGCTTGTGTGAGCTTGGGTAGTACTCAACCCAAACCATGAGGCGATGGCAAACGAATGATCAAAACACACCTTCCATCTCAGCATGTGCGCAAGCAGCATGTGCGGTCTCCACGACATAGAAGAGATACGATGTCATTGTGATGCTGCCTCGTGCTGGGCATCTCGCAGCCAATGAGACACGCCCAGGATCACATATTTGGGAACCGCGACGCAACCTTCAGGGATTGAAGACATTGGAAAGGCGCAACTGTTAATAAACAGTATCGACAGGCCGCGCAGACTCGTACGATTTAGCGTGCACCGTGAAGCTTTGCTAGGGGCCTGAAGCCTTTTCTGGCACGGGCTGGGGGCTTTGGGGATACAGCTCCGGAACAACTCCCTTTGCATTCTTAATCTAAAATCTACAAGTTTCACTGGCTTCCGGCCCTGTACTTACTCAGATATACGATCGTCGCCGAGGCAAGCAGGAAGGAAGTATTCGCGTGTGCCCAATCAATCCATGGCGCAGCCGTCCAGTCATGTACGCTGCCAAGGCTGTCAGCGGCATGGGGCATACCTTTTTCGGTCTCAACCTCGTGGAAACGGCATAGTGTCCAATATTTTCGAACAAGAGGCGAGGCCAGCTGAATATGTTGCTTACGATAGGTCATGAGCCCTCGATTCAACTGCACTTCTCTGTAGCACTCCGTCTATTCAATCTCTCTGGACGTGCCGCAGGCTCGCGGCTTCCTATGCTTCAGTCCACTTCAGCACATCTGGGACCATTTTTAACTAGCAACTTGATTGAGCAGGTTTCAAAATTTCCAAGGGTCGCATACTCCGCGCCTTCTAGCCGTCATGCCGTTCCTGGGTTGAGGCTTGAATATTTGGCTAGAACTAAGAGAGTGCTTAAGTGCGCCTCATCAGTTTGGCCGGAGGGAACTGCGTCTTATCTTGATGTTTTGCTCAAACAAAGGCGAAGACAATGGCGTAGATGCTGGCTGGCTGGCCCAGCCCAGTCCAGGCATGACTCCGCTGATTGCTCCTGGGGTTACTCCTCGACACAACCAGTACGAGCTTGCTGTCACTTCACCGATTCCAACGCAATCCCGAACAAGAAGATACGTGGAGATAATTCCGGGTTCTGTTTCGTTCGGTTGAGGTCATGACCATAAAAGCAAGTCACTCGTTTCAGTGAGACAATGGCACACTTTGGGTTGCATTTACCCCCAGCAGTTAGCACTCGGAACATGACGCCGCACAAGTACATAAGTCGGTGGTTTCGTCCTCATCGTGTGCACCATCTGTTTTTTTTCTTTTTTTGGTTTTCTTTTTGCTACCATTTCTGTAGAATCTATATCTCACAGCATCATATTAACTCGAAGCCTCTGAAAGCATGGGCAAGACGGACGATCACGGTGTCTTCGCCGCGCTCGACAAGTATGGCCATCTTTTACATGCTGCGGCCAAGCCGGTGTCGTCCAAAAGGGTGGATGGCCCTGCTGTTGATGACTCCAATACCAGTGTCTTGAAAGATGTAGCATCCCTCGATGCACGAGATGTCAAGACACTCTTCACGTTGGTCGAGAAGCACCTCTCCAAGAAAAAGTTGACGGACGATAGGACCATGTTTATGGAGAATCTAGTTACCCTCGTCTCCAAACTTCCAGACCGGTCTCCGAACAGAGCCAGGCTCAGCAACGCCTTCACCAAGGATATTTGGGGCTCACTGGACCATCCTCCCCCGTGTGGCCTCGGCGATGTGTACAATTACCGTCAGGCTGATGGCTCATACAATAACATACACCTACCGGAGCTAGGAAAGGCGGGGGCCCCTTACGCTAGGTCTGTACAGCCCCGAATGCTGATGCCAGCCTCTCTACCGGACCCCGATTTGATCTTTGACGTCGTCATGAGCCGTGACAATGGAGGATTCAAGCCTCACCCCAACAACATATCCAGCATGTTGTTCTACATGGCTATCTTGATCATCCACGACTGTTTCCGCACCTCAAGGCAAGATCCAAACGTTTCCACTACATCTTCGTACCTCGACCTGGCTCCTCTTTACGGGTCAAACAAAGATGAGCAGGCATCTGTCAGGGCCTTCGAAGACGGCAAGTTGAAACCGGACTGCTTTTCGGAGAAGAAGTTGTTAGGTTTCCCTCCTGGGGTCGTCTGTCTCGTCATCATGTTCAACCGCTTCCACAACTATACGGTGACTCAGCTGGCAACCATCAACGAGAATGGTCGCTTCAGCCAGCCTGCGGGTTTCCTGGACGCGGAAAAGAAGAAGGCAGCAGCCGAGAAACGCGATGAGAACCTTTTCCAAACGGCACGACTTGTCACTTGCGGACTCTATGTCCACATCATTCTTCACGACTACCTTCGCACCATTCTGAACCTCAATCGCACAGAATCTACGTGGTGGATCGACCCCCAGTCTGACATCGGCGACGGCAACGACTCGATGGCCTCGGGGAATCAAGTCAGTTTGGAGTTCAACCTCATCTACCGGTGGCATTCTTGCGTTAGTCTGCGCGACGAGAAGTGGACGCAGACCTTCACCGAGAAGCTTGTCGGTAAAGACCATCGCGATGCCTCAACTCGAGAACTTCTCGAGGCACTTGCGATTTGGGAGGAGCAGATCCCGGAAGATCCTCAGCAGCGATCCTTCGAGGGCTTGCAGAGGCAGGCCGATGGCAAATTCAACGATGATGAACTCGCCCGCATCTTGATAGAGAGCATTGAGGATTTAGCAGGTTCGTTTGGGGCCAACAATGTTCCTGCGGTATGATGCTCTCTTTTTCTCCTTTTAGATCTCGACATGACTTACCAGCTATGTGTAGGTTTTGCGCGCTATTGATGTTCTAGGGATACAACAGGCGAGGGGTTGGCACACAGCTACCTTGAACGAGTTCAGAAAGTAAGTGATATTAATAATAACAAAAAGAAAAAAACAACAGCGATCTAACGGCTATCTCCAGGTTCTTCGGACTCGAGCCCCACAAGACTTTCCAAGATGTCAACTCAGACCCAGTTGTTGCCAAGAATCTCGAGTCCTTGTTTGAGCACCCAGACTATCTTGAGTTGTATCCTGGGATGTAAGTGTATTGGTACTTTTCTTAGAAAAACCGGAAGCACTAACTCGCAGATGCAGAGTATGCGAGGAGGCAAAGCCGCCTATGGTTCCGGGGTCAGGGCTGGCTCCGGGTTATACCATCAGTCGGGCGATTCTGTCAGATGCCATTACCTTGGTTCGAGGGTGATTACAATTTCCCAACACTCTAGAAGATGATTCGTGTTTTCTAACTTGGTTTTAGGACCGTCACTATACCTTGAATTATCATCCTCGGACTCTTACCAACTGGGGGTAAAACATTTTCCTCACCCCTGATGAAATCTTGCTAACGAAAACCCGGCAGTTTTAAGGAGGTCGAATCTGATCCTGCTATTGAAGAAGGCTGTGTCTTCTACAAGCTGATCCTCCGGGCATTCCCTCAACATTTTGAGCACAACAGCGTCTACGCTCACTATCCAATGGTAATTCCTTCGGAGAACGAGAAGATTCTTCGGGAATTGGGCAGAGCGGACATATATGAGTTTCGTCGACCTCGACGCCTGCCTGCGCAGTCTATCATAAAATCTCCCAGTTGTGTCAAGACTATACTAGGGAATAACAGAGCCTTTGGGTTCGAGCCGTGGAGGCGTGGTTTTCACTTCCTTGGCGGCGATGATAGCACGAAAGCTTGCCTAGCTGGAGATGGACCGTCCTCCACAGAACGTCGTGGCCAACTGCAGAACTGCTTACATCCCGATTGCTGGGAGACTTTAGTCAAGCAACTCTATGAAGAGATCACGATGCAACTACTCCAAAAATGGTCTTGCAAGGTCGGTGGTGCCAAAGCTACTAGCCAGGTTGACATCATTCGAGACGTCGGCAATATTGGTAGGTTCTATCGAAAGTCTTGTAGATAATGTGCTTTCACGCAGTCTGTTAACAGTTTTTTCGCAGCTGGGGTTCACTTTGCTGCCCAGTTCTGGTCGCTCCCGCTGAAGACACAGCAGCGGCCTCACGGCATCGTTAGTGAGCACGAACTCCGCGACATTCTCATAGTAAGCACATTGTTACCACCAAGCATATAACTTGAAAAAGCTGTATATCTAACAAGGGACACCAGCTCGTATTAATGATACACTTCTATCAAGACGTCGACCCCGTCAAAACGATGCCGCTGCTCATTGCCGCCAAGCCCATCATCGAAGCGTTCGATAAAATCATGAAGGCTGAAATCCAAATTCCAAGCACGGGCAAGACCTTCGGCAACATGCTGTCAAAGATTATGGGTCAGAAGGACGAGGTGGGCGACTTCGGCGTCAACATCTCCCGAAAGCTGCACGACTACGTTTTGAGCCCGCACGAATCCGTCTACTCACAAGTCCTGGTAGCAGCTGCGCCCATGGTTGCCAACAACGCCGAGATCTTCGCACAGATTATCGACTTCTACCTCGGGCGGGGAAAGGAGCACCTGTCGAGAATCCGAGAATTGGCCAAGCAGGACACATCAGAAGCGGACAAAATCCTTATGCATTACGCCATGGAGGGGATCCGGCTCAACGGGTCACACGCAGTACTTCGATATGTGCGCAATGACACGACCGTGCTCAAGGACGAACATACCCTGGAGCTCAAGGCTGGACAGATGGTCTTTGCGGACTTGAGCAGCCTTGCTATGGATCCTACGCTGTACCCCGAGCCCGAGACTGTGCGTCTCGATCGGCCCCTTGACAGCTACAAGTTCTACGTCCATGAATATCATAAGTGTCTTGGCGCTGGTATAAGCCGTATCTCCGTGACGGCAATGCTGAAAGTCGTGGCGCGGCTTGATAATCTCCGCCGGGCACCGGGACCTCAGGGGGAAGTGAAAACTTTTGTCGATGAGAAGGGTTGCAAGACGTACATGGATGCTTTCCAAAGCACGTACTCGCCGATTGCAACGGGGCTGAAGGTGTTGTTTGATGGACAGTTGTAGACAACTCGAGAGGTCCGGGAGGTAGACTGTCGGAACTGTATGAGTGAAGGAGGCACGCCCATGATCAGGCCGCGTCAATATAGGGTTTAGCCCTTTTCTTTCATAGATATCAATAGAGAATCAATTATCATATATCTGCAAGCGCGATATGCCTGGCACCGCCCCTTCCCCTTATCTCCAATAATGCAGATCACTCCATTTCCGACCGACCCAAAGTCCAGTCCCAATGACACACCCGATTGGCAATATGCAAGTTGCGAACATTCCTCGGCAGGTAAGACACCGGAGTGGGGAGATATTTCCCCACGGGCGCCGCTCCGGAAAGATCCAGGCCCGGGTCGCATATATCGCAACTGCGCGGGGTCTGAGCCAAGGGGTCGCCAACAACCAAGGCGGGATTGACGCAACATATCGTCACAGCGAGCTCGCGGCCTCCGCGGGCGCCTCTCATGGCCTCGTACTTGTCCGTGATGGCCTGGGCGTACTTGTACAGGTAGGACAGCAGGTCGAAGCTGCCGGGCCAGGCGTAGATTTTGATGCAGGACAGGTTGGTCATGTGGCCTAGGGCGTATACGGCCAGGTCGGAGTACTTGTGCGTAGTGCTGTTGCTGCGCGAGCGAATGGTGAGGGATGTCAGGTTGGGGAGGAGGTGGCCTAGGACGGCTAGGCTGTGTTTGTCCATGAAGCAATTGGTCAATCTGTGAGTCCTGTGAGTGGATTGTTTGTTGCTGCGTATCATCGCATGTAGGCAGCAACAGGTGGTTGGATCTCATATAAACGTGTTTCTTTTCCTTGTTTTCCTCCTTTGGTTTTTAATAATCGCAACTTACGAGAGAGACAGGACTTGATGGCCTATGGTTAGCATGTGTTGGAATTGCACCTCGGTTGACTGGCTAGTCCCCTGTCGTGACTCGAATGAGAGGGCTGTGGACGAGTTGCTGATGGTGTGGCACATGTACGTCCAGTCCAGCCGGGACCGCAGGTACAAAATATGGAAGATGGAGTAGAAGCGCCGGTTGGCCAGGGTCAGGGTGAACAGGGTCTCTGGGTCGGTATGCTCGGCCAGCATGAGGACCAGCTCGTCGATGGAGGCGAATTGCGCGCCGCTGGGTGGCATGGTGATGGAGTATTACCCGGGGGTATCAGCCTGGACCATGACGGGGATAGAGAGAGTGGTGGTCGGCGACGGCATTTCGTTGGAGATTGAGGGTGAAGATCCAGGGCGAAGACGTGATGCTGCGAGACCCAACGGGTTGGTTCGCGTGCATCTAGCGGTGGCGCTTTGCTGTTTCTGTTGGACAACCATTTTCATGTTATCATAGAAGCTGGGATTTGCTGGACTTGTAGCTAGGGGGGGCACAGGCAGGAACATGATTTCATTGTGGCAAAGGAAACCTCCATATTCTCAATTACCATGCGCAGAAAGACAAACTATCACCAAACCCAAGAAGAATGCGTATATTAGAGCTGGATGTGATGTTGAGAACTCACTTACAAGTGGTGGGTACCTCCAAGTAGCGCCAACTCGGATAGGGGCATAACCTTGCTGGACCGCTTATGCTTAAATCACAGTGCGGAGATTGAAGGTGGGGGCGGGGTGCGGCTCGGCCCTGCGAATGTCATTGTTCGTGCCACGCAGGAGTCCAGGGCCATCATTCCGATACATCATTTCGATATACACAAAAGACGCAAGGGGGATCACAACAACCCCCCCTTACTGAGCCAAGTATCCCACCAACTGCACACATCCATGCATTGACAACCTCCCAGTCATGCCCCCCCCAAATACCCCAGAAGAGGGCGTGGTGGCAACCACGACAACCACTCTGGCCCTCCGCCCGCTCGTCCGGGGCGAGGCACCGGCACCACCCGTGGACCTGTGCGCCCTCGAGTACGAAGGCACCATCGACGAGAATCTTATCTGCCCCATCTGCCGCGTCGCCCTCGTCGCCCCTGTCATCACCAACTGTGATCACGTCTTCTGCCATAAGTGCCTTGTCCAAGCGCACGCCCTCAACCCCGTCTGCCCCATCGATCGGTTTCCGCTGAAGCTCGTGTCCGAGACCCGTACCGCCCCCAAAATCATCCACAACCAGCTCGAAAGCCTCAACGTCAGGTGTCCCAATCGGCACCGCGGCTGCAACCTAGTTGTGGCGAGATCACTGGTAGAGAATCACGTCACGAGGTACTGCGATAAGACGCCGGTGCCGTGTCCGCATCCTTCTTGCGACAGGACGGTGGCTCGCAAGGACGTGGGGAAGGGGTGTCTGCACTACGATGTCAAGTGTGAGTATTGCGAACAGGTCATCCAGAAGGCGGATCTTGAGGATCATCAGGATACGGAGTGTCCCAATCGTAATACGAATTGCGAGCTCTGTAGGGCAGAGTTCGTGCGCAGCAAGCAAGACGAACATGTGAAGGAGTGTCCACAGGTGGTAACATCCTGCAAGTTCGCACCCTTTGGCTGCAATTGCCAGATGACCCGCAAGTTGCTGGAAGCACATAGCGAGACATGCGATTATCGAGTGGTTGGACCCGTCGGCGAACAGCTTGCCCAGATGCGTGCAGAGCTGGTTGCGCTACAGGAGAAAGACCGCCTCAAGGACCGGCGGATCAAGTTTCTCGAGAATCGGGGTTTTTCGATACCAGCAGCCAGCCCGCCAGATCCAATCTCGGAAATCAGCATGCCCGAGACGGCCACCAACACGGATACCGCGCCGTACGAATCAAGGGATCAGTACTTCCTGTCCCTATTCGAGACGATGGAATCCAAAGTCGAGAGGTTATCGTCAGGGCTCACGGAAGTCGAGGGGCGTCATTCGATGATGCTCTTCAACGAGACGCTCCAGATCAAGGATCAGCTGACTGAGATCCGGAGTACGCTGGGTGTCCTGGGCATGCATGTCAGGTGGCTCATGAACTTCCGATTGCAGGAGCGCGGCAGGGCAGGGACGGGCTCTCCAGCGTTGCCGGGGTCTTTCTCTGATGGCCAAGGCAGCAACAATGACTCCGGCCTCCCGAGACGGCTAAGTGATTCATTACGAGAAACGCCTCCGAGATTATGAGCAATGCATTTGGTGCTTGGTACGTACAGGTGCCTTTGGAATCGGGGTGTTTATGAAATTGAGGTGCGGACTCCCGTATAGGCATAATTTATGCTTTACTCGTTCATGGAAACGTGAGGGAAAGCATGACCGGACTGCATAGGATACGGCGTTTGGGAATCATGGCATACGGAATTGACAAGAAGTGGCGGGCGAGAGCTCGGTGCGTATACTGTAATTCGTTTGCATGTTTCTAAGTACACACTTGTGGAGGTTTCCACATAACACTTCTAGAAGGCCCGTAGATGATGGTGTATGAAACCGATTGGTATTTGTACTCGTACTTGACGGAGTCCACACCATGTTGACCTATCTGGTTTGTAAAAGAGCAAAGAAAGTACGCATGAGCAGCTCAGGTCTTGTATTTCCTGACCCTAAGCTACCAAACCTCGCATCTCGTGAGCAGAAGCTTCCTCTTCCTATATTTTCCCTCGTCATCTTTCAAGCGACGAGGAGTCGGGTTGAGCAATCTGTTGATGGATCCAATGGACAAGATTTGGCGATTCGTCTGCGGGGTCTAAATAACGCTTCTGACGCCTTCGAGGTGCGGGATATGTCGACTTGTAACCTGGTCGGCTCGGCTCTGGTTCATCCCGGCGCCGCTTTGCAAGTGGACAGTACAAAACTGCGGCAGTCGAGGTGTCGCTGAGGTCGAACGCATATCGTACAAGGATGAGATCATCGCCATTGACGGCGGGGGCTCTACTCTATATTCAGCGGCCTCCACAGTCTTGGAATGGACCATCCCAGACGACGTTGATAGCCAAACCATCCAAATGCTAGACATCAATATCTCGGCCGTCAAGAAACGGGCCGATGGCACCGTCTAGCTGACAATCGATGGTGGGACGGTACACTGCACCTCACTCTCAAGAAGTTTGCAAAGGGCCGCCAATGGGTTCTGACACCGTGCCTCCTTCAACAACGCTCACATTTTTTACCCCCGGTCGTCATTCAGAATAACAGCTCAAGACAGTCAGGACAGCATGATTACATACGGCACGAGGGAATGGGTCGATTACGGCGTAACCGTGAAAGGCTTCACATCAACAATGAAAATCCTTCTGGGTTTACTGTTCGAGTTCAGGGGCTCAACAGGTACTACACGCTGCTGTTCAAGAAAGCGGGCTGGGTTGCCATTGCCAAGGCACTGGACAAGGTGAAGATTGAGCTGGTGTGCACCGAATTTAATTGGAAACTTGATGCGCTGTCCTGTGTCAGAGTCGAGGCTGAGGGAAAGCTGACGATGGACAGGATCGTGGATATGAGTTGGGTCTGGTGGCAACAGAAGGCTTGGTACGTGTCGCTACAATGGAGATCGGCCCCCGCCAGATGACGGGATATTGGGTTCACACCCTCCCACCCTCATTTCGGTTCGCGTACAAGGTATCTGGATCCTCGTGCTGAAATATGCTAAGCAAGTGGCAAGGAACATGGTGTTCGGTATTGATTGCTATCACCGAGAACAGGATTTTGTGATTCGCACCAAATTTCCGCTCAGGGCAGTGCGGCTCCTCCTGCCATGGTTCATGAAGATGATGAAACATAAAAATACCACAAGGTGTGATATTCCAAATTCGGCTACTCAAACCTGCGGTGCAGCAATGTGAACAAGTTGTGTATGGGCACAGTGCAACAACACAACGGTTACATGTGCCATACGTAGTACTTGAGGATTAAAGTAAGCTATCAAGCAAATGCCCTTTAATGTGTAACATTTCGCATTCGAGGAGGAATTATTAGTGTGATCCGACGTTGGCCGAAGTCAGCTCATATTATGAGTCAGCCCCAAGCGAGGCCAGGACACTTGTGGGCAGCGGCCCCGAAGCGGCTGCTGGAGCTACAGCATGGGGCGGATGAACACCCATTGCCTGAGCATATTGCATCTTCTCTGGTAAACTGAGCCAGGGCGCCCTTGTTGGTGACATCATCATGTCTTGAAACCTGCGTGCTCTTTGAAGATAGCAGAGAAAACAAAGCTCTTCACCCCCAGGGTCTCGAAGCAAAAGACATGACGGGCTCATGAAACTGGATCTGAATATTCCCATACATCCTTCTGTATACCAGCTTATGAGGGTACTCTACCATCATACACTGCCACATCTGAGACTGGCCCGATCAGATGAATCTAAATTCCAGTTAGACATACAGTGCTAAGCCAATCAATCTGTTTAGGTAGCAATACAACGCGTCGCGTGCAAATGCTCTGGCGCCTACTTCTTCAACGACTTCAGGAGTGGAGCTATTCTTGTCTTCTTGCTGAGCCCAACGCGATAACGCACCTTGCCAGCTCGCGAGGCCGTCGGCTTAACGGCCAAGGCACTGAGCGATTTATCCGGATCTGAGATTGTTGAATGCGAACGGACTAGGCTATTGCGGGCTACCTCGCTGAGGCCTGCAGTCTGAGCAGCCGGCTTCGTGTTTTTGCTCTCGGGCTCAGGCTCAATATCCTCTTGCACATCTAGTGTATTCGGGTCGTTTCCTGTTAGAGACGAATTGCCGACATCTATTGCCTTTGCAGCATCGCCGGCAGGCTTTTCGGTCTCGGTGGTTTCCGAATTCTTCGGACGAGCCCGTTTCTTTTTCGACCCATCTGCTGGAACGGCCATCGCCGTTGCCTCCTCTGTGACTGTTGACACTGGAATAATAATATCTGCAGGCTGCTCATCGCCATCTTCATCACGGACGATCTGCTTGCTTACTGGCTGTTTCTTTGGACGACCTGCTTTCCTCTTCGAATTCCCCATTGGAGTCTTCGTCTCCCGTTCCACAGGAGGCGCCGCAGGAAGTGGCAAGGAGTCCGGGACGATAGAGGCATGCTGTTCGCTGGATACCGATTCCGGACTAATGTCATCATTCGCAGTCTTTTTCCTCGGCCGTCCTCGCTTCTTTGACAGTGATTTCGTTTGAGATATGGAAGCCTTAGTGCTATCGGGGACGGCCAGGCTTGTATTCGCTTCGTCACTCGCAGCGGTGCCTAAATAATTTACACCGTTGTCGCCCACAGGCGCCACTGCTGCATTGTCTTTGTCCTCATTTTGATGTTCCAGAATACTCGGTTTCGACCTACGACGGCTTGGTCTTGGTTTATCTATTTCTCGGGGAAAGCCGATCTCATCGGACTCCCGTGAGGAATGGTGTCCTAGTTCGTCATTGTCTTCTCTAGCATCTGTTCTTTTCCTTTTCACAGAAGAGATCGCCGTTCTGTTATGTTCGATATCCTTGGCCTGTGAGGGTGATTTCGTACTCGATTCCGGCTGCTTCCTCTGCGATCTCCCATTATCAGACACGATGGCGTCCGGAGAGGATGAAATGAGCTGATCCAGGCATGTTAGCCACCGAATCGACGGTTGATCGAAAAGGCTTACATTGATGATGGTCCCAGAATTTTCACACTGCATTGTAGATTGCTCCTGCCAAGGTAGTTTAGGAATTGAAGATGCATATCTGCTGGGAGTTGAGTATGCAATGGTGGTAGCGCCACTGGACTTGTGATTTGCAGGTGGTAGTGGCATTGAAGTAACTGGTGCCGGATCTAATTGCCCAGCAGCATTCTTTGGTGATAGTTGAACCTTCTCGTACTGCAGCTTTTGCATAGCAGTAAGGTGGCTCTCTGCAACGTAGAAGATTGGTGACTCTGGAGGATCAAGCAAGTCGGCTGGGGAGCCCTGCCGCTTTTTCGCTGCTGGAGTTGGCTGATTGTAGCGTGGCGCTACATTACCAGTCTGAGAGACCCTAGGGCTAGCTCCTTTTCGCTTGCCATAAGTCTTGTTTCTTGCCTTGGAGCTCCTCGCACTCCTCGATGGCGCCAGCTCATCGCCGCTGCTTGGCACATCCCATTCACCTTTTGCGGACTTTCTAGGCGTGCTGACCTCCGTTGCGGTACTCACTTGAGTGAGCTGACTCTTTCGATATTTTGTCAGTACTAGTGGCGACGTGATGTCCGTAGCCGAAGAAACATTTCCCTGAGCTTTTCCCTTGCCCTTTCCTTTGGCTGGGAGTGAAATGTCGCTACTGCTGCCATTTGCCTTCTGACTCTGGCGAATGATGTTTTCAACTAGGTCATGGTGAGGCGCCCTGCACTGCTCATCATACACCCTGTCGAAGAATGATGGGTCTGTAGAGCTTGTTTGCGGTGGTTGAATATGTAATGCTGTCGGGCTTGGTGAACGGGTCAATGGCTCAATCTCTGGTGCTTCGATGGTAGTCTTGACCGGACTGCGTTCGAGCTGGGCTGCCTCTTCGATAGATTTCACCGAGACTAAATCGTCAAGCTCATCATCCGAGTCTGCAACCACGCTGCGAGGAGGCATTTTGCAGCTATCGGTGAGTGCGGACCATGGATGCATTCCCAAATGGTCACCAGCAGCCAACTCCATGAAGTGCTTAACGCGTCAGACGCGCTGGGGAAATATGCAGAAACCGAGAGAGTGGGGGCCATCAATAAGTGCTATAATTGGTTTAAACACATGTGGCATCTCTGTACCCGAGCCTCAACCGTCACTAAGGTACTGGTACTTGGGTTGTCGGATGTCTTCAGAGCAGCGGCTGCTGTTCAAGTAGTTACAAATTGACACATCGTTTGTTTGTATAGACAACCACTAAGGAACTTCATGGATCCTGAATTCGTTCGTGAACTTCACGTTGCAAGTGGCCGTAGTTACGCTACTTCATGCGGGGTGCAATTGCATGTACTTTGTAGCAGGCAGCTACGAAGCTTCAGAAGCTGTCAGCTAAACTTGCGGCTCTTGGGCCAATCAAATGCTTATGGGTGGCATTTTTGGGCCATCCCATAAAATGTAACAGGGGTACAAAATCTAATTCAGATGTGGCCTCTTCTGACGGCATAATAAACACCGGTCTGTAAGTGCGTTTTTGAAGACTCACTGTTATAGAAGTTGAGGACAGATTTATTCACCAGTGGACATTCGACGACTCTACAGCAGCCGGGTAGGCGTACTTAAAGCTGTACCGTTCCGGTTAACTCGGTCCTGTCTGTATTCATTTCCTTTCGTCTATAATACAGTTCAGTTGCGTTGCTTCCGTTCTGAGACAGGCGAGCAAGTCGCCTACTGCTCTTTTCCACCATGGCGCACTCTTTCTCCCCTCGATCAATCATACTCTGCGTCGTACTGTTGTTTTCGACAAATGCGCTCGCCGTCTCGGCCGTACTTGGCGTCGATCTTGGCACCGAATACATCAAAGCCGCCCTCGTCAAACCCGGCATCCCCCTCGAAATTGTCCTGACGAAAGATTCGCGAAGAAAGGAGACGTCCGCGGTCGCATTCAAGCCTTCACAGAATAGCCCCAAGTCTGGCGCATACCCTGAGCGAGCATACGGCTCGAACGCCATAGCTCTCGCAGCTCGATTCCCCGCCGACGTCTACCCAAACCTCAAGACCCTCCTTGGGCTACCTTCGGACGATGCGTTGGTCTCAGAATACCTTGCCAGACATCCTGCTCTGCAATTGGAACCCCACAAAGCTCGAGGCACTGTCGCTTTCAAGAGCAAGGCATTCACCGCCGAGGAGGAAGCATGGATGATCGAGGAACTACTAGCCATGCAGCTGCAGAGCATTCAGCGCAATGCTGAAGCCTTAGCCGGCTCTGGCACATCGGTCCGCTCTATCGTTGTCACAATTCCCCCGTTCTACACAACCGAGGAGAAGCGTGCAGTAGAGTTGGCTGCAGAATTGGTTGGGCTCAGGGTCCTCTCCCTGATCAGTGATGGTTTGGCAGTGGGCTTAAACTACGCCACCAGCCGAACTTTCCCCAATATCAACGAAGGAGGCAAGCCCGAGTACCACATGGTGTTCGATATGGGTGCCGGATCCACCAGCGCAACCATCATGAAGTTTCAGGGCCGAACAGTAAAGGACATTGGCAAGTTCAACAAGACGGTTCAGGAGGTGCAAGTCCTGGGGAGTGGCTCAGACAGGACCCTTGGCGGCGATGCTCTCAACTACCTGATCGTGGATGACATGATTTCCAAGTTCGTCGACACATCAGCTGCCAAGAAGGCCTCGGTCGTGACTGAAAGCGTTCAGGGACATGGTCGAGCCATGGCGAAACTCTTGAAAGAAGCGGAGAGGCTCCGACACATTCTCAGTGCCAATGTCGACACTCAAACCAGCTTCGAAGGCCTCTACGAGGATGTCGACTTCAAGTACAAGATCACTCGTACAGCCTTTGAGGGGATGGCTGAGGCTCATGTCGAGAGGGTGGCTGCTGCGGTTCAGAAGGCCTTGGACACGGCCGAGCTCGACATTTCCCAGCTTGACTCCATCATCCTCCATGGTGGCGCATCTCGGACACCATTTGTCCAGAAAGCCCTAGAGAAATTTGCAGGGAGCGAGAAGCTGCGCAGTAATGTGAACTCGGATGAGGCCGCTGTGTTCGGTGCTGGCTTCAGGGCTGCAGAGCTTAGCCCCAGCTTTCGAGTCAAGGAGATCAAAATCTCAGATGCTGCTGGTTATCCAGCCGGCATGAGATGGACAAATCCCCAGGAGAAGGTCCAGCAGCAACGCTTGTGGACCGAGAGGTCTTTCTTGGGCGCAGCTCCAAAGGAAGTGACGTTCGCGAACCATGAGGATTTCTCTGTCAAGTTCTACCAGCAGGTTCCGTCAAACGAGGGAACTGTGGAGAAGGACACTCGAGTTCTGACAACCAAGAACCTTACTGCGTCAGTAGCTTCGCTGATGGTCAACAACGGCTGCCTGAACCCGGATATTCATTTCAAGGTTGGTTTGCGGCTCAGTAGTGACAACGGCGAGGTCGAGGTGGCCAAGGCTACTGTGGAATGTGAGGCAGACGAGCCCGAGAAAGAGGGCTCCATGATGGATGGGGTGAAGAACCTCTTTGGTTTTGGTAAGAACAAGGACCAACAACCACTGAATGATGGCGAGGAGAACAGTGAAAGCAGTGAAAGCAATGGGAGCAGTGAGTCAACATCGACAACTGCTTTTACCGACACGGCCACCACTTCATCTATGCAGTCAAACACCATGTCCGCTGAAACTACGGCCTCATCTGCGGTGTCGGCTGAATCGGTCGAAGCCAGCGCGAAGCCCAAGAAAAGGCAACTTGTTGTAATACCAGTTGATTACACTGTTGCAAAGGCCGGAGCCCCTGAGCTTGCCAAGGCCGATCTCAAGGCAGCGAAGGATCGTATCAAGGCCTTCGAGGCTTCTGACCGATCACGCCAACAGAGAGAAGAGACGCTCAATCAGCTGGAGGGATTTACGTACAAGGTCCGGGATCTTCTGGAAAGTGAATCGTTTGTTGCCGCCTCTACTCCCGCAGAACGTGCCGTCTTGGAGAAGAGGGCTGGTGATGCCAGCGAGTGGCTTTACGATGACGGTGCCGACGCTTCTCGTGACGAGTTCAAGGCTCGCCTCAAGGAACTGAAAGATTTGGTTTCTCCTGTTGAGAAAAGAATCAAGGAATCACAGGAGCGACCTGAGCTCGTCAAAGCATTAAGAGATGCGCTCGGCCAGACTGCCACTTTCATCGATTCCATCAAGCAAAAGATCTCCGATGCCGAGGCTTTCATGTCCTCCATCAGCTCTTCTGCTTCCGCAACCTCGGAAACTAGTTCTACTGTCACTGCTGCTCCGTCCAAGGGCTCTGATGAGTTTGAAGGTCTTGAAGACGATGACACTACGACATCCACGACTACGGCGACAATGGAGGACCGTGGCCCAGTCCCGCCGCTGTACACTCTTGACGATCTGAATGAAATCACAGCCCTCTCCGAGTCCACCTTGACCTGGCTCGAGAAGAAACTTGCCGAACAGGACAAGCTGCCTGACACAGCTGACCCAGTTCTCACCGCCAAGGATATCACAGAAAAGACCAAGAAGCTCGAGAAAGCCGGCATGGATCTGGCCATGAAGGCAGTCAAGAACTTTGACTCCAAGGGGGGCAAGAAGAAGAGCAGTAGCTCCAACAAGGGTAGTAAGTCCAAGAAAAAGAGTGCCACAGCAAAGACGGGTACATCTGCTCCTGAACAGACGGTGGAGTTGAAGGATGACGAAGGATACATTAAATTTGGAGGTGATGGGAAACAGCCCACATCCGAAGAGATTGAGGAGATGATCCAGAAGCTCACCAAGGAGTACCAAGAAAAGGATGGCAAGGAGTCGAAGCCGAAGCATGATGAGCTGTGATACATTTTACACGTTTTATGAATAATACCACATGCAATTGCCCATCAGGGATCTGTTAGCTGAATGTCACGGGCCCCTCGAGTCTTGCCCTGGGCAGCATAGTACTCCCAAAACGGATAGAGCTGGTAGTCGGGTGAGTGCTGCCAAACATTGCCGGCAGGCGGTACCACCACGTCCAAAGGGATACTTGTGCACAAGCTCAACACGTTTGCCGTGTAGTGTTTGGTGGATTGCAAATGAGCCCTCGCACGAAGCCCGTTTGTGTTGGGCAACCAGTAACCTAGAGTCTGCAGTGCCCCGTGCTAATAACGCACCACGTTCCTCGCGGTACCTTCCTCGGATGAATACATCACCTTCAAGTAATACACGTGCCTGCGTTAGCTATTCCAGCCTTCTGGGCCGCGCAAATCAAGGCCAGATATTCCAGAATGTACAGTGCCAAGTGAACCATGAAGCGAGGAATAGTCTTGATGAGGAAAGTACGATGTGCAGATGAAAGGCCAGTGTATCGGTTACAACCCATCTGTCATCGCTATGTAAGGTACCTTTACACAGAACCACAAGTTGCTCTCCCTTCAATACAAAATAAATGCCACCCGCCGGCTTGGCAAGAGACTCAACGTTGCCAATGCTTTGGTCCATTTGGAAGCTCTCGTCCAAGGGTAGTCCGAGACATTATAAAGCTCAATAAGCTTGCTGTCTGGTAAAATTCACCTCAGGGTCACCACTCTTTCCACATCTGCTCTACCAACCGATCTGGAAGGTGCAAGTCTGCCATCCAGGCTTCACCACCTTCGTTTTGGTAGCACTTTTGTCCCGACTTCCGTTTTTCAAGATTCCTGTCATTCCTTTTGGCAATCCTTCTTTTCACCCATCACTTCACTCGTTCCTTTGCCCATCCCAACACCAACGCTAGAACATCAAAAGTCACCAAGTACAGCATGGCTGGCATCGCAAGCCTCTGTCTTGTGACCTTCTGGCTCGCCCTCTTCGGCCTTGTGGCTTCTATCCCGGTCGCTGATTCCTCTGGCCCGATCCTGAATCGTGGCCAGGATGTGTTCTCCATTCCTCTGGAGCACAAGATCCCCGAGACGCGTCAACATCCCTCCTTGGAGTACTACAAGACCCTCAGCAAGTACAAGATTCCCATCCCCGACCGTCTGGCAAAGGTTGTTTCGAAGCACCTCGTCAAGGCACCGGCCGATCATGGTATGTTTTCATCACTGTAACATCTTTGCAATCTTCCACGATGAGAATCTGACCAATTCACCAGAGGGAAGCATTCCAGCAATCCCCATAGTGGGCGATCTTGAGTGGCTCGCTCCGGCAAGCATCGGCACGCCGCCCCAGCAGCTGTATCTGGACTTCGACACGGGCTCTGCAGATACGTAAGTTGGTTCTAACCACTACCTCTCCACCTTTGCCTGAGACTAAGCTATGTGCTGCAGCTGGGTCTTTTCCACCGACACCCTCAAGTCCATGGTGCGAGGCCAGACGTTGTACGACCCCACCAAGTCAAATACTGCAATTCTGGTCCCCAACTGCACCTGGTCGATCATCTACGGCGACTTCTCCTCTTGCGAAGGCGTCGTGTACAAGGATACATTCAGCTTGGGAGCTGTATCAATCCCTAACATGACGATTGAGTCCGCCGAATCGGTGTCATCGTCCTTCGTCAGACGGAAGGAGATGTCTGGGCTCGTGGGACTGGCCTGGTCAACTCTGATAGAAACAGACCCACCCCAGCCGGGATTCCTAGACTTCCTTCCTGGGGCCCTACGACATCCGCTCTTCACGACCGACTTGAGACACAACAGCAGTAAAGGTTCTTGGAATTTCGGGTACATTGATGACGAGCTGCATGGTTCTGATATCGAGTACATCGACATTGACAACTCCGATGGCTTCTGGTCCGTCAAGATGAACGGCTTCGCTGTCGGAGGCTCACCCTTCCGCTATGAGTTCAATAGCCCCCCCACTGTCATCCTCGACACCGGAACCACGCTGTTCTATGCTCCGGACCATGCCGTTGATCAGTATTTCCAGTCAGTGGCAGGCGCTAACTTCTCATATGAGGAATTCGGCTACACCGTCCCGTGTAACTCGACTCCGCCAGACTTCACGTGGGAGCTCGGTGACGCCAGCGGAAACATCATCACAGGTACTATACCTGGTGCTTACATGATCTACGCCATGCTAGACGAGGGTCAATGTTATGCGGGCTTACAGAGTCTGGGCGGCTTCTCATCTCTACAAGGCATCTTCGGCGACGTATTCCTGAAGTCGGGATTCCAAGTGTGGGACGTGGGCAAGAAGCGCTTCGGGTCCGCGCCCAAGCTTCTGGACGTCGATATCAGCTTCGACACCAAGATGCGTCAATACCACAGCAGGAAGACTGTATACTTGTGAATGGGGCGAAGAAAATGGGGTAGATTCGATGCGCTGGACCATCCACGAATCGACGTGAGTGGCTCTCCGCTTCATACTTGATCTTGTAGGGCAATGCCCCCGCAAGGTTGATTGATATTGCTGGCATAATTGGACTTCTTCATCCAGCTTGTTGCATGCAGTAACATGCACTGAGAATTTGCGTTCTGTACGTTCTGTTAGATAGACTGACATCAGTCGATACACGACGATAATTTCCTCATTACACTGGACTTGTCCCTCGACCTGTGTAGCATGTGATCTGCCACGCCAGAATATTGAAATATTAGTGCGTATTAGTGACATACCAAGAATAATTAGCTTGCCCATGTCCACGCGACACTAGCTGCAATCGAGGATTATATAAACGGCCCACCATGGGAGGATATGGACATCCCGACACTATAGTGCTGTAGAAGGCAATAACTTCGTATTTCTACCATGGGTGCGCGCTGTTTATATTGTCTTCGGCTAGCCCGCATATTCATCTCGCAAGGAGTGTTAGTCGGAAGCAGGGCTGCCTAGGTTTCGCTAGGTTTCGGACGAGACAGATTGGTATCCAAAAATGCATTGGCAAACTCCGTTGATGCTATGTACAACTAAACGAGCTTTGGGGCAGCGGCCTGCATATCGGAAACAATTTCAAGGTCTCGTCCGCACCACTACTGCCCTCTCCCAAATACATGCCGACACTGCTCAATGCCGATACAGCACAAAATGTACTGGTACGTTGTTTCCCTCCTTTGCAGACACACTCGGAAAGGTCGTGGATGAACGGATTGACGAGGAAAAAATGTTGCGGAGACTCCATAAACGCCGGAAGACAGGGGAAAAGTGTCGTCTCTAAACGAGGGTATATTTTTGTAGAGTGACGGGGGCTCCGTGATGGGGGGCTAGAAATGGTGATTCATCGCCCCAGTGTCAGAATCGACTCAAGGTAAATGATGGGTGTATGGTATGGTCGTTGTCCAAAGGGTGGGCGCCTGCATCCAAAGCGGGTCCAAGTCAATTGCTGTCCTCCCACAAGGTCGGTGTCTCTCAGGTGAGACCTAGGTTGAGAATCGCCTCTTGCCGCAGTTGTCGTAGTGTAAAGTCCATGTGAACCAAAACCAGGATCAAGTTGAGGTCCGAAAGGAAATCGTTGGTGATGGACTTTACAGAGTTGGGGGCAACACCAGGCGGAACGGCCGGCTTCTCTCATCATGGGATGAAGCTGCGGGTTTGGTTATGTTACGAATCGCGATCGCCATCTTTAGAAATAACCACAAGGTCAGTAAAGCTTCGACTCTCGAGACCACCAAGGTCGTAGACACACGGGGTAGAGGGATCGACAAATTCGTATTCACCTTCGCTGGCTGTGGGGGTCGGCGGCATGGCGCCGCCATGGGCGGGCGCCTGCTGGGTCTGTTTTGCCGTACCTGGCCGGGACGCACCTGTCGGTCTCTGTTGCTGCTGGGCATCCACCTTGTCTACTGCGGGTCCTCCGAACGCGTTGCCGAGTGGCTGTGGGCCTGCCCGCGGGCTGGTCGACGGTGCTGGCAGTGTCGCGCCGTTTTGCATCTTCAACCGTTCCTCCATCTCGCGGATCCGTTGCTCGAGCGCTTCGAGCTCCGAAGTCTGCGTTGTGACTTGCTCCTTTCTAGGGTGTGGGCGCGCGTGTCAGTGTTGCGTGCATCAATGGGATGAAGCGAGTGTCGCCCGTTGCAGGACACTTACTTCTTGTGCACTTCCTTGTCCAAGTCGGCGACACTGTTCTCAATGCGGAAAATGTCCATCAACTCCTGACTAAAGGAGCGGGCAATAGTGCTGTGCGAAGACACTGGTGTTAGCTCCTGTAATATCCGAAAATGATTGGTCCGACTTTATGTCCTCCGCAGCGTGGTGAAAGTGAGCAAGACGGCGGGCACACTCACGATTGCGGTCGGCGGCCACTGGGCTTCCAGTCGCGGTTCAGCTCCTCGTCTGACATTCCACTGTGGCTGGCCATTTTGTTGCGTACACGGTATGTATGTGATGGGGGCGGTCGATTCTTGGTGACAACAATGCTGGGGTATCTGGTGGTAAAGACGGATGAAAATGTCGTCGGGGCGCGGGTATGGTTACAAGTCTTGTAGTTAAAAAAGAGGTGTGGCGGTGGTGATGAAAGGGAATCTGACAAAGATCAAAGCCCCCAAACGTCCACGGGTGCCGGGAAAGGGGAAGAACTTAATTGTTCAGTGACAGGCGAACCCCTGCTACTGGTGGAACTCGAGTCTTCTGACCAGACTTGTCCAATTTCAGGCAAAGGACGTCTGAAACCCTGCACAAGGATACCATAAAGTTGTGCTTTTGTGTTGTTGAACCGAAAATGCCTAAATTCCAGCTGTGAGCGGTTAGAGAAGTCAAAGACACCAAGTCACTTGTTCCTGTTTGGTTGCGAGGTGACGGTCCTGTTTTATTGGGCCGTCACCTGAGCAAAGCACCTGTTTCGCGAAGCAGATGAGCAGATGAGAGGCTACGGAGAATAGAGAAGCTACGAAGGAAGGCGTTCAACTCCATCCGTACCAATCTAGCGCATGAAAAAGCGGCCCGCCGCTAATAGAGTAGTCGATCCAAATCAAATGCGCCACTTGCAAGCTCTTTACGCTGCCGTAACTAAGGCCCAGTTGGGACTGACAGCGACGAATAGACTGCATAAGTTTTTGACAAGGGCATGACATTGGGCAGCGCGCATGGTTGAATCAATTTGACCTACCCCATTCGCGTGCATTGCCTCTATCCTTACCTCTGGGCTTCATTGAAGAACCCCTATTGACGTTGAATGACGGATGATAAGGGAGCTCGGCAAGACAGGTTCGTGTAAGTTTCTCGCTCTGGGGAAATAGCGCGTGTTGTGGTTGCATTCCTTTTCAATACTAATCTAATCCACCCTTGGAATCTAATTATCGGGGTCCTCTATGGAGATCACACCTCTCGCTTGATTTACTTGATGGGACAAGACGTACATTTAGCGACGTATCTTGTGGTGCAGGCTAAATACGTTGGTACAATTACGTTTAAGCGGTATCGATTTCACACCTTACTTACCTATTTTAACATGCTGTAGTTTCTTGACTATGAGTAGTATAGACTTTTAGTAAAGTTAGGCGCATAGTTACTTATAACACTATTAGTTAGTTTAAAAAGTTCATAAAGTAGGTATTGAAAAATTTAAGAAAATTATATATTCAAGTATTGAACTTTTTCTAACTTGCAAGTTCGTAAATATTTCAAAATATCATGTTACATATAGCAAGTTCCTAGTACAATAATTGGGAGACTTCTTTTGAATTACCTTCTGAGCTATTATATATGAAGTTATTAAATAATACTGTAGTTTTTCTAGTAGATATTTATCGTATTACCCGCTTTTATAGACTAGACTATAATTTAGTAAGCTCTTTCCAGAATAGAAGTCATGAAGTTTGTCACAGTTGGACTGAAATTAGTGTTAGTACAATTAATTGAAACCATCGGATTTATACAGGGCCTCGTAATAATACGGTACCAAAGTTATTGGTCTGTACCAAGAATGTTAAGCCAACTTGCAAAGGTGGGTCGCTGATTTTACGAGCTTGGCCCACCAAGTAGCTGCTCTTCAATATTGTGACCACGGCTTGCGGGTTGTGACCTTGATCCAATGCCTTTGGGCATGGCCGCCTGACCACTCTGTAAGCCGAGGGCAGTCATCATTCTAAAACCAGGTTTCGTTGCATTGGACTGTGTGACGATGTGGTAGTTTGCCATAATCAGGTGGGCGGCAGCCATGGATCCCCTAGCAATGCGACTTCGAACTCTGCAACCTCAAATCAGGCCCGAGAATGTATTGATGACATCAATGTTACCGTCGTGCTGGTCGGGGCTTTTTCCAATGGTGCGGGCTTGGCTTCGTTTGCGGCTCTTTAGACAGCCAAAGTCACAACATGGGTTGTGCTTGGTCGTATAGTGGCTTGTGTGGTGTGCATCATCCCGAAGCCTGCCCAAGCAGAGTTTCGGGCAACAGTCGCGTTCAAGTTGTTCAACTTCCTGCGTTTACCCGTCAGTCTCCTGTGGGCTTTGACCTCATGGCTCATAAAGAGGTGAGAGGCTTTCCATTAAGATCTGGCTGATGCATCACTTCAACCCAGCAAGCGAAGAAACATATGCGCGAATAAAGGAATATGCCTACGTATCCCATGGCTTCCTTCCTTGGTGACATGCTCAGCCTTTTGGGCAAGCCGCTCAACAGGACACACATATGAATTTCAGCTTAAAAACAGTGCGTACTTGGAATCGTCGATGGCCACCACTCATGTCGAAGTGTGCTTCGGTCCTCTATCAGATCATCTGCAGAAGCAGCCTCTCAGGGAGGAGTGCTTCATCGTGATTACCTTCTATCTCGTACTTGCGAGGAAAACCACCAACTAAATTTATCTAGCAGCACTTATGAAGGAGAAACAAGTGCAACCTGTCTGACTACCGAAAATCTCGAAAATATATATTAGGAAGTTTTGAGGTGCACAGCTTCTTAAATAGGCGAGTTATAGGCGCATTGGGGGGCGCTGATCTGATATTGGCACAGACCAACTGCGTAAATCTGGCCTCCTGTTGCACACTGCCCGAAGCTTCCCGCCGCCGAACAACCCCCCCAAATCCCCAGAGCACGTCGATCCATTACACCAAAAATCGAGCCTCGCCCAAAGCACCATTGTCCATCACGTGATTTTTGACAACCTGGACGACGACCACAGTCAATCGCGAAGTCATCAACTGGAGCCTTGCCCATCGCGATAGCGACATATTATGCGGTCGGAATGGTCTGAATAGGCTTTCAGCATCATCAAGTACTTTCGTACGTGTCTTGTCCCCGTTATCGCCGCGCCGATGCCAGTTTTCATCCGACTGACCGGCAGAAAACTCAGATCGTGGCGCCCATTCACCCACCGCTACGCGACAGGTCCACCGTCGACCGCGGGCGAGGTGGACACAGGGGCATGAATAATACGACTTCCAGCTATTCGCACCTCGAGAGTCTATTCTTGTTTCAATTGCTGTCCAAGTACGGCTTTGTCAACGGCGCATTTAATCGCATCTCGGAAGATCTCCAGAAAAACGCCTTGGTACGCGAGCAAGACGATTACGATGCTGCCAGACTGAGCCCGAGTTCCCTCGAAGGGCTCGCCCTGCAGCTACTGCGAGACGAGCAAAGACATGAAGCCGACGCAACTGAGAAGAATGGCGTTTCAGGAAGCCTGTCGCCCACGTCTAGGAAACGAAAGCTGCCCGGCACGAGCCCGCCGTTGCCCTCGCCGAAAGATGCACATGAACACATTGACAAGTTGCCCGCATTGGTCGACAGACTCTACGCACGATATCGCGAGGATACAGTGAGGGAAATCAGGGAGGATGAACAGAAGATCGAGGCCCTGCAACGTGAATGCGCACATATCGAAAGGTTAGAGAAGGAGCAGCAACTTGCTGCGCAACAACAGCAACAAGATCGCAAGGCTGCCGTGGTTAACGGCAGTCCTGCTGTCGAAGCTCCAAAACCCGTTCGGCCAAACGGTCCCGTCATTCAGAGTCCGGCGCCTGCACCAATACCCCTTGCCGTCTCTTTTGGGAAGCCGGTGGTTCCATCACCAGGTCCCCAACCGGTGCTGGACAGGAAAGGAGCACATTCTAGTCCCTCCCCGCTTCCTTCCAATGTACGACCTCCGAGCGAAGTGCGACAAGTTGCACCTGGTAGTAGGCCTAACGAGCCAAGCAAAGCACCAAATGGCACCTCGTCTGTTCTTCAACATCCCCAAGCAGCCCAGGCATATGGGGCGCGTCCAGCGGCGATCTCACCGCAGAGTCCCCTTGCCGAGGCGACTCAGCGACCTGACGGCTTACCCAAGGGTCAAAGTCCTGTAGCAAGACAGTCACCCCAGCCGCAGACACCTGGAACTCTGAAATGGGAACCCCCATACAGACCGCAGCAGACTTCTGTCCCTTCTCCACGTCCAGCGTATCCTCCTAACGTGAGACCGCCTTCATATCCAAACCAGCCTCAAGTTGGCCATCCACAGAATCAGCACCCCCAGAATTACGTCGCCAACAGACAACACCCCCCTCAGCCATATCAACAGCCTACGCGAACTCTGACACCAGGCGCAGGTCAGCCCTCCCATCCTGTCCTACTACCGCCCCAAAACACTGGCCACATTCCTCCGTCCTTACCCTCTCTCCCTCTAAATGCCACCCCGGATGGATCCGGACAGCTCGCGCAACATCATCGGCCGCCATCTATACCCAATACCAGCGGCCCAAACACTACTCCGTCGGGACCTCACTTTGCATCACAACCAGTGCAAACGTATCACAGCCAACCTCCTAGCAGATCACCGGTGGCAGCACCGCATGTACCCACACCTGGACATCCGACGAGCGGTGCTTTCACAGCTGCGCAGCGGCCATCTATACCAGGACCCGGTCCTGCGCCGCTCACGCCTCTACCGCAGCGGGCACCATCGCAGGTGCCGCAGCCATTGCCCCAGCAGCACAACTTGCCACCCAATGGTAATGCTCCGCGCGCTGGCCCCGCTCAAGTCGTTCAGCACGCAAACACCATGGATGTCAAACCTCCCGCAACGGCTCCTCACTTGAGTCATGCCTCGTCTCTCCCACAGACACCCCTCTCCCTCAACCTGTCTTCACATGTGATCAGGGGTCATGGTACCAAATGGATCTCGACACCAACACCTTCCACACCTCGAAGGGAAATGGTGGGCTACTTTGATGAGCAGAGTCCTGCCTTTGAACCAATCAGTCCGCCAGCTCTTTCAGCACAGCTTCCAAACGCATCGCCCCTTCCGCCATCGAAAAAGGACGGACGCAAACCAGTACAAAAGATTGATACTCCTTCAAGCAATCCAAACTCTCGAATCTCTCGAGGTGCACAGAAGGCAGCATCTATAGCGTCGCAGGCCGAGGATCCTTCCGAGGACCCAGATGTGCCTGCCCGCAAGATTAAGAACGAAGAGGCTACCCCGAAGGCACTTGAGGATACTGTCGCCACAAGACCGGATGAAGGCATACTCCAGTCGAAGGCGGTTACTAAGCGAAAACGCGAAGAGAGCTCCGAGGAACCGGTCTTCCCCAACCTCCCAACCAATGTTCTTTGGACACGGTCTTTCCACAAAGTGAGCTTCTCGGCTCTTGACCAAGTTACAGGTCATCGTCACGCAAACATGTTCGCAAACCCCATCAAGGCTCGCGATGCACCAAACTATCACGACATTGTCCTTCATCCCCAAGACCTCAAAGGGATCCGCGTTGCCATCAATCAGGGACAAAGAGCGGCTGTAGCAGCTGAAAAGAATTTGCCTGACAGCGACCCGACCGCCAGTCAGGTGTGGTTGCCCATATCGACTGATCTGGTGCCACCAAAGGGCATCATCAACATTGCACAGTTGGAACGCGAGTTGGTGCACATGTTTGCCAATGCCGTTATGTATGCGGCCGATCCTGAGCGTGGGGTTGGTCCAGCATTCCTCGAGCAGCGCAGCGCAGCAGGTGGTAACGGCATCGGCTACGTGGAAGACGAGAGTGGCATCGTGAAAGCTACCCGCAACATGTTCGTTGACGTTGAGAACTTTCTGGGCGACCTCCGTAATGAGGTGGCGCGTAAGCCTGGTCCGAATGGGAGCCGGAGCATGAGTGTGGCAGGCGGAGAGCAGAGCATGGCGGAGGATGAGGCTGATGAACATGCGGGCGATGGTGATGGGCCGAGTACCGCTAAGAGAAGACGAGTCACTAGGGGTTAGGCGCCTGCCGGAGGTTATAGCATTGGCTGACACTCTGAAAACCGAGAAAGTCCCTTAGCAACTTGGCTAGAGCTCATCAGTGCGAGGATAGACTAGAAGGGCGTCTTCGTTGTATATGCCTGTCTAATACGCATAGAGGTGCTGACTCGGAGAAGTCGAACCGTTGATGGTTTATGCATGATTTGCCAAAAATTCCCCGTTCACCCATATGTGAGGTCCAGGCGAGTGCGAGTTCTAGTTAGCAGCCATGTAAGCCCCCAAGTCTTGTGGATTGCTCATCAGCACCTGTGACCTTGTTCTGCTTCGCCTGTTTGCTCCCCGTCGAACTGGATATTGCTGTAGGCTTGACTTTCGATACAGGTGCTCATAAGAGAGCAAAGATCCAGCTCGAGGATTGGAAACAGCCCAGTGGAGCAATAAACACGGGGAAGACTGGAGACAGTAATTGTTACACACAACGAAGATCCTTTGGGAGTCACCATGTTGACATAACGGTTCAACGTACCCGTCCTGTAATTGCGCTCTCTTACGTCTGCTTCGCGCATGTTGCACCGACAACGAAAACGTGGGTGTTCCAATGGGTACGAGGCACGACAAGAAAAGTATCGATAGATCACTCACTCACTCTCCTTTAGAATATTGTTGAAGCACTTTAGAATAAAGTGCAGAGAAGTTGAATAAGAAGTGTGTTGTTACGTATAAAGTGGATAGAGTGATTGCATAAGATCTATACCGATGCATCTGATACCTACTGGTTAATCTTGAAGTTCAAGCCTATCATGCCTTCTATATCAACTATAGACAACTAATCTAGATCATTATACCTATCAAATTCGTGGTATCGTGAGCGTACTTATGTCAAAACTATCATAACTGTGCATCTGCATAACATAATAATTTCAGCTGAGGAGAATATTGAATATGAATTTTCTGGCTGATTGTTTTGCACCATCTCCATACGGTGGCAATAGGACCGCCCACCACGTGATCCGGGTTCATAAGAAGCTCTTGTCAAATGACGATTGATAGATTGACAGATATTCGCCTTTGCCTAATGATTCGACCCCGCGTTGGATCCACAGTTCTGTAACTACATGGGGTTAACCATGTACCGATTAATGCAAGGACAATCATCGAACAAGAACTGGGCTTACTGCGCGTGGGTCACAACCCAATATAATGACCTTTCCACTCTCTGCATGAGCGTCAAATGCATCTCAGAGTTTTACTAGGAGGTAATTGGCAGTCGGGGGAAAACATTGAACTGACGATTCCCTGGATTTGTGTGAAGTGAGATAGTTGTTGACTCGTAAGCCGGTCATAACCCCAACCCCCGATGACAGTGCCGTATCGGAACCCCACAACCCCGACTACAAGAATCCGGGCTCGGCAAGCCGTTTGTTGCATTAACAGTCTATTCGTCGCCTGACCACGACCGGTCTTCTCCGTGCAATCAGACAACACAGAACCTATGTAAAATCATTCAAGTCAAGTTCATTACGCTGATCTCAAGCTCGCTTCAGATACGTAGGAATTCTTCGGCCTGGTCTTTCACACTGGATGGTTCTATGCACCTGACCCATCTAGCGCACTCGAGGTAGCAAAGGCACGACACCCAACTCACAGATTTGTTGGATAGGAATTGCGCCTCTCTACACTCCCAAGGACCCCTTGAGGATACCCAGATATGAAACCCGGCCTCGGCGACTTGGACTGACTCACTCGGCCCATCGGCTTAGACAAGCATTGCCCGGATTTCGCCTCATCACCGAAGCAACAACACACGGAAGAACCATCACAGATCACGCTATCTCAATATGGGAACCCCCTTCATCTCTTTCCTCGAGCCCACCAAGCTCGACGGCTACGACTGCAACAAACCACACGACCAACAGTCCCCGCACATCCCGCGCGTCTTCTGCGACGCCATGGAAGTACGCGAGGCCGTCTTCGTTAAGGAGCAAAAGTTCCCCGCAGAACTCGAGTACGACTCGGACGACGCCCGGTCCTGCCACTGGGTCGTCTATGCAAGCGTGAACCGGGTGACAGAGCCTGAGCAGCGAGACCCCTCCACCGGCACCATCGTCCAACTGCGCAAGTCGGAAACCCGCAGCCAACCCATCGGCACCATGCGCATCGTGCCTTTCCCGCACCCGCCTCACCCCAAGCAGGACGGCTGGTACGTGGGTGATGTCTTACAGTCGCGCGCCGACCCAGACGCCCAGGCTGAGAGCTTGAGCGTGGTCGAGGAGGCGCGTCAGAATGCCGCGCTGCCGTATGGCGAGGACCGTGCAACTACATTCCATGATGGGATGGAGCCATATGTCAAGCTTGGACGGCTTGCTGTTATTCCCGAGTTCCGCGGGCATAAAATCTCGGCGCAGTTGTGGGGGGCCGCGCGGACGTGGTTAAAGGAGAACCCGAGTTACTTTGACCCGAGCGTGACTGAGCTTGGCATGGACGCGCTCAAGGTGGACGCGGCGAGCAGGATTCCCAAGTGGAGAGGGCTGGTATGTTGCCATGCCCAGGAGCGGGTGGTTAAGACATATGAGAAGTGGGGATTCCAGGTCGACGAGGGTATGGGCAGATGGTTTGATGGAGGAATAACGCATGTCGGTTTGTTTATACGACTAGACGTGAAGGATGTTCCATCCAAGGTATGATTTGCCGTCGATGAGACTGCTGGTTCTGGAATTGTACAAATGGATCGGAGCACATCAGATCAAGACGATATGAGACTCGGTTTGAGGATAGAAAAATGCATTAGATACAGATGCAATCACGAAAACTCCATCACACAAAACGCCCACAGTGGTTGGTCTTGAAATTCATTCAGTTTTCAGGTCATTTTTACCCGTATCAGAGCAGAGCTGTTCGTCTAAGAGCCCCTATATGACATGAATGCCCTTAAACCACACCCCGCCTTGAGCCTGTAACGCACAAATGCAAGTTGTAAAATGCCCAGATCGTCCACGCCGAAGAACCCCCAAGGAAACAAACCCGTTCTTTAACGGTTGCTCTTGGCCACACGCTCCAACTCGTCCTTCTTCTTGATGGCGTACGAGTTGCTGCTTCCCTTGGCAGCGTTAATCAGCTCCTCAGCCAAGCACTCGGCGATCGACTTGATGTTGCGGAACGAGGCCTCACGAGCACCGGTGGTGAGCAGGGCGATGGCCTGGTTGACACGGCGCAGAGGCGAGACATCGACAGCTTGTCGGCGGACAGTACCCGCAGAACCGATTCGTGTGCTGTCTTCTCTCGGGCCGCAGTTGACGATGGCATCGACGGCAATCTGGATGGGGTTCTGGTCGGTCATAAGGTGGATCTGTCACCATGTCAGCAAATCGGTTTTTTCTTGGCACATGTGATAATCCAATATCAGGCGAGGCTCACGATCTCGAAGGCGTGCGCAACGATGCGGACGGCCATGAGCTTCTTTCCGTTGTTGCGGCCGTGCATCATGAGCGAGTTGGTGAGGCGCTCAATGATGGGGCAGTTGGCCTTGCGGAAGCGCTTGACGGCATATCGGCCAGCAGAGTGAGGGATGTACACGGGGGATCGGATCTGGATGTAGTCGCTATATCAAAGCCCATTGTTAGCCTCCAATTCCTTCGCAAATTGCCGAGGTTGCTGCCACAACACAACACAACCCCAATTTCGAGCCAAACAGGTGCTCCTTACGTCAGGGAGATATCGCGGATCTCGACATCCTCGTAGGACCAGCGGTTGAACAGCTTGACGCTGCCAATCTCGGCAACAACATCCTTGGGAAGGACCTGGTGGGAGGTGGCCTCGACCTCGATCTCGCCGTTGTCAGACATCTTTGCTGGGCTGGCTAAGTTGACCGACAGACGTGGGGTTTGCTGCTGCTGTTGAATTGGGAGACGTCGTTAGTTGAGGTGGTCGAATGCAAATCTTGAGCAGCCAGGCCTAGAGGTTCCGCGAAATGCAGTTCGGTTGTGGAAATTTGCGACACTTTCGGACGGTTTAGCCAGAGATTAGCCAGCCAAAATTCTGGGAAGGTGCGGCCGAGCCCTAACCAGAGAGGTGAGCGTCGGATCTGATTGGCCCATGTAAAGTGGGCCCTTGCTGGCAAAAATCGGCCCTCTCTGCATTGCCAATAGACTTCGCACGACATCTACAAGTACTCATTTTGACGACTTGACAACATCTCAATCACCAGCACAACCGTCAAGATGGCCCCCGCAGCAACCGGTGCGAAGAAGCAGAAGAAGAAGTGGTCCAAGGGCAAGGGTGAGTAATTGCCGCGATTCCCTCTTGGGTTCGTGAGGGAGAAAGAAGGCGAAGCAGCAAGCAATGGGTTCACGCTCGCAGTCCACGATGGCGGGGAATTTGTCATGTGCGAATAGCGCTTGGGCGGATATATGGACAAATTCTATTGAATATTGAGGCTAACAAGCAATTCTCCATCCAGTCAAGGACAAGGCCCAACATGCTGTCATGCTTGACAAGGCCACTTCGGAGAAGCTCAACAAGGATGTCCAGTCCTACCGCCTCGTCACAGTTGCCACGCTCGTCGACAGATTAAAGATCAACGGTTCGCTCGCACGTAAGTGCTTGAAGGATCTCGAGGAGAAGGGTCAAATCAAGCCCGTGGTTACGCACAGCAAGATGTTGATCTACAGTACGTGAACTGCCCCCAATTAATACTGGGAATGGTGATCTGACATGTGTACAGCCCGCGCTGTTGGCGGTACCGACTAAAACCACGAATCTCTCAATACCACAACGGGTTGTGACGTCAATCTACACGTTGACTAGATGGATCTAACAGATCGAGGACATGGTCATGGTGGTTCTGGGCATTTGATCTTCGGCGTAGCATTAGGGCAGGTTATGGTTCGGCTTTGAGCTGTTGTACTGAGGCGAGGTCAAATAAAGTCAATTTGATCGTTTCTCAACCATTTGCCTTGCTCCTGGCCATGAGGGCATGCATTGCTGTGAGCAGTCTCCTCGCATAGACACCATGATAACGCCTCTAGTCATCCTCGTGGGTTCTATCTTGGACGAGTCAGTCAGTCAGTAAAATAAAAACAAAATTTCAGCCACGTGACGCAGCTGTTCTATATCCTCGTACTGCCTCGTCATTGAGTCTTACACAAGCAGTTCTACCCATGGATCTTGACGTTGGCAAAGTTCCCATTACACTGCCTTCTATGCTCATAAAGTGAGACAGGCCATGACGTCAGGGCTGCTCAACTGCTCGAGTGACTTCAATTTGATAGATAGGAAAGATACTACCAGATCCTGAGCCTCGAAAGGACGACCTCTACCTCAGGACTTCGGGTTGATTTGCCGTGGCTGTTTCAAGCCACGACTCGTGCTAGAGCTCGGTCAGACGGCAACGCCTGAATCTAGTTGGCAAGAGAACATATCCCATAGTTTGAATTGACTTGCAACGTCCATTCAATCCAACTATGCTGGTCAGCAAAGACGAAGAGTTTGGACTCTGCAAGAGTCTGCAAGAGACTGTTCATCACACAGTTATGGTGAATTAATCATGTTTACTTATAGGCGTTCGACTGCCTTGGTCTTCGATCCCACCAGACCTGGATGTTTATCAAAGTCAGTGGCAAACTGGTTCATAGAAAAATGAACTCTGCAGAGCTTTTCGGGAACTTGGCGACAAATTAAGCAATCCAACATCAGGGAAAGACCCAGAGTTCCACTATTATGTAAGTTCAGAGTCTGTGGATCTTTGTTCCTCCAGTGAACCCAACTAGAGTATATGCCTATTGCCACCCGATGTGCTGAGTCGAGGTTATTTTCCTGGGCTCGGTAACTGTGTTGCTAATTGCTCTCATGTCGGGTTGCTGAGAAGTTACTTTGGCATTCGAAGTTCCATAGCTTTGGAAGCTCAAGGGAGTGAAGCACCTTTGAAGTATCCATACTTACGTAGAATCTAAAGACAGGCGTGGCAGACCCCACTCAATCTGAACCGAAAAAATTGACTCGGGGTGAAGTACCACTGAATCTATGGCCGACATGTGAGTCTGTGGAGAGAGTAGCGTCAACGTTTTGGAGATATACGGACAATTAGCAAGGCAAGAACCACATAGACCGAAAATTCACTCCGTACGGACCAGCCGTGGACCAATTACAATTTCCCCATAGAAGTTTCAGAGTCTAAACGGTCAACAAGTTGATTTACGGCTGACGGAAAATCGAGATTCGGGCAAATTCGGTCAGCAGGAAGCGCATGGACCAACTGCTATCTGATTTTTGCGGTTGCCCCCGAGCATGGCGCTATCTTAGCGCGCAGCTGGAGCCGGGAACACTTCGCTAGTAGAAAAAGCTGTTCTGCTGTTCTCTTCGACCTCCCGGAAAGTTTTTTTTCTCTCACATCACCCTGCAGTCGCATTGAAATATCGGCGTGCACCACCACTCCTCCTCCTCTTCTCATCTTCTTCTTTATTCCCCCCCATCTCCACTCAGTCATTCAAGGCTAGTCTTTGAGTAACCTGCCGACAAGATGTCGCAACCCGAGAAGCAGAGCGTTCTGGGCATGCCCCCGTTCGTGGTGAGTAGCTCTCCGACCAACCTTCGTGGATCAACTATGAATTGCCATTACTGACACTATGACTTCATTAGGCCGATTTCCTGATGGGTGGTGTCTCCGCCGCTGTCTCCAAGACTGCCGCTGCTCCCATTGAGCGCGTCAAGCTTCTGATTCAGAACCAGGTAAGAATTCCCTCACCTAACATGTTTTGCCAATGTAATGATAGCACATTCATTGGCTCGGAGCTGCTGGCGGTTTATAACCCCATCATTTCTGGTTAGGTGTGCAATCGCTGCGCTTGGACACTGATGCGACACGTTCCACCGCATTTAACTGATGCCGCCTATACTAATCCCGTGTCCAGGATGAGATGTTGAAGGTCGGTCGTCTCGACCGCAAGTACGATGGTATCCTTGAGTGCTTCAAGCGTACCACCGCCGATGAGGGTGTCATGTCTCTGTGGCGTGGAAACACTGCCAACGTCATCCGATACTTCCCTACCCAAGCCCTGAACTTCGCCTTCCGTGACAAGTTCAAGGCCATGTTCGGCTACAAGAAGGAGCGTGATGGATACGCCAAGTGGATGGCTGGTAACCTTGCCTCCGGTGGTGTAAGTAATTTTCCAATCTGGGCTACTTGCCCTATCTGCGACGCCGTGTGCAGGGTGACTAACTTGATATTCAGGCTGCCGGTGCCACTTCCCTGCTCTTCGTCTACTCTCTCGACTACGCCCGTACTCGTCTTGCCAACGATGCCAAGAACGCAAAGAAGGGTGGTGAGCGCCAGTTCAACGGTCTTATTGACGTTTACCGTAAGACTCTGGCTTCCGATGGTATTGCTGGTCTGTACCGTGGTTTCGCCCCCTCAGTCGTTGGTATCGTTGTCTACCGTGGTCTCTACTTCGGCATGTACGATTCCTTGAAGCCCGTCGTCCTGGTCGGTCCCCTCGCAAACAACTTCTTCGCTTCCTTCGCTCTCGGCTGGTTGGTCACCACTGGTGCCGGTATTGCCTCTTACCCCCTTGACACCATCCGTCGCCGCATGATGATGACCTCTGGTGAGGCCGTCAAGTACAACGGTACTCTCGATGCTGCCCGCCAGATCGTCGCCAAGGAGGGTGTCAAGTCTCTCTTCAAGGGTGCTGGTGCCAACATCCTTCGTGGTGTCGCCGGTGCCGGTGTCCTGTCTATCTACGACAAGCTCCAGGTGCTCCTCTTCGGCAAGGCCTTCAAGGGCGGCTCTGGTTAAATACCCACATACCTCCATAGACGCGGTAACGCTGGCTGGCGTGGTGGTGTAATTCAGAGGGCTGGGGGCTCGGCTGAGATGGCAAGGGGTTGATATAAAAAGGCCATGGTGTTGTGGACACCACGACGGACAGTTGTTTCAGTGGCTCACTGCGGCGGCGTTCTGGACCAGCTTCACTTTTGCGGCATGGTTTCGCAAGCAGGACAACATCGTCCAAGCATTGCGGGGCCAGCCGTTGTAATTTAGATCCTAGGCAATTCCCTTGGCTGTATTCTCACCCTGCAACTTCTCTCCGCTGGATCCTGCTTTCACCCGGGCATGTTCGTTTGGTACCATACGACTCATAGACAACCTGCAATGAATGCGATTTGATTTTCCTGAAATGCTTGTGCCCTTCTGATAGACATTGTGACGCAATAACCTCTAGTGCGAGGCCCGTTTGCGGTCTTTCCTCAGGATGTGGAGTCTTGCAATCCCCAGGTCGCAAGGATGCCAGAGCACCAAGTTTAGCCAGGTGCCACCAGCTGCCTAAATCAGCTATGTTCTGATTGACTTCCACTTCAGACGTGACAGGCTGTCTTACTATGCAACACCCAAGACGCGGCGACGCGTTTTACCTCTTTTTGAATTGTGCAGTAGTACCGACTACCTGACCACATCTATAATAGCAAGCCCCTCGCCCAAAGGTATCCACTCCGTCTGCCTATCTGATGTCTTACTAAACAAAAGACGAACAGAGGGCCGAGCCGAACAGAGTACCCTAGCAAGATACCCGACAACACCGTTCGTCAGCCAGTCCGTTCTCAAAGCCTGCCCAAAGGCTAAGTTTAGCCACAGGCCATCCTTTCGGTTCAATATTAGCATCAGCAGCGATCATGCCACCAAAGCATTCAACAGCAGGCTCTCGCGGTCGTCCTTCCAACTCGGTGCGCGGTGCATCCAAGTCGAAGGCGAGCGCCTCCAATGCTCGAGCATCAGCATCTTCACGTGCGCCGCAGCAGCTCGATTCGGATGACAGCGATGTCGACCCGTTTGCAGACTCCCAGCCGGAGCAGGAGCAAACGGAACTCGAAGAAGTGCAAGATCTTGACGAGGACGAAGAGCCAGTTACCCTGCCGCCTGAGCTGCTGACGCGGATGTTGCACGAATTCTTTGAGAAAGACGATACTAGGATTTCCAAGGTTAGTATTTCCAATAACTGTTCCCTTGCGGACCATCGCAGAGTGAAGACAACATGTGGGTACAGTGCATTGCTCTACAATGCTTTGTAGCCAATGTCATTGTTGTTGATTACTTCCCATGGTCCTGAAATCTGCCAGAAGCAGCTGTACTGATCCTCTTTCGCTGATTAGGATGCGAACAAAGCTGTTGCAAAATATATGGATGTGTTCGTGCGCGAGGCGATCGCCAGGGCTGCCGTTGAGAAAGAGAGCGGGTTTCTCGAAGTCGAAGATCTAGAAAAAGTCGCGCCTCAGCTTCTGCTGGACGTTTGATTCGTTCGCGAGAGGAACTTGACCTTGCACCAAAACATATGTTCTGGTTTGCTGAAGTTTCTTCAGGCATGTGAGAGTCTTATAGACCTATAACAGCGCATGGAGTTTTGGCTTACTCACGATAGTACGGATCAAGTCTCTGAAAACGATGATTTTGTGCCAGAGTAATACTTCCCAATCCTCTTAGCTCCACCTTGCCGACATCCGATAATCGAGGCCTGTTAAGCCATGGGGAGAAGATCATCATGTCACAACATTTACACAGCGTGGAAACAGAACATATGGGGTTGAGCCTCGATCGCCGCAACCGACTTGGCACGCCGATCAACGAGTTCCAGACTTGGGGTCACTGCGATTCGGTGACGTTAGATCCGACAATCTGTGACTCGATTTGAAAGAGAAGCGGCAGAGCTACGTGTGGGGTGGGTAATCGCTATCATATGCAACGGGAGCATGGTCATCGGGCCTCTGCAATGAAGCAACCATCTGAAAATGGAGACAAGATTCGTCATCGACATGCATCGGAGGCTGCTGGTTTTAGTAAGGCTGGACAATGGCATCGTGTTGACGGGTGGAGTCTGGTCTGAAGTGACACAGTCATCTCACGTTTTAGTTTGGAAGTGACCTTATTCGCCAAATGTTTCGTGCATCAGCGATCTGGTCTTGATAATCCACTAATTTGCATCTACCTGTCTGGAGAGCCGAGGATAGACTGGAGGAAAGATCAAGCCCATTTGCCAATGGACTGACCCAGTCGCTAAATGAAGTCCAAGCGCCGGACCCGGAGACAAATACGGTGTTGCAGATGCTGCAGGGACATGTAGGTGACAAAAGTCTGTCCATGTTCGACTGAACATGGAGAATCAGTCCGAACTCGGTCATGTCTGATATCGCGTCTCCTGGCTGAACTTGTGCGATACCATTGTCTCGAGCTGATCTAGCTTCAGCCAGAACAAGACACCATGCTGCACCGTTGAAGACATCCATGGATACGAGTAGAGCCAATGCCAGAAAGCACTGCCCATCGTCCCTAACATGGAAAGGATGCAGGATACGCCAGCAAAATGAGATGCCAACTCGCAGACTGGAACCATCAATCTCACATGAGTCGCGCCGCTGGATACTTGGTACATATCTGCCAGATCTTTGATGACGTTGCACTACTGTGACCACGCTTATTTCCTTCCAAATCGCATCACGCAGGTTGCCTCTGCATACGAAGTACTCCGTACAGCTTGCCCGCTCCGAAATGCTCGGAGATCTGCTGTGTGGGCTACTCCTACCCAAGACTCAGCATAATTGGGCAACGGAAAAGTCGGCTTCATGGAAGGTGTTTCACAAAGCCTGTTCGCCATGCTTGTGTGAATGTTACCCTATGTTTGGGTCCAGAAATCGTGGAGATGCCAAGCTTCGCCCTGTGCTTATTGCAGATTGCAAAGTCGTATCTGGCCGGTCTCGAGCCTCATCCTTCGGGCGGTTAACCAAAATTCAACTACATCCAATGTCCTCATGGCTCAAACCAACCTAGGAAAAAGAGGAGTTGGGGGTTTCTAAAAATGCCCCCTCTCCATTCCAGGGACTGGACGACGTTAAACGTCATTGAAAAGCATGCCATGGGATGTCCTTGTCAGACGAACAGGCGCTCGTCGACCCCGTGGCTTGGATTGGCAAGGAGCCGTCGACGAGGAGATGGAGGCTCTTCTGCTAGCTCGGCCCAAAGTGGCTTAAGGGCGGAGCTTGTCGCTCGGAGAGCAGACGGGATGAAACCCGCTCCGTCTCCAGATGCTTCAGCCTGTGACACTTCACGCAGCGCAATTGCCGCCCCACCGAGCTCAACCCCTTACAGGTGTCCACCCCAGCTCGCTTAAGCTTCATCAACCTTATTTCGGCTTCACGGGCGTCCGAGCTGTGGCATCTCAGCTTTCCATGCAACCATGCTTGTCACTGGCCCGCCGTCTGCTGATTTTTTCAAGCGACGAGACGGTTTGACGCACCCATCTTGGCCAGGCACTTGGCGAAATACCAACTTGGCATTCGCTGACGCGAACGAGATAGATGGGCTCAAGTCTGTGTGCAGCCAGAATCAGCAACGATGAGATTCAATACGGTCAACCTCATCAGACCAAACGACAGATTGCAAAATGTTGCGATTCTCCATGAAGCTGCTGGGGCAGGGCCGAGTATGTGTTACGGCAGTCGGGAATTCCCGACAGGCGTTCGAGTGGTTTGACAGGCCCGGCTTGTCAGTTCTCATCCGCCGTCTGGACAGCCCAGCGAAAAGAGGCTATGCAAGTGCTAATATAAGGCGGCTAAGCAATGCCGATATTACGAGGGCAGCAAAGACAAGTTCGGCCGGGCAAGTGTCCGTTCTAATACGTCTAATGCTCTGGGGTGCGTAGTGTCGTTTCTAAACAGCTGGTCGAGGTCATGGTCAAAACGCGTTTCAAAGATTTCTTGTCACCTCCGATGAGACCCCTGTCCCCCAAGGCTTCAGACGGAGCGACAAGGGTGTGGCTCCCTATAGGACGATCCCTCATCTTGCCTGTCTATCGTCTTCCGACCTTAAATTCATGCCGCACCCGCTTCGAGCCAGGGCTGGGTTCGTCTTTTTCTCTAACCTAGTTCCTCAGTGCCCATCAGATCGTTTTTTCTGAGTTTCTCTTCTTTATTTCTATTCTTCATTCTTCAACTACTGTAATATTCTCCAGGCCAGTCCTGCCTAGCGCTAGTCGCTTATTCCTTACGCAACCGACACTCTCTTACCCAACCGACCATCTCGCCGGCCGACATTCATTGTTAAACAAGTTATAAAAAAAGAACAAAATTCACAAAACCTACGATGCAGTTCACAACACTCGCTCTTTCCGCCCTGGCAGGCCTTGCCTCGGCTCAGACCGTCCACGTCGTGTCAGTGTCAAGCAGCAATGCTTCGCTCACATTCAGCCCCGACAACCTGCAAGTGCCGGCTGGTGATATGATCCAGTTCCAGTTCCGTGCCGGTAACCACAGTGTCGTTCAGTCCAACTTCGACAACCCCTGCACGCCCATCTCCATGCACACAAACACTACAGGCATTTTCTCCGGTTACCAACCTGTCGCTGCCAGCTCGGCCATGGGCATGGTCCCCACATATACCATTATGGTCTCAGACACAACGCCCTTGTGGTTCTACTGCTCCCAGGGAAAGCATTGCCAGGCTGGCATGGTAATGGTTGTTAACGAGAAGTGAGTTCAAATTGCCGATATACACTGAACGGGCAACCAGGCTAACCATGTGACCACAGCACTGCTAAGAACGCAACTCGGTCTTTAGAGAATTTCAAGAGCCTTGCTAAATCGGCCACTGCCAACCTCGCACCCGGTGGCACTGCCCAGGAAGGCACCAGTGGTAGCACCGGCGGCAGCACCGGCGGCAGTACCAGTGGCAGTACTGGTGGCAGTACTAGTGGCACCACCAACGGCACCACCAACGGCGGTACGGGTACCAGTGGAGGTGACTCTCCCACCGGCACCGCCTCCGCCACTGGCACGCCGGGTACCGCAACGGCCTCTTCCACCAATATCCCCGTCCAAGCAGCTGCTTCGAGCACATATATCATGTCGAGCTTCGCCAGCATCGTCGGTGTCGCCGCCGCCCTATTCCTGCTATGAGTGGGCATCTGATGAACAACGGAGTCGGGGATGGGATCGGACTGGGGTTAAATGGGAAGTGCTCGGATTATACCTCCGGGGGCTAATGAATCTAATGGCGATGTGTTTTCTGCCGGAACAGTCGTGGCGGTGTCATTACAAAAATCAGAGGCGCCGCACTTCCTTGGGAAATACGGCGGGGATGAGATCCTAACGAGGCGGCTCGCTGAGCGAATCGGAGAGTTACTGTTCTGTGAAATGGATCTATGCCCATGGTTGGCATGTTTGCATTGCATCTAGAGTCGATACGTTCTTGACTTTTATACCTTTTATTCTTTTTTACAATTTTCTGGATAATATACCCAACTTCAATAGAGTCTCGCTGGTAACCCAGCATCAATACTTGAGGCTGACCGCGTTTTACATTGATTGTGGCTCCAATCGTGAACAAGAAGCAGTTTCATTAACACCGAGTTGCATTTCGACAGTACAACTAAATCTTGTCCAATACACACCCACTGCGTCACAGAGACACCGTTGTCCAGAACTTCTTTTCGGATTCTCCATGTCCACTGAACTCCACAAGCTGCCACGCCCCGTCACTTCTGCTCAGGCGCCTTCCGCTTCGGCCGCCCTTTCGCCGCCGTATCACACAACTTCTTCCTCGGCTCTTTCTCCAGCCAGTTCTTCTCCCTCTTCACCTCGCCCACCTTCTGGTACTTGGCACTATTCTCAAAGAACTTAGCCCAGTGCGCAAACGTCTCGTACACTTTCTGCTCAGCCTGTTCCCGCTCCTCCTTCTTCAGCGCCTCGAGCTCGGCCGCCGTGTACAGGCGGTCGACCTCCGGGTCGTCGAGGGGGATGAACATCTCCTCGACCCCGCGCATGTCGGCTGTGCGGTCCTCGCCGAAACACCCCGTGACGAAGCCCCGCGAGGCGTCGACGCCGGCAAAGATGTGGTAAGAACCACCCGGCCCGTAGGTGCGTCGATTCGAGGATACGTCGTAGATGCTGCCGTTGATGGCGAGGTAGAGGGGTTTGGTGTCGTCGGTGCCGTCGTATTGGGCGAGCTCGTCGAGGGTGAGGCGGAGGGGGCCATTCTGAAACGACATTCAGTACTCGCCAGTGGCTCTCGTCTAATGAAACATGGGAGCACTGGTTTAAGTAAGAAACATACCAGTTGAGCCTTCCACCAGTCCACGTTCAGGTACTTAGGCGGGTGTCGCAGACCCCAAGTGAAGGACTCGCCGCTCGAGATGAGGTAGCTCAGGGCGCACGAGCCAAATATGAGAAACGTTATGACGCGGAGGACGTCTACCCAGGGGCTGTAGTCGTCTTCGTTGTCGACTCGGGCTTGGACCGACTTGGGCTTAGAAGAAACCAGCTCTGCCTCCTGTTCCTCCTCCGTATCCGACAGTTCCACGACTCGATTGTCCTCACTCAAGTCGCTAACTTGCCCCTTGCGCTGCCGGACGGAGCTATTACCCGTATCTCTACCTGACATTTTGGCACGGCAGGATTAAGAAAGTGAGAGGCCTCTGGCCAGCAAAGAAAGGAATAGGGAGAGGTATGTTCAAGATGCCAACATGGCAGCATCAACAGAGCTTTAAACCCTTCTTCTTTTCTCCTAAGTAGTGGCTAAATTGGTGTTGTAAGCATTGACAAGACGTCCCGTGGCCAATCAGGGCTCTCCCAATGTCTCGGATTGCATATGGAAAGTTGCCGTTTTTGCGCTAGGAGTATTGGATAGATAAAAGATCCATGTGTTGTTGGCTGCAGGTGTGGATACTGCAAACGGCGGTATCACAATGTCACGCTTGCTGTCTCTGACAAGTAATATCCCAAATTGTTCGGTCTGCTTGCCAATTGACTTGTTTTCTGCATGCAGGTACTGGAGGATCCAGAGACCCTGATACTCCTCTCGGGTGCTTCTTAGTGGCACCGACGCCAAGCCCAGGTGAGCCAGCTTTAGAGTTCACTGCCTCCAAGTAGCAAGTGGCCAGTGCATTCTTCGCATGTTACGAACCACTCAAGGCAGCCGTGACGGGGTTTCTGATAGTGTTGCGCGTTTGGGGGGGTTCCAGCTCAGCACTTTCCCGCAGCTTCACAATGCACATATCAGCAAATAGGGGCCAATTCGACAATTGATCCTACTGTGGCCAACAACTCTTGTGTCCCGAGCTCGAATTATGAAATAGTCTCTGTTATTGTGGATTTCTTTCACTCTTTCGTTGCCTCTTTGCCTGTTTGCTTCGTGCTACTCTGTCCTGGCGTCTCGTCCGACCTCGTGTCATCCACCCCCCCCCCCCCCCCCGATACGGGGCGTCCTATGCTTCAGACGGCCATCCCAACTTCATTCCTTCGACTCAATGTGCAATAGATAGACAGAAAGACAATCGATTATCGCCCTCCCCTGTTCAAGATGCCAAAACAACACGCCTTGTTTGGGCGGCCGATTCGGCTTGCTCCGCGCCGCGTCTCGTTCCTCCTCTTCAGTCTCGGCCTCTTCGCCTTGTTCACACTCTTTTTCACACTGCCGAGCGCCATTCCCACGGGCCCAAGCTTGTCCAAGTCGATCGCGGACGGCAAGGCCTCGATACCCAAACTGAAGAACCCATTCTCGTCGAGCATCCTCAACCCGTTTAGGCCAGTGGTGCATCCACCCGCCATCCAGAAGAACTCGACGTACGGCGGAAGCAGCTGGTCCACGCATTGGACGTGGCTAAGCCCCTTCTCTTCGTCCGTCACGCTCGACGAAAACCGCTCGCTGCTCCCGCCGCTGAAAGAGAGGCCCCCGATCTACTGCTACTACGACACCAGTGCTCAGCGCGACAAGGCAACAAAGGATGCCGAGAGCGACCTACTCCTCACATGGCGGCGCGCATGGTGGGCACAGGGCTTCAGGCCCATAATCCTCAGCCCAGCCGAGGCCATGAGCAACCCGCTGTACGATGAGCTGCAAAGACAAGAGGTGGAAACTCTCTTCAAAACCGACATGATGCGCTGGTTGGCTTGGGAAAACATGGGCGGTGGCCTTCTGGCACACAATCTACTTTTCCCCATGGCGGCCCATGAGGATCCCCTGCTCTCCTTCCTTCGACGAGGAGAGTACCCCGGCTTGATTAGGTGGGAGGGTTTAGATGACGGACTCTTTGCCGGGTCCAAAAGCGAGGTCACGGCAGCGGTTATGACGGCTTTGCGAAGTCCGGAGAAAAGGGGGGCCAAGTCCTTCATTGAAGCAGTCCCGGCCGAGACCTTCGCCGTCGACAAAACCCACGACGGTGTAGCCTTCTACAATACGAAGACAGTGGAGAAGCTGTACAGCCAGGTTGCCGATGCGATCGGCACCAACAGGGCCGCGGGGACGAGCAGTCTGAACACGCTCGTCAACTCGCACCTGCACGTCACTTGGCAGGATCTCTTTACCAGGGGGATCGCTGTGCTCAAGCCACTGCCGACGCACACGACATTTATGATAGAACCCGCATTGAAGCTGGCTACATGGCTCTCCATGTGCCCCGACACCCCTATGCCGTCGTCTTGCCCTCCCAACAACCCCAAGTGCTCCCCTTGCGTAGCGTCGCATCCTATGAAGATATCCACGCCCGCCCGCTACCAAAATACCACAGGCCTCTACACCATTGGGACCGTGCCGCACCCCTACACTCGCGGAACTCTCAACTCGCTTAAGGACACCATCGACGTGCCCTGGATCCGCCGCGACATGACGCGCGATCTCTGGCTGGCCGAACTGACCAAGGAGCTCCTCGGAACCGGCCTGTCGGCCAGCGCTCGCATCCTCACCTTTAAGGAAGCCGTGGCCGGCGAATACGCCACGTCTCACTCCGTCTGGTTCACCGCCGAGCGCGACGAGCCTCCGCACGACCTGGACTGGTATTTCGGTTTCAGAATCCCCGTCAACGCCACGGACGGCAAGTCGGAGACGCCCGTGCCCGGACCCGAACGCAGACCTAAGCCGGAGCACGACCCCAAGGACGGCCCCATCCCCAAGGATGACGAATTCGCTCGGGAGCCGGAGCTGTTGAAGCGGGCCAAGGATGTCGGCAAGAGCAAGCTCGAGAAGGACGTCAAGGTGCGAGAAGCCATCGAGGCGTGGAACCTGGCCGACACGGAAGCGTGGCGATTCGCCAGGGCGTTCTTGGCGAGGGCGAGGGTGGAGAGACTGAAATGGGAGGAGGAGGAGAGCAAGTATGCCGGAGGTGCGGGACATGATAAGGAGAAGAAGCGGAGTGCGTGGGGACGCTGGGGAGAATGATCGGCGCTACGGTTTGATTGTTACCATGCCCGGACTGTATACTATTTGGTCGTGTTTTTATTGTGTGGAGCATGGAGTTCTAAGGGAAAGGGACTGACTAGATCTTGGTAGAATCTCAAGATAGCATTTGCTATGTTCACAAGTGCTCAAGTGTATGGCGGTTAACTTCGGACACCATTGCGATCATGCGCGTATGTAGGGGTCATAGCCTCCTGTATACTTCGCGGCTCTCTATTGTGCTTGCAACGACTACCGAGACTGCGGCAGCATCCAGACTCGAATTGAGTCCCGCTATAGCAAACAAACGAATAGGGTGTCCGGGATTTATGTGTCCTGCATTTACTCATCTAAAAAATGCCCAGGCAAGTCTACCTTTTTGTTTGAGGTTCTCCTCCCATCCTGGCAGCACCTAGGGGTTCAGGTTACTTGGACCGGTTTGTGTGACCTATCGTCATCTGAAACTACCCATCGGTCCAATGCATGTATATTGGACCTGCTGAAAATTTGGCGGTCACATATTGGGAATAAAGTACGAGAGAGGACACAGCACTAATGACCGGGTCAGCCTTACGTGGGAGCTCCTCTGGTCCCATTGCTCTTAGCCCGGTGGGTAGAAGAACCTTAATGTGTTACGACTTGTTCAGATGGTTGGTTATATTGATTGAATGAGTGACGATATCCCCGAAACCCGGACCAAAAAACCCCGCCAACTCCGTCTTTTCATTTGCATCAATATCTAAGTAGTCTGTTGAGAGCTACTTATTGGACATGATGTTGAATCAATGAAGAGAGAAATGTCCGGAGGCATAGAAGAAGACATCAGCAGTATAGAGCCAGTTGGTATTGCAAGAATGAACCAAACCGTTCTCTCCCGTTTGTCATTCATGCGGCAATTGTATCACCACCCATCTCGCCGCTCAGCTCCCTTGACGTCGGGCCGCGTCGTACCCCTCCAGAGACAAGTCCGGCGTGGGAAGCAAAGTCCGCACTACCAGTCTCTATGGTGGTGCGGTTAGAAGTCTGATCAAACCCATTCTTCCGCCCTCCATTGCCGAACACAATCTCTTGAGACGATTGCAAGTAGGAGTTCAGAGCAACCCGGGCAGCCTCGACGACCATTTCAGCGTGTTTCAAGGCATCTTTCAGCGCTTTCGCGGTGGCGTCGTCAGGGATCTCGATAGGAGGAGCACTGCCATTTCCAGACAGGTTCCCCCCATCGCTAGCCCCCTTCGCCCAGCTTTTCTCCTCGAGCAACTCTCGAATATGGCCATTGAGCCAAAGACCTTCAAGCTGGTTCTGGGCCATGTCCTTGGCGCCACTTATTCGGCCGCGGCAGGTGGGTTTGCCGCATAGGCAGTCGAACGGCTGAGCCATTTCCCACTCAGTCGAGGGGTAGAAGAACTTTACCGAGGGTAAGCTTTTATGCCGGGCAGAGGGGGAGGGGAGAGGTGGGACAGGAAAGAGGTGGCATGGGCTGACAAACGGTAAGCTCTTCGCCTTGTTGGAGGCCATTTGGTCCCGCGATGATGTTGAAATTCGATGTGTCAAAGATCTGGTCCGGCTGTAAGTAACGGTCTGGCCAAAGTATATTTGATACACATAAGCAAGTAATGGCTAGCCCATTCCAGGAAACTGACTAGAGATGGTTCGCAGGAGTGGTTGATGTACAACAGATCACTGTTGAGACTCAAATGGCTGTCCCGGCCACACTGGACGGTGGCATAGGTGGGTTTCTCGGCCAATGTGCAAGGAGGGAACGACATTTTGGCGTATAAGCCGAACGGAGGCAGTGAGATCCTCGACAAGCTCTTGGATGTAAACTCATGCTCGTTGATGATCACCTCCTGGACATCGGGATGAGACGGCTGGTCCCAATGAGGCTGTAGAGGAGCCATTGCAGCAGTTATGCGAGTGATTCGGTTTACGGTATCTTTTTTGACGACGAGCACGAAGTTGATCTGGTTGGTCGCCAGGGTATAATTGCCCACTTACACAGGATAATCAGATGTTCGTCTGCAAATTGTGTTACAATGCTGCTAGAATGGCCTTGACGGGAAGGTTTCGCTCTCTATTTCATACTCAAGAACCAAGAGGATGTGTCTCCCAATCACCGGCGCTAGAATTAGCGCAGCCGGACGGCGCCCTCTTTGTCTCCCATCAGCATCTAATACCACGGTATCCTTTGACCCTATTTGGCGGGGTAGCTAGCCACTGCGGGGTAGACTATAGCATTCTTGAGCAAGTACCATAGGATGGTAGCTGACAGAGTACTAGTTTGAGGCCTATCACAAGCGCCTCTCTGTCGACTTGGGCAAGCACTTCCTGTAGTCGTACGCCCGAGAGTCACGGTGGCGCGCATAGTGCAGGGAACTGCGAGGGCGCGCCGGCCTGTTGCGGCAGCAGCTGATCATGGGAAGTATGGCAACGTGATCGTCACCCGATGGAACCAAGCTAGCTAGCTGTACGCAGTACTATAATGCCCTGCAGCCAAGATTAAAGGTAAGCACCTGAGTGGACACTGCAATGGTTGAAATGGGTAGGGATGAGAGCAGCCGTGTCGCCCACTGCGTGCATGTGAAGGGTAGCGACTGAAACTGCCTGACATTGCTGCCACGCTTCCATTCCACCCCGGTTCAAAATTGCTCAAATGCTCGCCCATGTCATTCCTGGTTTTTCGAAGCTTCACTGTTGTGGGAATTAACAGTGGGCCGTAGGGCCTTGGTACAATTTGGCTGCCAATGGGATGCAAATGCATTGAAGTCTAATGGAGTCTAAAAGTCAGATCAGAAGCTTGAGAAGGTTTCTGGAAGCCATCGGTTAGACTACCATGCCAGATCGGCCCTGCTCAGCGGTCAAAAATAGGTTGTCGATATCAAAGCGCCCTCGATTTTTTTCCTGACCGAATGCTGGTATGAAACCATGGCGGCAACCTTGCAATCCCGGATTTGGTTCTTGAACTCTACCCAAGGATCCACAGAAGACCAGGACACCCTTTTCGTCGTCAAATTACTTCAAGAGGTCGAGACTTCGTCCGGCATTCGTTCGGCTTTCAACTCAACGATGTGAGCCCCTCGTCTGGAACACGGTGCAAGAAGCCGATAAACTGCACCACAGCAGCCTTCAGCTCCCCCGGACCCTTGATGATCGCCATCGAGGCTAAATTAAGATATTGCCTGTTCCCATCTAATCAGACAGGCCAGCGGCGAAACGGCCGGTGATCAGAACGAGCTGCCCCGTCGGTGTCGCCGGAAACAACGAGCTGGGGTGCGAAACGGGTATTTGTCGCTGAACAAATCAAGAAATACTTCGACAGGTCTTTGTTTCGACGTTTCATCATTTCCAATTCAGCATCTCTGCAATTCAAGTTGTCATTGCCTACCGCCCTTTGAGGTTAGCTCCCGCTGTCAACTCCACATACTAATGTATTTCAGACGAACTCGGCCACGAGGATTGGGTTAGCCCAGCGTCCGAGCCGCGAATGTGGGTTCAGGGACTGAATCGCATCCTACAATGGCATTGTGAGCGCGCTGGCGAAGAATCAGAGTCATCATCCACGTGGGGTACATCGACGGGAAACCTAAACGATATTGTTTGCAGGAAAGCCTTCCGCTGGTCACACCGAGGTTTGATACCCCTGCTGTTAATGGCACCAGAGAGCAGCGCTTTCGCAAAGTGAGGTGGCCTCGAGCTGCCACAGCCATTCCGGAGGCTTGTGCGCCGTGATATGAACCGCAAACAGTCCTCCAGGTCCTCCATTTTTCCTATACATAGTTGCTGACGGAAACAAAGTCGATATGGGGTGGATCAAACCTCGCCTTGGTTTCACACTGATCAGCCGCGTGGTATACTCGTGAAACATCCCATAGGAGCACTACCCGCTCATACACCATGAAAGCGCACTTCGCAGTGTGATTCGGCCGGGAGTCGAGGTATGTCACTGTGGATATACTCTTTGGGCGGCGGGCTCAAGCCTCTCCGGCCTTTTTGTGGGTGGGGGGTTGTCGGCCCTGCCCAAGTTGCATATGAAGGGTGGTGACAATAGATTCGATGGGCCGGCAGTACTTCTAGATTTCATATATTAACCCACCATTCCAAGTCGTGACCCTTGGAGCCGAACCTGCTTTACCAGATACCATTTATTCACTCAGTCAATCCGTCATTCAGTCAGCCGTCCACAGCATGCCGAGTTCTATCCGATCAAATCCCAAGTCAATCCAGATGCCGAAAGTCGTCATGGAGAAGGGAAAGTTTCGAAAGTGCCAATACAGCAACTTTGTCGACGAAAATCTTGAGGGTCCTTATGGATCAATATCGGTTGCAACCTTCGGCAACAATGGCAAGCCGCAACCGCCGCCTCAGCCCGAACCGCCCGTCCCTCACCCCACCGCACCGGATAGCCGACGTAGGCATGGGCTGTAGCCGGGACTCCTCGGCTTGTCTTTTGTCCTTTTCTTTGCGCAAGACCTATGGCTGGAAATATCCGGCGACGCTGTGTTTTGACTACAGACCAGTGCAGTGTAGGCACATAATTGAACATTTACCCTTGGAAATATGCTTATCAACTAGTATTCAGGCCTCCTGCTCCTACTCGCGGATCTGACACACTGTGAAGGCTGGAATTTGGTGTTGTGATTCTTCAGCACCAGAACTCGCCGCTTTACTAATGGGGTCGCGACAACGGATCTGCTTGATATTCTTGGAGGCTCGCAATTTAAAACATTTGATACTATATGTATTCCTATATGGCCCCGGAAGCTGGATCTGTGGTCAGAACTAGTCGGCGTTACAGAAGCAGTCAAAAATAATATTTCCTATCAAAAGCCATGATTACACCCACTCTATTGCAGACGATCACTATTTTTACGGGGCTTAACCACGGGGCAGGGGATGAACGACATGAAGGCTATGCTACCCAGTTTCGTGATGTATATGGCTGCTACCGAGAGTATGGACTACCCTATACTCTCCTGAAAGATGCTTCCTCCAATTATAATATGTCGACAGTATCTCGCAGCCGTTGATAGGTTTGGGAAGGACTCGGTATGGTCCTAACTCATTTCTTCAGCTGTTTCATTTTGCTTCCACAACCATAGGTTGAAACAAGAACCCACATACAGCTATGGTTGGCACATACGTCCTGCAGAGAGCCACCTATGCCAGCCTGGTATATCCATCCGCACGACTGTTGATATGGGCATTTTCCGGAATAATAGATTATCGGCCAACCTAATACCCAGCACCGGGACTTAGGTGACCCATTCCAACCTCGTGATTTACATTATTTCTCTAAATCATATTCCAGCTCTATGTACTTCTCGTATGCCTAAGACCCTGGGGCCAACATAACCAAGAAAAAATATCTATCAATGGATGAATCTTGTTGGCGGTCAGTCAAGCCGTTCTTGGGTTCGCTTTCATCGTCTGTTTTTTCATGTGCTCCCTCAGCTTCGTGTTCGTGTTCGTGTTCGTGTTCGTCCTCGGCTTGATTTTCGTTTCTATTTTCGTCTTAACCTGCGTTTTCATCTTCATAATCTTCATGATCTTCCTTACCAATGTTATAATTATCTTGTTTCTCAAGGTGATCGGCGTCCCTGTCATCGCGTATAGCATCTCCGGGGGCAAGATGCCAGTGAGAGCAGAGAGGGAATCCTCTCCTGTCTCGTTGTTTGAATTTGTTGCGACCACCAAGGCCTCCAGGTCGACATTCACATTGTCTTCTTTTTCATTATCCTCATCTCCTTCGTCATATTCACCTCCCTCTTCATCATCGACTTGTTTTTCGTCTTATTCGTCGCCGGCATCATAATCATCCTATTCCTCAAGATGACTGGCGTTTCCTGTCAAACCAAACAGAAACTTAGTAAGCAAGAACCTAGTTAGGCTAGAGAGGTTGTCATCATTCACCTTGTTGTCATATGTGGGTAGATCCACGAACTCGTCTTGGTCGTCTTCGTCATGGTCTTCGTCCTCCCGAATTTCCGCTCCAAGTACCCAATCTGAAACAGTTTCCCATTTATAATCGTTGGAGGTCTCAAATATTTCATTATCTGCAGACACTGCAAGATGCGCTGATGGTACATCCGCTTCATCTGCCTGAGAAAAGACGTTCTCCATCGGATCCAACCACGTAGGTGACTGAATTATTAACGTCAACAGAGGTCTCGACACCCTCGATGGCTTTCTTCATTCGGAGTCCAGCTCTGAATTTACGGTGAAGACCTTAGAGAAGCCCCATTTTCGGTGGTAACGGGTGGACTTATTTGAAAATCATGAGAGGGGCTAGACTCATTGGTGTTGGATGCTTCGATTTGATCTTGGTCCAGGGAGGATGAAAAGGGGCATAGAGAAGACAGGGGTGGTGGCTGGGCTGTACAGGCCCTGAGGCCAGTTCATTCATCTCAGTATAGATACACTTAACAGGACAGCCGTTTTCTGCATTTGGGGCTTGCTGTGTGTGAGACTCATTGTGATATCGTTGCCGTTCTTGAAAGCCATGTTTGAAGATTTGGTTGCGGCCGGTGAACTCTCATCGCAGCGGCTGTTGGCTTAAAAACCGAAGGTAAAACTTTTACATCGTCGAATTACTGGGACAATATCATCTTGAGACATTTTGTACAGGGTATCTTCAGATTAGACAGTGGTGTTGTTTTGGGGGGGGGAAAGGGGGGGTCTTGATTGCACAACTCCTGTTATCGCCATCTATTGTGATGTCTCAAGCAGGGAAGATGGCGTTATGGTATCCGCCGTATGGAGGTGCTTCTTAACGGTGTATAAGTGGGAATGAAAAATTCACAGTGTACCATTCCAGATAAGTTTTTCCTGTGGCAAGTTGAGTTGTGCCCAAACTCAATATGATGAATCTGCTTCAAATGGCCCGAAGGGATCGTTCTGCTTGATAGACAGATGCCGACGGAACCAGGCCTCGATGAGGACAAATCAAGGCGGTGTGGGCGATGTTGTTGTTGTTGATGAGGAGCATCCTTTGTCATTCTTTGTAAAAGGTGCTCGGGACCGAATATGGTGGAGTCATGAAGTGGACATCTTTGCATATTGGTGAGCAATTACGTGTATCGAAGCGGCCTATCAACCCAGGCAGAGTAACCGGTATACCACAAACTCCAATTTAGATAACTTTAGTGCCACTGCATTGATATAAATACCTGAGTATAAGGAATGAGCGGGAGACAAACAGGATTATGAACATAAACGAAATGGCCTATACTGTAGGAGGCTGAATACAAAGAACATTTATTTCGTCTACAAAACATGCTATAGTCAGAAAAATGGAGCAGGGTATGGTAGTATTGTCTGTGACAGTTGTTGTGACTATAACAGAGAGCAAGCAAGTGAAAGCTTCGTGCGGTACTGGAATAGGTCGTCCCTCAGGGGCTAGTATATTAAGCATGGCAAGTAATAGTGTAATACTATATCGACTCCGGCAGGTTTTGCGATTACTACGAAGCCAAGTCTTGAAACCTTGGCTTAACGGTAATAGAAACGGACATTGCCACAGCAGTGGTAGAGTGTTAAGTTCCCTTAGTACCGCAGGTGGCATAGTAAGGAATGCCAAAGACGTAAAGAGCAGGACTTCTATTCCCTCAATGACAAAGTTATGTTAGAGCCCTATGAATCTAGGTAGTCCAAAATTTCGTTTCATGAGGTACACTGGACATAAACTATGACGGTTCGTACGTCCTTGCTTTGTGGACATTACGAATGCCTTGGTGTCATTTCTTCAACAGCTGTTAGGGAGATGATGGCTAGTAAACATGAAGAATATGGGAAGGAACACAGCTGAGACAGAAGTATAGTTGAATTGATTTATCATCACAGACTTGACAGAATAAACCCAGTGTTACTACTACTACTACTACTCCTCCTCCTCCTCGGTCAATATAGGAACGGACATACATTCTCGTCAGAACGGATTAATTCAAAGCGCTTGCCACTCCTGCTTCTCGTCATTAAAGTAATATGGGGTTCAAGTCGTCTACCATCAATTGATGCCGCCACTAGTCCTTGGCGGGGAGTGTTGACTCTAAGCTTACTGCGATATCCCATCTCTGCAACTGCCATTCATGTCGTGACTTCCTGGAAGACTTGCATCCCACGGCGGTCGGCTGGGATATCCAAGCACCTAAGGTGGGTATTGATTTGTATTAGTTCTTCACATGAAGTGTTGCAATAGTAATAGCTGGACTCAAATTCTTTCAGATTCTGTGTCTCCCGGCAGCTGCCATTGTTACCGTACTTTCAGCTCAGACATCTGATAGAGCTTTCATGCGCTGAAGGCAGGCACGAGGTACAAAGCCAGGATTCTACCCTTGCGCAAGACAACGTCAGGCTTGTTTACGTGCTTGCCCAAAGGTCGTACTACGCTCCTTCTGTAACTTTACGTGGAGTGCTCATGCTTCTTGCCGCTGACCACGTAGAAGCCCAAGCTCACCTCATCTTTTCTCCATCTCCATCACCACCTCCCACTCGCCGATCACTTCACGAAGCTTCATCTATCACAGTTTTGCCAAGGAGAGACGTCCGCTTCCACAGATCTGCTCAAAAGATCTTGTATGCATACAGTCGCTACTTGCTGCACGCACACTCCTTCTTGGTAAGTTGAGTTTCCATCATGCTTCAGCTCTCGATTCCCTCGACGGCCTGGATGCCCCCTCGTGTCTGGTCTTTGTTCCAGCTCTTCCCCCGTCCATTGCTGCCATATCCTATGCCATCGTATCCTACAAAATAAGACCCGCCTCTACTCCATCTCCCTTTGTGCCTTATTGTTACAATCGTCAGATATGAACACCATTTCGCTCTACTCTGGGCACGATGCCCGCAACGAAGCACTTCAAGACCACCAGAAAGAGGCTCCTCAATCGGCTGAGGCTGGACCAGGTCCAAGATGTGATCTTCACTGGTCCAGACGTCCTCCAGATGAGATTCTACATCAATGGCAAATGCGATGATCCAGGGTCGGCTTTAACGTCGATTCACCACCAGCATTTCTCCCGGACTTTCTTCGATCTCAACTCCATGCCCAGAACATCATTGCTAACACTATTAGACTCTCTGCCCAGACTTCTGCAATTCTACACTTCCTTCACGGCCGTGTTTCCCCGAATCCGACCCAGGATCGTTCCTATCCAACCCTTTTCGTCTGGTATAGCCCAGATAAAAGACGCAACTACAGCCTCTTTGCGTACCCTACCCGGCCCATGGAGTCACGAAGGTACTCGGCGACCGAGCTTTTCGGCCTCCGTGGTTCGCAATCCTCCCAGGCCCTGCTGAGCAAGATTGAGCAAAACCCCGACCTTGGTGAGTTTCGTTCCAGCCCTCTTATCTAAGCCTTTTGCTAACAATACCAGCTGAAATCATCAAAGGAAGTGGCAACAACAGTAACTCGAGACGTGTCAAGAAGCCCAAGGATGAACCCCAGTCTTCCACGGACAGCGAAGAGCAGATCTTGTTCCAAGGCAAGAGACATTCTCGCCCTGCCATCCCATCGTACAACCAGGAGACGGAGTGGAAGTATCGAGGTCGCACGGACTCGGAGCGAACTTCGAATGAACCTGTTCCTGCCCCATCAGGACTCGCCGCCCAGAAGAGCGAGGGTTTTCAGAGGTTCTTTAAGGCTGTGGTGTCTCCAACTCATGTCCGAGTCACAGCTGGCGGAAGAATCGTGCCCAACACTCGAGCCTCAGCATCTCCCACTGCAAAGTGGGACAAAGAGCAATCTGCTGCTGAGAGTGATGGAGGAGACCTAAGCAAACAGGGAACTCGGGAGAGTGCTGCTGCCACAGACGGCAACCCGGACCAGCCTATGGCTCCTCTCCTGGCCCCTCCCATGCCATCTCCCATGTATCCTGGATTCCCTCACATGTACCCCCCGATGGGAGTTCCTTTGCCTTTCTACCAAATCCAGAATGGAATGCCACTTGTCTACGGTGCTCCAAATCCGCAACTGCCGCCTCCCACCATGGCCACTACAGCACAAACTGAACCATCTCGAGGCCAGAATCAAGACAGTGAGCATTCTGGTTCTACGAAAAAGGAAAATGGCCAGGAGACCAAAAAGCCGAAGCCTGCACCCATCAAAATCTCGCCGCCAGAGCAGTTCGACCACACGAAGCCCTTCTACTACAACAGGCAAATCTGCTACCCCCCGTTGGCCTCCGGACAGCTCCAAGCTCCCATGGCGCCACTGCCTGGCCCCTACTTCTCGGGCATCCATCCGGCCTTTGCTGCAGCTCGTGCTGCTGCGTCTTTCGCTCAACCGTCTCCCATGCAATCGCTGGCCAGTCCCAATGGACTTCCACCTGCCAGCCCTTTTGGCCCACCGCTGAGTGCTGGTGCTACAGTCCCTCAACAGTTCACACAAGTCGCACATAAGCCAGCTGCATCTTTGGCAAGTCCACCTGCCACTAATGCTCCGATCACTTCCATCAAGCCCAGCGAGATTACGAAGCGTCAGCTTAACTCGCTGCGGTCGTCCCTCAAGTACTATGAGGATCAATTGCAATACAACAAGCACCAGATCGACGAAAAGTGGACACAGGAACAGAGTGGCGGTATTCGCAAGCTCATTGAACAGTTTGAGCACAACTACAAGATGCAGCAGAACTTTGAGTCGGCCTACTATCCCGGCAGTGACAAAGCCTCGGGTGCCGCCAACACAGGCAAGACGCCTAGCGCAGTACCCAGTCAGACCCCCTCAAGAGCTTCGAGCATGCAAGAGAAGCCAATTGAGACTGCTACCAAAACCGACTCTGTCACATCAACCAGCCATGGCCTCCACGCCCTGAGCCATACTCAGTCCATGGACCAGATCCGACAAAGATCGGTCAAAGACCGACGTCAGAAGGCTGGGATAAACTCTTCTAAGGGCAACGATACTTCAGCCGCTCTTGACGCCCTTGAAGCTCATTTCGATCGAGCTAGGCTACATGATCCCGTCAAGAAGCCCTCGCTCCCTACTGATGCTGCGATGGCACCTCCTTTCGAGCCACGGGCCACGCCCACGTTGCCTTCTCGCTTGAGCAATGGATTGGAGTCAGCTACCGATACAACTGGTTCCAGCGAGTCCCAGTGGCCTGCCATGGCCTTTCTGCCTCCGAGCCAGCCCCTTTGGAACAACACCAACCCTGCTAAGGATCTTTTTAGTGGCACATCCTCTTCCGACATCGGCATAGCTTCCCAAAACCTGGGCGTGGGCAGCTACACGCCGTATCTCGTCGGAAAGCTGCCACACGGTGGCAACCCATACAGTGCTCGTGCAACGGACTATGTGTACCCTCGCGAACTGACGGATGAGGAGAAGCGAGCGCGACACGTCTACTGGGGCCAAGTGTCCAGCAAGGGCCTCGGCCTGCCAAAGTTTGACGGCAAGGATTTCTATCCCCCATCTCCAGTCAAGACCAGTGAAAAGACGGAGGCACCTCCCAAGCTGAAAATCCGTCAACTTCCAACCGGGCAGTCTGCCTCGGACTACAGTTTTGAGCTGCCGAAGACAGAGAACGACCCATTCCGATCCAGTCGGGATACTGGAAGCATCCGTTCGGACAGAAGCGGTCCGAAGGTTAGTCGTGCGGTGCCGATCGTCAATCCTGATACCATGAAACGTGAGGAGGGGAACATGACGCCGTCTCAACCTGCCACCGGCACAGGGGATCTGCGAAAGATTCTCCACAGTGACAATTTCCCAACATTGTCTCCGACCAAGCCTAGCATGAGTTCCGTGAGCGAGAAGAAGGCGACCACGCTGAGTCGCCGGGTTCTTGATAGATCAAGGTGTGTTCAAGCCAATACCATGTTGATATGCCATGGGACTAACCATCAATAGCAACAAATCTGGAAACGACCTTTGGCAGAGCATGTTGAAGAAGGGTTCGACCAGTGCGACGGCTCTTCCTAGTACCATCTCCTCGACCACGGCCACTGGCTATCTGCCTCAGTACTCTGGGTACGCTTCTGCTTTGCTTTCTCCCGCCATTGCAAACGCAAACGGCTCGCCGATGCGTGGCTCGGCAGGCAAGCAAATCGAGCAAGATGACGTTGGCTCCCAGCTACCCACGGAGAAGCTGGGAGAGAATTGCCCGCCGCGAGGAGTTTCAACTCAGCAGGATGAGATCATTGCAGATCTTCATCAGCGTATGCTTCGCGATGCTGAACAGCGCGGCGTTATTGGCCCCGGATGGCGACAGTAAAGGCGAGACGGCATTCTGATCTCACCGAGACTTTCGTCGAAACCGCCATCGATTCCATGATTATACCAATCATGCTTTATCGCTTTCTTCTACCAAGTGCGGGAGAGAAAAATAAGCTGACTTAGCCCCCCTCCACCACCACCACTATCACCCTTTCTCGATGAATCCGAGGACGGACATTTCATCTCATACGTCATCATCCTTTGTACTATTAGCTTCATCTGTATGACCAAGGGCCAAGAGATGCTCACAGATATGAGATATTCTGCTCGGCAATTATCCGAGACAAGGACCAGTCTGTGGACCTGTCTTCCGACATGACGGTATTTGCGTTATTGGCATTTTGAGTTCAGCACAGCCATTGTTGATGGATTCAGAATTGCTTTACATGATGAGGGAACAAAAGAGTTACGAGTCCCGTTGCGTCGCAGATTCAGGGCTAGAGTACTGCTAATAAATTGATTTGACCAATACCTGATTTGTGTTGGCACGTTGATGATCGTGATGCAGTTTCTTCTCTCAAAGCATGGCGAGGCACTGGGATGGAGGCATTGTGTATATCAACAAACCCCCACAGCCTGTTACTCACTGAAGCTGACTACCAAGAAACGGTACATTAGAACGTGCATGTACCTCACCGTCAAATTTCTAACCTCACGAAGATTCATGATAAAAATCTGCAGGTGAGAGCGGTGAAGAGGTCATTTAAAGCACCTCCCCACTTGGTTTTGCTGTCCGCCAGTCATATATCTCGCCTACCATAAAAGTGAAAGACGGGAAGATAAGCTAGCGGTTGATGTATATGTGCCTACCTGTCGCAAAGTTGCTGTAAACTGGGTTATCATACGTTTGTCATGAGTGCACACTGGATTACAACACTTTTCCAGAGGCAAGACACTATGGATGTGCCTGTGGGTTTATGTTAGCCTCGTCCAGGCCTCTGGATGGTTAGATTGTTCGTCACAAGAAGTTGGGGGGAACACGGGGAGCAAAGCTTCGGGATGAACCTCCCATGGAGCAAATCACGAGAGTGAAATGGCCATTGTATGCATTGCAAATGTTCTTTTGGTGTGTCGTGTGTCTAAATGCTGAACCCAAGCAAGCCATCGTCGGGCTTTTGTTTCCGGGACGCCGTGTCAAATATCCCTTCAGCAGCTCGTAAATGCCCAACCATTCGGGTGACGGACGGGGCCGATCGTTCCACCACTGCCACCGAAGCCCGATTCATCCTTTTGTCGTTATCGATTACATGATGATGAATGGGATTGGCTTAAGCCTTGGCCTTTCCCTTGGATCGGAGCTCGCGGCCGACCTTGATGCGCTCCAGGATGCTCTCGCGATCCTTGTCGATCTTGAGCTTGGTGATGACGACGTTGCTGGGGTGGATGCCGAGGGGGACGGACTGGCCCGAGACCTTCTCACGGGAAACACGCTCAATGTGAATGACATATTTGAGACGGTAGACGGAGGTGACCTTGCCCTCGCGGCCCTTCTGGCCACCACGGACAATGGTGACCTCGTCGTCCTTGCGGATGGGAATGCTGCGAACCTGAGAGGTGGGCCAGGTTAGTACAGACCTTCCTACTTTCGAATCGAAGGACTAGTGGATTGATATACTTACATTGTACTTCTCACGCAGCTCCTTGGACAGCGGCGCGCTCATGATGTTGCGGCGCACGCTGGAGGGGGCGCTGAAGTGCGACTTCCTCGACTTGCGTCGGGAGCTGGCGATTCCTTCACAAGGTCAGCATGAAGTTTGGGTTCAACACGGATGATTCAAATACGTACCACTGTTTACCTTCATGGCGGCGATTGTGTTAGTTGTCGGTCGGGTTGATGGGTTGGACAACGAGCTCGAAACAGACGGACTGGACTTCTTCACAGCGAAAAGGTTGCTCAAAACTTGCGCTCTTTCGGCAAAAATTTGGTGGATTTCCTTCCGCTGTGCCCTAAATTTTTGAGATGGTCCAAGCGTTGATGTTTAGCCGTGGTTCTGCCATGGTGCAGCTGGCGACACTTGTGAGTCACAAAGGCCGGATGTCGACTACTCAACGGGGAATCCTAGCGTGGAACTCGGCACTGTTACCCACTATCCGGCCGCAGAACCATGCATTAGAAGTTGATCAATCACAAGTGGACTTCAAGACACCACCAATCATTCTCAGGTAGCGAGACCCAACGCCGTTGCTTATTATCCAGTTGTGTCACCGCCCTTCCAATGAGACCGTTCTGAAGCGAATTATAGCCTCTTATACCTTGTCTGAATGCCCACCAAATGCAACGCGCCGCCCGTCTGCAATGCGAACACGGACGGGACGGGGAACCTGAAGTAGACTGATGCGGCTATGACGGGTATTGACGAGCTCCACACCGTTGAGCTTGCATTTCATCTAGGCCCTTGCTAAACCGGATTTCGCAACCTAGCATCGTCAGTTTACACTAATCTATCAGCCGTTGAAACTTTCGGGTCTCGCTTCTCTAGTGGGAATGGTCACAAGCCTTTGTCGTTAGTGCAAGATATGCTGCCAGGAACTCTATAACTACTAGTTCCAACCATCGAACTCGGGGTCATGGGGCCCTGTTAGAGCTGCTACTCCCCCAAGTCTTGATGAAGTTCATATAGTTGCCTCCCATCAACAATTCCCCTCGCTTCGTTTACATCATCATTCTTATGGCCGACCAAAATCTAGTGAACAGAGACGTGACAAGTCCGGACGAAGTCTTTGGACAGTTCGTTCCTCAGACTGGCGTGGAACAGGGGACAAACCAAGATATCATTGATGAACTTGAAGTGGATTCGAACCGCGCTGATAGTGATTCCGGACTTGGATCTGAATTATCAACGTGGGTTGCACTTGATTATAAGCTCGTTAACAACCTTTAATTAATGATGACTCCATAGGACTTCCACTTCTCTGGGCAGCCGAGTTTTACCCTACAGATATCAGAATGGAAGAAGATATCAGGCGTCCAACGATATATATCACCTTCCAAATGATGTTGTAGGTCTTGGAGAACTGGAGGGGGGCGAGGGGGAGGGGGGAAGGGGGGGATGATAAACTATTACTAACATATATGCTAGCAAGAAATGAACCGGCTTGAGCTGCAACATATGATTTTCATCGAGATGTTAGGTCATCGTCTACATCTTGCGCCGATCGATAAAATCAAAATGACCGTAAGCAACTTCCAGAGCACTGGAATGTTTCCCTGTGTCTCTCCTAGAAGCCATTGTTCCAATAAGTTCCCGAGAAATTATATTGACTTCTCTATGTATTGTCAGATCATCTGAGTAGTCAGTGCTAACTGGTGTCTCTATAGCATGCCCTTGATGTGGGCTGTGGAACTGCCAGTACGCGATAGTTACCCTGGAGCCTTATTCTGGTGGGTGTAGGCTGACAACAGCCTCGTCAGACTGGTCTATTGAGTTCGCCGAGTTATACCCACATGTGCAGGTGAGGATTTCCCTCAAAAACTCCTGCTTCGCAGCTCGGGGGAATCTGGCGCCTGGAACATTTCAAATTCAAGTTTCGATTACGCCAGGTCTCCCTTTACTGATGTTCGACTGTACGCAGGTAATTGGAACGGATTTGAGCCCTATCCAGCCCCGATACGCTCCATCGAACTGCACTTTTTATATCGACGATGCAACCAAAGAATGGATGTTCTACGAGAGGTTTGACTGTAAGCCCGCAGATCTACAAAATGAGCTTCTGCACTCTGAGCTAATCCAAAATCGTGAGATATTCACCTTCGCGCCCTTACGATGGGGATAACGGACTGGGACAAGCTAGTTGATCAAGCCTATAAACACTTGCAGCCCGGAGGCTATCTGGAGCTACAGGTCCGTGTCGAGCTTACTCACCTCGAATGGTGAAATTATGGACAGTCACTAACTGCCTTTCAGGAATTCCACATGCCACTCGAGAGTTCGGATGGTTCGCTCAAGCCGGATTCGGCGCTGGCGACATGGGGACGAAATGTTCAAGAGATATGTGGTAGACTCGGCATCAATGTAAAAGCAGCTCTGGAACATCCCGACAGGCTCCGTCAAAGGGGTTTCCAAGCCGTCGAGGAGGCGCATCTCCCTGTCCCCATCGGCCCCTGGGCCAAAGGTCTTCCGCAGAAGCGAATTGGGTGGATGGCCCGAAAAGACCTTTACGAGGGGATTGATGCCATCAGCAGGAGACTGTTACTGATGATGGATGATGGGCAGACCGAGGAGCAAGTCGATGCGCTGCTTGCGCAGTGCAAGGAGGAAATTATGGATCGTTCGGTAAGGCTTCGAGGTCTCCCTAATGTCCGGGCAAGTTGCTAATGCGAACTGTTGTAGATACATTCATATATGACACTGTGAGTCGACCCATTCATCCTCACATTCCTTTCGGAATCACTTTGTACTGACGAGTTTAGTGATGTGACCTGGGGACAGCGGCCTTTTGACGGCTGAACGACCATTTCTTCTTGATTTGACTTACAGGCATCATACTTTGCTAGCAATACACTCCGGGGTAAGTGTATTACACCCACTGAATGGCAGATTTAACCGCAATCCAGCTTAGGATTTGCCAGCTGCACGGCCGCGAGACGACCCAAATTTCAGTGTTGGAAAAATCCAAGTACAGCACCTAGCCTTGGTAGGCGGAAATCCCTTGTCTATATCTACACCACATCTAGACCTCAGAATACAATTGTGTACATACTCAAGGCGCACCTGCTACATTCTTGAAGGTGCCTTGATCATCGTACTTCGCCTCTGCGAACCAGTTAGCCTCTGCACTGAAGCCAACCCATACCCGGGGAAAACAATGCGTAGGTACTTACTGAAAAACGTATAACTCAACGTGACGGTCTCTACCCCCCTCATGTTCATATCGTTCAACAAATCCGGATCCAAATAGAAAAATACAGGCATATCGACCGTCTCGCCGGCATTCAACCGCTGCTCTTCAAAACAGAAACACTGGATCTTGCTGAAATAGGGCGCCGTCTGGGCCGGAGTGACACTGTACGTAGCCACGCCGATGATATCGTGCTCCGAGGTGTTGGTCGCCGTGTAGAAGGCCAGCGCCGTTTCTCCGGGGAGGACCCGCACCTCGCGCTGCTGCGGGGTGAACTTCCAGGGCAGAATGTCGGAGACGGACGCATTGAAGGTGACGCGGATGCGCTTGGCGTCGGTGACGGGGACGAGGCGCGAGGCTGGGTCGAAGTTTGGATCGGAGGAGGCGTCGCCGCCGTGGCCGGGGGCGCGGACCGGTTGGCCGCCCCAGCCGGTGGTTTGGCAGATCTGAGGGGCACATCAGCGTTAGAAAGTTTCAAGCAAGTAGGCAGAGTAAAGGGGCAGAAGATTAGGAAGCGAAGAGAAGAGACGCACCATCTTGTACATCGGCACGGAACCATAGGAAAAGGCGACGGTGCCGAGGATGATGCTGAGCGTGTAAAACCTGCGAAACGAGGCATTGAGCGCTTGGATTTCCGAGACGACATGTCGCCTACGAGACAGAGGAGGAATTCTATGTACATGGTCGTCCGGTTCTTGAACTTGTAGTACTCCCGCAGCTGCTCCATTGCCGGCGCCGCTTGCGCCTTCTTCGGTGGGCTACTCGACACAGCTCTGCGGGACGCCTCGAATTTGGACTGTCGCCCTTGGGCAAGTGCACGGCGGCAAGATGAGCAGGCCCATGATGGGCTCGGCTTGAAGGATTGCCATGGTATTCGCGGGAGGCTGTTCATCGTGAGGTGGAACGCGGATGGTGCAGTTCTCAAAAGTCGCTGCTGAGGTGCAATGATGTCGTCTGTTCGAGCTTTCGAGCTCCGTGGATTTTGGTTTAGCTCCAAGTGCAGGGATTCAATTTGCTGAGCCCCCGAAGATCTGCGGGCTGGCACCCGGGATCTGCTGCCGGCATCCGATGCGCACACCTTATTCAATGAATGTTCTAGGCCCTGCAGTCACGCATACATACGCATGGAGTACAGAAAATATGATGTATCATTGATTATAGTTTTACAGTTGTCAAATTGGTCATTCTCCCAATGGCATCCTCCCACTCAGGCCAACTTCCCATTTTTGTTCGTGGCCATTCTCTTTACCCCGTTGACCTGCCTGGAAATCCTTGGCTTCACATTCTCCCACACCCTCTCCAATACATCTATGATGAACACTTGAATCAACAGGATTACGACACGGGCCAACCAGTCTGCGATGCCTAGCTGAGGCTGTCGTCCTCGGATGTAAGTTGTATCCACGAATTCGAATGGTAAGCGAGCTCCGAGATGAGCCTGTGCCACGTACAAGCCGCTGCTGAACCCATCTTCATGGAACCCGTATTTGGTCCATGCTCCCGCGTAACTGATATTGCGCTTGTTTTGTATCCGTGGCAACGCATTTTGTGCTTGGATGGCGGATGCAGTGTACAGGGGATGTGAGTACGAGTACCTGCCCTGGATCGTCTCTTCCTTGGGCTCATGGAGCGGATTCAGCGTCACCAACACATCTCCAAATGTCCCTCTCGGTATGTGCTGCAATATGTTCATATTGTACGTCAACGACACCTTGTCGACATCCCGACCGGTCCATGGATTGGACTGTGTTATGTAATTCCAGCTCGTCCACGACTTTGTGTTGACTGGCATGTGCGAAAGGTCTGAGTGAAGTATGCAGTTGTTTTCTGACGTCTTGAAGGCCGACATGATGGTCTTCTCATCCTCCGTCGCAGAGGGCTCAATGATTTGATATGCCTGATCGCCGTGCGTTGCGAGGACGACGTGGTCAAACACATCACTCTTGCCGTTTTCGAAATGGAGGCGTACACGGCCATTCTTTTCATTCGTCAGATGCCTCACCGCTGTCTTCAGAAAGAGGTGGTTGGGCGGGAAGCCCTTCATGACTGCATCGATGTAGGATTTGGCACCGCCTTCCAGGGTCAGCCAGTCTGGCCGTTTCGCTATTGTACTCAGAAGGTGGTGATTCCACCTGTCGTAGCGTCAGCATCTACTGACCAGTGCTTGTTGTCCCTGTGCAAACTCACATGAACCGGATCAGCGTCACGGCTGGAAACTCCAAGCTGCATCTGTCCGGACTCGTACTCCATACGGCGGCTGTCATGGGAATAAGGTAATCATTCTTGAAAGCTTCGGAGTAGCCTTCCCGTTCGAGGTATTGTCCAATGGTTTCGGTATCACTTATAGTGCCTCTCCCACCAGGCCGACTATTCTCGTCTTCTTTCAATAGGTCCAAGGCAAATTGATTGAAGCGGATGATATCAAAGATCAACCTCCACATTTTCAATGAGAAAAGGTTCCTTCTCTGGCAGAAGATAGCATCCAAGCTGGTACCAGCCCACTCGAACCTGCCACGGTCCCGCGAGATGCCAAAGGTCATCTCCGTCGGGACAGTAGGCACTTTGACCTGTTTCAAAAAGTTCATGAAATTAGCTGCAACCTGTCAGCTTCCACGTGTATGAACTTGCGGTGAGCACTATTGACTGACGGTAGGTTGCCTCGTTCAGGACGATGAAGCCCGTATCAACTAAGGTTCGGTACTTCCCCCGCTTCCACTCCACCGTATTCGTGTGGCCTCCGAGCCGGTCGGCAGCCTCATACAGGTAGACATCATGATGGGTGCGGTTGAGAGCCCACAATGCCCCGATACCAGCGCTTCCACTGCCCACGATGGCCACTTTTTTCCTACCGACCCAGTTAACTGATGATGTCATTGATTCTGGTGACAACGACGAGGAGGAGGATCGTAAATATAAGAATGGCGGAGGATACAGGAACTTTAGGTTTAAGTACAAGTCAACGAACACTGTGACAATAAATAAATCGACGATATCTAGCTTTCTGGCACACGGGGGTGCCGTGGAGGCTGAGCCACCAATGGGTCATATGCTAGTTGCTGCGAGTCTCGGATTGGTGGAGTGGTGCGTAAGTGCCCGCTCTCAAACAACTCAGCGACTCCGCTGCCAGCTCTTCATCTTGCCTTAAATAGCATGCATGCGTAGATGCGAGATACGTTCCCACTTACAAATGTTGGCCGTCGGACATTTTCGTTGCAGATGACTGGTTGTTGCGGCAGGGAGATGCTGGGGTAAGGACTCAATTGTGAATAGGTTCTGAGGTGGACTGAAGGTGAGGTTGACTCAAGGGTCTAGCCGAGCGTTGAGAGCGCCAGCCAACTACCCGCCACATCCGGTCGTTATGAAACCCATTTCGGTGGCCGGGTCCGATCCCTAACCCGTCTTCCCCAGAGTTAAACGTGTGTGACAGGATTTCCAAGAAACATTATGGAGCATGTGTAGTTCAACATTGGATGGCAGCACTAGCAAGTCATTTGCCGAAGTATGATACAGTCCTTTACCTTGGGTTGAGGTGCGAAAAACCAATACCATATTACCGTTTCAGGGAATGTAATCCCAATCTTGTGCCAACGCGTTACTTCAGCTGACAAGAGCCACAAAGGACCAGAATACAGGGAATGTACTTGACCTGTGCAGAGCCGTTATACTACGAGGAGTCACGGAAACGGCCGTCTCTGCCCTATCGCGTGCAACAATCAAACGGGTATCAAGCAATCTTCAGAACACGACGCTGAATGCGGGACGGTCTCGTATATGCCAGTAGTCCAACCTTCATGTGCCACCGCCTAGAAGCACTGCACTTGGCAGGTCCTAAGTGGGGGGAGACCACGAGGTTACTGATAAAATTCACGAAATGCTTCTAATGATATGTAAATGTTGGCGCTCAACGGGACCGAATACTCAGGGACAACAAAGCTGCCTAATATCCAATTCTTAGAAGCTCCTTATTCGTCTACCCGGATTATACAACTCCATGTCCTTGTAGGAAATGACGACGTAGAGCCTATTAATTCTGCACCGGGTGGTTCAACTTTCATAATGAAGAAAAGCAGAAAAAAGGCGGAGGACAAGCCCACTAGAATTTTTTGAAGTAAGCCGGGATTCAGACGCTCGGACCATACAATGACGGTTGTGGCTGGTACTCATAGCACTCGAGGCGTTCTTTCTTGTTTCCTGTTGGTGGGTCCACTTGCAATTCCAGAGAGAGTGCTGGACCAGGATACCCAGGAGTAGAATGACGATATGGCCGAGCGTCTCTAATCACCTGTGCAACAACATATCGTCTCTCCTGAATCCAGACTGACATAACTGTCATGAAGTCTCTTCATTTGTTCAGCAAACACCACCATAGAATAATTTGAAAGCACCTGTACCGCTCATTCCGTTCTGTCCATCGCCGGCTGCATGCAGCTCGAGATCGTCTCGTGCTTAGCTGCAGAGTTCAGCCACAATCGCTGGTCTATGCCGTGTTGCGTTGCCCGTGCCAAGATACTTACAACACTTGCGGCTCCATCCATCCATTAGCCATACGTATTCTCGACAGCACGCAGAGAAATAGCCCATTGACACCGACACCTCTACTTCATCATATCTCGTCAACATGGCCAACCCTCTCGACACCGACGCAGGCTCGGAGCTCTTCAGCTCCTACGAAGCCGAGTTCAAGCTCGTGCAAGCCGACCTGACACAGAAGATGGACCAAATCCCCGAACTGTCCGGCGAGCCGCGTAAAGCAGCTATCAACCAAGCCGAGCGCGCCCTCGAGGAAGCCGACGAGCTGTTGGGCCAGCTGCGTCTTGAGAAGCAAAACATTCCGTCGGCAGCCCGCCCCAAGATCAACCAGCGCTTCCGCAACTTCGAGACGGACGTTGACGGGTACAAGCGCAAGCTGCGGAACCTGGCCGACGACCGCGCCGCCCTCTTCGGCAGCCGCTACACGGACAACCCATCGGATGCACAGCTTGAGCAGCGACAACAACTGCTGGCGGGTACGGATAGGCTGGACCGTAGCACGCAGCGGCTGCGCAACTCGCAGGCGTTGGCTAACGATACCGAGGCGATTGGGGCAAGCACGCTGGCCGACTTGCACCAGCAGCGCGAGCGCATCAACCATATTGGGATGACATTTGATGAAAGCGAGGGCTACGTTGATAGGAGTGTAAAGACGCTACGGGGGATGGCGCGTAGGTAATGACGCCTTATACGTCTTGGTTGATAAGGGCTGGTTTGGCTAACGTTGATATCTAGGATGGCTACGAATCGGGTAATCACGATTGCCATTATCACTGTCTTGGTTCTTCTCATTTTCGCCGTCATTTACAGCAAGTTCAAATAGACTGGTCCTCCTCTGGCTGGGACCAGTGAGTGGAGTTTAGGCGTCGGACCTCCCAGCTTTGGAGTGGACTATCGTTACGTTTTTGTTTTTGGTCAATGTCTGATACTGAGGAATGGAATGGGTTGATGCAGCAGCTTGTGTACAGGTACAGCCACCGAACGGCAATATGACATTAAATTCAGAGGGATCACTCCTTGCGCTACTCTTAGCCGTGATTGGCCGCTTCCTATTGCTGTATAGATGCTGCACTTCCTATTATTATATGCTGCGTGGATATCCCATGTCCGCCACCAGCAGATTTCCCAATTTATGAGTTCTTGGGGGGAACAATGCCTACCCTAGTATCCGTCCTGTCGTATCCTCTACGGGTTAGCCACCTATGGAGCGATGTGGCTACTTTGCTTCGATATTACCGATGGAACCACATACGCCCCTTTTCAACCTGATCGGGTAGTATGAAGGTGAACACAGGCCGCAACTTGGGCATGTCGGCCAGCCACTGCCTCTCCATGTCACTGGCCTTGCCCCACCGACCTTTGTGGTCTATAGGCGGCATGAGATCAAACGGAATGCCGTGCTGGTAGCGATAGCTTGTTTTCGGCACGGTCACCACTTCGCCGTCTGGCGTCACAGTTTGCACTGTCTGGGGGAAAGAAGCCGAGTTCATAGTCCGCTTTGCTCCCAGCCAGGCGTCCATGAAACATGACTTGAAATCTGGCCAATACAGAGAGCATCGACTTGCTTCGAACTCAAGCTGCTCGCGGAAAGCTGTGATCTCGGTGGGACAGAAATTCCGGCTTTGCAAACGTCCGAGGAGCTTCAACATGCCCACAACTGCGGCTTCGTCCAGCAGGTCGACAACTCTCACACCATCGTTCCCGAATATGTCCTGGGTTGCCTGAGGGTCCCACGTGCTGTTGACGATAACCGGGCTAGCCGAGAGAATTATTGTATTGAGGCCTTGATAATCAGACCCCGTGGAGGAGAGGGGCATGATCTGCTCCAACAAGCTCCACGGGCTGTGAAGGGGCAGGCTGTCTACGAGAAACTCCTTTGCATTGGCGAAGATGCACCGGTAACTAATCGGCTGCCGGATGGTCGACAGCGGAAAGGACAATATATTGCGCTCAGGAGTGAACCAGGTCATGTGCGAGCCAAGATGGAACACTCTGCCAATGCTCTTTGCTGCGGCCCTTGCTTCGCGACAGGCATTCACGATGCTGGGTGGCAGGAGAATGTCTGCCAACCCTCCATACTTCTGAGGCAGCAAAACCCGCCTGGGGACGGCAAGTATCCATATCTTCTTCCGAATATTCTCATCTCCACATCCAGAAAAATCTGCCCGTTACCCAACGGGCTGAGCAGAGCGTCAATGCCGATGTCGAAGTCGTCCATTGGTTCAGTGTTTTGTGATGTGCTCATCTGGATGACACAAGTGGTTATTTTTAACAAGGTAATATGAAGTTACTCACCAGCTCCTGCCGTTGGAATATCTAAATTTCAAAATTCATTGTTGCCCTGGGGCCTCCTTTCTTTAGGGATAAAATTGTTACAAGGATAAAACGCAGTTCTGTTTCAACGTTGGCGCCTTGCCCGAGGGAATACCATGGCGGAAGCTACACCCAAGCAACTGAGAGCCAGTGAAAACAAGACGGTACGGGAAGTGCCCAATTGTACCACGCCCTGCAGAGATCTGAAAAGTCATGGCATCACTTTCACTGGATGATTATTTTAATGTGTGAATGTACAAGTTTAGATAACACCTGAGCCTTTCACTTCGAGGGTATCCAAGTCTCAACAGCACTTTGCTTCCCATAGATCTATCACATTATTGTTTTCACTACTTGAATCGACGCCTGTTCCGAGGGATGCGTAACGTTAGTTGCAGTATATCCACTGTAAATTGGCTGAACAAGTTATAGAGCGTATATAAATAAATAAACGAGCATATAACCTGAGGGATTCAACCCTCAGATGATGACTCTGTACAGATACTGTATTGGTTACGATGCTCGATGCGCAGTGTGATGTGTGTATTGGCTGCTCGGAGTGCTATGTAAGAAGTTACATCTCAGGTAGATAGGCAGGTGCCGACATTTTTATCTACACAAGCGATTTCACTGCCTTAGGCACCACCTCAGGCACCACCTCAGGCACACATATGGCGCTCAATCCCACATAACCTAATGATTTAGATGACGACAAGCACTGGCACAGGTGACATCAGACGACAAAACATTCCAGTGCTTTATCAGGCGAGGCAAGTTGGATTGGACCGACAAAAGCTCGAGCAAGAACCGCTCAAAACGTTTTATGACTTCATTGTCAGATGCAGTGTGTTTAAGCAACTTTATAGTTGTGATTGGGACATTACTCTAGCTTGAGGTGGCTGCGCCTTATTGTTGAGATACTCAAAGTGCCTCTCAGGGTGGTGTTCCTGTGCCTAGCTGTTCTCGAGGGTCCCTACCTGGATAATGCGTGAGCTCCTGCAGGGCCGCCGGCATAAAATCGTGGGCACAACGTGAGCGTAGGAATACGCGCCACCAAATTTGTGGTATTGGTACGAGGCCTGTCATGAATGCAGTACTGATTGCAGTGGTAATACAGAAATAAACAAGAACCAAAAGCTATTGTCCAATGTATGAAATACTAAGCAGTAGCTGGACAACAGTCAACCGTAATTGGCTGGTTTGTAGCAGGGGCCCCTCGAAACCAGACTATACTGTGGTGGGGTACCATGATAAGATAAGCCAAAAATTTGAATTTCCATCATTCAAGTGCAACCAACCTTCGAAGTGTGCGACAGATGTCCAGCTACCTAAATATACCAGACTTCATATTGGTGGCTTCAAGATGGCGACATTAGAAGAGAAGCTGGATAAGATCCGGTCGCCAAATCTTCAAAGCCAAAAGCAGGTGCGTGAACAACGAAAAGTCGACGCGCAACTGTTGCACTAACGGCACCTGCAGACTGTCGTGATTTTGAAGGCGGTGGACGAGACGCTCAAGGAACAGAACACATCAGCGACGTCAACCGGATATTTCGCAGCACTGCTCGCCCTTCTGAATCAGTCGATTTCCAACGGCGAGATCAACAAGGAACTGACCCCATCTGTGGTTTACCTGCTCGATGTCGTGACACCTTTCGCCCCGCAACCGCTCCTCCGATCGAAGTTTACCCAGATCCTCACCCTTCTCGCTCCACTACTGCTCCTGTCTGATGCGGAAGCTGCTCTCTTGAAGCCTGCGATTGGATGTCTCGAGTCGTTGCTGCTTGCGCAAGACTCGGCGTCATGGAAGCTCCCAACAAACGAGATTAGTCCCAGGAGGGCGGTGGCAGGGCTGCTGAACATTGCTATCGATCCCCGACCCAAGGTACGGAAGCGAGCGCAAGATGCATTGAAGACTGTGCTCAAGAACCCGCCTCCCAGTCCATCGCTGGATCATCCTGCTGCCGATCTTTGCGCCGAAAGTGCCATGTTGAGGTTGTCAGAGTTGGCCAGCAAAGCTGCACAGTCTAAGAAGAAGAAGTCGGCCGAGCCAGATCACGATCCCACTCTGATACATGCTCTTCAGCTTATCAAGACCATCGCATCCGCTAGCGGTGGCTGGCCCAGCCGCAACATTGAGGCGCTGTGCGAGCTGCTGCTCGGTATCGCTAAGAGTGGCAATGAACACATGACGATGGCCGTGTTTGACATTTTTGAAATGATCTTCGAAGGCATGGCTGATGAGGTATCCTCCGCCAAGCTCCCTCGACTGTTGGAGATCATCGCCGAGATGCGCCCTTCATCCAACGATACCCAACTCCTACCACCATGGATCGCCATTCTTTCCAGGGGTTATGATGTGTCTGCTCAAATGGAACCCGAGGATACTTTCCAGAAGCTCCCTGAGCTGTTTACCATGGTATCCGACTTCATGGATTCGTCTTCCCACAACATTCGCGTGTCTGCATCCGAGTGTCTTATCTCTTTTGCCGCAAATTGTATACCAAACCAGGTCATCCTGGAGCCGTCAATCTACGACGAGAAGATCCTAGAGAAGCTTGCCAGGGTAACAGAAAACCTGTTTAGTGTGAAATATCAAGCCGCGTGGATGGAGACTTTCAATGTGCTCGGTGCGCTTTTCGACTCCCTCCGGTGGCGGGCCAATCCGGTACTCCTCAATGTCACGAAAACGGTGGGTGAACTTCGAGGCAATGATTCCTTCATGGGAAAGAAGCAAGCAGACGAGGTTCTTGGGAAAGCGATCAGGGCCATGGGCCCCGAGGCTGTCTTGGATGTGCTCCCCTTGAACCTGTTGAAACCAGTCAAGGGCCAGCCCGGTCGAGCTTGGATGCTACCAATCCTGCGAGACTATACAAGCAACACAAACCTTCGGCATTTCAGGGCCGAATTTATTCCCCTTAGCGAGGCCATGTATCAGAAGGTACTCGAACATGGCGACGCTCCTAAGACCATGGAGATCAAAATTTACGAAACGTTGGTGCATCAAACGTGGTCCATCCTTCCAGGCTACTGCGATCTTCCCCTGGATTTGACCGTGGCTTTCGACCAGACTTTTGCAGAAATGCTGGCAAACATCCTGTACAAGCAAGTTGAACTGAGAATGGACGTGTGTAAAGCACTAAGGACCCTTGTTGAATCCAATCAAGCCATTGCGACGATAGATGACAAAGAAGACCTTGTTCTGCAAAGCCGAGTTTCCCAGACCGACGCGCAGAAGAATTTAGCCTTCTTGGGCGGATTCGCCGGGAATCTGCTGGCTGTTCTGTTTAATGTTTACAGTCAGACTCTGCCTCAATCCAGGGGCCCCATACTGCAGACCGTCAACGCCTACTTGAGTGTTACACCCGAAAACGAGCTTACCGAGACGTTTGACCGCGTGAGCGCGATGTTAGCGACGTCGCTTAGCGAGGCCAACAACTCCCAGGACAAGAACAAGTCACAAAAGTCGGCTGACCAGATGCCGGCAACAAGTCACACCCTCATGGACCTCGTCATTACCATGTCCGCTTACCTGCCGCGACAAAGTTTCGGGCCTCTCTTTAACATCGCGGCCCTTATCATTGCAAAGGATGATGATCCTCAATTACAAAAGAAAGCCTACAAGCTCATTCCACGTCTGGCAGGGTCTGACATAGGGAAAGCGGCACTGCAGGAGCGTTTCGATGACCTACAGACTCTTCTACTTTCCAACTCGGACAAGGTCTCGGTACCGGCGAGAAGGGAAAGGTTGACTGCCATCACCGCTATGATCCCCTTTATTCCAGACGATTCACTGCACTTCATTCCATCCGTGCTCTCCGAGGTGGTGATCTGCTGCAAAGAGAATAACGAGCGGGCTAGAACCACAGCTTTCGATCTCCTCGTTATGATGGGTCAAAAGCTGGAGGAATCCAAAGGTAAGTCGATCCAAAACAGCAAGGTCCCGCACATGCCCAATGATGCACCGTCGGTACCCGCAAGCATCGAGGAGTACATCACTATGGTCAGCGCAGGTCTTGCCGGTAGTACGCCTCACATGATATCTGCCTCTATCACCGCCATAACCCGTCTGCTCTACGAGTTCCGTCAGTCTCTCCAGCCGGAGGTACTTAGTGACATGGTCCAGACCATGGATCTCTTCCTGACGTCAAACAACCGCGAAGTTGTCAAGAGTGTACTCGGCTTCGTTAAGGTCTGCGTGATCAGTTTGCCAGCAGAGATGATGCTTCCGCGACTGCAAACCATGATCCCGAACCTGATGGTGTGGTCTCATGAGCATAAGGGTCATTTTAAGGCGAAGGTCAAGCATATCGTTGAAAGGATGGCTCGTCGTTTTGGGTTTGACCTTATCAACAAGAACTGTCCTGAAGCAGACCGAAAGTTGATTGCCAACATTCGTAAGACCAAGGAGCGTAGCAAGAGAAAGAAGGATGCTTCCAAAACTGGAGGAGACGAGGACGAAGAGGACGAGACCAATGGCAAGCGCCGCAGCCGATTTGAGAGCGAGTACGACGAGGCACTTTATTCCAGTGAAGATTCGGATGGTGAGGATGAGTCAGACGACGAAATGCTTGGCAAATCCAAGAGGGCCCAGAAAGGAGGCAATACATACATCATGGAAGATGACGATGAGCCTCTTGATCTCTTGGACCGCAAGGCCCTTGCCAGCATATCCTCGACGAAGCCTGTGAAACTACGAAAGGCAGGCAAGACGAAGGCCAAGACGGATATGGATGGAAAGTTGATCTTGGGCGACGAGGGTCAGGAGGATGAAATGATCATCGACACGCCGCAAGAAGGCGGCGAAAGTGGCGTCAACGCATACGTCGCCGCTTTGAGGGGCAATGATGTCGGACGCCGTGGACAGCGTGGACGCCTAAAGTTCTCCAACAAGCGTGGAGGAAACGATGACGACGATGAGATGGACGTTGACAAGAAGGACGCGGTTGCCATCAAGTCCCAGGTCAGCAGGGGAAGGGGCAACTCTACGTCTCGAGGACCACGGGGGGGAGGTCGTGGCTTCGGCGGAGACCGTGGGCGTGGTGGTGATCGTGGCCGGGGAGGTGGTGGCCGTGGCGGCTTTGGCGACCGTGGTCGTGGTGGACGCAGCGGCCGGGGAGGCATCTCTAGCGGTCGGAGAGGGCTGGGAGAGGACAAGAGACATGGCGGCGGAGTTGGAAAGCCCACCTTTAGCCGGGGTGGACGCAGATGAGGAAGCCTGTTACCGTGTTGATACCCACACGAGTTTTTCCTTCTTGCCTAGATATATCATATCTGGCCGCGGATGTAGATATGGCCAAGTCCGCTGCCACGGCTCCCTCACACGGCGTTCGGACGGGAATAAAAGGTTCATTGCTTTTTACTACTATTTAGTTCCTGCCACTCTGTCTAATCGGGTAACCTAAAACGAGCACCAATAAGTTTCCTACTTGTACTCATAATTTGAGAATAGACATGTTCTTTTTTTTTTCTCGAGTGCAAGTATCCTCTTCTATGATCTCAAGCAGGCTAACTGCCCGAGCTAGTTGGTTACTTGTATGGGCTATATCAAAATGCTCTAGCCCTGCTTGGGTATGAACTGCGAGTTGGCCATTGGCCACATGTGCATAGTCTCTGAGGTCTGTCTCCCGCCATCGTTTCTTTCGACATCCCTCGGCAGAAACCCACCCCCCCAAACAAAACAAAACCACAACCCACATAAACGCCAATCATATCACTTCCTGAAACGCATGGTTCCGCGTGCCTATGAAAAGTCCTCACCAGCCTCCTCAATGCTCTCCTTGACTCGTACAAGAATGGTAGTCTTCCACTTATCAAGTTTGCTCATCCTATCGAACTGGAACAGCTTGTCGGTAAAAGCATCCTGGTCGCCGCCCTCAACAGCAGCAGCCAGGTCGACAAGGAGCTGGTGCTCACGGTTGGAAGGGAAAGTGGGGTCCATGTCGCGGTACTTCTCGAGGGCACGATTGGTGGCAACCATATCTCCCGTGGCAAGGTGGCAAATGCCAGCCTTGAGGAAGTAATCCTTGACGCTGTAGCGCATGAGGTTGTTGTTGATGCTGGCGGCGGCGACGCGCTCGTAATGCTCGATGGACTTGTAGTAGTCGCCGGCCAGGGCCGCGATGTCGGCAACCTTAAGCCAGAGCTTGTTGGCCAGGGCGGCGGCGTTGTCGCTCTCGTACCACCCCGCCGCTTTTTCAAAGCACTCGAGCGCCCGCGCGTTGTCCTGCACTTGTGTCTCGAATACCTCGCCCATGTTCTCCATGTGTTGGGCTGCGCGGCGGAAGTTGCCCTTCTTGCAGTACTGCGAGATGGCCACGTCGAGGCAGCGCACCGCGTCGTCCGGTGAGTCCGTCTTGTACACTTTGAAGGCGTCTACCATGACGTTGGCTGCGTCGTCGGGTTCATTAAGTTTGGAGGTTTGTATCGACGCTGCCTTTTCGAAGGCCTTGCCTGCTTCTACGTCTGCGGGTGGAGGTCTGCGTTAGCAGCTGTTTTGTTGTTGGTCCCATGGCGACCTGGTCTGTCGCAAACGACGTACTCATCTTCTGCATCCTAAAGGCATTCGCCGCCTCGATGTATAAGTCGACCGCATCCATGTACTTCTGTTCCTTGCCTCCGAAGAGACTGAAGCCGCTTGCGGCTCCAGAATAGGCCTTGTCTGCCTATCTTGGGTATCAGCAACTGGTTGCACCGAAACATGTAGGTATAAATCAGGTGGGGTTGGCGGGGCTGACCTTTTGCAGGAGAGCGCGAGGATCTCCAGACATTTTGGGAGGGTTGTGTAGGTGTGTCTAGTCTGTTGTGGAATTTGACGGACGGTCTTGTACAGGATAGTTTGGTCTCGGTTGTCGTCTGGTTTGGAGGGCTCGTTGAATAGCGCTAGTGAGCTGCGTTGACAGGAATGAGGTTGCGAAGGCTGTTGCATGTCGGAGACGTGGACTTGAGCCGGGATTTAAAACCCCAAGCTATGACGCTACCCCTCTGCGCCTCGCTTCAGCTCCAGCGCGTTTCTTTTTTGAGGGAAGAGTATCACGAGGTATCGGGACTCTAATCCGCGCCTAGACTGCGCGAAGGTAGAGGTCACTCTACGCGAGAGTACTTCGTCCAAAGTCTGCTGAATGCAATCATCCTCTTGAGGTTGAAGTCAATTCATATTTTACTCATTAACTACCATCTGGCGGATGTAAATAGGTCACTGGAGCATCCCGGCTGTCCACTTGTCTCTGTGGTAATCTGACCGCCCAAATAGTCAGTTCCAGCTCGACACAAAGCCTCCAACTGTAATACGCTCTAGAACGTGAGATCCATCATGAACTCAACAATCTGCACACGCTGCCGCATGGCACTTCGGGGCAGCAAGCTATCCGCACCCAGCTTTCGATTCCCTCCATCCCCGACCCTAGTCGCACGACGCGCCAAATCAGATGCCTCCTGGTTCCCGGACCCTAACGAAACCCCAATAGAACCCCCATTACCACCTGCAGAGCACCACCTCGACGCAGCGGCCCTCCTCTCCAAGCCAACCTGGTCTGTCCGCTCCCTCCTACCCCCCTCGGCGAACGATACCAGCACACGTACCACAACCTCGACGGAGAACTCGACGGAGACAGAACCGGAACCCATCACCTCCAAAACCCTCCGCCACCTCCTCCGCCTCTCCGCTCTGCCCGCACCTTCCTCCCCTGAGGAAGAGGCGTCCATGCTCAGCACCCTCAGGTCACAATTACACTTCGTGCGCGCCATCCAGAGCGTTGACACCACGGGAGTAGAACCCCTGCGCGCCATACGCGACGAGACGGCTGAGGGGAGGCGCGAGCAGACTATTGGACTGGATACTCTGAAAGATGCGCTGGCCAGTGAGGATGTAGTGGGACATGCGCGCCGACCGCGGCGGAGAAGGGGAGGGAAGGTTGATGCGGCCGAAGTAGAGGGATGGGATGTGCTAGGTGGCGCGGAAATGACCGCTGGACGGTACTTTGTTGTGAGGAGTGGGAGTGAGAAGTCACCTTGAGCCTCGGACACCCAACAGCGTCATACATTTGTTGAGTTGGAAGTACCGCCCACAGCTGACATAGAGGCTCAGGAGACCATCAGCCGATACCCGTCTGAGAAGCTCGGAAAGTAAGATACATCAACTCTCATTATGTCAAGGCTAGCAATATGTGAGTGCGCGTGCCTCTAGTTGCTTGCTGATATCTATCTATGCATGTGCTCGCCCTGTTTGGCTGATGAACCCATGCTGCTGAATAGGCCATCCTCCTCAGATATCCGCGAGACGCCTAGCAATGCAATATGTCTATGTCTGGGCCATGCAATATGCTCAATTGTGTCTTGTTCACACAAAGCCTCCGCACCGTTGCCTGCCATTCCATGGTACAAGATGCAACTCCTCCAGTCCAACCATTGCCTTCAAGCTCGGTTTCGGCGCTTAGCAGAACGGCCCTACTTATTCTGCTTGCCACCTCCTCCGGCTTTCTTCTTACCATCGTTGGGTTTCTCCTGGTCTTTCTCCGCTTTCGTCTTCCGGGCTCCCTTGTTGAGATCCATCCTGGCCAGCGCCTCGCGAGCTTCTCGCTCCGTTCGAGATTGGTCGAGTCGCTTCTCTTCCTCTTCGAGCATAGCAAGAGACTGCTGTTCCTGCACAATCTGGTTTCTGTTCAGATCTTCCCAGCCCAGGCTTTTCAGGATGCTACCAACATGGTATTGATATTGCAGATGGCCAGTCACGGTGTCGCTGACATTCAGGTTCTCAACCCCGTGGATGCCCGAGACACTGGACAGTCCGGCCACGCCGTAAAGATAGCAGCTGCTGCGCGACAGAAAGCCGAGCAGGTAATCGTTCTTGGAGTATACGTTGACGAGACGGCCTGTTACGACGCTCTTCATTGCTGCCCAGCTGCGCAAGTCCGTAGGGCAAGGAGCTCCCATCAGGACGACGTTCTCCACCACGCCGAAAATCCGCTTCTCCGCCAGTGACATGAGGCATGAATAGATGATGCGGGCACCGAGACTGAACCCGATCAAAGTGATGCCTCTCTCGCCTTGAATCTTGTTGACGATGGCATCGGCAATGGTCAAACCAGCCTTGTCTGCGCGGACCATACCGACACTCCAGGGGTTGTCGATGACTTTGCTGAACTGCAGCAGGTCAATTGGCCAATAATTCTGCTCTAGACACTGGAACACTAGCATGTGCGTTAGAGTCGTCAATGAACAAGCAATGCACGGTAGCGTATGACTTACCAGTACGACCGACAATCTCCTTCTTGGCAGCAGTCCATGCTGCACTCCTGAAGACGGTGCTGAGAGCGTGGGACATCTTCATCAGAGCATCGATTTCCCATCTCAGTGCATACGCCTCACTCTGGTCTTTTAGAGATAACCAAGGCTTGACAATGTCCTCCGGCTTTGCGAGCCAACCGGCGATGCACAGAACGAAGCGCAGTCGGCGATCCTCTGCAGGTACATCCTTCGAATCGGTATAGTCCTTGTCAAGGGATCCGTGGAGAGGAGGAAGACCAAAGTCTTGGACATCCTTGGCGTAAGAGTCTGCCATCTTGCCCGTTGCTCGAGCGCCATACAGTCCGAACAACGTACCAACAACGACGGTGCTCTCTGCCATCGTTCCAAGCAGTCCGGCTGCGGCAGCTGCCCCAAACCCAAGACCACCGAACACGGTTCCAATCCCAAGAGAAGCCAAGGGCGCAGCAAGTCCGCCATTGACACCGAAGGTAGTGATGTTTGTGGTGCTGGCCGGAGGAACCTTGTAGCGACGTGCTAGCTTGCCCTCCTCGGCTCGTCTCGCTGCAATCTCCTCGGCTGAAATGCCCTTGATCACTTGTGCTAGGCCATTGGCAACTCTTAGCTCATCTGCAGCCAGGACGTGCATTGGAATATGCATCGAAGAGGCCAGATTGAGAAGGAGGATCCGGGAATAGGTCGAGTAATTCTCCAATCCAAGTAGCATGAGCAGCACAGAATGCAGGATTAGGGCACGCTTCTCCTTTGGCAGACCTACAAGGGGTGTGGGAGACGGAGGATACAATCTGATGAGAGCCGCGTTGGATTCATCAACAGGTACACTCGGTCCTAATCAAGTCAGCAAACACGATCATGTGGAAGTTCGAGTTCGTGGCATCGACGACTCCACAGCCGTAGGCTGGAGGTGCAGTGGGTGAGGTAACGTACGAGTGGAGAGGAGAGGGGTCTTCGTGTCAGGAAGGGTAGAGGTGGGTGAAGGGGTATCCAAAAAGAGAAATGCGAGATCAAAATAGACGTATACTTGCGGTAGCCGTGGAGGAAGAACTCACCACCACTTGGCCTCGTAGGTCTTCCTCTTACGGCACCGGTGCGTCTGCTACTACCTCCTTGCTGTTGGTGCGGTCCTTGGTTCGTAACATTGCCGCCGTTGCCGCCGTTCTTGATGGTAATATCTCCGAACCTGCGCAACACAGTGCCACGCCACTTGCCGAAGTTCGTCAACGCGTCTCTCTTCAACTCGTTGAGACTCGAGGTTAGGATCTCGCTCTCATCCTTCTTGAGAAGGTTGGTGGCCTCCTCGATGGATTTGGGGATCTTCAAAAACCCGTTCGCAGATGCTGCGGTCAAAACCGCAGGCACCGGGGTGGGCTCGATAAGTGGTTTCGCGATTTCCTTCTGGCTCTCGCAATCATCTTCCTTCTCGCTCTCCAAGGGCTTCATTCCAAAAAGATGGGCATATTTGGCGCTGCGAGGGTTGGGAATGAGGTTCCAGGTAGGCTTTGGAGGCTTGATGTTGTCGTCAGACTCGTCCCGACCGTTGCCCATGTTGTCGAAGATGTCGCGGACATTCTTCTGCATGGATTCCAGGATGACATTGATGAGTTGATGCAGCTGATTCTTCTGTTCAACATTCATCAGTGCACTCAGATCAAGGTCACCGCGCTTGGGCGGCGGGCGATGGTCGCGTCGTCCCATCGTGACGCTTCCTTCATCTGACGATGTGTCGGGTGGTGAAGTTGAGAGATCCATCGTGACTAGAATTATGGTTAGCAAATAACTTACTTAGGTAGGTAGGTACGGATTGCGATAGCCCAATTCCCGATTCGGAAGCAGCGAATGTGAATCTGCATAGAGCTAGGAAGTCGCGATTGTTCTTACCGTTCGACGTTTGGCGGTGTCAAGGAAGGTGCTCAGGTGCAATACGCTGCAATGCCGTCGATTCAGTCCACAACGTGACGTTTCCGCGTAATGTATGTTGGCGATGTCAAGGAAGGTGCAATAAACTATGATACTGTCGATTTTGCCCACCGTCACTCGTAGACGTTTCTCGGCGATGTACGAAGTAAGGGAAGCTTGATTAGTTCTGCAAAAGGTGGGGGTTGCAAGAAAGTATGGCATAGGTAGCAACTGGTGGTGCTCCCAGTGATTTTGTGTGACCAATTATTGGTGTGTTGCGATCGAGGTGAGGTCACAGGTGAAGCACATCAGGGTTGGATTGCCAAAGCGCGCTGAGGTTGACTTGCCCAAGTGTCCGCGGTCCCAAAGGCATTGGCGATATTGGAATTATTTATTAGGACGAGGTGGATGGTATTGGTCCAATCGTGTTTCTGTTTGTTAGTGAGTACGGGAAGGCAACAGGGCCTTGCATGACAAACAAAATGCTTGATCAGAGAACTCGTCGCCCATACAATCAATCGACTCACTGACACGCCTTTGTCATGCATAGATCGAACAGTACACGATGCTTTGTACAGAACCCCTTATTCTTCAACATAGAGATGTAATATTCTTGTCAGTTACACATATATTTTCATATTGACTTCATTTGGCCGTGCGGTCCACTTGCATACAAAGCAACCAAGTACCAAAGCGCCCCTGTTATTTAGTAGTCACGCCCAGTTTGCTCCATTAGAGCATCATTATATTAATGGTTTGGGATAATATCTGTTCATTCTGGGACACTTCTAAGCACATACTATAGAATATACCCAATCCAGCGGCACTTGAACGGCAACTGTTAGATGGTATGGGCACAAAATCCCCTTACAGGACTTGGACAACGGTAGATGGTATCAACGATCACGCCAGAATATCTGCCACATCGCCAATTGGATTGTAGGAATCACTCACCATAATGCATGCTTATGGATTTCATAGTGAAGTCCCTGATATACGATCGAAATGCCTTATCCAGATAAGACCTCATTCTGCATGATCCATAATGACCTGTACAGTTATCTAGCCATCAATTCTTTTAATGATAAAGATATAGTGCCCAAGCACAGGAGGCGATGGGAGTGGCCTCCTTCCACGCAATGAAGCCAATGCTTCGTAGTCAGTCCACTACGTAAGTAACCTCTACTTAGTTAAAATTTAGCCACCCACAAGCTCTCCATACCTACAGGCTCTAGACAGCATCAAATCAGTTTTACTTATTCAGTAACTGTTATATTGAATAACTATCGCGCAATTATTTGAATGTACTATATTTGCCTGTTGATGGCCGGACTTGTCTTTTATAGTCATCTAGACTAATATTTCGGGTAGATTATAGCTGTATATGCATTGATTAGGAGACGTAGATAGTTTCTATGCAGGCGTAGCTCAATGGTTATAGAGACTTCTATCATATACAAGTCTGCCCTAGCCGAGTATAGCCTTGATGATAATTACTACTTCTTTTCATCAACCCTCAGGGGCTCAAGGCTATTCAATCTCATCAAGTGAACAAGGCAGAATCCAATACCATGGTGGGTGCACTCAGCGGTCTATATTATCAAGTTATAAGAAGACTCGGGATAATATTCCGTCGATGGCAATCATTCAAGTAGGACCCAAGAAGTACGACAATGGCATTTATCTCCGAAAATCAAGGGCTAAAAGTACTTAAGTAGTCACAGACAAGTGATCAAGGTGGACTAGTAGATAGGGGACTCATGTGTGGGCCCCTGGTTCCTTCACCGTGTAAGAGATGTATGCGGACATCTCCGCTCCTATTTTCTCTGGAAGGACGAAGTTCTGACATTAAAATCGCCAATTATAGTGTTGCTATTGATTTCATCATGATGCCGCTATACTTCTATGCAGGCGTTCTATGTCCTGATTACGGATCTGAAGCCTACAACTGACACGATTCCTGCCTGTGAGGAAATAACGATGTAGAGACTGACGGCTGGACTGTTGTTTCTAGTGCAATGATCACTGTGAATCCTTGAAGAGCGCTTGCACACATACTCAAGCGATGTCCGTGAAAAGAATTGCGCAACAAACGTTCGGAATATGTACAGACACTAGGCAGGGCCTACTTTTTATGGAGCATTACAGTGAGGAAAGTATGTGTCAGTACTCAAGACAGCCTTTGCGTCCGGAAGTCCCCCGCTTCTCATAATTCCGCATGTCATATGTGGTATTGCAAGCTGTTGGTGTTTTTGCGGTGGGTTAGAAGCTTCAAAGAGCTCCTGGTATGACTGCCAATATATGCAGAAACATCAATCAAGTTCAAATAGCAAAAGGTTGAGTACATTGGGCAAATCTTTGGAGACACACCACTGGCTCATCAGGTAAGTTCAAATTACCTTGTTACTCGAGGTTGATCTCCACCCTTCTTGCCGCGTATACATACATCTGAGGTCAGTATCGCGTTATCAAGTCGACACTAGCAACGCATTCCCTACACATTACCTGATATGAGATTTGCAATTCATATCCAGCACTTCATGTATTTGATATAAATTCACAACTCCAAGAGCGCCCTTAGACCGGACCAGTGCCGCTCATACCTAGCCTATGACTCTAAAGTTCCGGGAGAAACAGCAAATTGTCCGTGAAGTCTAGTTGCCTTGCTTCAGATGTTGGAAACACGTTCACGACATACACAGAGCGCGGAAGTCTCATCAACAACTTACGACTTGACACCCTACTTTGTGTTGAGCTGAGCGGATTCCATGGTATGCTCTGTAGTCACAAGCACATGCTTATCCAAACTTGAACAAATACCAGTGGGATGTGAAACTAGCCTGGAAATAGCTGTGACCACACTTTCGGTGTCGTTTTGGGTAAGTTGAGTCGGTCCAGTGTGTGTTCCTGTGCCCACAGGCCGACATGGCACAATACCTGTTCGATTCCGAGTATTGGGGCCTGTATTGGTACGGTGAAGGTGTGTCCCTAAATACTACAATCTATGCCTGCCTTGTATCCCTTTATATCGGAGGCCACAACTTCCCACAAGATCAGTAGTTATTTGCTGCTCCGGACGAACCAATACGACTAACAAAGGTAGATTATTATAGAAGGGACCCAGGCACACCTACACCTGTGATTGACATCCGTAAGTATTTCGGTGCAAATCATTCGAAATTGAAGCAAGTGTGCTTTTATGCTGCGCCGTTCCTGCCGCGCCTTTCGTGATGCAGGGTGTCGCAGCGGGTTGGGCAGGATTTATTGCCATGTCAGCAACAGGAGCCATCTCATGTTGGATGTCGATAGATCTGGATAAGGAGGAGCACTCGTTCAAGGTGTAGCAGAGTGGCTCCAAGATGAAAAACACAGCGTTGCGAGGGAAGCACAATCATTGCAGAAAATTGAAGGAGATCATAATGACCAGCTACAAGCTAGCCCTATGTTTTACCAGGCGTTGATCTGATTGGTTACCAGGTAGCAGCCCATGTGTCTGAGCTTTGCCGACTTCCATAGGTGTGAGAGCATGGGTATGGTGTGCGATGTAGCTCAACCCTGGAGGTTGCTTTGGATCTTGCATGATAACATTTTCTTAGCCTCGAATTCTTCTAGCACAATAGTTGCTGTCTCTTGTAGTCGCTAGAGGACCAAGTGCGCTCAATGATGATGTTGACTATGTACTTTTGGTCGGCAGTATAAGTTCCAAGCGTCCCGTGCAAGGATGCTAGAATACCCCCACATTGGCGTGTAAGGAGAACCCTGTAGCCTTAGCGGATTTGAGCTGATACAGAGCTGGTGTGGCCTCAGTTTGGGGGAGCAAACACTGCACTATGACTGAAAGCATGCACTTGCATGGAGAGGGGTTTCGCGTTTAATTCGGCGCCTACCAACAACATCTCCGAACTTACGACTCCGGACCCTTTACCTTCGTTCGACTAACCACACGGCTGACTTTCGACATTCTCGTCCCACCATCATTGTTGCGTGGCCCACGAAAGCCTAACCCATGTTAAGCTTCAATGCCAATTCGCTGTCGCATAGGGCCCGAACCATATAGTTGCGACACTCGACCTTACAGCTGGGTCTGAGCCGACTAACTTTCGACCGGCTTTCGACCGGCGCTCTATCCTCTCATACATTGGCGCAAGCCATCCAATCGATACATAATCGCCACCAGCTTACCCCTGGCCTGTCTCTGCAGTGACGCCTCCGTCCAGACGCGTTGTCCAGGCCAAGTGAGAGTCGCCATCCATCAGGGTGAACTCGACATCACGTGTAGCTGCTGCTTCCGTCGTGGGGCTTCGCAGCTTGGAAGGTGCAGTTCATCGTACGCTTCATCATGGTGTTTGGCGATGTTCATGTCCATTACAACCTTCTCACCTTTTTCTCAGGCGACTCCAATTCGACGGTCGATTCCCTGCAGTGCAAGCTCGCATACGATCGAAGTCGAAGCAGACAAGCTTTCACCATCTCCTCGGCGCACTCGGTGCCTTCGACTTACTCCAGCGCCTCTGTCCGAGGCGATTCAGAGACTTTCACGTCTCTCGAGTCATTCGATTCCATTACCGACGACCTGGTCTTCCAGCGCTACCACGCCGCCGACATATGCGACGATTTCCAACAGAGCCTCAACCAGCTATCAACTGCCCAAAGCAATGAGAAATTGCTTCCCAGGCCTGGGCCAGCTTCACGAGTAGAGTCGCTGACTGCACAAGCTCCAGATGCTGGGGTGTGCTGTGTTGAATTGAGTTGAATTGATTTCAATCATTGAATAGCTTGGTTCGAGTCTGCCCAAAATCTGGCAACTAACTCCAACCCCCCCCCTAACAGTCCAGTATATCTGCTCCGATGGAGGCGATCAACGTTGTAGTAATAGGGGCCAATGGCGTGGGCAAATCTAATTTCATCCAGCGGGCGATGGCCCTTTCGCGGGCACCAGGAGCCCAACCCACGATGGCCCGCATTAACATCGATAATATGCCGTACGCCGTAACGTTGTTCGAGTTGGATCTCGAATATTTCGACGTGGACCCAGACCGGAGGATACAGTGGCCCAGGCAGATTGGGGGTGCTATAATGCCCCCGGCCCATGGTGTACTGCTTCTGTTTGACGTTATGAACAGAGATAGTATCATTGAGCTTCCACAGACGTTATGTAAGTGGTTCTTCTTGGGGCACCTGGAAGCTCAGCGCGAAGTTTTGCATTGAATTGAGCCTAAACATTTATGTTCTAGCTGCCTTGGTACACTCATCACTACCCACCGTCCTTGTCGCTACAAAATGCGACAACCCAGAAAGCGCGCGACAAATCCAGACGGACAGTGTTGCTGAGGCCTGCAAGTCTTGCATTGACAGCTTCAAAACTTCGGTGAACAAGCCAGAAACTGCGAGACTGGCTTTGTCGACGCTGTTGAAGGCGCTAGTAGCTGGTCGTCAAGGTGAGTAATGGTCGCGGTCGCGGAAGGCTTTGCGCAACACATCAACTCCAGCGCACAACACTAATCATCCTCAGATGACGCAGCTGTGGGGCCTGGAACAAGACGTAGAGCAGCTTCTGAAGCGCACCTCGACGCGCCAGCTGATTCCGCAATTCGACGGCCTTTGAGCCAAGAAAGCAGACACAGCCGTGCCAGTTCCGACATGTCGTTACTGCGAGGAATGAGCAACCAGTCAGGTAATAACCATTGAAAGCCTCTCCAGCTGGTTCCATCTGACAGATTTTCAGGTCAGGGACGCCACGATGGTACGGGAGATGAGTCGTCTCAGACCGTATCGAGCATGCTTCGAACCTCTGGGATCCGGCTTGACCGGCAGAATTCCATGTCTTCATCATTCATAGAGATCGAGGAGTCCGATGCGGACTCCTTCAGATACTCTGATGATATTCCGATTCTGCAGAGGAACGACGACACGCTATTTGAGCGACCGGCGAAGAAAGCCGGCATAACCTTTGATGAACTCGTGGACCGTTTAATTGCCCCCAAACTGTCAAGAGCGGACAGTAACTTCTCCGAGATTTTCTTGTGTCTCTACCGCAAGTTTGCTGCGCCTGGTGAGCTCTTCGCGGCGATCCTATCCCGATTGGATGGCGTCAAGGAAGACAAGTCCCTTCACTACCTGACCAAGACTTCGACGCAGCTGCGAATAATCGAAGCAATAGCCAAGTGGGTGGCATCATACCCCGGTGACTTTGCGCGACCTGCAACTAGGAGGAACTTGGATGATTTCATAAAACATCTGTCAACCGAGCCCATTTTCGCTGCGGCGGCGAGGCAGATGCGGCGCAATTTAGAGCAATGTGTCTTCGAAGACGACGATACCGGTTGGGCAAAGGCTGATGACATGGACGATGACTTGGCCGAGGGCGGCTCGAGCTCGGTCAAGGACACGGCAAAAGCCAGTCATGAACTTACTGAGAGCATGAGCTCCCTCGGTACAGATGAAAACACTGACCGACGTCCCTCTGCAAGCTCGTCACTGCACACAGAATTGAGTCTGGCTTCCAAAGTTCACCAATTTCAGTTTCACTCCTATGAAGACTATGAAAGGGAAGCGGCAACAATGATCCCATCGTACACCATGCCCCTCACCAAGTTTCGCTATCATATCTTCATGGATACAGCTGATGACGACATCGCCGACGAGATGACCAGAATTGACTGGGTCATGTTCTCTTCGATCCGAATTCGCGATCTTGTTCGACATGTCAGTCTCAACGCTGAGCAAAAGGATAAATGTAAGAGCATGAAGAACGTGAACCGCATGATCACCCACTTCAACCACATTGCTAAGTGGGTCTCCAACATGATCTTGATGAGAGACAAGGCCAAGCATCGGGCGCAGATGCTCGAAAAATTCATGAACATTGCACTGAAGCTGCGGCAACTCAACAACTACAACAGTCTCGCGGCTGTTCTTGCTGGTATCAACGGTTCGGCCATTCACCGTCTGGCGCAGACACGATGTCTTGTGCCAGCCGACGTGCAAAAACGATTTGCCAGGCTTGTTCTTCTGATGGGGACACAGAAGAGCCATTTCGCCTACCGTCTAGCATGGGAAAACTCGCCGCTGCCTCGCATTCCCTTCATCCCGTTGCACAGAAGAGATCTTGTGTCGGCAGAAGAGGGTAGTATGACGTTTGTCGGGCCTCAAGGCGAGCGAATCAACTGGAAAAAGTTCGAGGTTCTTGGCGAGGTTATCCTGCCCATCATGAAGAGCCAGAGCACACCTTACCCCAACCTGACGAAGCATGACGTGGCGCGGGAGCTCATTCTGGACTGCTTAATGCCGACAGATGACGAGGTGAGACCTCTATTCGCGTTCCGGCAACATAGTATGAGGACGAAAACTAACCGCTTACTCTAGGACATATACCAGCGCAGTCTTGCGGTTGAGACGTCTACCGGCGGAGGGTCTGACGTCGGAAAGAAGAAGTTCCCTTGGTTTGCAAAGTAGCGTGCGTATATTTTATCGCTTCTGATTGCCGTTACGACAGGGCGAGGCATGAGGCGTTGGATACGACATGCTTAACGGGTGCGATTTGCGGGTTGAGTTATCCTGGTGGTCAGGCAGATACCGGTGTTGAGGGCGATTGAGTGAGCGATACTTAGATGTGGATTCTGGATTGCAGGACCGCCATGATTCAATACCACTTCAGCACATACCAGTTCCAAGACTGGAACTTGATTGAGTGAACCCTTTTTAACTTGAGAATCGCTGCTCTACCTTTGGTTCGTTCCGATGCCAATACCGTCTGTGGTTCCGAGGATTGCAAATCAGAAAGCTGCCGGACCTAGCCTGAGACACGTGGAGAAGCTACGACCCCGCGGGGGGTTCTCGGGAGCTTCCGAGTACGCGAACGCGAAGTCGACTTATTGTGTACGATGTACTTCATACTTAATGAAGCAAGCTGATATACAAAGCGTGAGGTTACAACTACGGAAAGCCTCTGGTCTCTTGGTTCTAGTCCTGGATCTGGTTGAAAGGCTCAGCAATTGAGGACGGATGATGTCATATCCCTTACTATCTCTCAAAAAGCGGTGTTGCTGAGGATAGGAGTTATCGCCGCCAAGATCTCGGGTACTTCTATCTACACCCGAGCTACTAGGAGCTATCCGGTACTGCTACTTCAGACTTTCCATACCTTGCAGCTTGCCCATGTTCCGCACCTACCCCTCACTGGCATTCATGGATAGCGATGTCGTACTGGGCCATATTGCATGGCTGGCTGCCCCAGGTCCGCTGGAACGGGTAGCTCTCCAACATTAGCTCCACAAACCCGTATGTTCGCCTAGTTCGTGTACCTGAGTTCAAATTTCTGAGTAACACATTATCTGCCATAGCTCTATTCTTTTTTTCCCTCTCGAGCTCCTCACATGCTAATTGCCTGTAGCTGTTGTGCACCAAGCTCAAGAACGGACAGCCTCTGTTTCTTGCCTGCCCAATCCGCCGTTGAATAGCTGCTCCCAGGCCGTCCTTTCGTCGTTGAACTGGGGTTTTGCCAATTGAGTCGTAAACATGGTTGTGTTCGATGGCCACGAGTACCTGACCGAAGAGGAGAAGCGTCTTAAACAGGATCGCGATCGAGTCAAGTACTGGAAGAAATGGGGACCTTACGTTGCCGAGCGGCAGTGGGCTACAGGCAAGAACACACTCGCGTTGTGCGCTTGATTTTGCGTCTTGGGTATACTAACCTGTCTTGTACAGTCCGCGAGGACTACAGCGCCGATGGCGATGCCTGGGGCCGTGAGTGTTACCATTCCACCGCACATGCTAGCCTGTACTGATTGGTCGTGCAACAGACTTCACCCACGAACATGCGCGATCTCGAGCCTTCCGTTGGGGTGAGGATGGTATTGGTGGCGTCTCGGATACACATGGACTCCAGAACATTGCATTTGCTTTCTGGAACGAGGAAGAGTATGTTACCAAAGCTTCCCATGACTCCGGGTAGATCGCTTACGGGCAGTCAGTCCATTCCTCAAGGAGCGACTCTTTGGTCTGTCCAATCCAGAGGGAAACCATGGCGAGAGCATCAAGGAAGCCCACTTCCACCTGGATAACACTCCTGTAAGTCGTTCTTGATTACGAGCCGGACTCGAGCTAATATTCTGTTTGTAGACAGTATGTTCCACCGAAACTTCGACTTGCGACTACACTGACAAGTTGTAGCACTCCTATATGAAGATGTTATATAAATACCCACAAAGGTCCTTTCCTTACGAGGATCTTCGGAGAGAGAACGCGCGAAGAGGAAAGCAAGACAAGGAATATCAAATCATCGACACGGGCATCTTTGATGAAGACAGGTATTGGGATATAGTCATTGAGACCGCCAAGGATGATAACGACCCAGATGAGCTTCTCTTCCGTGTCACGGCATGGAACAGAGGTCCTGAGCCGGCTCCGATCCACATCATTCCTCATGTCTGGTTCCGCAATACTTGGGCATGGGGCAGAGAAGCCGTGGACAAGAAGCCTTCTATCAAGGCGCACGCCGAGAACCTGGCCAAATCGACACACCACAAGCTTGGGGATCGCTATGTCCTACTATCCCCTTCGCCTGGGACTGGAATTAGCGGGGAAGATGTTCAGCCAGAGCTTATATTTACTGATAACGATACCAATTATGACTTGTTGTATGGCCAGGAGAATAAGGTTCCGCATGTCAAGGATGCCTTCCATCGGTACATCGTAGGCGGCGAGAAGAAGGCAGTCAACCCGGCCAAGACAGGCACGAAATGCGCCGCTTGGTTTGAGTTCAACGAGTCTGGTGGTGTCAATCCTGGAGAATGTGCCGGTATGTATTCTTCAGCTGACGATCAGAATGTGTTTGTTGCTGATTTCACCGTGTTAGTTGTTCGTTTCCGTGTCTCCAAGAAAGAAGAAACATACCTGGACGAGGAGGTGTTTGATGATATCATTGAGAGGAGGAGAGAGGAAGCCGACGACTTCTACTACAGAATCAGTCCGCTGCCCATGACTGACGACCTTCGCAACATTCAACGCCAGGCCTTTGCTGGAATGATGTGGACGAAGCAGTACTACCAGTTTATCTGGGACCAGTGGGCAAATGGAGACCCAGCCCAGCCATCACCGCCTCCTGACAGGAAGGCTATCAGGAATTCACAGTGGAAGCATCTGCATATCGACGACATCCTCTCAATGCCCGATTCCTGGGAATATCCGTTCTTCGCAGCGTGGGACAGCGCTTTTCACTGCATCCCGCTTGCCATGATTGATCCCGACTTCGCAAAGAAGCAGATCGACCTGTTCACTAGAGAATGGTACTGCCACCCCAACGGCCAATTACCAGCGTGAGTTACTCGACTGTTCAATCCGTGTTTCGCAGCTTATACTGACGACACTATAGGTACGAATGGAATTTTGGAGATGTCAACCCGCCCGTTCATGCTTGGGCAACGTTTCGTGTCTTCAAAATCGAGCGCAAGATGTACGGAAGACAAGATCTCGACTTTTTGGAACGAGTATTCCAAAAATTACTTCTGAACTTTACCTGGTGGGTAAACAGAAAGGACATGGACGGCAAGAATGTCTTTGAGGGAGGTTTCCTCGGATTGGACAATATCGGATTGTTCAACCGATCTGAGCCGCTCCCTACTGGCGGTGTCCTGGAACAAGCCGACAGTACTGGCTGGATGGCATTTTACTGTCTCTGCATGCTAAACATCGCGCTGGAGCTAGCCAAGCATAGGCGCATTTACGAGGATATTGCGTCAAAGTTCTTTGAACATTTTATTTTCATCAGCGACGCCATGACCTTCAAGGCCGGACAAGAGGAGCAGTCCTTGTGGAACGATGAGGATGGGTTTTACTATGATGCGATTTCATGGGGCGGACCGTGGATCCAGCAGCTGCCCGTCAGATCGCTTGTCGGACTCATCCCGCTGTATGCGACCTTGACCTTAGAGCCGGAACTGATTAACAAACTCCCTTCCTTCAAGAAGCGTGTCGACTGGTTCATGGAAAACCGCTGCGATCTTGCAGAAAGGAACATGGCCAGTATCCGGAAACGAGGCAAGGGCAACCGTATTCTGTTGTCCATGGTCAGCAAGGATCGCCTGGAGAAGATCCTAAAACGCATGCTGGATGAGGATGAGTTTTTCAGCGACCATGGTATCCGCTCGCTGTCCAAGTATCACAAGGATCATCCATATTCGATGGATGTTAACGGGCAAAAGTTTACCGTAGGATACGTGCCTGGGGATTCCGACAGCGGGCTTTTCGGGGGTAATAGCAATTGGCGAGGTCCCATATGGCTCTGCGTCAACTTCCTCCTGGTGGAATCTCTCCAACGGTTCTATCTCTTCTATGGGCCCAAGTTCCAAGTTGAGTGTCCTACGGGATCTGGAGACTACATGCATCTCGGACACGTGTCCGAGGAGATTCAACACCGTCTGCAGCATTTGTTTGCCCGCGGTGATGATGGACGCCGAAGCATCAACGATGGCAACGACATGCTAGACTTCGATCCTCACTGGAAAGACAACATGTGGTTCCACGAGTTCTTCGATGGGGATTCCGGACGCGGGCTCGGGGCCACCCATCAGTGTGGCTGGACTGGGCTCATTGCTCGCATGATTCACGATACTGGGTAAGTCGTAAAATCCAATGCGTTTCGATGATTTAGCTAACCTAACAAACTTGTAGTGTAAGTTGCCGCCTGCCGCAGACTCCGCGCACACCATCGGTGGGTATGGCGCATTACTTCGACGATATATTTCATCGCACTGTCGGCAGTCCCAAGATGCAAAAGCCACGGATGAGGCGGTCATCGACTGCGCGGTCCATCGGAGCCCGCAGTGACTTTGACAACTCCTCCAACGGGGACGGGGACGATGACGACAAGAACAGTGTTAGTGGTCTGGACCCCGACCGCGAGCATGAGCGACGGGAAGCAGATGCTCACATGCACCAATACATCTCTGACCAGCTGGAGAGAGTCAAAGCGGACGAGGAGAACGATGTCTACGGGGAAGCGGATGAGTACGAGGCGACCGCATAAAGAAGGACCTTGGCCGGAATGTGTCCATTATTGGATGGTCTCAATTTTGAGAAAGAAGGGAATGACAGAGATAGACTTTAAGGCGTTACAGAACCAAAGGTGCATAGAGAAAAGAGCCGACGATTGGTCCACAAAGGCGGTTCGTCGTAGCGATCCAGGGACGCGGAATCAAGTCAACAAACGCAGGACTAGGCATATATTAATATACATGAGATTGATTGGCCCATCAAGGTAGATGACTCCAACACGTTGCGGCATGAGTACAGTTGATGCTCACTTTCATTGTATCCACCATGCGGAAGATATATACTACGAGAATGGTATGCTGTTAAGAGAATTATATGCGAATGCAATAGGGTGAGACGATGGGAGCAGATATTATAGTTCTCCAGTGCTATCTACAGGAAGTTAGTAGCTAGAGTATTGCCTTCAATATTATGTCAGTAAGGGGTTTATCCAAAGTGCTTTTGTAGCTATCCAAGAAGACGCGAATTCCTGATGCTCGACCGTGTCTATGTGGAGGGTTATATCTTGTGCAAACACGAGGCTGTATGAACAGGCTGGCTGCTTGCTCTGGTGAGATCAGTCAGAGGTCTATGGTGGGTGGTCCTTGTTGAAGTCTGATCGGAGACTGCCTGTGTAAGTTGGTTTGTTCCTTACTGAGTGTTGCATCTTCAACTAGAGCATCATAGATGATGGAAGCACTGGCTTAGCATATGAAGGCGGGACCATTGGCTTCTACCTCTCGACCTGCACAAGTAGTCACACGGAACAGAATATATCTACTTTCAGGCATTGCCGAACTGAACGTAACTTGCACTTTCAAAATACATTCGTCACACCCACAAGGAATCAATTACGCTTTATGTATATGAACGTAGGCTTGTTAAGAATATAGGTTAGCTTCCGATTTGCGTTCTCAGGTTAGAGAAATGCCCCGAGGCTACCGTACCGCATTGTAGAAGCATGATAGACCGAGTTTACCGGGACTCGCGATTTTAGGGCAGTTTCATGCTAGTGGCATGGCCAGAATGGAGATCATATGTACAAGAGGCCCAAAGTCAAGGAATCGGGCCCGTCGGCCCAGAGCTGGGAGCAACCGAGGACAAGCATCCCAACATGAATTTCCCTACCCCTTTCAGTGGCATGGCCATATAAACCCACACACTCGGCCTCCCTATTCTGTCTTCGGCTCCGTTTACAAGTTTAACCACTGAGTACGTCCGAATACAATGCTCTACCTGAGAGTTGGATATCGCCACTTATGACTCTCAAAAGACAGAAAAGGTGACGTTGGGAAGACGATGCTCTTTCTATTTTAACTCCTGTACACAAGGGCATCTTGCTGCGATGATAACAGATTACCCTCCGCAAACGTCTCTCCAAACCCTCCACACCGGAACAGTCAAGAAATTATGTTTACAGGGTGTCGGTGAGAAGCTTGTTCATCTTGGCGATTTTGGAGGAAACAGACAGGTCGATAGTTCGGTCACCGATCTCAACAACGAGTCCGCCAACAATGTCCGTGTTCACTGTGTTGGTAACCTTAAGCTTCTTGCCCTGGCCAACGAACTGCGACTTGGCAACAGCGTTCTCGAGGCGGTTGAGAGTCTTGTTGTCCAATTGCTAGAAACCCCATATTAGTATTCCGAGAAGTCCCCAGTTCATGCCTGATGTCTGTCGAACGTACCGTGGCACTGGTAACAACCATCTCGACCTCACCACGAGAAGCATTTATCAGCTCAGTGAACTTCTCGCAGACGCCCTTCAGGATGCTCAAACGGTTGTTGGCAGCCAGGGTAGCCAGGAAGTTCTTGACAGTCTCATTGTTTGCAGCTGCTCCCATTGACTTCTGGAGCTCGGCAACGATGGCGGTCTTGTCACCCTCCGAGAGGGTTGGGGTACTCAGAATCTTGTCCAGCTTCACATCTTTGGCGACGAGATCACCGAGAGCACTGAGGGCCTTCGCAGTAGGGTCAAGGGATGCGGACTTGGCCGCGGCCGTGTACTAAATGGCTCAATGTCAGTCCTGAATTGTCCTTTTTCTGTTCCTTCGAAAGGCCCCGGTCATTCGTATATGGCCAATGGGCTTGGTGGTATCTTTGAGACTGATGTCCAACCATTTTTGGCACCCAATGAGGAAGGGTTTCGTACCAGAGCACTGGCGTAGGTGCCATCAAGGCCGTAGACGGCGATCGGGGGCTTCACATCCTGTGTCGCAGCGGCGGCGTAGTTGCGCACCGAGGCCCGGGCAAACGTCCGCTGGGGAGCTGCAGCTCGAATGGCGCGGAAGGCTTGTCGGGACAACATGGCGATACGAGGGGAAAAGTGTCTGATGGGGCGGATTGAGGGAATGGGTGTCGTCTGGCTTTCGAGCTTCGGCTCTGAGGTCGCTTGTTGCGAGAAATTGAACCGGTCGGGCTCAACTAAACTTGGTCAATGCTCAGATTGTCTTCGTCAGTTGTGTGGCAGCAGTTGTGTGGCAGCCGAGCAATGTGGCTCAGGTTTGCGATAATTGAATAGACTATCCCAGGATTGCATAATCTAAGTTTGGCACATACTTATCTCCGAGAGCAAGGGTTGGTACCGCGGCACCTGCCCACCTTTTCGCCTTCCCACTTGCATCCGTGGATTTCTGTCGTGTCAGGCTCCAACTGCACATTCAGACTAGATTCTTCGCCCGGCCAAGGTGCTTCTCAGCTTTTCCTCGGTCTTTTACCCTCCAACCTATTGAACAGCCATTTTTGCCCAGCTCAGGCGGCGCCAGTCCAGCCAACACGATCGGCATCGTTTGAATCCATCTTCATTCGACTGCTATTTCTTACGTGTGACCACCGTGACATTCTTTCCTTTCAAAGTCTATCCACTACTGCGAGGCAAGATTATCGTCTTGTTCTGTCAAAGTTTGTACAGACTCCCCGAGGATCACAGGACGTCTTACCTTCTTTTTGGCCAGCTTTGGAGCGTGGCTTGAAGTAGTAGGCATCCTTGTGTAGTCACTAGAATTTTCTTGTTCGTCGTCTACTTATGTTTACCATATCGGACTCAGCAAGTACTTCTACTATGGTAAGATTCGTCACGCAACTGTGATGACGAAAGAGAAGCGAAAAGGGCATCTTGCCCCCATTGGCAAAACTGCCAGAACACGCCATGACAAGTTTGCCAGAGCACAGATGCATGATCCTCGCGTCTGGCGACAGTTGAACCCCATGAAGGAACCTCCCAAAGTGAAGCACAAGTCGTACTTCGAAGCCGTCGAGAATGAGGATAAGAAAAAGAAGCTGGAATATCAGGTAGTTTGAGCCGCTTGGACCCGTGGATGTACGGCACTCATCAGAAACAGATCACTTCCAACAGGAGCGAGGTTGGATTCGAATTCATTCCCACCGGACAGCCCGAGTTGACACGCTTGTGCAAAGAGCTGTCGCGAGAGAAAGGCTGCATGATATTTATCGTCTCGGTACGTTGTTGTTAGGCTCATCGTGTGCCTCTCAGCATGCTGATAGTCCCACCTATCTAGGACTCAAAGGACACAACCACGCTCGATCACCATATGCACCGCCATGGATATCACTTCCGACAATACATTGTTGAGGAAGCTCGTGCGATATTGAAAAGAGACGGATCACTGGAAGGCCAGGCGCAGCTGGATTTGCCCGGCCAGCCCGGTGCGATGTCAGGAGATCAGTTAGAGATCAACAGGCAAGCCGATGCTGTACTGAGAGACCTCTTTCCCAGGATCCCCAATACCGATCGTCATGAGATCATCTTACATGCTTTTCAAATGGTTTGTTACATCCCCCTCCTACTTGTCCAGCCTTTCGGAATCTTACTCCAGCAACTTAGAACAGCACATTCAATGGCGAATGCAAAGTCGGCATGGCCGTTGAACTGCCACTAGCCCGCCGAGTTCAACTCGCTGCTCTCGCACATATCAGGCATACACACACCCGTTATGACAAACTTCTGAGAGAGACTGACTGGGCGAATGCTCGAAAAGCTGTAGAGAAGCCATGCCTGGATGTTATCGTCAAGTGGCGAGGAGATGAGGAAACAGGTCGTGACCAGCTGGATGAAATCCTTCGGGAGGTTATAGAGATCTCCGACAACGAGGATGATTCTGATGATGAAAGCTCTGGCGGGGAAGCTGCAGCGTCAGCCGCCCCTCAACACGGTTTGCCTTCTGGCAACGAATCCAGTGAACAAAAGGCATCACGGCATACTCAACCGGCCGCTGCACTGGTGCCCAGACGCGATGTGCCTACCGCGAGGCCCCAAATAGGAACCCAGAAGAAGCTGTCCAAAAAGGAGAGAAAGGCTGCAAAGCGAGCGCGGCTACGATTTAGGAGATACGCTGCTGTTGCTGAAGATTTCACAAGCGAGCCGAATGCTCGAAGTCCGCAACTGGACCGCCCTAGTGTAATCAATGTCGCCTCTGCGATGGACAGAACAGCCAGTCTGCATTCGAACCATTACTCTGGCCCGGAGTATGGGGAACCATCGGACATGGCACATCTGCGGCGCATGGTTCCGGGGGCTGACTACCCTCGAAGTCCTTATTCGAATCCCACGCGGATCGACCTTTCAGAGCAGAGGAGTAGGAATCTGCCTCAACCTTCTACACGGTCAGATTATGCCGTTCGTGGCCAATCACCCTTGCTTATACGTCAGGGGGATAGGAATGAACCCAAAGTTGGGTACTCATCAGACTATCACCATGCTCAAAGGCCCCTATCACCGGTAAGACACGGTCAACAGGACATGCTCGTACCATCAATAGAGCCCAGATCACCCAACGGAGTATACAATCCCCAGTCCAGATCTCTCGTGGGTACTCTCGCCCCCTCGCACGCCTTGAATGCTCCCCGCATTATTTCTCGAACAATCATTCATGAGCCACGTGGCTTATTTGGACGTCCTCAATCTCCAGGGTTCATAGTCATTGCTGATGAGAACACCTGGGATCGCCGTCGTGTTGTGGCTCATCAGCCCGAGGATTATCGTGCATATTCAAATGCTGAGTTCATCCGTGTCGGGCATGTGAGCAGAGAGGAAGACCAAAGATTCTCGTCATTCCCCTACCCCTCAGAGAGACCTGCAAGACGGCCTGTCGAGGCTTCTGGGGGCTGGGAGGCAACAACACAACAGCCCGTGTATTACGTATCGGACTCACCATATCGAAGTCGCGAGGAAGCCCATCTTAGGACAAGGGCTCATCCGATTCTGATGGATGCGCCCATTCGGGATGAGGTTCCTCTTAGCACAAGGCTCAACCCGGGTTTCATCGATACTACTCGTCGGGGAGAGGCCGCTTTTAGGACGAGAACTAATCCCGTGGTGGTTGACAGCCCCCGATATGGGGACGGGTTCATCCAGACGCGCGGTGAACCTGCTTCCATGAATCGTGAATCGATATCTGCTATTAGGGTCGAGGCCGTTCGCGGTTCACCAGGCTATGAAACTCACAGATATTCAGATGGCCGCCGAGTTTTTCACTTGGAAGAGCCGGCTCAACGAGTTGGAAATCCATCTGAGTATCAAGGCGAGCCGGCCAATGGCATGCGACATCATATTCCTATAAGCCTAGAGCAACGTACAGTTACACAACCGCCACAGCTGTCATCCTTTGGACGTGCCACTTCTAGTTCGGGTTACAGAGACCGACAATATGACAATGCTCAATGTCCTCAAGGGTCTGGTCCCCAACCGGTGCACATGTCCGGAAATGTCATGATAGGACCAGCGGGATCTCGCTATGATGTGTAAGTATCCGTGTCATGTCGCGAGCCGATGTACATCAATTTGCATGCAGCGACAGCCCAACACAGTGTTTTCTGATCAGCTAATCGAGAACCCCAGGCCTTATGGAAACACACGAGATGTCTACTCTCAGACAGGTTTCCTACCCCAACCAGCAATGGGATCATACAACCAGGACGAAAATCGAAATGTTGCACGACACATGCCACCGGGCCAGTTTGCACCGCGAGTGGGATCGCAGCACTACTCGGTACCCCAGCCTCCCTTTACCCACGAAGCATCGGAAAATTCGATGGCCTGTCATCCGATGCAGCCATCGTAAGGGAAATTTCAACCACGTCCAAATCCGCCTTTGCGGGGGTAATTGACGCCCAAGATGCAGCAGATTACACAACACCCCAGGGGAAGGAACATGTTCAGCCCGCATATCTTCAGGTGGGGATGACTGGATAAGTGTGCAGACTCTTGGTATGAGCGGTGATGGTTTTTAGTAGAGGGAAAATTAGGCGCAAGGGTGGATGGATAGTCGAAATTTGGCGACGGAAAGGTTTCTTAAGAGATACCCCTTCAAGTCGACCGTCCCGTCGACTTTGAAGTATAGACTTACGTGTCTTGGCGTTACGGAAATAGCATCGATGACCGCAACAATTTGAAGCGTGGCGTTGCATTAGACGGACATTGGGTTTGTGGCAACTGAGAAGGATGGTAAGTCTGGGAGGACAACGCCTACCGTTGTAGATACGAGTCTTCTCATGCGAGACAATATATGTGTATAATCGTTTAGATGAATTTACCCGCACTTCCTCTATATATGCCTGCTATGAAGCTGGGCCGGTGGTGTTCCAATGGCACTCTTACAAAATGTTCAAAGGTCCTTGAACACTCGGGAAAAAGCGGTGTTGGGTGACTTGGACCCGGGAAGGAATACAAATGAAAAGGGGTTACACGATGATGATATGATTGATAAATTATCATGTGGGTGTCATGCGGCAAGCATGGCTTCTTCCTCCCTCCGCTTCGCTTGTCGTTCTAGGCCTTTGGCTGGCTCCGAGTCTCTTATCGCTGGCTCGATGTCTCCTTTTGGTACATTTGGCATAGTGACAGGTCTGTTTACCTCCAATTCGAGGGCCGCCAGCTCGTCCTCGACTTCATCTTCGTCCTGATTCGATATGCGCCCGCCCAGCATCTCGCTAATCTCCTGTTTCAAGGACAATATGTCAGTAAACCTACTACGTCACAAGGATCGCCTGGAACGCCGTTGAAATGTGCAAACCCACATTCTGATACGCAATCGCGTCGGCCGTCTCGCCCATCAACTTCTCGACATTTTCAATCCCCCCCATCTCGGCATGTATCTGCTTCAACACCGCCGTCCCCTGCTGCAGGCCGAAGACAATGTCCTTCTGGATCTGCGCGAACTCAACATTCCGCATCAGCTGCTCGAGCTGCTCTAGCTGCGCATCCGTCTTGAATAGCAGCGATTCTTGGTACTTCTTCTGCCGCAGGGCCAACAGCGCCTTCTTCTTGTTGCCCTGGGCGAGCATCTGCTTCGCGATGGCCGTCTCGCGGTCGGTCAGCACCGTGATGCGCCGTTGGTACTGGTGGAGCTTGTCGCGCTGGAGTTTGAGGTCTAAAATCGCCCTGTTAATCAAGTCAGTAGTGTTTTGAGTGCCTCGTCCACATCGACCTGGCCGCACAGGAAACGCACTTGTCCTGCGCCGTCACTCGGCTTGAGTTGTTGCCCATGGTTGCCGTTGCCTGGAATTCGCTGTGGACTCCGTCAGGCGCATGGTCTTGTAGGGGGCTGGGAAAGATGCGCAGGCTCGATTAAGAGTGGCCTGCGGTGGATTTGGGAATAGTGGTCGGATATCAATTTGCGAAGCATGCAGGCCTGGGAATGAGACCCGTTGAGCTGCACCGTCACCATCGGCGGCGCTGAGGCGCATGGTGGGTTGCTTGTTATCGATAGCAGGGGACTGCTCTAAACGTACATGTGACGGTCTTGGCATCAATTTTCACTTAGAAGCTGGAATTCACTTGGTACACAGATGTGGTCAAGACATTCATTCGTCGGCTTTTAATTTTGAATGGCAAAAACAATTATGTGGAACTGAACAAGTGCCATTTGTTACTTTTCGGTCTCAAGCTGTCGGGTGCCGGTTGTTCTCTATGAGCTAAAACCTAGGGAATGTGTTGAAAGAGCAAACTTCCGAAAACTGGACATGATGGCATTGGGAATGCTCTCCTCAGAGCACCCAGCTTCTCGAACAGCACCGGCCCCATACGTATTTCAGGAGCCTGACATAGATATACAGCGCAATCCTTCCACCTAGAAAACTCCAACTAACACCCTATTCCTTCCCGCCTGCCGCTCGATCTGTCGTCTCCGGAGCTTCATCCTTCCCTTTGCCAGTTTCCGCCTCCTTGGCCGCATCCTCGAATTGTGCCAACAGCGCATCGAGCTTGCTCTCGAGGCTCGTGAGATTGCGCTCCAGTGCAGCGGCTTGTTGCTCCCCTTTGGTGAGGTCTTTGAAGGCCTGGGCTAGATCGGCGTCGGATGGAGCCGGTGCACTTGAAGATCCACTCGACGCGTTTGCTCCGCCGTTTGGTTGTGGTTGAGGCATGATGAGATTCGATGTAAATTATATTCAGTGGGAGATTGTACTCTCGATGTCAAACTGTAAAGGAGGACCAGAGAGAGGAAGTGGCGATTTTGTTGGTTTGATCTTTCAGATGAGCTCAGTGTTGTTGGCTACGGTGGAATTCATTTGTCTCACCAGTACCGTCCGCTTCAGGGTTGGTCGCCAAGTGACCTTAGAAAACAGCTTTTTCAGTGATGAAGCGGAGGATTTTTCGTCATTAAGAGGTTGGCCACAGTTTCTGGTTGGATACTTGGCTGTGTGGTTGCTTTATTCAAGTTGAAGCTCGCAGGATATTGTCCAAGTGACAAGCAGGTACGTAAGTATTTAGAGTGGCGGAGATAGGCCCACTTTAATTTTGGAATATCCAAATCGAACTTTTCTCCCTTCACTCGACAAGCTTAGAACAACCACTGGGAAGCAACCATATTATGAGGGTTCAAGCGCCAAACCCCCACGAAAACAAGGCTAAGTTAGCGGTACGCCCGCCTGGAGAATAAGGATCGTCACTGCCGAAAAGTCGTGGAATATGGCGAACAACAACTTGGATCGCGATGTCTATCAAATCGTCAAAAAATACGAGAGTCAACATGAGGGCAAGACAAAATTCACCGTGTCTTCCATTTATGACTACATAAAAAACTCAAATTCGAGCCTATCAAGGCAGAAGAAGCGGCCACTTGAGGATTCAATAGAGCGAGTCTTGAGGCTGCGAAAGAAGGAGCGAATGGACGATGAAGAAGACGAAGCCATGGACGATGCTCCGGTTGAGTCTCCTAAGCCAAAGGTGTTTATTAACCCCCATTACTCAGATTTGATTCAAAAGATCCACTTGCGGCTCATTCGAAGATGTAACCAGTTGACACTATGGTTGTTTCTTTTATTCACTCTGTCTCGATCTATTTTCGGCATCCGAGCAATGTACTAACCAGTATCAGGAAAGGGACTACTTCCTCATGAACAAGCACATTACCAAATCATGGAATGTTTCCAGGAGAGAAAGGCCCAGTTCGCCAGAGCCTACGGTCTCAACTGGCAACGCCACGCCTGCTGAAGTCACAGTTGACTCGGCCATCGTCATGGCAGACCGGCAACCGAACGGGGAGCCCAAAACCAAGAGGAGAAGGGCCGAGCAACCCAAGAAGGACCGCAGTCCTCCAGCAGGCGTCTCGCTAAACGACCTAGGTGGCATGGGTCAAGCCATCAAGAAGCTACAAGAGGATGTTGCCTGTCCAATGCTGCTTCCAGAGGTCTACAAAAAGACAAACCCACCCCGTGGTGTCTTGTTACATGGCCCTCCAGGTTGTGGCAAGACCAAGCTTGCAAACGCATTCGCTGCGAGAATAGGTGTTCCTTTCATAGCCGTGTCTGCGCCTTCATTGGTTGCTGGCATGTCCGGTGAGACGGAGAAGAAGATCCGAGAGCTTTACGAAGAGGCAAGAGGGCTTGCCCCTTGTTTGATCTTCATTGACGAGATTGATGCCATCATGGGGAAGCGCGATAATGCACAGCGAGAAATGGAGAAGCGCATTGTGGCTCAAATGTTGACTTGCATGGATGAACTGAGCCCGGAGAAGACGGGAGGGAAGCTGGTTGTCACCCTGGCGGCTACTAATCGACCTGATAGCATCGATGCCGCCCTCCGAAGAGCAGGACGGTTTAATATTGAGATCGACATCGGAGTACCCAACGAGAAGGCTAGAGCCCAGATTTTCAAGGCCCTGATCCGGAAACACAAGATGGCGGAAGATTTGAACCTTGAGGTTCTGGCCAAAATGACACCCGGTTTCGTAGGTGCCGATTTAGAGGATGTCGTTTCAGTTGCAGCTGCGGGAGTAGCTCACCGTACCACCAAGAAACTGTTGGAACAGGCCACTGGAGATGTTCAGCTTGACGGAGCAGGCGTGGACGAGTCGGAAACGGATCCAGAAACGATAGAGGCCATTCGAGGCTTGGATGCCTTGTTGGCGATTGCCGGCCAGTCTATACCCGAGGACGAATTAGCCATCACACAGTTGGATCTCCTCAATGCGATAGCCAGGGTTCAACCTTCTGCCAAACGAGAAGGATTTACGACGATTCCCGAGACTACCTGGGCCCAGGTTGGTGCTTTACAGAAGGTGCGCGAGGACCTCAGCCTGGCTATCATTCAGCCCATCGATGATCCAGAGCGCTTCGCCAGAGTGGGCTTCCAGTCCCCTTCTGGCGTCCTTCTCTGGGGCCCTCCAGGATGCGGTAAAACGCTACTTGCAAAAGCAGTTGCGAACGAGGCCAAGGCCAACTTCATCTCAGTCAAGGGGCCCGAATTGCTAAACAAATACGTTGGCGAGTCTGAACGCTCCATCCGCCAGGTATTCTCCCGAGCTCGGTCCTCCGCGCCCTGCATCCTTTTCTTCGATGAAATCGATGCCCTGGTCCCACGACGTAGCGATTCCATCGCCGAGTCTAGCGCCAGGGTGGTAAATATGCTTCTGACCGAGCTGGACGGCATGACGAGCCGGAGCGGCGTCTACGTTATCGGTGCTACGAATCGGCCGGATATGATCGACCCGGCTATTCTACGACCTGGTCGTCTGGGGACCAACCTCCTCGTCGGCCTACCCGACGCGGACGGCAGAGTGGATATCCTGAAGACTAGAATTAAGACGGTGCTCCCCAACACTACGGTTGAGGAGCTTGACCAGCTAGACCCGGTCGCTCGGCGCTGTGAGGGGTTCAGTGGTGCTGACTTGGAAAACCTTCACATTGCGGCTGCCAAAGCAGCCATCAAGAGGGGCGACAAGGAAGGGGCCCTGATCGATAAGTTGATGCCCATTGATTGGGAAGTCGCGCTTGGACAGATCAAGCCCTCGGTGTCGGATGTGCAGTTGAAGAAGTTTAAGAAACTAGAGGATAAGGGATGGGATTGATGGTCCGGATCTATGACCCAGGACTCGTGATATATACAGGACGGAATTTATGATGGTTGTTATTCCCAATAAGCAGCCAGAAATGAGGTATAACGCAATACAGCCTCCCAGATGTATAAACAGCATAACGGCCCAGACAATGTTATAAAAGAAACCTCATCCTAAGCCCTATGACACACCGTGCTCCCTCCGCGAGTGCCGAGAGTATCCTCAAAAATACCCACTTGAGTTGCGATGGTATCCACCACTCGGTGCTAATGATCTTCATCCACGGACTTGAATCGGATCGTGATTCAAAATATTTGTGTCGATGAGAGCTTGAATCAGTAAAGCGCATAATAAGCGTCACATTCTCTCTGGAAAACACAGGGTTATTTCCAATAATTTGCATCAAATTGCACAACGGGAAAGATGAACAATAAGTAGGTTTTTTTTTCTTCCAGGACCAAGTCAAATTACTGGCAACAAGTACATCCAAAACTCCGCCAGATGAAGCTTGCTTGAAACCCAGCAGACCAAACCACGTACGCTGAAAAAAGAAAGAGGAGATTGGTATATGGGATGGTGAATCGCACCAACGGGGCGCGCCAGAACGGTCTATTCTATAAATACACACTTTGGCCTAATCCGTCTATGCAGTCCTTATCGTTACACGTATTTTTCGCCGTTCGCCTATGCGGTAGACTGCTTGAGGAAACTAGTAGACGGGTAAGCAGCAGTCCAGTAGGCAGACATTCTCGTGTTGGAAGGTGGAAGAGGATACTCACGTGATGAGGTCGTTGCGATCCTTCTCCTTCTTCAGACCACCGAAAGCCATCTTGGTGCCGGGAATGTACTTCTTGGGGTTCTCAAGATATGTGAAGAGGGTGCCCTCGTCCCATGTGATGCCCTTTTGTTTGTTGGCGTCGGTGTATGCGTAGCCGTCGACGGAACCGGTCTTTCGGCCGAAGAGGCCGTGCAGCGCAGGGCCGACCTTGTTGCCCTCACCCTCCTTCAGGGTATGGCACTGAGCGCATCGAGTCTTGAAGAGGTTGGCACCCTTCTTGGAGTCACCTGGAAAGTCGGTTAGCGACAAGGTCATTGTAAAGTAACGAGCGCAGCATTCGTCGAGAGAGCGTCTTTATCAAGTGCCTGATATGAACGCTCCGCACTCCGCCTTAACGTCACTGGGCCATGCGCTGCCAGAAGGAAGCCGTTGAGAACTCTTCCGGTCATGGCTTGGGAAATGCCGCAGGCTTCTAGGCGCCACCACAGGCCACCGTTGTACATGACGCTGGGGGAGAGTGATATTTTGCGCTGAGACCAAGCCAGGCCAGCTCCCAGAGGCTTCAACATATCGCAACCGTCAAAGGCAATGTTGGCGCTCAATGGCTCGTTGACGATGACGTGTCGATTCGGTCATGTGTACTACTGGGCAAGATCGAGAGAAAGGGGACCAGGGTAGCCTACCTGCAGAGAAACCCATTTTGGCGATTCAGAGGCAGAGGAGTGTGTATGAATGCGTGTGTATTATGTATTAGACGTGAATGTTCAAGAAATGGTAGGTCGTCAGGGCAAGGCCGTTAGGAAGAAGTGGTAGTTTGAATGGGAGGATGGATTCAGAACCGGAATGCGCTCACAGAAATTCGAGTCGCTCTTATTCCCTTGAATTTTTCTAGCCGGGACAGCTATGAGCTCAGCACAGCGCACTAGTGTCACTAGCCACCGCCAAGTCTGTGGCTCCGAGCCTTTCCTGACAATTATTCAACAGTTGATTGGTTGTCTCTCCCCACAAAATGGCAGGTGCGCCCCATTTACGGTGGGTTTGGTCCGGAAAAGATCGGCTTGTGGGTGCGTACTTTGCGTACTTGGTCTTCGTCAAACTTTCCTAGTCCTTGGACTTGGAAGATTCCGCGAGACAGGGAGCCAAGCGTAATCACTGTGAAGCGAGTCTTGGTATTCCATTTTCATCTTTCCCTTCTCAAGCAACTGGCGCCATGGGCGGACATAGAGTGCAATACAAAGGCGTGCGCATCATCATCCCATTAAACACTCGCTCAATTGCAACACCTGGCTAACACGACCCGCAATATTGAAAATCGGCCTCCCAAGGTACATACTGCAAGGACTGCCTGTAACAACCCGGCTTATCCTAGCGTTTCCAGCATAAATTAACAAATGGTCATTGCCAGATTCCTTGTAAAGTGCACTATAACCATACAATCATGCCTGGCAGTCCCGAGGCTATCCCGTATGAAGTTCAAACGGTCTGATGGATTGAAGATGCCATTGGCCGATGGCTTCCGATCGTCCGTTCTGTCTTCGCGAACAATTTCCAGAACCAAAACTTGAACGCCACATGCACGCGTCAGACATCGGACCCGGTGAGCACCGGTCAAATTTTGGCGAGAGGGGCGGGACAGGACTACCGGAAGCGGCTGGAAGAATGGGCAGCTGCTTTCGACACGCCTTGCACGCGTTTTGTCATTCAGCTATGAGTCAGGTCAACAACAATTCCCATGGGTCAGTTGATATAGACGAAATCGATCGGACCGTTACAATTTGATGATTCCCCTCGTCATCAAGTCTATTCCCCACCGTCATGGCCTCGAAAATGTCGTACATCCCGCGGTTCCTACTGCCGCAGTATGGCCCGCTATGGCGGACCACCACCCAGACTGGACCATTTGCTAGACACCGCAATGCCGAGATTGGACAAGTGCTAGTGCGCTACGCATCCAAGACGACCAAAGCTGCAGCGACCAAGACGACTACAACGAAGGCTACCGCCGCCGCGGTGAAAGCATTCGTCCCGAAGTCTGCGCCGACGAAGACCATCGTGACGAAGCCAGCGGCATCCAAAGCCGCCACCCCAAAGACACCCACCTCGTCGCCCGCAGTCAAGGCTGCCGCTACTCGCAAGTCTGCTGCACAAGACCACGTGGTGAAAACTACGGCACCTGCTGCCGCGCCAAAGGCCCCGCCCGTTGATCCATCGAAGCCGATTGTACTTGAGAAGCCTGAGAAGTTCAACCCGCCGTCGCATGGCGCCAGACTACCTCGATCCACGCCGAAGCACTATGGCAGCGCCCTGAACACTGAGGAAGTGCAGATTCAGAAGAGGAAGGAGTACCCAGGCCTGCCGCCTCCAGAGAATACGTGGTCTCACTGGTTCCTCAACAACCGAAACGTTCATCTGTGCATTACCTTGGTGAGGCTTGACAGCACCGACACGTGTTCCAGACATGTGACTAACGGGAATAATAGGGAACACTGACCTCTCTGGCGATATACACCTTCATTCTGAAGTTCAACGCCACCTCTGCCTACGCTGACATGATCCCTCCTATCTCAGACTTCACTAAGGATCCCGTTACCTACGTCCGAACGTGTATCGAAGTACTCCGTCTGCATGAAGAACACGAGTCTGCCATTACGGCGGAGAAGCGGCGACGCAAGGTTGATGACGTGACGAAGAGAAACGAGTACCGGAAGGCCCACGGTTTAGATGCGCCGAGGGGGTTCGGTGACTGGCTTGGAAACGGGAAGACTGAAGCATCAAGTGCCGGTTTACCTGCCGATGAGTCGAAGGTGGCTGCACCGGCTGCCGCACCGACCGTCGAGGAGGTTGCTGAGCCAAAGCCTCAACCCGATCTGTACATCAATCCTGATGGGTCGCGCAAGAAGTTCTGGGGCATCTTCTAAAGGGTCAGAATTGGTATACACGAGGGCGATTATATGTACATAGAAAGGTCTGACGATGCACATGGCTCCCGCGAATCAGGGATTGAGCGCTTTGCTCTCGAACGCAACGCCTTTAGCATTGAGATATGGTATCATGACATAATACATCTAACCCAACTCTACCCCTTCGAGGGCATCCAGTACCTCATCAGCAACGCCGCCTCGGTCCAGTACCGTTTGTACCATAGTGCTTAGAAGTGCGGATTTGGCGCCTCCTCTCGGTGCCTTCCACACGCCTGCCACATCCTCCGTCTCGACCGTCCTTGCATCAGGGTTCTTTGTCGGTGTGTCTTGCCCCCACGCTGATGCGTTAACTGAATTGGGGACTCCTGGCGGGGTCAGTCGCGACGGCGGGTCGATGGTTCTGACTGATAAGAGACGCAGACTCCGGCCAGGCTTTGCTTCTTCGTCCACGTCCATATGCTCCCCAGCGGTTTCCTGCGGGAGTTTGCCTTCGCTCACTGATACGGCCAAAGCGCTGTCCGCCACGGCCAACTCCTCCTTCGATGGGTCAAATATGATGTTGTTTCCCACTGCCATGACCAGCAGCGTGATAGGTGGTCGGGAAAGGGCCTTGGAGGGATTGCTTCGTTGCCGCGGGTAGAGGAAGGTCGATGCCGCCCAGTCGTCGTCGAACATGGGGTCTTCGTCAAGCTCGGATTTCAATCTAGGTAGGCGGGTGGACAACAGGGCAAGGTGTGTTGTTAAGCTGAGAAGCGGGAGGGGGTATGACAAAGGAGGGGATATGAGTATGATCTACCAGCTATCATGTCAGTATGTAGGCACCACGCCTAAACTCAAGCCTGAACTCACGTCGAGGTAAAGCTTCCAGTGAAAGCGCCGATTGATCCAAAGCTTTTTCGCGAACTCGCCGTCGGCCAACAGCGCCTCGCTCAGCATCGTAGCCAAGAAAACAGTACTCGAATCGTCGTCTCTGTACCCCGGGATTTCGACCGACATCTCCACCCAATCAGCCTCTCCCACCGCCTCATCGCTGCCGATTTCTTGACCTTGTTCAGCCTCATCCGCATCGTCTTGTTTGCTGTCTCCCTTCCGTCGCCGCTTCCCATCCTGCGCGTACGGCGACGGCGGCGTCTTCTCCACCTCGGCCTTGACGCCCACCATGGCCTCGGTGCCGTCAGCGAAGCATACCCGCGCGCTGCCGTTGGTTCCCGGTAGGATGCCCGTCTCGGCCGTGAGGGGCCGGAACTGCGTGGGGGAGCGGCTGTCGGGCCGGATCGGTGGAACGAGGCTGAGGGTGCTGTGGAGGTAGGCGAGCTCTGCTGGCGAGAGCAGCAGGTGCTGTGTGGTCGACATAATCGCTTGTGTTTTTTGGGCGCGTCAATTGACACGAACTAGGATGAAGTCCAATTCCTGTCGGCTGTTTGGGTAGAAAATCTGAGATATCTCACTTCAGCCTTGCAGCTTAGGGTGTGGGGCAAGGCGGCCAGGATCCCTGTAGGCATGTGGCTTGGCGCGCTAGTGGAGACTTTGGGACAATGGGGGTTGCAATTGCGCCGATCCAGCAGTAACCACCATTTCCTCGTGATCCCCCCCGGTCTCTTATCTCGACATATCCAACACCGTGTGGTCTCCATCCAACTCTAGGGTCGGTGGATGTTCTTCTAGAATGCTGCTATTCCCCTGGCTCAGGAAGGATTCAGAAAGACAGCGGCATGATAGCTCCCCTTGACTATGCAGAACCAGCTCTACAGCAGCGTGTTCCAGTAGATTTTAGTCGAGAAACTTGGTGTGCTAACGAATGTCGTCAACGTGCAGGACAAAATGGTACAGTTCTGTAAGAGTGGGGGGCCGTATAGGCCGCGGGTAGGGTGAATGACCAAACTAACGTCCACTTGCAGTTTGCTTATCTTCTCATGTCAGCCTGGAAGAGAAGGTCCTTACAGGCAAAGCTGGGAAGTAAATGCAGGCCAAATGTGGGCAGAGATCTGTAAGGAATTGATCGAGAAAGTACCCCAAATTGAGAGTGTAATTGGCATAGAAATGGGGCACTGAAAGCGAATCGCCGAGTTCCACAGAGCTTCACAGCAGTAGCATTAATTACCAAGGAGGTGGTTCGTGTTTATGTTGCTTGCTTGCTTCGTTGTCTGTACAAGCTGTGTTCCCTTTATCCCTTGTTAAACTCCAAATATCTCAATGAGTCTGCTATGCTTAGAGCTTTAGCGTTTCGTAATCATGAAATTGTCCAGTCCTATGGGTACCATAACGCAAGTGTCGTCTCCGTGAGGGCTCAGCTGTGATGCCCTCGTCAGGAATCTTGGATGGCACACGGGAGTGACCAACGTGACCTACGTGACCTCCTTCCAAATGGGATACCGAGCCTCTATCGACCTTGTATCGAGCTCCAGCCGCACATCTCAGGATTTTCGGAAGTCAAGACAAGCCTGCGGCATCAGTTCAGGGCCCACTGCAGCAACTATTTCTGAAACCATGCCTTTCGCCGATGCCGGGTCGTCCATCCGCTCATCGTCCCAATCGAACAAAACACCCGCCGCACAGAACCCGCGACTGAGACGAACTAGGATTTGGTCCAGATCAACTGAGGCCATGGCCTCGAGCGACGGGATGCCCGGCATGTTGCAGTAGAAGAGGGACTGGTCTTCGTCGCTGTCTTCACCTTCCGCATCGGAAGGTTCACTCAACTCGCCCTCGGCGTGTGTCGACTCTACATTCGGAGGCACCGCCTTTTCATCCTGTTGCCGAAGCTTCTCGACGTGAAGGTACCCCTTGCTGTCGAAGAGCGCCAAGGCGTCCTTGTCAAGCCTTTCCCACACCAGCGTGTCTGGGTTGAGTATATACTGGGGCGAGTAGTCGATCTTATACCTCACTTAAACAAGGGGAGTTAGCAACGATTGATCTGGGATTATTTGGCAGTAGCCAGAGTCCGCCGTCCGACTGGGCTCGCGGAAACCAGGCGGTTTCTGCTCTCGAGATAATCCATCGAGATGAGACGGACAGGGCGGAAGGGGAGAGTTACATACTCTTCGGGCACGTGTGAATGTAGAAGCCAGAGTACCACCAACGGTATCCCTTCTCCTTTGCTAGCGCGATTTCTCTGAGCGCACCCAGTTTGCCCGGACTGAATTGATGCACCGACTCATCATACAGGAAGTAGACAGCACTGACACAGTCCGGAAGCAGGTCCAAAACGCCGATGGCGAACAGCTTTCCGTCTAGTCGGTAGCAATGATGGAAGGAACCTAGCTGGCGCTCACTTCCATCAGCCACTGTCAAGGTCTCGCGTCTCAGAGGCGAGGAACAGAGGAATCGCCTAAACCCATCTCTGGATATCGACGACGGAGCCTCTTCGTGGACGACGCGCTGGTAGTTCTCGAAAACGGCATACTTCTCCTCGGTGAACTCATCGGACTCTAGTGTGACACTAAAGGCGTGGGATGGCTTAGGCGGCTGTTTAAGTGATTGGGTCTCGGCCTCATGGATCCTTTCGACCAGGTCGAATTCGACATCCCGCTTGTTGCTTTCCTCGCGTGACCGCGGGTACCGTCGTGCCGCCTCCTTTGCGTACGTGTCGCCTGTTACATGCTTGTTGAAACGGTTGATGGCTTGCCGCTGGTCCTTGGTGGCACGGAATTCACTCGAGTCTAACCGAAGGGTATAATGGGGACAGCAAGAGTCTCGTTGGTTCGGCCGGTACAGGAGACTGCCTGAACGTCTCCAAGATCGACTAAGCATGGACTGATAGTAAGCCGGGCTCATTGAAGTCGTGCGAGCATAGTACGAATGACCTGGTTGGATGAAATTGGTTAGATTTTTCAGCGCTCATCACGTCAAGAGTTGGTATGAATTTGTTTGCCACGATTCTGAGGGGGCTTGATACGTCAATCGATGCGAACCTCAGACATCAGACGGCTTCTAAGTGAGAAAACACAGCCGGCCAAACAACGATCCAGAATTGTACTCGTGGAAGGGCTAGAGCCAAGGATTCCTAAGCATTGAGAGTAGGGTCGGATGGCACCCGTTTTTGGGACTGACCAGTACCAACTGTGCGGCGGCAATAGCCGCAGCTAGATGACCTTCTATATCCTGCCGAAGAGTTAGAACTTGGTCCAAAGACTTGGTATCACGCCACTAGGTCGCGTCCCCGCGCCAAAGTCGAGAATGCAAGATACTCAATCCGATCACTTGATGCAGCCTATGTTCATTGTGACCATAGAGAATGTGAGTTCACGATGTGCAGACAGAGGCATTTAGGACGACAGGCTGCGCAATAGGCGGCAGGGTTCGAGCTGCTGATGTCATACAGAGAAAGATGCGGGCCTGGTGTAAATGAAGCATGGCATGCAGCATCGTAGATTACGTCTTGCCCGGCATCCCCAACATTACACGAACTGTCGCGAGGTTGAGTCGCAACGAGGCTTGCGGCGCTCGAGAAAGCGCCAAAAGTCTGGTAGCGTGCAGTTGTGCGGGCGGTTGTTGTGCAGCGTGGGTTCCCCACAAAAACGCATGTGAACCAGGCAGCCAACGGCCATGTCTCGATGCTGCACGGGTCCAAATGGTTGGGTTGGATGGCATCTCGGCGCAGTTGGGGATCGGGAAAACTGGAGATGGTCATAATTGCCGTACGCACCGATTGGCGATATATAGGAGAATGCATCTTCAGGAGTTCTCTGCGTGTCAGAGGCGTCCATGATGCTCTTAACGGGTCTGCTAGATTTATTATTGTCTCGTGAGGTCAAGGATGCTATTGGTAGATGGCGTTGGTGTATCCAGATTCGCAGTCGTCATTCGCGCCGGAAGTCTTGGGGCTAATAATGGTGTTGAAGTTGGAGTTGGAGTTGGAGTCGGAGTAAGAAATGGCCAAGATGATGTATACTATGTAGTAGAAGGATCCGCTCCGGACCTGGGGGGTAAGGCAAATGAATGGCGGACTTTTAGGGACGGGCGACCTGGCTGGTGGCTGACGCCTGATGCACAGATGCTCAAGGTTGGTCCCGAGGAGGGGCTGGATCTCGGTTGGGTACCTTGTACGTGTTGGCGGTCTTCTGTAAGATGCCGGGGAAAGCTCAGTAGGCTGCGCGGCGGTCTCTGTAAATACGTATATACTGTCGCCTTTGAGAGGGGAGGAGATGTGGTGAATGCAACGGGCAACTATGACGGAGCCTGGAGCTTTCACGTCGCATGGAACTTCTGACCAAAGCAGGGCCTGTCGCTAGTGCCCAGCTGCCTCGTTGATGGCTGCATCTTCCTCATGCAGGAGCGCAGCAGGCCACAGCGAATCCCCTTCCTTGCTATCGCCCTGAGCAGTGTAACCTCAACTTGTCTCACCTTCCACCCGCTAGACGGGATCCAACAACTAGATCATGGGAGGCTGAAATGGGGTCGTGCCGGAGCCAATTGCATATCGGAAAGACGACGCACAAGTGCAACTCAAGCCATTCTATGCAAGGTGAGGTCAACAATACCATCCGGCACAAGGCGGGACGATACTTCGTTGAATATTCCCAGGATTGGAATTCAATCGTTGATGTTCCATAAACAGAGGGTTTGATTTGGGGGGGAGGAGGGGGATGTGGGGGGGTGTTGGAAAGAACATCGCCGACAATACGACCCATCATCCCAAACCCCCAACCTTCGTGTTTACACTATTACTCACTGATATTGTCACAATTCAAGAGGCGGGATGCTCCGAGACACTAAATTTGTGATTAGCAGTCTGGGCATGAATACGTACAAGACGGCGTGGTTGTCTAAGTTACGGAGTTGCAATTGACGATGCTATACTCATTGATCAGATCAACGACCCCTCACAAGTGTTGTTGCAGGTCTACATTTCGGCTGTCACGTATTTGAAGCATCAGCATCGGAAGCCATGTGCATATGTATGCGCTCCACACGCACACGAAGTTGTCAAGATCAACATACCGCAGATCAAAGTTGACATCAGAGACCCGTGAAAGAGAGATGGATTTGCATCAGTTGACCCCCACTTGCCACAGACGAGTCGCAGATGGTCTATTTACCTACATTGCCTACCTTACATATCGCAGCAACATAGATAGCCACGAGCAGCCATAACGGGGGTGTATTTCAATGTCTAGGGGGCCCGAAGCCCATTATTCGTGCAGACGCTGACTGGTGCCCCAATACGCTCCAGTGGTGGTCCAGTTGATGGCGCTAGGCTCTTGAGGGTAGGTTGAAAGCCATTGATTTGATACTGGACGCATCGTGAACCAGGATGGGGCTTTGTATGTATGTAGACTTGCTAGGCAATGAACGGGGTATTCTAGGGAACAGGGCAGGAAAATTACAGCTGACCTGCATCTTCGGTAGACGGTCACATTGATCTCAAATTAATCCATGCCCTCGTCTCCGACTCGCCGTAGCGGATACATATGCACTATGCTGCCAAAGTGCGCTGGCTCTAGGATGGGGATCCTCTTCTCCACTGAATCGAAGTCCCCGAGTCCCAGATATGTGCTTGGTTGCTTTGGCTCTGGATGCAATTCCCAGGTCGGTGGAGCGGCTCATGCAAATAGACGTGACGCGATTCCAGAGAATTTTTCTTTCATCCGTTTCTACCGCACCCGATTTCCAGACGATTTTTTTTTCTTTCCAGCAATCTTGGGTGTCCTGTTGCCCCACGCCCCAAACCACCTGTTGCTCTTACCACTCATTCACTCTGTCGCTTCCGCTTGCCTCGTTTTAGTAGTATTCGTGGTCGTACCACACCCCGTACACGGTGCCGTACACAGCATGTACCCATGTATGTCTAGCACTCAAGGGAAACTTCTGGACCTAGGACCTAGAGCTGGGTGGGATTGGCCTTGTCATGCTCAAGCATGGGAGCATGGAACGGAGCTAGGCGGTGACTTGCGTCTTGCAGAACTTGTCCTGGGCCCTGGCTTGAGTCTGGTCTGGCGTGGTTGGCGCTATTATTTTAGTATTTATACCAACTCTATTTTCCTCAGGTTCTGCCCCTCCATCTTGTATCATGGCACGAGACATGCAACGGGCACTCCAGCCAGCTGAGCTCCCCCAAGCTCCAAACTCTCCATCGTCTGCTTCACCAGCATCGGATTCCGGCGACTCGTTCGTAAAGCTGCAGGGCTTCCTTGCCGCCAAACACCGAAATCCTTTTTTGCCTATAAGTGCAGCCTGCGAGAGTCGTCCTCTCTGCTGCTGTCTCACGACAACTGGGACCACTTGCAGCCCGCCCCGCAGCAACCACGGCAGCTTTTAGTTCGTCTCAAGCCTTGACGTAGCACATCTTTGCATGCAAATAAATCCTCGGATCCGCGCCGTGCCCTGCCTCACCCTTCACAGCGGTTTCCCAAGACGCCTATCGACTCCCCCAGGATTTGCGAAGTGAATTGTGTGTCCGTGTGGATGCACAATAAGCCCAGAACCACAGTCACACCATCCATCCCCTTCCCCCCTCCCAGAGGTTCGCTGTAACGCAAATACAGTTTCCTCGTTTGCAGCGGCGCCTTGTGGATTTGATCTCTACTTAACTCCGATCCCCAACCAAGCACCAGGGAGCAAAAAAAGGCAACTCAACTCAACACAACCAGCGACTTTTCTGACGACGTTGCCGCAACGCCCCAACTTCCCTCTCAATCAGCGTGTTCCCTTTTCGTTCTGACATCTACGATCATGCAGCTTGACAATTACAAGTAGTCGACTCTTTCTCAGCTCGATCCAGCCGGAGTCGCTCTTACCCCCCCGGTCGCATCCGGTCTATTCCTGAAACGGAGTTCCTGGGTCCTCTTTGTCTCGTCCAATAGAAGCTTAGATCACTCACGGCTTGATATTTTCAGACACACGACCTTCGCCATGGCCTCTGGTTCTACTTCTACCACCGGTCGGCCGATGGAGTCCCGCACTGGCCGAAGCAAGCAGCGTAAGTCACATCGATACATACACACACACACACACCACATTCTGAATTGTATCACCCTTATGCTCGGCGCAATCATGCTTCCTCTTTCCTGCTTCCCTCGCGGCGCCTTGGTGAAACTAACCTTTGGGTCTTGGCAGGCTACAACTCGAAAGGTGAACGACTGGTTGCCGGCATCGTGCCCCTCACGGCCGACAAGACCTATGTTCTCCTGATTCAGTCAACGCGAAGGAAGGGCTGGGTTCTGCCTAAGGGAGGGTGGGAGTCTGATGAGGAGTGTACCGAAGCTGCGGCGCGTGAAGCTTGGGAAGAGGCCGGCATATCCATCCAGATCGACTACGATCTCGGAGATATCGCCGAAACGCGACCGCCCAAGAAACCCTCCAAGGATTCCACCAAGTCCATCTACCGCTTTTACGAAGCTACTGTTACCAAGGAGGAAACCGAATGGCCCGAGAAGCACAAGAGAGAACGACAGTGGTTCACCTATGTCCAGGCCAAGGAGGCTCTCACTTCCCGACCTGAGCTCTTGGAGGCGCTGAACCGCTCAACCATCAAGCGGTAGCCCCAGGGCTTGCCTCAACACACCTACCTCCCGGAATCGTTTTGTCATCGGATTGGTCAATCCTAGACATTTTAACCACCATTCACCTAATGACCAATGGCCGACTGTTGGCAGGGAAGATTGCATAGAGCTGGATCCTGGAGTTGGCTGGTTACTTTTTGATTTGATCTGGCCGTTCGCATTTTGTCGGCACTAAAGCATCTGCTTTGCCTAGCCAACCCCTTTGGTTTCCCTTAGACGGAAGATGCGGAGAGCCTCTGGGTTTACAGGTTGGCTGGAAGGCATTGGGAGACACACCACGCGCCTCAAGTTTTGCGACCTGTTCTCCCTACCGGCATTGGGTGAGTTTTGTGAAGGGATTGTTCACAAACATATGCATCTCTGGCGTTGTCGGTCAGCCATGATAGAAATCGCGAGAGCCACCAAAAGGAGCAATCAGGGGTCTCAAAATAAAAAAAGAGGACAACGGACATGGGCGTAAATGGGTGCATTTGCTATTTGCACACACGCGGGGCCACTGGCCAGAGCAGGGAGGCAAAGCTTTTGATTTGGCCATAATCGCCATTTGGCAAGGCATTACCTACATATAGAACAGAAAGACCAGCATGCACGTAGTACCGACATTGATTGCGTGAGCGTTGCATAAATAATAAAGAAAAAGTGAGCCATAGTAAGTTTACTGCAACAAATCTATAGTCGCCAACGGCCAATGTATAACTTGCATCTTATAATTGAATACGTGGAAGTTGCTGGTTTCGTTCTCCATGAGGATGCATGTCCTTAGTCGCCCTCACTTGCAGAGCAACGTAATGGGGTACATAGTTGTTCGTGGCCTCATGGACTAGTTAGAAGTAGTGACACACTGGGTTCTTAGTAGAACTCAAATGGTTTGTTAGACATATGTACCCCTATAAATGACAGTTATGCGACGCTGTTCCTCGCACTTTCTATGCAGCACATCTCATAGGCTACTACGGTGTTCCCAAAGACAATTAGGCGAGAGCAGTGATATCCGAGGAGAGGGATGATTGATAAGTTGTAGAATCAAGGGCCACAGGACCCGGCAACCCATCTCCATATCCCAACTTCGGGGGAAACTTGGCACATAGTCTCATACCCTCAACGTACAACGCATGGCCCCAATTATCGTCGCCAGTTTAGCAGGATAGCAATAGACTATCTTCAAAGGCTCCTCTTAGATATATTACAGGTCTGTTCCATGATATTATCTACAACAACGCTGTGGCATATATTATATCTCCTCCCCTTCTCCTGGCAAGCATCATCATCAAACCAGATTCCAACCCCCGCCCCACCCCCCCCAACTCCCCCTGAGGCAAATAAAGGGCCCGCAAAATCAAGACAAATCAAAGCCGCGGCCTGCTCAACCTCCAAAGATCTCTCTGCTGGACCTGGTGCTGCTCATCGCAGGATCCCCACGCAACACATTAGCCATGCCATCGAGCCCCCGCGAAGGCTGCAGATGGTTGAGCGTCGATGGCGGTCTGCTCCGCACCGTCGGGAACGTCGAGAAATTGGCGGACGCCTTGGGGGCCTTGGGCGGCGTTTGGGCTGACTTGGTGGCGGTCACCCTGGGCCGGACAGGCTCTGGGTTCACGATCTCGGGGTTCACGATCTCGGCGACAAGGCTCTTCCGCGTTGAGGGAGGACCTAGAGACTGCGAACGACGTTTGGGTTTTTCCCAGCCGGAACGAGCGGGTTGCCACCCGTTGCTCGCCTCGCTCACCTCACTAGCCACACTGTATCGTTCTTGATTGGTTGTGATGGGGTTAGGATTGCCAATGGTGGCCTGAGTTGGTGGCTGCCAGCCATTGCCTTGATTCGCTTCGCTTGTCATGGTATAGCGCTCCGACCGAGCTTCGTATTTCGGGGGCTCTGGGTGCAGGGACGGCACATCGGGTAGAGGTTGCGAAGGAGGTGGCGCCGGTATCTCGTTTATCCTGTTCTTCCCACTGTTGACTCTTATAAGCCGCACCTGTGCTGCGTTCTTGATGCTCGGTGGCCTCTGGAACCGAAGATTAGTTGGAGTTGTAGTGCTCATTCCCGAGTCCCGGACGGCGTCTGCTCTCGTGGTATCCGGTGGTCTTTGAAGTTGGAAACTGTCCGGAACCTGTCCTCTGCCACTTCGACTGCCAGCATCCTTATCGGAACTGTTGTAATCACTAACGGCGAAACCGAAGTTGAGGGGTTCTGGCTGCACGGGCTTGCCCACGCTCGGCAGCTCCATCTTATCCATGGGGTACCCGGTGCCACCACCATACGGGTTGAAACGCGCTCCACTATCACGGGTGTAGCGATTCTGGTTGCTATGGCCCGAGATGCCACGGACAAGATACGCCTTGTCATCGGTAATCTCGATGACCTCCCTGTTTTTTCTCCTCTTCCGTCGATAACGTATGAAGAGCCACGAAGCCACGATCGTGAGGATGATGGTGACGACGACTGTGACGACAATGATGATGGCAACATTAGTTGCGCTCACCGAGTTTCTCTGAATCTGCGCAACGAAATTGTTTGCGTCGCCCTTTTTCTCACATTAGCACCTGTTACTTGAAGTCGATCACTCCCAATCACATACCCTCACACCGCTCGCTTCGAGTCTGACCTCCTGGATCTGGCTGGCGGCCACATTCATAGCGTTCACAGCGCTCTCGCGGGCTGCCGATTGGACGGCACCAATAGCACTACTAGCACTTGCCTGGGCGCTGGAGAGGCTGGCTGAGAGCTGGCTGCTGAAAGATGCCGAGGCACGGCCGAGTTGATCATTGAATTGTTGAGTCGCCTGAGCCAAAGCACTCGCAGCAGACGTCTGCGCCCGCGTCAACGCTTGGTTTGCTTGGTTTTCATTTTCCGTAGCAATTCGAATGGCCTGGTCTGCTGACTGCTTGAGTGATTGTGAAGCCGAAGAGACGGCCGATAGCGTCAAAGAGAGAGCGGCGATCGTTCCTGAGAGCTCCTGTATCCGACCCGACAGCGCTTGTATTTGCCCGTTATCCTGTCGCTTCTGCGGCGGCGGTGTTGGTCGTGGCGGCTCGATGTTGGCCCACTGTCCGTTTGCCGAGCTTGGAGTGACTTCCGGTATCCTTTCCAAAATGACCCTCCTCGGTTCGTTTTCCCTTTCATTCTCCCGCTCAACAACGACATGCTCGATGACCTGCTTCCAGACTGAAGCTCCGAAATTGATTGAATCCCCAATCCTCGGCGAGACAGCATCTACACCACCAACAACATTATTATAAGCAAAAGCTTCTATCGCGACCAGCCCGATGAAGAAGAAGTGAAAGTGTAAGAGCCGGCTCTTCATCGTTGTCCCTAGTCCATTTTTCGTATATATGTTAGGACCCAGAACACCACAAAACCCAGACTTCTGGTAAGTGATCTAGACAAAAGGAAATGAACTTCATTTCATTGAAACGAAAAAGGCACTGCCAGCTGCCATATGACAGCTTCGACGGGGCGAAGGACCTTGCCGACTCGCCACCTCCACCAGCTCCCATGCTTAATGTGCGTAGGACAACTCTGTTGCTCTCCAAGACGACCCATGGCCGACGGGCATCGTGGACTTCATGCGAACAGCCGATACAGTACCACATGGATCCCCGATGTAGACTTTACGTAGGTTTGGTTGAAACCCGCGTAGGGCCGCCATCCGGAACAGGGGTTTGAAGCAGGCACGGCCGTAGATACACTCAGGGACCGGAGTACCTCTGGCCGTCCAAGGTTTCTATTCGGCCGCCAGGCCCCGCCCTAGCCTTGGAAGTAGTGTGATGCGCGGTCGGAAACAGTAAAAGAGATATGCATGACAGGCAGTAAACGGCGAGATAGGAAAGAAACGGGCCGTTTTGCATTGCATTGACGGCTCTTCTCGATCAGGGGGATGCAAAAGCAGCTCTGTGAGACCCGTGACCGAGTTGAGTGAGATTGAATATCGGACTTCCTGGCCCCTAAGGCGATGAGTCCTGGATTCAGTTGTTCTAGGACCTGATCAACCGCTTGTTGAGCCGGCCGAATCGAACCCCAGAGATTAACACGGGAGCCTATCAGAATTTATCCTGAGCCCAAGCGCCAGGAACTCGGTGCTTTGTTTCCTGCACCTATTCGCACCACCTGTGAGTTGAAAATCTGACGGAATGAGATTCACGATACGTTACCAATTGGTAACTTACATTCCCACGGTTCAGTGGCGGTTCAATGGCAAGGTGGTGGAGTCGTAGATGACTGAACACCCAGATAGACTACTTTATTAGACTTCTAGTGCGACCCAGGAATGCCGGTAAGAGAGGAGACATCTGAAACCTCATCGTCCGTGGGGCTCGCATCATCAGATGACGTGAGCCCGGTCACAGTTGCCAAATTGGTCCTCTTCTTATACTTGATTTCAGGGATGCCAGGCGTCTCTTGCAGGGGAGCAACATGGGAGGCATTGCGACGAGCACTCAATGAACATTATCAAGCTAAAAGTAGAGCCCGAGTCGCGGCCAAATGATAGGTTGGCCACAGCTTCATGTAGTTTCTCTTCCTGAATGATCTGAAGAGGTTTTGACATCGGGAATGTCGTAGGCTTTCCTTCAGCTGCACCCCACGACCTAGGATCCCATGCCGGACAGCCTACAGTGTACCGTGAGCGCATCCAGATGGTGAGAATAGTCCCTACCTTTGAGGTAGATAGTGATCATAGAGGCGTTCGGGGCCTCATTACGTGCCTCGAGGTGTGGCAGATATCCGGACTTTGCAGGGACAAAACCACCTACCAGAGCTGTATTTCGACGAAGAATCGAGCAAAATCCATCCCGGCCAATTGGACGCCAAACCGACATCATGGATTGATGTTGCGATGATCAGATGGTAATTACAACCCCGCATCACATGGGAACAGCTGGAAAGAATCGCCTAATTGCACGTCCCTCCGCATGACTGCCAAACTGGTCCCCTAGATCGGCTTGACTTACGTCGCCTTCGCGTCAAGTTTCTTCCGGCGGGCAACGGCACCTCTAGATTTGTGCTCGCGCTCACCAAACGCCTCGAGATAGATGACGCGCATTTCAAGTCCCATTACAGTCAATTAAAAGTATCCAGCTCAGATGTTCTGCTCTCTGGCTCGTCGCTGACCCAGCTGTGTGACTGATCAACGACTACCCCGTAAAGAAGCAACCAATCCTCCATGGATTGTGCCAAGCAAGTCTGCGTCACGACCAAAAACCTCATGATATGATGGAGAACTTAACCCTCAACGACCCCCCGCCACCCGGACCTCAATCGGGAGGACCGATGCCGCCGGTGTTGGGAGGACGAGCACCACCGCTACCTCCACAACCGCAGCAGTTACCGCCGCAGATGTTTACGACGGCCGCGCAACTCCTCGACCTCACGGACAGTACGACTTCCAGACGCCCATCGCTGTAACGAAGCTTTATGCTAACGTGGTACACATAGAGAAGCTTTTAATCTGCCTCCGAGATGGGAGGAAATTGACGGGCATATTACGGAGCTGGGATCAATTCGGTATGTTTGCGACAGTCAGCACTATAGGATACGGTCGTTCAAAGCAGACAGTCTAATGCGCGAGCTCCCTACAGCAAATCTTGTCCTACAGTCTACCGTCGAGCGCATATACGCCACTCTCCCGGGTGCGAAAGAGTCATCCGCATTAAAAGGCTACTACGCAGACAAGCCGCACGGCATCTTCCTTGTGCGGGGGGAGAACGTGCTCCTCCTTGGCGAAATAGACCTCGACAAAGACGACGAGTCGCCCCTGGGCTTTGAGCAAGCCGAACTAGAGAAGGTGGAGAAGCTGGCCAAGGAACGGAAGGTAGTGGAGAAGGCCAAGGAGAAGAATAAGCTCAAGCAGCTCGCCACGCTGGGATTCGAGGGCGAGGCCTCAGGGGAGATTTTCTTGTGAGCAGGCGAGGTGATGCGGCAGCTCCGTCAACGCATTGCGAGGCAGAATATTGTGAAATGCCTCTGAGTCCAGCCAAGTACTTGGTATGGTCGGTTAGTCCTTGTCATCTTTATCGGGCTTGGGCTAGGTTGATGACGGCAACCTACATAAACTGAAAAAATGCAGAGTGCAACTGCAGTTCGTTTTCATTGCAGTCAATCAAATCAAAACACGCGGCAAGACGTAAGATCAAGCAGTGCGGTTCATCTGGTTCCGATAGCTGCTTGATGACAGGAAAAGTCAAGCAAGCGAGCGCCAGTCCCTGAAGCATCATAATGTTTGACAAGAAGTTATAGATTCCATCCTGCATACGGCTGGTTCGACAAAAAGTCCGCCAAAGGTCGGTTTTGATTGACCTCGTGCTTCCAGCCAATGCAACCCTCTTGACGACACTCCTTGAATAATGAGGTCCTTTACTCCACTTACTGGCTGTCTGCAAGGAACGCAGCCGCATTCGTACCCCATCCACCGGGGCTCCAGGAGTGTGTCACAAGCGGGCTATTGTTATTCACCACCAAGTTCCTAACAAGATGCCCTCCTATACCAAAGTAATACAGCCCCGTCGTACTGTCGATACGAACGGCATCATTCTGGCAGTCACCGCTACAACCGTTGTTGTTATTGTAGAAGGTCCAGAATCCACCAGCATAGAGACTCAGGTGCTTGGATCCTGAAATCCGTTGATACAGGGCCATGCGGCATTGTGCATCGCCGCCGCCGCACCACGAGAAGTCCGGGTCACTGGCAAGAGCCACTGGATACCACGGGTCGGGCGTGCTGCTGAGTGATTCGTTGCCTTGCCAATAGGGCGCCTCGCTTTGCTGGAACCCGATGAAGACATTCTGGGCGTTGTTGATGTTGACTTGGTACAGGGTGCTGTGTTCCACTGCGAAACCAAGGAACCACAAAGGTTTGGTGGACTCGATCAAGACACCGCGACCAACTGCGATGTGGGGTGTGCTATGGCCGCCGTCGAGATCGTGGTCAGCTACCCAAGCCCACATGTTGTCGACATACGCGGAGGACGTAGACGTGAAATGGGCCAGCATAAAGGCGGCCTTGCACGTATCGGGATTGCCGCCACAGTTAGTCCAGACCTTGGAACCATTGGCTCCTCCAACTCGGAAGTGCGTGTTGTGGAATGCGACATCGCCGGGGTTAGCGCCCGCCATGTTGACCTCGAGCAGTATGCAGCCTTGGAGAACGTCGGCGACGGTGAGAAGCATATCGTTGAACTGGGCCACGCCTACATCGCCTGGGTTGCCTACTTTGACCATAGGGACGGGCTTGGTGGGATCCCAGAACCGACTTCCAGTGGCCGAGATCTGGGACCAGGCCTCGCCGAACACTCGGCTTCCTATGGGGAAGAACAACGTATCACTGACCAGGTAGATGCCGTACGGGAAAAAAAGGATCTTGCAACCAGCATACTGGTTTATAATCTTCTGCAGATTAGCTGTGTCGTCAGTTGTGCCGTCACCAGCAACCGGCAATCCGGCCACGTCCTTGACGTTGATGAACTGGTCCACTCCGTACTCCTGATACGTCGGAGGCGCAAATCGGTAGAAACTTCCTAGGCCGTCCACAAGCGAGCTAGCTCGGACAGTGCTGTGGGTTTTGCCTGTCTCGAAGACGCCTGTGTTGGGGCCACCGGGGCTGTAGGTGTTGCCATAAACCCAGGCCTGTCCCTTGGCAACACTTCCTTTAAGCACCGTGTTGCCGCTGGCTGTGACAGTCTATTCACGCCGCAAGTCAGCATAACACACATACTGTTCTTGTGCGAGGGGCCTTACAGAGGAAACTGAGCCATCAACTTGCACATTTTCCAGCACAATGGAATCATATCCGGCGGTGGCGGCGACAGTATTGATGAGGACACCGGTGCTAGTGGCTGAGGAATCGATCATGATGAATGTCCCCAGGCCTTGCAACCAATCGCTGTGGGTGGTATCGACGCCAACGCCGCAAAGTAAAAATATGCAGCCCTGGCAGTTTGCCATGTAGCTGCCGCTGACCCTGATGGCCGTTGAGCAACCGTCGAAGGTCATACTTTTAAGGTGATACTGCTGGTTCTTCAAACTCAGACCTACCAAAGCATGCTATTAACCAAGCTCCTGGATTCTGGACAAGTCGGATGACCTACCGATAACACCACCGTGGAAGTATAAATCTTCCATGATCGTTCCCGAGCCCCCTTCCGGCATCGCAATACCAGTGTGTCCACTCGAGTCATACGGCATTTGGAATCTCACATTGGCGAGCTGCGTGTTCTGGCTTACGCTCCAGTCGAGCAAGGTCAAGCTCTTATCCTTATTCACAGCCGTCGAGTCAATTATCACGTTCTTGAGCCCCAGATAGAAGTTGATCGTGGCGTCCGTTTTGCTGGGATCCTTGCCGTATATGACAAAATTTCCATCGAAGTTAGAGCTGGCCTTGATGGTAGGCCGGTCGGTGGGATCCCCCATGATTATCATGCCGACGTACATTTGGATGGGCTTAGCGAGCACATAGACGCCCTTGGGGATATATACGACGGCCGGCTGTCCCGTCGTGCCGCACAGGTTCTGGCTGCGGTCCGCATACGAGTTGCCCTGGTTGATGGCGGCTTGGAAGGCATCACTGTCGTCGGTGACGCCGTCACCTTTGGCGCCGAAGGACTTGACGCTCCGGAAGACGGGCCAGTTGGAGCCGTCGGGGATGACGGGAGATATACCATTGTGCTTGATGGACTCGTACCAGTATGTCGACGGATTGGTCGGGGTTAGGGAGCATTGGCGTTGTTCAACGGCGGGTCGAAGGACCTTAGAGTCTTGTTTAGTAAGAGCTTGGGGCAAGGATGCTGCTGAGGATAGCAGGGCAAGGAATAGTAAGGAGAACAACATGGCAGCAAAGAAAACTCGCGACAATTCCTGGTGAGGTGTACAGCTAGGCTGTGTAAGTCAAGTCTGGATGCGTGAACCATACCTTGAACATGAGAGAAGCATCGCTGTTTTTATTTAGTTGTACGAATCAAGGGTGAGGACTGTGAGTAAGGACACTCATAACGCATGCTGCAGAATCGAATGTCGGCATCTCAAAGTGGATAGTCCGCCTTGCAACCACACATGTCATGCATTCCAGTTCCGGGTCGCTGTAGATTAAGTATACCATGCCATAAGCGCTAGGAATATATGCCCCTGTCAACGACACATCCCATTGATCCAAGCATTTCAGCTCCAGCAACTGACACTTTGATTGGCCCTGCACGGGTTAGAGGCTGCTTCGTTGCTGACAGGCCTGTATATCATTGGTGTATACCGAGGCTGAAGCGGGTAGCTATCAAGTAAATTGACATATTAGCGCATCACTTCGTGGTCGGTAACCTCCGTACGACTCAGGAACATCAGAGTCAGCGTCGAAGAAGGCTTGACTTGCAGTTGCCTCAGAGAGATAGAAGTTGAGAGGTTATTTCCGTATGTAAGCCCAGTGGCAATTAATTTCAGCCCCGGAGTCGTATAAGATCACCACTCCGCCTCGATGTACAACCCATTTAGAATTATCAGAATCCAGGATTCAGGCTTCAGACTCCAAGTTGCTGCACGCTCCGACATGCTGCGTCTTTAACGATCCTGTCCGATTTGTAAGACCCACGACGTGCACTGGACAACAAGGGTCTTTGACTACAGCACAGCTGATGACGCCAGCATGATTTATGGATTATTTACACCGCCTGGTCTAATACACAACTACAATCATATGCCATGGAGTTTTTGTCTCCCATATACGAGGACCTCAAAGACTTCCCCAAAACTGGGAGAGGTCACCTGATGGACTCTTCAAGGAGATAGCGAAGTCAGCAAACGATAAACGCTACGACGAAGAAGTCAGACCATTTAGTAACGACCCAAAGTTTGCAAAGACTACTCTCGTGTACAAGGACAGCATTGACCAACTCATGCACCCTATCCGCCTATGTGGCCAGACAGGTGCCCCCCTTCGGAGCCCTGGACGCCGCTGAAGCTATAGCCGAAGTCGCCGATGCGTCTAGACTAAAATGGTGATGAACCCACAGAGATGCTTAAGGGTAGCTTCATAGACCTACGAGAACGCCAAGGTGGCAAAGGGATAGAGTTTAGACAAAAGCCAGCCGTGACGTGCGTTCTCTTCGTCTGTTGCCTGTTTCGAGCAGCCATGGATGAGCCTAGAGACCTCGAGAAGCACAAGACCTGCGTGAAGGAGCTTCTTCTCAAGAGAGAGCACTTTTGAATTGGTTCGAAGATGCTGCTCAGATTCAGAACCTGTAGAGTCTGGGGAGAGGGGGCAATAGGTGGATGAAACGCCAAAGATAAAGAAGAGGGGAGCAGAATAGGGATACGGAAGGGTGCGTTTAGTAGTTAAGTACTCAAATTTGGTTTAATGAGTTCATGTCGCTTCACTTTTGACGTTGGTTGTACGGAAATATCGTGGAGCATGATGCATTGGTTGATGTTTGGACAGTTTGGTATTCGCGGACTCAACACGCGCTTATTAGTCTGACGAAAGAATTCAAAGCGCAAATAACATTGTGGAATGAGCAACATGAGCCGTCTCAGAGATGGCAACTTGGCGGAGTATAGCAAAGGGGTGCCTAGTCCTTTTTCCCGAGGGGGCCTGATCTCCACCTTCACAACTTGGGTTTACTTCCTCAGTGTACTGATCATCTGTTCTGCCACCGTCTTCCCTGCCAGCCAGCTGAAGTCCACTGTGCTCCCAACCGCATACATGGCAGATGTCGCCCAAAGTCCATCTTCCGACAACCGGAAAGGCGGGAAACTGGTCTTTGGATACAGCAGAGGGTAGGCAGACTCGATCTAGAAGACAACGTTAGTATCCTTGATAAGAACGATACTTTGAAATAAAACTTACTCGAGTTTGATATGTCCATGTAATTCCCTGGGCTTTCTCCTCAGATGAGGCGCCATCTTTCGCAAAGGGCAGTGAATGTAGCAAGAGATCTGTGACATAGTGATCTGACACGCACCGATATAGGTGCTCGACAATGTCGACACCATCGTGGCGGCGAACGATCTCGCGGACATATGCAATCTCATGAACCCCTTGGAAGAGACCGATTTGGTCTAATTTTTGTATGAATAAGATCTGGTCGTGTAATGCGTCTGATTCGCCAAAAGCTAAGGGATCTATGCGAGTTGATGATATGAAGAATTCCACATGAACAGAACGGTGACCGGGTAACTCGAAGGCGTTCGTGTCATAGCGGTGGAGCGCATTCTTTTCAGCTCCAGGGGCTGCCAAGATAACATGGTCAAACGCTCCATATTGAGTCAAGTTTGACGTTCCGTGAACACTTTCGACCAGCCAGGCGGATTTCTCGTTAAGTTCCTCATACTTGATGCCAGTGACGGTCGAACTAGTCAAAACAGTCGCGTCTGCTCGGCGAAGAATTCTTTCGAGTGTCTCGAGAAAGTCCCCGCCGGTGTGCGAATTGACCCTGTCTTCTTTGGCTAGAGCCATTGATAGGGCTAGACCAGTGATATCGTCAAGTCGTTGACCTAGGACTCGCTGGACTCGAGGCGCCACCACTTCGTCGCGATACAGTTGCGAAATATCATGGTTGTGGAGAGTTTCGGTTGAGCTCTCGTGTGCTTTTCTGTCGATACCAAGAGAAGACAGTAGCTCGTGTACGGTTCGTATCGTAGGCAATCCCCTCAGCTTCTGGCGCAAATCGACCTCTCGCACGATTTCTTGGGTCTTCCAAACGGATGCACCGTACTGAAAGACCTGGTGGAACCAAGCCCAAGACCATGTGGGAGTCTTGTCGTACGGCCTAGTTGATCGACTGACGAGATGCTTTCCGTCATAACTAATATGGTCAGCATGTTGCTCTGCGTACAAGGACGAAATGCTACTCACTAGCCGACTTCCGAACTTGGGAGTTCATCAAAATCCACCTTGTCCCAGGGAAACTTCTCAGATGCCTTGGTGAACAGTGGGTTATCCCACATAAGCGCAGGGCCAGCAATGTCCTCGGCGGAGATTGGGTCTTGTGCAGGGTCATCATACGGTATTGCCCTTTCACCTCTGGAATCTATGAGAGCCAAACGGCCCCCAATAGAGGGTGCAGATTCCAGTACCGTGATATTCAGTTTGAACTTCTCACTTACTTCGAATGCCCGCAGATGGTATGCAGCCGAGACGCCGGCTGGACCCGCACCTGAGGCATAATCAACCCTTTCCATTCTGAAATTAAGATTTCTTACGTTGTGTACTGACCTATAATGGCAACGGAATACGTGGGTACAGGTGCTGCTGGCGTCGGGTTGTACGTTGACACCGAGTAGATCAAGCCTTGGACAACCACCACCAGAGCGAGACAGGCCAAAGCCAGAGCACACACGTCCCCAATCAATCCCCTCGTACTCAAGCCACTTTGTAGCGACTGCTTGGGGTATCCGGTCGCTCCTTGCCCAAAAGAAGCTTGGGTGTGTGACGACGACGCATGGCTGTAGCTTGAGGCGGCGGTTGAGGCTAGGAGCGGTGTCCCTTCGTGGGGTTGTCTTTTGGCGTAAGGAGGGGGTGCCGACTCCTTTGTTGTATAGGCAGGCGGCGGTGACTGCTCACGATCGCTCAACCCGGCGAGCATCTCTCGGTTTCTTTGCCTCTGGCTGCGATCTCTTCTCCCGCGTCGTGGCATGATTGATTTCCAGAGGGTAGCCGAGACTCATCTACAGATGAACGGCAACAGGCCTTGGTTACTTGTGAACTGCCCTTTCCCGGAATATCGGTTTAATATGAATTGGCGATCAAGTCGGTCTCCCCAACGGTCGCAAGGCGTTCTAAAGAATCAATGGCTACGCCTGATTTGGTGACGGACGACCAGATGTTGGCTCAGCCACGGCCTTAGAATTGCAACATCCAATCCTGACGTGGTTTTGAAGTTGTCGGGTGAATATGAAGTGTAAAATGTTGGGACTCGCAGTGGGGGTTCGTAAGGTCGTGATTGTTGCCTGAGTACTTCCTCTGCAGCTTCTAGATAACGGTGCCCCGCAAACGCGAGGGAGGAGACAGCCTCAGTGGTGTTACACAACAGCAATAGTGCATAAGTGCCGATCCCGTCCTTAACTGAGCTCACCTGGAAGAGACATACCTTCTAATTGATGGATCGATGATATATGGTGGTAAGCCTGCATGCGGATTTCCTACGCCATCCAATAGTGCACTCAGCTATACAGTGTATCTATACATACATCCAAAGGTTTCAGTTGAAAAATGAGCATCGCAGTGGATGGTTGATCACTGCAACAAGTTGATAGCCGGCGCCTGGAATTTCTCACAATTTTTGCTAGGTGGTGATTCGACTTAAGTAAACATCCTCCCACGGCCTATCCATTCTGCTCCTTCCAACTTACCCTACTACATCATCTTCTCCCCCATCTCTCCCAACCACCCCCTCAACTCCGCATCCTCCCTCTCAAGATCCAAATCCCTCCCCTCAGGCAAGAACCAATAAACGCCCATGCCCAACGCCGCGACCCCAGCCAAAAGATAAAACGTACTCGCATTGCCCGCCGCATCCTGCAACGGCGTAAAACATTCCGTTCCAATCGCAGCACCCGTATTTCCCACGCCACCGCGATCGAGTATCCCATGCTCCGGACGACCGTCAGGAACGCCTCACTCGAGATAAGCCCGATAGTCCACCCGGGCCCCATATGGCCGAAACACTGGAGCAGCCCGTAGCAGACAATGAAGGCAGGCAAATTTCAGGACAGGGAGTTATACGTAGTGCCGATGACGATGCCGAGGACGAGGTACCCCAGGAAACCGAGCATGCCCGTGTATGGGCGGCCGAGAAGGCGCGTGTTGGCAAGGTAGGCGCCGACGATAGGGCCGGGGACGACGATGACGGCTAGGATGAGCTGCCAGATGGCCGTGGTGCGTATCTGGCTCGACGAGTTGGGCACGAGGGAGGCGATGAGGGAGCTGGGCATGATGCTGTTGGGGAAGTTGATGAAGTCGTACAGGAAGAAGGATAGGGATGTCGTGAAAATACGGCGCCAGTAGCGGCGGAGCAGGGCCAGGGACACTCTGACGGGCCTCTTGGTTTGCTTCAGGTTGGAGTTGTGGAAGAGCTTGGAGTCGGTCATGAAGACACGCATGAGCATGATGAGTAGCGGAAGGATGGTGGCTACCGAGTAGACGGCGTGTAACGCGACTGTGACGTCGTATCCGCTTGCGATGAGGGACATGAGGTAGACGAATAGACAGGCTGGTGCTCCAGTGGTGGCCATGAGGGTGGTGAAGGAGACGAACATCGATCCTCGTTATTTTTGCACTCGCTGATTGGATGCCAGTGTTAAAACTTGGAAACCTTTGCTGAGTGTGTGTTTCTGGCTAGGGGCGAGGGATACTCACGTCATCCGACTCCTCGAGGCCAGCGGCAGCACTAGCTGGATACTCTCCGCCTACTCCAAACCCAGCAATGCCCCTGACAACGATCAAGAACCATAGCATATCGGTTGTAGGATAGAAATTCAACGCCAATGTTGCCATGAGAGAGTCCCACCAACCACAAGTCCGGAAGTCAGCAATAGACTGGCCTTGCGCGAATACATGTCCGATGTATGCCCCAGGACGACTGTCCCAAGGATGATGCCGACGAGCAGCGAGTTGCTGATTCGGGTCTTCATGCCCTTGCTGTAATCTTTGCCGAGAACGTGACCAAGGATAACGTTGGTGGGATTGGCCATCTGGTTTTGAAAACCGTCGCTGAAGTTGGCCAGGTACTATGTAGTGTAAGTTTGTGTTGGTCCACAATCAGCCATGAAACTGACTTACACAACATATCAAGGTGATGTTGCTCGAAAGCGGCGTAGGCTGATATTTTTCGACATCGCCACTGGATTCACCTCTAGATTCATTAACAACCTGGTTTGACGGCAGTTCCTTAGAGCTGGGCTGCTCATGGCCGACCTTGGGCTCTTCGGTCTGCATATTGAATTGCTTTACGAATAAGTTTGAGAACAACCGAAATGTAGGTCGGAGCTGCCAAAGAGATTTTCATCTTTGGGACGAGCGAAGATCTGATAAGAACTCCCTAGTTAGCATCTCATCGGCCCTTTCCTGTTGCTGACTATCGCAAAATGGAGATTAAAATCGGGTCTCGAATACTAGTCTTGGACGATTCCGGGGCATGTTCGTAGGGCCATCTAGGGCCCCGAGGAACTACACATGGATCGTTTCCATTAGCGCCCGCAAAGCTTGTCATGTTATCGCCCCGCCATTGCGTATAATGGAGTAGCGATTGGGTACTGTATAGAGGCTCCGCACCTGGTGCGTGTTCTCCAATGACGGCTGAACCACCTCATCATATAGTCAAGATAGACTTCAGATGCATCAAGAAGAAATGCTCGTGGGTTGTTTAGATTGTTGAGAAAGAATGTCCCTGAAGACCATCTTACGATTTGTCACAGACGCGACGTATCTCAACTTCATCGCCCTGCTACAATCCAGGTACGAACCGTTCAACCTTGACATCCCAGTTCTCTGGGAAATGCGGCCCTTCAGCACCGTCCCAACCACCAGACATCATGGCCATAGCGAGTAGAAACCCGCCGGATCCAGGAAAATATGGGGTGGCCACTCGCGAGCCTCCCACTGGGTACCCAGCATCGTCAAACTGGAACAGCGGGTGCAGCAGGTACGCCACAGCCTGATCCATATCGCCGAGCCGGAGCGAATTCATCGCCAGCATTGGGAAATCCCATCCCCAGCAGTCTGCAATATCCCACGCATCTCGGATCTTGTCCGCTGTGTTCTGCATTACCGTCATGTTTAGGGGTGGCCGGCTACTAGGCGGCGGGAGGAGGCCGAACACACCAGACATGGCTGGGTGGTCTTGTACCGTGGTATTTTGCCACATATTGGGGATACCTTCGTATACGGAAAGTGTATCGCCATCCGTGGGGAGTGGTGCTAAGTTATCTCGGACTGTGGTCCATGTGGCGGGCACGTCGAGGCCCTGCCGCTCTTTCCACTTGATGGCAATATCGAGCCCAAATCTCCAATAAGCGATTTCAAAGGCCGGATTTATCGTGGCATTCGGGCCCGTGTTCTCTGATACGGGATAAATAGGCGGGCCGAGGTCATATACTTCGGTCGATTCGTTGTAGAATGCGTAAGATGCCATGAAGTCCGCGGATCCGGTCAAGATTTCATCCCAGGACTCCAGTGTCTTTTTGTTGGGATAAGACCGATACTCCAGCTCGGCAAAATACATAGGGTGAGGTTGCTGCCAGATGAGCAACGAGTTTATCTCGCCTGGGGCCGATCTGCCCGTGGGGTCCGTCATCTTTCCCCAGCGAGCACCGTCGTACCTTTGTGCCTTTGCACGGTCGTAGGAGGACGGCAGATAACGGCTGTACATGTTTGGCAGGCTACGCCGTAGCAGTGGAAACTTATTCCAGCGTGCAAAATGAAGGGAGTGCCAAATTACCATTTCCAACTACAGCGAAGTCAATAATTCTCTTTAGCTCAAGTGCCTCGGTTCCACAACTGATACTCACATGGAACTTGCCGTACCACCCGTTATTTACCAACCCCGATTCTGTCATGGGTTAGAACTCAACTCGTACAAAACTTGTTGAACCCGATGACTCACCTTGCGGAGTATTTGACGAAGCAGAATTCACAGCCACAAGATATTGAGACAGGATTGTTATTCGCTGCAAGGCAGTGGCATTAGGTGAAGACGTTGACGACAAGTCAATGAATGCACCCGAATTCCAGTAAGACTCCCACCACGTCTTAGATGCGGCAACTACATCCTCGAACGCTGGCACGTTTGAATCTGGAAACGGAGAAAATGTAGTTGACAGCTGAATCTTCCGCACACCCCGAGAAGGTTGGAGAACATAGCGATGAGTGCCCTTGACGGGTCCTGATATCTCTGCATGGCGATCCCAGCTGATGGAAGCGTAGTACGTGGTTGCATCCAGATCATGGCGAATCATCGCGGCATCCCTGCTAGATTTCAAGGTGGTGGTGTGGTTACTGGTGGCATTGAACACGCCGACGAAGGGGGCGTCGAACTTGTTCCTGGTGGGCAGTGCGAAGTCGAAGAATATCCGAAGGGTCCCGGTGGACAGGAGGGATGACTCGACGCTTACTCCAACAGTATCTGAGTGCGAATCGGACCAGGTCTCGACCAGAACCTCGGTTCCGTTGTATATGAAACTTGACGAGATTTTGCCTGTCCATAAATCCAGCGTCTGAGACTTGTTCTCAAGCATGTCCTCGGTGATCTCCACTCCATTGAAGGAAAATCCAATTGTACCTAGATTGACTCGTTGCGGATTCTGAATCAACCAATCCGAGATATCGTTTTCTGCTGGATTTGGCTGATTGTAGTTGACGAGTCGCCCATGAGTCCACCAATAGAGCCCGGTAAAGTCTATAACTCGATGAGATGATATCTCGGTCCAGCGATTCCATGTACTGACCATCTAATGAGGTTTGACCCGGGGTTATGGGAAGACTGAAGTTATGCCAACCCCATGTTGATAGAGTATTGAAAAGACTGAACGTTTGAAGCCCTGTAATGTCTGCCCCGAAGGCAAAGTTGCCGTTTCCTACTTGGAGTGGCGTGGTGCTTGAAGTGGCATTGCGGCGAGGATTGAACCTCTGTACAACTTTGCGTCTGTTGATCTTTGACTTGCCATTATCAGTGCCATTGACACTTCCGAATAAGGCAAGAAGATACAAGCCAAAATAAAGGAGAGCCATGCTAATACTCAAGCAAGCCACTGAGAAAAACAGGTGGCTAACGCGCCGACATTCGCGACGAGTAGGAAGACTTAGAAATATACCTACATTTTATTTCAGTCCCTGACTATGGATTTACAGTCGATATGAGTCCGTTGGCCGCGTCCTTGGGTCAAGTGGAGCTAGCTATCCTCTTTAACCGGCTTGACCGGGTCAACCCCAAGTCTGGGGATGTTCTACTCCTCTCCATCGTGCGGGGTCTTCACCGTGGAATTCCTTCGGTAAGTTGATAGCCCGATGAAAGGAAGAAATGCGAAGCCTTGCTGATAGGGGATGAGACTGTGTCCGGGAGACAAGCTCATAAAGCAAGCTGTTGACGAAATGCATGCTTGCGTTATCCTCGAAGGAAGCACGTCCTCGTAGCCTCCAGAGAATGGCTAGCGTCACCTTCACCGGGTGCGGGGCTGACGAATCGTTAGAGGAATTCACGCGATGGGATTGATGTTTCTAGAGGACTGAGGGAGCCAAGAGTGTGTTTCTGTAGACCAGCAGTTTTTACACGAACACATCTTTGCTGTTGGACACCTGAGGGTAGCCGTGGAGAACTGTGAGGGACTGCAAACAAGAGACCAAAATTTGGGACGATTTTAAGCTCATGAAGCTTGCAAGCCTATGGAGACTGGGGTAGCTTGGTTGGAAACGGCAAACATCTGTGCTTTTCTTGCAGTGGGTCAAAATTCTGGAACGTCATCCCAGCAACCACCCACCTGGATTGTAAACATCCCACTTGCGACGGCCGGCATTGAGGATCATCACAGTCGACCTCCATCAGCATTCTCGACTTTCAGCAACGCACTTCCCGCGCAATTTTCAACAACAGGCCATTAGGCTCAGTCTGCTCCATTTGGTCAGCATAAGATGTCTCTTTTACGTGCAAATGCTCCGACTCTACCCTACTGACATTGCGGTCTAGATAACACAAGTCCGGAGCGATAACCGACACCAGAGACCACGATGACTTCCTTCATAACTACCGTGTATGTGACTCTTTCCCAACAACTGCGAGTCGTGCACCAAAAAATGACGCCGTAACCATTCCATATCTACTCATCTGCCTCCGGCTAACACACCAGGCCTCTAGTAACCAGCGCACGCGCAATCAATTTCGCCCGCGACCAGGCCGGGGTGGCAGCACCAGCTACCAGCTCCGCCAATATGCCGAAGCTACACTGGGCGGCGGAAGTTTGCGCAAGGTGGTGAAGCTGCCCGAAGGCGAAGATGAGAACGAGTGGTTGGCCGTGAACATGGTGGATTTCTACAACCAGATCAACCTCCTGTACGGCGCCATCACCGAGTTCTGCTCGCCCCAGTCGTGCCCGGAGATGAAGGCCACTGACGAGTACGTGACAACTCACCCTGCTTCGAATTGCATGCAGTCGTATCTCTACCCCGGAGATCTTCCACTAATATGCTTTCAACGAAACAGATTCGAGTACCTCTGGCAAGACAACGACACCTACAAGCGCCCGACCAAGATGGCAGCGCCGGCCTACATCGAACAATTGATGAGCTGGGTCCAAAGTAACATCGATAATGAAGCCGTGCTTCCCTCTCGAATCGGCGTGCCCTTCCCTAAAACGTTCCCCAGCCTTGTCCGCCAGATCTTCAAGCGCATGTACCGCGTCTACGCCCACATCTACTGCCACCACTACCCGCCCATCCGCGAGCTCGGGCTCGAGCCCCATCTCAACACCTCCTTCAAGCAGTATGTGCTCTTCATCGACGAGCATAACTTGGCCAGTGGCAAGGACTTCTGGGGTCCGCTGGGCGATTTGGTCGAGAGCATGCTGAGAAGCGATTAGAGTTAGTAGGTTGGGGGGTAGATCGTCGTTTTCTTTTGGCGGAGAGAAGAGAGAAAGTTGCTTTGGTGATGAGATGATACCTACGAACAGCCTAGCTAAATTGGGCGTGGCATGTGCTTGATTGATTCATTGGCTGGCTTTGGCGTTTAGATGGATACTGGTTTTTGCAAACTTAGAGAGCCAGGGCAACGGCAGGGTATGAGAGTAACCGAGGAATTGCTTATGATGAAGAGTTTCCCCTTTTCTCGTTTGATTACGGATGTATACTACTGGAAAACACAACATGCGGACTTCTGCTGGCCGCTAGGGTGCTCATTGACCGTCAAACACTTCGATCACGTAAAGGCTTTGAGTCATCAATGTGGGCTCGTGTTATTCATAGCGTTTCTCAAATGTTTTTGTCCATTTACAATTCTTTGTTTCCCTCTGGAAATCTGTGGTATGAGCTCACCCACTTGAACCGTAATCCCCGAATTAAACATGCTGAAAAGGCCTCCGTTTGCGTTTCGATGCTGAATGACCATGCCACACCGTCCACTGATACGCCGCCTCGTATGCTTGATTCTGCGCGCAATTTACGCAATTGCCATACCGAACAATTAGTCATCGACATCTTCAAGAGCATTAATTCGTTTCTTGAAGAACTCAAACGCCGAAAAGAAGACCGCGTTCACCGCGGCCGAACGCCCCATGGACACGCCTAAACCTCTGTACATGTCCTTTCGGAAAAAGTGAATTTTGGGAATGGGGACTGTCTCCCCTTTCGAATGCATCAAGGCGTTTCGCTGGTAGATACTCTTGACTGAGTCGATGGGATCTGGAAGCACGAACGTCAGCTCAGGTCGCTTGAAGATAAACCGCCGATAGACCCACATATCAAGGCCCACGACACAATGCCGCATAGAGCCCCGGCAGCTAATACGGCAATGGGATTCTTGTGAGCATCTTTCCCACTGAAGGTCGTCAATAGCTGCTTGCTGCTTTCGTACGTGGCGAAGTATATCCCCGTTCCTAGCGTATCCCTCACTGCAATATGTCTGTCAGTCCTTCCAGTCACCGGAGACCTCAGCTCGATGCAACTCACAAAGGTGCAGGTTCAGCCCAGTGTACATCCCCGACATGCCGCGATGCTTGACGATGTTCCGGAGAGTATTGATGGTTCCCTTGTTATGATAACTCATAGCAATCTCCTGTCGCTTGGGGTCTGCGTTTTTTTGAGTCGCCATGAGCACGGAAACTTGGGCGCTCAGCTTGGTCAACTCGAAGGGGCCTGCAAATCGGGTTAAGTAGCTGTTCAGAGACAATGCGTTGCCGCCGCGGTGCTTGCCAACTGACATGCGATAAAGGTAATACCCGAACCAGCAGTTGCCCCTGCGGCCCCAAAACACGCCATGGTGCCCAAGTTCGGATAGGCGCCGTTCTTGTTGACATGTTCAAGTGGGCAGAATCCAAGATTCTTTCCCATCCAGTCGGAATAAATGTACTTGGAGCGTTGGTAGATGGAGAAGGATACGGTTCGTACAAGAGTTACACTGGCTAGGGGAGCGGTTACACCTAACCAACGTTTGGATCAGTGGACAATTTTCCGACATCAACATCTGCCGCGCGTTGCCAGTGCTGGGTGCGCGTACCTCGAAAGAAACCTCGCATGCCCTCCTCCCGATACGTCTTACGAACACAGTCGAGAAATCCATTGTAAGGGTAGGTCTGCAATCGAGTCTTGACACTGTCGAGAGGAAATGCGGTGATGGTGGATAGGACACTGGCCGAGCTGGCTGACACCTCGGTGCGGTAACGCTTTATCCACCGTCGTGGTTTCTCACTACTTCCGCTAATCTGAGGCATGGTCCGGGTCCGAAGCGGTTCGCTGGTGACATTTTGGAACTTGACTTCAACGGGCATGCTGCAGCGGGTCGAATCGTACTGCGGGGCTTCAGACAGTGGCCTCGGACGAGACCAGAGTCATCAGCGCGGTCGCGATACTATGGCGGCAACTGCTGGCTGGACTGTTGTGCCATCAAGATTGACCAAGATTCCCAGGTTGCAAGGTAGAAGATGGTTAGAGAAGGCTTTAGATGCGGGGTTGCAGGTGATGATGATGAGCTCTTTGTATTCCCACGAGAGAGCTGTTAGGGAAGCGTGGTGGCTCAAGGTAGTCAATCCACACTCATGGAAAGCTTTATCGAAGGTCAAATCAAACCAATCGGTAGAGGTTTGAGGTAGGAATCAATGATTTGACGGTTTGATTTGCGGGGTTGGTAAGAGAGCAAGCACACAGACACCTTGCCGTATCTCACGGCGGATGATGGGGGCGAGGCCGTGGTACGAGTGGAGTGGTCTGAGCTGGTTTAAGCTGAGCTGGGTGGGTTGGAACTTGACCAAAGCGGTTAGAGAAGGGGGTGTCGCACGGTTCATCCCCACATAAGATCGTCAATGAATATTGTTCAGTCTCCCAGGAATTAAAACGTTAGCGTACTACTCCCCCACAATACTTAAGAATCTTACTGGATTCTGGTGTTCGTGAGCTAATCAGGTCCTAGCGTGTAGAAATCTGCTATGTTGAGGCACTGAAGATCCTACACAGATTGTATGTGTAGATCAGTAACTTAACATAGTCTAATTCCCACGCTAACGTTTTAAATCCTGGCAGAGGTGTTGAGTGGTTGCATGGTCAAAAGCGTAAAGGGCATAGGGATGGACGCCGATCTGTTGTAAGGGATTGGACATCGGAACTCGAGCAAGCAGATGCCCAATTATTAGTTGATTCGTCACCAATAACTCTCAGATCATCCTGTATAGTTTATAGTCGAGTATACCCACCTGTCGTGCCGAGCTTTACTGAGCTAGATGAATTCCTGCTTTGCCACGATGACACCTAGATTACTTAAATACACTACATAGCTTTGCTAGACACCACACGAAACATCCAAAGTTCCTAAGACCTGGGAGGTCGGAAGAGTATCGTCGCGTGTCCTGCTATCTCCACTACCTTCGAGAGCAACTTGGGTAACATAGTTGGGAAGGGAAATTCAACATCTCATTCATAACATACGTCATCGAGCATGTACAAAGTACCGTTTGAAAGATCGCCAATGCACAACAGAGCGGACAGCCAAATCAGACATAGGAGTTCAGCGTATCCCCAGTCGGATTCTAGTGTACAACTATACAGAATATCAATGCAGGCAATGCAATTTTCCGCCCAGAAGGAATTGATCTGAGCCCATTCTGACTCTTACCCAGCCTATCAGAGTTATTCATGATTGATATACCTGTTCGCAACCTTTTCCTTCCGTTGACTTCGGCAATGCAACTTGAGCTAACTTGCCGATATTGGGCGTCGCATTGGACGACATTTCCTTTGCACATGCCACAGCTGACGTGAATTTTGGGATGGCGTCGGCTTATCTCTGAGCTGACGACATTGCGTGTCTGCTTTAGGTGAAGTTTTCTCCTCGTCCAGATGGTTTCGTGTGGCCCCTGTAAATGTGCCGAGCAAGTTGCTGAGGGGTTCAATTCATGATCGAGTGAGGAACACCAAGACCTTAGTCAAATTGATCACAGACTATACCAAATGATTGAGTCGAGATGTCGTTGAGCCATTCTTCCCAGATTCCGAGGGCTTCACAGCTTGCCGGTAAGATATTGAACTGTAGCGTAGAGTCTGAGGGCACGTCCTGTAAGCCTTTGAGTCCGTCAACGCGGCTTGCGAAACATAGTCCTGCTAAGTATGCGCTCCAATGTGCTCATCGCAAGCAAAGTCCCATGGACTTATTGAGCATTGCCACAGTCATATCGTAGTGCTTGTATGCCGTAGCTTCAACATGTTCTTGAAACTCGGTTCTGTGATATTTTAGTTTTCAGGCTTAGCAGGGCAACAGCCAAGACCAGACCACTCACGTTTTTCTCTTGGTCCTCTTATCGTGCATCATGAAGTGCCACGACGGCCGACGATGATAGTATCTCCAGAAAGCCACAGTCAAGAGATTCTTGAGCACTGCATGCTCCAACCCACGGGCTTTGGCTGCCGCATCTAAAAACCGCAACGTTCGACCGACGCCTCTAGGGTCTAACACCGCGTTTTTCTCCCGGAATGCTTTCCTGAGCTGGTCTCGAGCTACATAGCGTGCTGGTTTCGAGAACTGCACGGCATGCAGAAGCCCGCGGTATAGATGGCGATATGCGTGGATGGTTTGGCTGTTAACCATTGTGGTGACGGTACCCAGACGTCCTGGCGGGGTAATTTCACATGGACAAGTCGGTTGCGACTGGTTGTTACAAACGACGAACTGTTATGAAGATTGCTTCGATTGGTACAGCTTCGAATTCGGCAGGTGGGAAATTACGCCGCCTAGGCCCTTAGACCCTGTCACTTCACTTCAGTGACGTCTGGTTAGCGCGTTGATCCATTTTAAACCTCCGTGTTCGCCGTTCGATTGTCGTTTGATGCCCGTCACACCTTTACTCGAATCATCCGACCAACCCCATTTTGAACTTGGGAACTTTGATATTTGGAAGTTGTTACGCTCTATGCGGTGTACACAACTTTTTTCTGTCGGGCTGAGGAGAGACGCCTACATATATCCATCAACAAACCTCGAATGTTGTGTATCTTTCCTCGTCCCAGCCAGTCCCATGGCATGACGGCTCATCAACACATCCGTCCAATCGTTTGATATCGCATCCATACTGCAATGTCCTCGATGGTCTCGGAGTTCATCATAGGGCCGGCGCTTCGACAAGTCAGACGCTTCTCCCGTTCCAGTACCACGACCGAAACCGAAACCACCTACGCCGCTGCGAATGACAGAGCCAGAGAATCACCAGCAATCCACGAAGATGCCACATCAGAAACTGAAGAGGATTCGTATTTCAGAGATGAAGGGAATGAAACCTCTTCTCCTTCCGTCTCATCACAGAGCTCCGCGACCCCAAACCTCGTCCACGATTACAGCAGACCAACTGCATCAAATATTGCGCACAATGATCACTCCACATCTTCTCGGGATGTAGCCCCTGAACTTTCTGTCGTCGATCAATCAGACATTGCCGTGCCGAATAATGCAATGAGCCAACTGGGCTTCACTGACAGACCGACCCCCTTCGTATCCGCCACTGAAAATGCTATCACATTTACCGACACACCCGCAAGTGCTGCTAGTTCAGTCCCCGCCGGCCAGAAGAAGACATTACCAGAAGACGATGGAATGGGCAATTTGCGGAGAAGGATACAGGATATACAAGGGAGCGACCTCCCACCAGATGAGAAGGCTCGCTTGATGCATATGCTGTTGATGGAAGGTTACACCAAGTCGCATATTGTTGTTCAGTCTAGTCGCCCTTTAACGCATACAAATCCTGTAAGTTTTGAGCAAGTTCAAACACAGGGCCCCCTCGAAACCCTCAACAAATTCTGGCAGAGCCCGTTCGGCGACTCTGTTCCTGCAAACAAATTCATTTTGACCGAGGAGGATATCAAACCAACCTTTGCTCCCCTAAAGCCTGACGAAGAAGGGTCGGAATACCGAGCTCTCGGGTGCGAACACTATAAGCGCAATGTCAAGATGCAATGCTCAATCTGTGGGCGCTGGTACAACTGCCGGTTCTGCCACGACAACGTCGAGGACCACACCTTGATCAGAAAGGAAACTAAGAATATGCTTTGTATGTTCTGTGGCACAGCCCAGCGAGCCGGGGAAGTATGCACCAACTGCGGAGAATCAGCCGCTTCTTACTACTGTCACATCTGCAAGCTTTGGGACAATGATCCGGACAAGAACATATACCATTGCAATGACTGCGGGATCTGCAGGATTGGAAGAGGACTTGGAAAGGACTTCTTCCATTGCAAGGTAGGACCCTCTTGTATAGAGCACGTCTGGAGGCTTACATGCTTACGTATTCCTTCAGAGATGTTGCGCCTGCCTAGCTATCAGTATAGAGAACGACCACAAGTGTATCGAAAGGTCGCTAGACTGTGACTGCCCCATTTGCGGCGAGTATATGTTCAACTCCCCCCGAGCAGTCTGTTTCATGAAGTGCGGCCACGCCTTACATCGCGACTGCTATGATGAGCACATCAAAAGTGCATACAAGTGCCCCATTTGCAACAAGAGCGTTGTGAATATGGAAACACAATTTCGGAACCTCGACATGGCTATCCAAACTCAACCCATGCCCGAGAGATTCCAAGACACCCGGGCAGTCATTCTTTGTAACGACTGCTCTGCTAGAACTACAGTCAAGTATCACTGGCTAGGGCTCAAGTGTGCTGTGTGTCAGTCTTACAACACATCTGAGCTTCAAATACTGGGTGTTGAGGCTGAGGTTGGCACTGCCGAAATCGCCACCATGAATGTATCTGATACTCGACTGCCGGAATCAGCAGCAAACACAGGAACATTAGAAACTCTAAATCCCGCTGCCGCGTCAAGTGCACGAGACATTCCTCAGCGGAGGCGCCACTCGTCAAACTTCATGCAATTGAGTACTGAAAACATCGAAGGAGACGGCCACCATGGCATCGGATCCTACGTGGTTCAAAACAGACTAGCAAGATCCGTCTCGCCGTTGCCCACTATCACGCCTGCAAGGTCCGCTGGCAGTCCTCAAGCAGGGAACGAAGACTTGGAAGAAGAGGACTATCTTGTTGGCTTCTGGGGCCGGGCACCTCGAAGTTTAACGTCTAACGAGGACCTCCAAGACCAACACAACGCAGATATTGAATCGCTTTCATCGCTTGGCGACGAAATGGAGGAGGATGACTCGGAGGGCGAAGAGGAACAAATCAATCTGTTTGGCCACCGATAGCGACAGCTGTTGGACACATGGGTCGTTCTCGATGCATAAAAGTAATTGGCGTTTGGTTGAGTTGCAATACACTGGGAAAACAGGACTGGGCAGGTCTGTTGGGATAAATGGACTCCTTTCAGTGGCTACGTACAAGACTGGCCATGATACGCAGGGTTGGCTTTCATGTCAGTCACTTCAGGGATAAGAGTCCTGGAAATCATGAGACAAGACAAGCTAGTCTAACGAGACGCCACGATAGACAGAGTCCGGGCGAATAAACCAGCTTTTATGTCTATATTAATAATACCACGCAATATGCCCCTGGATCTGCCCGTGAACTCCAAACGCCACCAGTGCATGGAAACCGTCACGCCTTCAAAGCTCATGACCTCAAGCTTCCTGACCTCGATCCTGAGCCCTGAACTTGTCCTTCTGAGCCTCTTTCCGCAAAAATTGGATCACAGCCTAAACAAGTCAGCTCTCAAAATTCTGAAATCATTGGGGGAACTGATGACTCACTGCCAATGCCTCCGGGTTCACACCATTCTCAATCATGGAGATGCAGATGGACAGCGTCCGCCGGTCGAGATGACAGTTCTGCGGTTACCGAGTTAGAATGGCTTGTCTGTTTGTGTGACACCACAACACCATGCCATTGCATGCTTACGAGGATGGTAGATATCTCGTGCAGAATGTCGACGGCCTGCTGAGCCGCGGCTTGCTTCTCGCCATCGTTGGGTGGCTGCGATGGCGGAGGCATGGTGACGACTGACGACTCATTAATTGATGACAGGGAGTGTCTGTCGCGGTGTAGTTTGACAATTGAAGACCATGGACGCGTTGAGGGGCACGGCAATCGGTGGAAGTGGGGTTAGGCGGCGTACGGAAATGTGCACCTAGTTCGAAAGTGCAAGCGAGCTCTGTCTCAGATAAGCTCAACCAGTCCTGTAAGAGCAAGTTGAGGATTGTCGTCGTGCGATACCCCTTTTCTTATTTTATGGTAGCATGCCACAATCAAGTCATCAGTGAAGGCCCAGAGAATTGCAATACCAGAACAAAGCTTAATGAATATCACCCGCTCCGCGTCTCCGGTATGGTTAGCTCCACAGTAAGACACGGCAACGGGGTTGAAACACAGTCAGGTACATCATGAAGATGATCGATCAATGCTCTATTCGTGTAAAATGCAGCATCGCATGGAGAAAGCATACTGGTATCTTGTGAACGCCTCCCGTGAATCCAATTCCCCCTCACTGCTTCACGGCTTCGACAAAAAGCTCCCTCATGCCCTTCAGCAGCGTAACAAGTTCTCTCGATTCGTTCACTCGTTCCAACACCCGTTCCACCTTCTCCCTCTCTAGCTTTGGCCTACAATGTCGGACATCGTAATCTCTAGATGACGTACTCAATTCGAACCAGGCCTCACGCTCCCAGTCCCTCTCGTCAATATGTGTATAGACGAATTTCAGCCTATCCGTCTTCCCAGCCCCTTCAATCGTCAGACACAAATTAGAGATCCAGAAGTCCAGCTCCGGCCCATTGAACCGCGCTTGCGCCTCGATATGCTGGGCATGCGCGCGCTGAGCCGCCAACCGTGCGTCGATCTCCTTCTGTGTGGTCTCGATCTGCTTCTTCAGTTCATCGCGTGACGCCATGTTCTTATTTCGTTGCTCCGTTAGCGAGGCGATGGCCGCTTGCATCTCGCGCTTCTCGGCGGCTTCCTTGGCGATGGTCTGCTGGTGGGCGTTGGTCCTGAGCTGTAAAATCTCCATGTCCTTCTTCTTCATCCGCTGGTCCTCTGTGCCGTCCCGGTTAGTTACTGTCGCACGTGCTGCAGCAGCGATGCCTGATCATACCTTGAAGTTCGGCTATACTCATGCGGAACTGGTTGCGCTCCTCTAGGACACGCTTCCGTCCTTGTTCGATAAAGGTATCGAACCGGGCGCTAAATTTGGCCATGCGGTCGCGCAGCTCGTCGAAGCCGAAGTTGATGCTTGGCAGCGAGTCTGCCATGGACGGGGCTGTGGCCGACATTGGTAGCTGCCGGCTCAGGCTCGACGACATCGAGGGCTCAAACATTGAAGCCATTGCGCTGTAGTTCGATGCGATTTTGGGATTGGTTTGGAGGGTTTCGTATGTTTGCGACGAGGTTGCAAGTCGGGTTTCAAGTGGGCTGTCAGAGTTCCGTGATGCTCGACAACTTTGTTTTGATTCCGAAGGTACAGGTTGCCGAGCGCCGTCTGCAGGGGCCAGCGCTAAGAAAAAGATAAAGCGTCGATTATGAACTTTTTAGTGGGGCGTCTGCAATTGTCGAGCGCCCGAGCTTTCCTCATTCATTTCTAGAACAACTCTTTCAGATCAGTCCTTTTCGCATTCAATATTTTCGACTCGTCTGTACTGACACCAAATCTTGAGTGCTGGTTTCTTACTAGAGCCTCTCTCAAATACGCCCGCCTCACCATTGTTACGCAGCGCTGTGTGACTGGCTCTCTATTATGTTCCGTCACAGTCAACTGATATCAGAGAGGAAATTTGGGTTGGGTCTGCCGGATGGCTGACCAGCGTACCGACTCATCATCGTTTGGCCACCCAGGACGTCTGACATATTTTCCGTACGGATTACCGAAGGCGGAAGAATGCGGTTGGCAAACTGCTCGAAATCATGATCCCGAAGGTAGTCCAAGCCCAACAGGCCTCCATCACTCATATCGGCTAACACAGTGGCAAGCTCCAAGGTTCCAAGAGATTGGTCCTAGTCAGGAATGGTTCCCAGTGTCTCGCAGCCTCAGTTCTTCCACAACGAACGAAACCTGGCGGAGTACCCAGAGACAGAGTGTATGGCTACTAAAAAACCACCCAGTGGCGGCCCTGGGCAACGGCGTGCTCGGGGAAGCACTGTCTCTAGCCAATTTGTCATGCCGCCCTAATCAAAGCACGCCTTGGCAACGGTCGCAGCTTGCCGTCGGTGAAATGGCCGACACTAGTAATCCACAAAAGACCGGTACGGCGTCCCTTGTCGCCATGGCAGCTGGTCCAGCCGGCGACGTTTTACGGCTGGTGAGACCGACGACAGAATATTGGAAATGGGACAACGACGAAAGCGTAGCACTTCGACTCTCTGGCCATGAAAGCATCCAGCAAACCCTTTGGACGAAAGACATCGGCACTATCCGGCAGATATCAGCTGTCGTTAACACGAAGAGATTCGAGCCGGTGCGCTGGTTGGTGGTTCAGCGAGACTGGGGAACCTCGGTCTTTCAACCAGAATACCAAAAGGCTCCAGTCGTATCCGAATCCGTTCCAGCTGCAGGTTCTCGAGAGCCTTCTCGTATTGCACCAAACCCGCTGTTCACTCTGTTGAGGAAGCATACTGGATGTGATTTTCACTCTGATGCATCTTTCAACCCGAGTATAAGATCGAAACCATCACAGCTTGCCATCATCGATGAAGGGGGCAATTGGACAATTTGGGACATTACTCGGATTCGAAGCAAAGCTTCCAATCGGCCGCAACTGCGTCTACATAAATACGGGTCTATTCAAAAGGGCCTCAGGGAGCAACTGTCTCACAAACCCGCAACGGATCCCCAGTCGCATAGAATTCTTTGGGTTGGGTCTTCTGCCGCTAGTCATGATGACTGGTATGACTCCGACGATGAGGACGATGCCGAATCCCAGTTCAACCCTGCATTCCCACCACTACAACGAAGCTCAACTTTACTCTTGTGCAATTCTAAAGCTGTTCGGTTATTCGATCTTGACACTGACTCTTTCTTGCCCGACCTAGAGTTCATCCCTGAGGGCAGTGTCGAGACCATTCTTGATGTTCAAATCAATGTTCAGGACCCGCGATATGTGTTTGTCGCAACGACGTCCAAAGTTTGTGTGATGGGAATTCTATCCTCGAGTGACCCAACGCTCGAGAAAGGAGAAAAGAGAGCACTTGTCTTGCATTCCTTTCCACACATGCGGGATAGTTATGACCAGAATCTGAAGCTTTCTGTCACCTCTGGACCTCGCCACTCATCTGATCACCGGTTATCTCTTGTGTTTATGTACTCTGAGGGAAGCAGTTGGTTCGACATATTTTATTTCAGCATGTCCAAGAAAAGACCAGACCAGGTCAGCTGCTACCGTGATACCATGGTATCCGAGGGGGTCTCAAACGCTGGCACGGGTCGGAGTCTACAGAAACTTCATATAATTCCTACCGCTGTCACAGCACAGCGTGAACAAGTACCGACTGCGGGTGCCCGCCTGCTCACAGATCAAAGAGTGCGGTACTATCAAATGTTCTCACTTGGAATTGATTTGAGCTTGAGCTGTTCCCTAGGTGCCTGCTTGAGCCAGGATTGGAATCAGACGTTGATTCCAAATAGAAAGGTCGCTAAAAAATTGAACGAGTCGGAGCGGCGGAAGCTGATTCGCTACCTTGGTTCTCGCTTCGTCGTCCCGGATCAGTTTGCAGGATTCTATAATGGAAGCAATGTCACTAACCCGAAATGTGGTCACATTCCCCGTACAACATTTGGTCAATCGCATCGAAGACTCATTCGTGGAGTGTACGAACATCTTCAAAACATATCCGAGGAAGCAGCTGGCAGAATTGAAGGGACGCCCCTAGATATGGAAATATTTGGTGCAGCTCCTTTTGATCCTGTGTATGTCACAGTTGAGACGGCACTAGAAACAGGAATCTTGCCATCGAAGACCTTGTAAGTTGCACTTTGGAGTTGTGCAGCCGCTGCTTGCTAATCAAGTAACATGATAGGTGTGAAATTATGCACAACTTGAAAGTTCCACGAGATATGGATGCGGCTACATTCGAGTGGCAGGAGGAGATCGACCGATTGGAGCCAATTGATCCAGCGCTCAAAGTCATGAGTCTGGCTGGTCCTCGACGAGGTGGCCCAGAAAGCTCGTCTCTATATGACATATTCACCAGATTGCTAGACGTCGTTTCGGATGCCATGCAATCTGCTGTTGTTTCAGAGTTGCATAAAGAGGTAATAGCTTCAATCACCCGCCGAATCGCGTGCGAACTTTACCTATCTCGATTCAGCATGATGTTCAGGCCAATGGACTTGTTTAGGTCTCGGCTACCTGAGTCTCTCAACATTGGCTCTCCAACGAACTTTTCTGACGCTATGCTCATTGACAGCCAACCTGGCAGCCAGCCTTCGTCGCCTGCGTCCTCCACATTCTCTGGGGTAACGAAGTCAGAACCCGCTGAAGATGTAGAAGATCGGTCACTTGCTCTGATCAGGGTATACACCGGCTCTGGGACGTCTGTAACTGCGAAGAAATCGGAGTTGTTGTCTACGTGGATAGAAGGAGATGACCCTGCCAAATATGTCTTCAGCCTTGACAAGAGCGCAGAAGTTACGCCAGGCATACAGAGAAGGGCCAAACAGCAGGCACGGGAAGCTAAGAAGCGAAAACGGGTGGAGTCAATTCGCAAACGCCTCGAAGAACGGGACCTGAATCATGTGTCATCAACTCAGCCTGCAGTGTCGAACCGCTTCAGCCAGGTAAGCCAGCCGCTCAATGAGTTCTCACAGCCGTGGATCGGGCCACAAATCGCCATGTCTCAACCTACTGCAGGAGCATTTGGAAGTAGGTCGCTTCTAGATCGGCCGAACAAAAGGGTGAAACGCAAGGGGGGGTTCCGATAGCTGGGCGTAGTTGCTCACGGTTGTGGTTTATCGGGAGGTAGGAGAGAATCCGGGGAGCAGCTGGTTGGAGTGGGCGTGGCGTTTGTGGGCACCAAGGTGTGCGGCCTATTCGAAATAAGTTTCAGATATAATCGATATATTGTAGAACGCATATGTTCAGCTGAGGTCATGCTCATGATATCCTCGTAATTCTAGACACAAACACAGGCGCTAGACTCATGTGCTCACTCCTGTATGATTTTCCGATGGCATTCGTCACAACCCAAGCTGGATGGATTATGGACTTGGATGCCTGCACGGGTAGAGACATCCGTGACGAATACTTGCATATGCCATTCCAAGGCAGGAGCCATCATATGAAAACTGCAAAGTAATGTTTGTTGGTTTGGACTCTTGAAAAGCAGTTGGCATTTTGGCAAGCACACCCCGGAATTCCTCGGGCATTTTAACTGTTGGCGACCCCCCACTTCATCCAACAAATTGATGCACCATTGCTCTCATCCACAACCTCCAGAGTGGTAACTTTGGTAACCACATCAAGATCAAATATTCCGTGATTGTTTTCTTGTACACACCTCACCAGATACCTTCGTCATGTCTCATTGCCACGGCGAACATGCCGGCCATGGCGGTCACGACCATGATCATGCGCACGACCACAGTGATGACATAACGCCAGCTCTGCAGCACAGCTTATACCAGCACATCAACTTCGACGGCGTTGAGACGTTGAACGAAGCCCAAGCCGACTCAGGCAAGGCTATCGTCAGGAAGACGTGGGAAGAGCATCTCCAAGAGCAGCCGGAGCTGGCAAGCGATGCAGATGAGCAAATCCTCATGAACGTGCCGTAAGCATTCTGATCACATCTGAACTCATCTCATCCAAGAATCTGCAAAAACTAATATATAAATTACAGCTTCACGGGCCAAGTAAAGCTTCACTCAATCCTCCTGCGTACTTCGCCGTCAGATTCAGCGCCCCGTACGCTCAAAGTCTTCATCAACCGTGACGACATGGACTTCAGCACGGCCGAGGAGCTAGCCCCGACGCAGGAGTTCGAGCTATCGCAGACGTCCGAGGTGCAGGAGCTTCCCGTCAAGCGGGCGCTGTTTGGCAAGGTGCAGCGGCTGACGCTGTTCTTTGAGGACAACTTTGGCAATGACGATGAGGATGTTACCAGATTGAGTTACTTGGGTTTCAAGGGCGAGTGGATGCAGTTGGGTAGGGCGCCGGATCAGATTTTGTACGAGGCGGCGCCGAATCCGAACGATCATAAGTTGAAGGGGACGAACGTGAATGCCATGGGAAGTGGCATTGGAGGCCGCGGGCCGGGTGCATAAGGAAATGAATGAAGGTAGGGAGGAAGAAAGTCAAGGGGGGCATTGCATCAAGACGGTTACGGATACGCTCACGGAAGGGAATAGGCCAACGTACTTTTGTCACGAATGAGTTTTACTGCATTGAGATTCTTCGGAACTGCCTTCCTATCGTGTTTGCATACACGCATGCAACTACATGAAGTCATCCTCCCAGTCAGAACCACGATCCTGATTACTCGACGCCGCCATGTTCTCTTCAGTGAACAAATCATCATACGCATGGTCCTTCTGCCACTTCTTCTCCTGATACTCCTTGGCCTTCTGCTCCTCCTCCTTCTTCCTCGCCAACTGCGTCGCGCGATCCCGCTTCCTCAGCTCGCGCTGGCGGTGCTCTCGCTCCTGCTGCAGATCCGGGTGCTTCTCGACCTTGGTCTTGTTGAGGCGGTTGATGATGGCGTTCTCGCGCTGGGGCACCAGTACCCGCTTCACCTTGCGCGGGTCCTTGAAGCTGACCTGCCCCACGGCCATGCTGCCGTCCTTTTTCAGGTTCGACCACGGCGTGTAGATAATGGTCACGTTGTCCTTCTTGTTGCCCTCGATCGAGTTGGCCTTGGTTAGCTGCGCCAGGTCCGTCACTAAAGGCTCCGGGATGGCGTCCCAAGTTTCGCCCTCGCGGAGGCGCAGGTAGATGTGGGCGCTTGACAGCTTGTCGGCGTGGAACCTGATGGATCTTTAGTGCCGTGCATAGTTATGAGCGAGATGCAGCATGATCTACCAGACATCTTCTTCCCAGCCAAATTTAATCAACTCTTCGTCTACGAACCGGTCAGTGAGATGTTGCAAGGATATACGAGAGGGGGCCTGAGAAGCAGCTTTGAGAAGTATAGCCCAGATACACACATGATCTAGCACAGTTCATATTCTCATGTTTCATATATCATGAACGCTCGATAAGAGCGAGCGCATATCTCATCAGACGCGGTCGACTGCTGCATTCCACATCTTGGAGCATTTTGTGTCAGCTGGCGGGGCGCACTCACTCTCGAATTTGTCCTTGCCGACATAGACATAAGCCGAAGGGTCCACGACGGACGATGTAAAGTAGAAGACCATTTTCCAGCAAGAAATCGGTACCGGAGTACCAGTCCTGACCTGTTATTATTAGAAGACTTCAAATGGCATGCTGATAACTAGGAATGAGAGGTGTCAAGGGTCGAAGGTCTGTCGGCTCAGCAGCCTTTGATAACTGCGTAAATGGTCAGCTCAGCCCGCCCTAACTTTTTAGATCGGCCGTAGCGGGTCCTCGTTTTTCGCTTCATCCAAATTCTGGAAGCTCTAATTCGGCCAGGAGCCAACTTCAGATCACGACGACCAACCGGCCATCGCGACGCCTGTTCGTCACCAACGACAAATTCACAATCCGCATTCCTGTCAAGCTGCCCCCAGCGACCATGGCACCTCGGCTGCCAGCCTGCTGGGCAGCTGCCCTCTCGAGAGCCACCACCGTCACTCATCAAATCCTCATCACAGAACACCACGCCCTGCTCCCACGAACAGCCAAGCGCGGCGTCAAGTACGGCTGGAACACGACCGTCCCACCCCGATCCAAGAACGGCCGCTTTAACCAAGTCTCCGCCGGCCTGCCCATACCTACCGCGGGTCCCGCAGCTGCCCTCAAGCGCAAGGAGAAGACGACGCCTCTGCGAACGGGCGTGCTGGCTGTCAAGAAGGGCGTCAGCGCCATGTACCACGAGGGCCGCCGGACGCCATGCACGATTCTGCAGATGGACCAGGTCGAGGTAGTTGCCTCCAAGACGCGGGCCAACCATGGGTACTGGGCTGTGCAGCTTGGTTGCGGAGAGAAGAGGCCAGCCACCGTCACGGCGCCCATGTTGGGCTACTACGAGGCGAAGGGCGTAGCGCCGAAGCAGCACCTCGCCGAATTCAAGGTGCGCACCGAGGACGGCCTGTTGCCCGTGGGCGTGCAGCTGCAGCCGGATTGGTTCAAGCTGGGCCAGTTCGTGGACGCCAGGAGTAACAGCCGCGGTATGGGGTTCGCTGGTGGTATGAAGAGGCACGGCTTTGCCGGTCAGGGCGCGTCGCACGGTAACTCGAAGAATCACCGGACGATCGGTACTACGGGTCCCAGTCAGGGAGGCGGCTCGCGTGTGCACCCGGGCAAGAAGATGCCGGGACGGATGGGCAACGAACGGGTAACGGTGCAGAACCTCAAGGTGCTGAAGGTGGACAACGAGACGGGCATCATTGCTATCAAGGGACATGTGGCTGGTCCCAAGGGCTGCATCGTCATGGTGGCCGATGCTATCAAGAAAGACCCGCCGGCGCAGACCTTTATTGACAAGATGACGAAGAAATTGTTGGAGAGGCACCCGGATGCGGAGGCACGGCTGGAAGAGGCGAGGACGCGACATATGGAGCTCAAGGAGTTGAGGAAACAAGGAAAGATCGCAGACGTCGTGCCGCAAGAGGCGCTGACGCCGCCAGCTACGGCACCGGTTCGGTTGTAAGTGAATTTGTGTGAAGCCCGTTTGTATTATATACATATTGTACACATAAAGCACGATGCCAACCGGTACAGACATCATATAGAGACCCCTCGTCTCTCTCACACCTGATCTCTTCCACATACCCCTAGCCCCTGGAGAACCTTGGTTCATTGCACTGTGACTCTGCACCAATCCCAGCACATCCAGCCATACCCTCTCTCGCGGCCTCACTTGAGCTGCTGCCTAAACCCCCGAGTCGCCTCCTCCTTCTCTTCATCATCCATTCCGATACCCGCAATGCCCTTAAACGGATCCTCCCCATCGAGCAAATCAATCACCCCGCCATCCGTTCTCTCGAGACTCCATTCAGTCGTCTCAAACATGCTCTTGGCCCCCTGACGGAAACTGGTAAAGCGCATCACTCCCGTATTCTTGGAGCCCTTGACAGAGAAGCGGATGTCGATACGCCCCCGCAGCTGGTTCATTTCGCCACTGATCCACGGTATCTGGTGCTTAAAGTAAATCTCGTCGCCCAGGTACTCACGGGCTTTGCGCGACATGCGCAAGGAGTAGAGCGTCGAGGCCACGATGGGTGAGGAGAGCTTCTGGTAGTTGAAGATGGCCACGCTCGAGACGACAATGAGGACGACGAAGATGGGGAAGGTATGGCGCCAGCGGAAGGTGACGGATTCGACGCCTATCAAAAACACGTGTTAGTCGACTGCTTCATGGAAGTAAGTAACGAGGGCAGCGTACTTGGTAACTCGCGATCCGATCGTCTCTCCATCAACGGGCCATCGCCTGCCTTGGGGGCGCGGACGAGCGTCCGTCTCTGCACTACGGTCCGGCACGTTGGGCTGCGCAGTACGGGGAGGATCCGACTGCGTACTATCCGAGAAAACATTGTGATTTGGGTTTGGATGTGGGGATGGGGAGATCGGAAAGAAACCTCAAATGTTGAACGATTCTCAAATCATCCCACCACCACATTCGAGGCCAAGATTAGATATCGCTTGCCAAAAAGTCGGCGGCCCGGGAACTTCAGGTCCCGCTGCATGCAGACAGGATCCGCTACAGGGTAGCTACCCGACTTCCTAGGCTTGATGGGGCAAAGCTCCGACGTCACTTTCTTGAGCTCCAAGGCTGCGACACGAGCTCCAAGAGAGACAAACTCTGAATACAAGCGAGTGAGCTGTCATCCAACGTCCATGTGACAATATCGACGTGCCCCTTTCCAACCTCAGAATCTGCAATCTTGGCTCGGTCTCCCACCAACCACAGACCTCACGATGCCAACCTAAACCCACGAACTCTCAGACACCTCCCATCCCAACTCTAACATGGATATCCAACCCACCACCTCCCGTCTCCGCCGCACCTTCGCCTACCCCACCGACTCCGACACCACGTCCTCCTCCCCCGCGGACCTCGCCCTCGACGAGCAAGAACAAGAAGAGCTCATCTCGCAACTTGCGGCGCAAAACGACTTCCGCAATGCCCAGTTCCGGCGCTTTCTGTTCCTGCTACCCATCCTCTCCACAATACCCTACTTCATCTCACTCTTCCACCCTTCCGGCCGCGTGGACGCCATGGTCGCCATGCTAGCCCTGAGCTCGCTCGGTTCGACGGGCTGGATGCTTTATCGGCTGCCGCCAGGTGTAACTGGGGTGGCTTTGTTGGATGCGTGGATAGGCGGTCCTAGATATGGTTCCAATTCAAGTTCTGGCTTGAGCTCGAACGTAGGAGGAGAAGGAAGTGGATCGAGGAGGAATCATAGAGGACGGCGCAGTAGCTTCTCGTTTGCCCAGGAGCCCCACAGATCGCCATTGGAGACGTACTTGCCATATCTGAATATAGGACTATGCGCTGTGCTGATCTTGACGGGTTTGCTGTCGAAGCCTCACGCGCCACAATCGTGGGGACATGTCGGGCTGGGAAACTTGCCGGCAGTGGTGTATGCGGTTGTACTGGCAGCGAAAGCGGTCATGGGCGGTGTTGATCCGGAGAAGGAGTTGAGTGAGCTCAAGTATGAGTATAAGGGTGCATAAGGTGGTCAGGGATCTATTTCGGATCTGCGCTACACGAGCATACGAAGTGTAGGGAGACAAACCACGACAGGGGTGCAGCCAGTCTTGATGGAGTAACAGAGCTTTGCATTCGGCTATTCTTATTCTAACTCCTGAGTTTGTGTGAATTTCTATATTATATTGACGAAAACAATATATCTTCAGAGCACATGCATACAAATAGCCCCCCCCCCTCCCAACTAAGTCCGCCTCCAACCCCGATCCTATGCAAATCCGTTCACCGATTATATCTTCCCCCTACCACTACACATCTATGGACTCGTTGAATCGCAACACGCCATTATTCTTCACGATGCCGTCAATTCCCTTCGGCAGCGGATCGGCACTGGGATGAGCCCCCAACGTCTTATCTGCCGACTTGTCCACGACCAACGCAAGTCCCTGGGACTTGATGGCGTCCACGAGAGCCGGTACCATGTCCTGTATGGTCATATCAGCGAGGGAGTTCGAGTCCACATCTCGACTAAATAACTTACCAAGAGGCGAGAACAACAGATCAAGCCCATGAAGTTGTTGTTCTGGGCGATCCTAACGGCCTCCTTGATGGACGACGTCCTCCGCCCGCTGCTTTGGATCACGTCAGGCGCCGGCATGGTCTCCTCGCGTCCGAGGTCGTTGCAGAGAAAGACGGGGAAGTTGGGTTGTTTCCAGTTCAGCGTCGTGCAGAGTGTAGGGTTGTAGGAACTGAAGACGACGGATCGGACCATTTCGGGGGCCTGTACTTGAGCCCGTTGCGCCCTAGCGTGGTCGAAGACTTCGGCCAAGATGGCATCCACGAAGTTGTTGGCGTCTACTGTTGGTCCTAGACCCATGCTCCGTTCTTCCTCTTCTGAAGGGTAGAGAATTTGGATGTTGACGTGCATTGTAGCTGGCAACAGTGCCAACGCGTCTTTCAGGGAGACGCCGGCGGTTGCTAGAACACGGTGGATCTCAGCAATGTTCTCCAGGGGTTGAGACGAGATTGCTGCCAGATGAGCTCGACTCGGGCTCTGAGCAGTGATCGTCATGAATTGTTCATAGGATAGCCGTGCGACGGGTATCTCGATCCCTCCGCAGTGCAGCAGCCATCTCGGCCACAAGACTGGAACCCCGTCACTGGTGCATTGTACGAACACTTGTACAAATTCGCCCGATAGACTCGACCCCATAACAAACATACTTGTATGTTGGTCATCCTGACTTGTTGCTTTCCAATACGTCTCGAAATCTGTAATCTCGAGGGGCGCTCCCTGAAAAGGTTTGATGACCTGAGTATTGAAGCTGATCTGTCCGATAGCACGTAGCCGCGGGTCGAAAAGGGGCAAGCAACATCTTCCAGAGCTACGTAGTGAGGCCCGGAAAGTATCCGGGAGAGCGACAGTCTTCGCGATGATCTTAGCACCATACGTAGGGAATACGTCGAAATCAAGAGTAAACGTGTCTAGCTCCTCAACCTGGAATAACACCAATCTGGTGTCCTCCTGAAATGGAAGCATGATGTTTTTGGGGATGAGATCGGTAGCTTTCGACGATATCGTCAATCGTGCTGCAGGATACTTGCTGTCATGGAAAAAGATAAGAGGCTGTTCGCCGCTCTCCTCAAAGCTGAGTTGGACAACGGTCTTTGTATCGAGAAAGTTGTGGCCATATCGCCGAAGTGGTATGATCGGGGGTGGCAGTTCGAGGGCCGGGATAGTGTCTGCGTCGAGGGACATGGGCATAGGACCACTACTGTCCATCGGTGCAAGATACGCACTGCCTTGCGTCATCATGGGGCTTGATTTATTGTCCCTTTGATGGGGCGAGAGCAGTTTCATACACTCTAAATGACCTTCCCATGCAGCATAGTACATGGCAGGCAGGTCTTTCTCGTCGACGATGTTGGAATTGGCACCGATGTTGAGCAGCTCCTGGAGACAGGGAACGTTGCCTTCGCTCGCGGCATGGACTAGGGGCGTCCAACCATACAACTTATCGATTTGATCCAGGTCGGCTCCGAACTGTTTCAGTAACATGAGTAAACGGGGTGTTTGACCCGATCGAGCGACCAGATGTTGAGGATACAACCCCTCTGCATCGGGTAGTATTTGGGCTCCATTTCGCAACAGAAGTTCCACTATCTCAACAGAGCCGTGTTCACAAGCCAGGTTGAGCGGTACATGGTCCGTATCTGATTTAGGGTCTAGTCGAGACGAGGTTGCCAAAATTCGCTCTACGCAAGCAATGTGACCATGGATGATAGCATGAATCAGGGGAGTGAAGTTGTCGTGGTCGATTAAGTCGGCCGTTGCCGCATCGGCTGCAATCCACGTTAGTAATTTATAGCCAAATGGCAAGACTATCTTTCAACTCGTACCTTGGAGGAGCGCATCAACCATATCTAACCGGCCATGCATGCTTGCATAGTGAAGCGGTACCCGACCATAAACGTCCGTTCGATTCACAGCAACCCCATTCGAAAGGCCAACATTCAGTACGAAGGAGTTGCCATAAATAGTAGCCTGGTGCAGACAATTCCTCTCGTTGATATCGTCCTCCGACTGGATGTCCACCAAGTCAGTGGCTAGCAGCACATCCAAAGAAGCTTGAGGGGCTTCGTGGATGGCAGCCAAGAAGGTGCGCGTCACTCTTTCCATCAAAGAGTTGTCCATGGTGGTTGTCGACTCGGACGCCGCTTTCATCCTCGAAAGGAGGTCTCGCAATGACTCCAAATAGCCGAAAATGGCCGTTTCTAAGAGAAGCGTGTCCGCATCGCCTTCGTCGGTTCCAAGGAGGTGTTGGCTGCTGACTATGTGTTCTGGCCGGCTCTCGAAATTGACATTATCCCCTTCTGCCCAGGCACCCAATTCCTGTAAGCTAGTCGTCGCCTGGTCCGACAGCTCGCTAATGACGGGGGCGTTGAAAAATGGCTGCACCTCGACGGCGCGCGAGAGATACAGCTCTTTCGTTTTCGACTTTGACGTCTTGTCCCATTTCTTGAGGATTTTGGAAAAGGCAGTGCCGTTGATTTCCACAAACTGTTGCAGCTTGTTGAGGTCATTGGCGAACTGTTGGAATCCCTCTTGGAGCGTAGCAAACTTGGCCGATCGTCTGGAGACGCCCCGACGAGACTGAAGAACTCTCTTCTTGTCTAGTAAGGTCTTGAGACGTACTTTGAGCTACATCTGTGGTTAATCTCAAGTGGCAAATAGTATAATGCCAGGCAGGTGGAGTGGCATCGCATACCTCGGCTTCTTTCTGCAGGTAAAAGGCATTGACCTTTTCCAATTCTCGTTCCTGTGTCGCACCAGTAAGTAAAGTCCTGCAACATAATACTCCCTGCGCGGGGTAACAGCAGGCCTCTTACCAGTTGAAAGAAGAACTTGGCTCTATTTGCCTGCAGAGCAGCCTGGGAGTCTACAGGGGTAGCTGGGCAGTGAGGGTCATTTTGCGCGCTGAGGATCGGGGTGGCAGATAGTTTCTTGATGAGCTATCGGCACCAGTGTTAGTTGCAGTGGTACAGAATCCAGGTTTCTAACCCTGTGGCCATGATAATGGCATAGGTGCGTTGCCAGGTTCGTACAAAGTAACCCTGCTTTTTTTCCTTTTTTTTCAACCAAGCCTCTGGAACTTGTGTAGTGGGGACAACTTCGTGGTTAGGACTAATCCAAAGGCCGACGCACCTTTTTGAGAGCCTTATAGTTGACAAAACTCGCGGCATACTCGGGCACTTCCAGCTGACGCTTCTGGATCTGCTTGCCGAACTTCCTGAAACAGTGTCAGCTGCACTTGCCCGCAGAGAGACATATCACTATGTAAGGGAATTTGACATTCGTTTTAGGGTGTAAACTGACATAGTGCGGCGTGAGTACCAGCAGCGAGCCCGTCAAGGCTGCTTTGTTTGGATAAAAACCTCGAGATTGGCGATAGGGGGGATAGGATGAGACTCGTCTGTATGGCCGAATGGGTCTGGTAATACGCAGGTGTGCCCAGCTGCAGTAGGGGCCTTGGCGGCGATGTCTTCGCTCTGTGTAAGTGACACCTACGGCTGTGACAGGCAGTCTTTCGACAAGTCTTGTCGAGAACTGGAGGGTTTGATCCAAACAATAATATTGAAGACGTGGGCACGTGGTTATTGTGCTGGCCCAGAGAGTCTTGGTGAAACAGTGCTTGCGATGGCTGGAGCGGCATGCCAGATACGGTAGTCCCAGTAGCGTTGTGTACCCTGCTCGAAGCCTAGTTAACACAAGATCGAATCTGGTTCGCAAAGTCAAGATCATGCAAACTTCGGATAGCAGCCGAACACGACAGGAGACAGAGCTGCACCGAGTCTTGTAGAAACAGTTGCCGTTAGGTAATGCGACTTCGCATACAAAATGGTCACAATAGAGAACCCGTCATTAGGTCACGCTCTGCGGGGGGTTGTAAAGGCTGGCAGGCAAGCAGGGACCGTCGATACCGGAGAGACTACGGCATAGGCGGGTAGGCTAGGCAAGTTTGTGTATAGATGCCCAGGTTATGAATGGTGAAGAGACGAATGAGTGGTTCGGGAGGTAACGTGGGGGTCGGAAGGGGGCATGTGACAGTATTTCGAGAACAGGTTACCGCTTCTGGCAACAAGTGATGGCCGAAGTGGTGAGACGAACCAGGACAGTACCACTTTGCGGTGCTGAGAGGCTCGGTAAAGAAATGTGCAGAGCGCGGGGTGAAGTTGGTGATATGACGTACAGTGTCCGTGTTGTTTGATGGCTGAAAAGTATCTGAAAACCCAAGAACCTGACAGCATAAAGGGATCAGATTGCAGGTTGGAACCGGCTGAGAATTGGCGTTACGCGGAGTAGAGCATTGGTGTCATATGTTTCGGCGGCGTTGGTTGTGACTATCATAGTCTTCCTCCTACGCCCACGAATAAACACTGATGGCAGCAGATGTATGGTGATCTCGTCGTGTTGACCAGTAGGAGCTAGCTCTCTGGGACGATAAAAGGCCCTTGATGCTTTCGAAAAGCCTTGAGATGGTGGGGTTCCTCTTTGGAAGAGATGCCAACCGGGGGGGGCAGAATATGAAGCATTTAACGGTTGTCCAAGTTAGAATATAGGTTCGACGTCTCGAGACAGCAGCTTGGCTGTGTGGTCAAAATCTAGTTCTCAAAGCCTTACTTAGCTTCTGGGTTGAAATAGCCGCAGAGACTGCTCGGGGATAAAAGTAAAGCTTTTGCTCATCATACATTGTCACGTTCGAAATGAAGTCATTCTGGGAATAGCCCGCAGCCAAGAAGGTCCTTGTCGCGTATCTTGAGCTGAAGCCCCACCAAGGTAACACAATGAGCTGCCACTAAAGTTGGGTTATTTTGTTCAATTTGAACCAATCAGCAACCGAGATGGAACAACGTGCTCATTATGTGCGAGGCTGACAGGCCGTCCAACTGTCGGTTCCCGAGTACGGGCCGGCACTGGAGCTGTATCGAAACCGCCCCGTTATTGGTTACGGAGACAACCCCAACACCGAGCCCTCGAGACTCCGGATCCGGTCCGGCTTGGGTGATGATTCGAGCTTGCAGCAACTATCGAATTTCGGAATCGACCGACGACGGCCTTCTTTCAAAGTATGCATTTACAGCACGGCCATGCAAGTACTGTTCGTTTCCTCCGATGTCCGAATGCCTGGATACAGAAACAAATGATGATCCACTAATTGTGAGTGACACTGGGTGGGAAACTTGATTAATGTCCTACGTATGGTAACCATTTGCGTTATGTCCCAAGAAGCAAACAGTCCAGCTCAAGAATCTCATGTCTTTTCTTAAGAGCAGTTATGAGGGTATCATCAGTGATTGTGTCTGCCGTGGCCAGTGGTCGCCAAATCTCTAAAAATTACATGGATACAATACCTTGGAGAGCTTGGGTTGAAGAACAAATTCTCTACGTCCTGAGTCTGTCTGCTTCTAAAAGGGCCATGCAGATTGATGATACTCTAAATACATTGGCCAATTAAATATCTCCGTCATTTTTCAACAAGGGAACGCCCTGCATCAAGGGATGGCAAGTGCTGGCAACTCGACAACAATGAAATCGCTTTTTGGCTCCTTATGGTCGGTCTCTTGTTTCGTTTCTACGATATCCACAACCAAAAGCATCCTCTAGTACCATCAGTCGGTCACTCGTTTCCACGCAGATGGTGGAATGTTTGCACAGCTTGCCCCTATCCAAAAACCGCATTTCAATGTGGCTACGCAAGGGTTTGGGGTACCCTGATCGTCCGGGAATTGAGACCATTACAATATGAACCTCGCAGTGGCATGTACAAAACTCACCACCGACTTGGCTAGGTACCGAAACACAAAACAAAAACACACTGGCTGACTCAATGACAAATAGGTGCTCGCCTGCGTCGAGATAGCCGTTGTAGCCATGCAAGTCCACCACGGCGTTGGACGGCACCTGGTCTACCACCTGAATGACTGGAAAGGCCTGATCGAATTCGGGAAATACCAGAAAGTCAGCGAGGTCGCCGGGTTGCGTCGCACAACAGCCATCAAATATCCATCTGCCTGTTTCTGTTCCGCGTCGTTAAGAGTCGATGCCGACACGAGTTGTTACCTGGCTTGGGCCGTGCTTGCAATGACCGTGATAGTCAACATTGTCCCCATCATCGCCGGAATAACCGTATATCAGCCCGTGGCTTATAAGTGGGTTATCAGTGTGCGGGGATACTATTACTACAGCATTTAGTATGGCTTTTCTTACATCCAAGCGCCCTGGGCAATCCTCTCGGATCTGGTCCTGTCCCCCTTCCCAATTGCCGTTTTACGGAAGTTGGACATGCTTCCCAAGACCAAGATAACACTCTGCATTATCATGAGTTTAGAAACTCTGTAGGTTTTCCAAGGGTCAAGCCAAAGTTCTAACCCAGACTGAGACTGACTGGAAACCATGCAGTGCCGCAATATGCGCCCTCGTGAGTTCAACCTATTCCTCTCCTTAGACTCCGACTTAGCCCTCAACATCGTCAACCCAGCAATCTGCGCCTTGCGAGGCCTCTCGATACGCTTCACCTATCCTCTATCGTTACCCAAGAACCCACAGCCTCAAGCTAAACGTCGGCATGATCGCCGCTAATCTGCCCACGCTGCATTCCCTAGTGACGCACGTTGCCCGGAAGCTTGCCTCGGCCAAAAATCTCACTGCGGGCCACTATGAGGACCCCAAGTTCCGCCACGAGCTGGGGACTCACCCCCCATAAAACACATAGGCATCGTTGTTCAATGTAGACCGGCCCAACGACAAGGTCAAAGTGTACAACGTCGAGGCGGGGACGAGGAGGCTGAAACCTGCGCACCTAACACGTATCTGACCAAGGCGTGATAAACAGTTAACGATATCCAAGGTGAGATAGTTGAGAGAACTAAGTCAATTATACTACGACTAACAACATCTCCTTTTTCCCTGAAAAAGGAGCATGGTTTGCTAAAATTAACGAATGCTGATGAATGGCTACGTCCTGGTATCTGCCAACAAAAACTACAGCTATTCGTAGAGCTCGCTGTGGTCTCGATAGCCGTTGGCTGAGATGCAGAAAGCAAACGGCCCTATGCCGTATCCAACAAGGCTCCCATCACTGCGATAGTCTCACCGTAATTTCTGCTATACAACTAAGCTTTCTTGGTCGCACTGTCTACCTTGGCTGCATTATCCACCAAGCTGTCAGCCATGGCATCGGCTGTTGCTTGCTTCAGTCTCTCCGTGTCCTCCATCTTGGTCTCCTTGAACCCGGTCTTGTCCTTCGCGTCTTTCTCGTCCTCGCTGTCTCCTAGACTAAAAGGATCATGCTCGGCGATGGGGCTAGGCTCGACGGCCGACATTGGTTGCCACTTGCTTTGCTTGTTAGCTGGGGCCGAAGAAGCCGGATTGTCTTTCGGAGGCAACTTGGGGGAAGCGTCGTAGATGTCTATATCATCATGGCCCTCCTTGAAGGCAACCTTACGACCTTCGGGCCGGGGCGACGAGGATGGAGGTGGTTTGTAAATGTTGGGGTTACCAGAACGGCCTGGTGCGGAAGCTGGGCAGCGTCAGCACAGCAATCGTGGGCCTTATGACAGGATGATATATACTCACTTCCATCAGGATTGAGCCGCATGCCGGCAAAGTCATCACTCAGAACCTGGGGATCGGCGTCATAACGCTCGTAGTCTGCGCTTCGGCGGCTGCCCTCCCCACCTCGCCGGTGCGCTTGGTGCTTCGACGGCTGACTCTCGTCTTCTTCGGAATCATACTCTCCGTCGATTCGCTTCTTCAGGGTTGTGAACCAAGTGTTCACCTTCGTTTGAGTCTCGAGGAAGCCCTTGCGAAGATTCTCCTTGATGACGGGCAGGTCATCATCAATAAAGCTGTGCTCTCGGTCATACATCTCGTCAGGCTTCAGACCTGTCGCTTGCCGTGGGCGTGGTTGTTGACCTCCGTGACCACGGCTGGTAGTTCTTGCTTCGTAGGCAGCATTATCATAGTGCTCCGCCAACTGTCGGGCATAAAGCTCGTCGGCCTCCAGTTGAGACATTGGGGATCGCGCGCCGGTTGGTCTCGGCGGTTGTGGTGGGGGAGCAGGTTCCTGCGCAGGGGCTGGCTCATTCTGCACAGCATCTGGATCGCTCATGGCAAGGAGCGCGTTGAAGGCCGGGTCGATGCGACCACCACTTGCGAGGAGTACCGCCTTGATGACGGGAACATCGATGCTGGGAAAGGCTTCCTTCAGGATCTGCTCATTCTTTTGCTGCTCCGTCAAGGGTCTCGCCGGCTTCGTCGGCGGTGCTTCGTCGGCAGCTGCGGGCGCGGGCGCGGTTGTGGCAGCTGAGGTAGCTGATGTAATGGTAGTAGTATTGGTGCCATCATCGCCAAGCACACCCGTCTCCTGGACATCGTCGTCGTCCATCTCAAATGGTCGGACGGTGGTAGGGGATTCAGGCCCATTGTTGCCGTCGCTTTGTCTTGTCTACATAAAGAGGGTGGTTAGTTGATGTGGCCAAGTAGGCTTCCTGGATTGAGCAAACAGTGCATGGTGTTGGCTGATGGAACTCACTGTGTCAGTAGGAGTTGCCATGTTGGCCAAGTTTACTGCATGCGACAATTAAGCCAGTTCTAGAAGGTGTGTGTATCTGTAACGAATGCTACCAATGCGAGCTGGAAGGGTGAGGGAACGATTGATGCCGGTATCTTATAAGGTGTGGAAGGTATTCATTGGATCAGATGGCTACCTAGATGAGGCGAGACGTAGTCGTCACCTCCGCGACTTGATGGTGTGCAGCATTGACAGGTGATATCTTGGCGTTGCGGGGTCCAAGCTGGAGTCAGCCACAGGCGAAGAAGCTTCGAAGCTTGGCATTGGTCGCCACAGCCCGAGCAACTTCGATGCTATTCTCATCCACTCCAGCTCCTGCTAGAGAATCATAAAGACCTTCTTTTGGCAATCAATGTCAGTGCTGGCTTGATTGGCTGGGAAATATCTTGGGTAATTTCTCAGGACACATGCTCAGATTTTCCAGCCAACTGAAACACTTACTGTTTGGTTGATAAATAAAACGGGCAAGTGCATCCATACAAGTTGTACCTACTTCGAAGCTCTTTGGCAGCTAGCTGCCAAGGCTGCTTTTCTTCATGGGCAAGATCATGAATCCTTGAAAAGCCTCAAACCTTCAACAGCTTGTCAAGAAATACTGCATCTGTGTCCAACTGTGTCCCAGCAGCTACTCCGACGTTCTGGCCACTTCTGCGCAACCTATCAACGCTTCGCGGGAGCATCAACCTGATCAAGACAACATGGCAGACTTCGATTTGGGGTCCAGTTTCATCGCAGCCTTGCACAAGCCTTCTGCACTACTTCCGATTGCCAAGCATCGAGAAGCATTATTGTATTTGATTGAGACAAATCCAGTGACCATTGTTGTTGGTCAGACGGGATCTGGGAAGACGACGCAGATACCCCAGTTCCTTGAACAGGCCGGTTGGTGTGGCGATGGGAAGATCATCGCCGTCACGCAGGTGAGGCATTTTGCACTTTGGTTTTTTCATCAGGTCTGGACATGCTTGCTAACAAAGTTAGCCACGGCGTGTGGCCGCTACTACGGTTGCTGTGAGAGTTGCCGAAGAGTATGGCTGCGAACTTGGCAAGGAGGTCGGCTATTCTATCAGATTCGAGGATGTTACCTCTGCTGCGACACGCATCAAATTCTTGACTGATGGCTTACTCATTCGGGAAGCTTTGGTGGATCCGTTATTGTCACGATATTCTATCATCATGGTCGATGAAGCCCACGAGAGGTCGATATCTACTGATATTCTTCTTGGTCTCCTAAAGAAGATCATGAAACGAAGACCTGAATTGCGTGTAATCATCAGTAGGTATGCAACTTCCACATTCTTATTATCCTTATATAGACAGTTCAAGATCAAGCAGTGCCTGTTCGAGGCTGTTTTGGGAATGTTGTTCGTGGGACTTCATTCATAATTCCCGACTCATCACTACGTATCTCAAAGTGGTCATCATTAACCCCGATTTTTGCAGTGCTACCCTCCAGGCAGAAGACTTTCTAAAGTTCTTCTCTCCGCAGTCAGATGATCAACCCTCGGATCAGAATGGCAAGGGTCAGACAGGCTCTATCATTAGTCTCGAGGGGAGGACATACCCTATTGATGTTCTGTACTTGGAGATTCCAACTGAGGACTATGTTGAGAAGGCTGTATCAACCGTCTTTGAAATTCACACAAAAGAGGGGGACGGCGACATATTAGTGTTTCTTACTGGCCGCGAAGAAATTGATAATGCCATCCAAGCAATCTCAGAACGCATCGACCAGCTCCACCCGAGGGCTCAGTCCATTTTGGCCTTGCCGCTATATGCTGGGCTCTCGACAGAACAACAGATGTACGTTTTCGAAGAAGCTCCTGAGAACACAAGAAAAGTCATATTGTCCACCAACATTGCGGAAGCGTCCGTCACCATTGACGGTATCGTCTATGTTGTTGACTCGGGCTTTGTGAAGCTTCGGGCTTTCGACCCTAGAACGGGCATTGAGTCATTGACGGCCACTCCTGTTTCTAAAGCTGCGGCCTCGCAGCGTGCTGGAAGGGCCGGCAGAACTCGGCCGGGGAAATGCTTTCGTCTTTACACTGAAGACAACTTCCAAGCACTGCCTGATGCGAATGTGCCAGAGATTCAGAGGACAAACCTGGCGCCATTCGTCCTTCAGCTGAAAGCTTTGGGTATAGATAACGTGGTGCGGTTCAACTATCTAACACCACCACCAGCAGAACTGTTGATCAAAGCGACGGAGCTTCTCTTCTCACTAAGGGCCTTAGATGAGTATGCAAAACTTACGCGCCCGCTTGGAACGCGGATGGTAGAGCTTTCTGTTGAGCCTATGATGGCAAAAACGCTGCTTACAGCATCTTCCTTCGGATGCCTCAGCGAAATTCTTACAATTGCAGCGATGACGAGCTTGGGGGGTTCGGTCTGGATTCAGAGAGATGGAGAAAAGAAGCAGATGGAGTCAGCTCGGAGGAAATTCGCTGCCGATGAGGGTGATCATTTGACACTTCTCAACGTTTACCAGACCTTTGTGACCAAGGGCAAAAAAGAGGCCAGATTCTGTCACGACAACCATATCAATTTCAAAGCCATGACGCGCGCAGTAAGCATACGGGGTCAGCTCAAGCGATATCTCGAGAGATTCGGAATCGCCGTGGACGAAAGCCTCAGCGCCTCGTCCGCGGCCGCGGGCAAGGGGGAAAGCATTCGCAGATGCTTGACCACGGGCTACTTTGCCCACGCCGCCAAGATGCAGTTCGACGGCACCTTTCGCAACGTCGAAGGAGGCACAATCCTTTACGCCCACCCGAGTTCTCTGATGTTCAACCGAAAGGCCGACTGGGTCATCTTCCATGAAGTCATGGATACGGGAAACAAGATATTTATCCGGGACATAACCAAGATCGAGAAGAATTGGCTGCTCGAATACGCCTCGGACTTCTATCAACTCAAATCTTGATTAAAGGACGGCTCGAGGCAGCCGTCAACTTTATCAAGGTTCCGTTCTCGAAACCCCGTATTGACGATGGTTGGGCGATTCAAACGAAGCTTTATCGGCCGAGATTGTCTTCTAGAAAAGCTGACGTGTTTCAATCAATGATCACGATCAGTGCTCAACGGCTCGGGATCTTGCAGATGGCGATAAGGAAGGGAAGGGAAGCACCGCTCCGGGGGTTTTGGCTCTGAGCTTCTGGAGCAACTGTTGGCGGAAGTTCAATGATGAGTAAAAGTGGCTTGATGCCATTTCGGCCAATCACCGCGAAACCAATGCAAGTCATAACTGGAATTATTGGCAACCCATGCTGATCACTATGTGCCGGATACTCAACTGGGATCACCGTCAAAAGACCTCTGAAAAGTTGTGCCCTCCGCCGATACGAAGTAGCTCGAGCTACAACGTCAAAATCAGGCCAACTGTACCCTGAAAGCCCCTCCACGAGAGATTATACGGTACGTGTCGTTGCACCGCTCAATTCATGCAAACCTTCTGTGATATCCACGGCTTCCAACATGGTGGATCCATCTAGTTTCGAGCTTGACCAGCTTGACCCACCGGGTATAATAAACTCTGCGCAGAAAGCTAGGTGAGAACGAACGAGTCGAAAAGAATGGCGTTGTGCGTGAGGGCACTCCGAGGCAGCGCTGCAGCGCATCTGACTTGGAGGCATATTCTCATTTTAAATTATCCGGCGACGCGGCCTTGCTTAAAGAAGTTGGGTTTTGTGCCGCACCGCACGTGGCATATTGCTAGAGGGCTCGGCTTCTTGAAGCCTCGACGCTTCGGGTTTGGCAAGTCACTTATCAAGCGGATCAACTACGTCTATAGTGATACCCCGAAGTCTGGTGCTTGCCACGGTCTCTCTCCGCGGGATCATTGAACTTCGATTCAATGCATCAAAAGACAGGAAACACGCCCGTTGACAATGGCAAGAACAAGGTTTACTACCGGGCCAGCCCCTGAAGGCATTGAGGGGCTGCACCACTTATTTTCATCTCGGCGACATATTTAAGCGAGAGGTATTGGTCCACTTATTTTCATGAGAGAAATATACCTGTTCGTCTAATCGTTACTCCTTCCGCATCCCAGTTCAATTGGCGCGATATGGACGGCTCTCCACCACTCATAGCGGCCGACTAGAGGGGACTTGGTATAGCGCCCGGTGGAACCCTTGCCAAAGACGCCGCTAGTCTCCTGTTCCTGCATTTAGATCCCTGCGAAGGTCTCTTTTTGTTTCCGGCTCAGGAGAGACCTGCATGGAACCGTTTCTCGAGAAGCCGTTGAATCACTGGCTCAAGGTGCTCGTTCACGGGAAGCGTACAGGACGTAGTGTCTAAGACCATCCAAGTAATTGTTGAATCGACTGTTATGTACGAGGTATTGAGTGTTGAGGGCAATGCTGTGGAATTCCAAGCCCCAGAGATGATTTGCCAGGTCCCAGTTCCAAGGTACAAGGGTCCTGAAGCCTCCACCATCCCTTCATTCATTTCCGGCCAAATGACTTCTCATTCGTCCATTCCCTGATCCCAGGCGCTCCCCCGAGATACAAGGGCGTTGTAGCTCTGGACTACAGAGCGTTCTTCCGTCTCGTTGGCGTCTTCTCACCTTCCTTTCTCCCTTCCTTATCCCATTCTTCCACCGCATCACCTCAACTTGCGGGCGCCCTCGACAAACGGTCAACAGACCAACTTGCCTGCCAGCAGGCGCGCCATTCTTTAATTATCCAACTTGGAGTCACTCTTTTGTCCGCAAGCCCAGTCACCCGTCATTCGTTTTCACCTTCTTGCTTGAGGTGTAATTTTCGACTAGAAGGGATTCCCATTTCAGCATACAACTACCGCCTCCACAACCCAGACATCATTGTTCTTTGCCGCAGACACGAACCGCTCACGAACAGTCTGCTAATTGAGATGATTGGACCACCCGGCCCCATCTAACAACAAAAAAAAGAATACATCAACTTTCCCGCCAGTTATAATCAGCTTTGTACATACATTGATAACCTTGGCGGGTAATCATACATAAGAGGAGCGAAGAGAGACATTGCGGCAATGGAGGAAACTCATATTCACAGTCGCCATGCCCACCGCCGTCTTCATGGCAAACGAACATTGAAGGTGGACACCGAAGGGCATCTTCGGTTGGCACGGCGAGACAACGAAATGGCTATCAGCCCGGCTCTGGACTCCCGAACTCCGACTCGCCTGGAGGCCCGGTTAGATTGTTCCGGTGCTGATAGTGATTTGGATCAATGCAAAAAACCAATGGGCTCAAGCTCTTTGACGATTGTCATCACACTCGGTGTCCTGTAAGAAACACTCGGATCTCCCCCCACCCCCTTCGGGTTGAACTGACAGTCGGCGTAGTATCCCCCTCGTGGTTGCATTTTTTGTTCTGATCTATTTGCATCGCCGGACAACTAAGAGGCATAAGTTGGAGGATGAGGCCGAGAAGTACAAGTCCTTGGATTTTGGACTTGAAGAACATAAGACGAAGGGTGGCAAGCGAAAGAGTGGATTGAAGGAGACCAAGCTTGGCCACAAGGGACAACTATCGATGGACGACATGAACCTGTCGAGTCCGTACCTGCTGCCTCCAGGACTTCAAACGTCGCGGGAATCGCTACACTCTCTGGCACGAACGCTGCACCAGAACGAGGACCCCTACCGCCATGTCAAGTACGCCGATAGCGAAGTGGGATCCCTCCGATCCTTCAACAAGGGAGTTGACGGCTCATCCGTGTACACGGGTAAGACCTACACGGGAAGCGACCGCGACTCGTCCCATTCCCGATCGATCCCGCCTCCCCGACAGGGCTCTCTGCCGTCCACCCGCCAAAACTCTCTTCCGTCCTCGCCTCTTGCCTCAGTTCCTCCCGCGGCTCTCCATGCTGAGAAGCCAGATGCTATCCATCCCCTGGCATCGTCAACAAACAACGAAGTCCAGTTCCACGAGGGCAACGCCATTACGCCTCAGGTTGCTAGGGTGTCATACACGGACGAACCCTTGGAAATGCCTGCGATGCCCCAGGAACCAGCACCAGTAGCCCAAAAGGTGGGACCCAGAGGTCTGCCCAACCACCCCCGACCAGCTGCGAATGAGCCCACAATGGCACGCGATAGAGACTCTTCGGTCCTCCCGTCAGTTGCACCACAAGGTCTCGGCATCTCGGACAATCCTCAAGCACCACCCACCGAGGCATTGCCCGCTAACCCCAAACCTGCCGGACCAAATGCGTCACGTGTGGTTTCTGACGCCCCTTCGGAATATGAGGACTACGCAAAACACTTTCAGGCCGAGGCCGATGACCACGAGCCCCGTGGCCGCCAGATGGACAGACAGGCAGGCGACATGGGGCCTCAAGCGGCTGGACTAGGAGTACCGCAGCAAAACAATAAGCGGCTCTCGGTGGGTTTCCGACCTCTGCCCCCTGACGAGTACCTCGAGTCGGAGGATCCCGAATTCCGTGCCAACAGGATTCGATCTTTCTACAAGGAGTACTTTGATGGTGGCGATGAGCCACGACCGCCCATGCCCCAACCTCAGAACGCCCAGTACTATGAGGACTACGATGCTGGCTACCTGGGAGACGCGACCTTCTTCGACCCAGACTCTAATGCCTTCGTCATGCCGTATGCTGAGCCCGTCACCCGCCGTGCTATGACTCCGCCGCCCAAGAGCAGACGACCCATGCCACCACGACCGAGAGGACCTGGAGGACCTGGAGGACCTGGTGGACCTGGTGGACAAGGCGGGCCTCGTGGACCCCATGGCTCATTCGGCCCAGGTGCACCTGGAGGCCAATATGGCCGACCGCGCGCCGGTTCCGCCATGTCAGCCGGTCGGTTCGGCCCCATGAGCCCTCGTCCGAACTCTTCTGCTTCCGCACGCATGGGCGCGCCCGGAAAACCACGCAAGCCTATGCCCCCACCCGCCCCCTTGAGCACTCTGCCTACACCCTCCAAGCTCCGCGATGATTCGTTCGCCCTGTTGGGAGCTGTTGAGTTCGCACCTCCTCCTACCTTCAAAGACCACGCAGCAGGCCGCTCTCAGAGCCCCGTCGGCGAGCGTCGTCCCTACGCCATGAATGTCCCCGCGGCCTCGCCCCTGGTGAGCGCCTTTGAGGAGATTGCCACACTACCTAGCCCGTAAGTCCTTGCCCTGATCAAACGGTGTAAATCACCATATCTAACATAAGAAAATAGCCATTTGTTGCGCAAATCTGCCACCTTCACAGGCCTCGACTTTGCTCCTCCACGTCGGTTCAAGGACCCCGACTCCATGAGCGACGCAGGCAGTATTCGCAGCATGGGAAGCGGCATCTCGTCCCGCAACCTTGGCGCCATCCGCAACGGTGCCGGCCGCGTCAGCCGTCTCCCTGGCGACGAGGTCTTCACCAGCGCTCAGGAAGTCGACGTCCTGAAGCCGCAGTGGGGCATGCGTGCTTAAGAGATGGAGCCTTTCCTGGCTGTATTCCACTGTAATGTTTTTATATTCTTTCTCTCTTAAAGGTCTGGGAGGAGTCAACCTGGATCACGAACGGCGAAAGCAATTTTTTGCATGGCGGGCATTTATACACATATAGAGCGGACCTGGTGCAATCTACCTTCACCATCTTGACAGATGTTCAAAGGTAGTTGCATGTCACATTAGCGAAGCGCGCGGTTCAAGTTTGAAAAATCCGACGTCTATTCTAGCAATAACATAATTCACCCAATTCGGAATTACTCTTGAGTCGTACGTACATCATGTTCGTTGCGTAGCAACCCCTTGCTATCCCTTTCCAACGGTCTCCTTGTAAAGGCTGAGAACTATATCAAGTGGTACTACTGTTGGGGGAGCTGGGAAACCCCTTGAAAGAACACGTTTATGGAGCATCACAAGTGGCATTCGTAATTTGTTCCAAAAATCTAAGGTTCTGAAGTTCCGACCCCATCGGAACCGGTGAATGATTTCACGATAGGGTTGATCCTAGACAGACGACAATTCATGCCCCGACTCGTGAATCGAGTACAAAATCGCCATCGTCGAGATGATTCGCTGGCTCGGTGGCAACGAGCTGGGGAAATTTCACAGGGAATAACCTAGACGCGAAGATGTAGAAACATGGCGTGGAAAATATGAGTTGCGACTATAGATGCGAAGGACGGTTTGCAGGAGTTACATGCGCGACTAGTCTATCAAATCTGGCTATGACTGGTAGCAGGATTAGTCCCAGTTTGTGCTGTTTATTTGGCAATCCCGACTGGCTCTTGTCAACCGAATCCATCTTCGCAACCGACCGTAGCGGCGATCTACGGAGCATCTACAAAGACGGCAGCCAGCCAAATAATCTCGTCAGTATTATATTCGGTATTGCGCCGTCGAAGAACGCGGCCCAGTTGCGTAGCTTTGCCAGGCTCGTTCTCCAGGTTCGAGTCGCTGCTGATGTACGTACGAGAGATGATGTGTCATTGGGATTTGGTAATTGAACTTCCGGAGGATGACGAATATTGGGGACCGACGCAAACAGATTGTCATGTTTGGGGTATATGTCTTGTTGATTAATGTCCAAGATTTTGATTCGTTTTCGATCAAAGAAGTGGACAATTCTGCTTGCTCGTTTCTATGGTCGAGACCACACGGTGGAAACCAAAAACCAAGGTTTCAGGTCTTAATTGACCGGTATTATGGGTTCGGAATGCAACCTCAGAAACGTCATTCTGCCAATATGGCTTATAGCGGTTGAATGAGACTGAGAAATATTCACTTGGAGGAGTGGATGGAAGAAGCGCTTGGCAGGCATCACGACGGAAGCGCTGTGTACGATAGCTCACCTCCAGCATTTCGGTCTCAGATGCGAGATGTGTCGTGTCAAGTAGGAACGCTCGTCACACGCCTTCCAAAGCCTCATGCCCGCCACCCCAAGGCTGTGCTCCGTTGACTAATAAAGAAGAAGCGCCTGTGAGCCCGTCGACATGATAGTATCACACTATGGGCGACCCGCAGAGGCGCTGAGTGTTCCAAAATAGCCTGACAGGTGGTTCGCTCAGATTTAAGTGATCACTTAAGGCCATCGCCCCAAAGTAGGTGCATCCCACGTTGCTTTGCGTGCGTCTTGACGTCTAGTTGTTCGTGCAGGCTGGCTGGCTTGCTTACTTACTTATTTACTACGCACAAAACCATTCGCATTCATTCCACCCGAGCTCGCAGACGGTGGTGACCAAGAAGCAGACAGTGGCAGGCAAGGGATTCGCAATGTTCGGCATTCAGCCAGAGACTTCGCTACAGATCCCATGTTTCTCGATGTGCGGGGAAAGCATCGAGGGCCTCATCGAGGCCCGGGATTTCTCAATTACATGAGATGCATGTATCCAGTAGGGGATGCAAGAAAACTGCGACACGCCTGCTACAAGCCTGGCAAGTCCAGCAAGTGGCGCAAACTGATGATTATGTGGGCACTTCCCACTTGAAATCACCTTGATGATCTCAGATCTACCAGAGGTGCAAGCAACTGGTCCCAAAGCATGCAAGCCACCCGGGTTTTATACCTGCCGTGTATCCGCACGACTTGCTATTGTGCTTCTTGGTCAGAAGTAAGTCGTAGAGTTATCTGTTCGAGATTTGGGGTCTGCCTCTGGGATTATCTTGCTGCAAGACATCTCGAGTCGAGCCTGGCCGCCCGCTTGCTGTTGCAACACTACCGAATGCGAACCAATTCTCGTCTTACGTACCGTTTCACTCAGGCTGCCCATCTTTATGACTTTCTTTGACTGATATAACGAACGAGCATTGATGAATCGTATCTAGTCGTCGTTGCTGTTGCTTCGAGCCATCGACAATAATTTCTGATAGTCCCAACTCCGGACCATCTTCACGAGCCACGATACTTTAGTTTACCTTGATACTTCATCCCCAACCACGAGGCCGCCGCAATCTTCCGAGAAAAGACTCTGGGTTAAGTTCAACTTTCCCCATTCTTGCCAGGACACTAGAAGACCAGACGAACGCCGTACAGGCCCCCGTACCTGACCCGGAAGCGCTGCGGCACCACATCCAGTACGCTCTGACCGATCCGGACTTCCAGAATCCCACGGACCGAACGACAGCATACTTTGGCATCAGGCGACGGAGGTTAGAGGGCGTCTCGGTCATCAGCCAAGCAAGTAAAGGCGAACCACACCGTTTAATCAATTTCGGACGGTCGAACCCCTTCCAAATTCCAATTCGGCATCGAGGGTTTTCGCTCAGGATTTCGACCCTGGGTTGGTCGCAATCACGTTTGCTCGCATACCAAATTCCTTGAAGGCGGCGGCGCTCCACAGAGGAGTTGGAACGGACTGCAACTTGGCACCGCAACGGATACCAGCGCTGCTCATCACTCCCCTTCGCAGCATAGACTAAGCTGCAACTGCGCGAGTAGCAGGCATTACACGGCCTTCAGTTCCCGCCGCAAACGATCGCAATTGCCATTGCAATTTATTCACTGGTGGTCTGGTCGTTTCTCAACCCCGACGTGCACAATAAGCCTTCCTGCTTTTTATTACGAACACTTATCCCTCTTGGGTTGGTGGTGCCGCCCTCCAGATTTGATTTCCCCATTGAACCTTCAAAGCTTGAGCATACGTCGCAACAAGTCGCAGCAAGCTTTGCTCTGTAAAGCCTAGGTTTCCCAGCCAGCGAACGAGAGAGATTTGACACCTGAAGGACAACATCGGGCACCCCGGGCCATTCGGTCATCTTCTCCACACGATCTGTTCAATTAATCAGCGCCATCCATCCATCCATCCGTCGCTCGTATCGTTGCATCGTTTGCCATCTACCATCCCAAATTATTTGCGGTTGGCCCGTTGCACCCAGTTGGTGCAACCGACTATCAGTTTGTACCTTATTCTTTGTCCAAGGGAGGACTAATTGAAGGCGCCTTGTTGAGACGTGTTTGAGCCCGGTCCTCTTTTCGACTCCTGGATCAGCGCCCAGCTCGTGTCATCCTGTCCAGTCGTTTTTGGTGCGCTCGTGGCAGCTGAGAGACACGACCAGGGGACAAGAGAGATCCCGACTCAGCCACCCTCGACGCAGGGCTATCTGATTCGCTCAGCTGCCCGCTTCGTCTGAGCGCCAGCTCTGCCAGTGAGCAACTCCAGGAATCCCTCTTTTTAATACCTCCTGCCTCCTGGTCGCGCCTCGCACGCAAAATATTCGAAACATCTCGTCAATCGTTCTTGACCTGAGCAACCTTCCTGTCCAGTCTTTTTTGGCTGTGAGCGAGCCAAATCGGCCGCCAAGTACCCCGAAGGTTAGTTTTGTTCGGTTCAACGTGTGTTTCCCGTCGCGATTGTGTCCGGCTCTGATGCGATGGGCCCCAATGATGCGACAGTCAATTCTGCGCTGGGCCAGCATCCGATGGCTGCAATGGCCGCGCTGACTGATGCCCATTCACATATTCATCGCGGCCTGCGTTGTTCATGCTCTTGCCGTGGTTGTCTGTCTGCATGGCCCATTTGGTGACTGCTCGAGTCTTCCTGCATTCAATCAATCCGTCAATTCAACTCATCCCAATGTCTACCACAGCGTGACTTGGCATCATCGTTCAATTTCGTGCTAACATGGCTCCTTCATTTAGGCCATTCTTGCAGTTGAACGTTGCGAGGCAGTTCAACATGTCTTCCTCTAACTCTACAAGTACGGATACTGCTGTGACGGACACGACGGCAACGTCGAGTCCGTTTGAAACTCCAACGACTACTTCTCTCACTTCCCCTACTGACGAAGCCTCGACTACAGCTCCGGACGCCACGTCCACCCCTGGGACGCCCACTCCCACATCTACGACAACCCCAACGACACCAACAACTGCTCCTACTACCACAGTACAGACGCCAACCAGCACCACCACCACACCAACACCTACTCCGACTACCGAGACTACCGAGACTACCGAGACTACCGAGACTACCCCGACTACTCAGACCACCCCTACTACAACAGCAGTGCCAACAACAACCCGGACCCCCACCACCCCGAACACCCCGACCACCCCAACCACATCCACGACAAGGCCCCCGTTTACTCCCAGTTCCACAATCACGACAACCTTTATCTCGACCAACAATGGTGGCAGCACTGTCATGGTTACGGTCACTTCGACGCAAGTCGCCAGCGAAGAAACAGGGACAACGAGCACCGGGGAGGGATCTTCATCCACTGCCTCCGGAGGCAACATCATCACAACTGGAGAGTCGTCGTCAAGCGGGCTGAACCAGCAAGGCAAGATTGCTGTTGCCGTTGTCGTTCCCATCGCTGCGGTGGCACTGCTGGTCGTTGCCGGTATCTTCTTCTGGCGCAAGCGGAAGCAACGCAAGGATGCTGAGGAAGAGAGGAGAAAGGAGGTTGAGGACTACATCTACAACCCGAACGCCGATCCCACTCTGCCGGACGTCGGATCTGCTGGCGCTGGCGGCAGTTACGAGATGAAAGAGGACGGATCTTCAGGGTATCGTGGCTGGGGCTCAACCACTTTGGCGGGCTCTACAGGGCGCAAGGCCTCCACCACCATGTCTGGTGGGGCAGCAGGTGCGGCTTATTCAGATGCGAATTCGCACACTCGCGCTGTATCTGACACAAGATCAGGAGATGCATTAATGACCGACGAGTCCCATACTCCTGAAGGCGAAATTCTAGGTGTTATGGGCCCAGCTGCCTCCGACAACCGAGACCGCGGAAATGTGCACCGCGGGCCATCGAATGCTTCTTCGTCTTACAGCGGCCCTGCCCGTTCCGACGGTTCGGGGGGAGATATTGGGGTTGCGTATGGTGGCACGACCGGCTACTACGATCAATACGGCAATAGCAACCCCTATAACGAGGGCAACGGCCAGCAGCGTGCAGGCGAGCTCGGCGGACAACCCGTTATCCGTGACAATCCGGCAAGGCGTAACACGCGCATAGAGAACCCGTCGCATTACCCTCAGCAAAGCGCTGGCATCTCTCAGAACTTTTAGCCGAGCTGCATATTTGAAATCGGCCGAGTACAGCGCTCCAGCCGCGTGGTAACGATTTGACGATTTGACCCGTCTTTGCGTCTGTCTGTTTTTCTCAATATTCGTCAAAGGATACCCAAGTTACTGGCACTTTTGCCGCCAACATCAGCAAATACCACCATGTCTCCGGTGCTGACATGGTCTACGCATCAACATCTTGGTTTTTACGCATAATACAAATTCACATATTTTTTGTCAATCTTCAACCCCAACTGGTATCCATTTCTGGCGACTGCTCTCCAAACCGCAGAGTGAAAGGGTGACCGCAAGGACAACCATTACCCAGCTTGAATGGAATTCTATACATATGGGCAATACTTTTCTTACACTTTTTCTTATTCGGCGCATCACAAGGCTACATACACATATGAGCAACACATATTCCCTATGTTCATAACTTGAAATACGGCTACGACCAAAACGAAGCGAAGCAACGTATATTTCGAACGGGTGTACCCGCATCTTGAAAAGCTGTAAAGACGGTCACCGGTTAGGAAGGTATAGGATGTTGGAGTTGAGCAGCGGGAGGTGGCACAGCTAGCACCGTGGTATATCAAAATGACACCCGATATGTCAACTTCCAGGGGCCAACCCGAGAATTGAAGGCTTTGACGGGAGCCAAGAGGTTTTCAGGATCTTTCGTGGTCAGATTCAAATGTAGACTGACGGTGTTTGCCGAGACTGGGCCAACAAGCTCGGTCAGCTCTCAATGGGATGAGATGGCGGTGGGCTGCAGTGGTACGGGGCAATAGTGATGATTACCTGGGACGTATTTCACACGTCTCACAATCTATTCAGTAATATGCTCTCCCTATCCCGATTTGGATGTCTGTGTTTGCGGTGGGCGTGCGAGGGATTAGTTATGTGCAGACATTCTGTTTGATTGTGACGTGATGTGCAACCCGAGATGGCGGTATAGCTCGCATGCTTAATATTGTTGAAGTGATCAACATGCCGTGCCTTGAATCAATATATCAATTTGATAACTGGCAGCCTAGCTCAGTCGTATGTTGGTCTTCCTCCCATGTGGTAGGATGTTCATGGCCCTCCAAATTCGGGGGCAGACAGTCCAACACCAGTGTATGACAAGATTCAGCCAGAATGCCGAGGTTTTCATGCCGCATTATTACTCTGTTGTTGAACGTCTACTTGCCCGCATGGTATGGGCAGTTCCCGTCGAGTCTATGCGAGCAGTGCAATACTCACTTCCTTCCACGTTTCCACGTTTCCTTCTTATGAGGGTGCCTTGATCTGACGGTTTACAGCCCTAGCCAACGTATGCGCGCGTGATGTGTGCTGTTTTGTGGAAGTTTCGATATATGTTTTCTCGCCAGGCTTCACCGGACGTCGTTAGACGACATATTTTCCCTGGTTGGAGTTGTTCCATTTGACTCAAATGGACAGGACTTGTTTGCATTTTTGTGTCCAGTCAAAAATATCGCCGCCTTCGATTTGGTTCTGGGAGGAGGCAAATGGATTATGGCAACCTTCTTCTACAAACCTTTTTGCCTGGGTTTCTGGTGGAGGACCCTATTCTAAGACAGGCACCATCATGCAGGGAATCGGCTTCATATCGTCACTGTGTTTGAAGGAGTTGTGTCGGACTATGGCAGCGAGATGAGACTGGGATTTCACAACAAGGGGAGCAAGAGGAAGGCATCTGAGTTGTTCTTACACTGGTTGATGATATTCGCAATGGACTAGGAGATGGGATGGATAATCAAATGGGCGGATCCAGGCCTGTTAGTTTCAAGTACAGGCTTCTTCTGTCTGACAACCAAGAAACTATTTGCACCTGTGAATCTAAGTAAACGAATGATGAAGTGGACGAGACGACCATGTCTGTGAAGTCGAGTAAACGAACCGAGTAGATGAGCCAAGTAAACATCAAGTCCCGAGTAAAAAGTCTACAAGGTCGAGTGAACAAACCAAACAAACTCTTATACTTATGAAGTCGAGTAAACAGTTACACCCTATGAATGACACATACCGTTACGCCAGCCAACCCAAGCTGATAGTTATACTTGCAAGGTCAAGTAAACACCTACAAAGATGAAAAGGAGTGAATGTTACTTTGACTACGACTCATGTATGCGCGCTATCCATTTTGTTCTGTCCTCTCGCACGCAGCAAAGTGAAGAAGTACATACAAGGGGTTCTGGGCAGTGTGCCAAAGCAAATCTCATAGCAATAGCTTTTTCAGGCTTACCAGGCTGGACTATGCACACCATTTACACGGCATATACTTGGAGCAACAGATCTAATGAACCTGAACGGCTGCCGCACACACACAGCCGACATCTTGTCACCATGCTCGAAGAGACAGGCGCCCCCGCCCAGCTTATCTGGGAGTAACACCCATGTGTGATCAATACGCATTCTGAGAGTCAACAGGGCATCTTTACATCACCGGAGCACACTAGCTAGCTCACTAACAAAGAGCTACACCACGCATTGCAACGAGGAAGCTCATCAGACTATGCCCTAGCATTCTAGTAAAGAACCCACGTGGCTAGCTGAAACATTTGGCAAGACAGGCTACAGACTGCTGCCATGAATGATGCAAATTTCACAGCAGTGAAAGACTTCAGACGACCCATCAGTTTTCATGCAGTTACGTTGCTAGTCCTCAGCATTCTTGAGGCCCCTATGGCGTGAATCACAATACCCAAAGAAGCAAATGCACGAGGAAGCAACAAGCACACTTATCCAGATACATTTGCCCCCGAGCACAAGGAGGAGGACGTCAGACATTTTAAACTCCTGAAGGCAGTTTGCTTGTCCAGTCGGGTCATCCAGCCGCGGGGGATACCGTATAATTATTCGAAATGTGAAGGGTATATGATTATCTCTAACACTGTGACGCATGCTTATGCTTATCATACCCAAAAATCTATGAATGTACAACCAAACCACGAACTTCCTCCCCTTCAATCCTTGAGAAGGACATTTAATGTCTTCTGCTCCTTGAAATGCCTCAAACTCCAGCCATGTCTTCCCCAATCCAAGAAATGTGTATATCTTACCACCACCATCCGGGCCCTTCGGTACCTCAAGCCCCCACCTTCTCCTTCAACATGTTGTGGCGCCACTGCCATTACCGGCCGGGATAGCCAGACTTCCATTGCCGTAGCCCTCACTGTACAAAATGTTGTCCCACCAGAACATGCACTCGTCCATTTCCCTCTGGCTCATGTCTATCATCTGCGCGGGTGTGCCAAAGCTGTGCCGGCCGCGCGAGTCCATACCCTCGTCGTTGCCGTGGGCGAACAGCGCCACTTGTGCCCTCTCGGCCGTGGTACCGCCTTCGTCTCCGTTGGAGGTGCCAAACGGGCTGAAGTACCGCGTCCAAGTCAATGATGCGTTACCGGAGCTGATTGGATTGGGGTCCCCAAACGCGGCGAATCGTGCCCAGGCTCTTACCATGGAATCGGCGGCGGCAATCAACCCAGGGTAGCCTTGTATTTTGCTCATGTCGTGGGCGACCAAGGGCGCTTCGTCGCTGTGGTCAGCACTACTGTAAGTGGCGGAACGGGCGGCGAAATGGTAAACGTAGACTGGCGCCTCAGAGGTTGACGTTGTCGCATAATGTGCTGTTTGGAACACCGGGCAAATGTACGCATAATGAGCGTACGCGTCGTCAAGGCGCCAGAATTGTTTCCCTAAACCAGCTGGTCTCTGCGTAATATACAAGGCTGTGCCTTCGGGGGTAGTGATGTTTGGGTACAACGTCTCCATGATGTCTAGCGCAGTCTCGTTGAGCCCTGGTATGATGTTACTCATGAGCTTGCGAAGCGGGGTATTGTTCGATGCAGCCTGGGCCACGAAGCGGGAGCCCTCATTTGTGTCGAAACCGGTCAGTATCGGAATACGAAGGACATTACCCTTATCCCAAGACCGACTGGGGAGATCTGGGATGATGCCCCTGGGCCCGTCAATGACAGGTTGGAAAGGCCACCGCAGATCGTAGTAATACTTGCGATAGATAAAATTGGAGGCAGCAACAATACGGCGAATGGGCAATGAGCGAAGTTGATCAAAGATCTCTTCGTCGGGCGTGTCTTGGAGGTTACAGCGCAGCAGGAACTCCCGGAACTGCGTCTCATGGAGAGGATGCGTCGGGACTAAGACAGCGCGTGACATTGCAGAGCCCGACTCCATGATGGCTTTTTGGAATGGGACCGAATCCGACGTGAGCTTATTTGCTGGAGAGTACGAAATCATATGATGGCCAACCTGTACTTGTCAGTCGGATGCTCAGAGACAAATAGCAAAGCGTGGCTTACTGAGTGCGCCCCCGCGCTGAGTCCCATGATGGTCACATTGTCTGGGTCACCCCCGAAATTCTTGACATTCTTCTGTACCCATGCAAATAACAACTGCTGGTCTTTCAAACCCAGGTTAAGCAAACCAGCTTTCTCACTCAGCCCGCTGGGCAAGAACCCTAGCGCACCAACGCGGTAGTTGAAGCTGATACCAATGAGAGGCGAATCGGCCCAGGCGACGAAACTGGCCATGTTCCGTTCACTTCCGGAGCCCCCGTTGAACCCACCGCCGTGGACGTAGATGACGACGGGCAATAGCTGTCCCTTGCCGCCCAACTTGGCCATATCCTCGGCGTTCGCGGTCTCATCATCGCCAAAATAGGGACGGAACACATTCGCATTGAGACAATCTTCATCCTGATTGGAACCCAACGTCAACTGGGGGCAGATATGTCCATAATCAATCGCGCTGTATACCACATCGGGCTTTCTCTCGCTGGACAGTGGCCGAGACGGCCTGAATCGGTTCTCGCCGCCTAAGGAGGGTCAGTATCATTACGTAATGTCAAGGAGTACTATGGGATTCTGGTCGCACGTCAAGGCAGCTCGATGTGTGCGTTGGAAGCAGTCACACTTCGAAGCCCTGCCGAGAGACCAGGAAGACCCAGCGGGAGAGTCATCCTACCTGTTGTTTGGGCATAGGGAATGCCGCGGTACGCCTCAATGGCACGAGGAAAGTCGGCTGACTTTGATTGGACTTCGCCCTTGTACGTACCTTGCGGCAGTCGTACACTGGCAGTTGGCTATTACATGAAGCGATTAGCCTCCAGCTCGTGTGTATGGGGAAAAGGTTATTGCGTGTGCGGACAAGAACATATTGAAGGCAAGTGAAGAGTAGGTAGACGATGCCGGAGACGACGCCGTGCACGAGAACGCCGGGGGTACCGGGAAGCTCGGATTGTGCCATTATCCGCGTGCAACACGCAGAAGACGGCTTGCCGGTTCAACATCGACGAGACTGAAAAGCGCAAAGCATACCGTGAGGTTAAGTCCCCCGCGGTGTATGTAGCCGCTGTCAAATAACCAGGTGAGTATCGCCAGAATGATGACGGCGCCGATGCACGAGACAGCGAAGACGGCACAGCGAGTCTGGCTTTTTGGCAGCGCCTTGAGTTTTTCGTAACCCGAGTATTTCGAGTACCAAGGAATTTTGATCTTCATGTCGTCGTTGTTGTCGTCAAGCACAGTTGCTACTTGACGGCCTGGCGGATTATCACATATTTTCGGAGGGCGCGAGGGGAGTTTCAACTCGGGTTGGCGCATCTAACGTACAACCCCACCTTTCCGGCCACCTAATCTGCCAACTACGACAACCTTCGGCACAACAGATTATCGTCGGTATTGGCTATTATTATACAATGCCTCGATATTCAGAAAATTCGATTCAAGGCGCTCTCAACGATATCAATCAAGGGATATCCCAGCGCCAGGCTTCCCTCCGATGGGGCGTTCCACGCTCTACCCTCCAATTACGACTCGGCGATGGCCTCAGCCATTCTGACGCGTCAATCGCGTCGATGAAGCTATCTAGGGATCAGGAAGACGCGAAGTAATATATGGCAATATGTAGCAACTCCGAACGAACGAACTGGGCATTCTTTAAACAACCAGAGGAACCAGGGGATCCTAATAATTGTGTGGCACAATATGGAAATGGCCTTCTTTTTTATACACCATTAGTCTGGGTACTGTGAGTACATAAGATACGTTCATAGGGTATGCGTTGGGACTGGGCTCGTTCAGACATGGAATATGCTGCATGTGGCCCTCTGCCTGGTCCGGGGATCCGGGGAGCAGGCTTCGATAACCAAATGGCGCGCAGCTCGACAACTGGGTTTCGTTCCTATGTCTCCACAGATAGGACCCCCCAAAGCAAGCAACACCCACCCCAAGCTGTTCCCCGGCGCTTCGAGGCCAAGACTATCCACTCTGCCAGGCCAAACGGTTTAGACCTAAATCTATCTCTATACAACTTTAACCCAACTTTCCCAGAGCTCTGGGAACTGGAGCTACTGACATGACAGCATCGCACCGCCTGCTTGCGCCATGGCAACTTAAGCAAACGAAAAGTTTGACTAATGAGTAGTTGTTGTACCAAAGCGAAACGGCGGCAGTTGACATGTTGAGGACACAGATTAGCTATCCGCGAACGGATGCGCTGTCATCCCAATTCCAACTTCAGCAACATCAGCAATATTGTATTCTTTCTGCGAAACACTGCGAAGCACACGACAATGCGGCGCAGGGTTTGCATGTCGTACCACACATACTTTCTTGGTTTCCTGCACTCAGACGACCATTCTGTTCAGCCTCTCAATGGTCATCAGCAGGGTCGTAACTGACCAATTCGCTCGAAGAATGCCCCCACCAGGAGGGGCTGACTTGGTGTGTTCGGTGGATCCCAACGCTCTTGAAAATCACCGAACAACTGTGAGTGACTACTGCAGTCAAGTCTATCGTCGGCCTGGTTAAGTGCTGTTGGCTTCTTGGCAGCCTGTAATCCGCGTATAGCGCGTGTGGACAGGAGCCGCAAAGGGCATACGGTACCGACTCCGAGAAACCTGAGTACAAACGACACCAGCATACCAGAGGTTGGGCCTCAAATCTCGGGTCGATAAACTATCAATACGGACGAAAAACCCTGGGTCCCAATGCTAATAAACCATCCAGGCCAATGTGCCGAAATGTATTCTGTAGTACCCACTGCTTCGCCTGCCATCCCGTAACAACAATGACTCGAAAAGCAGATACACACCCTGTTGCAATCGCCAGAATCTGCGCTGGAATCTCACCTTGATGCAGATGCAACAATAGTTTATGCAGTGAATCTACAACTTCACCTTTCCCAAGATACTCCCCCACCCCCACCTTAATAACCACGCTAGTATCTGCTTAGGTACCCAGGCACCGTTCTTAGCTTAGAGGTCGCCACCAAGCTTCTCCATCTCACTTAGCCGACAACTACTCATGCTAGAAGATCCCTTACGGAGCCGACCGTCATTCGTTTGCGCTTCTGCTTCTCGGCCCATTCGCGACTGAGCATGCGGGATCGCTCTGCCGCCTGCTCTCTGGCAATACGAGCCAGAGCCTCACGTTCTCGCTTCTCTCTCTGTCGTTCTTGTGCGTACGAGTTGTCACCTTGGTATACATCCTTGCCGCGGAGACGTTGCTGTTGCGTTTCCTCGATAGATATAGAGCTGCGTTTGCCGCTGATGCTACCAGTCGAACTCGATGTTGCGCGGCTCGTCTGGGAGGCCATCGATTCCGTGGTGAAGAGTCGGCCTCGAGACTGTAGCTGATTGTCCGCGTTGGACAAGGGTTCGCGAGACACCACGGGTTGTTGCTTGTGAGGACTCGGCGATGCTTGGTGCATTTGATTCTCAGGAAGCGTCAACTTGCTTTGCCTTGCACGGCTGGTTATGGTCTCACGAGGGAGGGTATGGGGGGCCATCCCGGAGCGAACTGGCCGCGCCTTGAACTCGCGGCGCTGTCGTTCTTCCTCTTGTTGAGCCTTGAGCTTAGCCTCGCGCTCCTCCCGTTTGCGGCGAGAGATTGCTTCTCCTGGCAATTCAAAGTTAGGTCGTGTCGGAGCCTTGGCGGACTTTGTTCGTCGGATGGCATTAGCATTTGATGCTGATGGCTGCTCTGCAGTGGCCTTAGCCTGCATTGCAAGTCGTGCTTCGCGCTGCTCCTTCAAGCGTCGAGCGACAGCCTCGCCAGGGAGCTCAAAAGTCGAGACGGTAGGCGGCTTGGTTGACTTGGCCGGCTGCTTAGGAGGCTGTAGGCTTGCGAGCCCCTTTCCGGTTGACTTCTTGGGCGGTGTCTGGACCGGTGCCTTGTCCTCTCCTTTAAGCTTTGGCGAGTCGAGGAAGACCATGGAAGCTGCTTTGCGGATGCTTGGAGATCGTCTCGGCTCTGCAGTCTTGACTGCGACCGTCGCAGAAGCTGCCCTGGGACTAGGTCGGCTACGTTGGGGAGTTGTGCGAATGCTACCAGCTCGGGCCAATGGTGAATTGGTAGACCCTTTTGCCATGTGGGGCGAGACGACTTGTTTCACCAGAGCCGCCTCATCGAATGCCTCGAGTTGCTCCTCAAGCTGATCAAGTGCTTGGAAGGAATCCTCGATTCTGGCCGCGGGCTTGGCCGGAGACCTCGACATGGTGATCTCGGCGTAGCTGTCATCTTCGCCAGTCGCATTGGCGGATGACGGCGTCAGGTCTTCAATTCTGACCTCTGGACAAGGCGGCACAGCCTTGGACGGAGTTTCATGTTCGTTCCGGACCTCTGCGACAGCCATGTTCTGCCCCCCCTTTCTATGTTAGTTAACTGTAACGGTTCCTTGTCCCACGCCAGTGGCGTTGCCAGTATCGTATGCGTACGAGGCGTGAAGTCTTTGGATGAACCAGTGGGTTCGGATTGAAAATTGGTGGGCAAAAGGTTGCAGCCAAAGAAGTGCTTTGTGACTTCGGTAGCGCCACCGGAGGTTGAAGACGCGGAGTGGGTGCTATCTGTCGATCTCTTCGGGATGCGTACGGTCAAAACCCATTCAAAATTTCCGTCACGGTGTTTTGTAAGCTGCTCCTGGGTTGATGAGAGATTTCTTGCAGCTATTGCCAGCGGATGATGTGCGTATTGGTCCGCTGTCAAATTTCAACGTCAGTACGATGTAGGAATATCTCGATCAAAAAGTCATTGGCCTAGGTATCGCACCTGAAAGTTCACTGCAGTGCTGGCTTCCATCCGAAACACGATTGGCCGCGAACTGCGATGGGTCGTGCTTCTGGTCCTCGGGGACCGTTTCAAGACTTCTAAAAGTAGTCGATCCAATTGGAGGACGCGTCAGACGAACTCCAGCGTGTCCTTTAGGCTTGCTCTTGACTCGGTTGAGTCCGTGAGGGCCAGGCTCGGCAATTCGAAGGTCCCTAAACTTGTTCGCCAGACTCTCCACGCTGGGGCTTGACGTCGGCTTCGACAATTGGGACTGTGGATTATGTGCGTGCCAAACGGGAACGTCACCTAGAGCTGCAAATCTATTGTTTCCGAGTTTGCTCGGACTCGAGATGTCGGGAATGCTTGGGTTATCGTCTTCACTCAAGCTCGTGTCATCTTGGTCACCGAAGATGTTCAACGAAGCTCGTGACGGCGCGACTCGAGCCATTACTCTCTGGGAAGTTTAAATTCAGCGAAACTGACAAGGATCTATATAGTACAGACAAGGTATGGCCGTAAACGGCTTAGACGACAAGCAAGGGTTTGATGAAGCTGATAATTTCGGTTTCAGCACGGGGGCTATCCAAAATCGTGGAGGTTGTAATGGGGGGTAGTGTGGTTTGATGATTTGACGAGTGAAGAACAGTCAGGTTGCATTTTTGTTGTATGTGCTGCAGCTGCAGTCGCATGTTTGTTTGTGTGACAACATGGAACAACTTGCGCCTTCCCGGAAGGACGATACCCCCAAATGTATTGAGAGCATCCTGCTTATTCCAGCAGTAATTTGCTAACAGCAGTCCCACTACTATCGCACAGATGACGACGGCGTCCTTGTGCTTTGCGCTATCCAGCCCTGTCGCAGCAAGTCAACACTACCTAGGTACCCAAGGCGATGGGTATCGACGCGTGTGGCGCGACTGAGACGCGCTTTCCCCACTCGTCAGCATTTTTATGTGGATCGGCTCCGTGCCACGGGACGTGCCAATTGCTTCATCTGCTCTCAAACAATGACGACTTCCGATCGAGCGAACAGGGCAAACTGGATAATCGGAGTCTTGACTCGATTTGAGTATTTCCGCCCCTCAGCTATAAATTGCCGTCAGAAAGTCAGCCACCGCGACAACTCTTGGCACTTTCCTGGGCGAAAAGGTCTATCACGGACAATTGGGCAACCTGACCGTTCCCGTCTAGTCATGTTTGAGCACTTGGCCAATCTTCTGAGGGTTTGAGTCTACCAACTGGGCCTCTCAGGGTCTCTCAGGGTCTCTCAGGGTCTCTCAGGGTGTGATAGACGAGTTCTGTTCGTTTTCCATGGCATTCTCGGCATGTGCTTGTAGTGTTGGAGCATGCTCTGTTGGTATTCGGACCAGTGTCTGAGGCAGAGGGACTGGAACTGGTCCTTCTTGCGCACTCGATTGGGAATCGTCGGTATCGCGAGGTTGAGGTATTTTCGCTGTGGATATGATCAGCCGTTATCATACCAAAGAGAAAGTTGTGACAAGAGCGCACCTGAAGCCATGTTGATGGCTCGCAAGACGTTGTGCCAGTTTCCAAGCACAGTAGCGATTGCTGTAGTGATGGTTAGATCTAGGTCCCGGGCGGCGGGGGGCGCGTCCGTCACATGTATGTACCTTCTGTACCATCAGAGAGGGTTGAGAGCTTTTGTTCAAGCGCCTCCATTTGGCCCGCTACTGCCGCACTCAAGTCTCGAAGTTCCTTGAGGTTGTCTAGCTCGGCCTTCTTTTCGTTGATGCGTGCTTGGAGCGCACTTGACTGCCCCGTTGACTGCGCATGCGGATTGCTAGTCGTGGAGCCCTGGCGAAAGTGGCCTGGAAGCGATCGAGAAGGGAATGCCATTATTGCTGCTGTAGCTTCGTCGTCTTCATGGGATTTTGTCTTGTTGCAGGAGCGATCTCTGATGTGGCGACAACTGCTTGAATGGCAGGGCGCTAAAGCACGCGAGTGAGTGCTTTGTTGCAACTAGAAACCCTGCTCTGTTGCGAATTTCAGACTGCACCGTACGCAGGCGATTTCTGTTCCCAGAAAACGATTTCTTCGAAGTTTGTCGCTGTCGTAAGTCTCTCGTCTCACTTCAGAGCCCAAGGAGGCCTTTCCCATGTGTGAAATGCAGGGAAGAGGGGATCCCTGCTCAATTGACGCCAAGATACCAACCGTTGCCCTGACAACAGCAAATCAGTGAGGATCCTTGCCTATACTTCCCAAATGAGCTCAACCATCAATTTCCAATCTCAGAGGAAAACTTTCAACGCGGTACTCTTTGCATCGAACGCGGGTGACAAACGATTCAGTAACCACTTTGCTTTTGCTGACAACGATAGTCGTTATAGCCTCCTCTATTGGATTTCAACCGAAACTTGACACCGACCGCAACAGACAAAGGCGTAACTACAATACCAAACAAAACAGTCGATGCATATTTGCCATGGCACGTCTGAACGAGCCCATGGTGGCGCCAGATGGTATAGAGCTACGTATGTTTGCAAACAGTTGCTGGTTTAGATATCAAATCTGACAGGCTTTCCATGTAGTTCGCCGGAAGTTCCTCCGCCAAAACCGAGATATCGCCAGAGTCAACTCAACACAGTCATTGCGCATTCGCAGTTTGGAGAATGAATGTGCGCGCATGCTCTCAGAAAACCTCGATCTTCGAGGTCAGGTTTTACGACTAGAGACTGAACTACAGGAGAGTCGAGCGCAGAGGATTGCCGATCATGCCCTAGAAATCAAGGAGAAGATGGAAGCCCAGCTTCTTGAATGGGGATCCATGTTGGCGAGCCTGGGCCACGAACCAATTCCCAAGAACCGATCACCACGCATATCCAAGAAGGCAAAGACCCGATCGAGCCTCGGCCCAACCAGCCCGTCACAGTGGAGGCGGAGAGACACACGAGAGTCGGAGGCTGCTGCCGCGCAAGAGGGCAGATTGCCTCCTTTGTGGGAAAATAGACCCTGCCCCAGAGAGACATTGAACAGGGAGGAGATACTTGCTCTATGTTCGGAAGCTGCGAAAACTACCGAGTCTCCAGATCTGGGGCCGCCCCCGATCTCCCGTTTTGTAGACGAGGATCCCGTGAAGATCGATCTGCCAACAAAGCCGTCAGCAGAAGGACCGGTCACTACATCTCTAGTAGAGGAGTCGCTCTTGAAGGTCGTGCCAAAAGCAGAGCCGAAACTCGGTATAGACACGGAACCCAGAGCAGATGCAGCACTCAAGGCAGAACCGACGCCTGCACCAACGGTTCAAGCTCGAGATGATGCCTCCCAGGACAACCCCACGACCAAGAAGAAAGAGCCGAGGCTTACCAAGCCAGCCGCAGTTCCTACGACGCAGGCATCTGCTCAAGTCGCAAAAGCCGGTTTGAAGAGAAAGATAGTGGAAGATGAGGACAAGGAAAACCATGGAGAAATTCGGCCCCTAGCCGACACAACCAAATCAAACAAAAGCCAACCTGACAAACCTGCCCGACTGCTAGATCGACCTATTAAGGAATTACCTTCGGTCAGACGAGATGCACGTGGGAGGGCAACTGGTACATCAGTCCTCGGAACTCAGAGGAAACCCCTGGCAGCACGCAGTGCAAACGAAGTTCTGAGCTCGCCTCAGAAATCTACCAAGCCTGTGGCTGTAGATCAAGTCGCGAAGGCGAAGGCGGAAATCAAACATAACGAGCAGCGCACGAAGCCAAAGAAGAAGGAAGAAGCAGCTGCGCCGATTGAGGTTCCAGCTCCTGACATACCGACAGCACCTACAGTGACAGCTATCAACCTCGAACCGGAAACGCTGACTGCGGAGCCAAACCTATCAGCACCAGAATCTCCCGAGCCATCAGTGCCATGCGAAGAAATCAGAGACACTCCACCGCCTTCTGATATCTCATCCAAAGGGGAGACTGCCCGTGGGAGCCGCAGAGCTAGGACTGCTGTCAGCTACGCAGAACCCAACCTTCGGGATAAGATGCGCCGGCCTACTAAGCAGTTATTCGATGCCGTATCTGGGGAGGGCAAGGCCATTCGCAGAACTAGTCATTCCAAGGGTGGCGAAACGCCGGGCGGACCCGCGTCTACAGTGAAATCGGAGGAAAGGTCGGAAAGGTCTGCATCGTGGAAAGTGTTGCCTGTGGCAGATTCTGCTTCGGAGGGCCCAGCAAGTCCATTGGCGGACAAGGTGTTGCGCAGATCGCCAGACCACCTTCCGATGAATGTGGTGACGGACAGGAAGAAACGCAACCCTTCGATGGCGGTTCAGGGGACCGAATCAGAGGGTGTGAAGCCCGCTACGAAGTCGACATTAAAACCATCAACGAATCGCCGCCTGGACGACATTGCAGCGCGAGAAGCCGAGGTTGCGAGAATGTTTGATGAGTCTGATGTTTACGAATTCACCAGCTCACCAAGCAACGAGTCGAAGCGAACGAATCCGGAAGAAGACAAGAAGGCAAAGAGTTCTCGCCACGCGAGGTCAAGACGGCTTTCATCCGTGGTGTGCGAAGATATCGCATTGGATCCCGTTGATACTAGTAGCAAGGGAGCCAAACCCAATGGCGCTAGAAAAAGGGCTTCCATGGTGGCACTGAAAAATTCAATTCTGGAAGCAGATAATTCCGGGAGAAACAGTCCAGCAGAGGGAGACAGCTTGAGTAGTTCTTCGCCGGCAGATGCGGATGGCTCCGCTCGGGATAGAGCATCGATGAGACGGAGGAGTATGATGTTATGATGAAACACCACCCACACCTTGATTAGCGCTTGGAGTTTTGGTGGTGGTTACTTTTGAATGAATAATGTTTGGATATACGCAGCGCAGGGCAGGCTAGACGCATTGTAGTCATAGATAGCATTGCAGTACCAAGATTCGATCGGTACCTATCGAACCGTTCTTTTGTTACTCTCGTTCTCAGGGGTTTACTTCTTATAGTGCTACTATTCCGACTTTTGGCTTTGTCTTATCATTGCGCATTGTCATGCCAATCACCTCGATCTCCCTCCGGCGCCTCCTGGTGATTCTTAGTATAAGTTACAATTCATTGATAGTAAAAAAACAATTGAGAACTAAACTAAAATCAGACAAACGAAGCGAGAAAACAAGAAGAAAAACAAGCAGGCAGGTCAGGAATGCGGGACAGTGTTCTTCATCCATCTTTCCTGCCCGATATTGTCGGTCCGCGAAGGACAGCCGCCCCCTATACCATGTAACAAAGGATATATTAGGGGTTGGCAATCATTGAAAAATTGGCCACTCATTACAGCTTATGAGGCCACGACTCGGTCCGATATTTTCACTGGTTCAATGCCTGACTGGTGCCTCAGGCAGCTTTGTTGGCCCAACCTCACAATCGTTTCCTAGTAACTCTATCCGGCTATCTTGCCTCTAGCTAAGTAGGGGCACTGCGTTACTCAATCATCTCCATTCTCGTTCTTCATCATATATTCCCTGTCGACTCTACTGGCTTCGTATATGTGACCTTCTCAACAGCCACATTCTCTGCCCCATTGGCATCTTTCCGCAACTGATAGACGTAAAGTGTGAGGGAAATGCCTTGTACCTAAATATCAGTCAGTATGCAAACTTCTGGCCATGGGTCCTGGGGTCGGTTCTCACATCCATGAGACAAAAGCTCGGCACCATATCCTCCCCCTCCTTATTCCAGCCCGTTGTATACGCACCCGTCGCACTCCCTGGGTTCACAAAGAACTTGTCCATATATTCGAAGGCGTCGAAGCGGTGCGTGCCTCCCCAGCATAGCACATCAACATCAAGCTTGTTCGCCTCGGCCAGCAGCAGATCGGGTTCCGTCGATACCAGCGTGAATCCCTCGATGAAGCCGATGCGCAGCGAGCCGTGGGTCACGACTTGCGAGAGCGGCAGCGAAGTCGCCTCCACATCCATGCGCCCCTTGACGATCTTCAGGTCGGGCGCTATCGAGCGCAGGTATTCGTAGGTGTGCTTATCGGTCAGATTTCCGAGGCATAGTGTCTGGCCTATCTTGCCTGGGGATAGTAATTTCTTGAACTGTGGAGGGTGTTAACCAACGCCTGCCTGCCTGGACGTCGTAATTTGGTGTACCAACCTTCGGTGGGATGTCGAGAGCACGATCGGGTATGTGGAGGTCCCCAATTACAAGGATTAGGAAAGCCATTGTCGGCGAGCTCTCCTCGTGGATGAAGGTGGCTTAGGGTATCCCAGCAGGTGCTTCGCAAAGTTATATGGATAGCTTCAAGCTTGAGGGGCAATCGCAGCACATTGACATTGGAACAGGCAACAACGAACGGCAATGCACGGAAACCGAGAACAGATGTACGAGCTGAATGGCTGTGGGACGAGGTGGCTCAACGTATCACAACAAACATCTCCTGTGTTGTGCCAATTGAAAGGACGACTCGAGTTGGCGCAAATCTGTTGAAGACTGGTTCAACGATGAAGCTCGTCTCACTCGAATGCTCGGTTGAAGGCTTGACGTCGTAAAGTGGAGCTATTGCCAAGCCCGCTACTTGCTATGACAGGGGGTCCTCTAACTTCGCTTCTAGAAGTTCCCAGCCTTGCATAGGATTCAATGGAGACTTTTCCACTCAATGACAAAACTCTCAATTTTACAATCAACCGACAGTTACCAGTACGGCCTCGGTCTCCAATGCAAACCTCGCACTGCAGCACCAGACTTATGCTGAGGATATTCAATTGCATAAATACCTTACCTCGTGACAAATAGTCTCAAGTCTCAAGAGCTCTGTTTATGACGGCGGAATTCCTTCGGAATTTCGTCATGATTCTTGTTAGACAACAAAACGTTTAAGCTGACCTAACCTTATCACAATACCAAGATCTCAATTGGTCGCCAACCAGCTGCGTGCTACCGAACCTTGGGCCAAGCTACTACTGCACTCCCATCTCTACAGAGTTCTCCTCATCTAGGCAAACTGGCGCTGCGGAGGGTTTCGCGATCGGCCTACGCCGGCGTACTTTTACCCCACATGGGCAACAACAACCCCTCATTGTCTCGGTTGTCATTGATATCTAGACATATAGGCTCTCAACCCCATCAACTGTCTGCGAACTATGCACAATCTTTCTCACAGATACAGAATCGCCGCCTTTCCACATCACAGTCTATCAATATGTCTTCTCAGCCAGAACACCCCGCACTCCTGATCCCAGGTCCCATCGAGTTTGATGATGCCGTCCTTCAGTCGATGAGCCACTTCAGGTTCGTGACCATCTTTCGCAAGTCATCAGTCGCAATCGCTTCCAATGCAGGATACTCCTGTTGTGAAGTCGATGTGTCTAACACGTGACAAACAGCGAATCGCATGTTGGACCAGGCTTTGTCTCGACCTTTGGCGACACCATCTCGATGCTGCGCAAGCTGTTCCAAACTACCGATTCTTCTGCGCAGCCATTCGTCATCTCGGGATCTGGAACCTTGGGTTGGGATCTGGTGGCTGCCAACCTCGTCGAGCCCGGAGAGGATGTTCTAGTCCTCAGCACCGGATACTTCGGAGACGGCTTCGCCGACTGCTTCAAGACATACGGCGCAAACGTTGATCAGCTCACTGGCCCCATCGGCGGACGGCCACAGCTGTCGGAAATCGAGAAGGCCCTCAAGAGCAAAAGGTATAAGCTTGTCACGGTGACACATGTCGATACTTCGACTGGCGTGCTGAGCGAGCTGGAGAAGTTGTCGGAAACAGTCAAGAGCGTGTCACCCGACACGCTGCTTATTGTTGATGGCGTTTGCAGTGTGGCTTGTGAGGAAATCGCCTTCGACGCGTGGAAGTTGGACGGTGTCGTAACGGCTAGCCAGAAGGCCATTGGATGTCCTGCCGGTCTGTCGATATCCATGTTTAGTGGGAAGGCGATCGAGGCTTTCAAGGCGCGAAAGACTCCTCCAGGCTCGTATTTCGCCTCGATGAAGAACTGGATGCCCATCATGCAGAACTACGAAGCCAAAAAGCCATCGTACTTTGCGACACCATCACCGCAGTTGATCCACGCTTTGCACACGGCATTGACCCAGATCTTGGCGAAACCCATCGCCGAGAGGTTCGCGAAGCATAGGGAGATTTCGGACAAGATCAAGAAGGCTGTCAGTGACCTTGGCTTAAAGCAGGTGGCGGAGAAGCTCGAGGACCAAGCACATGGTATGACGGCCGTCTACCTGCCCGAGACGGTGAAAGCAACCGACTTACTGCCCAAACTGGCCAAGAGCGGTGTCATATTTGCCGGTGGTATCCACAAAGCAATTGCGCCCAAATACGTGCGCTTTGGACATATGGGCGTCAGTGTGGTAAGTAGCTTGTCCCTTCACTTTCTACGAGCGTCATATGATGCTAACCGAAATAGACGGATCCCGCACGAAACGATATTGACAAGGCGATTAAGGCACTGACGGCCGGGCTGGCTGACTGTGGATACCAAAAGGCTTGAAAACGCTTGGAATTAATGGACAAACGTAGAATCGAAAACCTGCGGGCTGGGATGACTACACTATATAGAACGGCAAGGAGACATAAAGTAGGAAAGACAAGCTTTAGTTCTGAGACTGAATACATCTGAATAACACAGCATGAGCCGTTAGTAGAAACCTAAAGTGCGACATACCCAGCAGGACTAAAGCTGCCAGGTTTAGACCAGAAGCTTCTCGTAGCAAGTGGCTGACTTGGCAATCTGGAACAGCCCCCTCACCAACCGGAACACACGGCTGGATTGACATAATGACCACCCCGGTAGATCCACATTGTCTTCCGGTAATAACGGGGCCCCCGCGACATGTGGTGAGCTCTGGCTCCGGATAAATGGATCCTAGAGCTCCACACGAAAGAGCTGGGTGGCCCGACTCTGGAAAAGTCTGAAGGCGGCACAAGGAAACTCCAGCATCTTCTTTATGAAAAGAGTATTTGTGAGAAGCTGCGCTGAAACCCTGTCTCTCCTCATGTTGAAAATTTCCGTACGGATACATTTTCTAGCACGTTTGAGACAAGATCTGCAGTTTCTGCAGGCATACATCTATCCTAGACTTCTGAGAAAGCGGGTGGTATTTCTTCATGAATAATTGCTTGATGGAATTTATATCTTTCAGATCTGGACGTAGAGGTATACATGCCTTGAAACAGAAACAATGGTCCGCGTTGTCATCTGGGGCATGCAATACGGTTGATTCAGCACTCTGAATCATATCAGCTGCGCAATCAGAGCTATTGCGTCCAGGGTCCTCCTCACTTCCTCAATCTCGATCAAGCAATTGGGGCAGGCTGCGCATGGTAGGACAAGATAGCTCGATAATTAAACACCACCTTGACCAACGGCAACCATCAAGATCAAAATCACGACGTGGAGCCAGCCTGTACATGGCACAAGGCAACTCGACGTTCCGAAGCGGCGGTGAATTACTGACATCAAACGCACCACTTTGTCAATTTGTCATCCGAGTCTTGTGGCATCCCACATCAGTGGCTTTCTTTAGCTATTGATCGTCAAGTTGCGCTTAAAAAGGATTAAACCCAGAATATTGAGACAATGTGACTATATAGCTGGCATCAACAAAACTGGCAGTGCAGTTGTCGGCGACATGAAAATAAACACTCCAATGCCTCACTTGGGAAGAGCTATAATAAGCAAGCAGCTTAAAGTACCTTAGCTTGAGTCGTGTCTCCAACAGTGACATCAAGTCGCGGATTCGCGACCGGGCGGGATCGAGTGCAGCAGCAGCCTTGGTTGCGGGGCAGCTCATCAATTTCTCAGCTGGTAGCCACTCTCTGCACCGCTTTACCAGTGACCAAAGACCTCTGAAGACCTCCACCACGGTCAAATCTGCCGCTTCTTTGATACCTCCTTCCACCCAACCTATCTTTTCTTCTGCGCTTCCTCTTCGCCCACGGACAAACCTCGCGAACGGGCAAATCTCTTCCATTCCGAGTGCGCCTGGGCCTTTTTCAGTCCTTTCAACAAGGCCCCGCGAAGAAAGCGACTGCTCGTCCGCATCATCACCCCTCTACGCGCGTATCCCCCCGTCTTCCCCGCCACATCGACTTCACCATGGCGCCCACGATTGAGGAGCTGGACGCCATGGTCCGCTCCTTCTACGAGGGACGTGGCGAACAGGTGAGTTCTCTGCTGCTATCGTCTTTGCCATGGCCAGGCCGTCGCTTTTGCGCCCGCGACAAAGTTACCGTTACTGACCAGCATTTCTCCCCGCCTCCAGCAAAAAAATGCCCAAGCAGCTTTGAATCAGGTATGCCCAGCGCCTTCCATACACGCCCATTGCTCCGACTTCGTACTTAACTATCTCGCGCACAGTTCAAAGAAGATACCGATGCTTGGCTTCTCGTCGACAAAATCCTGTCCGATGCTACGTACCCGCAAACCAAGTGTAGGGCGCTATCAGTTCGGCGTATGAAGAAGCTGGACAAGGCTGACCAGTAGCAGATCTCGGCCTCCAGGTTTTGGACAATGTTATCATGACAAGATGGAAGGTGCTGCCAAGGGAACAATGCCAAGGTGCGTCTGCTCCGTCGGCTGATGCGGTGGCATCGTGTAGACGCTGACCCTCTTAATTTGGCAGGTATTCGCAACTTTGTGGTGAACTTCATTATCCAGTGCTCGAGTACCGAGGAGTCGCTCAAGGCCCAGCGCACCCTGATCAACAAGCTCAACCTTGTGCTCATCTCCATTCTGAAGCAAGAATGGCCTCACAACTGGCCCACCTTCATCAACGAGATCATATCCTCATGTCGGACGAATCTCTCCATCTGCGAGAACAATATGACGATCCTACGACTTCTCTCGGAAGAGGTCTTCGACTACTCCGCTGATCAGATGACTTCGGCCAAGACAAGAAATCTGAAGACCACGATGTGCAACGAGTTCTCGCAAATCTTCCAGCTCTGCCAGGAAATTTTGGCTACCGCAAATCAGGCAAGCCTCGTCAAGGCCACGCTCGAGACGCTGCTAAAGTTCTGCAACTGGATCCCTCTTGGATACATATTCGAGACACCATTGATAGAAACGCTGCGCACTCGCTTCCTAGAGGTCCCCGAATTCCGAAACGTCACACTTCAAGTCTTCACCGAGATTGGTGGCCTGACGACGGCTGCCCACGGCCAGCCAAATGCATACAGTGAGCAGCTGGTCAAGATGTTCTGTGAGGTCCTCACCACTATTGCGGGCATCATTCCGCTTGACCTCGACCTCAAGAGCACATACCCCCAGAGCAACTCTAGGGATCAGGAGTTCATCCAGAACTTGGCGCTGTTCTTGTGCAGCTTCTTCGGCCAACACGTAAACCTCATCGAGAACCTCCCGAACCGAGACTTCCTCACACATGGCCACTTCTACCTGATCCGCATCTCCCAGATCGATGACCGCGAGATCTTTAAGATCACGTTAGATTACTGGCTCAAGCTGGTCCAGGAACTCTACGAGGAGATGCAGACTGCCCCCATGCAGGATATGAACCCGTTGATGAGCCTCGGTGGGCCCGCGTCGTCTACCGGCGCACCGAATCCGAGTATCCTCTCCAATATTCCGCTACGAATGCACAAGTTCAAGGAGGTCATGTCTAATCTGCGTGTTGTCATGATTGAGAAAATGGTACGGCCCGAGGAAGTGCTGATCGTGGAAAATGATGAAGGCGAGATTGTGCGAGAATTTGTCAAGGAGAGCGATACAGTACAGTTGTACAAAACCATTCGCGAGTGTCTCGTCTACCTGACCCATCTTGATGTTGTCGACACGGAGCAGATCATGACCGAGAAGCTGCAGCACCAGGTCGATGGGTCGGAGTGGTCATGGCACAACTGCAACGTTCTCTGCTGGGCCATCGGTTCGATCTCTTTGGCAATGAATGAGGAAACAGAGAAGCGCTTCCTGGTCACTGTGATTAAGGACCTGCTGGGACTGACCGAGATGAAGCGTGGCAAGGACAACAAAGCTGTCGTTGCCAGCAACATCATGTACATTGTCGGGCAGTACCCGCGGTTTTTGAAGGCGCACTGGAAATTCCTTAAGACGGTCGTCAACAAGCTCTTCGAATTCATGCACGAGTCTCACGAAGGTCAGTCAACCAACTATCGGAGCTCTACGTACAGAGAATGCTAACAGGGAGGGTAACAGGCGTCCAGGACATGGCGTGTGACACGTTCATCAAAATCGCCCGACAGTGTCGACGTCATTTCGTCGCGCTGCAACCCGCCGAAAACGAACCCTTTATTGAGGAAATCGTCAGAAATCTGGGCCGAATCACATGCGACTTGACGCCACAACAGGTCCACACCTTCTACGAGGCCTGCGGCTACATGGTGTCTGCCCAGGGTAACAAACACCAACAGGAGAGACTATTGGCTGATCTGATGAATGCGCCGAACCTTGCCTGGGACGAGATTATCAGGGCTGCTACTGCCGACCCGCAAGTTCTTCAAGATTCCGAGACGATCAAGATCATTGGCAACATCATGAAGACTAACGTCTCGGCGTGCTCGTCCATTGGTCCTTATTTTGGACCGCAGATTGGTCGTATCTACTTGGATATGTTGCAAATGTACCGTGCAACAAGCGAGTTGATTTCTCAGGCCGTTACCCAAGACGGTGAGTGCTCTGCGAATTTTTTTTTCTTCGTCGTGAAAAACTTCAGCTGACAGCCCATGATAGGCGATCTAGCTCCGCGGATGCCCAAGGTTCGAGGACTGCGAACTATCAAGAAAGAGATTCTCAAGTTGATCGAGACTTACGTGGACAAGGCGGAGGACCTGCAAGCCGTCCGCCAGCAGATGGTTCCCCAACTCCTAGACTCCGTCTTGGTCGACTACAACCGAAACGTCCCTGGTGCTCGCGATGCTGAAGTCCTGAAGGCTATGTCGACCATCATCTCGAAGCTCACGGTAAGTTTTCCCTGTACCCCAAAGTATAGGGTTGATCGCATTTTGCTGATATATCCTAGGGTCTCATGGAGGATCAAGTCCCAGTCATCATGCAGAACGTGTTCGAGTGCACTCTCGAGATGATCAACAAGGACTTCTCCGAGTTCCCTGAACATCGCGTGGAGTTTTTTAACCTCCTGAGAGCTATCAATCTGCACTGCTTCCCGGCTCTGCTGAAGTTGGACAACCGTCAATTCAAGTTTGTTATCGATGCCTGCATGTGGGCTAGTAAGCATGACAATCGCGATGTCGAAGGCGCCGGCCTTAACATGTGCCTGGAGCTTGTGAACAACATCGCGGAGAAGACGGATGCCCAAACATCAAACGCTTTCTTCCAACAGTTCTTCATCACGATTCTTCAGGACGTCTTCTTCGTTCTTACCGATCCGGACCACAAGGCTGGCTTCAAGACGCAGTCGATGCTGTTGATGAAGATGCTTCACTTCGTTGTTCCTGCGGACGGCACCACTCCCAAGATTCAAGGTCCTATCTATACGGATCAAGCGGCGCAGGGGACAGACAATCGAGAGTTCCTCATTAATTTTGTCGGATCCTTGTTGCGGAATGCATTCCCAAACCTACAGATGTAAGTAATGCAGATGAGCTCAAACGAAACACAACTGACAATTGTTACAGCGCGCAGATCAATGCCTTTATTGAGGGCTTGTTCATGTTGAACAACCAGTATGATAAGTTCCGACTCAACTTGCGTGATTTCTTGATCTCTCTCAAGGAGTTTGCCGGGGATAACACGGAGCTCTTCGTGGTTGAGAAGGAGCAAGAGGCGCGCGACAAGCTCACGGCCGACCACGAACGACGAGCCAAGGTTGGCGGCCTTCTGAAGCCGTCAGAAATCGAAGCCGAGGACGATGAGTTGTGACAAGCCAAAGAATTCAGAAATGAATTCGCGCCATCACATGCCTCGGCGGGCTCTGGACCGCATGGTGGCCCAACGGACAACTTGGACGGCTGGGACCTCTACGGGTTGTAAGTGCGAGCCAGCACTTGAACCGCCCGTGGTCAAAGATCCCTCAATACTAACAAAACCCTCTCGACTTCCCATCTTCCTTGCTTTTGTGTGCGTGATACCAAGATAGAGCTGGAGATAGCCGTAAAAGCGCAGGGCTTGAACGGTTGCATGAAACGACACTAGGGAGGCTGTCTTTTCATTTGTGTAGACTCAAAAACTCTACGACGATGCGTTTACTGGCTGAGGGGGTGGAGGAGGAAGTCAGATCTCACCAGAGCAGCAGGTCGTCGGAAAAGGGAAAGGGATATGTGCCGATGGAGGGCATACATATGGATGATGAAAATGCCCAGCCGAGAAAAAATTGGGGGTTGCCGCAGCTTGGTAGATAACGAGCATGTAGGCAGGCCAAGTATCATGGCAGATACTCGCTCTTACTCGGACTGTTCTTGTGACGTAGGCGAGGAACCTTCAGAGATAATCTCAAGTCTAGTTCTAGCTGAACACCGACGCCTGTATCAATGTGTATGGCGCCGACGTACGCGGGTGAGATTGACCATGGCCTCACGGAAACCGAAGACAGTAGCAGCCACGCACTCGTACCACTTGGACGTGCTGCATGGCGTTGTAGTCAAACTAGGCGCAGTGCGTCGAGCTACTGGATTGGCAAATCTGGCCTTGAACTTCATCTGACACGTCATTAACAAGGGTTGCCCAATGAGAAGCATGCAGCGCTCAATGTGCCATCTAACCGCTCAGCAGGGGGAGGTTCGTGCATGCAAGACGGCGCCAGCACAGAGAAGCAACAGCCCTTTTAGGCCACCGAGCCGCACTTCGATGGTGCTGTCTCCGCGTTTCTACACCTATGAGGGAGCTGTATGATGAAAAGCTATAGTACGAATGTTCGTATGACCCAGGATGTCTTTGGGGGGATGCGAATGGGAATAGGTTCCGGAGGCCGCTAATAAACTGAGTTTTCCTGGCAGATCCAACGATGTACTTTGCGGCTAGGCCGTCCGGGTACCTGGCAATTCCGAGGCAATAGGGTTATAAACTCGAGGCCCTGAGGGTTTCTTTGTTTGACTTGTCGAGGGATCATTGGCTTTATGGGCTTCGTCTCTTATTGACGTTTGCCTCGTCGCTTCTCCCATCTCATTCGAAGCAGCGTTTGGGTATCGACCAAGCTTCTTGGTATACCCGGTCATGGCAGCCGTCCTCCTGACAGCGGCTCTGGCCGTCACCACCGCCGCAAGAAATCTGGTCAGCCGCAATACAACAAGCAGTTCAAGAGTGAACAGCACGACCTGCAACGGCGAGGAGTACGTCTACGAGGAGCTCGCGGGCTATGGGTTCGTCATCTCGGACGCGGTGGACAAGTTTGGTGACACCCTGGGCGGACTGGGGAGTGCCATTCATTTGGAAAAGGGAAGCTGGAGCAAGCTGTCAAATGGCAGCTACACGGGAACGCTTTGGACGATGCCGGATCGTGGGTGGTGAGTTTTATTTCTTGGGGAGTGGAGTACTACCGGCAGTTGGGGTTGGAGTTATGCTATGCACTGCAACTTGAGTTCGGACGAGATGCAAGGGGGTCTGAGCTATTCCTATCCATGATATAAGTGGATTGAGCATCTGATGTCGTGGGGGGAGGGGGGGTTTTTGGAAAGGCTTTGTAGAGAAACAACTGCGGTTTCGCAGCATCTTTGCTAACTATCGTATAGGAACACACAGGGGACTCTGAATTTCCAGCCCAGGGTTCACAAGTTTACCGTCGCCTTCCATCCGGCACCCAATGCAACGGTGGAAAACCATTCTCCTCCTAACTTGGCTTTGAGCTACCTGGATACTGTGAGATTCTCTGGCCCTGATGACACGCCTTGCACTGGTCTCGACGGTGACGTATCCGGGCATTTGTCTTACCCCGGCTTTCCCGATCTGCCGGTTGCTACTTACACGGGTGATGGATTTGGTGGCGAAGGTCCTGGTGGCAAGAGGATCGCCGTTGACCCCGAGGGATTAGCCGTTAATGAGGACGGTTCTTTCTGGGTCTCGGATGAATATGGCCCCTATGTGTGTAAGTGAAGGTCTCCTCTAGGTCGGTCCATATGAGAGGCTGTCACTCAGCAGTGCTCAAAACTAACCGAACAAAGACCTCTTCGACCAAACCGGCAAAATGCTAACCGCCATCCGACCCCCTGACGCCATCATTCCCACCAGAAACGGTACCGAATCCTTCTCGAGCGCCAGCCCCCCACAATACATCGACAACGGCAACGGTCCCCTTCCCGACCCCGAGGACCCAGACACAGGCCGTGACAACAACCACGGCTTCGAAGGCATATCCGTATCCGAGGACGGAAATAGCATCTGGGTTTTCCTCCAAGCCGCCACCGTCCAAGAAGGCGGTCTCGCGAAACAGACCCAACGCTGGACCCGTCTGCTGAAGTACGACATCTCCTCGCCCCTCAACCCCCTGTATGTGGCAGAATACGTGGTGCCGCTCCCGGCGTACAACGACCCCACCGCTAAGCCGTCCAAGAACCCCAAGATTGCCGCGCAGTCGGAGTTACATGCGCTTCCGAATGGGCAGTTCTTCGTGCTGGCCAGGGATAGTGATGCTGGTCGTGGAATGGATAATTCGCTATCGGTGTATCGCCAGATCGATGTGGTTGATATTAGTACGGCTACTGATATCAAAGCCGAGGGCGGGTTTGACTGCGAGACTTGTGCGGTTGCTAGCTTTCATGGTGTCCTGGATGAGGGGATTACGCCCGCTGTGTATTGTGGATTTTTGGATTTCAATGTGAATTCCCAGTTGGGGAGATTTGGGTTGCATAACGGAGGGGAGCAGGATGCTCAATTGCTGGCAAGTCACATGCTCTATTCTTGTTATCCTTGACATCCCAGGATGCTGACGAAAGTGCTAGAACGAGAAATGGGAGTCCATTACCGTGGTTCCTGTTGAGCCTAAACGCCCCGGTGATGATTACTTTGTCTTCAGTTTGAGTGACAATGACTTTATCACACAGAATGGGTTCACGAATGGTGGTCAATTTCAATATGCTGACGCAAGCGGGTTTAATCTTGACAGCCAGGCTTTGGTGTTCAAGGTCAAGATCCCAAGCTAGACGGCTTGGGAGATATGGACTATTTTGTACAGTTAGTTGTGTTCATAGTAGATACAGCCTCGCTACCAACGCCTATGCAGGATGGTCGAAGTCGCCGTTAAGAGCTGGAGGAAAAGCACGAAAGGAAATGTGAGCAGCAGCCAGTACTACTGGCAGGGCTGAAACCAAGAGACACTCAAACATGATAACGTCGAGCTTTACCCTGGTACTGTGAGTGTATTCGGCTTCGTTCTATGAACCGACCCAAGAGTGTTTCACAACATGCATAAAGGCAGCTATTCGGGAAAGAAACGCATATAGGCTTGCATCCACCTCACCAACTTTGAATGGTTCAACGACATATTGTCAAATTCTTCTCCGAGTCACCGTGGCATATTTACCTTCGGCTCAGAATTATTAAACCCACAAGCGACAACAATGCTGACCAAAAATTACGAACAATGGGTGCAGTAAGTAACAGGTAAGATCATGGCAGCGTAGACTGATAACCGTTATATGGCAACTCGGAAGCAGGTTTCAGGATGAGAGAAAGGGGCCGCCTCGCGGGTAAGTTTGCCCAAATCCCCCAATATCTCTTATCGCCGCCAACCGTCGGGAACTTTTTTCAACATTCCAACTCCACAGCGTATTCAAGCAAACCACCTTCGCACCACGCCCATACGTCGTCGCAAAGCTTTCCAACAGCCAGACGCGACAATGAAAATCACCTGTTAGCCTTTCGAAACCCCCAAACTCCCAGATTACAGCCCCATAATGGCGCCAACCAGCACACTGTCCTTCAAGGGCACCAACCCCGCGCCCAACTACCTAGTATCCATGAACAGCATCCAACAACTTCTAAACGCTAAATCCTCCTTTGCCGACCCGTCCCTCAGCAGCGCCGCCCCGAAACCGTCTTCCTCAAATATCCAAACCCCTAGCAAGTCCACCCCACTCGACCCCGGCGCGCAGGCGCAAACGCGGGCCCGCGCTCGAGCCGACGAAGAAAAGGACCTGGAGCAGTACGCCGGGCTGGACGCCAACATGGGACTAGGTATGGTGACGGGGAAGACGAGCGCGCAGGCGATTAAGGATAGGGATACTAAGATCTTGCGGGGGAGGCTGCTGGGAAAGGGGCGCAAGGTGGGCGATGGGGAGAGCGGGAAGAGGAGGAGGGAGGAGAGTAGTGATGAGGACGAGGGACGGAGTGGGATTGTGAGGGGGAAGACGGGGGCGAAGAGAAGGGTGATTATTCAGGCCGAGGACGGGGGACACCGCGAGGGACCCCGAGACGAGCCCGCGGCCGAGCCTGAGGCGGACAAGGCGGCGGCGGCGGATGTCGTGATGGAGGAAGCGCCAGAAGCTGACAAGCAGCCGAATACGGACATAGATGCGAATGGGGATGGAAGCACACAGGAAGACGCGCAGGAGGTGGAGACGAGGTCCAAGGATGGCGAAGCCACCCGACCTGACGAGGACGCGAAAGCCAAGAAGAAGCGCAAGAAGAAGAACAAAAAGAAGAAGTCGAAGACTGCGGTGGTGGAGGCCGAATGATTACCTTGGTGAAGAGGGATTCATTCATACACGGGGGCTTCATAAATCAAGCCTCCGCGGGTGCCATATATATATACTCATATATAATGATTGAGCACCAAACTGTACCCCGCCCTCGGAGGACCACGCAATGAGGTGAGCAACACCGTCACGGACGCTCATAGCCTCAGCGGCCGTGGTGCCATGGCTTCCCTTGCTCAGAGCATAAAGTGGGAAGAGCGGTAACACAAAAATCAAACTACATCTTGGGAAGCCCATGTGACTGGCCATCTTTCTTGGCGGTGGGCTCGCATGCTTCTCGGTACGCTACTTTCTATATACGAGAGGAATATCGAGTGCCAGAAAGGAGCGAGACGCTTCTATTCCATTGGTGCAGACCACATTCAAACGACCTGCTGTCTAGTGTCGCGCTTTTATTGATCTAACGTACAATAATATTCTCACATGGCTCACATTACTAAGTATCTCCAATGTCTCTCCAACAATCCAGCATGGCCTTCCGTGCCCACACACTGTACTCAAGAATAGTTGCTCAACTCTCTCTTCACAGAGATGAAGCGGCATCTGTTATGACCACACATTCTTGTAGCATTAAGACTTGCTAGACGAGAAGATATAATAACCTACTCCTTATCAAGTGTAACTCAAATCGACCATGTTTCCCCCTCAACAGATTTTTGGTATTGGTAAATGGCAACAGATGGCTCCCTCCCAAGATAATATGCGACGCGAAAAACGCTATGATGCTATGATCATGATCAGCATTTCATTCTGTCGTGAAGATGGCCGTAAAATCCATGTGGCAGCAACTGCTGGAAGATCCGTGACCTCCACTTCGTGAACGCGCCTCTATACAAAAAGCAAACAGCCTCCATTAGGGATATAGTAATTTATGTGACCACGTGACAAAAGGGTGTGGAAGAAGTTGAAGGGGCCGAGCAATCAAGGTATACGCAACGTATCGAACTTATTGAATGCGTTTGCGTTTCCTGTCATCGTCTCCCCGGGGGTCGTCCTCGTCAGGTTGCTCTGCCGTGTCGGTTGGATTGAGTATGTGAGCCATGCTACCCCTCCTGGTAGGCGGTCCCGAACTGTCTTTGATAGAAAGGTTCTTGTTCTCGCGGCCAGCCGAGCTCCACGACCAGCTGTTGAAGCTATCCATGCCATTAATGCCATTCGAGAAGGGCGGGGGTGGTGGCGTCGAAGGGCGCGAATGGGACTGCTGCGACGCACTCTGGAGGGAATACGTGGACAGGGATTCATGGAGACGTTGATCGTCCTGGGGCACCCGACTGGGCGAAGAAGGCCACTGGGACGAAGGTGGCCCAGAGCCGGCAAACGGCGAGGGGGCCGGCTGCCATCCGTGGGCCCGAATGTCAGCCGAAGTATGTCGTCGGGCCAAGCTCCCTGGTGGCGGCTCAACATTGGCGAGCGGGTGAGGGGGTCCGGCAGGAGGCGGTGGTGCCTGAGTCCGGAGGGGGGAAGATGATTGGACGGTGTTCCCCCCAATCGAGCCATAGGATCGACGTGCGTTGATGGAGAGGTTAGAGGGAACCGGTGGTCGGTAGAAGTTGCCGCCTCTGGATTGGGGCACATTCAACCTCCGTTGATCATCCTGGCCTAGCTGCCGCGGCGACACCGGGGGGTTGTCGAGATTGGCAAAATACTGGCGGCTGCCCGAGAGAGGGGGCTCATGCGGCTCGTCCATGGAGCGGAAGAGGTCAGACTGCCTTTGTATCTCCCCTTGTAATGCCAGAACTGCAGGTGCATTGGTTATAGTCGCACTTGTGCAAGGGGATGCAACTTACCGTCTCGGTGGATTTGATCATTGGGATTCGGCACGAGCGACAGAACCGTCCTCGATAGCTCCTGGTTGAAATGAAGTAGACGTGTGACCGTGTCCATCATGGCTTGCTGTTTAATGTACATGTAATGCGCGTTCTCCTCGCTCCGTTGTAGCCTGGCATTGACCTCGTACAAATTATGCTCAATGCTGGCAAGCCTGGGATCTGAGCCGTCGGGCATAGGGGGCATTGGCTCGGCGGGGGTGCCAGGTTGAGACGGCGTTGGCTTTTGGCTGTTGTAGGGCTCTCGATGAACGAGCGCATGACGAGAAGCCCGCCGCTTGATCTCGCGCAGCCCAACCAAGTCGCCTCTTTTGAAGTTGCCGTTGCCGTGTTTGAACTCCCACAGCGCAGTCTCGGGGTTTCCGGTATGGAAAACATCGCTCACTGCATATGACGCCCGGTTAATCCCGTTGCCCATATTCGGACCGACCGGCACTGGGACATACCTTTATGAAACCCGTACATGTTCAATTGGCGGACGAAAGACGAAATGTTCGTATGCTTGAAATATTGCCTGAGCCTAGAGTTTTAGCATGCAGATTCTTTTCTGACTCAGGTCCCAACTCGACGTACGCAAGAACTTTTGAGAAATCATGCGACGGTGACATGACGAAGCTCTCCGCCGAACTTGACCAACTGATTAGATGCTGTATGTTTGGGTCCTCTAGCATACTACCAAGGACAATGCCGTCAGCGACATGCACCAATTGCCACTTCCCAGGTAGACGTGGACATACTTGTAGAGCTTGTGGATAAAGGCCGTCTGGACGATCTTGGGCTGATGGACGGCGGCAGCCGCGACGGCCGGGGCTGGCATGGACGTCGAGTTGGAGTGGTCATTGGAATTGTTCTGTCGCTGGACAGCATCGTGGTTTTCGCCCTGGGGGCTGCTGTTGCTCGAGGTCGCGTGAGGAGCGTAGTTGGGCGACGTGATCTCCATGGGCTCGCCAGCTGGAGAGGGCGCCGACATCTTGATGGTGGGCGTTGGCGTCGACGTGATGATGGGAACGGTGCGTGCGCCCATGATATCGTCTTGGTGGTTCCGCACTGGATCTCTCCGCGCACTTTCAATCGCGGTGGCCATGTGCTCTGCGACGAGACGATGCAAATTAGCGAAACGTCGCGATTTTGTCAGTCAGTTGCGGCAGCAGCAGTAGCAGCAGCAGCAGCAGCAGACAGACAAAAGGGACTAGAACTAGTGGTAGACAGAGCTGCCTGTCGGGAAGCCCTGTGTTAAATTTCTAGAAGGTGAGGAAAATGGGTGTGGGGGGGGCGACGGACCGCATCGTTTCTGCTCGGCGATTGGGCTTGTTCAGGGGAAGCTCGTTGATTTTAATCAAGATAGCCGTTGTTGGCCTTTGTTCGCGATGATGCTACTCCCTGCTGGCTCCCGAACACCCTGGTATGGGTCCACTCGTCCGAATCGTAACGGCAGTCAGGCAGTCACTCGTCAGCCTCGCGCAGGCAGGTAGAGGATTGGTAAAGCTGCAGCTTGCGCTTCTCCTCGGCAACTCGTCTTCTCGCGGGGGCCAGCAATGTTGGCGATGTACAAAGGAAGGAGTAGGCACTACGCAAATTGGGCAGTGGGCGCAAAGACGAATTGAAGAGGAACACACAGTCAGGTGCGTCTGCGTCTGCGTCTAAGCTTGCCCAGGTGTGCTCAAGTGCTGGTCCTTGGATGATTAACCTCCCGTGCTGCTCATACAAGAGGAGTACAGTACGTACTCGGTACAAAATGGAAGGTGGGCTTGGCGACCTCGGGAGCCACTGAGCCCAGACCCAAGCAAAAACGCCCGAGGCGCTATGTGTCCTGGGGGTATCGCCAAGCTCAGTGATTGGATCAAGGGGAGGGGCGATCCGGGCGTTTCGATAGGGAAGGTTGAGAGGGGATCTGCTTCATTGAGAACTCCAATTTGGGCCAGCATCACAATTATTGATTGGAATCAACTTGCACGTTTGGACCCCGAACAGCAGTTTCGTGGATGATTGTAGCTGAATTAAGGCGCGGCGCGGTGCGGTGCGGTGCGGTGCGGTGCAACATGTCAGATGTGTATTCTATTGTATTGTACTTTGTACAGCTTGACAGGTCTCTGGTTTTGAGACGTCAAGGGAATCTCAATTTGGTCAGTGAAAACACTTAGTTAGTGAGCAGTGAAAACTGGCGGGCCCACGGGCCACAGGCCTGGCTTGACTGGTGACGAGATGGATGTCAGCACCAAACCACCGGCTGCTTGATGAACCCTGGAAAGCTAAACAGGCTCGGGTTGGTTCCGAATTTGGGCGTTCTGTGGACCGGACAACTGAGAGTTTGATCGGTAGCTTCAAGGAGTGCATTGCATGGTGCGGCATCGACAGGACCCCACGACCACGACCAACTGCCAACCCACTTGGACTGCTGGACAGTAGTACTTTGGTCCCGGCTGAAACGCAACTGCTATTTTGGAGGTGCATTGCAGGTTCTGTCTGTCGCAAACCTTGCTGTGACTTCTTTGTCCCTTCTAGACTACGAAGACCAGGGGAGCAGCATACTAAGAATCGATGAAGGCAGGCAGGTGATTCGGAAGAGGTCACAGGAAGGTTTCTTCCCACATCCCCTAGTCCGTCCGTCTTCCCATCAGCCTGTCAGTCGGTCGGCCATCGTTGTTTGTCGTGGGTCCACCGGAAGACTCCTAGTGCCGCCACCCACTCCATTCCTCTTGTACGGGTTGAAGCTGTCTTCGTTTGTCTTACCAGGGGAGGGGTCTGGCAATTTGCAACCTGGACCTCATTGGACTTGGATGCTGGAATATCAAGACTGAGGAATGTGCGGCCCCCTTCCGTTGTCAAGGCCAGATTCTGCCGTCTCCCCTCCAGGCTGCTAGACACGGCCATACCCCACTACTAACTCACACACACTCGCACATACTCCTCGACACATACTCCTCGACACATACTCGACACATACTATAGAACCCTTCTATTCCAATTCCCCGACTCTGAACCCTAGCCTTAAGCCAAAGCCTAACTATCCCTAACCGCCTAATTACCAACCCTAAACTGTGTCTTGAAGACAGAGAAACAAAAGAACGCGTCTATTACACAGTATGTAGGGTATAATCGTAAGCGAAAGAATTGCCCTTGTCGAGTGTGGAGTACGGGATATTACCTAGTTGGGGATGAGCCGCATATAGTTTCTTGCGCACGGCCAAATCCGAGTCCCTTGGCACCAAGCACTGGGCCGTACGTTTCTTCCACACCATCTAGAAGGCACCACCGACACTGGGTTACCATGGACTTGCAGCTGTAGTCTCACCCGCGAATTGCAAATGATGACACTTCCGGTGACGACTCACCTGAAGCATCGCGTTGCCGTCGACGTTGTGGAATAGTTAACGACACAGAATGCCGCTGCTAATTGCTCAGCATTGGGATACCCGTGGACTGCAAACACACGCATGTGCAAGTAAGAAAATTCCAAATTAGTGTCCACTATAAAGTACTTGTCAAGCCTAAAAACGGCGATTTGACCCATACTGTCGGCTTGATGAGCATCGTGCTCTCCATTTTGGAAATAAGAATAGCCGTATTTCCCCGGGTGGTATTCAAGGCCCAGGTAACTAGATTAATCCACAAAGGGCACCGACCTGGGCACTTTTCATTCGTACCGCGATTCAAGTGTCACATCAAAGTATTTCGAGCTGGTTATGCGAGAATTTTCCCAACATCAACACGATCAACCAAGCTGAGCCTGGAGGTGTCTGATTGTCATCGATATATCCACACCTGCTGTTAAGGGTACCTACATCTGGCATGCATCGGTTCATAATGAATCGGGATCTTTGACACCAACCCCTCATCATAGCTTTCAGCTGCGAATACTCTGTGTTTGGACGAACTGGCGTTGGTCACGTTCAAGTATACTTACTTGCCTCTCATGTCCGCGTTGCTGCCAAACGCACCCCTGATTTGTTCGTAGATCTCAATTGCACTGACAGTTCCAAGATAATATTGGCCTCTAGTAAATTGCCCAGGAACAATTGGAAGTCTCATGGTTCCCACTCAAAGTCCCTGAGTCTCGCCTTCATCAACAACCTTCACTAGGCTTCCATAAACAATTAGAAGACTGCACTTGTACATATAGCGAGCCTACTTACTTCGAATCATCCCGTCCGACGGGTCGCATACGTGCTGACAAGGTCACGGCTGCGCCGCATCTTTATTATTTCTGACGGATTGGCTCGTGTAAGTAGGTATATCAGACCTTTATTCCAGCAGGGAGCCGGCTACATCTCCCAAATCACATCCTCAGCGGATCGCACAACGTCAGCTCCTGCTGCAGCAAGGCCCAGATGGGCATGCCAAACACGCTTCTACAAAATCTGATTGGCGGCGCTCTTCCAGCTGTCTGGCGTCATCCTCGGAACCATGACCGCCCGGCAACTATCAAGGCCAATCTCGAGGTCTTGATCACAGGATACCATTTAGCGCAGTGAGGCTAGAACCCCCACTGTAGTCGTTCACCGATCTTGGACCCCAACCAGCTCCATTGTGAAGCAAGTTGATTCTTTGAGTTAGATTGAGGCAACCTTCCAAACATATTTCCGGCAATAAACATTTTGTCCTGACAGCACTGCATGGCATGTGGATACTTAAGACTGACCTGATATCCTCGGTATTTATTCCGTTGGGTATCGTTTCGAAATTGCTTTCCGACTGGCCTGATCTTCAACGCTATCCCAATCCCTCCCACACATCAATTCGACAACGGGGTCTGTGTGCATGCCTCAGGTCTATCAGATCGCAGCCGGCGCAGCGCTCAGTCGCTGTCAAGCGGTCTGTCTTTTGGTTGGCAGGCGTGGCAGTTCCTGTGCCCGAGCCTTTAGAGTTCGCCCCGGCTTCTGCCCTACGCAGTAGATGGGAGTCCCAAGCACACATGGACGCTACGGTGGTCCAAGGCCGCGTCGTACATGGTACAAGGTACTGCTGGGGGAGGTTTCATTCCCCCATGTTTGAAGTGTGCTTCTTCCGAGTTTCTAGAAAGGCCTCATCAGACCGATCCGAGTGCGAGGTGCAGCCTTCACTCGACACAAGGTGCATCGACCGGCCCGTGACTGTAGCTGTCCGTTGCTCAAGGACTTCTAGGGTTCGTAGCTTCGTTCGTGTAAGTAGGTAGGCAGGTGTGTCATTGGTAATTCTGCCGGCTTAGCCCTGGCTCAACTCATGCCACAAGCGCTACTTGATGAATAGTCGTCACTGTTAGTTGATGTCAAGCACACAGGCACACGAGAGTTGTCTGCTCAAAGTAAACGCATGCGCTTGCTCAATCGAGAGTTTTGCTAACTCTTCAAATCGTCCCCCGAGATATCATAAATCTAAACTGTGTTTCCACCTTCAACTCTTACCCACTAGAAGTCGTAACCTCGGCGAGCCCATCCACCTCCCATCCAGGGACAATAGTCAATCCATTCAAGGCATCCAACCGATCGTACAGCAGAACCAGCCGTTGCAGCCGAGAAGCATGACCGGAAACACAACCGAAACAAAACGCCAAACGATTCACGCTCCCCATGCCGGCCCCCCTTAAGAACCTTAATAGTCATTGCTTTCACCCACCCTCCGCTCCGCAGCCTCGCGGATTTTCTCCCCCAGAAGGTTCCTGCCGTATCGCTCGGCCACCTTGCCGGCCGCCTCCAACATTCTCCCCGAGCGGTCGCGCATGAGCTCCACCAGTTCCAGGGCCCGCATGCCGCGGTCCTCGCCCTCGCGGCATTCAACCGCCAGGTACTGTAATAGCGTCTTGTCGATCTCAAGCTCAAGGCGAGAGAGCGCGACACGCTCTGAAGCTGTGCTGTTCGTCGCCTCTATCAGATCTTGCAGTTGCGCAGCTGCGATGCCCTTGAGGAGATATTGCTGTTCTAGCTTGCGTGTCTCGGACTCGTCGTCTTCAGGCCCTGGCATGCCGTCTTCATTGTCTTCGCTGGTTACTGCTTTGGCTTTAGGTGGTTCCGAGGACAGCGGGACGGAAAAATCGAACTCGGAGAGAAGCGGCCGTGGGAAGTACGGATACTGGTCGCCGCCCTTGAGAATGATGCAGTGGAATTTGTTGTCCGCTACGGCGATCGGAAAGTAGGACTCGTGCTTTCGTCCTGATGCTAGGCGGGGAAGTAGCGTGGTGTCGAGCAGAGGCACCCAGGAAGCTCTCGATGGTTGGCGCCAGTGCAGGAGCGTCAATAACGTGCCTGTTGAATCGTAAATACAGGGGTCCTATTTATGCTCGTTAGCCAATTGCTAATCACTCATCACTATTTGCGGGTCTCTTAAACTTACCCCCATATCCGAGAAGAAGACACTTTTTACCGTGGCACCTTCTGGAAGAGCTACAGTATCCTCGTTTTGGCAGATCTCATCCCGCTTGACGTTCTCGATGGTATACAGAAGTCTGGTGTTGCCATCCGCGCCTATAGGTCCGTTGCCCATCGTCAAGACGTAGTCTCTCCAGCTGGCGCAGGTGACCATGGGTGTGCTCTTCGGGCGGTAAACTCTGTAAGGGATACCGAAGAGAGTATAAACCCTCGCGTAGTTAGCTGTGGTAGTGAGAGTGACGAACGAGTCACTAAGAGACATTGCAAGAACAGCTTCACCCTCCGGCAATTGCGTTCGCCACTCTGCACGGTTCGTCCATGTCTCGTGGGGTCGGTAGAAGACTATGGCGGGTGTGTCATCCTTGGGTGGGCATGAGAAGAGCGTCCCGTTTTCCGTCAAGCAGGCCTTGTCATATAAGAATGTGTCGGTAAAGTGGAAGTCTCTGTGGAACTCGTGATCATAAAATTCGACGGTGACGGTGTTGTGGCCATCTTGGTCTACTGTCCAGACGAATCCAATCATGTTCAAACAGAGATATTTCCTGTTGCCGCGCCATGGAGTCGAGCCCGGTTGGAAAGCCTCATGATACTGAGGATCGAGATGTTGCCGCTTGCTTGCGGCGTTACCCGAAATATCGTCGCCAGCATGAGGCCGCTTGCCATTGGCATTCAAAACGTATCCGGCGCCATCATCGTCGACAACGAAGTCGTCATCTTCAGCCACTGGACCGTCTAGCAGCGAGTCGAAGCTATCAACAGAGCCTTCTCTTTGCGCCCGGGTAACGCCCGGCTTGACGCCATTGACATCTGGTCTCCTAATGTTGTTGGTTACCTCCAGGAGTGGATCATGTATGAAGGGCGCAGGTTGCTTTCCCAGTTTTAACAGTGGAGAGAACTGCTCTGGAACGAAGTCTGGATGAATGTAGACCTCGCCATCCGAGTTGGTGAAGGATGCCAGGTTTTCCGTTGGATGCCACGAAATTTGCATGACATTCGCGTAATCCAACCTCGCAATCACCGACTGCGTCTTCGTTTCCCAGAGGAGAATCTTCTTGTCCTTGCCCGCAGATGCCAGCATTGCCCCGTTCGGTGACCAGGCCAAAGCCGTTACATCCCCACTGTGACCTTTGGAGAAAGTTCGTTGCTTCTCCCAATCATTCTTGGAGACAACCTGTATATCTCGTGTCGGAGTAGGTACAGCGAAAGCCCTACCGTCAGGGTGCCAGGCTATCATGGAGCTGATGTCGGATTCTATGTCCAACGCGCCAATGATACCGTCGATCTTGCGGATCAGTTCTGGTTGATCTGATAGTAGAGAGTATACATATAGAACCCCATCAGTGCACGCGAGCGTCACTGTGTTTCCCTTGGTATCGAAGGCCAGGTGTTTTGTCGGCTTGCCGTGCTCGTTCAAGTGGCGAATCTGCGTGTTGTCGTCGATGCGAACCAACTTAACGGTGAGCTCGTCGCTGGCAATGGCACACCACTTCGAATCTGGGGAGAGGGCGACATCGCGAATCGGGAGGGGACATCGCCATAAGAATCTATCGAAGCTAGCATTCGGAACCGAGTACAAGCTGACAGTGCCATCTTCGGATCCCACGACGAAGAAGTCGTCTGTGGCGTCCACACTGATATTTTGTTCTTGGCAATCATCAATATTTATCGGTTCGTCGTTGGAGCCAATCTTGTAGAGTCTGATGGTGTTATTTGACCCCACGGTGACCAATTTCAACCCGTTGGGTGTATATGCGCAGTGCGTCGAGCCCTGGGTGTGAGCTGGTCTTGCTCGAGGGCGAGGTGGTGCTGTTGAGGCCATATTGAAGAGCCACACAATGTCTGATCGTTTTCGAGGAACCTCAAATGACGACGAAGCTGGGAATCAAACTACCATGTGAAGTTGTTGACTTTACTCGGAGTATCAAAGAGCGCCACTCAAAGATTCATAGCGAGGAAACGCGTTGAACCGTGTCGCCAATTAAGGGACGCGTTTCTGGCGCTGAATTGACAGGGATCTCCACTTCCACGGATTTTAGGAGGAAGAGGCCCGAACAGTGGAGCTCGCTACCCTGGGGCCTCATCAACAACGTCAAACTTCCTCATTGGGCGAGGCACCATAGGATAAGGTTGTGTGAATACGATATCAAGAACTTGGATGCCTGCGTCTGCTCAATAAGTATTCGGATCCATATTGAGACGTAAAATACCACTTTCATATTTGATTTATTCCCATCTTCAATGCAACATCGCTCAAGATTCAACATTTTACAGATTACCAATCCATCAAGATGCGCAAGGGAACTACTGCGGATCACTTCTTCGAGACAGAGTACGAACACCCAAGATATCCGCAAGGTAATGATGCAAGCTGACCGTATGTGATAGTGCGAATGCAGCCAGGCGTCAGAGGCAAGCTGCAAAGGCTGGCAATCAGAATGGCAACCCCATCACGTTGAAGACCAAGCCACTCGCTGCTATACTCGACCCCAACTCAACGTCTTCTCTGCTCGTGGCAGAATCCTCCGGCTCAGTTCGGAGGGTGAACATTGAGGTATTTTTTACGTCAGCTCCGTGAGAGTCGCTGAGTTATTAAGCCTATCTCGTACAGACTGGAGAGGCCAAGACGGTGTATCGAGGCCCCTCTGCGCCAGTAACTTGCGTGGCAGTTGGCGGTCCTGGCATGCAGACGATATTTGCAGGATCTTGGGACAAAGACATATGGACCTGGGATGTTTCCTCAAAAGCGCCCGGGCGCAAGTTCAGTGGCCACTCCGATTTTGTCAAGGCCATCGTCTACACCAAGCTCGGCGGAAAAGACATCCTCATTAGTGGTGGTGCGGATAAAAAGATAATGGTCTGGGACATAGCCACTGGTTCTCGCCTCCATGTGCTTCAAGATCAGACAGTATCCATGATGGCCGTGCAACACCTCGTCGTTGACCCCGTTCAGCCTGGGGCCGACGAAATCATCCTAGTCAGCGCAAGCAGTGATCCGCATATCCGGCGGTGGCGCATTCGTCTTGACTCTGTCGAGCAAGTTACAGAGACGTCGCCAGAAGAGCCAGGAGTGGCACGTCATGCGATTTTGGAGCACGAGACCACAGTGTACCGGCTCATGTTCGATGTAGAAGGTGACGAACTTGATCTCTGGACAGCTAGTGGTGACGGGACAGCCAAGTGCTTGTCGCGGGTCAAGGCTTTTGCCGTGGATGAAAGGATTGATCATGGTGACCATGTCCGAGCTGTGGCACTCACCGATCAATGGGCCATCACTGCTGGAAGAGATGAAGACATCAAGATCTGGGATCGCGCGTCTGGAGAGCTATACTGCACCCTCGAGGGACACTATGACGAAGTCACTGATCTGGTCATAATGAAGGGCTCTACAGGTGCCGACAACTTGCTTGTATCGGTGTCACTCGATGGAACTGTCAGAAGCTGGCCACTGAAGAAAAGCGATCTTGACATAATTGTTCAAGAACAATTAGAAAAGGCTAAGGGTGTTGAAAAGGAGATATCAGGGGTAGATGCTCAGGGTTTGGTGACGGCCGAAGAAGAAGCAGAGCTTGCTGCGTTAATGGACGAAGTTTAGTTCGTGCTCCTTGACGCGATCGAGCTTATCAAGTCCAACATCCAAATGCAGTCCTCCGCGTGCTCCCCCTGCAACCATCGATGAGATCATGGGGATCCACATGAGGTCATCCCGTCCGCATGGCCAGCAATTTCCTTTCTGCGATATAGTCCCTAATAATCGTGTCTTTGGTGCCATGACACCGTTTTCCGTCACAAGCAGAAAAACGTTAGTCGGTGCTACAGGGGCTACCTTGCTGGAAGTATATTTCTTTTCTGCTTGTGATGGCAAATAATGCCGTGGCATTAGAGCTTGCCATAACCCAAACTGTCCCCAAGGCGACAAGGGCTGGACGGACCTATTACATTAATCCCACGTACGATGCAGGCGCATCGTGTACCCCACGGGCGGATTGCATGTGTTTTGAAGATTGAAACGTGGTTCCTGTGGACAATCTGCTGCTTCCCATATTACATGCAGGAAAATTGAGTCGTACGTACATGTTTCAACTTCAATTAGGCTCATCTTGTGAACAGACCATACGAGCAAGTAATGGTAGCCTCCTTCGTCGTCTGGATTTCTTCCACGCAGAGAAAGTGTCGAGCAGCAGATTTAGTCACTCTTGGCATGCTGGCTGGCTTGTAGCAAATCACTTATCTCAGGGTTTGTCCTCATCGCTGACTTTACTAGTATCGGACGAGGCTGACTATTAGGGGCTCGCTCGCAAATCGGTGCGTTTTTGGAATGAGTACAGATGTTCAAGTGGAGGATGATCTGAAAGCATAATTTGGTTCTCTTGAAAGCAGTTCTGAGACCATGACAAGGTGCCTTCGCGTTATACGGGCTCCTCAGGTTGGATTTCTTTACATCTTTAGCAAGTCTCGTCCCCATATCTGATAGATAGATGTAAGGTACCTCACTTCGTGCAACACGCCCAGGGGTACGATCCCTGCACACATCTTTAGCATCCTTCGGCGATCCCGCACCCTTACAATGCCTACCTTTTAGTTCTTGGCTTAGTACTTCGTGCTTGGTATGAAAATTAGACAAAACTTTAGCATAAATAAGCCGCAACATTTCAGCTCGAAAGCATTGCCGGCTTCGAAGTTTGGTTCGCTATGGGCAAGAGTCTTTACTGCAGAGCAACTAAGTCTAAACAGGCTTTGCTCTGGACGCAACTACAAGGTGGTACTACTGAATTATCAGATGCGTTCTAAGATTTAGAGTAGCATCAAATGGTCTAATAAAGGCTACAGATTTCACTGACAGCTTGAAGCCTCCGACACTCTATTCTGGGAAGCTCTTTTTGCCCCTTCTGCGGCATTGACTGACCACCTTTTTGCATGCACCCCCATTTTGCAGAGAATTTCTACGCCTCAACAACAGGACGTCTCTCCATTTACCTCGCAGTTGCTCCCTAGCTACGTACAGAATGGCTGATCCAGTGGAGAATAGTCCGGACGATTTTGAGCAGCAAATCGAACACGCTAAAGAGCTTGTCCGTCAGGGCTCTTCCTAGGCCGCAGCAGCTCATCGGTACGGTATTAAGGGGACTACACTGTCCTACCGCATTCGTCACGGTAATTCGTATCGCGACGCGACCTCCAGGCGACAAATGTTAACTCCAGAGCAAGAGGAGATTATCGTGAACTGGATCCTATACGAAGAACTGTGCGGACGGGCTCCTAGTAAGCGTTATGTAGCCGTCTTTGCTACTGAAATCGCAAGATACAGGCCTCTGTCGTCGTAAAGGATAAGATAAAAGCGGAATAATAGAATCTCGAACGTAAAGATAAACTAACTAACTGAAAACCGAAGGTGAAGATAATAATTAAGGATAAAAATAGATAAAGAAAAAAAGATGAAGACGAAATGAAGATCCGCTTCCTGCTCCATCTCTGTGCTTCTTAAAGAAGAGAAAATAAACTTCCTCCCCGCTCCGTAACCTATTTTCCTAATGTGTGACGGGCTCACTGCGAAACTATACAGCTCAACATGGCCAAATACTGTTAATTATCTAACTGAGGAGGAAAGTAAAATAAGTGAGTTTTCCGAGAACACAAACTATGTTTTTATATGCCCTCGATGGTTCCTTTGTTGGATCCGGACGCAAGGTTCTTGCAGCTCCGGATCCCATTTCAGGCACAGCCTGTCACACCTGGGCTGTTCGGATCGCTGATAAGTTAACGAATACTTTATTCGGGTCTGGCTCGACGGGCTGGCGTATATCTGGAGCGTATTTATCGAGTTCTTCATATAGTTGCTCGTTTTCGATACGTAATTTGGCATTCTCGGCGGCCTGGAGTGTAAGGGCCTTGCCCGCCTTGCCTACTAGGGTACGAATCTTACGAGATACCCCGCCCTCGGCTTTCTCTATCGACTGTAGTTGGCTAGATAGTTACTGCGCTTTCTGAGGAGTAAAAGAAACTAAACGTGGTGATATATGAGGCGGAGGATCTGGTGTATGAGGCTCCGGAGGATCACAAGATACGTCGACTAGTCCTTCGGAGCCTAGGGGCCATATACCAGTCTTCCGCCAGCCAGATTTAATATTTTCCGTAGTAAAAGCTCTCTCCGAGGCACGTAGATATGCTTCTAGCATACGTTGCTTGTAAATTGGGGCTGTAGCCTCGTAGGAAGCGTAAGCCCTGAGCTCTTGGCGGTAGTAGGTCTTCAAAGGTGAGAACGGCCCGACATCGCACGGCTGGAGATCGTCACTGCAGTGTGAGGGTAAATACAGCACGGCGACTCTATTCGAGTAGGCTTTCCACATAAATTCGGCATGAATATGTGTCTGGTAGCCGTCGAGGATAAGGAGTCGCCATTCGGTACCCCTAGGCTTCGTCTCGGGGAGAAAAACCTGATCTAACCACCTATTTGCGATAACTTTATTACTCCAGCCCTTACTCATCGCGGTGTATTCCCACCTAGGGATATTTTAGTCTGGGAACCACTGTGCTTGGACTCTCTTGCCGGAAAATACGCAGACAGGTGTACCCCGTTGGGTATGCGAAATGTACTCTAACCAGGAGCACCACGACGAAGCGTCCGACTTTGATACGCGTACCCAGCGTGAATTAGACGTCCCAATAACCGTACCATGCCCAGATTCCCCCTCTTGGACACCTGTCTCATCCATATTATACTCGTTGTCGGGTTTGATACGATACTTCGTACGTAAGCGTTCGAGGAGGGTGTAGAAGTCTCGGATCTTGTTCGAATCGGACGCTCTAACTCGACTAGCATCTACGACGCGCCCAATTTTGGTACGTATCTGTGGATGGCGGCTAACGAAGTGATCCACCCAGTGTTGGCCGAGTGTATTGTTATCCCCTTGAGCAAGGAGGATTTCGGCAGCGAAGTCAGCCACATAACGCTTGCTAGGAGCCCGTCCACACACTTCTTCGTTAGGACCCAGTTCACGATAACCTCCTCTTGCTCTGGAGTCAACTTTTGTTGCCTGGAGGCGGCGTCGCGATGCGAATTACCGTGACGAATACGGTAGGACAGTGTAGTCCCCTTGATACCGTACCGATGAGCTGCTGCGGCCTAGGAAGAGCCCTGACGGACAAGCTCTTTAGCGCGTTCGATTCGCTGCTGCGGCCTAGGAAGAGCCCTGACGGACAAGCTCTTTAGCGCGTTCGATTCGCTGCTCAAAATCGTCCAGACTATTCTCCACTGGATTAGCCATTTTGTACGTAGATAGGGAGCAATTGCGAGGTAAATTGGGAGACGTCGTGTTGTTGAGGCGTAGAAATTCTCTGCAAAATGGGGGTGCATGCAAAAAGGTGGTCAATGCGGTTAGAAATGTCAGTGTTACTGGCATTTGGTCCCACTAACTACTATATACAGCACTTTGTGGCTCTGTAATCGCCAGCGCTGTGACAATTATCCCCCCGTCCATAAGGCTCGACCCCGAGACTTCAATAGACGACGGTGTTAGCACTACTTGAACTCTGAACCTCACGGACCCCCTCCGGGCTATCTGAGCTTACGGCAACATCCCTCCACGGGAATCTCCCTTTACTAGTGCAGGGATATGGTATCAGTTATTAAGACCCCTAAGCGCAAAGCGCACATAGCAGACTAGCGGTCACATGTGTATATCCCGCACTTGTCATCATACTTTAGGAGGTAGTTGCCGCTGTCGCCACGGCCACAATCTGCTAGGCTATACCTCGGCGTGCCTGCTTGTCGATCATCTCGCATATGGCTGCACAACTACGATTCGAACCCTCTTGTCTACGACCCAGGGCCGACACCCGTACACCGTTAACAGTGACATAATTGTCACAAGGGGAGGACCAAGCCCCTAGGCCAATAGACCAGTAGACCTAAAAATGTCACTCACATTTTGTCAGTGACACTGATATCTGGTCCCACTAACTACTATATACAGCACTATGTGGCTCTGTAATCGCCAGCGCTGTGACACTTGCACTCTAGGCCGCCGAGAATACTAAATTACGTATCGAAAACGAGTAACTATATAAAGAACTCGATAAACACGCTCTAGATATACGCTAGCCCGTCGAGCCTGACCCGAATAAAGTGTTCGTTAACTTATTAGCGATCTAAACAGCCTAGGATAAGCGAAATAAGCGAATACGGCCTATCTTACCGGATAAGTAGTTAAAAATTGATACTTTTCTCGAAGAAAGGGTCCCTCCTAAAAAGAGGGCTCAAAAGAATATGTCTAAGTCTTCGGACGCTTGAATTAAAAATAATAATATTAAATACGCCGTAGGTGTTAACCCTCGGTACCTCTACAAGTACTCCCTTAAGGGGCTATAGATGATATAGCGGGCCCTTAAGCCGCGTCGGGCGGTTATACAGGTAAACTTGTAGCCAAATGACTACTAAACCTCCTGTCCCTCCCTAAGTCTGTGCTACAACCCCTGCCTGAACTACCGATAAGTGTGGTAATGTGGCACTTAAATTCGTCCTCAGGGGTGGGATGCTGCTGATGTGCAGAAGATGCTCGACTATTTTTTTGTCGCGACAAGTCGTAGTATCTGCTAATTGGGGTTCTCGTCGAGCGTATACATCTCAACCATACGCTCAAGTGGATAGACCGTAACGTGGTCAGACGCTCGCAAGAATCGCGGCGAGAGGGCGTGCTGCGCGCCTTCTATCGTGAGGGGACGGGTTCGCCGACGAGCGTTATCGGAAAGGCGAGGTCCGATAAGGGGTCGGATTAACGATTCGAATTCTGGACCGGCTGTCGAGTTATATTCCGCCGACGTAGTGCTTGACGGTCGACTGGCTAGGATGCTCGTAATCCTAAACTGCACCAATCTCCCTATTATCGCTAGGTAGGCGAAGTCAACAAGGTGGGCAGCGCGCCGTAAGGGTTGACTAAACCCCCTTGTGTGTCAGCTGCGGGATTCGAACCCGCGACTCGTCACCGACCCAAGTGGGCGAGGCTCAAATCGGGACTTATCTACCAGCGAAGTGACCAACTACACCAGCCGACCGCTTGAATTAAGTGTGTTCTGTGTGTAGTAAATACGGACGAAGTATTTAGGTTGATTTAGTTAGACCCAGCAAAATAGGGGTGTATGCAAAAAGGTGGTCAATGCGGTTAGACCCCTTCCCCCGGCCCCCACGCGGGTTGAAAGTTCCATATTTGGGGGGTTCGAGGCTGGTTTCGATGCACTGATTGACCAGAGTGAGCTGCCTTGTTTTCTTGGACTGTGCACATATTGCACGAGTCCCGGAAACGTGGTAGGACGGTATCCAGTCGACACGCCTTGTGCTACCTCGCACGTCGTCGAGAATCCACAAACAGGATCCTGTCTCATGGAGGTTGGGGGAGTGTACCCAGCGTGCCAAATCGTGTTGCAGCTCAATATTCCGACGTGAAAACTGCCCCAAGCGGAAGGACAGAATACACGTGCCTGGTCCCTATTAAAGCACACGTGGCAGATCCAAATGATTCATCACCATCGTTGTTCCCCAATGACTAATAAGGCAGACGCAGAACCGGCTTGTGCTGTTTGGTGTGCATACCAAAGACATAGAGCCTATTGGGATATTTGAATGAGACATTTGCCGTCGAAAGGTCCACTCATTTGCCGCGAATTAACTGCAGGTACGAGCAGGTACGAGAGGATAAGGTTTCTACTGCAGCGTCGTTGATTGCCCTAGCCTAGGAGAGTATTTGACGTCGGCTACATTTAGTTGCATGGGTCGCCGCAAACCGGCAGCTTCGCCTGTCGGCGTCCAACCGCAGGGAGCCTAACATTGGCGCAGGTGCAGCTGATCATAGTCCACAAGCTACATTTCTGCTGAATCCCCTTTTCGTTTGCATTAACCCTGTCGTGGCTTCACGCTGTCCTTTCCCAACAGCAGACCTGGTCCACTGGTCCAGTCCAGTCCAGCCCGGGTAGGAAACAGACATCGACCTTGAAAATCTCCCATCTTGCCGTGTCCAACATGAAATGGTCCACCACTGCTTCATTTTATGCCGCTATCCATGCCGCTATAATCTTCGGGGGAAAACACGAAGCAAGTTCCTGCAGCTGTCCAAGTCTGTCGCGTGCCGTCAGGTATGAATAGGCAAGTGCAAGTGCAAGTGCGAACCACTCCTCTCATGGCCACCTCGCACTTTCCTAACCTACCATCAGCCATCAGATTTGCCCAGTTCGCTTATCTCATAAAACCATTCGGAATGTCGTCACTTTCGTCACGTTGATTTACCTCCCGTCTTACTCAACGTTACGCCACCCCCCCTCCCTCCGGCCTGTGTCTTCTGAGTTCTTCACCAGTACGCCTCAACAACCACTGGCCATATACCCCTAAATTTCATAGGTCTCTGGTCCCCGTTTGTTCAACGTCACTGGCCTGTCTTCGTCGGCTTCATTCCTTCTGATTCCAATTCTTCCATTGCACATATTTTATCAGCATCATTGGTGTTGGTCACCGTACTGTATGCAACCAAGTCCCAACTGCCCAACAAGTTGTCACATTCCAATGACGATGAGGTAGCTATCGTGGCACTGGTCTGCACGTTAAGCTACCCCGGCCCAATTCCTTTAACGCGGTTAGCCGCTGGGACAAGCTCCTCCCAGAACCGCGCTCGCATTCTCCGGGAACAGAAAATATGGAAGACAATATGGAAAGGACATCGGTGCACCACGGCAGTTTAATTGCCTTCGAGGGCGCCTCAGAAACTGTTTCAACTCAGCTGCGATTACTGCCAAGTTCCTCCAAGATATTGGTTCTTCCTGCACTGCAATACTTCATGAAGGCAGAGGATACAGCATTGCCCTTCGATGCTGCGTCTTATATCCTCAAAGTACACGAAGCCTGCCTTGCTCGAGTCGACATGGCTCGATCATTCCTGCGCGAGTCCTCGCCAGATAACAAAAGACTGGTTTTCATGAACGGGGGCACGGCGAGTGCGGTGCTGAAATGCATCACTGCGATTAGTCAACGCGAAGCACACGGCGACACGGCAAGCGCGGAAGGTATCTTCAAAGACCTTGTTCGAAACGGTGTTGCCGGGCTGAAGAGACGAACCGAGGACTCGTCATTATCTGCTTCGACTCACTCGGCAGACAATGGAGAGTCAAATAACGAGGGGCTTGATAGTCTTCCTAACGATCCAGGGTCTAAGGCAATGAGAGCGGCGGACGCCTTGGACCGAGAAACGGCAGCTCTGCAACCAAACAACGACATTGATCTGACAACAGCAAGTCGTTGTCGAAGCATGAGTGTTCCAATGCGTCGTATCGTCGACGACTTTGAAGACGCCGCCCCTTTCTACGTTTTTGGAGGTCCATCGGATCATGAGTCGAGAAGCGCCCCCTGGAGACTCGACGTGCACGGCCATGGTAATGGAGACGTCGAAATGGCACCGCCCAGCTATGTGGAGGAAGCCAACATGAAATCTCCGTCTGCGTCTGCTCTTGGCATGCCTAGTCCAAGCGCTGTTTCTGCGTTTGATTCGATGCCGAACACGCCTGCTGTCATGTACGGCGAGGCATGTCTCGTGGATGTGCTGTCGTCCCAAAGTCCCCCGACTCGGGCATCTCGGTCACACAAGAAAGTCAAGTCAGTGGATAGAATCTACGCCAGTGCTATCCATAACCAGGATATCTCTCTTTGCACCTTCTACCAGCCTATGACCCCGAGCTCTCCGGGCCAGACTCATACATCCGCCATCATGATGTCACCCCCAGAAGCCCCAGAAAGGCAGATCCTCCGATCCGAGTTTTGCAGTGAGAATACGCGAGCTACCTTGGCCAAGCCTAGCAAAGCTATGATCCGCCGGGTTCCGCCCTCCCCTTTGGATTTCAGCAGAAACGTGCCGTTCCGATCTCTACGCCCATCTACCTACATCGACAAGGGCACCAGTCCGAAGACGGAATACGTGGACAAGGCGACTTGGGTCGGAAGTCGTCATGTTGACCGAGGAGCAGATGCAGAAGACACTCAGTCATCTAAGGCAGATTATTGCGAGCTGTATACTGATGCCGTGTTTGAAGCCGTCTTACCTATGGTCGAGGACTTGCTAATACATTTCAAGGATGAGGTCCGTGATATGCTGCTGGAATCTGTCATTGGGTCCTTCAAGAATGGCTCTTATCAAGTTTCCATGAACCCTTTACCGCCCGCATGTCATGAAAATGCAGACGTGCCCGGAACATCAATATCTGGAGGGTCCGCTTCGTTTCTTGAGCAACTGCATGTGATTGAGATGCAGACACGGCTAGGCCCAGCGCATCAAGCGGGTGACGATGAATACGACCCTTTCAATGCCTTTCTCTATGAATGTTTAAACCCTGCGGCGTCTCTCAAATCTCCACAAAGTTGGCCAGTGAAACGGACCCCGACCGAGCCTACTACGGCTGTGGTATCTCCCGCACCTCCAACACCAGCTCAGACGCCGCCTCCAATGACTATTACCGACAGGAATTTCCACGACTTTTCAACGAGCAATTGCCGGACAGCTGTGTGTATACAAAACTCACTGCGGTCTATCCTCAGCTTGTATTTTCCGCCAAATGAAACTGGATATCGGCAATGCTCGTTTCCTCAGCTGCCCGAGCTTAGCAATCTCTGGAAACCAGTATTTCGCGACGCGGAACCTAATAGCCCGAAGAAAGAAAAGCGAAAGGTCGACTTGATCCTCGCCATCGGTGCACAAAAAGGGGTCAACAGAGAGTTCTTGTCCAGCATCAGTGGTTCGCTTGAGAAGCTGGGAACCAAGCCCAATGGGGTGACGAGGAGTGGGAGACTTGATCTGAGGTACGAGCTTCCGATATCCCTACATCAGGGGCACTTGTACTAATTGCCTTTCTCAGATATCTTATCGCCAACGCCATGCAAGCCTTCACGGCTCAGCCATTGACGAATCAGACCCAGGACAATCCATTTTCCAACACTTTGCTCTTGGCGACTCTCATCATCCCACATTTGGAAACTTATATGGCAGCTCATTCGGATACGCGATTTCTCCTACTGGAATACCCCCCGCAACATTTGGCCACCGTCCTTGCAATGCAGCGACTTGTCGGTGTTGACCTTTTGAAAGTTGCGGGAATTTTGAGTGCTGAATCCCCTGATTCAAAGTTGTCTTCCCGATCCCCCATGCTGGCTGCTTACAACGGTAGTCACTCGAACGCCAATTCAGTTTCCAGGGCGTCTGTCCCGAGCTCAAGGACCGCCGCTACTCTACTTGCTCCCACGGGAGCGAAGTCATTGGAGGCTCCATCATTCGCAAAGGCCAACTTCCTCATCACGTCGTCCGCAAGCGATTCGGAAATTTACACCCTGATTTCCACCATCTGGAAGATGCTCATCGATATCTCCCAATTCTACATACCAGAAGGCGCACAACGCCCATCGACATCGTATCGGACCTCGTCGCGCGATTCCGAGGAGAAGTCACCAGACCAAGACCCGCTCATCAGCCCGGCATCTGAATACGCCCCGCTAGTCAGCGCTGCCGTAATGATGGGCTTCCATACGCCTCCTGTTTCGCCCTCTCAGACGTTGGCGGCTATGGAAAAGGACATGCCTCCACCACCACCACCGTCAGCAGAAACACCCGTGAAGCTGCTTTCGTCCAAGGCGTCAATCTCGGAAACAATTAAGAGCTTCAAGACGGCCAAGTCGTTAAAACACCAGAAACCAAAGATCCAGCAAATGCTAGGCGAGAAAGCCGATTTAGACTCGGACAAGGATCTACTTCTGTCAGAAACAGGACCCTCGTACTTCGATATTTCTGACGACGAGAACGGCCAGTTTGCAGCCGACGAACGCAAATACACCCCCCTATACCTCAAGAACTCCGCTGTCAGGAAGGGAAATAGCCGCAAGGCTCTAATGTGGCTTGGCCTGACTTGATAACCCTCTTACTACTTCTACTTATCCCGTCTATGTTCTTTAAAAACTGCCGTACTGTCTTGAATTTGGATCATACCCCCACTGTACCATGCTGTTTTGGAGCTTTGGCTGAGCATACCGGGTCACTCGATCTCGACCTCGTCCTATTCAATCACGTGCAACCCCTATTATTCCGACCAACACTTTGCATATACCAGGCCACACACACTCGATGCGAACCGGCAGAACCTAGAGCTCAGGCTATGACGGCGATAGAATATCACAGACATAGACCTAAAATATTTTCATTCCCACGGTGTTCTTTTGGCGTGTTATTGTTGCCTCGCAATGGGTGGATGAACTCTTTCGACCCGGGTTGTCTGATTGGGTATGGGTGTTCATACCTGGTTGCAACATACTGTACACTGTTGCTCTGTTTATAATCCATATCCTAGTTAAGAGTTTCCCACTGAGCAATGTTGAGCGGGCTTAGCCCCAGTCGTATCTAGCAACGATTGTCATTTGCGTACCAGTAGTAGAATAAATCCCTGGATCATCACATACGTCACTATCCAAGCATCTTCATGCCAGTTGTGAGGTTTTCAGTTCGCCCTTCAACATGGTTGCTCCAAGACATCACGACAGCGTTCGCGATGCGCAAACCATCCTATATGACGTAGCTTTTTTTTTGTTTTTAACTTATCGCCGGCCTATGAATGGACATGCCATTTCGAAGATCTTTCGCCGGGATTTATATAGATCTAGGGCCCAGTTTCTGACTGTCTTAGCCGGGTTAGACACACACTCCTTGTATCCTTGCAGCTAAGGGCGGCTGCTTTCTGTGGCTGCGTTGAGATTTGCGCTTCTCTTAGTGACCGAGTCTGCTCCTGCGTAATTTACAGCGGTTATCGTGTTGAGTTTCGGTCAGCTGGGTGTTCGTCGCGTGTAGTGGCTAGCGTTGTTTTTGGTTATGCTTCCCGGCTTTGTCTGTAGTTCCGGATGTACTGCGCCGGGCCTCAGGAAGGGAATTTCTGGATGCATCTCTATTTTGTACATAAGCAACATCCGTTGCTGACTTCACGAATATGACCAGGCTGTTAGAAGATTTCACTAATCTAGTCCCATCACTGGTTATGGCCCGGTAGATGATGGAGCACAGGGAGGTGCTCAAGGTTCGGTGCGGGCCATCGTACTATAGTAAGTAAGCCCCATTCTGGAGACATGGGGGTCAGTCAGCTCAATGAGGGTTTGAGTTCGTCCCGAATCTATACAAGCAATACAAGCGACAATGAAACCACATCCATGTCTTGAGGAAACAGATCAAAGTAGAACCGTACGACGAGTCCAAAGTTAGCAATCTCTTCTTCAGGGAGACTAGGGAGGACCGAATCAACGAGTGGTAATCGCCTTACCCATGTTCGGCACGAGCCTAGGTGGTCACCGAAATGAATATTTGTTTAGAAACCAATTTGATTAAATGTCCCTGATCGCAAAGAGTGCCACGAGATGATGAGTGGGCAGAGAAAGCGTGGATGGTGGAGGATATGATGGCGAAATCACAGTCCCCATACCCTTCTTCCTCTGTGGCCACCCAGATCGACTACATACAAGGGCGTGAAAAAATTCGCAGCACAGATGCTAAAGTCCTCTGTTCCTACGCAGAACTGCCATAAAACCCATGCGTCACTTCTAAAACAAACAAACATGCCTTTCTCCCGTTGTAAGTCATGAAAAGTTCATCGCATTACGGAGCTGCAGATGTGAGACTTGGTAGTCCCCTTCCTGCAAAAACTCACTCGCTCATCACCCCGTGCTCACTGTGCTTGGTGTCAAACGCAAATTGATCATTGATGAAACGGGGTTGGTGGAGGTTGCTCGAATCCTAGAATCCAAGGGGAAGAACGACGTCTATTCGCGATTACAAGCGAAAGAAAACCATGTGTGCCTTCCCTTTGCCAACCCTAGCAACCCTGCATGCCTGTATTTACCAACACGCCAGAAAATCAAAATGAGGCGAGGTGAAAGTGGATCAAGTCGGGTATCGTGAGAAAGCTTCTTAGCAGCAGCCGCCGCTGGAGGACGAGGCAACGCTGTGACCGGGGCCGACTTGAACACCGGGCTTGGTGTTGGTTGTTGCCTGCGAACCCATCCGCTCCTTAATCTGACGGGCCATAGTCAAGAAAGCTTGCTCGACGTTGGAAGCATTCTTTGCCGAAGTCTCGAGGAAAGGAATGCCAAGACTGTCGGCGAATTCCTGCAATAACAGTCAGCAAATCGTCACAGGTCAGGCTGCCAGCCTGAGCGTCTCGCGATGAACGTGCTGGAGCTTCGGGGGCTCCTTACCTTCGCAACTGTGTACTCCACGACCTTCTTGTCCGACATATCGCTCTTGTTGCCTACCAGCAGCTTGTTGACACCCTCGGTGGCGTAGCGGTCAATCTCTTGCAGCCACTGCTTGACGTTGTTGAAACTGTCCATGTCGGTGACATCGTAGACGACGCAGATGCCGTGGGCACCACGGTAGTACGACGAGGTGATGGTTCGGAAGCGCTCCTGACCGGCCGTATCCCACTGAAATGCCAGTCAGAATCAATTATTCCATGCCAAGGTGGATTTTGGTTGTCATTACGATTTGCAACTTCACTGTCTTTCCATCCAACTCGATAGTTCGGATCTTCTGTAGTGATTGTCAGCGCCTGGCCAGCGACGTGCTCAAATGGGTGGACACGTACGAAGTCGACGCCGATGGTGGAGATGTAGGACTCGGTGTAGGTGTCGTCGGCGAATCGCAGCAGGAGGCAAGACTTTCCAACACCGGAATCACCGATGAGGAGAAGCTTGAAGAGGTAATCGTATCTAGTAGACAACCAGTGCTCAGTAGGTGCCTGGGGAAAACGGTTCTCAGGGCCGTCGCGAGAGCTCGCCGGGATGCAGACAGCCAGATCAGACAGTTTGGTCTGGCGACTAGGCTTGCCCTGCGCGCCAGAGAATATCTGCTCTCCAGCCACGTTGCTTGTCTTTGCGATGTTTTCTTGGAGGCATAATCAAGGGACGATGCGGGGGGTAGGAAGGTGAAGCCTTCACAAAGACGGGGGACGGGGAAGGGGAAAGATTGTGAGGTAGGGTAGGCAGCGCATCGTGGGGACTCAAAACGAGGGACAAGGGGGGCACAGAGAGAGCCGGAACTCTGGAAACAATCAGTCAGTACCGCGCAGCTCGGTCCAGGACAACGAGGGGCACGGGACGGGGATGGCAGACGTACTACTCGGGATTCATCTTGTTGTTGGTGATGACGGGAAGGTGGTGATGGGAATTAATCGATGCCGATGCGACGTTGATGATAAGCAAGCACGAAAGAAGGGTCCCAGTATTAAAATGAAGAACCGGTTTAATCGTCGACAGCCAGGTACGGTGCAGGCGATGATGTCAAAGGAGCAGTGTCGTCAGGACGAGTCGTTGTGAGGCAGAGGCGGCAGAGACACGAAAGGGAACAAGAGACATGCCACAGGTGCAGGTTGCGGCGTTCAAAGAACAAGTCGGCCACTAACCAGTCCAAAGTCGGTATCAGCAGCTGCACAGCCTGGATGGTCTGAGCAGGTCCGGTTCACTAGCTACTGATCACCCCGGAGTGTCATGAGGCGTCAACAGGTGGCTGAAGAATTTACCCCACTGAGCCCACAAGAATTAACTCCCTAACCGATTCCGATGCACGTGATACCTAGCAGCTTTAAATGAAAGAAGCTTCCAGGACGATTGGGGGGGCGGGGGGAATTTGTACAGTAGGATCAGCTCACCCTTTTGCCACTCTTTATTGCAGACCGATATAAAGCCAAAAAATGATTTAAGAGGTTGTTGCTATGGTGGTAGAAGTGGAATGTCATTAGACCTAACCATTCTTACGAACCAATCATGTGGAAATATACATAGTAAGAGTCACAGTAAGAGTCACATAGAAGCTGGAAATGAGTGTCCAACTGCATGTGACTAACGAAACCATTTTGAGGACTGGTTACTGATGGACTGACTGTGAAAGCCTGCTTCACAGTGATACAAAGCACTAATGTTGACACCCCCAGTCTCTAATCCTAATCCCCATTCTTGCTTCTCCATTCTAGAAAACTCAGGTGGGTCCACCAGCTTGGCGGCTCGGCGGCTGTCATGGGATGTTGCGCCGACTTTGGAGGTTCTTTTTCGTGCGTACAATGAAGGCGTCACTTACATCATGTTTCCGTACAATGCTCCCTATTCCACTTTCTTTAAAGGCAATGCTTAGTGTCTACTCGTGATTTCCATCTCCCCTCGTCCATACATCCGGATTCATGCTCTCTGTCTGCGCTGGTGCCCTCCAGGCTTCGGACCTATGTCCTTCTCCAGCAGCATTTGCCGGTCGCCGTCCCAAATCGTGAGCAGGGCCGCCGCCCTCCGCTCTGTTCCGTTCTTTGCTTCCGCGGGCCCTGCGACAACAAAGCAACCTTTGTCAAACGGCCCTGCGAAGTCACTTACAACATTTCCACTAGCAATCCAGTCTCAAGGGGACTTGCCGCCAGTATGGTTCAACTCAACACCACCGTGGTCCGACATCCCGTCGGGTCTTGATCGACCAAACCCGGACAATGAGCGCAAAGTCAAGCTGGGCAACAGTAGGCCTTCACGATGCTATTTTAAGGTGTGCTTTAGTCGCCGTAGCTGACAATTGTGTACAGCCCTGCGCGTACTACAAGAGCGCCTTCCCACACTCCTGCAGTCACCATTGCCCCAAGACATCCTCTCGCCGAACATCTCTCTCCACCTGTTTCCGTCGACACACCCGTACCTTCCCACCGTCTCCGGAAGAGTGGCCTACATAGCTGCTCTATGGACCTCCCCAATCGCATGGAACCGCGTGCCCATCATCGGCAACCTGAAGCTCCAGATCCTTTCTGAGCGCATGACCACACAACAGCTCTACTACTCCCCAAAGCGAGCTGGTGCATATCCGGAGCAGCTCGTGGTCAAATGGAGGTCGGCAAGCAAGACTAAGAACGCGTCCGATATGAGTCTGACCGAGCAAGGGGAGCAAAAGCTGGATGATACGTTGAGGGGCACTCAGAGCGGCAGCACAAAGAAGGATTTTACCGGTCTGTTCATCTTCGAGTTCGACAAGGATGGCAAGGTTATCAGCCACACGATTGAGCATGTTGACCAAAACGGCGAATTGGAGAAAGGCGTCGGAAGCACGGTTGTCCAACTGACGGACTGGCTCCTTGGCGGAATCAAAGGACGAGAACCGGAAGGCAGTCCTATGTTTCAAATCACCGATGACAGGAAAGGGGGGAAGGCACAATAGACACAGATGGAACATCCCGGCGTTGGGTTTGGGGAAGACCGTTGCGACGACTCGTGTGTCTGCGTCTTTGCAGGACGGCAAGCTATGTACGAGATTGGGGGGAACACGTATGATGGCGTGCGGGCGATATGACCGCTACATGCCACCACTCAGGTCGAGAGGGACTGTGTAATTTTGTTGTACAAAGCTGTGAAAAATCAACATCACCATTCTGATAAGCCTAACCGCGAGTTCTGCTGGATTTGTTGGCTTGTGGAGGTAGGTGACAGCTGGGCATGTATTCGGTCGTGGCGTTCATCGCTATACCGCTACGAAGTGCTATACTATTGCGCAGAAAGAACCATTTACTCTAATGCTAAAATGCTGGGCTACCTCAGACGCTCCAGCGGTGAGTTCAGCTTTTCTACCTGGAGTAGTTCGTCGAACACTCGAACTCCCCGTCATTGCTGCTATGACACGAAGCAATGACCAGAGAAATGGGAGCACTCAATTTAGTTCGTTGCTCAGCTCGGATACTACCTGCTGCGCCTGAGGAGCTGGTAGTTCTGCCTCCTCAGCAATATACCTCTCCAACTCAACCTCCCAAATCGTCTTAAACTCCATACCCGCTAAACTACTCGTAACAATGCTTCCCCTATACCAATCCTTCCAAATCTGCTGCGCCACATTCTCCTTTCTCCGAGCCAAGCTATCATACCAATGCGTATCATCTAGCCCCTGCTCCTCGATCCAACCCGCCACATCATCCGCCGATACACCGCCTCCTTCCCCCCGGACCAGCGGGCTCTCCCCACCCATGAGCGCGTTCGTCATCTCGTCCCCCTCGGTAACGCACACCAGCACGCGCCCGCCAACGGGATGCGTGAACCGGTCCACGACGTGAAACAGCGCGCCAAAGATCTGCTGCGATCCCGTCTCGCCGTACCTCAGGGCCCGAAAGGCAACCGCCACGTGGCGAACCCGCTGCGTGTCCTCCTTGCGCAAAAAGTAGCTCATGGGCGAATTGAACCCATAGCTATCATACGGCTCCAGCTCGCCCATAAGAAATATCGCATCCTGCTTGAAGTTGAAATAAACATGCGGCTCTGACCAGGTCGGCGGCTGATATTGCTGCTGTCCGATCCCCGGCCCCAAGTCCAGCGACGACAGCACGTGCGGCACCTTCCAGCTGAAGGCGAGCTCGTAGTGCGCGAGCGCCAGGGCCCGCGTCTCATGGCTAATGTGCAGGAGCACGGGGACGAAGGGACGAGAGGGTCGCGCGGCGAGCTCGGAGAGCTGCTCGCTATCGACTTCGCCTTCGAGGCAGGAAGCTAGGATTATCCGGGGCCGCAGGAGGTATTCCCAGACCTTGAGGCGGAGCTCGGGGGGTAGATTGGGGAATTGGGAGAAGGTGGACAGGGTTGCGAGGTCCTGGGCTTGTTGCGTGTCTAGACCGTCGCTGTAGACTTGAAATTTGATCCAGAAGCGGGGTTTGAAGGGTGGTGAGTCCATCTTGTGGTGAAAGTGACGGCGAGGGGGCTGATGAGTTTTCCGTTTCATGAAGGCGATTGCGTCGGGAAATTTTTATGGTGTGGATACGAAATTGCGATTACTCAGGAGTGTGTCATTTCTAACCCAGCCCTATTGGTTTCGTACGATTCCGTCGTGGTTGTACACAGACTGGGTCGATGATGAATTATGATGGTATAAGACTGAAGTTGAAAGTTGAGGAATGACAGAGGCTCGCAGAGGAATTGGGATGCCGCTACCGGCGATAGCGTGGAATTCTCATGAGCCCGTAGCCGAGTTAATGTCAGATGTTTGCAAAATGCGGTTTTACCGTATGTTCGAAAATCTGCTGAATTAGTGGATGGGGTATTTGATTGTGAATACGGCTCATTTAACAGTGCAGAGTATAATTGTTAGCTACGTACGAATTGAGCTATACTTGCCCTTCGAAGAAGGTATCTACAGAGCGTGCTGTGACAAGCCACAAATCCTCTCTGTAAGTCACTAAAGCACGCCAAGATTACCCAAATCATATGATCGAAACGAGAATTACCTATTTCACTCGGAACTGGTATTTTGAAGTCTTCTAAGCCGAAAGCGAATGTTTAAAATCTTCGATTTAAACTACCACACAGTGAAGTCGTCCGGTGCCATGCACAACCTCACTCAACTCCAACGCTACTCCTAAGGAAGTAACGAGATGTGGTTCAAGCCTAATTACAACCACATACGTAATAGGAGAACTTGGTGCAATGGTATAAACGCTCAAGCTGTCGGCTTAACGGCTCCACCATAATGTTCTCCTGCCTTTCCCAATCGCCTTGGTCCTTGTCTGTCTTTTCCTTCGGCAATCCCAGCAGATAGCCGCCGTGGATGAGATGGGGGCCCGTTCCTTCCTCGTATTTCTTGTCCTTGATTATAGTTACGCTCCCAAGACAGGCCGCAGCAAGTACGCAAACCACCGTGAAAGGCGCCAAAGCCACGAAGGCCCATGTCACGCCGTGCCTGGAATTACTTGTGATCCGGTTCAGCTGATTCGGTGGAAGATTGTTCAGATGACTGAAATGGCAAGCCTCCCGAAATACCAGCAACATTGTGGAAAACTGCATACGGGATGATCAGGGAGAGTGCCTCCGAATGGCAGAGCAACCACCAACAAGCTGATGACGGTCGCGTTGTGTTTGTGGAAGAACCCGATGATGTGGATATTTTCGGGCACAAAACGCATCCTACATGCAACACCAAGTCCCATCACGCCGAATATTGTTGGGGTTGCTCAAAACAGAGAGCCCATGCCAGCATGCCGACCCCTACTGCTTCGACAATATGTCCAACAAACAAGGGAAGAAAGGCCTGGCACGGCCAAACGTTGCAGAGCAGAAGAACATGGAGACACAGACTCTGGCTTCCAAGAAACCAGTGCATGTTGCCATCAAATTGTGTGGGATCTGCCTAACCGCCAATACCAGGAGCATCAAACAGTAATTGATCACCACCTTTATCGGATGGACATAGCTACAGAGAAAAGTACCGAGTTAATATAATCGAGGTTACGTGGTGATGGGATGACATACCTTGAGAAGGGTGAAGTATATATCGTAATAATATGAAACCTAGAACATGATGGGCATTTAGCAACAGCCACAGTAGTTTAGCCCATTAAAACACTCACACTCACACTATAATTGCCATCGTGCGGCCAAAATGAGATGGCAAAACAGGCTGATGTTCCGATTCTGACGCAACTTCCAAGGAAGCATCGATTTCTGAATTGGAAGTTTCTAGCTCAACGCCCGGCCAAGAGTCATCAAATACTCGTAGTAGCCCCAAGCGCCGACAACCAAAGCGCCAAATATCAATGGAACAAGGATAGCAACTGTATCCCATACACATGAAGCACCAGCCCCAGTGAGAGCCAGAACAAGGAGAGCGAATCTGAACAGTAAAAGGAGCTGGCCCACCTGCATCAATGCTCATGACTCCTTTCGAAGGAGGAAGAAGACGACGAAGATGCCGACAAACGCGATAGGTAGGTTGATCCCAAAGCACCGTCACCAGTCGGCAGACGTCACGTATTTGCCAATGACGGGCCCCAGTCCATATGAAGCGGCAGCTGTAAGCCGAAAACGCTCCAGTCCCTTGCGTTCTCTTCGAGGGAGACTTTGTCCGCCAGAATAACGCGAACAATACACTGATAGCGGCACAGGCAACTCCTTGAATGCATCTTCCGAGGAGAAGAACATCGAAAGCGATGGTGGGTGCTCCGGCACATAAGGCGCTGCCGACGAGCTTCAAATCTAAGCAGGACTACAGAGTCCAGTGGTAACCGAAGGTGTCCATCTGTATCCGTAAGAGGATGAAGGGGCCGATGTGAGATTGAATACCGAGACGACCCAGTCGAGTTACGATATCTGCCCTGATAATTGCCAGTCATAATTCATGATTTTGATCTTTGGTGTGAAGGTGGTTCCTTGCCGAAGTCAGATGCTATCCACGGTAAAGCACTGGCAACTCGGGTGACTTGTTAGCAACGTTCCAAAGCAAACGACCGATGTATATTGTGGCATTCAGAGATTGAAGTGCGAACGGAAGGATTAGTCCGAGGATGACCTTGGTATGATATATCCGAGCATCTCGTTTCTCCCCCTTTCACAGGAGACAGTCCCGAGACATCTTGCTTCCTTTGGCGTTGTGGCCAGCTTGAGATGTGTACGGACAGGGTTCTGTCTGCCTTTTCTTAGTGCTTGGTGCCTCATTCGGCTTGTTTTTGAACCAAATACAACACGGGAGAGTGCGGTATATATGGCTACATCGCTTTCTCTCGATCTTGGCAAACTGGGAATAGGTGGCAGCAACTCTGAGGTTAGGAAGGATTCGACCTGGCGATTTGATCATCTTCAGGTCGCCAACACGATGGCTACATCCAGCCTCATGTACAACCTGAAAATTTCTCTGTTCACACGGCCTAATCTTTCCCCTTGCGTCCCTCCCTCTGAGGCAAATCTTTGGTACCTCCATAAGACTTCGATGACACGCCTCGTAGATCTGCAGAAACATTTCCAAGCCGACGATCTTTGAAGGCACGAGTAACGCTACTCCGTACTGAAACATAACTGGAGACGCCTGCTGCCAGATAACCTTCACTTAAGCGCTGTTCACTTTGGATTCCTGCCTCTCCGCCGGAAACTCCAATTTTTAGAGGAGAAACGGTAGTCTGCCAGGCACCTCCAGATCTGGCTCCAGCACAGAGACCCGCAACTCCACAGGGAGTGGTATCTTCAAGGTTCCCGCACCAAGAGAGACAGGGTTGATCTGGGGTTGCTGGGCGTGACGAACACCCCAAATCGCTGCAACCATGTCGTCGGCCATACTTTCCACACACTGTTCATCGCGGTTTCAATCTGATTGCGTTCCTGGGCCCGATCGGCACTCGAAAACAAGCAACACCACGGTTACCCATAGAAAGCCATTAGATTCTTGGCCCACGGCCTACACTGGGACCAGACGTCCTCGGGGTCGGCATCTATATCACTTCAAGACTTTTGTCGTCATACGACATGACCCATACCCACATGCGTGCCTCCTGGGTTGCCAAGTGCGTGATAGCGCTCACATTGCAATTATCACATGCCAATATTTCTATGAATGAATCCTTTGTACCAATAGGCAACGGCGCATTTGTTTCTAGTTCTAGAACCAGCTGCACGCACAAGTGCGGCACGTTTCTGATGCAGCATTTCTCACGTCCTCCCCCGTCCTCCCCCGCAAGAGGAACACTGCCTTGGGTAAACCCCACCTTTTCTGTCACTGGGTCTCAAATCGGTTTTCCTTATTAATCCTGCTGTGAAGCACCTCTTATCTCGGGCTCTCCGGACGCTGTTTGAACTGATTCAATCGACGAGCGAACGACGAACTATGATATGAATAGGGCAAGCCCACATATGGTGGTTTTCCCTTGAAAGTAACCCCCAAAAATTGAGTTTCCGGGTCCATCCTAGTCAGCGTCCCGCTCGCTAGAAAGTGGATCGCTTTCGTCGACTGTCAGTTTTAGGAATTCTGCCCCTTTGCTCCGAGGCCCAACCAGAGGCCATCCACTTGTCCGAACACCACGAGCCCAGAACTCCTTCGGCCGCTTTAACCTCACTTATTCCACAACCCCATGGTGTTCATCTCTGAGAGCCAGGTGGGTCTACTCGCTGCGCTTTTCTTCTATGCCCATCACTTCCAGCTGCTGGGGCGTACATGTCGGCGTCATGGTGAAGCTACTCGTTGCGAGTGTGCAGCAACGGAGTAATCGCACTGCAGCATGCTGGCTTTATCCTTTGCTTGAGACTGATGCTATCTTAGACGAAGCAAAGCGTGACCATACTGCGATTTTTCCGGCGTTTGAGTCCTGTCATCTGACCTGTCTGCGACATATTTCGCTATGTTCTAAGCCGAGGACTTCAGACGGGCTGCCGCAACGACACGCTTACCTGGTATGTGATCCTGTGCGATCTTTCTCATACACTTTTATCCAAGAGGCTCGGCATATTACCAGGCCACTGCATCCATATTGTCTCTCATCGGGTCGGCGGATGAGTTTCAGGCCAACTCCAGTTGCTCGTGGCCAATCATCTTACCCACTTGCCAGCTTGCTGCACCGATCTGGCAGAGTCGACCAGTCCCACATGTGAACATGGTAGACATGGTCATCTTCGGGCTAACATGTTCTCGCCTTGCCTTGGGACGAGCAGTAGGGGATCCACTCCTGGGCCTCTTACGTCCGGTCTCTTCGTCCTTCTGTACCTGACTGCTTTATACTTTCCGTTCTCCCTTCGCGGCCGAGATCCAGCTTCTTCTCATTTCCACGGCATATGCCAAAGCCCTTGTTGTTATAACTCTAGTGGGATGCCGAACTATTGTCTTCAAGACTGCCATTACTTCTACCGCACAGCTCTGCGCGGCTTGAACATCAGCACCTCCGTCTCTCCATTATACGGTTGATCATCGTGAAGTCCCACTGACAGAATGCCTACCCAAGTTCGTATTTTTGCTATGCCAAAGTCTCTTGGTGAGACGCTGTCTGGTAACACGCCTACGTCTATTCCTCGCTCCCTTCCGGAACGTCTCAACGGCAATCCCAGCGGCCCCAAGAGTCAGGCTCGGAAGCCTGTTGCGACAGACATGGAGGCAAGCCGTCAATACAAAGGCGTGACTTTCTCTGGCCAGGACAGTCTGCCCAAGCTGCCCATACCGGATTTGGAACACACTTGCGAGAAGTACCTTGCTGCTTTAAAGCCACTGCAGGGGCCCAGGGAACATTCCGACACGAAGCAAGCAGTGCAAGAGTTCCTCAAGCAAGATGGGCCGGAACTGAACGATAAATTGCAGCAGTATGCTGTGGGCAAGACTAGCTACATTGAACAGTTTTGTACGTTGCGCTCCGTCTAATCCCCCCATCTTGTCCTAACCGCTATGTAGGGTACGACTCGTACTTGAATTTCGACAACCCCGTCGTCCTGAATCTCAATCCATTTTTCCTGCTTGAGGATGACCCAACGCCGGCTAGGAATAACCAGGTGACGCGTGCCGCATCACTGGTGGTCTCTGCCCTCGAGTTTGTCAGAGCTGTCCGCCGAGAGGAACTGACACCGGATACTATCAAGGGCAAGCCCCTAGATATGTATCAATATTCCCGACTGTTTGGCACGGCCCGAGTACCGACGGAGAATGGATGTCAGATCGAGCAAGATCCCGACTCCAAACACATAGTTGTACTTTGCCACGGCCAGTTCTACTGGTTTGACGTTCTCGACGACGACTCGGACGTCATAATGAGTGAAAAGGACGTGTCCATCAACCTGCAAACTATCATCGATGACGCCTCCCAAACACCGATACAAGAAGCTGCCAAAGGTGCCCTTGGCATTCTCAGCACGGAGAACCGGAAAATTTGGTCTGGCCTTCGAGACTTACTCACAAGGGAAGAGGGCTCGAACAACGCGGATTGTCTCGGCATTGTAGACTCGGCACTATTCATGCTATGTCTCGACTACACGGAACCCAACACTGCGGCAACCCTGTGCCAGAACATGCTTTGTGGCACCAGTCAAGTAGAGAAGGGACTTCAGATTGGGACTTGCATTAACCGATGGTACGACAAGTTACAAATAATTGTCTGCAAGAACGGCAGCGCGGGCATCAACTTTGAGCACACGGGTGTGGACGGCCACACCGTTCTTCGATTTGCGAGCGATATTTACACCGACACGATTTTGCGATTTGCCAGGACGATCAATGGCGGAGCCCCGAGTCTCTGGGCAACAACAAGTCCAGACCCCTCGAAGAGAGATCCTGACAGTTTTGGTGATGTTAACACTACGCCTCACAAGCTCGAGTGGGACATGCTACCCGAGATGAGCATTGCGGTGCGGTTTGCAGAGACGAGACTTGCAGATCTCATTGGACAGAACGAGTTTGAATGCCTGGACTTCAATGGCTACGGCAAAAACTTCATCACCGCCATGGGTTTCTCTCCGGATGCTTTTGTCCAGATGGCGTTCCAAGCGGCATACTATGGCCTGTATGGGCGCATAGAGTGCACGTACGAACCGGCTATGACCAAGGTATTCCTCCACGGGCGAACGGAGGCTATTCGATCCGTATCTGAACAGTCGGTCCACTTCGTACAGACGTTCTGGGGGGACAACCCGGCTGAATCGAAGGTGGAGGCGTTGCGGAAGGCTTGCCAGCAACACACCAGCAGCACGAGGGACTGCGCGAAAGCAGAAGGTTGCGACAGGCATTTATATGCGTTGTTTTGCGTGTGGCAAAAATCCCTCGACGAGCAGAATGGTAGTTTGAGCAGCACGGGATACTCTAGTCCTGTAGAAAGCGGGTCGGATCGGGACCTGTCTTCTCCAGTTGGTAGCCCGGGCAACGACTCAGTGTTATCGACCGAAGGCGAGGCCAGAAATCGAGAACGTGGAGATAGTACGGGATCCCGCTTCCGGGACACTCAACCAGTACCTAGTCTCTTCGCCGATTCCGGGTGGGACAAGCTCAATACGACAATCCTGTCGACGTCCAACTGCGGCAACCCGTCGCTCCGACACTTCGGATTCGGCCCCACGTCCGGCGACGGCCTCGGCATTGGATACATTATTAAGGACGACGTTATCTCGGTATGCGTATCGAGCAAGCACCGTCAGACCAAGCGCTTTGTCGACACGCTCGAGAGCTATCTTCTTGAGATCCGCCGCATCCTGCGCATCACCAACCGCCAGAGCATGTCCATGAAGCAAACACGAGCCCGCGAGGTCGACCCGAGCAAGGCCAAGACGCCCAAGGGATTGAAGGCCAGGGGCCGCATGATTACGGGCACCGAGGTGATTCGCAATATGACCAAGTCTTCGGTGGGAACAAGGTCGCCAACTGAGGAGAGCCTGGCTATGAGTGAGGATGATGAGCTGGGAGGCTGTAAGTACTACCTAACATTCATCCATGCCGTTTTTGGCCTACTAGGATGCTAACTTATATGTACTAGATGGCTTCTTCGATGCGGGCATGCTCTTGCAAGCGCTGAAGGCAAGGGGTGAAGGATTCGACAATGGCGAGGCGAAGGCGTCAGAGAAGGCGAGGAGAAGAGATGTCGGGAAGAAACTGCGGTTGGTTGATTACTGAGTGTCATAAGATATCCCCAGCTACTCCCATTGCGCAAGAAAGCAGTGCGACGAGCGTTGCAGTGTTTGATGTGGTGGCGTAGCAATGTGTGTGTGTGTGTGTGTGTGTATGTGTGTGTTTATGAAGAAGCGCAGCGTTATCTTTGCAAGTTTTTCGGAGTTGTCAACGGAGTCAGAGTTACCATACCCCTATTGTATATAGTCACATAGTTATGTTGCTGTTGCGAATCCCTCTTGTCTTGGAGCCTGATTTCGTGTATAGCCAGCTTTGAGTGGCAATGCGCGAATTGGATGTTGGTGATGCTCTGCGAATAACTGTAATATACATGATTGTTTCAGTGTCTTCCCTAGGTACCTCCCTGAGAAAATCCTTGCATACAAGTGAGCCGAGACAGATCAAAAACTAGCAAGGTTCGAAGTCTTACTATAGATAAGTACCTCGGTCGAATGTTGAGCATAGTCTCCGATCCACTACGATGGTATAGACCAACCACTGGCTCATCCACGTCCTCCATTTCAAATCATTAACGACCCCAAGCATTTTCGCTTGGCACCACAAACCATTCGCCCTTACTTCGTCGCGTGCCCGTTTTATCCCAACTCATGAAACTCGTCCTGATGATTCGTATTCGGCCCCTGCCCGCGACGTCTCCCCCGGCGTCATGGACGGTATACAGCACATCCGGCGTCAACGTCTGATAAAGAGACTGCTGCTGATCCGGCTGGAACGATGGAATGGTCGATATTGGGCTGGTCGGCGGCTGCTATGTGCGCATACTGTTATCCGTCACGGCGGAAACCGGACTCGTCGCCACAGTGGTGTAACTCACCGGCGTAGGCTAGTCTTGCCGGAAACAACCCGGCGGTGCTTGCTTTTGTTGCTGAGCAATGGGGGAACACTGTTGCTGGCCAAACTGCTGCTGTTTAGCGTATTTTTGGGTTGTAGACGGAATCGTGGCCACCAGATGGGAAGCCGTGGTGCATTTGGGGCGGGGGCGAGATATTCTTCGAACTCTTGTTCTTCCTCATTAGGAACTAGGATCCCAGGCCGACTAGTGCGATGACGGAAGTTCCCCCTACAGCGCCGCTGGCTATGGCGCCAATGGGGGTGGAAGAGCCTCCTCCGGAACCCCGGCCGAAGTGCTAGGAGAATTGGTCGCAGTCGACATATCCAAATCGGAAACCAGTCCTCGTCCGCGTCACTTGGACAGCAGGCAACGGCTCCGTAGGAAGAGGCTGCTACAAACATGCAATAACCATTGGGACCACTGCATGTAAAAGCATCACCTATGGGACTTCATGCTAGTCGGACCATGCATGACTAATACTATGGAGAGTGAGTGTCCGCGTACCAAGTTGTCCGTCTACATGTCCACAAGCATTGTCTGTCCTACGAGAACTGTCTGCGTACCCTACCTTCCCATCAATCGAGCGCGTTCGGCGGAGTTGTGATTCTGGGCGCTTTGAATATTACAAGCGGCGCCGTTGCATCAGTCGCTCTGGCTACCCGCTCCGTTTATGGCCAAGGCTTGGACCGCACTGCCCATGGTAACGACAAGAAGCAGGGATATATCATTGTGCATGATTTCGAAGCAATAATAGCGGAGAAGGAAGTCAGCTACAAATTTGAACCTGAGATATGCGAGAAGCCCTTCTCGACCAAGCACACACGGCAAACCGTGATGAGATGGCGAGGAAAGGAAAACGGACTCACGAGCGAGCAGAAGAGTCCAGGGACTCAAGACTCCAGCTTCTTTATTGAGTTGAGCGAGACTTACATAATACCTTGTACAGCTTATCCGACCCCGTATTGGCAATAGCCTGCAGGACAGCCGAAGAAGCAATATTGTATAACTGGTGAAGTCCAGCAGACTGAGTGACATTGAACACCGACAAGCTTCATGGGTTGCTGGGACCAATCAGCAGGCTTGACGGCCAACTTGGCTTGCAGGAGTTGAACATGTTCACGCCAGGGCAGGTGCCGAAGGGTCGATCCAGCCATAGTTCATAGATGTTCGTACAGCAGGTTCAGTCGCATGTGCACATACAAAGTGTGCTTGTTTTGTCCGGAATGGCATCAAACCCGAACCCCGATAACTCATAATGGCCTGGTGCCAGGTGATAGAGACCACACGGCTGTTTCCTAAGGTTGATGTATGGTTCGGAGTGCTTCTGCGAGAACACTGCAAGCCAACAAGATGAAAATGGACTTGGCAGAGCCTCTTTTTTGTTCAACAGAGCCGATTCGGCGAATTACTTCGAAAATAGTGTCAGGAAAGGAAATTGAAGAAGGTGGAAACTCGAAGAACGGAACCAGTTCTGATCAATCCCTCGACGTTGCCCAGTGCCAAGTCGTCGGAGTGGAGGTGTCGACGCTGTTGTTAGGACCAACTAGTGCCGAGCTGTTAGGCGAACTGGACACAGATCAGTCGCCGCGCTGCCAGAGAGGTCTGGTACGGTATGTGGGGTTCGTACCCTCACGGAGATAGCGGCGCCCCACCAGCCCGCGATGCGCTCACAATGCCCTATGCATCAAGACGGCCACAACCACATCGAACCACACCACCGGTTGATTTGGCTTGTCCAGGTATCCAAGCAAATTCCGGACCAACCCGAGTCTCGATACCCACCGATGCCTCCCCATGACAGATCTGTCGCGCGTTCTCCCGGACTTCCCAACTGCTCCATATGCTAATCTGCTCCACAACATCGAGAAGCACCAGGTTACCACCAGCGACCTGCTCACCGTCGAGGTGACGGATCTGGCCAAGCGGGCCCAGCTACCAGTTCAAGGCCTGGAAAGACTGTGCAACGCTGTCTTGGAAGCTCTGCATGTCGACTTAGGTGTTTCGGACAAGCCACAGGGCCAGTTTCCAAACCAGGGCAACTGTTCGCTCAAGCAGACCGGCACGGATCTCACCAAGCAATGGAGCACCATCAGCACCTTGGACGACTCACTTGACCGCGCGTTGGGCGGAGGGATCCCAACAGGCTATGTCACCGAGATCACCGGCGAGAGCGGCGCCGGCAAGACCCAGTTCCTGCTTACCCTGCTGCTCTCCGTCCAACTTCCACCACCGCATGGTCTGGGCCGGCCAGCAATGTACATCTCCACCGAAGCGCCCCTGTCCACCAAACGGCTCTTCCAAATTCTCTCCTCCAACCCGTCACTTCGCGACCTGGATCGGGCCGCCCGCCCGTCAACAGACAACATCCTCAGCACCGTCACCCCCGACCTCGAATCCCAGGACCACATCCTGCAATTCCAAGTCCCCGTCGAGGTATCCCGCCGCAACGTCGGCCTCCTGGTCCTCGACTCCGTAGCCGCCAACTACCGCGCCGAATTTGAGCGCGAGCCCAGCGGCGCCGTCAGCAATGGTGGCCTCAACATGGCGCAGCGCAGCAACGAGCTCGTCCGGCTCGGCCAACTCCTCCACGAGCTAGCCCGTAAACACAAACTAGCCGTCGTAGTCGCCAACCAAGTCGCAGACCGCTTCTCCACGCCCCAGACGCCAACCATTGCGAGGAGCAGTGTGCCCTTCTCGGACCACCACCGGATATCGCAAGACTCGCCTCTTGCCCATCGCACGACATGGGGACATCAGTCTAAAGGGCCCCAGCCAAGCGCCGAGCCAACGAGCAGCGAAGCCGAAATGGTGCAAGTGGGGATGCTGGAGCCGTGGCCCGAGGCCTTCGAGCCGCCTGCGCCGGCGGCGCTGCTGCTTGATCACCAGCAGCGGTGGTTCACCGGGTGGGGGGACGACCCGTATGCCGACTACGCGCTGAAGACACCGAGTCTGGGTTTGGTTTGGTCGACGCAGCTCGCGTGTCGGATTGCGCTGTTTAGGCAGCCCGTTTATGGACGCCAGGAGGTGGCTGAGGATGATGAGATGAGAGCACCGACGCTCAAAACGTGGAGGCGGTGGATGAAGGTTGTGTTCGCACCCCATGTGGCGCCTTCCGGCCAGGGGCTGAGCGGGGCCGTTGAGTACGAGGTCACGATGGGAGGGGTCAGGGGAGTCAAGAAAGGGACGTGATCTGATTTAGAAGTGATGGGCCATGGAAATGTCTTCTTCTTGCAGTGTTATGTCACACAAAGTCAGCAGTACAAACCCGGGGGGTTGGGGGCTGACAACTGGAGTGCCATAATACTAATAGGAGGGGTTCTCTCAGACCAAGAGATATACACTATCATATCACGGCATATACGGGTCAGGATTATAAGAACAGAGAATAAACCCCAAAACGACCACTGTAAAGACATCAGATATGTGGGTGACAACTTGCATCCTGCTCATGTACACAATATTCCCTGTCACCATGCCATGCTATGCTTTTCCCAACCCCCCAGCTCACGTAAATGCGACTTGAGCGAACTAAGGACGCCAGAATAATGCTAGATTTGGTCCCACGCAAACGAACTCAACGGGGATGTGGAAATTCATCCTCCAGCTGCAGCCGGACTCCCACATTCATGCTGATGAGTTCCTGGACTAGAAGCTTCGCTGCATACGGCATAGTCATCTTGGCCACCTCCCGACTCGTTCGGCAACTGCTGCAGTAGCCCTTGTAACCCATGAGACCACACTTCTGGCAGATGTCGACGTTGGTGGCGTCCGAACTCGTCATCAGACGCTCCAGCAGAAGCTGCGAGGCTCCGTACGCAATCAAACAATCACGCTCCATTTCTCCGAGACGTAATCCACCCTCTCTGGATCGACCTTCGGTTGGCTGTCGAGTGAGCGTGGCCCGAGGACCTCGTGCACGGGAGTGCATCTTGTCCTGCACCATGTGCTTCAGCCGTTGGTAGTAGATAGGTCCGTTAAAAATGTAAGCCTGTAATGGTTCGCCCGTGATTCCCGATGTGAAGTAGTCCTTTCCTTCCCACGAGAAGCCAGCATCGACAAGGCTCTTGCTCATCTCCTCAAGAGGGTGCGAGCGGAAAGCGTCACCAAAACCATAATCTCTACGCCCTTCAATGATGGAAGCTTTGCCTGTGAGACATTCCAGCAGCTTGCCAACGGTCATACGAGAAGGGAAACCATGAGGGTTCATGATGATGTCCGGGACCAGGCCCTTGTCAGAGAAGGGTAAGTCTTCCTGATCCACAATGATACCAACGACACCTTTTTGACCGTGGCGCGACGAGAATTTGTCTCCCAATTCGGGGCGTCGCGTCTGCCTTGTCTGAATCTTGACCAGCTGTGTCTCTCTTGCTGTCTGGGTGACCATGACCTTGTCAATGTAGGCAGGATCGTGAAGCCGGTAAGAAAGAGGTGCCTCCCGGTATTCGTCTGATCGTCTGTCGTTTCCGATCCCAGGCGTTGTATCGACAGGACTTTCTTTCTTGATCAATACCTCGCCATTCCGGATCTCCCCGCCCACGTCGGCGATACCATCCCGCGATAGAGCCCGGTTCTTCTCTTGAGTCCCGTCATTGTCTCCAATTCGATCACGTGTGCCGTTGGCATACTTCTGAAGCTCAGCAGAATATTTTCTGAACACCTGGCATCTTCCAAAACCACGATCGCAGGATGCTTTATTGAGCACGAGAGCATCTTCGATATCGTAGCCCGAGTATGACATGACTACGACTGTGGCATTTTGCCCGGCGGGTAGCTTGTCGTACCGAATAAGCTCGATGGTTTTCGTGATGACCATGGGCCGCTGAGGATACACAAGCGTGTACAGAAGAGTATCGATGCGGTTAAACTGGTTGTACGCAATGGCACCAATGGCTTGTTTACCCATAGCGCATTGATATGTATTTCTAGGGGATTGATTGTGGTGAGGAAACGGAATGAGCCCGGCAACGGCACCCAGAATTGTGAACGGTTCAATCTCCACGTGAGTAGATGCTTTTGTGATTTCTTTCTCGTATAGAGCTACGAGTGTGTCTTGCTCCTCGTTGACATCAAGGTATTCGACGATGCCTTGGGTTAGAAAGTCGTCAAATGTTGCTTTGCCAGCTTGAAGTAATCTCAGATGGCTCTCCTTGATCTTGGCCTTGCCGTTCTTCACGATGATGTAGGGTCGACAAATTCGGCCCTCGTCTGTGGCAATGTGGACGGCTGCGAGATGGGTGTTGACGTTGATGCTAACAAAAGGCGAAATCCAGCCACGACGACGCATAGTCCTGAATTTTGCCGCGAATCGCTTGGGAAATCGAGTCAGAGCAAAAGGCGTACCGTTGATGTGAATGATGTATGTACCAGGCTGATGCATCTCTGCCCCTGAAAAGCATCTTAAGGGCTCCACTCCGGAGTCTAAGGTAAAGACCCATCTCTTGACAGGCTCTTCGTCTATGTTGGTGGTGATGTGCGTCATGAGAGCGAGATTCTTTACTAGTCCACAAGCTTCACCTTCGGGTGTGTCCGAAGTACAGAGCATACCCCACTGTGATGGCTGGAGCGCACGAGGACCACTGACCTTCCGAGTTTTCTCGAACTGACTGCTGATTCGAGTCATCATACCCAATGCAGCAATGTAGCTCAGTCGACTCAGGACGTGGGTAATACCGGCTCTCTCCATTCTGAATCGCTTCACGCTCCAGTTTCCTGTCTGGATCGCTCGGTTCATACCATCTGTAATGTGACGGCCGGCTGCGCTTATTTGTTGCAAAGGATCATATAATCCTCGGTGGTTTCTCTTCAACGTGTTGTCGAAAGTAAACTTGAGATCGTTCATGTACTTCTTGAATAAATCCTCGAAAAGCAGCGAGAGCAGCTGTCCTGCCAGTTCCAGCCGCTTGTTGCCAACGAAATCCCTGTCATCAACCAGCTTGGGGTTGTAATGAGCCATCAGAACACGACGGGTCATAAGAGCCACGTAGGTAGCCTTCGGCCCGAGATCGAGACCCTCCACAGGTATGTGGGCAATGACGATGTTGGCAAGGGCATCTAGAGCCTCCTCGACATTACTTCGACGTGGCGTTGGACCTTTGGTAGACGGACCCCTGCCGCCCATCTTCACCCTTGCTCCAATATAGTCAAGCGCCTGATGTTGGGTGAAGACACCGACTTTGCACGCTTCTTCGAAGTTGACTACAAAGTCATCCTGAAATCTGCCATCTGATCCAGCAACGAGTTGCATAATCTCGAGATCCGAGAGGCCCCCAAGAGCTTTCAGAACGATGACAATGGGTATGCCTTCGATCAGAACGTTGTGCACCAAGTTTATGCGGTCTTTCTTTAGCAGAACGTAGGTCTTGGACTTCCGCTCATGTGTTGAACTTGTCACCGACGCTTGGATGGTGTTGTTCTTTTCATCGGCCTCAACAATGACTCGGTTCTTGCTCAGCTGCTCCTGGACGAGGATGACCTTCTCGGTACCGCCAACAATGAAGTAACCTCCCGGATCCAGGGGGCACTCGTTCATGAGCTCCATTTGCGCGTTTGTAGCTCCATACAGTCGGCATTTGTTACTTCGGAGCATGACCGGTATCCGGCACAACTCAACATTTCTGCGCACCACTCGGACTTTCTCCCTAAGATAGGCAACGTCGACAACGATTTTGGCAGAATATGTCATGTCACGGAGCCGACACTCATGTGGCGTCACCTCGTTGGCCACACGAAATTCGCTGAAGTCAGCGCGATCAGGTTTTTCCACCCTGATATCGAGGAATTCAACGAAGAAGCTAGGATTAGCATCGCTTCTTATCATGCGATTGGCTTTGAGGATTTCCTTAATTTCGTGATCCACGAAGAAGTTGTAAGAATCAATGTGCCTGGCTGTGGTTAGACACAAGTGCCCCCAAGTTCAGCACAAAGTAGCAACTTACTGCTTGACTAGACCTGTGTTCATGAAGTCAGCTTCAAGTTTTGGTTTGTGTGCAGAAATGTGGCTGGACAATCATACCTTTGACCTTCAGGAACGCGGGCAGCAGCTGAAACTTGTCTTCCTTGGTCGATATTGGATCGGTGAGCTTCTTGCCATTATAGAAGGGCTCCAGAAGAGCCTCGAATCCGTCATCGAGCAGCGACATGTTGACCAGTAACAACAGTTCGAACTCTCATATTAATTTGGCGACGGCGCGACAACAAACCTGGAAGTGACTCGAAAAGTTGATTCATCTACAATTCCATGTTGAAGATTGCCCCACCAAGATGCCGATAAGCTGATAAGATGCTGTGGGCGGAATAAAGTTGTGCCCGCAGTATGGTAGGGGACGACCTTACTGATTACAGGGCATTCAATGATCATTTGATCATTCATTTTAGCTCCAACGAAGCCCCCGCCTGTTGTCTGGTGTTCTCCGTTTATGTAAGATAAAAACTGGACGCCCCTGAAGCGCTTGATTGAATAGCAATATCGAATCAGCTCATTTTGATACGTGCTGGGTCGCTACAACTTTCATCACTCTACCTCAAGCCTTGACTCGCTCGAGAATGTTGTCAGCAGTGTCAAGCATCACAAGCCCACAAGAAGTGCATCGGTGATGAGGATTGATATTGGATTTTCAGCAGCAGTACCCACGAATCACAGTTGATGAGAGCTTGTACTCCGGGGCTGCAGAAGGATTGCTGATGCAAACAATCTGGGAGTTACTAAGTTAACACGCCGGTTAACTAACATCGACAGCTCGAGGTTGGGTTCCAGAATTCTGTGCCCCTCCCACCCTCCATCTTGAATATGCATGCATCATGCGGGATGCCTGCAATGGGCATGCAGGAGGCGTCACTTTGTGTGTACTTCTGGTTTGGTGATAACCTATTTCGAACAATATTCAGTGGATGTCAAAAAGTCAGCGCAATCGGTGCCAAACGCTGTCGTCTATTCGGTCGAGTACAATCATCGAATGTGGGGTTAAGTTATCACATAGAGTGCCGATCTTTTGTGCTATGTGGGACGGTCTATGTCTTCAAGGGTTGCACGTACATTTGATTATAAGTTCCAGACGTTCGGCTCATGAAGAGACAGCAGATACCTACTCGGATTTCTGGGATATACAGGGCCAGAAATTCGAGTAGGTATCTGCTGTCTCTTCATGAGCTGAAGGTTTTGGCGAGCCTAGACAGTCCGGTCTTATTACACCTTTTCCTCGATGGGCTGTATCAAAAACATTTAAGAGTGACTCAACTTTGAGTCCAAGTGTTCTTGTTAAGTGTGTGCAGCCACCAACGCTCGCCTTGATGCAGGACTACATCGGGCTCGACGGCCCCTTCTAAGGAACCGATTCGAGGTGAGCTGCAGCCACGCAAGGCAAACCGTGCTATTCGTTGAGGATAAAAGTCGGTGAGTGGACCTGGTGAGGGTAAGGATATTGACTAGTGAGGACACAAGTTGCTACAAAACCGTAGTACTTGTGGTTACTACAAGGATCAAGTCTGGGGTTGCTGCTTGATGACGCGATACCTTTCAGGTGACATAGCCACCCGCTGGTGAAAGGATAGATCACACATATACATGAGTTGGCCATTGTTTACCCAGTCATCGTTCACAAGAAACTGCATTCGGTGGTGAACCTACAGAACACGAGAAAACAGCCATTGCCCCAAAACTCAGTCTAACATTTCAGTACTCTTCATAGTCGTACAGGGTGCAGCAGAAACTTTACATCAAACTGAATACCTTGACTTGTAAGTGTGTCGATTCAGGGAACCCGACTCGCCTAGCGCTCCTCCCACCTGGCTGGGTTACATCAACTGATGTTTTAGCCGCGCTAAGCCTTTTGACTTCAGGGCGGTATTCTTGGCTTCAGTTCCAACCTAAAATCGGCCCTCAGGCGGGAAGACCCTGACTGTCACTAGCCGGTGTGAACTCTTTAAGTGCGGACGAAGGTGTAGCGGAGAGACAGCGTGACACGAGACGCCAACGTACTCGCGAAGCCCTTGTAACATGAACCATAGCCGGCGGCATCTGCCATTGAAAGCATGTCGATTCGGCTCCCACAAGACGTCTAAGTGAACGAAGCATTGTTGCGTCATCCAAACTCGCGTACAGCACTGTTTCAGCCCCTTACACCGTAATGGAGTTTGACTTCTCACGGAAGCGTACTGGGAGTGCGGGTAAATGTGTAGCCCCCGCATCGAGCCGGCTCAAGCAATCGGGCTTGACGCCGTGCATGTTGATGGAGATTCGGCCAGCAAAGTCTACGAGCGGACAATGCATCGCAAGCTCGTGGTACCGCACCAGTCCAACTACAGTATAACTATCCCTTGTCTATACCACTAGATTTCTTGGAATGTCATCACTTCTTCAACATTAGAAGTACGAAGTACCTGTACTAATCTCAAGATATGCACGGGTCTTTCCAATCATTGTGGGGTTCGTTCCCGATAGGCGTGGTCACAGGAGCCCGCCCAGCAGTGTCGTGTGGATGCCAGGCGAGCGCTGGAGGCCACCGCCAGAGAATCTCTGACGGCCAATAACCGATAAAAAAATCCATTAAACAACATTCCAGATGACAGATTTATCCGAAAATTCAAGGAGAAAGCCAGAGTTTGAGCCGCACTTGTTGAAGGGATTGGTACTCTAAAATTATTCAATTTGGTTGTCTCTCTCGTAGTACTCCCCCGCACTCAAGTTGGTCAGTCCGCAAATCGGCCATGGCTTCCAGATCCCGCCGTACTCCGTAAAGTAGTCCGGGTTCCTCACCGCTACCTCTTCTGGATGGGGTTGGAGGGGCGCTTGTTTTCAAACAACCATGGATCGCCCATGGGTGCAGTCACTGGCCCGAGCTGGCATAACGTACAACCCCACCTTTACGGCCACCCACCTTTCTGGCCACCTAAACTGCCAACTACAACAACCTTCGGCACAACAGATTATCGTCGGTATTGGCTATTATTATACAAAGCCTCGATATTCAGAAAATTCGATTAAAGGCGCTCTCAATGATATCAATCAAGGGATATCCCAGCGCCAGGCTTCCCTCCGATGGGGCGTTCCACGCTCACCCTCCAATTACGACTCGGCGATGGCCTCAGCCATTCTGACGCGTCAATCGCGTCGATGAAGCTATCTAGGGATCAGGAAGACGCGCTGATTGGATGGATCCTCGAAATGGGTCGCGAGGGTCGTAGCCCGTCGGCACTATTCATCGCTAAGATGGCGTTGATTCTGTTACCTCAGGATCGTCGATCAGAAGGCCTCGGTCGCCATTGGGTTCATCGCTTTATTCAACGCCATCCAGAGGTCGGAAGTATCCAATCTCGACGCCTCGACCGTCAGCGATTTGATGGCCTATCGACGCAGAATATCGACGATTTCTTCGAGACGTACGAAGCCTTGATGTCAGCTCACGACTACTTTCCACATAATGTCTGGAATACGGACGAAACAGGCATCACGATTGGCGAAGGGATCGAGGGTATAGGGTACGGATCGTCAGATAAACATACAACATTCGTTCGGAGTGACGAAAGCCGCGAATAGGTCACTATATTACATGCTATATCGGCGATGGGTAACTCGTTGACCCCAGCAGTAATATATACTGGCAAGAGCCTCCAAGCCCAATGGTTTAACGATTGCGACGATATACCTGATTAGCAATATACTTATTCGTCTAACGGTTGGATCAGTACAGATATCGCCGTTCGATGGCTTCGTGATATCTTTATACCTCGTACACAACTAGTTGATCCCGACGAGCAGCGGCTCTTGATATTAGATGATTATATCGCTCACGACAACGTCGAGTTTATGTGGTTAGCCTATTGTAACAAGATCTCATTACTATTTTTGCCAGCACACTGTTCTCACGGGCTCCAACCTCTCGACGTCGCCGTATTTGCTCCATTAAAGCGGTACTATCGCTCGTTAGCGACCTCTCTCTCGATCGAGTACTGTTCTATTCCATTTAAAAAGTCGACGTTCCTCTCGCTATACATCGAGGCATATAGTAGCTAGGGAGAGTCTGGCAGCGATTACGCCATTGCGATCGTCGCAACGGCTATTGTTTCGGAAGCTGACTCGTCGGCTAGATGTACAGAGCGTCGAGGTCGCTACTTTGACCCAACGTGTACACGCATTAGAAGGCGAGATAACTTCGTTACGCCCCAAACCACGTAAGAAGGTACGATTAGGGCCTAATGAACGATTTGGTAACATTGTACAGATTAAGGAAGCGATGGATCGAGCCCTTGAAGTAGAACGGCAACGAGACCAGGGGTAATACTGGACCCAGCTAAGGCGTCAGAATCTATCAGATCTATACCTCAGGAAGCCCTAGAGCGCAGCTTTCTATTAGAGCTGGTTGTACCTGAATAGCTATAATAGTACGTTGAATACATTGTTTCGAATACCTTCAATTAGATTGCAATATGTGGCCGGAAAGGTGGGTGGCCGGAAAGGTGGGTTTGTACGTTATGGAATCGCAGAACGGTGGACAAGTGGAGGCAGATTAGCAAAATCTCCCGAATTGCGAGACATATGCAACGTGGATTTCATCAGATTGGGTCGCAGGACGTGCTGCAAATGCAACTTTACTCTGGACTTGGCCCAATCCATCCATGTATGCTGCACAGCAAGTGGCCAGGTACATCATCATACTCGGATCTCGTTGAACAGGACAGAGAAGAAGAAGAAGAAAGACTGCATATGTTGCCAATCGCCATTCGGGTCCTGGCGCCATGGGTCGCAGATAGACTTTTAGCAACCGCCATTCCTGACTTGTTGGCAGCAGCAGAACTCCTATGTACTGCAGTCTGTACATACCCAGATCTGTGGAGTGGAGGCGTGCCCGAATGATTCAAGCCCCTCGTCCTTAGCTGGCTGTAAAGACTCGATTGAAGACGAGATTGATCTAGCCGGACGATCCACTGACCGTTAATATGTGCATGTGAAGTTTTTCGTGCTTACAGCTGGCAGACTGGACTCTTTCCCATCTGAGATTTTTCTACGAATTGCCGCCCCTCGAGCCGCCGCAAGAGCCTGTGCGAGTTGTTAGTTTCCAAAGTTGTGACCAGGACTAGGACCAGGTCTGGAGGGGGACCGCTAAGTGTTATCCACCGCCAAACCTGAACCCCTGGCGCTCTTCGACCTCTCCCCTCTGCCTCGTACTTCCAGGCCTGAAGAACGAGTTTCTTGCCCTCAACTCCACACTCTTTTTGATTTTGCGCCTTCGCACTCTTTCTGCTGCTGCCGCTCCTGGCTCTCCAGGGCAGCGTACTGTGTGCTATAGTTGTTATCGTCCAGGTAAGCAGAATTCCGCCCGCCCGCCGGCCACCCTCAACTCTGGAAGTAGTAGCACGTCGTCGGCGGGTCGCTCCCGATCAGCGAGTGTGATGCATCATCCAGCAGCAGTTGCCAAAGGACACGATGGACAGGGCGGCAACACAACAGGAGCACTAGGCTGCGCGCGGCCCTGGCTTCTTCCAAGTTGCCCCACGTGTACCTTGCAAATGGAATCTTTCCAACGCTTCTCAACTACTGCGGTCGTGTCGAACTGCGGGACCGCGACGAACCAAATGCTGACCTCGCACGCTTCAATGCGTAGTCTATAGAAACGGCGCCGTCTCCCCCAATTCACATCTGTACGAGAGCTTCGGGATATTGTAACAACATTTTAAAAAAAAGAAGAAGAAGATGGACGACTACCGTTTCCGCGCGCAACAGTCGCCGCGAACCGAGGCGCCGATGAATTCGCTTGTCTCACCCCCGAGGAATGGCAATCGAATGCCTCAGCCAGGGTCCCACGACCCTCGAACCACTCTGCCTCGCCGATTCACCACGGATTCGGGGCGTGTACCAACATTGTCGACTATAACCACACAGCGTCCGCCTGAGCCGCAAGAATATCCCACTGCGGTGAGTCTTTTTGTCGTTTCTCGGCCCATGTTCAGCCCTTGAGTCCTGCTAGCCCTGCCAGCTTGATTACCGACCGACCATGTCTCAACTTCCACGTCGGATGCCTTTTGCTTGTGGAACTCGCGGCTGACTTCAATGCCTTCAGACCCAGTATAAAGTTCAATTGGTAGAGTGCTCCTCCCTGTCTTTCGATATTGTGACACTTGTCCACTTGAGCAGCCAGCCCCCAAAGCCCCTGCCACCCCTGATGCGATTCTTTCTCCACATTGGCCCTGTAACGTACTTGAATATTTGAGCCCAGACTAATAGCTCCAGCAGCTGGAGAAGAAGAAGATTGAATATGAGAAGCTTCGAGAGCAGAAGCGGCGTTTCGAGGCTGAGATGCAAAGTCATGAGTACGAATTGGCCCAGATGCAGGAGGACTTGGGCCGGGGAAATGGAAACGGAAATGGCCTGGGCTTGACTGGACATCAATCTGAGCCGACTACGCCGCCCGAATACCGCGAGACGTCTTCGGGGTTCCCAACCATGTTCTCGCGTCCCAACCGATATTCGACGTCAAGCTTGGTGTCTCCGCCCGGATTGTTCAACCGGCCGACCAGATCTGGGTCTCAACTTGCGTCCCCTCAGTCGGGCATCTTGCCATCGCGCTTTGCGTATGACGAGCACCTGCCCTCACGTTCAGTACCTGGATCTCGAAGAAATAGTGATGAGGACGAAAAGGAAGAGGCCCTTCGTCAGGATCCTACCAGTCACCGATCAACCAACGCGTGCGTACTACTTTCCCTTGGGTGTACTTTCCCTTTCATGATTGCTGAGTTGCCAATGCCCCTCCTCAATGTGCAGACAGTATAGCTACTGTGCACTGACCACATATAACTTTGTGTGGATGGGAATCGTCAATGAGGTATCCATCCAACTTCAATTAGGTTGATTGACCTTGGGTGAGGTTGAGTGAGGACAACCGTGAATCACATCACGGAGTACTTACGCCTTCAAGGATTCAAGGTGAATTCTACTGTACAGTTCAAAATTGCCATTCTGGACTTTCCTGCCACTACTGTACCAGACAGCTTTCCTTTCCATTTACTGCTATCCCAAATCTCAACCGCATCTACCAGCAACTCCACTACCACCCACAAATCTACCTTTCCTTCTGATAGTAAGCCCATCAACCAGTTGTAACTACATTCAAAGCGTACCGGTCAAGAAGCTACGACCAACGCGCCTTTCTTGTCTTCAGCTCATCCCCTTCCTGCAACCTTCATCCCTAGACTACCTTCCACCCATTGTCGACTCGTGCTTTTCCTCGCGAGTCCTGACGATTTCTGCTCTTATTGGTCACTTCATCTTTATCATCTGGAATCCATAGAGGGATTCATGACCTTCCAGGCCTGAATCATCAACGGCAAATTGCTAACTGGGACTTTCCCAATAGCCTCAACCGGTATTCCATGCCGGTCACCAGACGCGGAAACCTCTATGACAACATCGACCAAACCAACGCTGCTGGTTTTCTGTTCAGAGACGACGAGTCTACCATGGATTCCAATTACGCAGGCATCGACACGGGAGATGAGGGCTTCCCTAAGTTGTTTGCTCAGAAGGGCAATCCCAACCGGGTAAGTGCAGCACTTTCTTTTCCTCCCATTGCTCCTTGACTTCTTCGGTATCTTCGTACTCGAGCACCTTCCCGCTGCCCTACTACAATCGCGCCTTCCCTCCAGCCATCCTCATACGTAGGCCCAAAGCGAACCAACTGTTTACTCGTGACATTCGAGTGAACGTTCTTGCTCACTTATACCGCCCGCCCCACACTCCTTTTTTTTGACCCCACCATTCACCCTGCCGATTCACTCAGCCGATTCACTCACAACCTCTCTACCTGGGCAAGAATAACCAAAAAACATAATTCGATCTTGCCCATTGGTCAATTGGCCAACACCGACTCATTACCATTGACTGCTTCCCTACCACCCTCCCTACCACCCTCCCTCCTTCCTCACAGCTATCGTATCCGGTCGTTCCTTCAGCGCTTTTTCTGCTGGTCGGAGGTGCTAACTTACACGTGATTCGCAGCTGTCTGCATCTTCTGTCGCTGTGGATCTGGCTGCTCTCGAAGCTGCCAACGGCTGGAACAAGATGCCCTCAATGCACCGACCTCAGCAGAGCCTCACCACTCTGACTTCATCCCAGATGAACTCTGCCGATGTGGCGCCCCCGGGCCAGAACAGTTCGCCTTCTGACGCTAACACTATCGGATCGCGCAACCCTGCCTTCCGTCACTCCCTCGATATGAAGCAGCACTCGATCGACATGAACGCCTACTTCGCCAAGGAGAATGGTACTGATGCTACTTCTAACGCCGCCGTGCTGTCGCCCAAGTCGTCCCACGGCCTGTCGACTCCTCCTAAGTTGCAGTCTTCCTTCTCTGCCAACGACATTCCGACCGTCAAGGGCTCGTCTGTCATGGGTGGACCGAATGCCAATGCGCACGCTCAGCAGCATCTTCACAACCACAATGCTAGCATCGGTCGCATCCCCCCCGGAGCTATGAAGCGACATAGCCGCGAGCTTTCCAGCGAGAGCAACATTCACATCGGTATCACGCAGTCTGCCACTTTCCCCTCCATCGGCTCCGCTCTTCATGCCAACGCCCCTGCCTTTGGTCCCACCGCCACATCTCAGGCTCCTAACCAAACCACCCCGACTGCTTCATCGGTTTCCAGCCCTGGCTCTTCCATGGGTGCGGGTAACTATTCTTCGTACTACGGCGGTAACTACGGACCCACTAGCCCTAATAATGGCGGCTCAGCATACAACGTACCCCTGCTTGCCATGCAAATGGGCAACATGAACATGAATGGGTATTCTCCCCAGAACTACACTGGCTACGCCCCCATGTACCAGGCTGCTGCTGGTCAGCCCCGCGACTCCCAGCAGCGTGTCATTCAGCAGCGCCGTGCTCAAGACAATGAAGGTAAACGATATTTAATTTTCCGACTCTCTATCGCAACGGCTAATTGATTTCATAGCTATGAACCGCTTCAACAACACGCCCTTGGAGGCTGTTGGTGGTACCATCTTTGAGCTTTGCAAGGACCAGCATGGCTGCCGGTACCTCCAGAAGCAGCTGGAGAACCGCATTCCCGAGCAAGTCCACATGATCTGGCTCGAGACCAATATGCATGTCGTCGAACTCATGACGGATCCCTTTGGCAACTACCTCTGCCAGAAACTTCTGGAGTACTGCAACGATGACGAGCGCACTGTGTTGATCCGCAACGCTTCCGAGTCCATGGTTCACATCGCGCTCAACCAGCACGGCACCAGGGCCCTCCAGAAGATGATCGAGTTTGTCTCCATTCCCGAGCACGTTCAGCTCATTGTCAACGCACTTCGCTACCGAGTGGTTGATCTCATCCAGGACCTCAATGGCAACCATGTCATCCAGAAGTGCCTCAACAAGCTTTCTCCTCAGGAAGCTCAGTTCATCTTCGATGCTGTTGGCAACCACTGCGTCGAAGTCGGCACTCACCGTCACGGTTGCTGTGTCCTCCAACGCTGCATTGATCACGCCTCGGGTGACCAGAAGATCTGGCTCATCGGTAAGATTACCGAAAATGCACTCCGTCTGGTGCAGGATCCATTCGGTAACTACGTGGTTCAGTACATCATCGACCTCAATGAGTCCACTTTCACTGAACCCCTGGTTGTAATGTTCACCGGGAAAGTGGCGCAGTTGTCGCGCCACAAGTTCAGTTCCAATGTCATTGAGAAATGCCTTCGATGTGCCTCCGATGGCGGACGTGACATGATGGTCAACGAACTTCTGAACGGAGGCGAGATGGATCGCCTTCTGCGGGACTCGTTTGGCAACTATGTTGTTCAGACTGCTCTGGAGCACTCGACGTACCACATGAAGCACCAGCTTGTCGAGGCCATTCGCCCCATTCTTCCCGGCATCCGATCCACCCCCTATGGTCGTCGCCTGCAAGCCAAGATACAGACTCATGATACCCGCAGTGGCCAGAACAGCGGCCAGAGCACACCGGCCGACTCGACCCAAGGTCAGCTGTCCCTGCGACAATCTCACAACCGTGGCGGATCTAATGCTGCCTCCATTCTGTCACCCAGCGGATTTGCCAATAGAATTGGTGGAGGACGTGGTGCGGCGTCGTACCCTTCGAGCAGCACCCTGACCGTGCCGCCTCCTCAACCTCCGCGATTCAATCAAACCTTCACCTATCCGGGGGCTAACGTCCAGCCCGGCAATGGCGAAGGGCAGTTCTTCTGAACCATTTCTCAGTACGACTGGCCGTCATTACGATACTTGTAATGGTACGATGCACGAACTGGACGACACCTTTATCGGACGACTTCCCATCGACAATCATGCGGTTTTTCCTTTGGCTTTCTACAAGCACGAATGAAACGGCTTCTACGAACTTGATGACTTTTCCTTAACCCCCAAAACTCATCTTGACATCCGACATTACACGACTTTCTTCTATCAGGGCATCCCACTAGCACCCACCGTTCCCCGGGTTGCTTTGTACACTATTCGCTCACTGATACACGACTTTTCATCCCCTTGGATTTCAAGCGGCTGACCTTGGATGCCATGGCGCCAAACGACTGCTACCGATTTTCCGAGGCTTGTACCCGTGCACTTGGATCCTCAACCATCATCGGCATAGACTTTTTCTTTCTGCTTTCTTTCTTCTCGGTACCCACCCTCGCTGCCTTCTCGATTTCACGGCTTGCCTATAGACGTCAATCGTATAGTCGTCTGCAAAACGAAACTTCAGATCAGCGGCAGCGCTTGGAAGTTGTTTATCACTATGTCGTGGTACTGGCATTCGAGCAAGGTCCCTCCCTAATTACGATGCGCTCTCCTCTTATCTCGTGAGGCAGTGTCGTTGCACTCGCTCTATGAGAAAACGGCTGGCATTGCACTACACAAAACCGCGGCTTTCGGAGAATAGCTTGACATCAAAATACCTCACACCAATACTCTCACGGCTTTCGCAAGAATGGGAGGACTGACATGGACATTGAGGACCCTAGAGGATGGCTTTACACTGGGACTGGTAGAGCTGGGCTCTGGGCTCTGGGCTCTGGGCTTGTGTACGGTAGTTCGGCGACGGATGCAGTCTGCTTTTTGAGGATGTGGAAGGCAACTGGTACTCTGCGGGGTCCTCTTCGGTGTGCCTTACAGCCCAACACACGTATCTCACTTTTCTTTTCTACTGCAACTCTTACTACTACTAGCTTGATCTGAAAAAGGACCGGTTTGTGGTCAGATGGCGAGATTTGCAACGATGGTTGCCACGATTTTCTCGCGTCATAGCGGGCTTGCATTCTAATAGTGCAGATAGCCTAAATAAAGGGTTCATAGGTAAATTTCTGTGACTAATGTGATGATTGTGAACGAGTCCTGAATGAAGAGTTTCTGTTCTGATCTGTTCTCGCATTGCCCCTGAGGAGTTTGAAGGACTCCTACCATACATGCTGCTGGGAGTTCTCCTTCATGACAAGCACTTCACAAAGAGCTATCTAGACGGTCTCCTCAGAGATCTGCAGTCAGGGCCGAAGATATGACAGACAGCAGCATTAGACTTGGCGCTTGCGAGGGGTGTTATCAAAGGGCAGAGCAGATAGATATTCGCAAGGTTTATAACTAGAAACGCATGGGGGCGCTACCTTGGTTTTGAATGGATTGGCATTGCTTGATGAATAACGGTAAGTGGAACTCAACATTTTATATAATATAGGTGAAGCAACGAAGGTTTACCTTGGAAGAGGGAGGAAGACCATGCAACTTACAAGGTATTGAGTGTCATTCTACAAGCCAATACAGGTCAGAATAGTTGCGGAATATTCGGGCCGCATTATTTGCTTAAAACGCAATACATAGATAGCACTTGTGGCAAGCATAGTTATATGAGAATATGGATTACGATCATAATTGTTCAAAAGCAGACTGAGGCAACGTGTCGGACAACCTTCACAGTGGGTATCTTAAGATTGTGTATTGGCAGGATGCTTTTCCATTCTCTGCTACGTAAAATGACTCCGGCTGAACCTTCTCAGCCAATTTCGTGCCCAGTTGACCAGACCATGAAGCAAGACCTCACTCCATCGCAAATCAATGACCATACCCATGCCCACTCTACTGTCGCAACGAGACATTTTAACGGTAACGCCACAGAGACAGGGTGTTGTGACGCAACCAGGTCTTTCTGCGACCAGCCTTGGTCTTGTTGTAGCGGTGACCCTTGTTGAGACCACGCGACTTCTTGCCTGTGGCGGTGAGACCGCGGGACTCGCGGTGCTTGTGGACGGGGGCGACGATCCAGTTGATGCGGGGATCCTGGCGGATGGCCTTGTGCTGGGGGTCGACGAGAATGACCTCGAAGTACTTGTAAGTCGAGTCCTGGTTAACCCAGTACGAGTTCAGGACGCGCAAGTTAGCGCAGCGGCGGCCGACACGCTCCTCGGCCGTGGACTTGAGGGATCGCTGGTACTTGAGCTGGTTCACACCCTGGTTGGTGGGCTTGCCTGTTGTCGGGGCATTGGGTCAGTATTTCACTCATCTCTTCGTTCTCAATGAGAGTGGGTTTGTACGTACCGTAGGTGGCACCCTTAGGCACGGGCTTCTTGCGGCCTCCGCGGCGGACACGCACGCGGTAGATGACATAGCCCTGCTTGGCCTTGTAGCCGAGACGGCGAGCCTTGTCGGGGCGTGAGGGTCGGGAGGCGCGGTGGATGACATTTAATTGACGGAGCTATATTGATGCACTCTCAGCTGATGTTCAACGAGTGTATAGCACAGACACCAATTTCGCTCGGCCTTCCGGCACGAAGCAGAAATACAAGCGTCCACATGATCATCCATGATCGCCATTGAATGCAGTGGTCGTCTCGTTTTGGTCGTGTCGGAAAATATTGGGAATCGTAGACGGTTTTGGTTTAACATACCTCCCAGCAGCGGACTCGGAGGAGGAAGCGCAGGACATCCGACTGCTTCTTCTTCTGAAGCTCTTCGACGTACTTGAGGGCACCCATCTTGACTGAAGAATGAGCTTTGTTAGCAAAAACTGAGGCGGCGTCGGTCCAGTCGACAGTCACGTACCAGGTAGGAAATTGAGGCCTGTGAATCTGGATGCTCGTGTGTCGTTTGACGGTAGATTGGTTAGATCGAAGAGTAGGAAAAACGAAATCGTAAATTCGGGTCCAAAATCGAAATTCTATTGTGGGCAGTAGCGATTGGGGCTTGATCGAAAATGGTTTAGTGGCCTGGCCCGCGCTTGGTTCCACTCTTTCAGACCGCCGCTTCGTGGAACGTCCTTGCAGCCTGCTCCCAATCAGAATCCCTAGGATCAACTACTTCTATTCTATTCCGTGAACCAACATTCGATTGAAGCATCACCAATGCAAACAGTCGATTGAGTTGAGAAGGAACGTGGAATTTTTATCGAACGTATAAATCTTTCGCAATACTGTCAAATGTCTCCTACTTGGAAGCAGCTGTGAAGAGCTCTCTCAACAGAAACACGTGAGCGCTTCATCACCCGTGTAAGTCGGTCGACAGTTTCTTCGATAGGACCTCAAGCCCAAAGTGTAACGATCCATCATGTTGTGTTTTTTCTTATTAATTTTCTACTGTCTATCTTATCTCAACCCCTCTTCATATTCTTGCAATCTCGGAATCTTTTGCCGTATATGTTAGCACCAATTTGTGTCCGTCAGCTATATACCATGTGATACCCTGTGATACCCTTAGCAAAGTACCTCTTACGTCGCGAAGAGAACTGTTCATTTGAAATGCTTCGACGGGATTGTGATAGCTAGGTTCTTGAGTCGTTTGACCTGCTCAGCTGCTACCGTGCCCCAGCTCTCACCCTCCAGTGCATTGCGGCTGTCTTTGAAGAGTTCTAAGGCCGTCTTGAAATGCTCACTCTCCTTGCTCAAGTTTGGATCCGGCTGGGAATGGGTGCGTGGAGCCAAATGGCGCTCGACGAGATTCTCGCCGATTTCGCGTCCACAAGCGAGAACCTCTTTGAGGTCATCCTTATCCTTCTTCCAGACAGTGGCAGGCGTTTCAAGCTGTCGGGACTTGAGACCTTCATCTGTGTCTTTGTACAGCTTGAGAAGTGCATGGCTATCTCCGATGATTGCCTGTGCTGCATGGAAGAGCTCGGATCTCTCTCTGCCAATCCCCTTCAACTGTTGATACGGCAAATGGGGTGAAGCAGCCGGCTGGATCGCTGCAGAATAGGTCTCTCCGAAGGCTCCCGCCAAATCTTGGTTGTGTTGTTTCCTTGTCTATGGTTAGCATTCAACTTTCACCAGTTGCTAGGCCATGGAGCGTACATTCTACTCTCTCGTGTGTCGAGAAGAGCTCGAACTTGATTGGCTTGCTTGTCAACCTTGTTCTGGAAGTTATCGAGTTGGTTCTTGGACTGTCTCCTTTCGCTCTTGCTGAGCTTCTCTAGCCATTTTGTCCATCCCTCGAAATCGCTGCAGACGCAGTTAGCGATCAAAGTTGAGCGGATATGATTTTCTTACTCACAGAGCACCTTCATAGCCTCCATCGTCATCATCCTTCGCAAGGCGGGAAAGACTTTTGCCTCTGGCGCGATTTGGCGCGTGTGTCGCTCGCCTTGGCTCGTCATCGACGAAGACGTCGTTCGGCACATCCGAAGGAGCTGCAGGCATGTAAGGCCTTGAAGGACAATGGAATATTGGATGCTAGCACGTACAATCAGGTTCGGTGTCTGCCTTTCTTTTGGTTCCCCTCTTAGGAGGCATCTTGGCGTATTCTTGTCTTTCAAGCTGATAATTCCCAGTGCATGACGCTGGGTACCACTGAGTGGAGGAAAAAGAACTTGGGGGCTTCAGTCATGCGTGACTATTTGACGTTTAACTTACTGAAGACGGACGGGGAACAGTTCCACTGGCTAGTTTCATATGGGCAGTTACCACCTGTCGTACTTTCCAGTTCTGGGGTTGAAGTACACCGGGTGCCTCCGGGAAGGAGCAAGCCAAGACTGCTCAGCAGAAAACAACATTCCCCCCCCGGAGATAAACTGCCTAGAATTCAAAAGCCAATGTGGGCAAATACTGTAATTTCCGCTTAATTTGTGAGATTTAAGTGTAGAAATACTCACCTACTTACGAAAGTAGGTAAGGTAGTTCAATGACATGAACTATGTACTAAGACATTACGATCACTGTAGTGAACCTGGAATTCGATATACCGAGCTTATCAACCAGTAGGCACGTGACTTCAGTACTTGCGAGCGAAGTTTCATGTTTCAATACGCTCCATTTGCAGCCTCTCAATACACTGGGTCAGCATCTCTTGCCGTAGAGTCGTAAGACAGGCAATAAGAGATGGCTTGTTGCCTTAAGATGGCGAGTCGCACTTACCCTGGGTACAGAAGCCAGTGCCACCCAAATCTTGAGCGGTTTGGTGTTCTCTTCTAATCCGGGCTCTGTCTGAACAAGGGAGCATGTAATTTAGTTACACGAATTTGTTTGATCGGCTTGGAATAACTCCAGTAACCCGAAAAAGGCACTAATACATACCCGGATGATGACTCGTTAAATATTGTGTCACCCAGCTCAAGTGGTCGTGGAGGCTGGCGGCAGTCACGATCCTAGAGAATCAAACGCAAGAATGCGAACTATAGATAGCTGTGATCAATGATCAATTACTGGGTTTATTCTCTGCCCATGTTTGCTCATCACTACGAAGGAGAGGAGAAGATAGGCGCGACATTTCTTACCACATGCGACCGGAAGAACTCAAATGTCAAGAAGTTACGAAACATCGCTTTTTGAGATATCTCTCTGAATACCTAGAAGCTCGGCAAATGCGTCCGAAAAGGCAAAAGTCAACTTGTAAACCGGCGGACGTCGCAGCAGAAGGACAGTAAACAATACTTCTGGTCGTACAAATGATCTCCCCTCTTCCGATACCCAACGAAAGTGGAAAAATCCCTTCGCTCCTCCCCCCCTTCCTTTTTTAGATATCAAATTACATCGATGCTCGTGCAGTATTTCTCCTCTGTCTATGACGGTCTCTCCTTGGGCTGAAAAATAAATGAATTTTCTCTGATGTTCCTTCTTATGCCATCATCGTGAGTCAAGTGACGTCGTGCGTGGAATACAGCGAGTTACTACCCTTTCCGGTCCAAGTCTTGTTTCTGGGGAACCCGCAAATCTTTCCATGTCAAATCAGTTTGTGCCAGCCAACGCCGTGGTCTAGTTGCTAGACCGCTATATCTTTTTTCCGCAGATTTTGGTAGCTCCACGGGAGCATGCTTATTCGCAAAATTCGGTGGGCGTGCCTGTTCCGGTATGTGGCAAGTCAAATATAGTACGAGAATCGAAAAGGCGGCAACACGGTGTGCCTGGCGATTAACGAGAGTTCAGGGATAATCCCTGGAAGGCCCCAACCCATTCATTTTGTCCCGGGACAGCGGAGTTAGCAGGGTCTTGAGTCGACGAGGCGGTGTGGGGGCTTGGGAATCGATTTCGCATTGCTTGGTAGTCGCCGGCTTGAGAAAAGCTGCTAGGGTAACCGTCCATGCCTGGTATCATGCCGGGTGCGTATGGGAGAGCACCTCCCCGCGCAGCGCCGCCACCACCTCCACTCCCAAAGGCGCCGTAGCCAGAGTAAGGGTAGGCTGCTGGGGGGTATGCACTATTTGGAACACCAGAGCGTTCCGAGGTGAAAGGCTGATTGAAGGTAGACTGGAATGGCCGGCTGGCAGAATTACCTCCAGCGAACGTGGGTGGTTGATCCTGTTGGTTTTGTCGTCGCTCCGTATTTGTGGACGCAGCACCGCCACCTCTTCCCAAGCCAACAGCGCCTGGCCCTATGCCACTTGGTGCTTGCAAACCAAGAGTTGGGCTGGCAAAGGAAGCCGGGTTGATGGCAGACATCCAAATTCTGGTTTTATAGATCTTGAACAAATCAGTGACGAGGGAGTTGAAGTTGATGTACGCGTCCGCAAAATAGTAGAACGTCAGCTTCTTCCAATCCCTGAACACGTTGAGTCAGCATTATGTAAATAAATAATAAGCAGGGGGAAGACTTGCATCTGGAACTCAGCGTCGAGAATCTCCATGTTGAGACCGTGCTCCTTGACCTTTTGCATGCAGATACGTTTCGCTTTTGCCTCGTTGCCCTCTTTCTCCCTAAGATTGTGGATTTCGTGACTCTGAGCAAGACGCTTGATGAGTTTCGGCTTGAGTTCACCAGCCGAGGGTTCTTGCATATGGTGCTGGCTGGGTGGGCCCATGCCACCGATGGCGCTGCCCTGCATACCGTTTGAAGCAGCCATCAACCCGGCTCCAGTGCCCTCTTGAGCGGCAGCAGCATTCTGAGAGTACATCATTAGCCACTTATAGTGCTCTTCGGCGTAGTGCTCCTTGAGCTCCTTGGCCGTCTGCCAGTCAACCTCGCTTCGATCGACGGTACCGAGGTCAGTACCCCGATCTGCTTCGACGATGACGAGGTCACCCGGCTTGACTGTCAATCCAGTACCCTCCTGGATATAGAAGACGTCCGCTCGTGAGCATTTGAAGAGGACTATGTGGAGCAGCTGGTTATGTCTTGGCTGACTTATACCATACATGTTGCGATGCGGCGAAGGGGGACGATTGGCATAAGTAGACGGCATGCCACCATACGGCGACGGATAGGGGTTTCCATAAGCCGAGCTCGCAATGGTTTGGTGTGGGGCACCGGGAACCTGGCTGTTGCCAGAGAAGTACGACACTATAAACCGTTTTAGCAAATGGACAAACGAAACAAAGACACTGCGTTTGTGACCAACTCACCAGGACTGGTGGTGTTGTACCCCGCAGCGTCGGAGAATGCCCCGTAGTCTTGCGAATGCGACAAATCGGGGGACTTCGACTCATGCAGACCAACAGCCTCTCCGACCGAGCCTATCGAGGCCTGTCGGGTGGGCACATCGGCAAATGAGTGCCTGCGACTCTGCGGGATGTCACCGATGCCGCCGCCAAATCCCAACGAGCTCTGCCAGAAATTCTTCTTGACGTTCTCCAGTTTTCTGTTCTCAACCGGGTACGGCGATCGATTGGCATAGATACCCGCACCAAATTCACTCATGCGTCTACCTAGAGCACGCTTAACTGCCGCCTCTTGCCCGTCATTGGCCTCATCAAGCTCGTCGATGGCGAAATCGGACTCTTCGGGCACGGCTTCGTGGACACTATAGCCGTTGCCGAGTCCGTATGTCGCTGCTGTCGATGCCCGTGGTCGGAGCCGAGAGTTCTGATACTGTTGTTGTTGACGCAGCATCGCATTCTCCCTAGTGAGCATCTCAATCGTCTTAGATTCGGCTGACTGGTGTATGTGGTTTCCATGTTTGGGGCTGTGGTTGCTATCATCATCATCATCCTCGTCCTCCTTGACCTTGCCTAGCATGCCCCCTTCATTGGACATCTCACTCAACATACTAGGTCGCGACGGTCGATGTTGCAGCCCGGAATGTCCAATCGGCCGTCCTCGTCCCGGCATCATGCTGGACGAGGGGATCGCGGCAGCAGCACCAGAGTCAGGTTCGAGCTGGCCAACTGAGTACGATTGAGATCGATACGTCTTGGGAGTGGGATGAAGGGGTATGGCAAATGGAATCTGAGAGTTGGAGCCGGGCTCGCGTGGACCAGGCGACGTCTGCGACATCTGAGACATTTGTGACATAGAACTCTCCCCGTTGAAAAAGCTGGCACTACCGGGACCACTAGAGGTGGGAGATGGGAGAACCTCACTCAACCTAGACGGTGGCTCCTTGCTGCGGTCTGTGTTCCAGATACCAGTTCCCCATGGGAAAGCGGGCGGAGCTTGGTGGGGACGGTTCATGGCAGCATTGTGGGCAGAGTGGGAGCCCCAAACACCGACGCCTGGTTCGGCAGAAGGAGTGCTGGGGTGTGAGGCTGTCGGCGACATGTTGCTGCTCGCAAAGGAGCCTTTTCTGGGTTGCGATGGTGAGGCCTGAGAGGCGTCGTTGAGCCAAGAGGCACGACGGACAGGATTTTGATGCTGGATGGACGGATGAGACTGATCCTGACGATGGGGGTCGGCCTCGTCATCCGAGCTCGCGAGAGCCTCCGAATCTGGAGTCGATCTCCGTACGTTGAGCTTGTCCAGTAAAAGCGACTGGCTACCGGGCCCTATCGCTGAGAATCCGCCTTGGCCCGGCTTCGACGCGGCACCGGCCTTATTGTTGCTTCCACTCATAATATAGTACCAGCCAGCTGCTCACTAATGATAAGGCTTGGTCGCACCCTAATTGCCGTCACGGCGATACGAAGTGTTGCAAAATTGATGGTGGCAAGAACTTGGTGAGATGGCAAACAGTGGTGGAATCGAGTAGATCCTATGATGGTAGCCTCAAGGCAGACCCAAGTTGAATTAATTTGATCAAGTTCAGAACAAAGCCTGCCTCGGTGAATATGTTGTGGCCACGGAGGGGAAATTCTGCATGTCATGATTAGCCGTGAGGTGAACTTGAAATTGAAAAGAGACCCAGTTCCAACGTTGTGCCCACTGAAGTAGAAAGGGCAGCCGCGTCGTGTCAATAGGCGCACCACAAACATTTTGCCTTCAAGTATAGACATTGTCCCAAACAGAGAAAGCTTTTCAGTCATGCTCACTGCTCACTACTTGATCTGCACCTGGTAGGCCGCACAAGTATCCTGCTCACCATGCACCACTACCACCACCGCTAGGGGCCAAAGAAATTGGGTCGGGTACTTACTCAGATGGCAAAATAAATCATTAGATCTATGCACAGGGTATCGCGAAAAGTGGTTGTCTAATGGTTGAAATGAAGAGAGAGACAATGAGTGTACGATGAGGAGAGAAATGGTAAAAGCAACCTTAGAAGAAGGGCAACAAGGGTAGTATCGGGCTGTCCAGAAAAACGCCGCCAAAGATGCTCCTCCTCTTTGAGACCGAAGACCGGGAAACGTATCGTCGCAGCCGCCAAAAGACAATTAAAAGTCGGGAATCTGGTCTGTCTCTTGCGTGGGGTATATATAAACCTCTAAGGTTAACCAATCTAGTACACTCCCACAAGGAACCCGTTCGTTTTTTTCCTATTCTCTGCGTCCTAGAGCTTTCGGAGTTGATCCTCGACGGAATGCGACAAAACTACGCGCGGCTAGACGCCCATTGTTAAAAAGGCGGCTATTATCGTCGCGAGTAAGTGCGCGAGCTGAAAGGCGGGCCGAACGGACACAATGGAACACGGTCTTGACCCGCTGTCGTTGCTCGAGGTTGGCAATGCGATTGCAGGAAGAGGACACAGAGGTAAGAGTAAACGGTGGAGGTTGTTGGGAAGCGGGGAAGAGTGGACGGACTGGTCAAATGGTGGTAGTGGACGTTGCGACACGAGACTTTCGCGAAAGTGGCTGGTGGAGCTTAGTGGCCACGGGAGTGTGGAACTAAGGTACTCCGTACCGAAGGCACTTGCAGTTGCAGCAAGGGACCCGTACTAAATCCTGGGCGGGAAACGTTGAGGCGTTTTTATACTGTTCATCAAAGAGCCACGCAGCCCGACAACTGTCATGGCTGGAAAGCTCGCAGGAGAGAGCTTAATGGTTGACGTCTGGAGGGAAGAAGAAGAGTTGACACCAGAGGCGAGTGGCCGTCGTTGTTCGGCAGGAAAAGAGTTGAAAGAATGGAAGAGAAAAGGTAATGGGATGGATACAACAGGGTGAGGCAGTTAGTATTGATGATCGGCTGTCGAGGAGGGATGTGTAAGTTGATCAATGAGAGCGGAGAATCCTGAAGAAAGGGGAGCTTCGGTGTGGTCGCAGCCCACCATCAGATCCATGGACAGACGACTATGTTCGCTGTTAAAGTTGTGTACTTCTTACTTCGCGCCCCCGGAGCTTTGGTGTGGCCGAATTTTGTCTGAATCTGGTCAGGCCTCGAGCAACTTCGAAGCCGAGCTTCAGCTTTGCATCAATTGTCAAATGGTGTGGTCAAGGGACGATCAAATTGCCCAGACTCCATCAAATTCCATGCATATCTCCACTGGTTTGACAGGATGGTCCCAGTTGTGCTAGAAAGTGGGCAGAAGACGGACGGTTGGACGGGTTCGTTTCTAAATTCTGGGTGCATCGCCGCTGCTGTGCCCGCCCTCAATCAATGTCAATGCACTAAAATAAATTTGCCGTCCAAGGTGTGGGGATGGCGCATTTCGACTTGAAAGGACAAGGGCAGACAGACAAGGGCCGTGGCCATATTGCTTTCTCCAATAAGTGCATCCAGATGTTGCCAATGACGTCTCTTTCAACGGCCGGCATGATCACGTTGTACTCCCTCTCCGATTCCCCGTATTCTTCACCAGGTTGAGCCTAACGTTTTCCATTTAGCATCGCCAAGATGACCTTGCACATCAAGCTTCTCCTCATTCAATCTCTCGGCAAGAAACGAGACGAGGAAACAAGTCCAAGGTAGACTCGTATGTCTTTTTTCTGGCAATGGATGGAAGATCGGCATTGCACCTATTGATCGGCCAGGACATAAAGTAGATGCATCAGGCCCTGTTGTTGCTGGCTGGCGAGACTGGCCTGGAACCTGGAGAATCGTTGAGATGCTACCTGAAAGCATCTTGCCAAGACCTGGTGTCGCAAAGTCGCAAACTGGCCCGTACCTCTCCAGTGTCTTATCCGTTCTTGCTTTTCACTGTCTTCTAGTCGCCTTCTGCATCGTCCTCTGCATCGTACTTAGGAACCAGTTCTTCTGCACCGGATTACGCCATGCGCTGCACGGCAGGCGCAGCCAAACTCTCCTCTACACAGTACTGCAAAATGTCTATGTCTCCGCCTCCTCCGGACTTCAAGCAGCATCAGATGGGATCAAATATGCGATTCTCTTTTCCTAGGAGTCCATCTTTTGATCTCGTTCAATGTCGAATTCAAAGTTTCCTACCACGCGATTGTCATTTGCACTACTACACCAAGACGCTCCAATCCGCGTTTAAGCCACGCCAATCAGGGGCTGAAGACCAGAGACCCCTGTTTGGCTGTCCCTATCAGCACGTCGTCGAAGCTCTACTCAGCATCTGCTTCATACCGGAGGCCAAGGGCGTAGACTGGTGCAACCCTCCCTTTTCCTGACCGAGAACCAGCCTCGCATGGATGCCGGGTTCACCTATCCTAAAGGAGGGGGTTGGTTTGTTTCCGAATCTCACAGAAAGGGGGAGCCGATGAAGCTGCAGCTCGCGTCTCTGCACGTAACAGAATACACAAATGCCCGGCCTGTCTGTGTCAAGGTCCAAGCTCTGGCTGCAAGAAATGGTTATACTCAGAGGCGCTATCAGACATCTGCTAGAATTGAACAGATGACACGACACCCACTTTGCCTAACCTCGACTCTCCGCAAAACATCCCCATTCGGGAATATCGAGCCAACGTCTCGTCTGGTATCCAACTCCTGAGCTAGCCGGCGGCCATGAGACGCTAGGAGGGGTAACGAACTCTGACGGAGCCAACAAATGCAAGCAGATCACGCGCGCCACCACACACCTTACTGCACCCTATGCTGAATTGGCGCCATGTCGTGCTCCTAGAAATTGCCCCAATGTCGAATGCAAACCCGGCAGGAATCCATAGGATTTATGGTCGATGCTGCTCATAGGCCGGAAGCTTTGATGTCCACGTCTTCATGAAGAAGGAAGCGCAGTCGCATCCTGAGTAGGCTGCGTAGGTTCAAACCTCCAACGTCTCCTCCGTCTGCACACAGCTTGCATCGCAGCATTTGTATATGGCATATGTTTGGGATCAGCCATTCTGTCCAGACCCCGGAAGATGCGCCTCCCAGGATTCTCTCTGCAAGCCTCAGCCTAAATGGAATAGTCTTTCCAACTCCATGCGCTTTGGTCAACAACTGGCAGCGACTGGTAACAAGATTCACGGACTTGTCCTATCCAATTGGCCGTTAAGGGAGTCACCACTGACTACGACACTACTCTGTACAAGCGTTGCCCCAATGTCGTCAGACTAGTACGACTGGCGACTGGCCGAGAGGAGGGACAAGGTGGATGGTGCCGGGGCTATTTTTGCGCCAGGGGCATTACCCCGGATTCTCGACCGATTTTGACATTCGCGAACAATTACCCTTGTCACCCTGCTTGTCCCCCGCTCGTTTCAAAGAAGGGCGAATCGTGTTCAATCCGTCCAACGGATCCAGTACCACGCAAACTGAACCACGACCAGCCCAACCAAGAATGCGATACGCCGGATGACAATTTGATCAGATCGCGGCCCTTAGCACCAATGTCATCGGTAATCTAAGGGCCGACCCAAAGTGCATTGCAAATGCGTTTTATATCGCAAGGTTCAAAACGCGATGCAGGCTTGGAAGCTGAATCACCCGGAACGCCCCGGGCATGGCACGCGATCACCTCCCGGCAAACAAACACTGAGCTAGCCACTAGATCGAGGCACTGTGATATTGGCCCCGAGTTTGCGCAGTGTTTCTTCATATTACCCGTCTTGTTTGGCATCTTCGGTCTCGATCGAAAACGCCCTGCTTCCGTGAAACTAGCTGTCTAGCCATCCGGTGTATTCTTGACCTAGCTACTCTATGGTCCGTTTATCCTCCAACGGTCAACATGTCTCACATTCTCTGATGATCCCCACGTAACTCTGCATGACACAGTCTAGTTCACCGAATTGCCATCGTGAAGATGCAAGGTGAAAATACTTCCTGCAATAGTATCGAATGTTGCCCGTGACACTTCAACGTCATCAGACGCATAGCTGTGGACTGATTTTAGGATAACCTAGCCATGCGAAAGGAAAACTTTCCACGGCATGCAGCTTGACGTCTGCTGACCATGTGACCCCAACAGCCCGCCCCTCCTCGTGAAGCTAATTGATACGCTTCTCCATACAAGCATCCTTAACTACCTACGTTAACTTTTGGGCCACCATGGCCAGATATCGGGACGCTTGTCGTCCAAGTTTGGGGCCCTGCCATCGATACTTCCCTAGCTGCAGCTGGTGAAAATCCGGGGTACGCTAGATCAGACGTAAGGCATTGAGACACTGGCCGTTTCTGGGGATCCGTGCAAAACCAAGCAAGTGACAAAGCTGCGATATCTGGACAACCCTGGAGACATCGCGTAGATATTCTTTCCGACTAGTACAGCTATTGCATCAGACAGGTACTGGCAGCGTGCCAACCGACTTCAGGGCCTAGATTGGTCGGAAAACACGCATACGTTTATATCCCATTTGCTGTCGTTAGCAAACCAGAACAGTCTGGGACTAAAATTCAATCGCTTTCACATAAACTAGACCACGTTGCATCTGCCATGCCCCAATGGGAACTTTTGATGCGCATATGAGATCCCTAAATAATCAGGGTCTGTTGCTGATCTCGCGCACAGGGCTGTCGCTGGAAAAGCCACTGGTGACCGTGAGAGCCCCTTTGACACATGTCCAGCATGACCATGAGTAGAGGAGACGAGGTAAAAAGAGTACGTGAATTCAAACATTAGTCTCACGGCTCATTGTCCCGCCCCAGTGTAGCCAAGGGCAAAATGTTTAGTTGCTCGCGTAGTTTGGTTTTACAGTGTTTGTACATTTAATTCCAGCAGTAGAATTCAGCCAGGAACAGAGTCGAGTCCACCCTTTCCAAACGCAGACGGCGCTGCATCGGGTCCCTTTTGTGCTCGTAATTTCTGCTCGAACTTCTCGAACTCGGCCACGGCGATTTCCTCTTCAGGGTCTGTAACTTGGTGTACGCCCTTGACCTCCTCGATCTAGCGGATGTGTTAGTTGATAAGTTCATCAAAGACCTACTGTTGGCCGTAGCTCATGCCAGGGGTAGATGGCCAACTTACGTAGTGCATCAACATGCCCTCAATGCCGTTCTTCAGCGTCACAGTACTCGAATCACAAGTCCTGCACGCCCCACGCAGCTTCAAGCTCACATACCCCGTCTCCTCATCGAAGCCACGAAAATCTATATCCCCACCATCCTCCTGAATCGCAGGCCGTATCCGCGTCTCGAGCAGCTCCTTGATCATACCCACAACCTCGCTATCATTCTCATTATAGCTCAAACTGTCCTCCTCCTGATCGACCACCTGGCCCGCCTCGCCTCCTTCTTTCTGGCTGACCGTCACGAGCTGCTGCCCCGACGAAATGGCCTCGGTGATATGGCTGAAGACCTCGGGTCGGATGTGCGCCCAGTTCGCATCGGCATCTTTGGTGACCGTGATGAAGTCGGCGCCATAGAAAATAGACGTAACGCCCTCAATGTTCATGAGCTGCGCGGCGAGCGGAGAGGGGTATGGCGGCGCGATGGTGCTTCGTGGGTTCATGTACTCGATAAAGGACGCGGTAACCTCGGGGGGTAGGACCCGGTGGTTGGGGAGGAACTTGAGCGCATCGGCGTTGGGGGTATTCTCTGTTTGGATGAATATGCTTCTTGCGCCGGGGGGTGCAAAACCTGCTGTCCTCAATGCTATCGGCAGAATCGGCCGGGATATGGAGGAGGCACCTAGGGATCGTGCGCTCGTGTGGGCTTTGCGCGCGGCTTGGTATATTCGGCGACAAGTCGTCGATGGTGGTGCTTGCCTCGAGGCCGTTCCCAGCAAGGTGCTGGCGGGCCGGAGGATTCGTGCTGAGGATGGCATATTATCCGGCTCGGTCTATATCTGGGTTACGGGCAAAATTATCAATAATCGGCCTCGAAACCAGTTTGATTAAGAGTCATTTGTCGATGGAGAAGTAGACGTAGGTCAAGTTCGATGTCTGACTCCGAGCTGCGTTGCAAATCCCGGGGTATCTGCAAATCAAAATCGACGGCTTAGCAATCTTCGGCTATGACGCAAAATTTCCATAATTTTCTATCGGCCGGCCAAACGCGGAACTAATGTAGACTCGAACTCGAATCTTTCAAAGTGAGACAGCGCAAACAAATTTGCCAGACTTGTCCATTACTTGAGGCTCAAACGAGAGGTAGCTACAATTCATATTGAGAAAAGTCCCCTGTTACATATGTTACAAGCAGCGCTAACTTTTTTTTTCCCAGAAAACTCGAGTTTACCACCAAAACTTTTTGGAATAGCTGCCATCAGCGAGCGGATCAGTCGCTGCTCTCTCCGACTCTAGATACCCCCTGATCAGAGTATCTTTGGATCGCATTTGATCCCACTCGGTGTCAGAGTCTGTCCATTAGTTGCTAGACACAAGCTCGATGGTTAGATTTCGAGGTCAGCCGTCACATTGAATCTGAAGGAAAGCACCGCTGCTTTCATCAGGTTGCCATTGCCTCAGGGGCCAGCTCAGATTCATCCAGGTGACCTGATCAAGGAAACAACGGTGACTAGGTGCCCGCCAGACAATCATCGCAACTTCCTTTCTGGCTGGAAGTCAAAATCATTGTATTAACCGAAAAGTCGCAGGATCCAGTCTGAACTTGAAGCCGTGCTGAATTATACCAACATGAGTTGCTGTCGCGAGCAATAGTATTCATCTATAGGAGCAAGTTGCTTCAATAAGTTATATTTCCTCCATTTTCGCCGGGTTTTATGAACTCTTTCTCGACCAGTGCTATCAACAAACCGTTGGCAAGTCGATGCTCGTATATCACATAACAGATTATACCGGCAAGGACTTCATGGGTTATCAACAAGGTTAGCAACAGGACATATTGCCAAAGTGTTCCAACGAAAATGCAATGGCAAATCTCATTTACTCTACACTTCAAACCTTTCAGAGGTGCTGATGTTTTCCAGGGTTACTGCTAAATACGACAACTGTCATTAGGAACTAAAGTGGGACGCGTCGTGTTGTGCCTGGCGCGATACAACGCGTTGCTTTTTCAAGTCAACCACCTTCTGATAGCATAGTCAAAGGCAGGAGACCCCACCGCGTAGCGTCATAGTACGTTCATCTTCATTGTTCAACGGCTTTTGACGTCCTGGGTCGTCCGCTCCTTTTGTCCAACTGGAAGTTCCTTTGGTCACGTTGCGCCCTATCGACTACAACACCATACTTAAGGATCGGCAATCCCTGAACAACACCCAGCATTCTCCTCGGGAATTTGCAGCTTCTGAGACTACACCGCAAGCAAAATACCTTCATCGTGCATCATGTCGCCTACCGACAAGACCTGCGTGGCCTGCAAGGCCGTTGAGGGCAGGTACAAGTGCCCTACTTGCTCACAGTACACGTAAGTCTCCATCCGCCCTATTATCCAGTAAATTTCTTTCCTGACGTGTCATAGTTGTTCGGTACCATGCAACAAGGCCCACCGCGAGGGACACGCCGATGACCCGCAGCCCCAGCTTATCCCCAGCGACACCGTCCCTGATGAAGGTGGCGAAGTATCTGACGAGGACAAGTGGTTCCACAATAACATTAACAAGCTCTTCGCGAAATTCCCGACCTTGCAGTACCAGTTAGCCAGCATCCACGAGGCTACGGAGCCTCCCAGCGCTGATCACTCGAGACCTCATGGAATGAACTACTCGTCAAAGCCCAATCAAAAAAAGCAGCAGCCTTGGACCGCCGACATTGGCTTGGAGAACGGAATTAAGGCCCTGCGACACGCTCGCGACTCGGCCGAGGACGACGGCCTGGACGAGTACTGCGACCTTGTCAAGATCCATAATACTCGCAAGGCGGATGCTGCCGAGCGCCTGAGACGTAAGATGGGAGAGACCGACGCCGAGATCATTGCTCGACTTATCCGAGAAGAGGAGGAGCATGACCAGGTCCGATCCTAGGAAGATATTTCTGATCTTGGTCACGGTCGGGGCGTCAAACTACTCGAAAAGGACCACTCTGACGCGAACCAAGGCCAGACCAAAGTTCCATCTCCACATCTATGAGAGATAGATACTCGACATCCGTGTCAAAACGCAGCGCGTCGAGCAATGTCCCCCATCCCCATCAATATGCAAATACCCACACATGCATGATGGCTCCACCCCCACCATATGGTCAATTTCAACAACTCGCGCAATGAGATCGTCTGCCCATGTCCCTGAATGGCTCTGTTATCTTTGCTTCCACGTTGGCATTCGCTTCATCTAGACGTTGCGAGGAATTAAACTCGAACCAGCCTCCTTCTAGTACATATATGCACGTGCCGAAAGCACCAACAGATGTCAAGAATAACAAGCAAGCTACAATTTGGTGTGTTCTCCAACATGTCTCGTCGGTGAGACAAGTCCGAACTTACATGCATGGTAGAACCCTTTGGCAAGATGGCTCATATTATTCGATCGATCCGAGCTATTAACCGCCGAATTGGCAAAGGTCTGGCTGCCTAAAAAGTGAAGTATCAGAGCACTAGAGGCGATGCTTTTTGAGCTTTGATAACTCCAGGCCGTACGGATGATATTTTCACTGTTGGAGTAATCGAGGATAGATGACTAGTATATAATCGAATGAATGTCATTGCTTTTGCAAAGCTCTTGTACCCTGGTCGTGCTAACATTGAACTGCCCATGTGTAGTAACATTAAAGGAAACGAGACAGCAGCTCGTACTCTTGGTAGACCCCAGAAAAGCTCTCACATATCAGTACCACCTAACATTCCCTCGACATACAAATGTGACTACCATTGACTTCATTAAGTAGTCAGATATTAGTTCATAACCCACGAATCACCGTTTAAACCTCGCCAGGAACCCGAACCTCGGCGCCTTCACGCCAGGCGTAACCACTACCCTAGTCTCGTCTATCTTTTCAATTGTGACGGCGATCTTATCCTCATCCTTTCTACCCATCCCACTGATCTTTGCCCTTAAAGCCCATATCGAGTCCGCCCTCCTCAGCAGCGGGATCCTCGTACTGCTCTTACTTTTCTCCCGATGTTGCAACTGCACCTCCTCATCCCTCTGCGTCCAATCCACACGATGCTCATCCGCATCAGCACCAGCACCTGCGTCCATGGCCAACACCACCTCCGGAATACCCCCCAACACCCTCTCATCTCCAGACGAAACCTCCCGCGACAGTGGCGACGGCGGACTGTGTCCAAAATCCCCAACTTCCGTACTCTCAAGAATATCCGCAATACTCAATGGTTTTGGTCTCGCCGCCGCACTCCCGTGACGCCCCTTTTTCGAGGACGTCCTCCCGGGGATGGTATGCCTCTGTCTCAGATTCCCCAGGCTTATCCGCTCCCCCACTCCAGAGTCTTCTAGAGCTCGGGTCTGTTGGAACTGGTTCCGATCATGCAGTTTCTCGCGGTGGCTCTGCGCCCTCCTCAAGGCGCGCATCTGGTCTGAGGGCGACTTGCTCGAGTTGAGTTCCGCCTTTTCGGATGGTGAGCCTTCGGTGTAGAAGCGCAGCGCTTGCCGTGAGAGGCTGTGGATCTGGTTCGATCCGCGCATCTTGTCTGCGGTGGCGGTCCGGGCGAACTGGGCGGCTGCTTGCTGAGGGACGTGGTGGTAGAGCTGTTGTTCATCTGCTTCTTCTACTGGGTTGGACTGCAGCTTGGAGGGCTTGCGATGGAGTTTATCCCAGCCGCTTTTGGAGAGCGACCGGGTTAAGGTGCTGTCTGGGGATGTGGTGTTGCTGGTTTGCTTTCCTGGTGGTGATGTTGCGTCCTGCTGTGTGCTGGGTTTTACAATGGTTCGAGAAGCAGGCTTTGCGCTTTCGGGAAGGGTGGTGAAGATCTCTTTGCAACTCGTTACTTCTTGTTGGATTTCAGCGAGGCCGGCCTCTCCTCCCATGGCTTTCTTAGCCGCAGCTTCGGCCCTCGCGCGTCGTTTCTCCTCCTTCTGCGCATTTTGCTGCGAGAGAACTATGTAGAGCCGGCGGCGTAGATCCTCCGCATCGAACGGTTGTGATTTTTCCGTACGGTGTTTGCTGGGTTTCAACGATCCTGTCATTTGGCGATGGGCCAGTTCGTTGGCTGAGTGAGCCATCTTGAATTGCATGTTCGTGAGATTGGAGGTTGTCATGGGTTCGAGTATGACAGGCTCGATATGTGTATAAGTGGAATCCAAAAACCCCTTGAGTCAGGATCCCGAGACACGACAGGAGACTGTGACGCCAGCGCCGGTGTTGTGATCCGGACACGATGCAGGTGGTATCTCGTAATAGGGTGCGAGGGTGAGTAATGCAAAGTATATCGGCTTTGTTGTGCCTTAGTATCAACCTGTTTGCTTCGTAGGCAACCGGAAATTCTATGCATCCATGTTGGGGACACGACCGATCTACGCATCTAGCCTGTCTGACCGACCTGTGGAACAACGGCACAAGAGGAAGAAGAAGAAGAAGAGGAAAGAGAAACGGGAAAATGTCACGATGCAGAATCTGGTCCCCGCGAAAGGCAGAAAGCCACACCCTCCTTCCTTGAGAAAAAAGGGCATGGTTACAGTTACTACCTACCCCAGCCTGCCCAGCTGGTCAGGTGCCCCATTGGGCGGCTTGAGCAAACGTGCTTAACGGAATCCGGGGGACTGACAGGGCCCCGGGACGAAGCCATCCAAGCGACTTCTCTATGGTCAGTTGGCCATTTTAGTTCAGCATGGCTGTAAACGGGCAGGCTAGTCCGGCCGCTAACGCAGATTGCTACACCCAAAATGTCTTGCAGATGACTATTTGAGAAAGTCAACCGAAGTCCACCTTGGTTGTTTGCTTTGGCGCCGCCGCCACTTATTTTGTCAGAAGGCCGGATGGGATGCATGGTGGATGGTGTTCATTTAAATCAGAAGATGGATTTGGCAGCTGAGGCCAAAGTCAAACGCCCGTTGTAACCTTCGTCCTTCCGTGGGCGGGTGGGCTCTGCAGCGAGGTTGCTAGGTGGGTTTGCCCAGCGTTGTATTCGACTGTATCAGAAATTGATGGTGCACCCACGTTGAAGCGCGTCGAGAGCGGTTGAAGCGGCCGTGAGTAAAAACCTGCCCTGGACGCAATTCCCCTGACATGCAAACGGCAGGCCAATCGTGGCCCCTGTTCACCAAATACTAGGAACAAGGATTGCTCTTCCCGAGGGACAATCAGGAACGAAACACGCGGTTTGTCGTGGTTGAATGGCGCGAGCGCCGTCGCGAATCTCCTCTTGCTGACTCCTCTCCAGGATGCGAGCGTCGGGAACGTATACCCGCAGACCCAAGAAAGGCTTTGCAAGCGAGGCAAAACGTCCGAGTTGCCTTCTTGATCTTGATGAACCGTTGGCGTCTGCAGTGGCCCGCGCCTCCCCACACGATCGATCGCGCTGGGGCTTGGCCCAACCACGGAGAAATTCACCCATTCACCGTGCTGCTGGCAGGTGACACGGCGCACAGCTGTTGTGTAAGATCCAATGTCGAAACCACCAAGCGCGGGAGATGTCCAATGCGAAGACATCCTCATGTTTGTTTTACCGCCCTTTCGATGGGGTTTACAGCCAATTCCCGGTAGCAATTCCTCGCCTGGATGCGACACCCGCCAATGTTGCAGTCAACCCATGAGGGTCCGATATTGGGCGTACATTCCGCCGGTCGCTATTGCATCGGCCGCAGCTGGGGCAGCTTGCAATGCTTGGCGCCATAGCGAATGTTACTCTTCCACATAATGTCATGACTGGCTTTTCCCCCATATCCTCCTATGTTGGCCCATACCAATCTGTTACCACGTACGCAGCACCCAAGCACTACACTATGAGGAGCCGTCCACTCTGAGCAATTCGCGATCCCCACGACGCCACTGGAAGCGCCACTGGAACGAACAAGTCACCACCTGCCGAAATAGAATACGTGTAACATGGTAAAGAACCGTTGCTTTTCTTCAAGCTCAAGTTACACCAGACATCATGTATCGTGGCACGGGGCGGAGAGGCAATACTTTGTCTCAGATCTCCAATCTTTCATGGAATGTCGCAGCCGTCACCGCTGGAGATCTGGAGTGACTTGGCAACTTGGTTAGATCGGGTTATGTCGAGTTGCAAGACATCCTTTGGTCACTTCGGGATGTGGCATCACAACAAATCCTTGCCAAGACGACTATTTGGTGCCTGGTCAACATGACCGGAAAGTAGCCCGGAATACAGCAACAAATAGTCGAGCAACATACTTCTGAATCCTGTCCCTCTTCCGGCATCCGCCCTTAGCACGCAAGTTCAACAAGTCAAGTTCATCAACGCCAGCCCCGGTGCGCTGCACCATGCCAGCGGCAATCCCAGCCGCTAATGACGACAGCTGTCCAGTTGGCAGTGGTGCTGTACTGTTGTACCGTTGTACTGTTTGTGCATCTGCATTCAATGCCGCCTGCAAAACTGCAATCCTCACTGGCGTCGCTTATTGGACCTGCAGCGAGGCCTGTCAATTTCGACGTAATACGAGTTATTGCATTCATACTCGGGTGAGTCCCGGCCGGAGGATGTTCCTACATGCTCGTTACCATGAGCTGGAGACATCAATGAAGTAGGGCGTCTTGGCTGAAGAAGTAGTTTGTTCCGTGGACTGAATAGTTGTTCCACGGCGTGTAAGCCACTGTTCTACGGCCATTCGCTTACGGCCATTCGCTTCCGACATAGGTGGTAGGTTTCGAAGTTATTGGGCTTCCCATCCTAACGTTCCAATTACATTACAATGTTAATTACTCAACCAGTTTACGTTGCGCGCCTAATCGAGCGTCGGATGCCGGTATTTAATTGCAATTCGGGTACGGACTGGGTTCGGTTCATCGCACGATAGCGGGTAGTTACTGACGCCTCACTAGGAATGGCGTGGCATTGCATGAGAAACATTATAGGACAGAGCTGGTTCCGGTGTGGCGGGTATGCCGGACCTACAAGAATTGGGATCAGTAGTCGATGAAGGTGTACAACAAGAGTCCGTGACAGAACCACTCGGAAAGCGCCCGAAATCAGTTGACCATACAGTGGCGATTGACTTCTCCAATGGCTCAGGTGGCTTGATTCGAGTAGGTTCATCGCCGGTCTTTTAGACTATTGTCTCCACAATGTATCGTGGTGTTAATCAGTGGTTTGTACTCTTTTAGCCACGCATCTTACTTAATTAATCCAACGTGCTATTAAGACATCTGAATAATCTTCAAGCCAGACTCGATTGTTCGGGGACAATAGCGCTGAGACCGAGTTCCCGAGAAAGATTAAAAATAAGATATATTGCACTTCGCTTTCATTACTCTCATATTCCGGGAAGGAAATGAAAAAGGTCACAAAAAAGCTCTCGATCCGGGAATTGAACCCGGGTCCCGGGCGTGACAAGCCCGTATACTGACCACTATACTAATCGAGATTTATTGGATGAAAGGAAGGGACGAAAGTTAGCATTGTATTGCTTAGTTTGCCCCCAGAGTCTAGGGTTTTCTTAGTCTCTCAGCCCCGCTTCAAATTAACTTGAACCAAGCACAACCCAACCTACACACCTCGAGATCTCTATAGAGAGGTCTATGTTTACGTAGTATATACATTGCGTTGAGTTCTTACGACCTGTTTATATAGGATTGCTGTATTATCTGTACCTGTTTGCAGTTCGAGACAGTGAGATGCTCGACAAGGTGGAGCACTCATACGCCTTTACATGCGTATGCAAATATGCAGCCTCAAATGGCCGAGCTGATACAACACTACCATTGAAAACAGTCACCAACTTATAGCACTCGAAGCAAACTGAACGGTACATGAAGTAACTCTTACTTCGTCTTCCTAAATACAGAACGATTGCAAGTGTGATAAGGTAGACTGCACAGACGACCTGATAATGTATAATACAATCGTAATCGGAAAGCCCTCTGAACCATCATATACCGTTACTACACCAACGTCTCCCATCCCGGTGTCGGTCTGGGACCCCCCTTAGACTTCCTCTCCCCCTCGGCCCCTGTCGCCTTCCAGGCACTCACAATCAAGTTCACGATGTGCTCAACGCCCACTCCCTTCTTGACCTGCGCAAACACCGTCGGGCCGCCCTCCCTCATCTTCCTCGCATCCCTCTCCATGACATCCAAATCCGCCCCGACCGCCTCCGCAAGGTCCGTCTTATTGACTACCAACAAATCGCTCTGCGTGATCCCCGGGCCACCCTTGCGCGGGATCTTGTCCCCGCCGCTGACGTCGATAACATAGACGATGTAATCAGCGAGCTCGCGCGAGTAGTTGGCGGCCAGGTTGTCGCCCCCGGACTCAATGAGCAGCATGTCGGAGCTGAACTCGGCGTGCAGGTCCTCGAGCGCTGCCAGGTTGGCCGAGATGTCCTCGCGCACGGCGGCGTGCGGGCACCCGCCCGTCTCGATGGCGCGGATGCGGGGAGCCGGCAAAGCCTTGTTCTTGGTGAGAAACTCGGCGTCTTCGCGCGTGAAGATGTCGTTCGTCACGGCGGCTATCGAGTACTTTTCGCGCAGGGCCAGGCAGAGGGCGAGCATGAGCGCGGTTTTGCCGGAGCCGACGGGGCTAGCGGGCGTTGTTAGCGTTGGTACTTGAAGAGCTGTGACACATGATGTGCTTGAACATGAGATATCGACAAGCATCACAATATCCCGCTTGGGATACGTGTTACGGTCCGCTCGGATAGACTCACCCGCCAATGCCAACGGTGAAAGCTCGCTCACTCCAGTTTCGTCCTTCAACTATGGGCATCTCGCGTCCTAGATAGCTTCCAGGCCCATCGAGAATCTCATGTGAGTGACCATGGTCGGCAACTGAGAAGCTGTCGTGGGAATGAGAGTGGCCGCCCACCTCGTCATGAGAGTGAGAATGCGCCATTCTGACGAGTGACTGTCCATGGTTAGCTGCATTGTGAGGATGGTAGTACTAGCCACTAACAGTTGTGGTTCTTAGCTGTCGGGGTGACCTATAGCGATCTGTGTACTGCAATAAGACTTAAAGACGGATGAGCTGGTTTGACGAGCTTCATCAAATCCAACTCATGGGGTAAATAAAGTATTGCAAGGTGGGGGGTGAATGAGGGGTCGGTCGCCGCTGCACTGAGTCTTTCAAAACTCGCTCACTTGCGACATTGGTCGATTCAACTGGGAAGTAATCGGAAGCTGCGACCAGTGGCTCGTCGACTACCTAGCAATTGCCTCAATATTCATGAACTCATTGCGGTAGAGTTATCAGCTAGTCATTAAGCCCACCATTGTATGGTCCTTCTACTTTGGCATCTCTTCCAAATAGATGAATAAGATACTGGCTTACAGAAATACTGCATGATACTTAACTACATAACTGGATTGATGCATTGCATCTGCATAACCCTCCAGGAATCGTCATTCAGCAAGCTCCTTAACCCATGTTCTCATGTCTCAACTTCCTCTACATAACAGCACAAAAGAACAGAAGCTCGTAACGTGTATGCTTGCACAGCCTGCCACCTCAAGAGAAACCTGTAGCTCCGAAATCTCATCTTCGCCGAGCACAAATATGCTAGTCACACTTGGGCTTCTGTCTGGAATACAAGACATGCCTCACTCGTACCAGGATACTAGTCTCAGTCCCGGATACTAAGCTGGCATGAACCTTCAAGAATAGTAAGTGCGACCGAACCACGACCTGCCTAATTTCCAAGAGACCGGCCGTGGGCAAAACTCCTCAACAACGTCCCTTTCAAGTCCCCTCTTACTCCACGCACGGTTCTTCATATCTATAACAGTAAGGCCCAGCCGTGGGGTTCTTGACTTGATCAAGTGTAACCGGCTCCCCCATAAAGCCAAATTCCATAACACTCGCGGCAGACACCTCAACCCCTCCCTCATTGAATATTCTATCCGTCCCATTCCACTGGTCTCTTCTCCCCTCCCCACCCGACTGCCACTTATTCCATAGGTAATCCAGCCCCGTATGATGGAGATAGAATACGGGATCCTGCGGCGAACCAAAGGGATCATGCATCGTCATGCCCACAGCGACATGGCCCGCCTCGTGCATGCCATATACCGCCTTGTAACTATCCGTCCAGTTCTGGAACCCTTCGATGTCTGGCTGGCTCAGCGCCGTATCGATCCGTTCCTGGTTCAGTAGCGTGCGCAATGACAGGTCATTCAAGTCGCGATCCAGACAATGCGGGTCTGGCTCCGTCCAGTTGTCCGGCAGACCGCTGGGGATGAAGCCAAACCCGAGGAACATGATGTTCAGGTTCAAGTTGGCAAAGGGTCCCGTGAAGACACAGCCGCCGCCAGTACCATGCGGGAATGTCCCGCCATCCGCCGTCGGGATATCCCCCTGCTCAGGTAGATATTCGCCATTCCCACCAAGACTATATTCACTGCCATCAAACAGCGCACTCTCCTCAAGCGGCCGGTCTGCATACAGCGGCCAATGCCAGTACGGCAATCCCAGGTAAGCTGGGTAACCACATTGCTCGTGGAGGGCCGTCTCGAAGAGGAACAGGTGGTGTCGGTGCCACGAGAAGAAGAGGCCATCGAAGTGCATTGTCGTCGTGTAGTTGATATGCACGGCGGCGAAGTCGGCAAAGAGCGAGTCGCTCGCCGGGAGATCGGGCGTGATGGCGGGGAGTGAGAGCATACACAAGACGGCGTCGATGTAGGCTTTACGCTCCGCTAGGGTGAGAGAGCTCCATTCTTTGCGGACTATGGCGTTTTCTTGGGTGCATATGTCGCCGTACGCGGCTGAAACGGTGATGGCGTGGATGGCGAGTAGCCAAGTGAAGAAGCTAAGAAGGGGCATATTGTAAATGGTCGTGTTCGAGAGTGCCTGTAAGTGTGTATCACTTGAGGCGAAGCCACCGCTGGATGAAGCGTATCGTCGTCGGGAGGGGGATTAGGGGCGGTAATATGAGGAACCCGGTGGCCATCTTGCCCAGAGGCCATGTAGGCTGATCGGAATCGTGTGACGATATCATTTGCGAAGGCTGACTGCGCTGCTGTGCGCGCTATGAGTAAGAGAGGCGAGGTATTGGTTAGTGAACTGCATAAGCATGCAGACCCTACTGTGGAATATAAAGTGCTATCCATATCAAGGCAAACATCAGACTCTCAGTATGTGACCTGCGTGCCCCAGGATAGACTTTTATTCCAGAACACCAAACTCTGAATATATGATCTGCATGCCTACTATACCGAGACCACCATCAAACTGATGGTTTAGAAACCGCGGGTATACAATAGATTAGTACATCACGAAAAACAACAAATTCCATGACCAAGTCCAAATACGCATTTATTTTCGCCTCGGCCTATTGAGAGCTTCCTCGTACGACTATCCAAGTTCCCGAGCAAGGGACACGGCATGTATCAACCTTGTAAAGGGGTCGTGTACCACGCTGTCGGTACTTCAACCACACCCAACAATAGGCCAGCAAGCGAAGCAAGGGCGAAAAGCGGTGCCGCAGTTGGGCAAGCCCCGAAAGTAATAACCCGGGATGCGGAGTGCGTTGTTTGTCACCCGGCCGATGAAAGTTTCCCAGAAATTGTTTTTGTCATTCATTCGTGAAACCTCTATGCTGATGTAGCAGTAGCCCTTGCCAGGCCGATCTATCTGGTATCCTCGTCTTAAACAGTTCCACACGTTCGTGCCTCCAGTAGAGGCGCATCTAATGGTCTTGCACTTCGCGGCCATACCCGTTTGTACAGACTCACACCAACACTGTCCTGCGGGTTGATCTTCCCATCAAATGTGGCCTTGAAGTACCCGTGGGTACCAAGCGCTTCCCTAATGAAACCACTACGGCCACGCTTCGTCCACATTGGCAACGCCTTGAACCATTCCACATCTTCCCAGTTGAAGAACATATACCGAATGGTGACAATCTTCTTGTGGATATGATATGGGTGACCTGTGAGGACAACCCGTTTCGCAACTACTCTCGAGGTTGACGGCGCGCGCGCTGTTCCCGTAGCCACAAGTTGCAAAGGCAGTTCGGACCCAGCACCCTCTTCTAATTGAATTTCTTCTCCCCTAGGGATTGTTCGTTTGAAGAACAGCGTGGGCACAGCGCCCCACGTGATGGGACCCATGAATGACGCAACTGCGGATTGACCTGGGTGAAGGAACCTACAGAACTTGTGCACGTCGTTCTCGGTGTTGCCGCCCATGGAGAATAGGGGGTTGATGATGAAGCGTCGAGGGCCACATTGTACAATTAACTCCTCCTTCGCCTTAATCGACTGCTCGTAGTCTTCCTTGTGGGTGACATCGAAGTTAAGAGATGTCTTCTTGTTCTCATGTCGAAGCAACGAGAAAAGTGTAATAGGCTGGGAAGGCTTGTACGTCTTCTGAAGCTCCATGGGCACTGCTTTTAGATAAACGTGCACCCGTGTGCCTGGGGTGACACCGCCGACGAGTGCTTCGTTTATTGCACGGTTTCGGGAGGACTTATAGTCTGATATCTGCAACAACCTCGACCATTCCTCCGGCTGAAATGGTCGGTCCTCCTCAGTATTCCAGGGACTTGTCCGCAAACTCTTCAATCCTCTGTATTTGGCAAGTCGTTCTCTCGCAAGGACGTGGGGATGTAGCTCAATCTCGTCGGGGAACTCCATATCTTCCTCTGCTTCATCATGTTTCCTGGCACGATATGCTGCAAGTTGTTGTGCGTCATCATCTTCATCCAGCTCTTCAAACCTTTCTGATTGTGGATATTCCGACATCGCCACTTCGGTTGGTTCAGGAGCAGCCATGCCCTCGATCCCATCCTCGGGGCCCGCTTGCATGGGCTCTTCTGGAGCATCCTGCATGTCTTCGTCATCCATGTCTGATTCGGAGTCGGACACATCTTCCAGGTACCAAGCCGCTTGGTAGTTTGAGGTTCCTTTCGGCAGCTTCTTTGGTTGGGCAGGCTTTGACTCTTCGTCTTCCGAAAAGTAATGATGGTCATCGAGCAAAACACCCTTTTGAGCTGTCGTTGCAATGGATGCTGTGTCGGCATCCATGTCCTCCATGACGACTTCTTCAGGGGCCAGTTCGGCAAGATCATCTTGGTCTTCTCCCGGCGTCTCTAAGATGTTCTCGGCTTCGACCTCGTCCACGGCCATATCGCCATCACCCCTCTTCTTCGTTGCAAGAGGTGCAGCTGTGATCTTCTCAATCTGGAATGTGCCCCAGTCTCCCACGTGAACCAGGCGGTCGGCTTTGAGACCTTTGCCACGAACAACACCGGTGATGACCGTCGAACTCGAAGGAGAAGTTGGCCATTCGATCCCATCTGCGAGCATCCAGCTCCTTTGGTCTCGCCAGTAAATACCTTTTGGTGTTGTGCCGCACAGCGATCTCATCAGGTTAGAGCATTCTTGTCTCGCGTCGAGGCTGTAAATCCTGTCTTGGTCGGGGTGAAAGTGTGTCATGAAGGAAACCAGCGACTTTACTACATCGGGTCTTGCCTTGGCGGGCTGGATCTGGTCCAGGTTCTGCACAACGGTGAAGCATGTTGACATGCCCTGGTTCTCAACACATCGAATGATTAGCTCGCCCAATGGGTCAACCTCTTGCTCGGCAGATAGTAGAAAGATAACAAAGTCCGCTACGCGAGCGGCGTCCATGCATGCTGTGAGGTCCCGCTTCAATGGCACGTATTGCAACTTTTGCTTGAATCGGTCGACAGATACTCGGAAGCTGATGTCGACGACCTCGGAATCGATATCTAGACTACCGTTGAGGCTCTTGATGGCTGCTGAGACATCCCCATTGGCGCATAGCGGGATTACCGCAACGATTCGTGGAGCTCCATCGCGGCCCTTGAATACCAATACGTCTTTCTCATGGTCTTTGGTTTTCTGCAGCTGGCGCTGCTTGGCCTGGTTTCGTCGGTCGATTTTAGACATGACTTGTTGGTGGGGGGTCTTGCGCTGCCCTTTTTCGTTGGGGACTTTGCCTATTCACGAAGTGTTGTTAGTGTTGGGAGTCTGAAAGTAATGCAAACTTGACTTATAGGTTTGTGCTTCAGAGTTACCGACGCGGTTTGCCGTTTGTCGTACCTTTGGATAATTCTCGAAGAGCGCCCTTGGTTGCCTTTTTTGACTTGAAGGCCTTATGGGAGACTTTGCTCGTTGGCCGATGAGAATGGCCGCCCACTGCGGAAGGCATGTTGCCGTCGCCTCCTGCTTTGAATCTAAACGGTAATGACGCCACCTTGAATCGATCTTTCTGCGTAACAAAATGAATTACTGCAGTTGCATATAGTATCTGTCAAAAGTTCGAAGTTGGAAGGAGGGGCAACAAATTCCAGCGTTTGTGCGCCTTATCGCTGGACTTTTTGGTACTATCGAAAAATGCGATAGGGAATTGTCATGGGCTAACCCCTGCATAGCCCCACTATCCGGCCTTATCGCATTCTGGGATCTCAAAAATTTCTAGAGCAACACTGGCTTGGCAAGCTGCTCTCAAGGAAAGCATTTCGAGAGCATAGGATAACCCCGTCCCCACGCCCAGCTGTAAAGTGAAACACTGACCAGCCACATCTCTGACTATCAAGTATTACGAGTCGCCGGCCTTTACCTTGAATCCTACGAGTGGCGCCCGACGACATGGATATCGACGAGCTTGAGGTCGCAGAGAGGCCGTCGGCCAAGGCCCACGACAATGGCGCAGTCACAGTCAAGCGCGCCAGAACCGGACTAATCTCCAAACAAGAGCTTGAGAAGCGCAGGAAGCATGCTCAGGCTCAGCGAGACTATGGGCGGGGGAAACAAATTCCGGTCAAGGGGATCAAAGACAAGAAGCTTCGAAGAAGTTTGAAGGCGGTCGAGTCCAAGTACAAAGACGCGGCAATCAAGGCCAAAGATGCAGAGATCTTGCTTGAACACACCAGTGGGTTCTTAGAGCCGGAGACAGAGCTCGAGCGAACGTACCGAGTCCGCCAAGACGAGATCCAAGCGAGTGTGTCGACTGAGAATCGCAACAAAAAGTTCGACTTGAAACTAGATCAACTCGGGCCGTATATCTTCGAATTCTCACGGACAGGTCGAGAAATCCTGCTAGGAGGTCGCAAGGGCCATGTGGCGACAATGGACTGGCGGCAAGGCACCCTAGGCTGCGAGCTGCAATTGGGAGAGAAAATAAATGATGTACAATGGCTTCACAATAGCCAGTACTTTGCAGTAGCCCAAAAGAAGTACGTCTACATATACGACAGGCAAGGTGTGGAATTGCATTGTCTCAGGAAACACCGCGACGTAACATCGATGACTTTCCTCCCACACCACTTTCTGCTGGCTACACTGGTAAGTTGATGCTGTGCTCTTGAGTCTTCGGTGCTGATGCTTAATACAGGGGCAAAGTGGTCATCTCAAGTACCAGGACGTGTCGACCGGTCAATTAGTGACAGAGCTACACACCAAGCTGGGGCCGCCAGTATCGCTCGCGCAAAACCCCTATAACGCTGTGTGTCATGTAGGCCATGGGAACGGCACAGTCACACTATGGTCGCCTAACTCAACAGAACCACTGGTAAAACTGCTCGCGCATAATGGGCCTGTACGGTCAATCGCCGTGGACCGAGAAGGCCGATACATGGTTTCAACAGGACAGGATCGGAAAATGGCAGTTTGGGACATCAGGATGTTCAAGCAAGTGAACAGTTACTTCAACCGTGCGCCTGCTTCTTCTGTCGCCATTTCCGATACAGGCTTGACTTCAGTAGGATGGAACACGAGCGTCACCATCTGGAAGGATCTTTTCCAAAAAAACAAAGCAGACCAAGAGAAGGTGCAAAGTCCGTACATGACTTGGGGCGGTGAAGGGAATGCGGTCGAAAGAGTCAGATGGTGTCCATTTGAGGATTCTCTCGGAATCTCTCATGATTCCGGTTACAGTTCCATTATTGTTCCGGGAGCTGCCGAGGCCAACTACGACGCGCTCGAGGTCAATCCTCTCGAAACCGCCAAACAACGACAAGAAACCGAGGTCAGGAGCTTACTCAACAAGCTACAGCCAGAGATGATTGCTTTGGATCCCAACTTCATCGGTAACTTAGATCTGCGTTCCGAGCAGCAGCGCAAGGCAGAGAAGGACTTGGATGCTAAGCCCGTCGACATTGAAACCGAAATCAGGAATCGGGCTCGGGGCAAGAATTCGGCTCTTCGCAAGTACCTGAGGAAACAACGATCAAAGAATGTAATTGACGAGAAGAGGCTTAAGGTAGAAGAACTGTGGAAGGAGCAGCAACAACAGAGCCAAGAGAAACACCAGGAAAAGACAGCTGAGCTTGGTCCAGCTCTGGGAAGATTTGCTAGACGTGAGTAGAAATCTGTGCTTTGGTATCAAGTCGAGCACAACCCATAATCAATATACCCATTGTGGCATAAGTTGCCACTAAAATAAATGAATCGACCATTTACTCGTATACATAATAGAAAGGCCCTGCGATCGTGTCTATCAACTATTTCAGCTTGCGCAGCCCAATCAACGGCGTCAAGTCAAGAACATCGTTGAATGTAGCGTTGGCGCTTTGGTGTGTCGTATATCGTTCTCTACTACCGGCGATATTTTGGCAGTAGACACGTTGGTCGTTCCACACTGCGGATGGCAGCATGGGAATTTTCGTTGCGATATGAGTAACCTACTTGCCGGTTGTACTAATCCTGGTTCTGCCAATCTGTCGACCTGACTGTGGTGCAGATACTTTACTACCAGTTAGCCCATGATCAGCACGAAACGGGTTTGGAAATGCTTACAGATTCAAGAGGACTAAAGAAGAAATCAACTCCAGGGTCGCCACCTGGAGAATACAATCAGCATATGGCATGACACCATGCGTGTCGTGCTCATCATGGACTGACTGATAGCAACGTGCCCACCACCGTGGACAGCCATTCCGAGATTTGTAGACTCTTTGTGACGGAAATCGCCGAGCAGAATTGCGTGGAACAGCTAGAAGTTGGGACTATTAAAAATTGCCTGTGTAGTGCTCTGCAGAGGCCTACCAGGTAGTGTTGATGTCTCGTTTGAGACAGCGAAGACTGTGATTCAGGGGGCACGCCGCAGTGATGTGACCTAAAGTTGACGATGGAGTTGGAAAGGGGACCCCTTTTGACACACCAGCCTCCCTGCTATAACGACATTCAGTGCTTGCGATATTTTAATAGACTCAACTTGAACAAGAGACTGATTGAAACGTATTGTGCCTGGCTTGGCGCCAAATAGGGGACCAATCGACGTGTTGTTAGTCTTGACGCCACTGCTGCCCACGGAGATCTCGCATCTATCGAATACTGGCGACTTTTCCAATATCGGCAGCGTCGAGACTCCGTTCCGAATATGACATCGCACGTTGTTTCCTTCGTCAACTTGCCATCCACGTAATGAAGCGCGGGATTGCAGACCGGTGTAACTGCACTGTTCTCGGTTTCTCCTCGTACGTATGAGAAGCCTACTTTTCCAAAGTAAATCTGTTTTGGATTTGAAGAGATTGGAAGAACCCGGCTGAGTTATGGACGGGGAGTTTCCTCCTGGAAATGCTGGGTTAGTAACAAGTCCCTCAGGGTGGTTACTGAGGGAGTGTGCCATTGTTTCCATATCCTTGTATGGTTTTTTGTACACTTCGAGGTTCCGCTGGCTATTCGACTCGTGGCATTGTCGTACGCGATTCTGCTGAAGTTGGTCAGTCTCTTGGCAGAGTCTATATTAGCCTGGGGTTACGATGCAGCGGTGGCAAGTCTGGATAGAACCGCCACACCGATGAGGGATATTAGAGCTTGATTCACAGGATGTGGGCGTTGTCATCGGTGCTCTGCTGGACTAGCCATGGAAACCCTCTTTCATATGGTTAATCTGGCAACTTTATGTCGAGACTTTTGCTCACTCGAGAAGCAAAAGCCAACACCCTATCAATTTCCACAAGCTCCCTCCCGTACACCGACATCATGAGGAAAGCGGAGACGTACCGGGCCGCAGCGTTCATGGTGCAGGCTGAAAGCCACTGTGCTAGGTATTTTCAGCTGTTTTGTGCACAGTTCCGAAGTCGACTTCTTCATTCGCCTACGAGATACAAGAGACGATCCTTATACCCTAGCCCAACACCAGCACTTCTCGAGTCATTACTACAGGCTGAATAGACCCCGTGATTCTACACAGGCACTTAGAACATCGATACACCGACTTTACTGATACGCAACACATTCGTATACAAGAAGGGCTCTCCTTCCATAATTGGCCATTAAAATTCATCAGGAACGAGATACCCGGTAGATATTCCCAACTCGCTTGATACGCAACCCAGATTTTGGACATATATCGGGACACGCCAAGCGACGACCCCCGCCTATAATAGGGGCTACATGCAGGCAAGTCCACAGTATTCCCAAGTTGCCAGTGATAACTCTCCCAAACAATCAACGAACCTTACTTGAGTTCAGGCACTGAGCCCTGAATAATCGATAAGGGTAGCTTCAATGTCACCTCCGCCGACTATTTTGAGTATGTTACTGAAATTCGGGACTTCTTGAATTCTTGAAGGCGGCACTGAGAGGAGCTACTATGCCGAAACCAACCGGAAGCAACCGATTCTGGTGACCTCAAGTCCCGACAACATCATGATATCTTTCTGCAGGTCGTTTCGTGACAAAGGACGTCCATCCCCACAACAAAAGAAGCTAATAACCTCCTTTGTTCTTGAAGCTCTTGCTAAGCTACTACACACACACGGCAACCCTCTGTGGACCCCCTCCCGATACTGTGGTTTTCATGTTATATCAGGAACTGACCAAGGTGACAAAGGTGACATAAGTTGTTCCAAATACGCCAAGACTTGGGAACGCCCCCTTTTTCGATTTCAAGGTCATAGTTACACACTCGGATTGATGTGATAGGAATTCAATCCGCCTAACAGGTAGGGGGTTGAGCTCCATTTTGGGTGCAAAAGCCATTCATAATTCGGCTCACAAACCGGTTTCATCAATATATCTCTGATTTTAATAGATAATTCCAGGCTAAAGTTGGGAATTTGGGATGTTGCCGTAGCCCTGTCTTCTTGACTATTTCTTCACTTTCATATTTCTGCGGATCCTCACTCGCCACTGAACATAGGCTTACGAAAATGGTTGAAATTCCCACAATCTTATCATCATCCTCCAAATTAGCCAGTCACAATAAGGTGATTTCTCCACATAACCATGAATTTCATAGATTCCAGGGCTGCGGGGCCGACAGGAAAACTCACACAGCAAATAGCATAAACTCCCACTTGAAAGTGTTGGATCAAGTAAGAATCTAATCACTTGGATTTCCAACCAATCATATGCGGCAAGATGGCCGAGCGGTCTAAGGCGATGCACTCAAGAGATCTTCTCTTAGCCCTACCTACAATGGGCTCGTATTGCATTCTCGCAAGAGGCGTGGGTTCGAATCCCACTCTTGTCAATGTTTTGGTTGTGCTTTTAGACAATGCCCATTCTTCGCAACGAGCATTGTTGATTTTTTGTTGGCAGGGTGGCGCAAGTTGCGCCAGTGTTCTCTCCTTCCTTTTCTTTTCCTTTCTTTTTGCTATCAAGCAATACCGAGCCAAGCTATTTATTTGCCCTTGACAGCAATAGCGACAGAGGGATCACAAACGTGTCGACAATATGGCAAACAATGACGGCTGAGCAAGAAGTTCACTGGACTGACGGACCCTTGAAGCAGGTGCCCGCCCTCCTGAATGTGTATTTATCATTAGTACTGCTGTGGTAGGGGATACCACCAAATGTTCATGACACGGGATTCTTAAACAATTAATCAATTCTAGCAGAATCTCCCATGCCCTCTATGGAGCACTCTTCTACATGTACTCTTCAGACGGTCTGCGCCAGAATATCCCGCCTCATTTTTTTCGCCAAACTGCGCATGTTCAAGGTGAAGTGCTTGTGTATATAAGCCGTCTCCATGACAATCATCTCAAGGGGTGGCCTTGCTCATGGAGATCAAACGCTTGACACCAACCTATTTTCACATTAGTCGTTTATCAGACAGTGTCACAGGACTTGTGCTCACCATCCAGGTACCACACTCTTCCGTCTTGTCTCGCTGGAGTTCGACCTGCATTTTTTGCGCCTCAGGGTAGTTCTTTCCTTCTAAGGCAAGGGCTAACTGAGTCAACTGGTCAATAGTGTCCGGCTTAACAAGTTCTTCATTGTTCAGATGATCAAGCAAAATGCTGATTCGTTTCTGTGTGTCCTTGACTTGCGGTGCGAATGAAGCAGGAGCCTTGGAAGCTACTCGCTGCATATCGCGGTTCAAGATGTCCACCAGTTGCTGCGCACTGGCGGGGATATGGGAACGGTCACCAGGTGGGTACTTCGATTTTGCTGGGGTTGCAGCTCGAGGAGGCGCCGGTGCGGGAGATGCCGTGGCGCCCCTTGCCTTCGGAGGACCAGCAGGAGGAGGACCCGCGGAAGGTGGCCCTTGTTGGGCCTGAGCTCCGAACGACGAAGGTGCATATTGACTCTGGGACGACGTAGCTGGCGGGGCCGGTGCATATGGATTCCCATGTGGCGGGCGGTTTCCGGAAGGTGCGAAGCCTGGTTGTTGGGGAGGCTGGGTACCTTGCGGCGTCGGCGCCGGAGCATATCGGTTGGACGGCGGTCCGGCGCTCGTAGAAGCATTATATGGCGATAAATTCCTGCCCACCACATTTGCCATTGGAGGCGGCACTCCCGGGCCGCCTCCAGGTCCTTGTGACGATGGAGATGGCGCATAGGCATTCGCTGCAGCTGAGCCTGGTCGTGGTGGAGTTGGCAGCTGGCCAGCTTGCGGCGGGCCACCAAGAGGCGACATCACTCTTTGTTGAGGCGGTCCCTTTGGAGGCGGCGGAGGAGGGGTGCCCATGCCTCGGTGACTACCATAGGGACTCTGAGGAGGAGGGGGCATGTTAGCACCAGCTTGGTTGGTAAACGGGGAGGCCGTCGTGTTAGGCGTAGCCCTTCTTTGCGGCTGTTTCGACGGGACCAACGGTACGTCATTCCAGTTGCCTACATCCTTCAAGGCAGACCTTGACGGAGGGGGCATGGAAGGAGTCGAGCTTTTCGGAAGGGCACCGAAATTTTGAGCGGGAGGTCCGTAACCTGCGTTGGCGGGCCCGAAGTTACCCGGTTGCTGCGGCGCAGTTGGTTGATATCCTACACCTGCAGGAGCATATGGGCTGCCAGTGGGTTGAGGAGCGGCAGGCGCATACGGATTGCCCGTCGTCTGGGGTGCTGTGGGGCCATACGGACTGGCGGTAGTTTGTGGCCCATAGGGGTTTGAAGGGAGGTTCGGGACAGCACGAGCCCCGTAAGGATTAACGGGACTGATTCCTGGCTGTGCAGTACGAGGAGCTTGGTAGGGTAGGGTGGTTGATGCACGTGAAGCTGTGCGCGTGGTGTTTATCACGGGTTGGGTGACCTTCTTCGTGGTCGCCTGTTTGAGTCGGTTGCGCGAAATATCTGCCGCTGGGTACACTGTTGGAAGCAGGTCGAGATACTTCTGTGCAACATCCAGTTGCCCATGCCCAGCAACAAGCTCTGCGAATTCAGTGTACTTGTCGTACAGAGAAGTCAATTTCCAACCCGAAGATAGTCCCTTCTCGTTGTCCTGGAACTTCGTCACAAGCCGGAATACTTCGACCTTCTCGATGAATTGTTGGAGGGACCTGGCGTGAATGGAGAAGGCCGAGTCGTTACCTTCTGACATGCCGGCTTGCTCGGTTTCTTCCAGTTCAGTAACCCAAATGCCTACAACCTTCTCTAGCTTAGAGCCAACAACATAGCAGAAAGAGGCATCTTTCCTCGAGCCGGTTTCATAGATACGGTCGCCCAATGCTTCGCACAGATCGGGAAACTCGTTGGGGTCTGCGAATGTGCAAAGAGTTGCCATGGTTTCCTTCCAATCTGCCAAGTCCGCATTGTATACCACGTCCCACAAGTTCTTCACAATGACCGAGCTAAGTAGTCGCAGGTAGCTCGGCATGCCAGTCTTTTGAGAGAGATAAGCGGACTGAACCTTGTCCACCAATTCCTTGCCACCGCAATTCGCAATGATGAAGGCATCGGCCATTCGCTCCTCATTCAAGCAAAGCGTCGTTGCCTTTTCGAACTGTCCCAACATCAGGGCTTTTGTGATTTGTTTTTCAGTCGTTGAGTCACTGTCACTAAACAACTGGAACGGATTATCAGTCTTTGCTCCCTTGGTAGCAGATAGACTAGCCAGGAAATCATCGCCGTCGCCCTCGGCGCCTTCAGAGAAGAACATAGAGACGGTCTTCTTATGACCCTTCTTGGCTGTTGGCTTCTCACTAGGCTTTTCAGACTCGGTCTCCGCCTCCTGAGGCTCGGCCGCGTCTTCGCTAACGCCATTCGTAGCCTCGTCGTCCTCCTTGGCGAATCCCAAGTATTCAACTATTTGCTTGCGAGGATTCTCGGAGAGTAGGTTTTTCATGACAAGCCAATCGGCCCTCTCTTCTTCGGTCTTGGCTTGGTCTCGGTGCGATTCACAAATTGCGTTGATGTCCCCTGACTTCAGGCATTCTTCAAATTTCTCGATAGCCAAGCCGATGTTAGAGTCTACGGAGAACTGCGAGAGCTGAATTTTGGTCGAGCGATGCTGGCCAGGTTGGGTCGGCGATTGTTTAAAAATGACAAGTTTACCGCCGAAGCCGAATGATGCGCCAATCGGTCTCTCCAACCACCTTGGCGCCTTGACCAAGGAGAAAGCAGCACCTTGAGGCTGGGTTTGAGCTTGGGTAAAAAAGTCTTCCCCATCAAGGTTGGGCTGATTTGTGCTTTGTGGTGCGGAGGGGTTGGTATTCTGGAGGGTCTGGACCGTGATCTTGCCATCGAAGGCAGCTGTAGCAGAAAGGTTGGGGTTGTGAGGGTGGAATCGAGTCAGAAACGTCCAATTGGTCACTTCTGGAAATTCACCATACCGGTCACCCGTCTGAGGATTCCAGATTAGAGCCCGGTTGTCCTTGCCACACGATAGCAGCAGGTCCGGGTCTTGCTGACACCAAGATACCGACAGAACACCTTGGTCGTGACCTTGCAGTGTTCTCTCTGGCGTATTTGAGTTTCTGAGGTCCCACATGAGGATGACAGGGGTAGTATCATCAGGCGTGGCTGTCAACAGCTTCGTTGAATTATTCGGATCCCAAGCGATGGAGCTGACAGCCTTTCGGTTGTTGTTGAGCGTCAATGATGCCTTTTTGGTCTTCAAGTCCCAGACGGTAACAAATCCACCGGAGCCACCTGTGGCCAGGATATGAGCGACCTTGGTGTTCCATGCTACACATTCGAGATCGTCGGAGCGTGCGGCAGCGGTACCCAGTCGGAAAGCACTCGAAGGGTCATTGACATCGTAGATGAAGAGCTCTCCTTTAGCTCCCGCAGTTGCCAGAATCTGAGGTTTCAGAGGGTTGAACTGTAGCGACTTGATGGAGCCAGTGTGCTTTGTCGTGCGTGCAATCAAAGCATCGGATGCCCCCGAAACGAGTTTCTCAGCATCCCAAAGATCGAGAGATCCATTCTCAAGGGCGCCGGCAATGATGCCTTGCGGGTAGTCTTCGGTGGGCGCACCCCATGCGATATCGTAGAATCTGTTTAACTACCAGTCAATTTTGCTGTAATCATTCGTATGAAGCTGTGAGTGATTACCTGGAATCTGCGGCAATGCTCGCAATGGGCTGGAGTTCGAGTCCCTGATCTTGATTGTCGAGGCTCAGATCCCACAGCTCGAGCTTTGTTTCGTCAGAGAAGTCGGCATCTACTGCCCCGGCCCTGGTTCCAGTAACAATCAAGGGCTTTGCCGCACCTGGCGACCAAGCAAAGGTTGCCGTTCGCGAGATCTCTCGCAATCGAACCATGGCGAACTACTGCTGCTGGGAGGCGGGCCGAGTCGATAGAGTTGCCGATTATGGAGGGGCTGCAAGAGTTTAGATGGGTGGACAGCGATGGGGGTGAACGGCAACTAGCATCGGGTTCTCTAGGCCTGCTTAATAGATAGATGGAGGAGATGGGAGAAAAGGCGAGATACAATGGTGGCCGAGTGTGTGTAAGGTAGTTTACTGAATCTTGAGACATGCAAGTGCTAGCTCATGATGCCAGATGTGCCTTCCAAACTCGAACAGGGTGAGCTCACCATTGAAGCCAGGTTTCGATGGGTCGCGCCTGGAATTGTCCAGTGAGTGGGTATGGCGGTGCGCTAGTCGGCCCCACCTTTGGGGTTCCTTCAGTGAGGCTGGTGAACGCTCCCGCACGTGCGTCGCTGTCAAAGTGCACCACGGTCTCTTATCAGAATCAGTTTCCTGGCACGACGACAACTTGAAAACAACACAACCAATAACCGGGAAAGGTTGTCTCTGTGGCATTGAGAATTCAGCAACATGACGGATACTGCTCGGTGGAAGGCTACAGTGTACGTGGGTGGCCTGGCGTCCATGGTCAATCCGGCAAATCTTCACGATGCATTCATTCCGTTTGGCGAGATAGCGGATATTTCTCTGCCTAAAAACGACAAGGCAGATGCTACAGAGCTGCATCGAGGCTTCGCATATGTAGAGTACGAGGATGCGGAAGATGCCAAGGAAGCAATCGACAACATGGACCAGGCAGAATTCTTCGGCAGGGTAATCAAGGTCTCAGCTGCCAAAGCACCAAAGAGCGCCGAGGAAGGGTTGGGCGGCAAGACCGCCGTCTGGGCTCAGGTAAGAGGACACAACTTCGTAGCAACTGGAGATTCTGTCTAACTCTATATACAGGAGGGATGGCTCGCAGAACATGCCGTCAGTGACGAAGATCGACTTGCGACTGAGGCAGCCAGAAGTCGAGCTGGCGAGCCGCCGGAGGATCCCATGCAAGGACTGGAGGGACTTGATGTGGCTGGACCGAAACCACAATAAACATGGTTCCTAGGTCCCTTTATTTGTCTTAATAGCATAGCGATGGCGTTGGCTACTGGCCGATTCGACACGGGTTTCAGACCACAGGACATGGATCTGAGGGAACAAAAGGACTGATGAGATCTGTACCATGCATGGTTTGCCTTCCGTATCTCCTGGCGCTACACACTGGTGAATAACATGTACAATGCTCTGGATTTCCCCCAAACACAATGACGCTCCGCGACCCTTCTTTTACTTGTCGTGCCATTTAGTGGTGCTCTTCGGAAGCAGCCTCGGCGACTCGGTTCTGGCGTTGGAGTCGCAGAGTCTTGTCAACCGAGAACTTGCGGAAGCTCGAGTAGCCAGCAGCCATGAGAGCGAATCCAACGACGACGCCTGTGTCCATGTATAAGCTTCGAAGCCCATGGAGGGAAGGATTGTTTGCTTACCGAGAGGGATCAATTCGGCTGGGATTTTACGGAGCTTTCGCAGACGCTGGGAGACGGTGTGGCCTATGGGGAACTCGTTAATAACCGTTCTTCTTGTTGGGCCGTCTTAATGAAGCTCAAATAGAGCTGGGATAATAGTGCGCGGCGCTCATGGCATGATGTGGGTAGACGTACCGGCCTGGTCTTCGGTCTGTTATTGCACATTAGTGAGGGTCCATCAATCGGTCCTTCCCCAGGAAAACCTACAGGAGGAGCACGCATCATGCGTCTCGTGGGCATCATTCTAAGAGCTCGCGTAGGATACATCTTGCCTGAGTTGGGATGAGGGGAGATTTTTGACGAGTGGGAGCTATCGAACGGGATTTGAGTCTTTAGATGCAGGAAATCTAACCAGCCTTGAAGGGTAGCTCGGTTCCAGTTGGCCACCAATGATATCACGTGGGTGTAAGGAGACCCGCTTTTTGCCTCCTTCGACTCCAAGCACTGGAATCATCAAATCGAACGACATTGGTTCCTAAGCTTTGTTTCTCCTACATCACCACTCCACGCCTGACTGCCATTGAGCACTACAGATAACTCCACCCGCAAGACGCACCCCATAAACAGCCAATATGTCTGACGACGATCGCGAAACCAAGCCCTTCAAGTTCGTTACTGGTGAGTAGCTCCCGGAATCACCCCGCGCGAAAAGTTACTCCTTTGTTCTGATTAACTAACTCCTGTCCAGCCGGTATGCACGCAACTGACCCTCCGCCAAAACTACCAACGACGTGCTCCTGGATGATAGCATACGCATCGTGGATCGTGGAGTAATCGCTAAACGTGCCGCACAGGTGTCGATGCTCGATTCCCCAACGTGAACCAGACCAAGCACTGCTGGCAAAACTACGTCGACTACCACAAGTGCATCAACGCCAAGGGCGAGGACTTTGCCCCATGCCGACAGGTGCGGAATCTCAACTTGGCCCATGATAGCCACGGCCGCTGACAAACATCTAGTTCTTCCTGGCCTACCGATCGCTATGCCCCAGTGGATGGTACCAACGATGGGATGAGCAACGAGAGTCTGGCAATTTCCCTGCCAAGCTGGACGTTTAGATATGAAATGCGGACGGCAGCTTGTTTTTTAGAGAAGGGAGTGCATGCGTTAGACGAGTCAGGGGTATCATGGTGTAGTATATTACTCATTGGCCAAACCAATACTTAAAAAAACATGCCGCGGGTTGCCACGCTGTAATTCACTCGCTATACCGTGATTCTCTCATGGTCCTCCTTGCGAATCGCCGTGTAACTCCTTTGCGACGCCAAAAACCGCACATAGCCAGCTAACTACTCCATTTATATACGGTCCTGAATTCCATCGGGTTAGGTCCACATTGATGGAACACATGTACGATCCATTTGCCGGGTTAAATCCACTGGCCAGTGTCAAATATTTTACTTGGTCTCAGTTTCATCTTCATCGCTTGAGCTCATGAACTCGTCATCTTCCTCAAAGCCAGCGAACGCTCGAGGCTGGGGCTTCTTGGCCGCCGACATGATTGGTGGCGTCGAAGCTTTCGAACTGCTCGACCCTGACTGCTGTACGTCTGCCTCTTCGTCTGAAGAATCTGCTAAGTCCTCTGTCGATGCGGATCCATGTGATGTGCTGAGAAGATTGTCCTTGTAGTTGCCGGACTTCATGGCAGCCAGGACGGCTTCCCTCGTCCTTTCGGATGCCTCCTCTTTGTCTTCAACCCACTTGCCATCTAACCTGCCCTTCGTGTTATTCCTGATCTCATGCTCCCTCTCCTCAGCGACATCAACAATCTGCTGCCACCTCTGCCTGCGTTTTTCCTTTTCCTCCTTTTCCATCTCGGGCTTGATCGCAAGGTACTCTGCTAAGGCCTTGGCCTCGTTCACTGTGCGCAGTCGACGACCATCTAAGTTTCTGCTTGACGCATTTTCCTCGCCGTTCTTCTTCTTCTTTTTCGAGGACATGCGGCCGCCGGCGGCTCGCAGTTGGGAACCAAAGCCACCTTTGCCACCACATAGTGGGACAGATAGTCGGAGGGAAATAAAGTCGTCGCCTGGATCGCAAAAATCGGAGATTTCTGACGTAGAAGCGGAAGGTATCTCCTTGTTTGAGAGAGTGGTCAGGATGAGTCGCGCATCTAGTCGTGGCAGGCGCTCGTCAATACGCTCATAGAGTTTCGAGACGGGAGCGGATTGTGGCAGAGGGAATGAGAGAGTCGAAGGAAGACCCAGTCCAGGGAAGCTGGTGACGAAAATATTGATGTTCTTTGTGACCGCCATATTCAGATGTTCAGTGTGTAGTGAGCGCAGTGCTGGCGATGAGTGTCTGTAGCTGGTTGCGATATGACAATCGTTCTTGGATAGATGGGGCTGACTGAATGCAAGGATTACGATAAGATTTGAACCAGACCCGCATTTGAAGTATTCAAGTATGGCTGGTGAGGTGGCTGGAGTAGACCGGGGTTAGAACATCAAAGATAACAACAGTTGCAATAATCGAACAGTGCAATGGTTTGCTTACTGAAATTAGTATTCGCGTCGATAATTACGGCCTAGTTAAACAAACATATTGCCCCCGTGTTGCAGAATCAACTACTAAATTGAATCTCCAATAATAGCGAAGTCGCATGTACCCGGGTGAACTTCAAGTTTACCACCTTACGGTCCAATCAGACAGTTGCATCCCTGTATGCACCCCACATTTATTTAGCCGTACCTGCCCACTCCGAGCCCTAGATAGCTCCCACCAAAAAAAACCACTTTCTAACGACTGCGACTTTGGACATCCCGAGCCAACTTCAAGCATCTCATCGCCCATCCACAATCCGAACCGACGTCTTGACGTTCAATAACCGCCAAGATGCTCATCCCGAAGGCCGATCGCAAGAAGATCCACGAGGTGAGCTGCACCGGCAGTTGCAGACGCCCCGATTGGCAGCGCTGACAGATTTTCGTGGTAGTACCTCTTCCGAGAGGGCGTGATGGTTGCCCAGAAGGACTACAACCTGCCCAAGCACCCCGATGTCGACACCAAGAACCTCTTCGTCATCAAGGCCTGCCAATCTCTGACCTCGCGCGGCTACGTCAAGACGCAATTCTCGTGGCAATACTACTACTACACTCTCACCCCCGAGGGTCTCGACTACCTCCGAGAATGGCTTCACCTCCCCGCCGAGATCGTCCCTGCCACACACATTAAGCAGCAACGATCGCACGCTCCTCCCCGTGGCATGATGGGCGGCGAAGGTGAGCGCGAGCGCAGACCTTTTGGCCGTGGACGTGGTGGCGACCGTGGAGACCGTGGCGACAGAGAGGGTGGCTACCGTAGACGTGATGCTGGCGAGGGCAAGGAGGGCGGTGCCCCTGGCGAGTTCAACCCCCAATTGTGAGCCGCCTTTCTCCGACGACTGGTCTACGTTTGGGATCTTGTGACGCTAACAGAATACAGCCGTGGTGGATTTGGCCGTGGCCGTGGCGCTCCTACCTCTTAATGGAGTTCGCATCAGCCCGATCTTACGAAAAATTCCTTCGGCGACGCATATGGCAGCATGCACGGCATCAGGCATGTACTCTAGGGAATGGAGCACCCGCATAGCCGCGCTTCTGTTCGCGTGATAGAGAAACTCGTGGTGGGGAATCTCGGATGCACTGGTGGAGTTATTAAGGCTTCGGAAACTGCCATCTGCGAATTAAGGGACATGCTTTGCAGCTAAAAAAGAAACTTTTATCTGAATAGATTCCAATATCTGTGTGCCCAGTGACCTCTGCCAGCTACTATGAGCAGAATTCGGGGGCCTTTGGATTCTCGTGCACCGACAAGGCCCATCTAGTAACCCAGTGGCAGTGGGCAAGACTACGCATCCGGGTACTGGCTCAAGAACCTGGGTTGCAAATGTGCCGTGTCGAGTATGCAGCTTGCGTGTTTACTTACCTAGGCTTGGTATGAAATGAGACTTACTTTTTCATATAGCGTCTGCATCTTAAGTCAGGCGGTCCTGCTATCAATGCCAGAACTACGCAGATACATACATGTGGTTAGTGTGTGCACCGCGGAAGCTCCCCAAATAATCAGTGGTGTATCCAAACTTGTAAGTTGCCTTGCAAAGTTGCCAAGCAGCAGAACTTGGAACACTCCAGTGCAAGTAGGCAACACTGATGGTCAACCAATTCGCCGACTCCAGCACTTCAACCCGTCTCTCTTCTCACTAATGATCAAAACAACCTTGGAACACCCTCCGGTCTACTTACCGAATTAAGACTTGCTTTGCCGAGGCTGGCTCCAGCCAAACGTTCAATCCAAATATCGTGAGCCAAATGCTACCAGCAGAGTGAACATGGAATGCTCAACGTTGGTTCATGTCATCCCACCAAATCCATTTCTACTAACAAGGAAAAAGAGAGTTGTGGCTTGCCAACAAACATCCCACACTGAGCACTATGCAGCCGCCTCCCTACGGCTTTGGAGTCATTAGCTCAGCTACCCCTGGATTTCTCAACAAGCAGAGACAACACATCCCGCGTCCCAACCTGCATCTATTTTGTCAAAAGTGCCCCAGGGGGTGGCATAATACCTGCCAAACTATACGGGATTGCCTTCCACAGTTCCAGTTGAGCCATTTTGGAACCCCCATGTTTTCCTTAGCGCGATCTCAGCCAAAGGGCTCTCCATTGCTCAATCCACAACCACAGCTTCCGTTATGATAATTTGCGTGCACATGAACGGCCATTAAAGCGATACCTAGCGATGGTCAACTGGCATGAGATACCGAGGTGACCTCGATCCGAATGATATACAGAAACGCTGGCAAGATGCCGCAACTCATTGCCCCTCCATGATCTGCTTGATGGCTGGACAAATGATGGTGGGGCCGAACTCCCGTAGACGCGGTGTCTTGACGACCCATGGTCCACTCATGATGAATCCGATGGGTCTCCGGTCTGCAGAGTGACCGCATCCCTAAGGCTTTTGCCTGGCCCTCCCCGTCTCCACAGTGGGGTCCAAGCCTGCTGATGGTCGTTCAATCTGTGACTAGAAGGCAGTCTGTGTGAGATAGCTGGGGACAAATTGGGGTCTTGTTTCCCCTGAAGTGGGCGACAACGGTGGTATTCCTGCAGTTCTTCGGCCATCTACGATGACTTTCTGGAAAGTTAATTTTTCTTGTGTCACCGATGGTTCCCATGCCACTTTCCCAAACTCACATATATATCTCAACAAGCCTGCCAGCCAGGGCTAATTTTTCTTCTCTCAACTTCCCTTTTCTCATACTCCACGATCCATCCATCCCACTTGAACCCTTACCACCTTCACGCTACCCCGCACTCATCGATCGAGCAAGCGCGTATATCCACAATCATCATGGCTGCCCAACTCCCCAAGAAGATGAAGGCTCTCAGGTTCGTCGTCTTCAAGTTATTTTGCTCGATCGATCAGCTCTGCTCGATAATTCTGTCGTCCCGATGATCTCTTTCCGTTGTTGAACAAGTCGTCGCCAACCCAACCGGCGTCCAATTGTCTCGACAAGGAGGGGCATCCTGTAGTTCCCGTCCTTGGCTGCGGGCTATGTCACATCATTTTGTTTGCCAAACCCCGTGCTCCTATTATCAAGTACATCAGTATCACGACTCGGTACTGCGGCAATGTTCAATGGATTACTTCTTGCATCAATGGCCTTTTTTAAGCTCATAAGCTGATCGCTTTACCCCAAACAGATATGAGAAGCCTGAGGACTGGAGCATCGTCGAGGTTCCGCTGCCCACGCTGCGAGCTGGTGATGTCCTGATCAAGGTTAAGGCAAGTCTTCACAACCTTCCCGCTGCCTATAAACTATTAATAACCCTTTCCAGGCTTGCGGGGTTTGTGGAACTGACTTACACATTCATGAAGGGGAGTTTATCGCAAAATTCCCTCTTATTCCCGGTCACGAGACTATAGGCGAGGTTGTTGCTATGGCAGTATGTAACTTCAAGTATTGTTCCCCCCTTTTCGGTGTATCTTGGACGCAAAAGTTACCTAATCGAGCTGCATTAGGGGATTTTGCTCTTTAAGATATAACTCGGGCCTCTTAACTTATCGTTTAGATTCTTGCAAGTGGTAGACACTGATTGTCATTGTTCTAGGACGATGTCAAGGGTTTCAAGATTGGAGACCGTGTTGCAGCAGACAACTCGGAGCTTTGTGGCCACTGCTTCTACTGCCGACGAGGAGACGAGCTGCTCTGCGAGAATTTCTCAGCGCATGGCGTTCTCAACTTGGATGGTGGCTTCGCCGAGTACTGCAGCTACACACAGGGACGTCTGTTCAAGATTAACAACCTGAGCGACGTCGACGCCACTCTCATCGAGCCGGCATCTTGCGCTATGCACGGCCTGGAGAAGATTGCCCCCAAGGCTGGATCTCACGCACTGCTCATAGGGGCGGGTCCAACCGGGCTGATGATGGCTCAGTTCTTGAAGTTGAGCGGTGTATCCCAGTTGACCATCGCCGCCCCTGAGGGCACCAAGATGGAATTGGCTAAGAGCCTCGATGCTGCTGACTTCTATGTCCCTCTGTCCCGGAAGGACGCTACTCCTCAATGGGAACAGATCAAGAAGGACAACCCCTACGGCTTCGACATTGTTGTTGAGGCTTCAGGTAGCTCCAAGGTGCTGGAGGACGCCATCAACTACGTCCGCAGAGGTGGCAAGCTCGTGTGCTACGGTGTCTACCCCAGCGCTGCTCGTGTTTCGTGGCCCCCATCCAAGATCTTCGGTGATGGTACGTCGTGCACATTTTCTATAATTGTGTTAACCTCAACTAATGACAAACAGAAATCACCATTATCGGCTCTTTCTCTGAGACGTACATGTTCCCCGCTACCGTTGACTACCTGGACAGTGGCAAAGTCAAGACCAAGGGCATCGTCAACAAGGTGTTCAAGCTCGAGCAATGGGGTGAGGCTCTCGAGAGCATCCGAAACAAGTCGGCCATCAAGGCTTGCATTGTTTTTGACTAGATCCAGTTCCTGTCCTATAGCGTAGGTGACAACGGATGTAATGGTAAACTCGGCTTAAACGGAAAACGTGCGGGCGATCGTAGAGTTCTGGGCTATCTATAGACAGAAAATACGAAAATACGAAATTACGAAACAATACACCAGGGGCATGGTCTCATACATATAGAATTGACTGTCGCATTGTCTCCAAAGCAAGAAAGTTGGGTGTCTCGCACTCTTATACGGTTGGCCACAGGCCATCAAGGTTGTCACACAGCATATTACCCCACAAATGCCGCCAACTCGGCCCCGTATTCTGCAAGAACAAACACTCTTATTTGAGCCTTTTCTCTCAGCCCGTTGTATGACTGGTGTACATTAGTAATGAATCTTTCGCGCGAGTAAGATGTCATTCGATGTAGGAACGAATGGCGATGAAGACGCAATTCTCATACCCCATCGTGAGATCCACCCCGCTTATCTTTTCTTGAAAAGCAACCTCACAAAACGCAATGAACAAGATCCCCACCATCTAGAACTCTTCCCGCTCAAAGGATGCCGAAAACCGCTGTAGTCACGGGTGCAAACTCGGGGATTGGCTATGAATTTGCCAAACTCCTCATCAATGAGGTGAGCATACCTTATTAGCCGGCTTTTTTTAACCGAAACCCAATGAGACGTTCTGCCAGCAGCGGCTAAACCCGACCTCAGGGCTACGACGTCTTCGCCGTAGACCTCAACGCCGGCTCGCGACTCCAGAGCCTCGGCTGCAAGGCCTCGCAGATCGACATCGCCTCAGATAGCTCCATCGAGAACTTCGCCAAGCGTTTCGGCGACCAGCCCCTCGACCTGTTGCTCAATATCGCCGGGGTCATGGAATCAAGCGAGTTCGACACGCTTGAGACTATCAACCACCGAACGCTGACGAGCATTTTCGCGGTAAACGCCTTCGGGCCGCTGCTTTTGACGCAGGCGCTGCTGCCAAATTTGCTGAAGAGCGAGAATCCCAAGGTCGGGGTCATGTCAAGTCGCGTGGGCAGTATTGCAGATAATACGACGGGCGGACTGTACGCCTATCGAAGTAGCAAGGCGGCGTTGAATGCGCTGTGTAAGAATCTGGCGGTGGATTTGAGAGATAGGGGGGTCACGGTGGTGATCATGCATCCGGGGTTCGTGAAGACGGAGATTAATCCTAGTGTGCATGAGTTGAAGCAGGCAGTTGAGGCGGACGAGGCGGCTGAGAAGTTGTGGGAGGTTATGAAGGGGAAGGGGATTGAGAGTACCGGGAAATTCTGGCATCGGGAGGGATATGAGTTACCGTGGTAGTTTGGATGCACTTAAGGAAATGGAAACGATAAAAGAGGGGAAACAAGAGGAGAGAAAGCACTGACATATTCTCCTCGTGAGAAGCTCTCATACTACAGCCATTGCTTTATGCTATCATGTAGTGCTTTAGTCTCACATCTACTTAAGCACTCAGTTTAGTCGTTCAAAACTGGGGCTTGTTTGGGCATGGGCTTGAATAGCAATCTCAGCGGAACTCATAAGGACCCCCATGACTTGTTTACAAGCTGCGCCCACTGAACAGCGAAGCAGATTGTTGAGAATTATGAGATGCTAGAGCAAATAGCGAGCATATCACATATGCGAGGGTCAACGACCAACTGAATGACGAGCTTAAAGTGACTTCCTTGTCTGACAATTCGTTTCTTAAGCATTCTTTCAACTAGTCAGTCCATGGCGAAGCAATGCATCCATTAGTGTTTGGAAGCCCCCACAGTCTTGAACAAACAAAACCGATACGACAATCATTACCCAGCTTCAATTTCCACAGTATGGAAAGCTGCAAAACCAAATATATCACATGAAACCCGGCTGTTTTTTTTTCTCCATCAGTTTCTTGTTTGGCTTGATAAGTCAAAACGTTTAACAGAGTTGTCACTTTGCATCCAAAGCTGAAAAACAACTCGTACATGCATGTTGAGAGACAGAATAAGCCGCTGCTTAGTCATCATCTTATAATGGCTGGGATGAACTTGGGCTTGTCCTTCTCCTTAGGCATCGCCGTTTGAATTGTGCGCAGGTTGTCATATATCATAACCGACATAAAGGTCGAAACTTAGATGAAGGCGGCTACGGTGGACTTCTCCACATGGCGCGCGGAGCCCAGCCAGCAATCATGCAAGAACTACGTCACCTCTCTTCCCAATGACAGATATTTCATCCTTTTGGGACGCAAGGCTCATCAAGTTACACCATGGTTGCTAACATTAGTACCATTAAGCTGGTCATCGCCTTTCGTGTACCGGAGGCTAAGCTTGAGAACGGAATCGATGATATGGTACATAAGATACACGGAGACCTAGTCCCGGTAGCGACCTTTCATGGTATGCTCGGAGATGCCAACGACAAGAAAAGCCATTGCATATTTATACGATGCTATACCTAAAAAGCAAGCCATCTTTCGAGATGCTGAATTGGAGTCCTGAGTTAAATCCGAGTGCCGAAGCGAAAATCACATACGTGACCTACCTGGCAGGGAAAGCCATAGGATCGGATTCCATCGTATGTGGCTGAGGACTTATCATATTTAGTCACTTTGTAAGGAAATAGTTGGATCCCTAGTCCGTCGAGTAGGAACCACTTAGAAACAGCAAGATTTCACCTAAAGTAATTTTCTCCTGCTGGAAGATGGATCAAAGTTTTCCATCTCAGAGATACTATGATCGAGTTACAGGGAAAAGAGGGCATTTCATATCTGTTCAGCCAAGATTATCTGCAAGTCCTCGTAACGGCCTGTCAGAAACGGACCTGCTGATCGACGAGCGAGGATACTTGCGGATAACAGGTATCATTGATTCGTCACTAGGCTCAGTACCCCTCCTTTTTAAATGGTCCTCATTGACCTTCGCCTAACTGTAGGATCATGACGAACGAGGGCTGGTCTGACTTTACTTTCAGAACCAAGATCGACGCGGCGTTTTGGGGTGAAGTCTGGAGTAATATCCAGGACCAGACGAAACGGGAAAAGGTTGGGAAGCTCGCTGAGCTGGCTTGCAAGCTTGGGATTATACTCAGGTATCCCTTCCGCAGGATTTTGGTGGGATACCTCTGAATGAGGTGTCACTACGACCGGCTAGGTATGTGGAAGAAGAACCCGCACATTTGGTGCTCCATGGAGATAAAGGGAAGAGGGAAGAGGCGCCATCAGCTGGTTTAGGCTGAATTGAGCGGGTTGGCGTGACTGGAGTAGCTTATACTCATTGAGGATGTGGGGTTCAGTGTAATAATCATATAGTTACTCGTAAACATTGATATACACGATGCTTTGCGTGCAGGTGGCAGAGACAAACGAACAATATAATCGCATGACGCTATGGAGACCACGCCTTATTGCGTCTTGCAAGAAGGATTCTCACTTCTTCCAAAACTTAAGTCGGCTGCGGCGAGAGACTGTGGTGTTATCCTTCTGCGTGCTTTCGATGTTAAGGGCTGGAACACTGTCCACATCATCGAATTCAATCTCGATACACTTGACGGCTCCATCGAGCCATCCTGCTGTGGCGCATCTCCTGCCTACAAGATGAGCCTTTCCTTTTCGAGACACACTCCTATCCAAGGTGCCCGTGAGTTTCATCCAGAAATCGCCCCTCCGAATGTCCAGACGCCCTTTTAACTCTGCCCAGACCTGTGAGTCGGCATTTTGCATCTCAAACTCACAAGTGCCGAAAGTGAGTTCCATGGGGCTCGCGTTGGTCACCTTGAATACTATGGACACTTTGTGGCCCTCATAGTTTATGGATATGATGGTTGTGCATGGTCCATTCATGCCTTGCATGGAGATCTGCTTCTCATAGCTCATGGGACTGGGGGGTTGGCCAAGTGCCTTGAAGTTGCACTCTCCTTTTTTAAGGAAGAGTACGGTGTTCTTCTGAACCAACATACTCGCAACAAAAGACTCAATAGCGGACTTATTCTTGATCTCGACACGCTGGTGTGTGATGTTGATAGGTGTTCCGTCATTCTCGGGATGGAACTGAAATTTTGGCAGAGCGATATTGCCCAGACAACCAGCGCCATTGCTCAATTCAAGCGACATCTGGGACATTTTTGCCTTGAGTTTGACCTGGTTGGAGACCACGAGATCCAGAGAGACGTCGAATGTGCTACACAGGGTGTTAACGTAATTCTCAAGGGGGAGGGCTTCGGTGTGTGGAATACTCTTCTGTGACGGTGCCAATCCGGATCAAGATTATCTGAAGGGTACCTTGGTTCTGGATCCATCTGACAAGCTTCTCCACTTCTTCCTTCATCTGAGCGGAATGCGTCTTCAAGACGCCTGGAATGCTTGAGTCCATGGCATTGTGTGTTCCATCTACACCCACGAAGTCCTTGAAGATTGGTTGGATTTGCGAATGAGTGGCGAATTTCTTACGAAGACGGTAATTATCCACAGGGTTGACTCTGAATCAGATAAGAAGATAACCGAGAGTTGCAATGAACAATGAAGTGCGAACAACGACGTGTGAACTATCGAGTTTGCCGTTCCAAAGGGTCTTTTCATGCTTCCCCGAATTTTGCCTCACTTCAGCATAAAGAGCCTGCGGCGCCCTCCAAGAACGTCTTTGCGAAGATTATGATGAGACTTGCTATCGGGTTCCAAATCACCGAAGTGAAAACGCAAGCGGTCTTGCCTGGCGGTTTGCCGTAGCTAACAGACCAAAGTTAGCTTGGTGATAACCATCTGTGATACTGACGAGTTAAGTACAACTCACATTGTCAGGATGCAAAGGTGTTTATCAGAAGTACGTCTGGTTCCTGACCAAGACAGTGAAAGAGTGGGCGTTTATGCGGTTGCCTTCGAGTTTGATGACAACTAACACGACAAAGTTAGTCCAATGACACTTATCCGCAATCCTGACGAGTTGACCGCAGCTCACCGATTTGGGAAAAATGTGTTCATAAAATCGTTGTTGAGTTCCACACGGAGAGGTGAAATAGCAGACGCTCGCGCGCTCTTGCCTCGTGATCTGGCGGCGACTGTCACAACAAACTAAGCCTGGTGTTGGTTCTCCGATATATGGGCGTGTTGACTGTTGTTCACCTCGTCTGTAAATGAACAGCTTTATCATAAGGAGTCCTGCTTGGTATCAATAATAGAACGTTCTCGCCAGACCAACCTGAAGGTGACTGACGCGAGAGGGTTAGCCTGGTGACAAAATTCTGGGGCAGAGATGTCTTCAGAGCTCACCTTTTAGAGTTATCGCAACTCGTCCTGTTTGAGCTGAATGATAAAATATCCTCACAAGGCCGATCTTCAGGTGACTGACGCGCCAAGGCTAGCTTGCTACCGAGTTTCCAGGGCAGAGACATGTGGTCTGTAATTCACCTCGGTGGGACACAAATCCCCTCTTTATAACTCGTACAGCTTAGATGCAGCAATACTAATATTGACGTAATACCGCACGGTCATGCATAGCTAACGATGATTCAATTTTGGGAACTATGTTGTGAGTTCTGGGCAGTTTGCAGGTTTGGGGGCTTTCTCAGGAGACATTGTGGATTCATAAGGGGTATTCTACTATACAGTGCTGGGGGTGGGGGATAGGGATAGCGGGAATGGGATCTCAATTGATCGAGCCTCTCTTTCATAGCCCGGCTACCATCAATGTTCTCCGCAGCATCTTTGCCTTGTGGGGTTTCCTCTCCGTAGTGAGCAGTCTCGCCTCCCAGGCCCTTGATGATCGTCTGGCTATTCTCCTTTGACTTGTCGCTGGCGTCTACGACAGTTAGTAAAGGAGGACCGATTTTTCATAGGCTGTACATACTAGGGTTGGCAAGATTAGCCTTATGACCTCGAACTGCATTGGAATGCTCCCTTCTGCCCTGGATGAGCTCCTCTATGTCGCGAGACATTGGGGACTTGGCGCCGGCCGAGTCCATGATGTTGATTTGTAAAAGTAGTATGAGGAAGTTGGGGGTTTGACTCCAGTGAAGAAGAACCAGGGAAGATATACCGGCAACCTTAAGTAATTTCTTCTTCCATGGCAGGCAGGCGAACAGTATGATGTCGCAAGCCCGAAACCTGCGTGCAAACCTACTTACTAGTTGCCGTCATACAACTCGAAGGTGACAGCCATACTGCAAGCTGCATTTCGACGTTCAGGTGCAAGTACCATTTGGCATGCTTGCCACTGAGGAGGTGTTATGGATATGACTGTTATTGGCTCCAAGCGTCCAATCCAAGTATACTCCGTTCTCATCTGAGAGCACGCGATATGACTTGATCAATATTGGCTGCTTACTGCACTAGCTCGCAAGGCTACAATTTGGTGTGGGGGAACTTGTGATCGGCGCTCCTTGACCCCTAGTGGCTAGAGCGGACGACTCTTGCATTTGTCTGCACCTTCCCGTGGTGGTTTCTGCAGCCCTGGTCTAATCAGAATAGCCTCATTCTCGGGTGCGATGAACTCGTATAGGTTAGACGGCTCGGGGAAGAATTACGAAATGTCAACTTCGTGATCTCGACATAATTTCTCCAGGGATTGCGTAGTGTCACTGCATGAGGTCGTTGCTGCCTCTGCAAATTGTCCCAAAAGCATTTAACCTCAAAATAGGAATGGTCAACAAGGGAACCTTACGTAAGTTGCTGCTTCGACGTCGTGATCGTCCCAACTCTTAGTATGAGAGCACGTGTTGGACCTTGGACGGTCCTCGACGAGGGTGTGCAGCTGTCATTTTGTGTTTGTTTGGCACTTATCAGTTTCTCACATTGCTTCCACCGAGTGATGCCGCCGGATTTATTTTTGTGATGAAACGGCTCGCATTGAAATGAAATGGATATCCCGATTGAAACATGAATTGAAGTACTCACCTTTGAGCCAGGTCAGCCCATTTCTTTCCGAAAATTTGAAGTGAAACTACCGTGCCATTGCACTTAGAACACCTCAAGCGCTCAAGCATTGGACATGCTCAATGGAATCTTTCTGTGAATTGAGTTAACACAGCGAGTGGAAGGGCATGAGAGTTTGCTGCTGGTCACTCCATACGGCATAGCGTGGGTTACATTGTGCCCTGTCAGTCGGGCAGATCCCTATCATCTCATCAGTAACATGCCAAACAAAGGGAACTAAAACATACTGAAAAAAGGGGCAAACCACTGTGGCTGGCTGAGCGGAATCTCACTAACTTGTAGTTGTAAATAACCTTGAAAGCTGGCAAATAGCCGCTCAGCCGCGGGTAAGGGTATCTTACTTGCCGTTCCCGTCGGATAGGTGTGATCAATTAATTTGACCAGGTGGATGGGTCCGATCAAACCAGGGAGCTCCTGGAGGGAGTCGGCCAGGGTGGTGATTCGCTGCTCCACATCTGTTCGTTCCTGGGCTGAGAATCTTGGAACCAATCCACCTTTCCAAGTGGAACTCGTAATAATATCTAAGTGCCAACGCATTCTAAAGTTGAAAGCAATGCAACTATTTCCTCGAGCTTTGAGCATTTCGACGGCTTCGAGAGACTTTGTTCGAGGTCCAAGAACGTCCTCAACGGTGCTGCTCTGACCCCTGTCACTACTAGCAACCAGGGCAAACTTTACAGCGAGTCGTAGGTGGTGTACAGGTGGCCCACCCCGCGATTTCCTCCTAACGTCGTCCCCAGTTGTCCCAAGTTCGTCCCAGGTCGTCCTAGATCGTCCCAAGTCTTCCCAAGTCTTCCCACTGCCCACGTCTCTCAAAGGGGTCACTTCCTCTCTCATGGGCAATTGAGGATAGAATGAACACACCTTGAACGAGGCAATTGCTCTCGAGTCTGGAGCACCATGGCATTCCGGTCGAACCGGCCATTGGAGCAGAATGGATTTACCTCCAACGCTCCTCCCTCTCCCTCTCCGCGTATGATGAGGCCCAGCTTCGACCCAAGCATGGGTTTAGGCGATATGGATGTTTTCCGGAATCCACACGGCCAACTCCAGCACCATGCAGAGTCGTCGAGCACTGACGACGACGATATTCGTTTTTCGAAACCGAAGCCCAAGTCGCGCCCCGCTCGACATTCCCGTTCAATGAGCCATCCAATCACCTCTCTGTTCAGCAAGAAGAAGAAGCCCGCCAGCGACGGTGTCGACGACGATTCAACTGATGATGATACTACTCATGCCAGAGGGCAGCTGGGTTTGCGCACATCGATGGCTCCACCCGGGCCCCGCCGAAGGTCCGCCGACTCTGTCAAGGGCAACTGCATGACATGTGGTAGTCAGGTCTCGTGGCCGAAGGAGGTCGATGCCTTCAGGTGCTCCATATGCGTGACCATCAACGACTTGAAACCTTTCAACCCGCCTAGAAGAGACGAGAAGGGCTCCGAACCTCCGAGGCCGATCTCCCTCGAGCACACCAAGTTTCTTGTCCGGGAGGGCCTGCGATGTGCACTGAACTCCTTTCTGGTCGGCAGAGCACCGAAAGACCGCAATGGAACGTCAGACGCCGGGCCTAGTGGTCCTCTCTCTCGGGTTGCTGGCGACTACTTCTCTCAAAAACAGGACAGGCCGATCTCTATTCATCGCAGTCCGCCAGTGCTTATTCCTAGTCCTGTCTTTGACGGCCACACTGAGGTTAGCTTTGAAATGAACCCCTTGCGCCAACTCGCCGGTCCATCCCGGTCAAACTCGACGTCATATCCTGATGCTAGAAGCTCAGGACTCCCGTCGAAGCCGCAGAAGAGAGAGCCGGTCGGCATTGATGGTTGCAGGATATTTAAGCCACTAGAGGATTACTTGGCCACGAGCTTCAACTCATATGCATGCATCAACGCGTCCTTCGTCGCACGGCGAAAAAGTTTCAGCTCTCGACCCGTTGGAGCACAACCCAGGACGCGGCGACAAAGCTTCAAGTCGGCGCCAATCGACACTCCTCGGAATCGCCGAGGTTCACGCAGCGATCCTGTCAACACCGACACTCTGGTTTCGGAGCTAGACGCAAAGATGCTGCTGGTGGGTGACATTGCTGAAAACGGATCGTGGTGGACGGGTGGTCAGGAAATCCAGCCATTGAGGGCTCAGTCATGGCGATTAAACGAACCGCAGCCTATAGCCAATGCTCGGTCACCGCAAATCGATTGGAAAGAAGCTACTGCTTGGTATCATAGTGTTATAAATGCTGGAGAAAGTTGGACGGATGTCTATGGGGAACTCGTTCAGAAAGACCCAACCAAGACGCTCTCAGAACTGGACGGGCAAAACTTTGAGCAACTCGTTCTCGCCGCCCAGGAACACCTGCAACGGGTGTTGTTGAAGTGCACAGAAAACTTCCTCAAGCGGCCCGGCCGGTTGCTCAAGGAGCCTCAGGACAGCCGCTTTCTTCTACTTTTCCTGGCAAACCCGCTTCTACTGCATGGTCACAAGACCTACGCGGGAGTATGTCAACACTTGCGAAAGGAGCCAAGAGCACCTGAAGACGCATACACTGTTGGGCGACACTCAGTAATTATTAAGAGGATCCTCGGCATCCTATCCCACCTACCGGATCCTTGTCATCACCATTTTGTTGGGTGGTTTTCGAGGCTACCGGAACATATTTTCTTGCAAATCAAGGATCTCGTCAGCAGCTTTGTCACATACCGGCTCGTGCGTGCAAATGAGAAAAGATCGGAGCCGAAAGTGGACTTGACGGGCGGGTTGATACCTCAGATGCCTAGCAATCGTTCCAGCAATAATGCAGCGTCGCTCCATGCGGCACTTGGAACATCCCAGCGCTCCAATAAACGAAAGCCCGTTGAATTGAAGAAAACTACTTACGGCGATGATTGGCAGATGAAAGCCGGAGCTCAAGTTATGGCTCTGGTGTTCGCTGCGAACAACGTGACTCACGTGCGTAGGAATGAAGTGAGTGTTCGGCATGCCCATGGTCACTTGCTAGCCACTAGCGACTTTTACAACACTTTACTTGATACCATGGACTTCAGGGCGGATTTCGAGGAATGGGAGTCCAAGAAGAGCAAGTTTTCTTTCTGTCACTATCCATTCTTCCTCAGCATTTGGACGAAAATCCGGATCCTCGAGTTTGATGCGAAGCGGCAAATGGCTCACAAGGCGCACCAGGCGCTAGTCGACAGTGTACTCACCCACAGAAACTTTGCCCAGTACATCTCGCTCCGAGTGCGTCGGGATTGTCTTGTGGAAGACAGTTTGAGGCAAGTGAGCCAGGTCGTTGGCAGTGGAAGTGAAGAGATCAAGAAAGGCCTGCGCATCGAGTTTGACGGCGAAGAAGGCGTGGACGCAGGGGGGCTCCGCAAGGAATGGTTTCTCTTGCTGGTGAGGGAAGTCTTCAATCCAGACCATGGTAAGTCCGTCCTAGCTGCGCGACGTGAAGTTGCTGAAATCCGACAGGCCTTTTTGTCTTTGACGAGGACTCCCAACACTGCTACTTTAACCCCCACACCTTCGAGACTTCGGATCAGTATTTTCTCGTGGGGGTCGTGTTGGGCCTGGCTATATACCACTCAACGATCCTGGATATCGCCTTGCCACCTTTCGCCTTCCGTAAACTTCTTGCTGCGGCACCAGCTCCCTCCACTGGAATAACAGGCCTTCTGCGACCACCAATGACCTATTCATTGTCTGATCTTCGTGAATACCGGCCACGCCTTGCGCATGGGCTCAAACAACTGCTCGAGTTTGAGGGAGATGTTGAATCAACGTTCTGTCGAGATTTCGTTATTGAAACGGAGAAATACGGCACAACGATACGAACACCTCTCTGCCCCGGAGGAGAAAATATGCAGGTGACAAATAACAACAGACACAAGTTCGTCGAGCTTTACGTAAGGTATCTCCTCGATACGTCGGTGAGTCGACAGTTCGAGCCATTCAAGCGGGGATTCTTCACGGTGTGTGCTGGCAATGCCTTGTCTCTCTTCAGGCCAGAAGAGATCGAACTTCTCGTGCGAGGATCCGATGAGCCGCTCGACATTGCGACCCTGAGAGCTGTTGCGACTTATACCAACTGGGAGCCGGACAAGTCCTCGGAACCGGAGCTCGAGCCAACCGTCGATTGGTTTTGGAAGAGTTTCGCAGCAGCGTCACCTGCGGACCAGCGCCGTCTCCTTTCCTTCATCACCGGGAGCGACCGCATTCCGGCGATGGGGGCGGCCTCTCTTGTCATCAAAATCAACTGTCTGGGTGACGACATCGGGCGATACCCCACGGCACAGACGTGTTTCAATGCCCTAAATCTTTTCCGCTACAGGCTGCAAGAAAGTCTGGAGGTCAAATTATGGGGGGCGGTTAGGGAGAGCGAGGGCTTTGGACTTCGATGATCTCTGATATAATGGAAATAAAACTAGCATAAGGTGGTCTTCGGACCAGGCAGGCAGGGGTTATGGATACCCAGAGGCGATTGCATAGCATTAGCATGAAGAAATGACACAGCACGGTTCTTCCAAACCCCCTCCCCTGTGCGATACCAGCTTCATCGTGTTACATCGTGAATCCGTCCTTTTGCAACGGTCGGCATTGGAAACCGTAAGGATCCACTTTGTTTGGCTAAGGCTCGCTCTGTACGAGCTTCCCTTCCTACGTCGCCCAGGCAACACAAGAAGGCGACGTACTACAAACGATTTCACAATGGGTTGAATTTTCGAAAGCCTCCTGACATGTTAAACTCAAGCTTCTTAGTGGACGACATGACTTGACCATGTTCACCGGCGTTATGACGTGTTTTGATATCGTTACCCCTATTCCTCAGTATGGACACTAATTGCCCTGCCATTGTGTCTATCATTGAGTCTCGGGTTTGAGGCAGACTTGTTCAACATACACGAATCTCCACAGCAACATCATGCTTGTTATGGCAGATAGGAGGAGTGGAAGAAGATTCAAATGCATGGCTTCGTTTGCGTATTCACGTAAGTCTGGAAATCAAATCGGTTTGGCATTTGCATAGTCGCTGTTCTCTAATTCGACTTGACCTAGGTACGCACCAAATTATTGAGGAACTTGCAAGCCGCCCCCTGGTCGTCGTACTGAGGGTAGGGCTGTTTCCCTGATGGCCACCCCGCTCCTGTTCTGCGCTGCGAAGGCAGCCAAGGAATCTCGCATGTTCCTCAAGCCCGTATTTTCAGTCGCACCCGTATGATGCAAGAAGCATTCTGAGCACAATAACTCAAAGTCATTCTCATGGATGACCTAAATACCACCCTCCCCGTGTCTGGTCTTCGTCGGGCCGGGAATGCGACGCTTCGACCAGACGAATCCTTTTTTGATCCCCTGTTATAAAACCAGGGCCGCCCAGCTCCGGCAAGTTGGTGTCTTCCGACAGAAGTACCGTCCGGGTTTCGCTCGGAAGGGTTCGGTATGGGCTATCGGGGGAAGGAGAAGCTGTACCTAGCGAAGCAAATGGCTGCGTTAGTGCCATCCCGTGCTGCACTGTTGTTGGCACCCGACCCAATGGGGAATTTCAGGAGGTCAAACAGGCTGATAATGAACCGGACAGGTGATAAGACGGCATCCCAGAGGAGAACCGTATACATCCGCGAACGTCCTTGCGTCAATACGGCGAGCATCTCACACCCGCCTCTGAGCTCTGCTACAACGAATACCTGGTGATTAGGATCCATGTTATTCGTATTAGTGACTAATTCCCACAGTTGGGTCGAGATTATGGTGCCAATTCATTTGGGTCAAGTGTTCTCCGGGCGGCGTAGGCGGAATTCGTGCGGTATTCTCGGAGAACGAGGTACGCAGAGTTACGAAGCAATCCGTTTGAAACACGAAAAGGCCTGCTGAAGGATTCTAGTTCAGATTCTATAAAGAATTACTCAAGTTCTGTTCTCGTTAACAGTCAATAGTTGCCAGCGCATAACACTACTAGAGTGATTCTTCAAGTGAAGATAGGGAACATATGGTACCTGCCGTCAGGTTTTCGTGAGCCGTCTGTGAGGTGGTGGCAGCGCATGTTCTGGCGTTTGAAGTGCCTGAGGCTGGCGAGTAGAGGTCCTGGGTTGGGCTGATTTCATTTATCAGCTTGCTACGGATGTGGAGAGGGCGGAGATTCCAGAGTTGAGGAGCAGGATTCCCGATGGCAGGCCGGGAGTTGTGGAGGATACGCATAAAGTTTATGGGAGCAAGGTGACGAGGGTGCTGAGGTTGGAATAGAAGACGGTGGCGGAGACTGCGAGGGATAAGTATGTGCAGTTGTCGCGTGCTGAGGAAGTAGAGGCTGCGGCTTATAATGTTCACGTACGTTCCAATTGGATGGCCTGGGGGACTGTTTTTCGTACTGGTGTACGTCAGTGTCCAGGTTGCTTGTTAACGACTTAGGTAGCAAGTTGAGATGAACCCGCTTAGCATGTTTTCCGAACTGCTGGAACAGCACAGATGGGACTTGGCGATTTTCATTTGAGAATACATAGAGCTTATGGTCACCCGCTGTAACCTTCAACTCCTATTCTTGTGTGAGGATATCTTTGGTGCCGTTTCCATCCATCTCCGAGACCTAGATATGTCCAACTGACGTAACATTGAACTTTGCCGCAAAGGGATCAAAGTCCTGAGGATGCGGGACGTACTCTTCGATCCCGGCCACTCGGTCAGCCTCGGTAGCTCCCCAGAGGTGTTCGATAAAAGAAAAAACCAGGTCAAGACCGGCAGTCACCTTGAGGGAGAATTCTAGTCAGATGATTGAGATATTTCAGGGGTTATAACTTACTCCCGAAGAACTCCAAATATTCCCATCCACCACCCATCTGGCCGGACTAACCCACTCAACATTCGGACCCATCGCCGTGACCGTTGCCCAACTTCCCTTATTCGTAGTCGCTCTCCTCCCGTCCAGAACCCCAGCCTTAGCCGCCAGCCCAGCGCCTGTACATATCGTGATCAGATACTTCAAGTTTGGGTAAGTCTGGGCGATGAAGTCCGTCACAGCGGTGATATTCGGATTTCGGATTCCGGGTCCGCCGGGAACGATCAAGACTTCCAAGTCTTCGGGCGCGGTGTCGAATGTGTGAGTTGGGACGAGTTGCGGCCACCACGTGGAGTTGTACGTATTCATGGCTGCGTTGAGAGGCTCCGTGGTAACAGGGTCGAGCGTCTCTGCGAGGATGGACAATTCTAGGTGGTTGCTGTGAGCGAGCACTTGTAAGGGGTCGAGTACGCCGACGAGGTCTTGCATCAGCATCGCGCGGAAGATAATAGCACCCCATTTGGTTAGAGTAGTAGTGTTGGTTACTATGAGTATTGCTTAGTCTCTGTACGGCAGATAATTGATCAACTGGGATATACCTTGATCATGATACAGGTGCTCAATGGAGTGCGTCTGGACAGTCGCTGCCATGCCGAGCAGGCAGCATGACAGCGATTTGAAGAGATTGGGAAGCATGATGTTGAGTCTAAGGTTGCATGACTAGAACTTGACTTGTAGGCAGTCACTGAACAGCTATCATCTTTTATATCACAGTTCAACGCCCCCCACAATAGCCCATAAGCAGCTCGTCTGATTCAGCTCAAGAGCATTCCAGCAACATGATAGAATGAAAGAACAATCCTGCCGCCTCGGCCGACCTTCCAATTTTCTCAACGGCAGGAATCTGCACAGCCCGTAACCAATGATCCCATAATCCCATCCGGGAAATTGGCACCCGCTGAGTCGTCGACGTCTAGTTATTCCCGAGTTCGTAGGATAGGGAGCACATTTGAGCAGATTTCTATACCCTTTTGGGCCAAACCATTGCCCACTGACGTCCCGTTGTCAAGAATCTGTAAACAGCCTATTTCAGGGGGTCGAGCGAAGGATCCGCCAATCAGGATTGGTATTGACCGGCGTTGGAATCCTACGAAGTTGCATGTATATGAATATCGGAATTTGAGGATTGGACGTTATGGAGAGAGCACAGAATAGCTATGCCCTATGGATTCTTGGTCAAGCAGAGTTGTATGCATGATGTCATGTTCAATCTGAATGGGAGAGGCGAGGTGTGAACCTGTAGCCAAGACCGCGCTTATTTAGGAAACGTGAAGTTAGCAAGACATCTACCATTAATGTCTTACAGCAACGTGTTTGTAGGATATGGATCCGTCATGTCTTCTTTGCCAAGACCAAACTTAGTTGAATACATGTCAACGAGATGCAATGCTGAACCTTGTGCGAAAAGGCCACCAGGTCTTCCAGGACTGACGTTTGGGAATTACGGGGCTTTAACAGATGATTCAGGCTATGGAGGTGCAGGAGCCGGTTCCATGGAGAAATAGAGATGATAGACGGTGAAGGGAAGGTTAAACAGCGAAAGTGTGTATTGAGACGCTGGCTCCATTGTACTTTGACCATTTGTTAACGCAGCCCTTCGCATGCCATACTCATTGTTCAGTGAATATAGAAGCCCGCCAATCGTGAAAATGCGGAAGCTGCACACGTTCTAGACGTCTACCGTGTCTATGACCTTGCCATGCTCAATGGTCCAAACAAGCAAATGGTGGACTCCGGACGACAGGGATGCTGGCACCTGTCAATGCCACCAAACGTCAAATAGCGATAGAACCCCAGAATGTGGAGAACATTGCGTCTTGACTCTAGTTGATTTCTAATCTGGATACGAGGATGATGTGGAATCCCCGCCCCTAGGAAGGTCTCTCAGTGGTATAAAACCAAGTTGCTGGGACAAGTAAACGCATTCCTCCTTTTCCGGCATCACTTACCACAGTTTTGCAATATCTCAAGAGACATTTCAAGAGATAGCCTCAATAAATCTCCGCAATCGGCCAAGACGAACACCAAGTACGAGCTTGTTTCACCGCTGAAAGCCGTGAGTGGCATGGCATGCTAACAATGCCTCATAGGACCCAAGTTTCCCCACCACCCAAATCCGTCAACATGGTAGCACAACTTATTCTTGGCTATCCCAAGGGATCCAACATGAAAGTGGACTACTACATCAACACGCACATCCCCGTTGCTTGGGCGGCGTGGCAGCCACTTGCCAAAAGCTGGAGAGTCGCGACCCCGGGAGCAGACTCGGAAAGCCCTTACGAGGTGCTGCTGCTTGTGGATTTTGAATCCTTGGAGGCGCTCGGCAAGGCGATGGCGGATACCCCGAAGGACAAGTTGGAATGGCTTCAGAACGACCTTAAGAACTATAGCGAGAAGCCCCCTGTTAGGTGGACGCAGGAGGTTAGGGGAGGAGGGCCTGTGTTTTGAGTAGAAAGTTTGGGGTGTGTTGGTTCTTGTCAGCTGGCTAGTGAGGCAAGACTCCCTCTTGAGGAATGAGATGGTAAGTATCTGGGTTAAACAGATGGACCACTAAGTTGGGAAATCAAATGACGTGAATACGCGTATGCCAAGGAGTAAAGAATGTGCGGAGAGTGCTGTTGATCCATGAATGGAGAACCTTGACGAACAACGTGATTTCCTCTTCCTAATGTTGACTGATGACTTACGAAGTTGCAAATGCCGCCGTCAACTTTCTTTGGGGGAGAAAGCAACTGTAGTACTCCCTTTCTGTAGTCTTGCCTGTCGGACTCGTTTCGGGACAGATTCCACGATGTCGGTAACAACTCTGTAATTTGGGAACTTGTTTATTTGCCGGGCATTTAGGTTTGCGAAACATAAAATGGCACGACACATGAATATCTAGGACGCATCGGCGGAACTTTCGCAGAACGGGGTTTTATTGGTGGTTTAGGACATCCGTCCGCCGTAGTCGTCTGATGAAACGGGCTGCGAGTGATGAATGCCGGCTGTGGAAACTTGAATATCTAGAGGATACGGCAGAATCAGGGCATTGCAAGCTAGAGCTGGTCCACCTGAAGTTCAACGTAAAATATCTCCTGACGAGTGCGGTACAAGATCCCAGTGGCGAGCGATACGAAATGAAAATGCTTATTATCTTTTATTCAGTTCGTCTCATGTTGACGGGTGTTACACCACCAAGGCCGGATACGATGCCCGAACGCCCGGGGTTGCCGGCGTGAGATGGAGTCAAATTGACCCACGGTGTGCGGTCGCCATCGGAGCTGACAGTAAGCTGGCTTCGTCTGAGACAACGACAGCTGAAGAAAAAGCGCGGATCTTCCGACTTAGTAATCGACAAACGCATGACGATCTCATGTAGGTGATCGCCTTGATAGCGGTTCAGCCTTATGTGACCTATACAGTCCCGCTACAGTGGGACGATGGTGGTAAGACACATCCCTCTAGCCGATGGCTTGGAGTAATGCTCGAGGGAAACTTCTCCACATGCGACGAGAAGGCACGCGCGATTGACAGTGTCAACTTTTACTGCCCAGTTCGATGTTGCTTCTTCGGCGGTATTCCAACCAGGCCCAATTATCTGTTGCATGCAGATATCCAGATGTTCCATTGGTTACCATTGGTAGCGAGACGGGCCGTTTGGGACCTCACGGCGTTGCGAGCTCGGCGCGCCCTCTCGCCGCGCCCTCTCGCCGTCATGGATGAACTGGGAGGATTTCGAGAGGGTCTGACCTTGACTCACGGCATCGCCCGTGACCGAATAAGCAGCCGTATCGGGGCTTGGCGGGAAATAGCATGCATGATAGTGATTTTCTCTCACGGCACAGCCGTCTTCGAAACTTGCGAGTAACGGAAAACTTGATTGCATCGGTGCTCCACTAATAACGACGTGGTCTCTGTTGAGAAAAATTTGCCCGCGTGTTCCTGACCTTGGAGATGACAGGTGACAGTTATCAAGCAACATGGCATGATGTTCCCTCTAGAGAATCGTCTAGAGCTCTATTAGCTGAGCTGAACAGAGGCAATGGACCCCGGTATTCGGGCGGATTCGCTGTAGCCAGGGCAATTATCAACCGAGAACCCGCTGGAGCTGCCGACCGGTTTTCGTAACCCGATAATTCCGGGCGGTAGGTTGCGTTCGGGATGATCATCATGGTACCCGTAATATACATAGTCTTGGTAGTCAAGTCTTACTGTATGCTTGTTGGTGGTCCAATTATAATGCCATGAATTCAACATACGTTTTCAGGACTGTTTCATGACTTGAGTGATTTTAATGTGGGCAGCTTGCTGAAAAATCTTTGGCTCCGATAATGTCGTACAATTTGTCGAGCTTGGCTGCGCACTGTCTTTGAAGCTTCACCTGCAGGAAAGGACATTGGATATACCTGTTGGTGGGGCCAAGCTCCTTCCTCATGGGAGCAATTGAGTTTCTAACAATGGGTAGGTGTCACGTAGGGTTGACAAGAAATGCAACTGAGGCAACAAGTCCTCAACATTTACAATAAGCCAAATGCTGGCTCTGGAAAAACGCATCTGTGCTTTCTGATTTCAAATGTCAAAGACCAATCATCTACAGGTAGGGAAATCATATTCCGGTTGATCTAATCGTCATTGCTATATTCAGCACTTGCTACATCAGGAACCCCTACACTGCTTTGGTCCTCAAGGTACGCAGGGGTAGCTCTCCTTGTACCTTCCGGGTACTGGCTACGACCGCATACGGTGTCAAGTCGAAACATGCACTTTCCGCCCCTCCAAATGACGCGGGGCATTCCAAGTCCCTCCCTATGTCGCTCAACCTCATTTGACCCCGCCAGAATTTGTCTGTCACCAAGCCTCTCGAGCATTAAAACCCTTCACGCCCTGCATCAAGAACTGGGCTTTTCCATTTCTTCTGCATCTTTCGTCTCTTGAAAAAACTTCACCACACACATTCCCCCTTCTAAACACCCTTCCACAAGCAATCATGGCTCCCATCAAGGTTGGTATCAACGGTTTCGGCCGCATTGGCCGTATCGTCTTCCGCAACGCGGTTGAGCACGACGACATCGAGATCGTCGCCGTAAACGACCCCTTCATCGAGCCCAAGTACGCCGAGTACATGCTCAAGTACGACTCCACACACGGTCTCTTCAAGGGCACCATCAGCGTTGAGGGCAGCGACCTGATCGTCAACGGCAAGCGCGTCAAGTTCTACACTGAGCGTGACCCCGCTGCCATCCCCTGGAAGGACACCCAGGCTCACTACATTGTTGAGTCCACCGGTGTCTTCACCACGACCGAGAAGGCCAAAGCCCACTTAACTGGCGGTGCTAAGAAGGTTGTCATCTCGGCTCCTTCTGCCGACGCCCCCATGTACGTGATGGGTGTCAACGAGAAGTCCTACGACGGCAAGGCCGATGTCATCTCCAATGCTTCTTGCACAACCAACTGCTTGGCTCCCCTCGCCAAGGTCATCAACGACAAGTTCACCATCATTGAGGGTTTGATGACCACCGTCCACTCCTACACTGCCACCCAGAAGACCGTCGACGGTCCCTCCGCCAAGGACTGGCGCGGTGGCCGTACCGCTGCCCAGAACATCATCCCCAGCAGCACTGGTGCCGCTAAGGCTGTTGGCAAGGTTATTCCCGCCCTGAACGGCAAGCTGACCGGCATGTCTATGCGTGTCCCTACCGCCAACGTCTCCGTTGTCGATCTCACCGTCCGTATCGAGAAGGGTGCCTCGTACGACCAGATCAAGGCCGCCGTCAAGGAGGCCGCTGAGGGTGACCTCAAGGGTGAGCTCTTTTCCTCCCGAGCATTTAAATACTGCCGTATGACTAAAGCTGACTTGTGACACTCTAGGTGTTCTCGCTTACACCGAGGACGACATCGTGTCCACTGACATGATCGGCAACACCAACTCTTCCATCTTCGATGCCAAGGCCGGTATCTCTCTTAACGACAACTTCGTCAAGCTCGTCTCCTGGTACGACAACGAGTGGGGTTACTCTCGCCGTGTCTTGGATCTCCTGGCATACATTGCCAAGGTTGACGCCGGACAGTGACTCGACAATCTCAAACTTTAATGAAGAACAAACCGGTGGTCGAGTCGGGACATTGGGATTGAGAGGTGACAAGGAAATAGTTAGCCCTCGATGGAAACGTTGATACGAAGCAGTGATTAGTACGAGCCAATGATATAGATCCTACGCCAAATCCACCTATGATGAAAGACTCGAAATTTCAAGTTCTCGTCCATTTTGTAACCCATCAACGCCATGAAAACAGCCCATATTTGCAAACATCTAGCTAATGTCCATCGCTTCGCCATGACCATTCGTAACCGCAAAATCGACGCCTCCATCATTGCCAATTAGCCTCTTCTCCGACGCATCTACAAAACTGACACTCCTGTTCGGGTCGTAGAAGAGTTTGAAGCTCCTTTGTACATCTTCGATAGTGACCTGCTTGGCCTTGCGTTTCGTGCAGATGAGCTGGGATGTGGTAATGAGGTTGCTGGCATAACGCAAACCTGCTTCTTGTCCAATCTTTGTCAATAGTGCCAAAGCATCTGGGGACATCTCAACCTCCTCTTCTTGCGCTCGGATAGTCAGGATCTTGTTAATATCGTCTGGCGCGTAAGTCTGGGTCTGAATAATGACGATTCGGTCCAGGAAGTCGAGCGGCAGACCGTGTGGACTTCGATAGTCAGTGCCCCTGATCTTGGAGTTGCCCCTGTTGCTGGCCATGATGACAACGGGTGCCAGATCCACCTCTAACGCGCGGTTGATGTAGCTGAAGCACTCGATGTCGAGCATGTGCACCTCGTCGATGAAGAGGACGCCGGGCACTATCTCAGCCTTGCCCTCTTCCTTCCACTCGGCAACCTTCGTATCAATCTGGTCCCTGATCTCACTGCGGATCTCGCCCGTATCACCACTGAATAGTGCCAGGAATCCTTGCGTGCGTGAGTTGATGACGTCAATCTCGTGCAAGCTGACCGTATGCACCACCTCCTTTCGCTTCTGCAGCTCTCCATCAGGACACTGCAGGAACTTGGTATCGACGCCCATGGCATCGTAGTCCCGACTACGAGCGTACGAGCGGCCCAGCTTGGTGATCTTGCCGCTGCTCTTGTCGATGCTGATAATGTCGCCCGCCATGACGCGCTCCTTGGTCATGGCGTCAATCATCTTGCCGCCCATGTCGTACACAGCCTCCATGTCAGTCGTCTTGATGGTCAGCTTGCCCTGCTTAGCGCCCCCCGTCACGCTGCGATCGATTTGGATCTCCACCACCTCGCCCTCCATGATTTCGGACTCTTCCTTAATGCGCACGCCGATCGACTTGCGGAACGCTTGCGTTAGGGCTTCCGTTTTGGACATCTCGAGCGAGAATATCTCGGAGGAGGCGAGTGAGGTGAAGGGGACGTCGGGGCCGAGCGATTGCGCCATGCCCATGGCTATGGCAGTCTTTCCTGTGCTACTCTGGGGTCAGCATGGACTGCAGCTTCAGAGGTGAATATCAAAAACTGTAGACATACCTTGGTGGACCAGCAATCAGTACTGCCCGGCCAGCAATCTTTCCAACCTTGATCATCTCCAGTATCACCGCTGCCGCTTTCCGCGCCTTCTCTTGTCCGACCAGACCTTGGGAATTCGCGCGTGGTTCCAAGGTTTCAGTATCGACGCCCAGGCCGCGGATATGGGAGTGGGCTGCGATGAGGTTGAGGCCTCGCAGCTCCTTGCTCTCGGAGACGGTCATCACGGGCTATTGTATACTGTTAGCTGTTTGATAAGCTTCAATGGAAGCGGGAGTTGGCATACAGTAGCCATCTTGACAATGGATGAAGCTTCGTTTCCTATGAGCTGATTATTTGTGGTGTAAGTCGCTGCCGTGGGTCGTGAGAGTGACCCGAAGCTTGATGCGATTGCGACAGATATCCCAGGGTTTTTTGCTAATGGCAAGGCTGCGCAAATTTCAAATGACTTCGATGGGCTGCGCGCGAGCTCACTGACAAGAAACACGCGTTGTGGCTGTTAATAAGAATCTCACTGTAGATGTGGCTGAAAGCGGTGAGATTTCAATTGAGAAATTAGGCTTCCAATGATTTTGCAGGGATTGAGCTTCAGGAATTGCTTCCAAGCTTCGTCTCTTTGTCTACTTTTGGACACCCGATCTAAGCATCCGGAACAACCTACACTGGAACTCCTATCAAGCAACGATTCTGTACTCCGTATCACAGACATTCCGTTCTGGCAAGTACGAGTTACCAACCATTGCTCTTTAGGTAGCCGCTATTCTATTCTATGTTTTCTTGTTCATCTCAATGCAACTCAATACTATAATTGTCACGGTCGAACTGCGAGAAGATCGAATGTTTGCTACACTACGATAAACCCTGCCCCTCCTCGGCGCTTATCTGTCATGCACTACCAGATGAAATATAAAACTTCAGTAGTCCATTATCACTTCGCCCTGGAGCTTTACCTGCATGAACGTCAAACCGAGTTATCTGCTGCCTACGAAAATTTCCGACTCTCCACTCTCCTATCTTTTGCAGTTGAACCTACCAGGCCACTTGCACTTCCGAGTTTAATCGCCAACTCCGCGAGATCTCGCGGTTTGAACCCTCAACGTCACGAAACCCTTCCATCACGTGCTAAGTTCCGGAGTGAGTCTTTGGGCGCGATCCTTATGCCAACGCCTGCTTTTTTGTCGAACTTCACGTCGTCCTTGTACATACCTAGGAAGTATGCGAGGGATGCGTTGACTGTACTTACTAGCTGAAGTACCTACCTTCCACCAACTTTCTCGACGTCGGCAACGCTCTAGACTTGTGTCGCGCGTACGCCAGCCACACTTTCTGATAGCTCACAATACTCCCAACACCGAACGACCGATTCTCGCACCAACCCGACAGATACCTAGGCATATTCCGGCCACAGGGCAGTCAATATACTAGTCGCGTGTACCTGGAGTCCCCGTCCTTCAATCTGTTCTGTCGCATACACACGGACGATATCTCACCGTCGATACGGCCCCGTGGGTATCTGCTAGTATATGCAGTTGCGCCGGTCTGAGCTACTTGCCCCCGCCGCCGTCGTTCCGTTCAACCAGAACATATCTTCAGCTTGGTTTGAGAGTTCTCGTTCGCGGCGACGAAAGCAATGCAGGCAGCCAGCAGTCTGCGGCGAGGATTCAGCTTAAATAGTTCTGGGCATTGAGGGGTAGCAACTATCAACCTACCAACGACCCGTCGGTCGGACAGATCAGATTCGCACCTTCCAACCCATCTTTTCCAACCAAGTAAACGGCTTGCTAGCGCCCCCAAACGGCCCCCCAACACATACTGACTTACTCTTATAGATTTTCTCAAAAACATCGCTAATAGCCACCGAAGGTCTCAATTGCGAATTCAAGCACCAGGCACGATGGCTTACAATAATAGAATACACAATGCTTATGCAGATGATAGGCGACATGACCGACATCCTTCGTGGAACGTTTGGAGGAAAGGCGACCCTCCGCTAAGTAGAGATCGGGACGGGGATCGCAACCGAGATTATGAGCGCGAGCGCGAACGCGATCGGGACAGATCTGCTAGGCGTACGTCTGACCTACACCGCGAGTTGAGGGACCGAGAATCAGACAGAGGCAGGGAATACGACAACGACATTGATTCCCGTCGGAGAGAACCCCAACTCAAGGTTAGCATTCCGGATGTCCAACCCCGGGGAACCGCAACATCTTCGATCGGCTCGCTATCTAGCTCCCGTGCTGCTCCGGCAGGACGACCACCACCGACAAAACCTGGTAAGTCTCTCCTAACTGACATAAGTCAGCAGCGTCCAGTGAAGTTAACATAACGGGAAGCTGCTGATCAAAGCAACACTGCCCCATCCACTCCAAACCCATCAGTGCCAGCTCCTCCAGAGGCGAGAGATCCCCAATTCCAGGAACTTTTCGGGTTGTTGTATCAACTAGGCGAAATACAACATAAGCGCACTCGGTTGATATGGCAGGGAGACCAGCTAAAAAAGGAGATGCAACGTCGAGAGCGTGATGCTGCCAAATTCGGGGCCAACTCTGACAGGGCAGCTGACTTCCCCTCCGTGTTAGAAGTTGCGAAGCAAATTAAAGAACGAGACCTAGCGGAAGTTTCCCTGTTAGAAAAGAGAAAACAGTCTCTTGATCAGACGTACTTGCAAATTCTCGAAGCTTCAGCTAAGGAGGTTTACAGCCTGAATCGCGCAGAACAACAAGCGCCGTCAACAGCTGTTGTCCCAGCAGCATCAGCTTCGTCCATGTCCAACCTGGAGTCTAAATTCGCCGAGTTTCAAAAGCAATTCTCGCAAGCCCAGCATCAAATCGCGGGGCTTGAATCGAAGCGTCAGAAGTCGGATGAGGCCATTGAGGAGCTAAAATCACAGAATGCCGAGCTGAAATCGGAAAATGCCAAATTGAAGGAAGACGTAGAATCGCTGGTTTTTAAGATGGCCGCCGCCGAGTCAAATCTTGTCGACTTGGGGAACAACAAGGCGTCTTTGGCCGATGTCGGTGAAGTCGTTACCCAAATCGGTGGTCTCACTCACCAGCTTGAGTTACGGCAACAAGAAATTCAACAAATCGGGAATCGGACCGAGGAATTCGAGACAACATACAAGTACTTATCCTCGTCTATAAGCAAGATGGATCAAAAAATCGCGAACTACGGAGATGAGATTTCAGTCGTCAAGGATAAAGTCGAAAATCTTGACATCGGTTCGTTGGACAACATAGTGGACTTATGGATTTCCCTAAAACTGCCAGAAAAGCTGCAGAAGTGGGTTTCCCTAGAGCTCCCAGAAAAATTGCAAAGTTACGATACGCAATTGCTTGCTCTTCGATTCAAGGAGCGCGAAACTGAGGCAACTCGTCATTCCAACTCCCACGGCAGCCTCGGGAAGGATATGGCAATGTTCAAAATGCTTCTAGAAGAACAAGGCAAGAAGCTGGAAAATCGGATGATAAATGCCATAGGCGAGCTCCAAAGATGCCTGGACAAGTCGGGCGACGCGTGTGCGACGATGGTCGACGACTTGTCGAGCAGAGTTGCAAAGCTGGAGACACAGCCACAGAACGTCGTATCATCAAGAACTCTTGCCCTGACCCCTACACTCGAGACTCGTATCTCGAATCTTGAGAAGGAAGCTAGGAACAGCCCTAAGCCCATGACCGACCGGAATGTAGAGACGCGGCTAAGACGCCTGGAGGAGCAAAACTTGGAGGAGCGCATGAATCAAGAAGTGGTCGCCATTCAGCAGCTCTTTAGTGTGGTTAATTCGAACGTCAACCACGTCAAAGCTGATATTAACAACCTGAATCAGTGTTATAAGTCCCACGATTTGGCCATCGCGTCCTTCAGCGAGCAAATCAACAACATATTCACCAAGCCATTTGCGGACCTGGTCCTCAAGCAGTTGGACTCGCTAGCACACCGGCTTGCACCAAGGATTGATGCTAATGAAAAAAGGATGAAGTTCGTGCTGGATGAGTTGGAATCCGCCAAACGTGTCATAGGCTTGCTGCCGCAAAAGAGATCGGCTTCTCCTTCGGGCAGAAGAGCATCGGAAGATGGAAGCAAGCGGAGACGGGTTGGTGAAGTCAACGGCGATGAAGCACCTATGAACGGCGGACACTAATGGTCGAACCCGCATTGCGCATGATCTATCAACGCACATTATCAAAAGCACACGTCCTTCCGGGGATGAAGGCTAACCACATACTGCCCGGATGTAAATACCGGAGTATCTACATGGATTGCTAGCTACCTTGCACAGTAGCTAGTATGAGCCTACGTTGCAATTCGGGGTATGCATTAATATACAGATCATGTAGTGTTTACTATAGGACGGAACAGTCCGGGAAAGAGTGTGGGCACACTGGCACACCAAACGAAGCGAATTTCTACTGCAAAGAGAACTTCTCCATTAAGAATAATCAATCGTGGCTTTCAACCGTTTTTGCAACCAAGGTTCGGCCCCTGGGCCCCGGAGACGGCATGGCGAAAGGTTTGTGGGTTTGGCTTTAGATAGATACCACATAACAAATTCCGATATTCTGAGCACTGAAATATATATGAACAAAATGTATCATGTCGCTATGTGCTTTTTCTCTTTTCCACAAATCAGAATGCCGTCTAACCTCGTCTCTGTAATTAAATCGCCATTTACGGCACGATGACCCAAAAATTGTGGAGCACAGCATGTGATTTTCGTCATCTATAATAGCTTAAGTCCGCCTGTCACCTGATCCACTAGACTCTTCGGTGCTGGCCCAACGCCCAATACCGTCAAACTGCCCGGGTCGATCTGAGTACGGCCGGCGTCTTGGATAACTTCAGCCGTGATGCCCAGGCTCCGCGCCTTGCCCATCAGCACCAGGAGCTCTTCTTGGGACTTGACTTGTACCGCGATCTTGGCCTGACCGAGGCGCTCCCACCGCTTCAGGATCTGGCCCTCGGACGAGGTGGGTGACTTTTTGGACATGGTCTTGTAGCAGGCGAGGGTGGCGTGCGAGGCTTGCGCAGCGATTTTGCCTGTCAAATGTCAGCTGGAGAGCTGGCAGGAGGTGTACACGCATCGAACAAAGCAGCACTTACCTTTGGTCATTCCCAAATCAGTCCGCACAACGAGGACAAGCTTGCACTCCTCGTTTCCCTTCACCATTGCCGGATTAGTTGCCGGCTCGGCGACATTAATCAGCTTGTCCGCCTTATTCTTCTTCATGTTCTTCTTCGTGGCCTCGGCGCGCAGCCCATCCCGCCGGTCCGCTTCGGCGCCGTTGGCCCAGTTGGGCGCATGGTCCAGGATGGTGTCGTCGTCGACATCGGATTCCTCGCTCTCGACCGGGTCGGTGAGGTTGTGTTTCCGCTCATCGGCGAGCGCGGGCGAAATGAGGTAGCCCCGGATCGAATAGACGCCTAGCAGGAACCCCGAGATGAAGACCACCACTGAGGTGCTGATTATGATGGACGTTGGCGTCAGGTCGCCGGGCTTATGCGACATTTTGAGCGGTTGTATCGCGAAAGGAGAGAGAGCGCGAGGAACAGGTGAAAAGAGGGTTCGGATCCGAGGGCCTCTAGAGGTCGGCGCAAAAATGTAGTATTGGATCCCACAACTGCGGCTATTTAAATGTTGACTCAGGCCGCCGCTATTCCAGTACAGTAAGGCTGATATAAGTCGGGGCACAAAGTCGAATTTTCATTTCCATTTCTATTTCATAGGCCATTTAGACAAGGGACGAACTTTTGGTTTGGACCCCGCGTCAGCCTTGCATGGAGAGTAGGATCAAAGACAAGTGACACACCATCTGTACCCGTGACACACCCCACTTATTTCGGATTCGCTTGAGCTCACCAACCTAAGTTGGTGCTCACCACCAACTTGGCCAGTTTTTCGACACTTTCAACTTCAACCTATCCTATCTTCGTCAATTCATTAGCTTTTTCCAATCGCAATGGACTCACAGCTACAGGAAGCCGTCCTCTACATGCAAGAGGATCCTCAAGCCAAAATTGCCAAGATTGCGCGAGAAAGCGGCGTAAAACGCGAGACCCTCCGATACCGCGTCAAGCAAGCTGGGAAGACTAAGAACCACGGAGGACTCAACAAACTACTATCTGAAGCCGAAGAAAAGGCCCTCTGTAATTACATCGACCGCCTTGATAGGATCAATCTTGCGGTTCGCGTAGAATTCGTTACCGACGCTGCAAATACGATATTACGTGAGAGAGTCAAGGTTCTACCAAATCAGCCACCACCAATAGTCGGATCAAACTGGACTACACGTTTCCTCAAGCGCCATAGCTACTTCCACGCTTCCCAGCGGAAGCTCCATTCAAACCGCCAGACTGCTGAAAACCTCGACACTATAAGAGAGTATTTAACACGGCTTGAGAGAGTCCTCCGGGAAGAAGGAATCGATCCCTCTGATCTCTGGAATATGGACGAGACTGGCTTCCGGATTGGTGTTGGTAAGGATCAACTTATCATCACTAAGCGCAAGAGGGCCCATTATTTCGGCCTACCAGAAAATAGAGAGACAGCGACAGCTATTGAAGCTATCTCTGCTGCTGGCGACGTAATACCAGCTTTCCTCATACTCACGGGGACTATCCACTCGGCTCAGTGGTACGCGCAAGACCTTCATTTGGGATGGATGTACCAATATAACCAAGCTAGAGTTCCTCTCAATTATCGAAAATGTACGCAAAAAGACCTTCAAAGCGAGTACTATCCAGTCAGCCTTCAAGAAAACCGGTATATATCCATTTTACCCTCATCCAATACTACAAGAGATTGAAGAACGTATACCAAAGACGCCATCACCACCACCAGCCCCTTCATCTTCGTCATATGAAGGTACACCTACTACTTTTCGACAAATTAATAAAGTAGCTAGCAAGATTACGAACTGTCTTACTGATCCAGAGCTTGGTATTAGTCCAGATCTAGCCTACCGACTCAGTCGCTTTGTTAAAGGGTCCCTCGTTAATGCGACCGAGCTTATACAGAATAAGCGCGATCTTAGCCGTACAAAGTACGCCGAACGTATATCAAAACAACGGCGCGCTACGAAGAACTATCATCCTCAATCTGGTGGAGTTTTATCCGTTGCAGAAGGTGGAGAGATGGTGAAGAGGAAGGTTGAAGATGAGGTAGCTAAAGCACAGAGAGTTCTCGCCAAGTATCATGAAGGACTACGTAGAGTAGCCAAAAAGAGCTTTTATGATGCCGCAAAAGAAGCTAGAAGACGTCGATTGACAGGCCAATTACAGCCTACAGATGTCTTCGAGACAGGCCTTGGTTGGCGGTTATTACGTAGATTCTAATTGAGGGTTGAAATCTGTCGAAAAACTGGCCAAGTTGGTGAGCTCAAGCGAATCCGAAATAAGTGGGGTGTGGCACGGGTAGGGGTAGTGTGAAGAAGATCGACCGGTTCAAGCTCAAGCATCAAGCTTGCATGCCGATGTCACCGATGTGCCGATGCGGGTCATCCAGTCGCGACATCTGGGTCGAGCAAACTTGAGTTGACTCCTGAGCTGTAAAGAGGAGCTGGCAACAAAACTTGTCGGTTTGCGACGACATTCTTAAGTTACCTGCATAGCAATTCGCACGACTGTTCGACTGTACCTCGTGCCCTTATGCAGTTCAATCCAAGTGCAGTTGGTTTAAGGGTCGAGACTGCCTCTCCGATGCTCAAAGTCGGCAGTGGAGGACAGAATACTTGAGTAAATACGTAGGCCGCCGCGAACGATATAAGATGGCAGAACCCCTTATCCTGATATAATCGACTGCAGACCTTAATCATTCAACCTAGATGCAGGACCAGTCGGCACACGAAGAAGCGTCAAGTGCTATCGACATTTTCGTGGTTCGCCAGATCAGATCGAATTGATGTCGCCAAACCAGACGCCGCTAGTCCTAAAAGAGCAGCCGACCGCACCTCTTGCCCGGTGGAAGACGGCCCAATGAAGCGGGTAGGTGAAGCCAGGTACACCCAACCCAGAAGCCGCAGCAAGCTTAGCACTGGTGAGCCCCATTCTGTGGCCTTACCTCAACCCCGTTGTCTCTGAGTTTGGTCCCATGGCGAATGGCACCCTTGCATTTCCAAGGTCCCCGTAATCGTAGTGTCTTTTTCCTAAGTCTCATCACGAATCAACCACGAGTGTCTGACTCTCACGGCTTCCGTCACCCACGCGATCACGATCGTCTAGAGTGCCAACCATCTTCAATCACCACGACCGCCATCTCATAACCCATTTTCGCATCCATCAACGCGGTCCAATTCGATGGGCGATGCGCAGGGCCGACCGTCGCATGGGCTCATTGGAGGTCGGATAAGACGTCAGAAGCAGGAGCACTCCTCGCGTATCGAGTAGTCTTAGGAGCTGCAACTGCACCACCACACCCCGTTAGTCCCCTGTGCAGCGCAACGCACCGTGGCTCGACCGAAGCGAACGGTGCGTTTTGATACTACTATTCAAAATCCGGCTTGTTCGAGACAACCCATTATTCTAGTGTTCTTCTTTTCTGCTTTGTCTTGTCAGCGTTCTCCACGCATCATCCATAGTCCCGTTTGCAACTGGACCTCCCGCTAAACTTTAAATCCAGAACGAGACAGGACACAAAGAAAGTACCTCGCCACACGTGTATGACCACATTTCACCTCTGTGCGCAACTGCCCGAGGTTGCATGAGAACAAAGAGGATGGAGGCGTCAGTCAAATCGATTGAGAGTCTTGTCAGCGCTTTACCCGGCCGCCCTCATCATCTCTCCATCTCGGCAACCTCCCAATACCAGCAGCGTCCCAGAGACCAACGGCTCGAAGAAGAAGCCTATCCGCGTCTCGAGTATATGACATTTCTGCATGACGTAGATCGCGGCGTTCTCCTGACCAGAGCTTACTTCGATATTCGCAAAGATCCCGACGAGACAACCAGCAATGCGCCCAGTCCCCCGAAACCTCGATCCGACCCAAACAAACCCGTGACCAAGCTGTCCCTGAAAGACTATAAGAATAGGAAGAAGGAAACGACGCCGCCCGCTGAGTGCAATTCGCCCATAAAAGGGGGCGCGCCGCAGGCCAATCTGCCTGTGACCAAGGCGGGTAGGGAAAAGCCAGCAGCAGCCTCAAAGAAGCAAGCAGAGCCGGCTGCTCTTGTCGCAAAGGAGATGGAGCGAAGGCCCGAGCCTAAGAAGCCCAACCCGAACCTACCTCCGAAACCTGAAGTGCGCCGGCCGCGAAGCCCTTCGCTGGATAAGAGAAAGCGCCCCATCGACGCACGCGACGACAGGCCACAAATTCGCAGCAGCAACGAGAGCCTTGCGCCAGTCGCGAGCAATGCTCGTCTCCCAGCAAAGCCAGAAATAACGCATACCGTGGAAAGGCAGGCCTCCCACGAAAAGAAATTGTCCAAGGATCTGAAGTCTTCGGCCGCCTTGACAAACGGAAGATCAGTACTGAGCAACTCTTTCAATCATGGAGCCTCTCCGCGACTCGCCAGCCAAGTCAATGGGTCCTTACAGAAGGCTCTCAGCAGCCACCACAATACGTCGAGGAAGGAAAAGGCCGAAAACATGATGCCCAAGCTGGGTGGGCCTGTGCCTCCGTTATTGTCGCCCTTGCACCTATCCAACCTGGATCAATCAGACGAGCTAAAATCATCGCGTTCAACCCCGACAAAGAGACCCACCGAGAAGGATGGAGCTCAAACCAAGCAACCGCTTAAGAGGCCGCGCGATGAGACTGACGCTTCACCTGCTCCGAAGAAACTAAAACCTAACTCAAAGATCCCGCCGCTTCTTTCACCTACCCTACCGCCCCTGGTGATGGAAGAGCTGGCTAAGTCAAGGAAATTGACCCCTCCCAAAGACTCCAGCCAAAAAAGTAGCGTGGCTTCGAATTCACCAGGTAGTGCGAAGAAGACTGTGCCCAAGCCTGTAAAGGAAGATACCATCTATGTTGATAGCACAAACACGGACAAAAAGGAAGATTCACCTAGTTTGATCGTGGTCATGAAATACAAGAGGAGCGTAGGGAAGACGGTAGCCCGACTACTTGCTTTGGCGCCCAAGAAGAAGCCCGAAACAGTCAAGAAGGATGCGTCGGAAGTTCTCAAGAAGGAAGACCGCGTGGGCCGTGAACGATCTGATAGCGCTAACAGCGTTGGTTACAAGCGCCCTCGTGCCTCAACGGATGTGGTTGAGCCGCCAATGGCTACCAAGCGGCCGAGAACGTCAGATAACCCACCTCCGCCTTCAACGCCTTCGAAACAGGCCACAGCCATGCAGCGCGTGGCCTCCAGTAGCTCCCAAGCGGGTACGCCAGGTGCAGGAAACAGTCTCACGCCTGCGGCACCAACCTCAAGTGATCGTCGCTTAACGTCAGTTGACCCAGAAAAGATGATGCGGCTGAAAAAGCGGCATCATGACTTCATGAATCTGGGCATCAAGTTGAAACACGACAGAGATGCCATTCTCAAAACGAAAGATGGGAAACCCCCGCCGAATCTCTCTAGTCGAGATCGCAACGTCGCCATGGCGGCCGCGATCCAGTGTGCTCTCGCCTACATGCTGAGCTTTAAAGCAATGGACGATGCTCGGGACGTTGAGCGCAAACAACGAGACCCGAACAGTTGGAAGGGTTTATTACCGCTCCTTCGTGTCTACAGGCTCGACTTGCAGTCCTCCAATCCCTTGTCCGCATTGTTGCTTCGGCTGCATGGCGTCTGCCTCGTTTCGTACGGAAGAGCATTGGTAACGATCGGCCCCGAGAATGCCTCAGCTGCTCGAGACCTCTTCCAACTGTACAAGGACCAGGACCAGACTTGGCGCCTGGCGGACAATGCAAGACGAACGTTGGATGGCAATTCAGGTTCAGACGATAGCGGATTGGTCGCTAAGCTCATCAATCGCATTGGACCCTGGACTAGTCCTGAAGAAGCGGTTCCTGTCTCGCTTGATATCCTGCGAAAGGTCATCCGTGAAGTCAAATTCACAGCCGTGCGCCAATTATCTGAACTATCCGAGTCAATGGCCAACGGGTCGCGGAGCTGAAAGCGATCCAGCCCAACTGACAAACCTGAAGTAAACGGGGATCCGTTTGTGTGATACACGCACCACGAGGATTCCTAACAGCGAAACGCACTTGTCATTGCTAGTGTACATTATGATATTGACGAGATACCATGCTTCGCTTTACACGACTGCTGTTGCAGACACATATGGTTCTTGGCGATGGAAGAACCGGCCGCGGTGGACCATAGATAGAAATGGACGAATCCAAGGAGGGAACGGTCAGCCGACAGGACTGCATTTGTTGCCCACAAAGCTTCGGCGTTCCAGTCATTTTGAAAGGTGTTGGGAAGAATATGTGAGGTCGCCATATTAGACCGAACCTGATAGCGGAAAGCGATGAGTTGCTGATTTTTTTTTCTACTTTGATAACGACCAAATCTGGAAGGGCCGTTTGCGTTTCTAGGAGTCCAGAGTGGGAGGGAGTTCAGAGGATATCTGGCCCGACGGACGAGCTGAAAGGGCTGAAGAGAGTAAATTAGGGCTACTTGTGCTTTGATGATATCCCCACGGCTTAGCCGAGCAATGGTACTACAATAATGTTGTAAACTTGATTTCCCGTGTTCTTGAAGAAGTTTCGACGTGTACATGCAATGTCTTGGCTCGTTGTCAAACCTCGAGTGAAGTGAAGTTTCTGGATGGTTCGTACCTACTCGGGGATGGATGAAGTGAGAATATGACAAGCCGTCCTCTCATCACTTGAAATTTGCTGAGCGGGTTAGTGGATCGAGGGTAGCAGTGATGAGTATATATACCATAGACCAACGTCTTAGACGCGACTTTATTGAATTCTCTCTTGCTGGATACTGGAATAGGACCAAGTAAAAGTGGCACGATAGACATAATCGAGGAGCAGCCGACTTACTGCGCTCAGATCCTGCTCTTGGGCTGTTTCCTGACTCTGGTATGACTACCGCTTTCCGATTTCTTCTGCTACGATACACGCACTCTTTTGTAGGAAACAAGAAGTTATGATGCTACAGCTAGGTATGCATTCCTTGAGGGATTGCGTCATTTTCTATGTACCCATCATATCCCCGTTACTATTTTATGGCCCTCCCAAGTATACATCCTCCCAGACTGCTTAATCTGTAACCCGCAGGATGATGCATAGACTGTGTGGAGAGAATCTCATGTGGAGCTCTTGGAAGATCTGTAGCGTCGACGTCGTCGTCCGATTCCAATCGTAGCCCGTCGGCTATCTCGTTGATGATGCCTTTTGCCCATCTAGGCCTTCGATGGACTTTAACTCATGGCTGGTCAGTATGGCCTGGCGAATATGATCTAACCTAGTCGTAAGCTGTTGGCAGGCGCAGACCATGTCGAATGCCTGCAGGTACCCGTCGATATATGATTTTGGGGCGCTCTTCCCGCACGGGTATGAGAGAAGCTGGCGGCTGCTTGCTCGATTCTCTCGTTGGATTGTTTGTTCGGCTCAGATATGAACATCTTGACTAGTAGAAAATGCTTTTCTTTCATACTCATCACGGATTCACCAGAAATTGTGTAATTGTGTAATTGTAGAGGTATGCTACCATTTCCTGTAACAAGTCGTTCTTAAAGCACTGCCCATATTGACGGGGTAGGCAGCAGAGACGCTGGGCTTGGTCTCGGAAAATTGCGTCCGAAAAGAGAGACAGAGAAAGATCAGTCTAACTGGAGAGGAAACAGCATTTTCATAGCTACTCTCTGGTGGCTCCTGTTTAAGTCGACTTGGCGTAAAGCTCACGAGCTCGAAGAGAATTCAGGGCCAGAACTGCGTTATTGAAAACCATACCGAGGTCATAGGAGTACCTTAACGTTAACGTTGCTTGTCCGAATTAAGGGATGGGTTACCGACGACATGGTGCCGTTTGAATATTAAACTCATGAAACGATGGTCATTGAAGCCACCCATGGCACCTTTCCAGCGATTCGTTGATTATTAGACCGCAACTCCCTGGACGCTCCAAACATTGGTTCTCAATGACCACATGATGTTTGTATGGTAGCTTACGGCTCTGTCGGCCCTTAGAGGGTTTTATTCATGTCTATCTGGTGTTAGGATGTTGGACTAGAACTTTTGCAAGCGGCAATATACGCCTCCTGCCCAACAAGTCATTGTATCCTCCCGTGATACCCAAATTCTGATCCCTGAGCTACATAGTCACATCAGAGATTTCTCCAAGATGGTACGTGATGGAAGACGACTTATGGGAAAGATATCTGCCAAAGGCCACCTGCCGATACCAAGTTTCGAAGCATTCCGCTCCGTCTCACCTCAACGCACCCGTCCACGCCGCTCCCCTCCACGGTCCATTCTCTCGAGATAAGCATCACAGCAACTGCCCTACCTTGTCCTGGAGAAAAGGAAACAATATATTCCCTATCGTTCAGAGACGGTCCTGTAGCCAAGAGGGGACCAAAAAAAAGACTTTGGGCCCAGCGGCACGGTCACTGAACGGGCAAATGCTGAGCTCATCCTCGCTCTTTTGGGGCACGACGCGAATACGCAATATTGAAAGTGATGATTCCATAGGAAAGGCAAACATCATGCGGGTTCCAGTGCCGTACTTCGCAATTCAGACCCGCTACAGATACAGTGATGTACTTTGAATATCCCCACACCCTGGGGTATCCCGGGTTGGGAAGGTTCCTTCAGGGGCCAGCTTATAGTCGCTGAGATCTAGTTGTGTTCGCATTCCGTATTCGAGGGTATATCAAGTCCTTCGTAAATCATATAAAGCTGGCAATCCGACTCCAGCTATCATCACCGACAGCTCTGAACTCAATGCCCTCCCCGAAATAGCCAGCATCTTGCCAGGCTTTCATAGTTGGACCATCGTAAGGACCTTGCTTATCAGCGTCATCTCTTCCATCCGTCCACCTGTACTCCCACATCTTCGCAGCTGCATTGTTCTCAGCTTCTGGTGTTGGCTCTTTCCAGGGCTCCTGTGTTTCCCGGGTCCATTCTCGCACGAGACGCTCTCGCACCCGATCGTATATGTCTGGCCGGTCTCTTCCCAGTAACTTGTCTGCGGAATCTGTTATGGCATCGATGGCCTCTTTGATGCGAATCTGCTCTGGGCTCTCTTCAGGCTTCTCGGCATCCACATCCATGGCATCTTTTTGTTGTTTCTTTTGCTTCCACTTAGGGACCTTCTTCGGTTTCGTCTGGTTCTTGCCAAGTCTGGCTAGAGCTTCCAGGGCGGTTTCGCCTCGCTCTAACCTCAATGCCAATGCTTTCAAGAGATCTGACGTCAGCAAGTCGTCCTCCTCTCTCCTCTTTTGTCGCATTTCAGCCTCGCGCTTCTCATGCGCCTCGGCTGCTTTCTTCATGTCCCTCTTGCTGAGACCTTCGAGCCAGCGGTCATGTTGAGCATCGCGATCTATTGCTTTGCGGACGAAGTTTCCAGCCTCATCGAAGCGCCCTTCCTCTTCCTCGGCTTTGAGATTGAAGGCTTCAACCTTGGGCGCATGCTTCTTCAGACCGCCAGCACCGATCTCCTCATCCACATCTTCTTCTTGTATAGCCAGTTGAATCGTCTCTTCATCATCGTCATCAGAAGATTCGTTGTCCAGCCGGACATGACCTCCACTCTTTGACCTCAAATCCTGACCTTCAATCTGATCTACGTCTAGAAATCTGACTTCCTTGCTCTTCTTTCCTGTGGTATCGTCAACTGTGTCGTCTTTCGCATCGTCATCCGCCTCGGCGAACATGTCGTCCATGTCTGCGTCATCCTTGGGTTTGGATTTGCCAGTACTCCTCTGGCCTAGCTCCTCGCGGTCCGAGTCTGAATCGTAGCCATCAATATTCACAGCTCCTCGTTTTGTCGCCGCAGTGCCGCGAATGACGTCTAAATCTGCTTCCAGAAAAGCATCGTGCGCATCGTCTTCCTCTTCAGCATCTGGAGCAAGGGCAGATGGATTGCGCACGTCGAATTTGACCTTCTTTGAATCAGGCTCCGCATTGGCGTTGTGGTGGGCACGAGCATAGTCCTCGCCGGCGCGTTTTGGGCGAGCAGCGCTGAATCTAGAAGACATTGTGCTGATTTGATGTTTCTGTTGTCGAACGAACAAGACTTGGGCGCCTCGAAGAGATGAAGAATAGGTACTTACTTAGCTCAGCAGTGGGGCGACAGCTGCTCAGGGTCCCCGCAAGCTACTTTTAGTGAAGCTACCCTTGCGGAGCCGCTCGGGCCATGCGAATCCCTGTAGAATCCCCAGGCTGCATCTAGCGGACATGTTTCGTCATCACGCTGGAGCGATCAATTGCGTGAAGCTTCCAAAGTTCGCTCCAGTATCTCTGAAACACGATCTTCGACTGTCTGTGTCACTCTCTCCATATCTCTGCAACAATCACATGTGCAGAAACACCAACTGGTCAATATAATTCACCTAATCCGCAGGAATCGGCAGACAGCATGGTCGGTCATGATCAGAATGTCAGAACCTCCCGTGTTAGGCACCACTAACTCGTATTCATAGTATCGCACACCATTCGACCCCAACGACCCCGAACAAATGTACAACATGGCGCGAGCTGGTATGACGCGCCGGCCGGCCATGCAGCGCTTCGACGAATATTTCCGCAGCTACCCATTGGTCATGGCCCCCGGTGCTGAACGACCAGAGCTTAACTACGGCTCCAAGATCCTCCTGCCAGTGTCGTCCCTCGACAAGATCTCAAGACTGCATGTTCAGTGGCCGCTAACGATGGAGCTTGTCAATGGAGAGAAAGAGCGACATACCCACGCTGGTGTGCTGGAGTTTGTGGCCGAGGAAGGAAGAGTGTACCTGCCACAATGGATGATGCAGACGCTGCATCTTGAGGTTGGCGACATGATTCAGATAAAGTCTACATCGTTGGCCCCAGCCAAGTTCGTCAAGTTGCAAGCTCAGGCTCCCAACTTCGTCGAGATTAGCGATCCCAAGGCAGTACTCGAGAAGGCTTTCCGCAACTTCGCCACGCTCACTAAGGGTGATGTGTTCAACTTCGAGTACAACGACGAGATCTATGATATGGCCGTGTTGGAGGTCAAGCCCGAATCGGAGAAAAACGGTGTCAGTATGATTGAGACCGACGTTGAGGTGGACTTTGCGACCCCACTGGGCTACGTGGAGCCGGAGAGAACCAAAGGCAGTGGTACCAGCACACCCAGAAGTACGAGAGGATTGCCGGCTGGTGGACTGCTTCATAATCAGGGAACTATGGCTCAGTCCATCAACTATGACGCCCTCGCCCCGAACTCAACTACTGCTGCTGCTGGTGCACGAGCAGTATCATCACATTTCCTCAGTGAAGGCCATAAGCTTGTCGCCAAGAAGGGGTCTAAAGCACCCACTCCCAAGCCGTCAACGCCAGTAGCAGGAAAATCATCCAACACGGTACCCATTCCACGCCGCACCACGAACGGGCCTCTACCTTTGCGTCTCCCTCCCAACAAGTTATTTTTCGGGTACGAAATCAAGCCAGTGAAGACAGATGCAGACAAGGAAGCGGAGAAGGAGAATGCCTCCAGGCCACACTTTATGGGCCAAGGCCAGACCTTGAGAAGCGGAGCAGTCAAGAGAAAGAGCGATCAGGAGGAGAAGCCCAAGGCACCCGAAAAGAAGCCAAGTGAAGGACGGAGATTGGATGGGCGAAAGATATAATTGGCTCATGACATATTGCGGCGTGGCGTTTACGGGGAGGGGAATGATATTGCTAGCTTGGCACAGCAGCACTCTAGACTCATGGCATGAATGAAGTTTGCTTTCTTCGACACTATCACGCGTAAATGCCAATACGTATGGTAGGTTTTGATTGGTGACGCCAATTTTATAATCAACTGAACGTGACCATACACTTATCGTAGCAATTGTGCTCACACTGACCTGGGACGTGGTCTATGATACTTGGTATCCAAATGCCATCATTCGACAAACCTGGGTTTGCAGCCTCTTGTGCGTAGAATTACTAGTATAGCTCACACCGACCTTCGATGAGAAGTCAGCCAATTTGCAATTTGAAGGATCTTACCATTCCGTGTCCTCCATGATGACACACACAGTGTTATATGGTCAAACTGACACGGTACCACGGGGCCCCATATATTCATGTCGGGCATCAAGTCGGTCAACCCTGCCGTTCACCTTTAGGTGCCCTCTTGAGGTTACACCACCTATTTATTTCAATGGCCGTCTTTATGGAATGCGCAGAGTCTACGGAATGCTTCCGTTTTCTTTCTCTCCCTGCTGAGATTCGAGCCAATATCTACGACCTCATATTGTGCGGATTTCCGGACCCACAGTTTGTTTTCGAGAGCAATGGAGGGTACGTTGTGGTGCCAACTCGGATAGCTTTCATCCAGCACCACATTGAGACAGCCATTCTTCAAACCAGCCGTCACATTTACGCTGAAGCTAAGGAAGTCATGTTGAAAGGAAACCAATTTGGTCGAATTACGTCTCATGGGGTGCACTTGAAGCCCATTGTGGTGTCCAAGCAAATTCCCGTTATTACAACGAAACCTGGTATCATTGCCTCTTTCAATGGTTTCTCTATGACTCATGATATCAGGACAAGTGAAGATGCTGCTCTACCAAGCCTCGACTTGATGATACTTGGTCGGGATCTCGATCTCTTCTGCCAGGGGCTTGCCAGAGCCACTATCATCACACCCAAGTTTTCTACACGCACAAGGCACGCCATCACGATACATAAATATCCATTCGAAACAATCTCAAAGACGAGCTTCTTGGATCTGGAAACCCAGAAAAAACTCTTACATCCCTATCGTCAACATCTTCACGGCTTCAGCTCCTTCAAGATCGGAGGATACGTCTCGCCGCAACTCGCCCAAGCTGTGGTGGCACAAGTCAACGAGGAACTAGTACCGGATCCTCAAGAGTTTTTCTATGAAATAGTCCGCCAAAAAGACCTAGGAAACCGATATTTTCGCGAGAACGATGGATCGAAGGCTTCGGAAACCTGGTGCAAGGCTCTCTTCCAAATCCACAAGCTCTGCAGCAGCAATGTCTGGCCGAAAGTCAAAGCGAAGGGGGGACCTGACTTTGCCAACACTCTCACGGAGCTCTGCTACCAGTTGAACAGCAACAGGGCACAGCACACCATCCGTGCGATGATTAAGGCCACGGACTCAGCCTTGGTCGTACGATACTCGGGGAGTGCGTACCATGCCATCAACTCTGCTCTGGGGGCGCCAAATATTGTGGGAACGAAATGGAGACCCACGCCCCAGCAACAAGCTAACCTAAGTTTCAATACAGGCTGGCTTTGGCGCATCGACTGGCTAAGGATTCTGTGAATACTGCGGAAAGGGCTATCCTCCTTGCACATCGACTTGCGCCTGGAGATGAAGCAATTTGCCGGGAGAAGGATGAAATCGCTCGGTGGAAAACTCGAGGATACTGATCGCTTGTGCAAAAGGGCACTTCGAGAGCTGTGATCTCCTCAGAGAAAGTCACAAAGGCAAATTCGACCAGTTTCTTCCCGCCAAAGAACGCACGAGGTGCCTTCTAGATCACTGGTGTAAGAGCAACTCGCTCCTTTTGGCGCTAGTCCCACTTGATGATATTACTGAAGGTATCGGGTTTCATCGGGACTATCGTCGTCCCAAATCGACCTCAAATTATTCATCGTTTCGCAAAATCATCATCAATTGTTGCATCCGTCATCCCTGTGTGTCGCGTGTCGGCGGCATCCTTTATTCTGAACTCCCAGCGAAGGCTACCCATTTCTCAACCGCGACAATGGCTGAGATCGACCCAGGATGGGATAAAGAAGAAGACCGTGCGCTGGTCTAACCTAGGGTATTATAGGCACGGACGGGCTGTCATATCTTGAAATTCAGCCTGAGCAGCGGGCAGCAATAGAACGCATATTCCAGCAATTGCTTCCTGAATCTACATTTGGGCTGGATGAAATGCAGTGAGTAGGCCATCTTCATGGTAGGATATAGGAGCATGTCGTAGCTAATGGGATAGCACTGGGTGCACTGGATGTACTGGAGTCAACGACTCAAGACCAATTCAAACTCCACGCTGACGTGAGCAGGGAAAGGATGGGTATGCAGCCTGCAGTTCCCAACCCAGAGGAGTCTGTCGTCGACCCCCGCGTTCTTCATACCCCCGGCGCTGCTGTTCCCTCCCCAAAGAAGTCTTTCGTCAACCCGCACAATCTACATCACGCTGGCCCTGCTGACCACTACACAATGGAGTCATTCATTGACCCTGGCGTTCTTCATTCCCCTGGTCTCACCTATGATACCAACGGCCATTCCACGCCGAACTCTTCAGAGGACGCGCCTCATGAACCTGATGGTGAAGTATCGATGCTGCCGTTGGTAACTGAAAGCCAGCAAGGAGCTGAAGATGTGCCAGAGCAACACGGTGGCTGCACAAAGGGACGAGAGGACGGATATAAAGCTGGACAAGAGGCCACCTAAGAATTTGCCAGAAATGCCACACGAGTGATGGCCGAGCTTCAATGGCCTAGATACGATCAGAGTACCGGCCTTACATTATTGGCCATGGTACTGGGTACCAGGCCGGTCATACAAAGGGCCACAAGGAGAGTTTTGAAGAGGATCTGAAGAAGGGGAATTGAAAAGGTCACGTAGATGCTGTCGTACAGGGTTATGAGCAAGGTCTGAGGAAGTTGAAGATACAGGGAATATGCAGGGGGGAAAATAGGGGCCGAAGAAGCTACTGACAACGTGAAGAAGGTAGAGTTAGATGAGAGAGCAATATCAATAGAGATTTAGATTAACGAGAAATCGCACCAAGGCCAATGTTCATCAATGCAACTGTCATTAGAAGTCATGGAAAATTCAGGGTTTATGGCAAGGCCCAATTAGATTGAGCAAGTCTGCAGTACTGCAAAGAGGGCAGACAAAACTATATGTGCCTTTGCGAGGCAAACTAGAGAAAAAGCAAACCAGAAAGATACTCAAGCATATGTAGCCCAGATTCATGAATGATGGGTCTACAAGATGCTCAAGTATCCATAATCCTGGTCCATGACCACAGGCTCTGTGTGCATGAAAAGCACCAAATCTATGCCATACTATGCCAGTTGCCAACCATTCTGCTCACGTATCCGCTATATCCTTCCAGTTGGTATTCAGTCGCATTCGGTGAAGCGCTACGCATCGTGAATTAGACTTCATGGACGTCGAATTCGGGCTTAAGGGCCAAGGTGAAATCATCATCACCGTCATAATCGTAAACCGGATTGGGGGCCACGTCGAGCTCGTCGTCATAACCGTCAGCAGGGTTGGGGGCCATGTGCTCGTCCTTCCTATTTCAAACTCGAGTTAGTGGCTGCTATCCTGTTGCAAGGGAGGATTAAATAGGTAGGAGAGGAGGTGGGTGTGACTCACTTCTCCTTCTTGACAATGGGAAGAGCGGGCTTAGCTATCTTGGCAGACTTGACCTTTTTGGTGGGAGACTCGAGCTCCTCGTCATCATCGTCGATATCTTGGGGGGCGGACATAGCCTTGCGCTTGCTGCCAGCCTTGGGGGTTGACTTGGGGGTGCCTTCACCAGCGGTGCCGTGGGTCTGCTTGCGTCGAAGCTTCTGGAGGTGCTGTCTAGATGAGGAGGAAATGTTAGTAATTGCGTGAATCTAAGATGAATAGTAAAGTTGCTGAAAATGTGCAGGTATGATGAAAATATGCAAGCAAGTGTGCTAGCTATAAGGTCGGCCATGGCATGCCGAATGGCTGTGGGTTAATAAGCAGTAGAGCGAAGGCAGGCAAAGTTACGTGGCGGCAGGCCAGGTGTAGTTATAGCCGCGAGAAGGAGCATCTGTGATCATCTTGTCTGTCTGCTCTGGGAAAGATATGACATGGCACGTGATGGCCTGGAGCAGGTCTGATCGGGCCTTGTCATCCCAGATGGTGCGGCCAGACGGAGTGGAAGTCACCTTATCGGTGTTGGGGTGATGCAAGGAAAGGAGTGTGATGATATGGTGCGCTGTGTGAACAATTGTAGTGGATGATTGATAGGAATGCTCTTGGCAACAAATGAAGGGGTGAAGGTGGGTTCAAGTGGTATTGTGTTGAAAGGTTGTTGCCAATGGGTGGCTAGGTCAAAGAAAGATGAAAGGTTAAGGTGATTGTAGTGGAGTAGGTCAAAGCGAGGCCAAGAGTTCTGGAGCTGCGGCAGGAGCTTGATCAGACAGAAGAATTTGGGCAGAAGACCAAGTAGACGGCGAACCTCAAAGCCTCCTGCGTGATATTGTGGCCCATGCCGTGAAGAAGGCCCATGATCTGGCCGTACTCTTTCGAGGAAGGCTTCAGGACACTGGAGAAGGCCGTGAGGACAGCCTCGTAGACAGGTCCATCCCACTTGGTGTAGAGGCTTCGCTTGGCAGGCATGGTGACAGTTGAGGGGAAAATCCCGAGGTTTAGGTGGTGAGTATGGAGTTGACGTTGTTGGTAGATGTTGAGAGCTAGAGGAAAGGAGGCAAGAAATAGTAATGGCAGTTACGAGGAGTGGGATGTTCACCTTAAAGCCCCCTCTGAGAATTTGTATCCCATCTGGCCCAGGTGAGCCATGACTCTAGCCCACTCATCCGGACCAAGCTTCAGGTTTTCCTTGAAGGCGATGAGGATATCCTCGTGGACCTTCTCGGACCAAGTCTGAAGGATTCAAAGCTCGTGTTGTCCAGGAATGGTTGCGGGAAGGAAGGAAGGAGGATTAATAGTGAAGTATAGATTGGCAAAATTGCTTAGGTTGGTGTAAGGCAAAAGGGCTGATAGTCAAGGGTTGCTAAGGCCGAGTAGGTAAAGTTGTACTGACGTGGTTCGCTGACTGATGCCGGCAGAGGGCAGGGAAAGGTAAGGGCGAATGGATGGAGTAATGACAAATACAGGTCCGTGGGGGGGCTTGTACAGGTTGGGGATAATGGGCAAGAGCGGAACTCGCAACCTACCGTATAGCATCATAACTGATTGCATGACCGTTGGCTTGCATGTAATTCTCAACCTCGACCTTGTGCTGTTTGGTCACGAGCGGACCAGCGACGGTGAAGAAGGCCATGGCCAAGTCCAGGATCAAAGCCTCACCCCATTTGCTTCCAACAGGAGGCATTGTATTGAATGCAGTGTGTGATGATAAATCCCAGATTTGATGAATCGTCGTGATGGTGGATGGACAGTGCAAGTATAATATCAATCGAACATAGATGTTAAGTGTGAAGATCGGGTGTGGGAGAAGGTAAAATGGAAACCGCGTAAGAGCGATTGTATCAAGGGTGGTGTCAGGACCGGGTCATGACATCGCAAAGGTTTTGAGGTTCAGGTTCGGGGGCAGGAAAAACGTAAAATGCATGATTTACCTGACCGCGTTCCCGTTAGTATCATAGCCGTTGGCCTTCATGGCCTGAATGACCGCATCCTTCAGCTGCTTGGCGAGCTGAGGGACCGTGACAGTGAAGATGGCTATGAAAAGGTTGAAGAACTTGGCCTCATCCCATTTGCCGGAGGCCATGATGGCGAGGAGTTGAATGATGACGATAGATTGTGGTTGAGGTGCTGCGCTGAAATCAAAGTGGTGACATGCTATTGATAGGGCATCATAATGTTGTGGCCAAGACGTATCAACCGTAAGTTGTGAGTGAGAAGAGGTTGGTTTAGGCACGCAGCATGTCAAACAGGTCTCAGAGCCAACGCAGGTTGCAATAAAGGGAAACATGAAGCTTACCTGATGCCCCCCCAGGTAATGTTGTGACCACGCTCCTGCATCTTTCTGGTGATGATAGCCTTGTTCTCGAGCCCAATAGGGGCTGAGACATCAGCGAGTATTACTGCCAGATCCTCATGACGGTCGTTGTCCCAAGTAGCGGCGGATGCCTTGTTATCTCCGGTGGAGGACATGATGGATGTTCGTATCTTCTGGGTTGTTGGGTGTATGGCATAGATGAAAGAATATGATAGTTGAAGTTGCAGTGAAACAACTGCAAGAAGATTAAGGAACAAGAGGAGTGAGTATATGGAGGCTGGGTGTTATGTGTTGAACACGTTGACGTAACGTGTAGGCGTGTCTGTGAAGATAGCCGCCGAAGAAGTGTGAAGATGTCGCGACGAGGAAGTGTGGATGGATGACGCAGAAGTGCTATCCACAAGGATTACGGGGCAACACCTTTTTGCTGCCAATTCTATAGTTGCCTCAGCCCGATATGTTGTTGCCCAAACCCGAATTACCGTCCGGAGCCGTCCAGAATCCTCTCGGAACCCCCGGGACTCCTCGCAAGGTATCAACAGAACGCTGATTTACATGTAAAACTGAGTTGTTGATCCTTCATTCGTCCGTCCCTGAGGCACCCTTCTGTAGTACTCCCATGCTGTTGAAAGATAAGGCTTTCCCGGGACAACGGTATGAAGACAGTCGAACTACACGCTCGGGTTTCGGAGATGACCTACCATACAGCTGATCCCGTCCAGAGGCTGCCTCATTCACCAGAGCTTTCCCGGATAGATTCTGCAGTGATTAATGGATCACCCAGCTCTCCTTGAGAGCTACTCCGCCTCAGTCAACAAAAGAAATTCCCAAGGGAATCTGCACTTAGACGAGCATTCCTCTCCTTCAGAGCGATATCGAAAGGCAGGCCACTCGGCTGACCAGTGTCTTCCCTAGCGGGATTATCCCCTGTCTCCTCGGTAGCTATGTTTCACGCCTCCCCATAGTAACTCCTTGCTAATCAGTATCCAGGCAATCAATTAGAAAGATGTGGAACTTACTCGGGCGGACCATATTTTTCGTATTGATCAACAGCGCCAGGATTCCCGTCAGCAGCCAGTGCAAGCACAGCTTCATCCATCTGATCAGTGCCATCGTCGAGCCTTTGGCGTTTGTTAGGCTGGTCATCTAGGTCGTCATCACCGTGGTCGAGATCTAGCTGCTCCGTGTCGGGCACGGGCAGCGACAGCGGCATTTGCATTTGCATCTGCATTGTCACGGGACCTGGACCTGGTCCTGATCCTGGTGCGGGGGCTGTTGCTGGAATTGGTACACCGAGAGGAACTGGGCCATCGTCGGCCGGCAAAGGCTGAGGGTGGACTGCCTCAACTGCATGCGCCGCTGTGGTTGCATCCTGACCATCCTGATCTACAGGACTCGTCGGCTGCTTTCTAGGCCGACCACGACCCGGGCCTGGCCGCCGTGTAATTGGATTCTGCGTTGGATCGGCTTTCCGTGGACTGTCCGATATGGAGCCATTCGATTCGGCCTTGTGTTCAGCTTTGTGTTGAGCTCTGCGCAGTCCTTGGAAATGTTGGCTAGGAGTGAGTTAGTTGAAGTTTGCACGCTGGTTTGCAATCCGTCTCTCCGAGAACCGTCCATGGATAAGTCTGAAACTGCGAGCGATGTTTCGATTCGAGAGAAGCTATCATATAGATGACGTGGTGTTCAGCCGCTTTCACATGATGTCTCCACAAAGGAAGACTCCTGGCGCTTGACAGCCACACGGCTTAAGCAGATGCAGACATATGCATACGGTCGACAATGTTTCGGAACCCGACTATGAGGATGTATTTCTGCCCGCGAAGGACTCGACAAGCGGAGGAGCATTGAAATACTGTGACTACAAAGGTACAGGATTGGAGGAACAGTGAACAAACGACGCTCCACTTACCGACATCCCTCATTTGTGAAGCCATAACCCAGTGTGCGCATGTGGTTGCCAATGGTGGTCCATTCTCCTCCGCTGATGACGCCAATGTTCTTGACGGAGAGGATGGTGAAGAACAGATCTTTATCAGCTCTATCGTTCCAGTTCTTATTCATCTTGGGCTTTAGGTTCCGTGTACAGCGCCGACTCGACGTCAAATTAGGGACTAGGAATAGTGGAACTGGTCGCTGTTTCGCACGTGCAAAATGAGAAAATTGGTAGAGATGGAGGCTTTTGAGAGGTTGAGAGAGAACAGCGGACATGACCTCGAATCGGAGCTAAACTGGGAAACTTAGGGGCAGCGATCCATCACTCCGAGTCGCGCGTCCATTCAAGCACGGACCTTGAAACCCCCGGTCACGTGGGGCTTGTGTCTGTCCAACATTACAGCTTTCGAGCACTTAGCCATGTCGGGCCACTGCCGGGCTTCCGCTGATATTGTAGGACGAATGACGGTCGCTTCTGACCCTCCTTTACAATGGCAGCTAAGCTTAAAGAAGAAAAATCTGCTTAAACTTGAAACATCACGTGAATTGGCGTGTACATCGCGACTTGCTGCCTGCACAGTGCAACCGAACAAGACGCGACATTACCCAACCATTGCGTTTTCGCGAGAGGACAGAATCTGCAAGCCAAGTTGCCTCGAGTCACGTCCAGCTCGAGGCAGTCGAGTTTGAACCTCTTCTCCTACGCCGCATTTCCAAGTAAGTCTACGAAATAGCAAGATGACCATTTCATTCCAGCTCATTTCAGCTCACTGGGCTGGAGATCAAGCTCGCAAGAGTGCGCAAGTGCGCAACAGCACCCCACGGCACGCTCCCCACAAGTATAGGCTGTGTATCTGCTTTTGGGGCTGACAGCCTCGCAACGACTGGGCTGGACTGGGGAAGAATTGATGCAGTCGATGAACGCCAACCAGCATCAACTCTCGACGCTTCCACCAACCCCCTCAATTATTTCGGTGACTCGAGTGAGTCACACACAATCAGGGTCTCGTTCTAGCCGCCCCCACTGGATGTTGGTGCCAGATCTGCTCATGATCTAATTCGCTGTTTGGTGCCGTTCCTGATCTTGCTTCAACAAGATGGGTGAGTGGATATGCGGGTCTTACCATCCGCAGAAGCTCGCAGAGGTGTCTTCCATTGCCAATTGCTCTGTTCAATCTCCTGCAGCAAGAAGTAGGCCTCGATTGACCTCTCACATCAACAATCGAGGACAATACGGTCGTATTTACGAGTATCCAAAAAGCAAAGCCCCCGTTTGTCGTCCGTTTGTCTTTCATCTTGTTCATTTGTCCGGAACTTGTTTGTCTGGCTGTCATCCGCTTAGCAGGGATCAGACCACTCTATGAGGAAACCACTTTACGCGTGCTCCATCCCATCTTCGCGTTTCCCCACCACCACTCTGCGCGGCCAGGTTCCATTGAATACTATTCTGCCGGAGTTGCTAGGCAACATAGGCAACCATGCCTTTCGACCAGGCTATCGTGCTCTTGACAGGTCATAAAAGGACCGTCGGGACGTAAGCGGGTCATATGCAAGCACTTAAAAATCCCTTGACTGCTCTCTTATCACTCAGCCTGATCCTTGTTCCCTCCCACAACGACAGCGAGCAGCAAACAGGTCTGATGCATATCTCCCCCCCCTTTGGTCATAGGTTGGAGTCTTTTGTGACGCCACTGGCTATCCGGGATTGCCATCATTTCATTGTCAAATAGCATCGTCAGCTTGTCACTACCCCATGCCCTTGTACTATTCTTGTTGAGGTGCCCCGCCTGTCTATAGTTTGTTTCGCAGCCCTGATGCGATCCGCTGATTCATGCTCTAAGCTCTTCAAGAGCTTTACTAGGATCTGTGGCATATATTTCCCTTTTCCCTCCTCACCAACTTTCACGAACGACCTGTTCATGAGGCACTGCAACTTCTAATCTCCAGCAGTTCGGCCTGATCTCGAAGCTCCAGATCTTTTCAAGCTGTTGAACGCTTAGCTGAACATTTCTTCTTGAACTCGTCCAACCTTCGACTCCTCAGACCCCCGATTGAAGCCATATCGGCTTGGATCGCTGGGAGAAAGTCAACATGTCTGCCAATGACAATGCCATGACGAGATTTCTGTTTGCCATACTACGGCAGAAGAACCTGAAGGATGTAAGTTGGATGGGAAACTTGACTATGTGGGGTTTATAAACTTGGGTTTAAATGAAGCTGACGATGACCTCAGGTCGACTGGAACAAAGTGGCCCACGACCCAATTTTGGCACAAGAGATTACGAATGGCCATGCTGCCCGGATGAGATACTCTCGATTTCGCTCAGCCATGTTGGGCCTCGAGCCCCAGCGACGAAACCGAACGTCGAAGGACAAGGACAAAACCCGAGTCACCAAGTCTAAGAAGGATCAGAAGGGCAGGAAAGACGACAATGTCAAGTCGGAATCGGTGGCCGACTCTGCGAGCAACGGAGAACCATTTAAACAAGCTGCTCCCAAGATCAAACAAGAGAACACACCAACTCAAAACACCTTCGAAAACCGCCTTACTCCAGGGGCCATGTCGGCAGTACCGACTACATCTGTGCCCCACGTCATCCACCCACGACTCCTCACTCCTTGCAGCGATACCGACGCTTTTGCCCCTTCCCAGGGTCCGACCTCAAGTCCAGCCAGCGAGATGCTCAACCCTCAGGCATCGTACTCCTTTCCAGCGCCTCACTACGGCCACGAGCATACCAATTGGCAGACTGGCGTCATGTACCCTTTTGATGCACCTCAAGACTTTGACCCATATGGGATGGAATGCGGACACCAGCACGTGCCGCACCACCCTGGAGACATGTTTGCCCCTCACCACATGGGCGACACTGAGGAGGGCCATGCTAATGTGAAGCATGAGTCCTGGGATGGCCACTGCTCTTGAGGAACGTCGGCAATGGGTTGTACTTTGTACTGTCGTTGCGCATCTGGGTTCGGTAATAAAATGTACAGCGGCGCATTGGGGGAGGAAATGATTTGGATGAGGAGTTTGGGGGACCATCCCTACCCTGTAACGAATTATGTTTTTATTTAGTTTCTTCTTCATGTCGTAAGCAATCTCAATTGGCTTTCCCCGACACCATTACTGAAGCTAGAGTCTTGTATGTTTCTCGACGTGTTTGTGTTGGCCATACTGCAAGGTATTGGGGTCATTGTCTTTTTGTCTACATGGTGTGGGTCTATCGTCTTTGTCGTTCATTTGAGAACTTGCATGGAGCAAGAGAAGCCTCGAGTCCTTGTCACTTGCCGAATTCATTGGAGTCCCTCTGTCAAGTTGCTTTCCCGTCTCCCCTGCGTCTTTCTTAAACTTTACTTTTGGCTGGTCCCTGGCCGGCAAAACTGCCGTCTGGGTAGTTCCTGAACCTGTAATTGCTAGATATCATTGAAATGGACCTGCACCTGACCCGACCGCATGCGATCGAGGCATCCCGTTCTATGTTGTAACTGAATCGACCAAGATCAAGGTGGTAGACATTGGACGCACAGATGCTTTCGAGTTATTCGCCCTTGATGCTGTTAGCTGAGTATCAAAGCTGAGCTGCTGTTGAATTTTGATTGATAATCTGGTGTTTCCAGCACCCGCACGTTGGGAAGTGGCTTGTGAGTCAAGTTTTTGAAATTCCCGTAGAAAATATTTTTTCGGGAAATTAGAAGTTACACCAGAAGCTGCAGAGCCAAATTTCGGACCCAAACAAGGTCGGAGGATACATACTTCTTTCAACTTCTTGCATCTACACTCAGTCCACATATTGATTGCGTGCAGGTGCCATGGAATATTCTTACTTGCCTAACCCCTGTGTCGCCTGTAGCTTAACCATCCAAGGGTTTGGCTGACAGGTTGTCAGTTGTCTGCCACTAAATAAGATCAAAACTAGGGTCGTTATGGTGTTCCAGATACTGGAGTTTCCCTACTATTTTTCGAGAGTCCACTGGCTGGCCAAGGTCGGCATGGTCATGCTGATTTCCGGAGCGCGGACTAGACTGCATCGCGCATCGGATCATATCCTACCAGAGCGTACCGTAAGTTCGCCTTGATTCAACAAACAGCGTATACTTCTGGTCTGTCGAGTTGCTTCGTGTATCGCGCTGCCTCTTTCGTTGAAAATGCGCTATCGGTGCTTTCAATCGCGCCTCAAATATGACTGGCAGTGCGACCTTACATGGCTTAAGCAGGTTTCGTTAGTTTTCAATCTGGGTGCTGAATATTGAGCAAGCCTATGGGGTTTTGCTACGATAACCCGAAAAGGTCTCGGGACATGCACAATTGAGCACCCCCTCCCAATCAATCATGAAATAATAAATAACTTCAAAGATGAATTCTTCAGCCAATTCGCGGCTAATTTTCATTATCCAGCTTGTAGATCGTTTCTTATTCAATAGTGTAGATACTAGCCCTTTGCTTTTGCACCGCTGCAAGCTGCCGTAGGAAGAACTTCCAAAGACCGCGTATCTACGTTAAATCGACCTGAGACCACGTATCCTCGATTGCTAACCTAACCCAGGCCACGAAGGAGACGCCAGCCTGCAATTCGGATTAATTGGGCTCTATTTCACGTATTCCCGCCTTTGGGACCTTTTATACACATTCAATAGGGTTCAAATCGGGCCTGTGAGCGGGCCCCTTGATGGTCCAGATGCCGTGATCCTCTAGCTACCTCCTTGTGTGGTTTGATACGTGTATTTTTTTTGGCGTTATCCTGTATGAAGGGATGCCCTGGCTCGTAGATTGGAAGTAGCCCTTATTTTATTACGTTTCAATAAGACTGTGAGGACAGCCTGTAGTGCGGAGAGTCTGGATCGACGTCACAGAAGACCAACTTCGAGGCCCCTACTTCATCGTTCCCTAACCATATCATGCCAAAAACTATTTTCAAGATCCTCAGACACCTATAGCTCTGGCGGTTCGCGAGATGCTCTCTGTACCTCTTCTTCGGTTTGCGGAAGACCCATTGGCCTGGAGGGTCCAGCGAATTCTGGACCGTATACTTGTACAAGAAGATGTCCGCATGAGCTGCTGGGTCTGGGCCGATGTACGATGCTAACGGCAGATTTTAAGGTGTTCCCTCGTATGTTTGGCCGTCACGACAATTCACTCTGCCGTATGTTATGTCTTCAACTAGTACCGCTGCAGTATGGCCTGTATATTGTCTGGGTGTATTGAGATACCTCCCTTGCGTTTGAACTCCTTATACGTTATTCTGAGGTGCTGGCGATATAAAATGACTAGATCTCTCTTATCTCTCGCGCTTACGATTTTGGGAGAACCTGCCTGCTTCTTCGTAAGGGTAGTTTTCGTTGTTTTGGCGCGTCCGGCGATACTAGTGATGATTCCGGGCCTTGACATGCCGAACGCGTTTGCCACCCACTGCCGGCTTACATCAATTGGCCTGGCAGCCATAATGGGCACCCTGGCTTCTGAATTGAAGTCTCGATTCGCGCCGCGACTACCTCTTATTATTATTATTATTATTAAATACGCCGTAGGCTCGAAGCCCCCGGTACCTCTACTAGTACTCCCGTATGTCAAACCGTGCCCTAATGGCTGGACTAAATACATACGCTGCGTCGTCGGTTCGCCCTATTGGCGACTGCGTTGCGTTCACTACCATACTACGTTGGTTCTCAACCTACCAACAAAGTCCCCCCTGAGAAGATCGATGCTATCTGGGCCTTGAAGCTGTCCGACCCGTCCCTAGCAGCCATCTTACAATAGTCCCACTAACTACTGGTTCTCCTGTTGCCGTTGCGAGGTCTCTGCGAGAGTATAGTGGCCGTGGTGCGATGGCGGCCCGTAATCGTTCCCTCGGTCCTTCCAACAGCCCGCAAAAGAGGATTACGTGCTCTGCCGTCTCAGGGGCATCGCCACAGCGGCATAGCGGCGAGTACACGCCAAAAGCCCCTGTCTTGAATAAGAAGGCTGCTAGTCCTATTTTTTCCGTCCTGATCTGGCACAGCGTAGACGCCTCCAGTCGGTTCAGGCCGAAATACTTGCCCCCTTTCGGTATCTGCATCGAAGGGCCCTCCGGTTCCTCAGCGATAGCGCGTCGCTGGCGATCGTGATGCTCTGCTCCGGCACTACCTCTTGTTTCCATGGCAAAAGCTCCAAAATTCACCGTGAAATGTGGTTGTAATGGCAGGTTGAAATCAGTAGGCCAATGTTGTTATTTTGATTGCCAAATTGGGGTGTGGGGTGTACGGAGGCTTTTTCGTGATTAGTGTAACACTGCCTTGAATGGTGATGTCGCCCCCGACCTGAACGTCCATGCTACCTCGGATGCGGGCTGGGACATCAGAGTTTCAGTATTCATGGGATATTCGGAATTAGTAGGCCTAGGAACGCTGATTCAACTGTAGCTTTGCTGGCAGATAGCCGAAACTCTAGGATAGAAGTCTGTTCAAAAACCCATGCAGGGCAAGCAGATATCGCCTGCTCGAACATATCAGAACGAGACGCGTTCCGTTTCGAGCACGAGACTGATTGTGGATGCAGCTGCCGCCCTATATCTGTGCTTGGTTTCTATAGGAAATGTGTCAGAGACACAAGACCATCTCAAATGAATAGGTCTTGACACTAGATATTGTGGGCGACATAGGGGTTGGCCTGGCAGTTGGTTTCTTCGCTGAGGATGCCGATTTGCATCCATACGTCACTACCAACAGCTTATCTGTAGTAGCCCTGAAATTTTTAAGAGCAATGCCTCGAATAATTGGTGTGATTTATTATTGGCCAGATTTGAGCCTCGCCCACTTGGGTTGGTGACGAGTCGCGGGTTCGAATCCCGCAGCTGACACACAAGGGGGTTTAGTCAACCCTTACGGCGCGCTGCCCACCTTGTTGACTTCGCCTACCTAGCGATAATAGGGAGATTGGTGCAGTTTAGGATTACGAGCATCCTAGCCAGTCGACCGTCAAGCACTACGTCGGCGGAATATAACTCGACAGCCGGTCCAGAATTCGAATCGTTAATCCGACCCCTTATCGGACCTCGCCTTTCCGATAACGCTCGTCGGCGAACCCGTCCCTCACGATAGAAGGCGCGCAGCACGCCCTCTCGCCGCGATTCTTGCGAGCGTCTGACCACGTTACGGTCTATCCACTTGAGCGTATGGTTGAGATGTATACGCTCGACGAGAACCCCAATTAGCAGATACTACGACTTGTCGCGACAAAAAAATAGTCGAGCATCTTCTGCACATCAGCAGCATCCCACCCCTGAGGACGAATTTAAGTGCCACATTACCACGCTTATCGGTAGTTCAGGCAGGGGTTGTAGCACAGACTTAGGGAGGGACAGGAGGTTTAGTAGTCGTTTGGCTACAAGTTTACCTGTATAACCGCCCGACGCGGCTTAAGGGCCCGCTATATCATCTATAGCCCCTTAAGGGAGTACTTGTAGAGGTACCGAGGGTTAACACCTACGGCGTATTTAATATTATTATTTTATTATTGGCCCTCCGCCCATCCTTTCTTCAGCTCATTAAGATCCTGTTGGGCCTGATAAGGAAACGCGGGAAATGATCGAACATCTACGCAGATCCAGGAAATACCTGATGGAAGCAGGCTCAGCAAATCTTGCAAACTCGCCAGAACCATCATCAATGAAGGACCCAAGTCGGGGATTATTCTCTATAAAACGTTGTTGTGTCCGTAATTGACTATTAAAGTGGCAAGAGCCCAGATTTTCTCCTGTTGTGAACCTGTGGGTTCCCCTAGCCTTTCTCGGGCATCAACATAGCAAAGCCAGCATGGAAATCCGACTGATCTGTTCAGTTGAATTCTATCACATATATATAGATGCTATTTCCCTACCTGCTGACAGCGCAAGCCATATGTACAACCTTGCCAATGGAAATCATCAACAAATTCTCGAGTTTGCTGAAGGGCTGCCTAGCCGATTCCAGATTTGCTTGCTAGCTAGCTATTTGTGCACTGAATATAGCAATATGTCAATCCGCAAAGTATTTAAAATAACCCTTCAATGATGAAAGCAAGTGGCCGGAGGTGTCATTGTCAGTTGTTTTGAGCCGGGTGAAGCCCATGTTGAGCGTAGAGGTCTCCTACTACAAAAATAGAGAAATAATTCTAAGAAGAAGTATAGACTCTAGGACTCCAATGCTCCGTTGCTGTGGTCTACAAAAACACAGCGGAAAGGAAAGGAAAGGAAAGGAAAGGAAAGGAAAGGAAAGGAAAGGAAAGCCCGGTCGTTCACACCCACGGCATCAACCGGCTGGATAAGGAAGAAGTGCTCAAACTTCAAGCGAAGTATCTTTGACCTCAACTAGATGTTGATACTCGACACATGCGAGATGCATGATTCTTTGTAAAGTAGGCAGGTTGGTAGTGTGTTTTGGAAACTTGTATGGTGCTGACCTGGTTAACGCTAGACCGCATAAAGAGCTACTTCAGAATGAATTATAAACCCTGGAATCTTTGATTGATAAGATGGCAGTTTGATTACTCTCTAGAGCTTCCACTTTCTCTACGGAAACTCCAACTGCAGTACCTCTAGATTTCTTGCGGTACTGATACTACATGTACGATCATCTGCTAAGCTCTGCTATGATCCCATCACCAAGTCTCCTGTCAAAAGTTTAGTTGCATTAAATCAAGTATACAACAATGTGAATCTACCAAGACGGCCAACGTGAATGACATGGTCCCTTTGTAAACCTTCTTTCAGAAAATATTGGTGTGCGAAATGTAACACAAGCACACACTACAATCCATAGCCATGATGATATCTCCAGGACTTTGAAAGGACAGATAAATGGGCAGAAACATATAATTTAGCATGGTCTTGATACTTGTCCCTGAGACTCATAGTCTGAACAGCATCCTCTCCATGTCTTCCCGCTGACCTGCTACAGTCCCCTATCACCCTTGCGCATACCATAACGATCACCCAGAGAAGACAACAGTTACTATAGAGATTACCCAGATCCAGAAAAGGCCTGTAGCTGTTGAATCAATAGGCTGTGTGGTGGCAGGCATAGGAGCTTGAGCTCTAGCCTCGTGCTTGCTTGCGGTTTCTGAAAACTTTTGATCGAGAAGGGGTTGCGCCTGACGCATAGTTACCGCATATTCGACTATAAGCAACTTCCTGGTGGAAATCGATCGTGTTCGGGGACCCGCAATTCTCACGAATTTTGTGTTAAAACAGAGTCCTTCTTCAGTCCACCTTTAGTCGCCAACCTCAATCCTCATCATCACCTTCAACGTAACTTCCACCCAAGAAGTTTGCCGCTTGAAAACTCTCATCTCAACCAAACCGGAATCAAAAATCATCACAATGGTCGCTCCTCATGATACCGAGTCGCAATTTGCGTTCTTGATCTCCTGCATCAAGAACTCGACCGCCGGCAAGGTAGATTTCGAGCAGGTCCGCAAGGATTGTAACATCATCTCGAAGGGTGCAGCGTAAGTAACCTAATACCTATACCTTTAAATATCTTGCTACTCTACTGACCCTAAGTTTCCTTCGCAGTGCCAAGCGATACGAGCGTCTACTGAGAGCTCACGGCATCGCCAATGGTGGTACCTCCTCCAAGACCCCCGTCAAGAAGGAGGATGGTCCCGCCACTCCTGCCACTCTCACCAAGAAGCCTCGAACCACTAAGAAGCGCAAGCTCGCTGCTGTCGACGAGAACGCCGGTGACGTCGATGAGCCCAAGGTCAAAGGTGAAGTCAAGTCTGAAGATGCAAGTACTGTGAAACTGGAGCAGGGCAATGGTGTATTGGCAAGCATACCCGCCGCAGTCTCAAATAGTTTCGAGGAAACACCTGCCGCCGTTGCCGCGGCCGATGATGACGACGTCCTCTTGATCTCCGCGACCGAGAGAAGACCCAACAGCATCCCGGCCTGCAGCAGCAGCGGCGACCACCACCATTCGCCCAATCCGATGATTCCTGGATGCCATTCTTTCGATTGCGCTGCTAACATGGGATTCAGCACACAGACAAGCCCGATGATGGCGACGACTATGCTGAGTCTGACATCTAGACCCAGCCACAGCCACCAAACTCACCCGTATGGTTTTGGGACTTCCGTCTCTTCACCCTGGTTTCACACGCACGATGGCTCTGGCATATACTGGCAAAACACTGCGCCGGAGAACAAGGAAGCTCAGTATCAGTGATATATCATGGATAGTAAGCGCTCCCACCAATTTCCGTCCACAACGCCTGAAACTTGCTGACTGAATAACCCGCAGACTCGAGGCTAGTCCTGGAATGGTTTGGCACAGATTAGAATGGAAAACATGGCCGGAAATTCTTGCTTTCTAGTGCTCTGAGAAGCATACTTCATGATAAGCAATGATTTCTGTCTTCTCAAATTGCAGTTGAGGGCTATACATAGTTCGATTGACAGTCTTGCACAAGCAAAGCCTTGTACTTCATTGATAATCGTGACTTCTCTACTGATATTCAATGGACCCTATCAGTTGCTCACGACCAGGCTTTCCCTAATATCTGTTCGTGTTCGTATAGAAGGAGTAATGTCCATGTAACTTCTATCTACCTTAGTAATCGTGCACAGCACCACTTGTTGGGTTTATTCATCCGATATCTTCTTAAAACCTACTCGGATATTGTGGCCAAGCGATAAGGCTCTACAATCTGGGGTCGATCCTATCGTTCGCTTGAAAGCCATGCCAAAGCATGCTGTCTGAATGTGTAGTCTCCGCATATCCATCATTTATGGGGGTATGATCCATCCATGAAAGTGACATGTAAGGCTTGTATATAACTATGAAACCAAACCTTCAAGCTTCAATCAAATAACATGGCTCAAATTTCACTTGAGAAGGACGTAAGGGTCTTTTTCTCCCATTTTAGTAGACAAGCACGGCATCCAAGTGAACCTACCCTGGAGCGGTCTAAAGATTCTCCCACGCCTCGGCAAAGTCCACTTTGTCTGCTCAGCTTGCAAATGATGAGGAATATCGCATCGAAAGCTAGAAGAAGGGTCGCTTCATTGAGCGGAGTTTTAATTGCCTTCGAGAGTGGCTGGACTGCACCAACGAGCATACGATAGAACCGCGGCATTCTTCCCTCGACTTCGTAGCTCCAAGGGCACAAGCTCTTGTATGTCTGCCCGCAACACCTCCTCCCCGTTGTGGTTCATATCTACTAATCCTTCTCTTTTTTTCAGTGTCGTAGATACGGTACTTGGCTATTTGCACAGCCGTGCTTACGGATTGTCGCTTTATAAATGCCAGCTAGCGGAAGACCACTATTTAAGTCTATAAGACCCGGTTACCGATATTGTCAACGCCTTCGCGGTCATTGAACCTTGGTTAATGATTTGAGATACGCTATATACCATATAGTGACTCTTTTTGCTACTCGCTATGGACTTGGTCACCCAATCTGGCAACGAGTACGGCCTGCGACTTAAGCTTCTACCAGCACCCTCCTCCTGGTCAGTGATGACCACAACGAGAACATACCATGCTGATCAAAGTCACACGGAAAAATACGAAGCTCTTGGGAAGCAAACGTTCAGGAAGAATGACCATCTAAACATCGTATCTGGCAAACTCACATGCGCTTCTGGAAGCTAGCTTGCGCCGGTAACTTGCTGGTGGAATGAGTATATCAAGGTACTTGAGCGGCAAAATGACCTCCAAAGAGCAGCTGAATTGACAGATTCCACTTCCGTCGCATCATTTGCAGCAACTTTGGAAACGTATCGTTTTGTTTCACAAATGCCGCCCGTTCATTTCACACTTCCGTATGATCTTTAGTTCTGTAGTTCGAAGGAAGTCAAGCGCGATGTGCACCGTATGCAATTTCTCTCTGAACTTTCCCTCCGAAGTCAGGACGTGCGCTTGCCAAACCACAGCGTCTGTTGCCGATACATATACCATGCGAGCATTTGCAAACAGCAGGAGATGAGCATCCCAAGGGGTTCACCGACTCAATTTGCGAATGTAACTTCAGACTTAACAAATGATTCTGACGGGAATTATTTCCGGCGCTGCGACAATAAACACCAAAATGGGCGAAAAGCATCCCTCATCGCCACCATGCAAGCATTGTTGAGTATACAATTCTTGGCATTCGGGTGCTTCCGAAGGTGGGCCGATGTAATAATACTTTGGCGGCCGGGCAAGTGCATGTCACTTTGAGTTCACGCCCGCTTCAGACTCTGATTGGACAGAAAGGTGCCATAATGTCTCAGTTTCAACAACATATCATTTCAATCACTCCAGCAAGTAATTCACATTATTCCAACGTAATCAATTCTTACTGAGTGAATTTTGTTGAGTATGCGAATTTAGTTGGCGCACTTTGCACAACGCCATATTCTTGATTCTGATTGTTCCATTGGTCCAGTGCCATGTTTGATTTTGTGGAACATACTTAAGCAGAAATGGTCTCCGCCCTGACCAACATTATGAAGAGTTTTAATGCCTATGTCTTGAGAGCGGATGTACACTAATTAGAGTGGCATGCTTGGCTGCAATTCGATGTTTGCATGGTGCAAGTTTTTGACATGACTGCTCGCTGACTTATATAAGTCCCGGACTGACTGTAAGTGATCTTGTTCACATCAAGTACTGTATGCTAACATCTCTCCATTGAAACAAGAGAAATTTGTGGCAACATCATAAAAGTCTCGTAGCTGCAGTTGCACAATCTGGAGCTATGTGACACTCAATCTTGACAGCTGCAATACCTGTACCCTAGGCCTCAACCATATTGTCTGGAACACTGGAAAATAGCATGCTTCTAGAACTTTTCCTTTGCTGCACATGTTGTCATTATATCATTACATGTGAAGCCTGGAATCTTCTATAAAACAAGCTTGATAACATGCAGTGACCCAGTGGTGATTGCATTGTGACTTACCCTGTCAACATTGATGCCCTCCCAATGTCCACGATTGATGGCTACCGGAACAATTAAATCCCCCATGTGTATAAATTCTGCTTCTATACGAGTGTCATCCAATCGGGAGAAGTATCTACTTGGTTGGCAGAATTCAGGCCCTCCCACCGCCTTTGCGAATAGTGGCAGCCCTATTTCCGTCATCTTCCAACCACTCCTCTGACTCTCCCATCCCAGAAATAACTTCTACCACGTCTTTTCAATTTTCAAGCATTGGAAAATCTCGAGCCTTGGGAACTTCCCGAAAACATCAATCAAAAGGCAATACCGGCAAGTAATCTATTTTCGTCGCTTCCCATTGCCACTCTGCCCATTCAACCTCGACTTCAACAACGAGAAGTTTCCTTTCAGCCAAATTAATCAAATTCCTACCGCTCAAGACTCATCGCTTCTGGAACAATTTTTTTTAAATTTGACATCTTCGATTCCTTCCCAAGTTCACTATTCATCACAACGACAAGTCGGCCAACTGACCTCAATCAGCAACCGGAACCGCATCGTTCCATTACAAGCAGTCCTTCGCTGAAGAGTTTATACGAATTCGGTGAGTAGCTAAATTTCCCTTGCCCTCTCTCCCATCTTCGGATTGCACCTAAAATTTGCGAAGTTTCAAGTAGGAGTTTTGCAGGAACAAAAACTTTTTCTTTCGCCAATTGAATGAATTCATCTCTTCTAAATTAAATTCAAATCAATTCTCTTCCTTCTCCCTATCCACCATCTTCAAGATCAAGCAAACTGCTGACGATCGTAAATTCAGACGCACATCTACCAGAAAGTAGCCTCAATTTTCTGTCAAACAGAGTCGACTCTGTCAAGCTTCCACAATCCCGTGACTCACAGTCATCAATACCGGTAAGTTCCTCCCGCGTCCTGGTAGATGCCCAAATTGAATTTTGTGCTGACTTTCCCACACCAGCACCTCACTCTCCCATACACCCACTTCTTGAACCGATCAATCACGATGTCCTTCCAGAATGTCAGCAAGGCTTCGGCCGAGGTTGGTCGCTCCGGCCAGCTCTCTCGCGGCCGCTTCACCCGCAACGCTTCTGCTGGTCTCGCCAGTCGCCTTTCCCTCACCAACGGCCAATCGACTTCGGGTCAGCCTACTGGTGGTAACAGCAATTTGGATGTCTCTGAGTGTCTCTCTCCCATCTCACCGCTCTTGCCCAGCGTCTACTCGGCTTGCTCGGTTCCTAGTAGTGGTGTGCTCACTGGCCTTGACTCTGCTGTCGACTTGTCGCCAACCACCCCTACGGCGGTCTCTGGCGCTGATTCTGTTGAGACTGCTGCCATGACCCCTACTGACAAAACTATATCTTCTGCTGCCAAGGATACTGCTGCTCGTTGTGTCACCAATGGCACCGGAGCTGGCATCAACGCTGATCGACCTTCAACTCCCGCCATGAACATCAACGCTGCGGCTGCCAATGTCAACCGTGGTACTACTGAGCGATCTCCGCGAACTCCTATCACCATCATGGTTCGCAACGTCCCCTACGATGGAGATCAGATTGCTGTGATGGGTAAAACACTTGCCGAAGCTCGCCGCGATGGTGACTTCCCTGACACTCGATCTCCTGTCTTTGATCCTGAGATCATTGTCCATGATTACCAGCTTCTTCAGCATCTCCGCGAGCTTCGAGGCGACCCCACTGTCTGGCCTCGCCCTCAAGAGTACAACGCAGCCTTTGTCGAAGTCACTCGCATCATTCAACAACGCGATGCCAACATTCGAGAGGAAGTTCGTGATGCCAACGTGCACGACCGCGTTAACAGCTTTGTCCATGATGAGAATGATCGAGCTGAGCAGTACAATCTCATGCGTCAAGCAGTTGCCCAGGCCCTTCAGCAGCAACGGGCCCCCAACGGCCTGCAAGGCGTTGACGGCATAGCTCTTCTGAACGAGCTTCGTGGGGCTGTTGCAAATATGGCTGCTCGAGGTACTCATGGCGTGAATGCATTCAACATGGAAGCCGTTGAAGAGGAGGTATTTGGAATAATTGAAGCCGCGATGCTGGATGCTGCCGGCCCTCTACGTCTAAATGTCAACAACATGACAGGCCAAGTCAACGCCATGACTGGACAAGTAAATACTTTGAGCCAGAACGTGGGTGCGATGAACAACCATGTCAGTGCGATGAACAACCATGTCAGTGCGATGAACAACCATGTCAGTGCGATGAACAACCATGTCGGATCTGTCGGCAACTATGTTGCCGCTCTCGGTACTTTTTTGAACACCATCAACAACAACGTTAACTTGACCCAGAACCACATGGGCCAACTGACGAAACAGGTAAACACGCTTGAGAACGTTACTGAGAACGTTACCAGCGTTATTCCCGCATTGGTTCAACAGGCCATTCAGCAGCATCTCAACGCCGCCATTCAAGATGCTCTTGGTCCGGCACTTATTGCTGCTCTTCCGATCGCTGCTGGCTCCAGCAAGGGCCTCATTTTTGACACTCCTTCCGTCGGCATTTCCGAGAAGTCTGACAGCAAGAAGACCGAAAACAGGACTAAGAAGGCTGGTTTTTTCACACGCTTATGCGGCAAGTTCTCCCGCAAGGATGGTCGCAAGGATGCCAGCTGTGGTTCTCCTACCATGGCTTTCTAAGCCTGCCAACAGCATTAATTTTCAATATTTAAGCATAACCTACTCGGCTGCACCTCTCTGGCAACAGAAGCATGAATACAGCCAAATTTTACTTCGGAGTATGAAAACGAAGCCCTCTAACGTCTTTCCTCGACACAGATCTCTCTGTGTTTTGGATTCATCATCACTTTTGATTGACTTAGGCATCCAACCAGTTTGGTCGACGCACTTGTCAATCTGGATATCCAGCAGACATAGTCCTCACACATTGGACTTCATCGAATAAGCACACACTATGGAACTCATTGTAGACCTTCGGCCTTGATCATCATTGAGCGTCTATCCAGCAAGTTCTTGGATTTTACAGCATTTCAACTGCCCTCATCGCCTACTCTTGTCTTCATAACCAGCTATTTCTCAACTTGGCCTTCATGGATCTGATGTCTGTTCATCTGACCTCGGCCTGTTCTGATTGAGCACGTATCAAAAACTGAAAGGTCTCATCGCGAATACTGTCACCCTTTGGATCTTGACACCACTTGACTAAGCATCCACCATACCCCGACTTGTCAACATCTCGTACGGTCATCCGTTTGGACTTTGAGCTTCATGATCGAGCTTTTCAGACACCAACATTGTTCACCCGCGAAGAAGGCACAGCTTTTCGGACCCTGGATTCATCAAGAGTTCAGTTCATAAAGTGTCTATCATCACACCTTCGACTATCTGACCACCCATAATGAGTATATGAACTTGTTCAACCATCGAAACCACGAAAATCCCGCTGCTTCGGCAAGGTGGAAGGAAGTTGCGCCAAGTTTGGTCTCCATTTGGACTCGGAACTTGGGAACAAAAACCAACGTATAGGGTTTCGATACTACGGTGTTTTCCCAACCGCTGGTGAATGTTTCCGACAGTTTCCATACTTCAGGATTTAATAACATAGCATTAGTAGATATAATTGTCAAAATAATACAAACAAAATGGGAGTTCGAGCCCAAGCTTGCTCTTCAAATAATGCTATAACGAGGCTGTTCACTAAGTGCCTACTTACCATACGTCGTTTTTGAAAGCTATATAGAAATATAGTCCGTATCTTCGCTATCGCTATTGTCAGGGTACGGCTAGGCCGAAGGCAATAGTACGGAGTGAAGGGGAGTGATAGGCGTCCCTCCTACGTAGCACCGGGTGGTTGCTAGCGATCACGGATAGTCTCAGGTAGGGGTGCCCACGATAGTTTATTAATCTCTACCCTCTCTATCTTCTTCATGGACACCTACCCCTTATATAGATAGCTAACCATATTAACCACCTTTTTGCATACACCCCCATTTTGCAGGGAAATTCTACGCCTTAATAACAACACGTCTCTTAATTCACCTCGCAATTACTCTCTAACTACGTACAAATTATCTAATCTAATAGAGTATACTCGCGACGATTTTAAGTAGCGAATCGAACGCGCTAAAGAGCTTATCTATTAGGGCTATTACTAGGCCGTAGTAGCCTATCTGTACGGTATTAAGGCGACTGTATTATCCTACCGTATTCGTTACGGTAATTCGCACCGCGACACGGCCTCCGGGTAACAAAAGTTGACTCTAGAGCAAGAGGAAGTTATCGTGAACTGAATCCTATACGAAGAACTATACGGACGGGCTCCTAGTAAGCGTTATATAGCCGACTTTACTACCGAAATTCTCCTTACTTAAGGGGATAACAAGATACTGTAACGGGGTAAGGCCGGAAATCAGGGAAATAGGTTACAGGGGCTAGGGAGGGCTCCCCTGTCTTCCTTACTTCAAAAAGGGACACGGAGATAACAGGCGACTTTCAACAACTCGTCATCTCTTTCATCATCTTATTCAATCAACTTGACTTTTGTTTTCTATTCTAGTTAGCTAGCCCTTCAATTATGCGGTTCATTCCTACGTGCACTTAGACACTACTTTCGAAATCCTATTATTCTGCCCTTATCTTAGCCTCGTAGTCGCCGCAATGCCTTCAAGACGCCCCTACACTCGCGTTTTGTGGCATCATAGGTCAACTCTGCCCCTTTCCAAACGCCGCTTTCGTATCTCGCAGGTCTCTCAACTCCGTCAATCAGTTGGCCTAATTGAGCGCCCCATCCTTTGCCGCTTGAATCAACTTTCAGGACAATCATCCCTGCCCCATCAGAATAATCCAATGTTATCAAGACCGGGGCAGTATTAAGTTTTTCCTTCAGCGTCTCCATAGCAAGCTTCTGATCAGAGCTCCAGTGAAAGGGAATATTCTTCCTGAGGAGCTTCGTGAGCGGCAGTGTAATGTGGGCGTACAACTCGATCCATATCCTGTAGTACACCGTGATCCATAGAAAGGCGCGGACCTCTGAAACGTCGTTACATCTCTCCCACTCAATGATCTTGATGACCTGGCCTGATCAGGGGACCTTCCACTGGTTCCGCACACGTACCCTACAATTTTGACAGAGTCCTGGCACCAAATAGTTTTCTCTCCGGAGATAGTTGCTCCCGCCAGTTCGCAGTTAACTAGCACCTTGTCGATGTTAATCAGATGCTCAAGAACCCAGCGACGAATTCCAGGGTAGGCTTCTGTGTGGTCGTGATATGACTTTGTCCTTTCACTCCAATATCGTCCAGGAAGTTCCTCGCTACATTGGGGATAAGATCAAAGAGCATTCGAGCCAGCTGTCGGCAGAAGTGTGCTACAGAATTTGTTGCCCCTTGAGGTAGCCTGGTCATTCTGTACAGGCCAATGGGAGTCATGAACGAGGTGAAATTTCGGCTCCGTTCGTTGAGTACTGTAGCGGGGTAAGGCCGGACGCCAGGGAAAATAGGTGACAGAATGGGGAGGATCTTTTGCTTTGATGAAGGAGGCTTGTGGCTGCAACTTTCTTTTCGAGGACGGACCCTTTTTAATGGCTTCTTCATCTTTTCGATTCGACGAGCAATAGTTAGCCATCATCGCACTCTTTTCAATGCATGCAATTCAGAAGCTTCAGTTCATGATTCACTTACACGTTCAGGGGATAGCTTCTAAGAATCCATCTATCCTTTCCATTTTAGCCTTGACAACTATGAGACATTGTGTCTTGCTCTGATCAGAGCAATCCAGTACTAGAGACAGCTTCAATTTGACTCCTAGGAGCCAGACGTCCTATTCTGAGAATTATCCCGACACGAGAGTCTCAGAGGCACATCCGACCAACTTGCGCACAAGAATTATAAGAGCTTCGCTCTTACGGCCAGCACCATGATCTCCGTCTGATCAGACCAACAGATGTGATCTATTGGTACTGGAGCCGTCTGTTCAGTGTGCTAGGTGATAGGTACATCCTACTGACCGCCTGACCCCGTTTCAGTACAGACTGGTCATAACCTGAGAAAAAGTCCATCAAGGTAACTATCTTGCACATCACGAATTCGGAAGCAAATTCGTCAACGTTTTTTTGGCATAAACGAATCTCGGATCGTCACTGCGTTCAGCTTCGTAGCTGAGTTGATCAGGCGCAGTCCACCATCCTTCTTCTTCACAAGGAACCAGGCGTTGCGATAGGGCGCACGAGATTCTTCAAGAAGACCCTTCTAAATCCTGATCCTCAGCATTTCAATGACTTTCTCCGTTAATGCTGCTGGAATAGGGATGTTTTTTGCTTGCCAGGCTTTATACGGTACAGTCCGAATCACATAATCTGGGCTGATAGAAGGCTTGATTTGACCGATTTCCGAGAAATCCCATGAGATAGCTGCCTCCCTTCTGGCGAGAATTTCCTTGAAGAGCTTAGTCTCTTGGTTATTGAGCATGCTTTTGATTTGATCAGAGATCTTCTCCCATCATGTGGGTGTCAATCGGGGTTCTTGAGGAATTTTCGACCACTTTGGTGTGATCTGTGAAAGTGGTCCGTCTTCATCTTTGGGCCAGATCGTGGATTGTGCTTGTTTCCACTCCTCTTTCTTCCAGTTCAAGCTGCCTGGTGGGACAGATTGGTCTTCAGGATCTCCATCAACAGGGTGGACCTTCACCCCTTTTGGCTTGTACAACGTGTTAATTCCAGCCGTGATCTCATCCTTCATCTGATCATCAGGCACTTGTCTTAAGAGCCGTCTTAGTAGCTTCCGAACCCTCTTAGTTGATGGGCTTGCGATAATAGTTTCGTCCGGGTCTAAGTTGAGGAGTTGTGAGGTCGAGATACCGGGGTCCTGATTAGTTTCGTCAAAGTGAAGGATTGACGCCTGATTGGAGTCCGTATTTGATTCGGTCGGCCTCTGATCAGACTGATCGTGTTTCGTTTTAGGCCTCAAAAGGCCGGCAACGCGGCCAAGGCTACCGGCTGTCCGTTTTCCGGAATATCCATGACATCCTTCAGGGCGCGCTTTGAACCTTCCACAGTTCCCAGGGGTACAACAATTTTCGTTGAGCCAAAAATCAGGTTGCCAATAATAGTGGAGTGCTCAAAAGAGAAAGACATCTTTGCTCTTATGATGAATTCATGCCTAGTAGAAGAGGCTGAGAGGCAAGTTCATCATCAATGACGTACAAGGGGACCTTGATACACCTTCCTGCTAGCCATATCAGAGCCTCAACGACTCCTCGGAACATTGTTCGTTCTTCAAGGCTACTAATAAAGCTTCGAAGCTAGCAGGAAGATGTATCAAGGTCCCCTTGTACGTCATTGATGATGAACTTGCCTCTCAGCCTCTTCTACTAGGCATGAATTTCATCATAAGAGCAAGGATGTCTTTCTCTTTTGAGCACTCCACTATTATTGGCAACCTGATTTTTGGCTCAACGAAAATTGTTGTACCTCTGGGAACTGTGGAAGATTCAAAGCGCGGTATAGCAAAGGTTTGAGCCATCTGGATCGATTTCTTGGTGACCTTAGCGGGAATGGTCTGATCAGACCTAGGTGGACATCCAATTTCACAATCGAGGACGTCGTTGTTTGATACGGTTGTTACCGTTTCACTTGTTGTTGGTGTGATAGTCGGCTTTTCTGTGTTGGCTATCGGGATTGAGAG